ACGTATTTTATAAAATTCAGTTTTTTTGGAGTATTTATAAGCTTATAGTACTTACGATTGGATTCTAGGGGCTTGTACACCAATATCGAGGTCTTTTACTTTCATAAACTTCTAAAATTTTGGTCACAAATAAGGTTAAGAGTTTCTATTTTCTGGATTTCTTAAACCACTTACTACTACATCCGGCTGTACACTCTTGATAGTATCTTCCAACAGGTCTTCAACAAGCACAAAAAACTCGGGGTCAATACTTCTCCAGATCTTTTCGATCATAAAGTTCAACCATTCGACAGTTTCTCCTTCTGAAGTATATAGCTGATAGCATTCATTGGGGGGGTGGGGGGGGGGGGGCATTAATACCAAGAAAAAAAGAAAGTGAAGACTAGTCTAAATGGTTGATACGCTACCGATTTCATTCCTTCTTGTTTTGCAAGTTTCCATCCTAATCCTTTCTTGATTTCTTTTCCCACCAGCCAGAATATCAATACAGCTATAAATATAGATGAGCGATAAATAAATTTAGTCAATTTTTCAAGTCAGTAAGTTTATTTGGCTTACCTAGCACTGCACAGAATATGCCAAAGAAAATGTTATAATCAAGTCTTCCGCAGATGTAGCATATAATGCATGTAGCTGTGATATACTTTAATGCATTAATTTCCAATCCGGAAACAAGTTTTCCAGGATCAATTGGCGTCAACAAGGAATTTTTATCTGGTGTAAAGCTGAAACTATGCTGATGGTGATGGTGGTGAGGGTTATCGGCAGGATCGGCCAGCTGACTAGAGTCTTGGAGAGCTTGTTCTTTGCCAATAGTATTGGTTGGTTTGGGTGTCCGTAGGGTAGTTTTATGGACATTGTTGATTTCTGAGAAGCATATGAGCTCATGATTACGTTTAAAAGTGACTTCTTAGTTTGGCTTACCTTGGCCTAGTGAAGTATCCCCGCCGCTATAATTTTCGCCATCTTTTGGTGGTGTGGGTGGTTGAGGAGATGGTGGGTTAGGAAGAATTGCTGTACCAGGACCTGTTTGCTGAGTGGCACGATGATTATTATCGCCTGTGGTGTGTATATTTCCAGTTGCATCTAATGTATTTCCTGGTGCTCTTTCAAGATTTGGATTCTCACTATCATTGCGTGAGCCGTGTGTTTTAAGTTTATCGATTTCTTCTAAATTCTTGTCCTGTCTGGCCTCTTCTTCGTTCTTTGGTTCGCGATGGGACTCGCAGTCAATGCTATTTTCTGTTAAAGACTGATTTCCCATAATGGTTTGGTGTGCGTACGTATATGTATAACAAAAAAGAAGAAGAAGAAGAGAAAAAGATATATACAAAGTAATATTTTATATATCTAGTTTTATAGCTCTTGATTCTGAAAATGCAACTCTTTATTTTTGAAGGATGGTGTCATGTATTGCCTCTAATGGTAAGTATGTGTTTCCTTTTTTTTCTTGCTCTTATAGCTCCCGCTATGAGAATAATGACTGAAAGGATTCAACCACTGAAAAAGTCGGTCATTCTGTGACACTCTAATTTGTCTGTCATGCAAGAACCACACACACTATTAAGATTGACACAATTTTTAGAGTAAATTTTGTAACCAAAAGCTCATTAAAGATTTGTGAGTACAATTTTTTTTGGGGGGATGGGCTGAAAGTTAGATTTCTGTAACGGCCTTGAGTTCTGTGGCTAGCTTGTCAGGGACTTTTTGGCTATGTGTAATGCCTCAACAATAGCCCATCATCCCCAACTATTGTTCAAGAAAGGATGCAGGTTATATTTGATATACCCATTCTTGGTGCCAGTGCAGTAGTCAAATCTTGATCCGTGTACAAGCATACTATTATTGGCCATGTATTTCCGTATCTTGGTTTATTCGTTCGGAGCGCAACCCTTATTCGGGCTCTATCTGAATTTTGTCTTACCAAGTTCCGAGGACTGGGTACAAGAAAGGTGACTGATAAGAAGCTTTCACCATAAATTCAAAAAAAAAGTATAACTAATTCGAATTACACTCAGTCTATCACTCTCATTCTTCTTAATGCTTTCTCTCTCCAGATTTCGACTTCCTTTGGTAGCTATCCAACGCCGTTCCCTCACTACCAATACCAAAAGGGTCCGTGGCCCTCAACCTATTGCTTCTCATGAGGTTATCAATTTGGAGCTTGACATTAAGAATCCTGAAGCCAGTAAGCTTTTTTTTTCATATATACATATATATATATATATATATATCAAAAGATTAAACGATTGAATTATTATTAATCTTAATATTACTTTCAGAGAAAGTCTATACTGTTCGTCCTGTCACATTTTGGATGGATAAGGTCCTTGAGACCGAAAATAAGAAATCCTTGACCGATAATGTATTTGAAGATCGTCCCCAAATTATGAAAAAGGTACGGATGAAATAATTAGACGGATAGTATTCTAGGCATAAAACTCTAACTTTTAATATGATATGTATTATTTTTGAAAAAAAAAAGATGTCTGATAGTTATATTGAGGAACTTCTTCCTTTCAAATCATCTCCTGACCTACTCGATAAATATGTCACAGCAAAGGGAACCATTAGAATTGGCAAGATCCTTGAAGGTATAGACATTTTGACATTCTCCATTCCAAAACTAACACAATCTCTATTTGCAGATCTCGATGCCTTGGCAGGTGCAATCTCCTACAAGCACATTGATACTTTCACTCCAGGTCCTCCCGTCACAATTGTTACTGCATCTGTAGATCGCATGGAGATCCTCATGCCAAGCACTGTTGAAGACATGAAGATTTCAGGCCATGTGGCTTATGTAGGCAGTAGTAGTATGGAAGGTAAATTATATGCCGTACCCAATTGCAATACACACTACCCGATATTCTTTTCTTTTTTCTTTTCTTTTTTTTTTATATAATTGCCCTAGATAACTTACTCGTATTTGCTCACTGTATTTAGTATTTGCCAAGGTGGAAACAATTCCTCGATATGACCCCAGTAAACCCCACTTTTCTGAGTCGAACCCCGAATTCTCTATTACCAAGCCGACACCAAATACCGTTATCTTTGCTCGATTTACCATGGTAGCCAGAAACTCCATTACTGGAAAGGCTGTCAAGGTCAACCCTATGGTCCTCGAGAATGCTGAAGAGAAAAAGCTGTTTATGTATGCAGAAGGTAAACAATAGACATAAAAGTGTTTATATTTCATTATCGATTCTTATTGATGAAATTTATGAAATTGAATGTATTGATTAGATTGTAAAACAAGAAAGCGACTTGCTGGTGAAAAGGATTTAAGCAAAATCCCTCCCACTGCTGATGAGCGCTTAACAATTCATGACATCTATATAAAAAACTTGAAGGACGAAGGTAACGTAGATTGTCAGAATTTCAGGATAAATTATAGAGTGCTAAACTAAATTGATTAATCGAATAGAAACTGGACCCAACCCAAACACCGTGCCAATGGAAAGCACTTGTTTACAAAGTGTATTCCTGATGCAACCTCAGGTAAGTTCCAATCAACCAAAATATATTATATTATATTTCATTTTACTAATCTTATTTATATCTATTATATATTATACTATATGTATATGTAGAACCGCAACATTCAGAACAACGTGTTTGGTGGCTATGTATGTATACTACTGAGATCTGCACCCAATATCCAGAAATCATACTAACGTTATAATCCTTATAGCTTATGAGAAGAGCATATGAGCTTGCACACTCCACTGGTTCTATGCTTGTCAAGTCTCAAATCAGTTGCCTTGCTTTGGATGAGATTGTGTTTAAAAAGCCCGTTTCTGTCGGATCTTTGCTCAACCTGTCTTCAAAGGTTATTTATTCCCAAGGTGAACCTAGCAAATCCTTCCAAGTGAGCGTCACTGCTAGAGTCAATAATATCGAGGCTGGTACTTCTTATGTCACAAACACTTTCTTCTTCACCTTTGCAAGCAACGATAAGGCTGTGCCGAAAGTACTTCCAAAGACATACGCCGAGAGTATTCTGTACCTCGAGGGAAAGCGAAGACGGGAATATGGTCTTAAGGCCAAGAAATCACTGCTCGCATTGATGCAGGGCTCATCAGAATAAATTATGGCTTGTACGACTTTAGATTTTAATAGCTAAAAAAAATTCCTTTTATTTATTTATCCAAACCATCCAAAAGACCACACAAATACATTGCAACCATCGCATTTTTAGTCATCATTTTACTTTTTCATATCTTTCTTCTACTTCTTCTTCTACTACTCCTTTTTTTTACTATGTATTATTATTACTACTATTATTTGTACCCATAAACGAAAGAGTTTAGATGGTGCGTAAATGCATACAGGAAAGATTTACTATACAGAAATGTATATGATTATAATAGCCATACCTTCTATTTTTACTTGGGTTTCGGAATTTATTAAAGCACTCTGGTGAATATCCAATTCTCCTTAACAAAGCGTTGCTTTAAACTGGGAGGAATAAAGGAGATGGAAAATGTTTTTTCTTTCTTCAATCCGTTTCAAAAAAAAAAAAAAAGGCACTTTAATGAAACATAGACTTGTGGGGCACGACATTTTATCAAACAACTTAAGAATCCCGAAGTATTCCGACTGTCCGGCCCGAAATCTTGAGTCACATAACTTCTATCTCCTCTTTTTTTTCTATAGAAAATTCTGGACGTCACATGACTGTTAGCTTCCTCTCTGTATGTATGCAGCGTTGGGTAAAGTCAAAATAAAAGCATTAAATTAGAGAAAATATTTCACAGTAAAAGACCATAAGTATGATCTTGCAAATAAAATATAGTATGTCACATCTCTTAAAGTATATATTTCAATAAAAGTCTATATATTGACTATACTACACAGAAGAATAGGGGAAAAGAAAACCCTGAGAGCGCTTTTTATTTTATATACAAATATATATATTTATATATATATCTGGAGGACGTGCACCCGATTGCTTATCCGGGTCCAAAGTAAACCCGTACATGATATCAATAGTTTAATTGAATAGCTTGTTCCTCAATTCTGGGGTAGAAAAGAGTTGAGCTTATATTAATTATCAAACACCTTTTTTTTTGGCCTCTTATTCTTAATATTAATAAATAGATAAAGAATCTATAAACTGTCTGTAAAGCTGCTGGCTCTCTCGGAAATTATGAGCAATGGATAGCTGCTTATTAGGTGCTGCTTAAGCAGCAAATTTTCAGTCTAATGGCAGTTCATTTATTGTTAGTAGTGAATATCTGGATACCAAACCCCCATTCCGCGAACGTTGGTTTCCAACACATTTGCTGGTTACGGTACCTGATACAATGTACTACTTGTTCTGGGCTCTAGATTAAGACTGTGAGATTATCCTTAATACATTTTTTTGTCTTTAATGAGGTCATACCATTTCGAATAATCATATATGAATCGCACTTATATCTCTACAGAATTACATGCTAATATTACTTGTTTATAAAAACCGTTACACCAAGAGTCTGTATGTTCGGATAAGAATTAGTATATCAAATAAAAGATTGTTATTAATATAGATTTTTTTGTATGACTATAAAAAAGAAAGACTTATAATCATTTCTTTCTACGCTTTAGAATTTTCCTTTACTGTAACATTTTTTTTCAAAATATATATTTAAACAAGCAAATATCTACTCAATTGAACCTACAAATACCTTAGTTAAAGCTTTATATGATAATTATATATGGCATTGCAATTGCAAATTGAATTGTAAGTAAAATACTCGGTAGTACTTGGATTTTATTACTTTCAAGAAAATTTCTGACAAGCATTTTCTTTTATATATATATTAAATTGAAAAAAGTTCCAAGCAAAATGATTCCAAGTCCATTTAACTTTGATTTTGGTTTTACGGTTGTGTGAAGGCTATGCATTAAAAGCCATGAATTAAAGACCATGGACCTTTGGCATGGAGACAGTAGTCCTAGGATTGTGACCATTTTTGCCTGTCAGCCAAAAGTCACGCACCCCGTTGAAGCACAGTTAGTTGGGTCATTTCTTTTTTTTTTAAAAAAAAAGGAAAAACTTTGTACTTCACTTTCATTCCTCTTTCGCTCCTTTTCTTCTTTCTTCTTCTTCTGTATTATCGCACATTATAATGAACCCAGAAGAAGAGATTCTAAAAGCAAAGCGCGCGCTTCTCAAGTCGGCTGATTCGGAAAATATTCAGGTGAGATTCCTTTCTTCTTCTTTCTCTTACGGGGTTTTTTTTTATATATATGCTCGACATTACCGTTCTATGCATCGACCATTCATTCCACGCCAGAATGGATTGTCGCGTTTGAATGCTCCCAATTTTCAAAATCGAATAAAGAAAGGAAATATGAAAGAAAAAGGGAAAGAAAGAGTTAGTGATAGTGGGACAATATATTTCTACATGTTGGATTATAATTATGATTGGATATATTTATTGTATAAGATAAAAACAAAGCAAAATAGTTTCTGTATATACATTTTTTTATATGAATACTAGGGCGCAAAAAAAACAAGGTCTTTTGTATTGGAATGCAAAAAATTGTAGACATCTTTCTAGAATATTCTTTTATTGTTAATTGAGGGTATAAAGAGAAACTTTATATAATGAAATTTACTTTATTACTGTAAGATATTTAATCTAATGTGATATGTTACTTCTAGGATATTTTAGATATCATGAGTCGCTTGATGAAGATCAAGGCAACACAGGAATTATTGAGGGTAAAATAAGATTAAAATAGCCAAATAACAATCATAATAATTTTATCGCAACACAGTTCAGAATTTCTTTTTTCTTGATTTGCTGACATATACGAGTGGTTTAGAAAACAGACATTGGAAAGACTATGGGAAAACTTCGTACAAATCCAAATTCGGCTGTGTCACAAAAGGCAAAGGATGTAGTCAAGAAGTGGAAAGAAGATGTAATGGCAAATACAAGGGCCCGTGCTAGTAAGCCCAATCCTGTTAGCACGGATAGATCAGAAGGTAAGGTGATTTAGCCTACCGTGTGAGTGTGTTTGGGAGTGTGTGTGTGTGTAGATTCACTTATCCAAAGTTTAGCCCCTCCTGAACCATCGTCCAATACCAAGACTTCTGCGTCAGCCACTTCTTCACCAAAAACTCCCAGCTCAGAAGCTGGTCCACCTCGAACAGTGAAGACAGACGAGGTTGTATTCTCAACAACCGGAAATACACCGCGCGATAAAACAATTGAACTCATGTACTCTGCGGTAGCATTGGGAAGTTATGCAGGTAAAATATAATAAGAGAAGAGGTGAAAAATGACAGGTGTTTTTCTTTTTGGTTGCTAACTTAAGGGCAGACTCGGATCTATTGTTGAAAAGAGCACTAGCTATAGAAAAGGCTGTCTTCTCAGAATTCCAGATGATAAATGATGGTTACAAGGCCAAAGTACGATCTTTAGCGCTTAATTTGAAGAGTAAAATCAACCCTTCATTGAGAGAGAGCGTGGTGAGTGGAGAATTGGCTGTAAAGTCCCTGTGTACGATGAGCGTAGAGGTAAGTTTTAATAGACATGAATTCCAAGTCAGATGAAATGTGTATAGACTCAGTGAGGTTATTTTAGGATATGGCTTCAGAGGATGCCAAGGCTCGGGATCGTAAGCTTGCGGAAGAAGCCCTTTTCAAGGCTAGAGGCGCTGGATCGGCTCAAGCGGAGACAGACATGTTCATGTGTGGCAAATGCAAAGGCAGGAAATGTACATACTTTCAAATGCAAACTCGCAGTGCGGATGAGCCAATGACAACATTTGTTACCTGTGTTTTGTGTGGTAACCGCTGGAAGGTATATATAACATATATATATATATATTTACTTGGTGAGAGATCTAATGGACTGACTGGTTGTTGTTTTATATAGTTTTGTTAAAGTTATTAATTACATGAACTATAAAAAAAAACTAACTAACATTGATTATAAACCTATATATAAATATAATATATTTATATCTATATTTCTTCTTATAAAACTAAAGCTGGGGCTCTGTAGCTCAATTACATTCATTTAACGACAATACCCAGACCTGTATGCATTGGTGCAAGTATAAAGATGCACATTGAAGGGAACCAAAAGAAGAACAATTTATAGAAAAGGGCTAAGGGGTGGGAGGTAGAATGAATTCTGTGATGTCACACAGAGAAACAGATAATTGAAAACCACGCGTCCCATACGATTCCGCTCTTTCCTATCTTCCCCTCCTTTATTCTCAATGTCTAGCGATCTGGATACTATCCTTCGTGACCTTGAGAAACAAGTTCACGACTTCTCGCTGGTAAATACCTTTTAGCACCACCCTGTTGGGCACCTCGGCTTGTATTTCTATAGCCATGTTCTTTTTGACATATTAAGGACGGATATAGAAATTTGCCATGCTCAATGGGAACAAGCTTGCTCCATGTCACTCATGTCTGGAATCTCTTTCTCCCTTTCTCCCTTTCTCCCTTTCTTCCGCTTCTACCTTCCTTTTCCTTTTCTCTCTTTTTTATTTTCTTTGTCTTCCCTTCATCATCAACCTTTTCTATAGACGATGGATCCTCCTATTCCAATCAATACACACATTAGACGTTCACCCAGTTCTCGTCTGACCAATCCTGACAAAGGCAGTAATCCGAATCGTCCCCTGCAGTCTGCCCACACCATGCATGTACCCCCTATTACCCAGGCCAGGTTAAACCGCCCAGACTTCTCTCCGTCTCTTTCTGAAGACGAAGATAAGGGGCAATTTTATTCCACAAACGACGCAAACGATTCTAGTGATGATGATGTCTGCATCGCTAATCTTCAATCCGTAACACGTGCTCAGGACGACAAGTCCAAGGGCATGACCAGATCTAGATCAACTAGAGCTAATCGAGGGGGCATGGCAGGAGGGCTTGTACGCAGTGCAAGTGCCAGCTCACGAACATACAAACCACCGGCCCCCGAAGAATCTGCTCCACCTCTTCCTATAAGAGACACTGATGAAGACCTCAATCTTGTCATACAACGTGCTTGGGCATTATATGAACAGGGTCCTTATGATGAACCAGTTGCAGTAGAATCAGCACCGTCTGTACTACCCGAAACAGTAGAAGAGCTAACTACAACTCCTGACATTTCCAAACCCATAAGAGCCCAACAATCATCACCACCACCACCACAACAACAACAACAACAGCAGCAGCAGCAGCAGCAACAACAACAACAACAACAACAACAACAACAACAACAACAACAACAACAACAACAACAACAACAGCAGCAGCAGCAGCAGCATCAACAACAAGCACCTTTACAACAAATTCAACCGAAACGTACATTAACTACACGCATCTACATTGATGATGCAAAAACACACAAAACTGTGCAATTGACTAATTTATTGACGACTGCAATGGTAATTCAGTACTTGAGAAAGAAAGGGCTCATTGACATGAGTGAAGGATGGGCACTCTTTGAGATTGCCAATAGCCATGGTGTTGGTAAGTGTATTTGAAGCATTCTTTATAGACCTAGCTCTGACCATCTTATCGTTCTAGAACGCCCGTTGAGAGAGTGGGAGTTAGTATTGGAGGTTGTGGAATGCTGGGGGCCAGACGCCAACAACGCCCTGTTGGTAAAGAAGTATGCATATCACAACTCCCTGACAGCAGAGGTATGGCAAACCCTACATGTATTCAGGTACTGACATGAGTTTAGAGCCTTTTACAGAAGCGTCACCCTCCCATGCACGGGTATGTTTCGATAGAATATAAAAAGGGGAAATGGCAAAAGAGATTCTGCTATATCAAAGACAATGCAATTCACCATGCCAAAGACACCAAGGTGAGAGTCACCTTTATTATTATTATTATTATTATTATTATTATTATTATTCATTCATTCATTCATTCATTATTCCATTCTTTCTTTATTTTATTTATTTATTTATCTATTTTTTCTTTTAATATATTCCTTTATTTTTTCTTGATTTTATATTCTCAATTTATTATACATATATTCTTTTAATTGAGTTGAATTGGTGCGTTCTCGGTGTTGTATTTGAAAATGTTTAACAGGTTGTTGTTTTCAGGGGAATGGATCAGCCATTCTGTGCTACTTGGCGACGTTTGATGTGTACACTCTACTCCCCCAACAGTCGCGTAGTGCACCATCAGGTTATGTATTTGCGCTGCGGGCCCAAGACAAGGACTCGATCTTTGAGCGAGAAGAAGATTACATGCGGTTACTGGCAGTTGAGGATCAGGAAGCCATGAAGGACTGGGTTCTTAGCATTCGCTGCACAAAGGTACAGAGGGAGAATACATATATATATATATATATATGTATATGTATACATGGGACAAATATAACTGACAGGAGGTGTGTAGAGTTTGATTGATCACCAGTACCATCCTCAGCGTGTCATCAACCCCCTTGCACCAATCCAAGCACCTGTGCAAGCTTCGTACGATCATCAGTGGTCCGCCACAGACAATTCAGTCAAGCCTGCCGATCCAGTCGATGCAGGTTCACCACGTCTCCGAAGAGCCCTGACTTCTCGCACGCCTGATTGCAAGAGTGATCAGAGCGGAGATGAGGGCTATGGCACCACGTCTTTTCTCCGTCGTCAAAAGTCAACACGCGATGTAAAGCCTGCAACCCTGGTTGACGAACATACAAAACATCAGCAAACTTCTTCATCTGGTCTTCATCGCAGTGAGTCCAGTCGCCGGATTGACGAGAAACGCGGCAGGGGTCTTAGCCGAGGTCTATCTCGCAGCACAACCATGAGGGGTAGAGAAGAAGGAGGTCTTGGATCCGCGATACCGGACAGTCCGCTCATTGATTACACAGAGCCTTCTACTTTTGCAAAGGGCTCTCTCCTCGGAAAGGATGGTGAAGAGCATACGACTGGCAGACTCCAAGATGACGCACATGCCGCTAGTGTCGCTGCTGCCAACAATACCTTAATTCAAATCAACGACAAGGTCAAATTCTCCAAAGGATCACTACTCGAACGTAACGAGTCAACCCATGCAAAAATTGGGCGTTCGAAAAGCACACGCGAACATCATGCCCCTCCTTCCTCTTCCTCTGTTTCTTCTGCTGCCGCTGCTGCTTCTTCTTCTGTCGCCACGGCTTCTGCTTCTGCTTCTTCTGCTGCCGATACCCAACCCACAAACGAACTGCGTCAACACATGTCCCTTCGTCGTAAACTTACCTCCTCTAAGGATAGAGAACGGTCCCGACATCACGAGAACCTTGCTCCTACAATGCCCTCTTCTTCACCTTCTTCCTCAAATGTGTCAGCCACAGCTTCTCCTGTATTGGGTGCAACTGTCTCTGGAGGTATTGCACCATCTGCCACTTCACATGGACCTCTTCTTCAACTGGATGGTACACCAGAGCAGATACACACCAAGAAGTTGCTGGGTAGACAGATGAAACCCCTCCTGAATTTTGCTGACTCTGATGATAAGGGTCGCCGATAAGCAAAACAAAAACAACACATCAATGCTTTCCTCTGTGTCTTTTTTTTTATAACAAACTTTCTAGATTGTCTTTTGTGGTTTTTACCATTTTGTTTTGAAAAATAAATATTTAAATAAAATATAGGGTTAAAAATTTTTTTAAAGAAAAAAGAGTACACACACACACACACACACAGACAGAAAGAAAGAGAGAGAGAGAGAGAGAGAGAGAGAAGCAGTAAAACAACTGCCTCACAAATATAACATTATTTGACTGCCTTGTGACAGGCAACTCATCTTCATCATGGATCCTCATGATCTATCTATCATTAGCCGTTCATTAGCTAATCACGAAATACTAGCTGATGATGTCTTGACGAATCTCGATTGGGTAATATTCTCCTTCTACCCTTATCTCCCACCTTCTCCTTTACCCTTTCCCCTTCCCCTCTCTCTGCGCTTTATTCTTTCTTTCTTTTTTCTTTTCTTTTGTTTGTCTCATTCATTCAGCTTACAGGTTACATAAATTTTTAAATATGCTTTTAGAGAACTGTACTTGAATCTCCAGACCCTTTTTGCGTATTTTCTGCAAGCCAACTTTTCAGACAGATCATTGAACATGACAGCAATGTAAACATTCTTCCCAGTTGTTTATTATAATTATAATTGTTTTTTTTTTCTTTTTTTTTTTCTAAAGTATATGTATATAATTATTTTTATTTATTTTTTGTTCAAAATTGCTACTACTGTTATTATTATTATTACAAGTATAGTCAAATACAAGAAGATCTGCTCTGAAAATATGGATAGATACTGCCGTCAGCCAAGTTTACGTAGACAACTTGGGTTCATACCTTGAATTATTCCACAGCTTGCTTAAACGTACAAGGAAACTAAAAGACGGTATAGAAGAAAGCAATATATCATCAGACCCAGGTTATATTCTATTGTCTGTTCTTGCTACGAATCCAAAAACAAATGAATGGATTCAAAGTAGCCTAGAAATTCAACATCAAGTAAGAATAATTACAAGCATTTTTTTTTTTTAAAAAAAAGATAAATACGTTATTAGATTTCTGGCTAAAGAAAACCAAGAAATAAAAATTAAGCTTTTAATTTTAATTTTAATTTAATTTAATTTAATTTTTATTTTTATTAGGAAAAAATAGTTCCACTACTGGTCTGTCTTATTGATATTGTCAAGTTGGCCGGTCTATTTGAATACAAAAACTCTCTGGTATATAGTCAACAGGGTCGAGATTACTGCCAGGCTATCATTCATTCTATAAAGGCGCATTTGAAGCAAGTGTATCCTTATTGGAGATCCCAATCAATTGCAGTCGTAAGGAAATCCATGGAGCTTGTTCGACGTATACTAGAGCGCGAAGGAGACACACAGATGGTAATACTAACAGGATGGAAGTAATTTATCACTTTGGTGATAATATAGCTTTTAGGTCTACTTTACTAATATCTGTGTATTTATATACATCTATCAGGTAGTCGCTACGTTGAATGATATATTATCGTATTCAGATTTCTTGAATCGCCGGGGTTTTTCATACGATCATTTATTGACCATGCAACAAACTGACCGGACTGAATTTTTTTACGAGCCGTTTGTAAGAACCAAAAGTGTATTGGCAGTGGACCGAGAATGCTTGAAGCAGATCATCTCAATTACATTTGTCTCCATTTCACGCCTGTTGGACAGTACCCAGACTCCAAAAAAGGAAGAAATGGATACCACATATGAAGCTTTGGTAGAAATCTTTAACCGTTTACAAGGTAAATGATTTTTCTTTCTTTTTGGCACACTTGTCACTAATCTGTATGTATATATAACATCAATAGGGTATCATGAAAGGTTGCCTGATAACGGAATTCTCGAACTTTTATTTGACATTTATGGAAACAATGATGAAGATGCTATTTATCAACAGATTTGTATCCTTGATGTATACACTGCCATTGAACTCCAAGTTAAACACGAAGCTGGGTCAACAAAGAATATTATGACAAGGTAATAAACATAATCTATCAATTGTGTCTACAGAAGAAGCTCAACTACTTTTTTTAAAAAAAAATGAAATAGAGAACAACTCAAAGTGGTTTGTCTGTTGAAAGAAATACTGTCTTTGCTGGATATTTCACCCCATAATCTATTTCTCTATTTCTTGTACAAGACTGGGATGGACCATGGAATACTAGTGGATCTGTTGATTTCTAACGAAACGGACTTTTTAAGCTTCTTTGTTCGTTATCTAAAATACATTGCCCATCAACCAGATGAGTTTGTAAAAGCATGTATAAACTTGCTAAATGATGAACATGAAGAAGAAGAAGAAGATGAAAGTGAATATGAGGATGATGACCCGGAAAATGGGTTGGAGATGATATCCAGTATATTTCATAATTTAATATCAGTACTTACTTCAGAGGGATTTCCGTACAATCCCACTGCTTTAATACATCGGATACTTTATGTGACAAACTACATAGACAATATTCTCAACGCTTCCACTTCCACAAATAAATAAATAAATAAATAAATAAATGGATATATGTATGGTTCAATTAGAAGATAACTACCAAACTATAAAGGTAATTTTTCGAAAGCATACAACTTTGGTAAAAATTACATAAATAAAAAGCTGGCAAATAAAATGAGACATAATGCTATTCTTATGGTATTTCTCCGGTTTAATGCGTACAGCTTTAAGTATCTAAAAAAAAAGATACTCTTTCAAAGTTTGGATGTTTTGGTAGATTTATGAAAATAAGCTTTTGTTTTTCTTGAAGATATTGAAGCACTGGAGCTCTTATAGACGGAGTGTAAATACCGCCCACCAAGAAAGGAAGGTCATGTGAGCTAGAAAGCAGCTAGATTTTGAGGTTCACAGTTTTTTTTTCTTATAATTAACGGAGATCAAATATCACCATATTTTTTAAAAAAAAAATCACAGAAGAAATTGAAACAAATCTGAAAAAGTTTAATATTTATACCAGAATACATTATAAAAAAATAAAAATTTATAAAAAATCTTTATATAAATAAATATAAAGGAAAGGGCAACAAGACTTTGTTTTGATTTGTTTTGATCCGTTTCGTTTCATTCCGTTTCGTTTCGTTCCATTGAAAACATAAAAGGATAAGTTTAAAATGAATTATTAGAAATGAACATGGTAACTTGTGAATTCTAACTAAACAAGAGACTTCTTTATGCAACCAAGAAAATGAACACAAAATGGAGAAAGGCAAAGGCAAAGGGAAAGGGAAATAAAGAAAGAAAAAAAGAAAAAAAAAGGAAAGGGAGGGAGAGGGGGGAAGAATTTTTGTAAGCCACGTTTAGCTTTCTACCGACCACGTTTCTTCCTCTTTTTTTTTGGATTGTTATTGTTGTGTATTCCTAAGGTTCTTCTTCAGAGTCATCATAATCAGATGCTGACTGAGAAGAGGAGCCGTCGTCTTCGGCCGTATATGCACCAGAATAATGGCGAATCTTGTCAGCCATGTCGCGTCGCTGGATACGTCTGCTGTAAGACTCATCACCATAGTCGAGTTGAGGTTCTTGGATATCCAGTGTCTCGACAGGTTGTTGACCAGCCAGGAAATTCTCCACAGCAATGAGTTTTTTAAAGAAGTTGGTGATGTTTACTAGCATGGGGTTTAGTTGAACAATGACCTGTTCAGACACACCAGTGGATCCAATCTCTCGTCCAAAGAACATTGGGTCATCTATAGGTATAGGTGCTCCAAATGCAACAGGAGAAAGGACGGCAAGAGTCAGAACAATAAAAGAAAACCGCATGATAAAACAAAGAGAAGGAGAGAAAGAGATGATATTCTCCAAAAATAAAGAACACACAAGAACACAAAAAGATAGAAGAGTTGATTTTTTTTTCTTTCTTTTGTTATGTAGAAATAAAGGGCACTAATATCATCCTTCTTGTGTGTTTTTGGTTTGGTTTATTTTGCTTTTTTAATATTATTATTATTATTATTGGGGACATTTCAAATGGCTCCAATGGTCGAGTCTGAAAGTGGTTAATACGGGAGCTATTTCAACTATAGACAGAAGGAGAGGACACACACACATATATATATATATATGTGTGTGTGTGTGTGTGTGTGCGAATAGAAAAAAAGGGGGGAGGGAATAACGAAGGGGAAGAAGAAGACACATAAAAAACACTTCTTTTTTTGGTTATTATGATTGCTTTAGTTTATTGGCTGATACTTTGGTCAGTGGCTTTCTTTGGAGACTCGTGGTCAACAACGACAATGGGAGACATCATTACTAACTCCTGCTTCTCTATTTCGGTGGGTGGGAGAGACTCCTCAAGCCAGTCAGATATGAACATGCCGGCTGTTGCAAAAGCCATGCCAGCTAAAAGTAATGAGTGTCAGTTAAATTAGTAAAATAGATAAATAAGAAAACTTGAATTTGAAAAGAAAATAATAGAACATACCAACGCCAATTGAAACACGTGTGCGAGGGTTGAGTGCCTTGTAGGATTCCCACAATGTCTTTCGCTGCATGACTATACCTTTGACATTTCAAAACAATAAAAATAAATAAATAAATGGACTTCTTGAAAGGGAATTGTAAGTCACGTGAATAACTCAATTGGCTTGAAAGATAGTAGTGGTTGCCCTTTTTTGTTTTGTTTTAAATAATGATACCACTACTACTACAGCTACTACTAATACTAATACTAATACTAATACTAATACTATTACTACTAATACATTCAGTAGTGGTTTTTGATACGATTTTGTCAATATTAAAAAAAAATTGATAGACATAGTCCCTTTGAATAACCCTGGCCTGGTAACCTTGAAATTAGATCACAATAATGTATTCTTTTCTCTTAATGACCAAGGGATATTCACTTGTGACACCATTCGTAAGTATGTACCACTTGTAAAATCGTAAGAGCTGAAAGTATATAATAAATATCTACAATACAATACAATACAATACAATACTTCATGGTTATCAGAATCAAATTTATATATATATATATATATGTATATATTATAGAAGCAATTATTATCATCAAAACATGACATACTTCTTGTTAATCACCATCCAAGTCACCGCTTCTTTCTCATAGTAAAATAAGCAGCAGTGCCTATCTTTTTTCTTTATAAAGAAAAGGCCCAAAACAAGATATATATATGCATGTAATTATGTAATTGCTCTTTAATACCATCACTCCTTTTTATTAAACAACATAAATTAACCATAGACTGATTTGCCATGTTTCTGATTATGTGCCTTTCTCATGTTGTCTTGTCTGTAATTAATTGATTTACAAATGAAATGATTGTATTGTATTGTGAGTAAAGACCTATTGACATATTTTCGTATATAATGCATTGAAATACAGTGGAATGTAATTGATAAAAACGGTTATGTTGTATATCATCAAAAATCTAATCTGAAAATCAATTGAGGCAAGACTGTCATTATTATTTCAAAGAAAGAGTTTGGGATACACACTAAAAAGCAAGAACATATTCTGATCCCCTTGATCCCTAGCATTTCGAACATAAAAGACGTAAGTACACCGATCTCTTTAAAACATATTAAAAACAGATATAAAATCAACGATCTTGGCACTTTTCTAAAGTCCAATAGATAATCTTGTTTAGGAACCAAGTCAGCGAGAACAACAAAAGATATTGAAGATAGCAACTAGACTATCTAGCACGCTAACCACACCAAGGATCTATGGAATTATAATACAAAAACAAAAAAGCCAAATCAAACCAAAGTCGATTTATTGTTTGATTGCCTGTTTTAATTGTGGCTCACTATGCTGGACCTTGTTACTTTAACTTTATAAAGTTTAATTGCTTTAATACTCAATACTCAAATCTATTAATTTTATTTCAATTTTGAAGACTTGGACAAGCTAATGATAAGCTGATTGAAATATAAGTATTGGATTTGCATTCTCCAAGTTATTTTATTTTACTTTGGCTTTATGCAGTTCATGTGGACTTTGCGTTTAGATCATTATTATTATTATTATCATTTTGAAAATCGAAGAAGGAATGTTGTAATAAGTAGCTGGTGATTTTATTCTATAATATATCCAGTGTGGTTACCTAAAGGGAGAAGGGGACTTTGAGAAGTAGTGTTTTGTTTTCTTTATGTGAATAATCTCAAAGAATATAATACCAAAGCAAGCAAATCCAATTATTCTGTTTTACTATGTATTTTAGGTTATATTAAGTTATCCAGACATCATCCATAGTATATTTGACCTATGTTAAAGAAAGATATCTTATAAAGTCTCTATCATATCTGTAGGTACCAATATTCGGATAACATGACTGGTGTCTGTTGTATGACCAGAATAAGTAAAGGAGGAAAGAGGGGCAAGATAGGTGTGTATGAAACAATGATGTCTATGGCGAAGATAATCAAATGTGTTTATGTAATAATAATGTCTGAAACCTCTCCTTCTTCCACCCCTTCTTTCTAATAGTCCATCTGATAAATATGTCAAGAAATTGTTAATTAAAATAAAATAATGAATTTGTATTTGTCGTAGTGTATCAAGTATCTCTGGATGTTAATAATTTTAACGGCTTTGGCGATAATAGTTCAAGTACTTTATTTATTTATTTTGAAGGCAATTCAATAATGACGGATTAGACATATTGCTACTATGTTTCAGATAGGAGCTTCATATTTGGCCTGGATAATCATTTATATCAATCTTTTTGACAGGTACTCTTTTTTTTTGTCTGGACTTGCTATTCTTCTCACAGCTCCCAAACTAGATATCTTTTTGCAAGTGTACTGCAGTGGCGTGACAAAGTTTTCAAAGGCACACTTTTGAATCATTATTTTGCAATTAATTTCTTACTGTTACATTGCTCTATATTTAATTTTCATAGTTGTTCACTAGTAAAGGAAAAAAAGTTGCTTAGCAATGTATACAGTATTAATGAAAAATAATAGACCAGTAAGGCACGACAGATGATCTACACTGTGATCTACACAATTTTGTTTTTGCTTTAATTTTAATTTTAATTTTAATTTTTGAATTGTACAAAAGTAGTTACGGATGAAGCCGGGCAGACACAAGGTACAATGCAATCAACCAAGAGAACTTGAAAATACTAGGTCAAAAACTGACTGAACTATCAAATAACTGCTATATATACATGCTCTCAATTTCGGGTTGGTTAAAGACAGAAAAAGTACAAGAAATAATTAAAGAAGGATGAAATGTATTATGTAGGGTATCAATCCAAGGCTCTGTAAAGGAGACCACGGAAGAAACAGGAGACATAAAAAGAGTCGGTAGGAAACAGAGCCAAAGAATATAATCTTGACATTTCCAAAAAAGAAAAAAAAGAAAAAGGTGATAGTAGGACTGTGGGTTAATCGGATAGTCATAGGATATATTGAAAGTAAGTTAGAGGCAGGTTGGAGGCATTGATCATGCGTACATAGTGAACATATGCAAGATTTTAAAACTCCATTAAAACATGATAATGAATGTTCACACGACAGTCTAGGTCCACTCTCAGAGGCGAATTGGCAGGTGAAAGGAAAATGTGGAGAGATTGAGGTTGAGGTTGAGGGCTATAGAATCAAGCTCTCTCGCCTTGAGAATCAACCGTAATTATGATTATTTTGCCACATGGATTCCGTAAGTTTCATATGAGGTGTACAAGCTTTATCCAACAAAAAGTATAATGACTCTATAGATATTATTAACAATAGTGTTGACATTTGCCCAATAAAGAGAAATACAGCCCAGAGATATAAAAGTGCAATTTCTTTGTAATATGAATATTTTTGCTCTTGTTGAAAAGTAGCATTGGTTTTTCCGTGAATTTTTTTTTTATAAATGTATTCCAAGTGTGGCTTCTTTGATTTTGTATCTCAACCGATACTTTTATTTGCTTGCTTGTTTATCGATGTAGCGCAGAATGATTTGGAGACACCAAATATTCGGATAAAATTACCGGCATCATATATATTACCAAAAATAGGAAAAGAGGAGAAGGATAAGGAATAAATTTTGTGCATTAAAAAATATATATATATATATATATATATATAAACAATTTTCATAAAAATGTATTCAAATGCTGTCTAATTTATTCTTATAATTATTTCATATGTGCTATAAGAATCTTCTTTGGCTATCAAGCCACTATAGATATGTCGATTGAAATACTAAATTAAATTAAGTCAAGTCAAGTCAGACTTACTATGATTTGATAAAGATCTTTGTTCTCCTTTGTAACGAATAGTATTGTTATCAGAAGGCGGGCCGAAGTATCTCCCACGACCAAAAACAAATAGATTCAATAATAATAGTTATTTGGCCAATTAGAATCTTACTCAAATAAACACACACTATACGTACTATACAGAAAGAGAAATAGAAATAGAAATAGGAAGCGAGATTATATATGTACAAGAGTATAAAAGTATAAATACGTGTATATCCTTTTTCTATAAAACTTCATTTTTATATACAAAATTTTATATATACACAGAAAGTGGAAAAACTAGGCTCTACAATTACAACTAGTTACAAATAATTGCAGGTTGTGTGTATGTCGTTTGAGTGATATTCTTGTGTGATCTAATAGGATCTCCGGTACAGAATAAATAATAATAATACTTTTGCTTCCTTAATTACTATTATTATTAGATGATTAGACGTAGAGAGAAAATGGGAATCTTTATCTGAAATACTAAATAATGTATATCAAAGGATATCAAAGTTCATGTAACCAAAAAATAAAATAAAATAAAAAACACATTTGACGTAGATCAATTCTAGGAGGAAATCTTGACACAAAATTGATCTTTTTTTTTTATTATCTTTCTTTTCAATTCCGGTGTCCGGCCGAAAAAATAGTGCATTGTAATCTGGAACACATGAAATTATATGTTTTTTTCTCTTTCTGATATCCTAACAGAGAAAGCCTCTAACCCCAACTATATGCAGCTAAAAAAAAAAGGCAAATACTTGATGACATTTTGTTCCAATCATTCTATAGAAAGTTATATAGAAGCAAAGGCGTATTTGATTAATTATTCTAGAGTATATTACATTTATGACTACTGCGACAGTTACATAATAATAAAAAAATCAAAAAGTGCCTGATCTGCCCCAGGCTCCAACTTATTACTAAGGAGTAGAAAACATATATAAAAGAACATTATTTTGAGTCATGTAAGACGTACACTGTTCAGTTTTGAAAAGTGCACCCTATTGGCTCTTTTACCAAGTAAAAGATATGATTGGCCAAATGGTGGTACAATGAATATAAAAAAGATGCGGGCCGGTCATCCAGAAGGAATAATAATAACAATAATCAAAGAAGGGAAAAAGGCTGTTTGAAATATCCTAATTTTTTTGGGTTCTTCTTTTGGATAGTTAGAATCTTGATTTGAACTGTATTGATTCGATCTCTGGTGGTGATATTATGTATGTAGTTTGGGTGCAAGAAATAAACAATAGAAACCCATTAAACTTTCAATTCTATTTTGTAGAAATGAATTCATTTTTATTTTAATTAATTTTTTAAAAAATTACTGAAAGACTCTCAAGAGCAAAGAGCCCAATAGGTTATTTGGGCTAATTTTCTTTGCCACATTAATCTATAGGTATTTATACCCGTATCCGTGTCTGAATGCTTCTTCTTTGTACATTTGTATATTTGTTGATCATAATCCCTTATCCCTTATATATAAATATACTTATCATTATAGCTAAAGGAACATTAGCATTCATTACTTGACCATATTATTCGTCCAGTCAGTCAATTAAAGGAAAATAATAAATAAAAAATCTTTGCCCGGATGTGCAAATTACTGTTGCACAAGAAATAAAGAAGGCTTTATATTACGTTATATACACATCTTATTCTTATTATTATTATTTCTACTATCATCATAATCATCACCAAAAGACCGTCTTGAATAAAGGTTTTTATATATATATATATATAAAATAAATAGATTTCATTTCCAAAGAAGCTGCTTTCTACAGACTTCAATTGCCCAGTGTCTAGTATATACTTTTATAATATCTATTATACTATACTATATGGACTGTGTGTAAGCCTACAAATACAAAGATAGACTGTGCAACGATGAATATAAATACATACGTATTTCACTAAATGGAAATCTTAACATGTGTGTACACCTAACACCAGAGCGATTCGAATTGACTCGATTAGGAAGCTTAGACACGAATCATTTATATATATTTATTTCTCTTTCTTTCTTTTACATTCTGCCCTCTCTTTCTGTCATCAATATTTATTTAATTATTTAATTTTGGTTTTGTTTTGTTTTTTGAGAATGGGAGGCTCATTACCAAAGACCATTCCACCACTTGCCTTGGTTCCCTTTGCCATGATACAAGCCCACGTCTTTTGGTTTTGCTCTGTAGTCTGGCTACTCTACAACAACTTTTCTTCTTCATCTTCCAATACTACTCTCATGATCGAACCTGCTTACAACAAACCCAAACCCAAAAATAAAGACACCCTACCTTTACAAAGAACAATAAAAATCCTTGAAGATAAAAGCAATAATACTATTCATAAAAAACAAAGACCCCGTTCGTTTTCCGAACCACCTTGTAACCAAATACCAATCACTCCCCTAAGACCCAAACGAATCCAATTCAACACAAGTCTAAGCTCTCTTCCTGAAACAAATGCAGACTCAGATCCAGGACCTCGAAGACCAAGACAACGGCGACTCTTTCGTGTCTTTTCAACACACACCCAGTCACAATCACACCTACATCCACAAGAACAACAATCTATCATACCAGAAAATACAATGTCTTCGGCAGTCGCCCTCATGCGACCCAACAGACTTGACGAACGCATCGGAAAAACATGCCCGCCTCTCTGGTGGCAAAAGACACGTTTACAGATTGACATGAAAAAACAATCTTTACCCACAGAGGTACCAGTATTGGTACTGGCACCAGTTCACCTACACGATAACCACGAGAATGTGATAGAGTCAGCCGCAGCTAGAAAGTCCACCGACTCTGCAATCTCTGTCGAATCAGGCGCTACTCTGATATCTTCATCACCATTTCCTCAACCTCATTCTTCTCCTTCTCCTCTCCCTTCTCCTGCAATCCTTAGTCGTAGTGCACGTACAGCCAGCATGCTCCGTTCGAAATTTACTCCAAAATCACATCAGCAGCAACAACAAAATACTCTATCCTACCAATCTGCAGATAATGCGCATCATTTTGTGGAACCCACGCAAGTCACCAAGAAGCATCGACGAGCAACGATCCTGGGAATCACCAGACGATTTTCTCGCACCGCACCAAAAGCAGCAACAACAACAGAGGAGGACCCAGCTGAAACTGTTAGTGATCGTGATCAAATTGACACCGCAGAAAGGTCTCCTAGGCGCAAGGTGTTTAGTCGGATGTCCAGATGGAAAAAGTCCAAGAGATTATCATTTGAGCAATAATATCATATTTTATTCACAATTACTTATGTACATATACTTTACACTTACACTTACACTGACACTGACATACATACATACTCACATATATATATATATATATTCCTTTCTTTCTTTCTTTCTTTATTACCCTGTATAAATTCTCACTTTTTTCTTGTTCTTTCATATCATTTATATATATATAAAGCTACATACTATAATGCCCTAGAAGGCAAAACGGCAAAACACCAAAAACAATGTGTATTATAATATCCATTTTCTTATTATTTGATTAAATTGCTTGTGATTATATATGATAGCAGTCTTTGTCTCTCTTTCTTTCTCTTTCTGTGTGTGTGTAGGTGTGTGGGGTCAGTTGGTTGGTTCGGTTCAATTTGGTTCAACATTTATCTATCCAAACTAAGCATTAATAGAAAAAAAACATTGAAGAAAGATTATCCTTGTGTGTCATAGAATGAGGTCGATGAAGAAATATAAAGTAAAATTGCAGCCACAATACATTCTAGATATCCAGACTCCTCAGTGAAATGACAAAACATCTTTTTTTAAGCTTCTGTCAAAAAGAGAAAATAAAATCAAACATCCTTAACCTTCCCCTTTATTATATATATATATATTTACTTTTAAAGACCATTCTTTAAAAACAATTGAAATAAATATGAGCTATCTGATTGCCATACCATTTAACGCATCATTGACTATTTTAAAGTAATAAGAATGAGTTTCCTTATCTCAAAGAGCATCATATTGCTGCTAAATATACTCCCTGCAAGATCTTCCTTTCAAATAGCTGCATATACCCATATCTTCGAAATTGTTAATCTCTGGTTTTAGTGGATTATAAATCATCCTGTCTTTTCCAAAGTGGGGGTTAATGATGCATCATGATGAGAATCACCGGCAATGAACTTCTTTTTCACAATATAAGAGCTCTTTTTGTTCGTTAAGAATATTTTGAGTCATTTACTGAGACATTGTGAGATTTGAATGAGAAAAGCCTTTTTTTTTTGTTAAAAAAGAATCACAGTAACTATGCATTAAAGGTGTTCTATTTAGTTGAGTTTGAAAAGGTTTCTTTCATTTGTTGTATGTGTTATTATAGGGGGTTTCACCAGCTCTGGACGCTTGACTGTTGGATGTAGCGGTGATTTAATTCGAAAAATGATTGGCCGTGGCGAATCTTCAAAAAATGAGAAACGAGCATCCAAGCATCTAAGAAAATGGTTCACCACTAGATGTCCGTGACTTGGCCAAAATTTGTAAAAGATTGTACTTTATGTACAATTGATGGCAAATTTCATAGAAAAGTAGAAGTCAAAAATAAAGCATAATCAATCTATGTAAGAGTAGCTACCTTAATACCAAATTAGACAGTTCTAACTTACTTGTAGGGAATTTGGATATGAGCACTATATTTATGGGCACTCTAATCAAGCGTATTGCACATCTGAATGTTGAAGCATATGAGAGAAAGCATATCAACAAAGAGACATTATTGGTATTCAATAGTATTTTACGGTATTAGTTAGTTGGACGGTGCTTAAACTACTAATACATCCAACAGTCAAGCATCCAGAATTGGTAAAACCACCTATAGGGTAAAGTTCTTTGGATTGAAAATCTAATGTATTATCATCTAATGCTAGAATAGTACGTATATTATGAGAAAAGCGTAGTTTTATAATCTAGACATATTTCACATAATTTTTGAATCATTATTCTTTACATTTGAAAAGGTGAGACGGGTTGTGATGGTTTATGTAAAGAAGTAACCCAAACGGCTAACAGAAAAAAGAGAATAGATATCAATCTCCTCTATCATATCCTTAGCCCAAATCTTGGCCTTTTGCAGCTTGTTCTCTCAAGAAAGATAAAGAGAAAGAAATAGAAATAGATAGATATTATTGTGTTTAATTCTTACAATTCTTGCGCCTTTTAATTGATTTCTTCGCCAGTTATAAGAATTATATTCTTCTTGCGGCCACGACTTGAGCAATCTGTTTACATAATTGATACAAAGAAAAAGATTTAGAAAGATATGATACATGTGTGTCAGCCGGAAGATCAAAGACATACGTAATGAACTAATGAAAATGAAGAATCTTCTATTTATATAAGCTCTCAATGAAGATAAAGATAGCTAATATATCTACTAATATAATGCTCACTATCACGAGTTTAATATTGCATACGAGTGGAAGAAATTTCATGATTTTATAGTAATAGTAAGGCTGTCAAGTAGCCCAGATTTTAGCTCTATAGAGATCTCATAAGAATATTCCACCAGAAGAGTGAAAAAGAAAAAAGAGGTTAATCTTCAAAAACTTTTAAGGAGGTGGCGGTTATTACCTATATGGAATAAAACAACACTCGGGTTGGTGTTTGTAATATTAAGTGCATGTCAATGCCTAATTGCGTGGCAATGCCTAATTGCATGTGAATGCTTAATTGCATACATGAGATGAAGAAAGTTAATGAAACGTCATCAAACTATTGATTTTTTTTAAAGAAAAACTGTACCTTTGTATTTATATGTTTTTAGGCATGAGTTGTCAAGTGAAAGAAGATCGGCTAAACCAAGAATGCTAAAGAAGTTGTATTATTGATATATTAGAATTTAATAAGTATGATGACTATTGTTGGTACGAGTCTATATATACATATACATACCTTGCTTGTAAGAAAATAAAAAAATTCAAACAGATCTCAGTACTGAATATTGTATTAAAATATTCGTTCGTCTGTTTTTAAAGTGTATCCGATTTATCCCAAAAAGTAAAAAATAAAGATTTTTTTGTCAAGACCTGCGCTTGAAGGCCGATCCACTCAAGTTTACACCCAAGCTTCTCAACAACCCTCATTCCTGCCTACTCGGCATGGCATCAAATTTACCATGACGGCAAAGTATTGGTGAAATGCTTTAATGCCAAACTGCTCGGGACAGGTGTCTGAGACACCCAAGTGAACAGCATAGCATTTACTTAGGCACCTTAACTTTGCTTCGGGTTCGTCCCTCATATCCAGTTCTGTTTACCAGAGCGTGGGTTACAAGTATCAAAGACTAAGCAGAGAGTGACTTGAAAAGCACAGGGATCGTTTCAACAGGAAGCAGTAAAATACAGGAGATCGTACTGGTTAATCCATCTGCATTACTTCACGTCCAGGTGCTCAACGAATTTAAAAAAACTCTACGCATCCAGGTGATACACCCTTATACTTGCACCTTTCTGTGACAATCTTGACCGGCCCCGAAGGACAAAATCTGGAGAGCCAATATCCAACGTCCTAAGAAAATAGCATAAAGCTACCTCTGCGTTCCTCAGTCCCCTCCATGTTATGTGCCGCACAACACAGAAAAAACTGACGTGGATCTCATCCGGCTTTCGCCTTCATATGACTGACTCAGGAAGGTCTTTAACACCAGTTATGCTCTACACTAAGAGCTACTTTCCCTGACGGTACTTGTGATCAGTTGGTTTTTTATAAATAAGTTTAGCCTTCGATGAAACTTTTCACCGGGATTAGGGAGTTTGTAAAAACAACCCGACTCATCGGAAGCTACTTAACACAAAGACAAGAACTCAAGACAAGGTGAGGGGATTGCACCCTCCAATAACCTTTTCCAGGGAGTGAAGGCTACTGACTTGTTGGTATGTCTGGAAAAGCAGTTCACTAGTTCACAATCCAGAGCAGCCAAAAGACCACTCCGGTTCAAACATTGGAGCTTCTCCATCTCAAACAATAAAGTCCAAGACAGAATCCCTTTTGGTTTCTTCTCCCCTGCAGTAAATGCAAGTAGAATCGCGCAAGGCACAGATCAGATTTCAGACCATAGCACCTTGAGCGAACTCAATGGCCAGACTAGCCAAAGAGCGCAATGCTTCCAATAAAAAACCAGAATCTCATATTAAGACAAGCCCTATAAATAAGGCGTCTACAATGAGCGAGTTGGAAATGAGCCCGGAGACTCATTGTTAAAGACCATGATATACACATCTTGCATGAAAATGTTTACGTATATTCCTTTTGATATATCGTGACCAATAGAATACGAGGTATTCAGGGATCACTGCAAATGTAGAAATAGAAAGAAAATAGAGTAAAAGGTTAATATACTTATCATGTCAAAGTATGTGCGCGTGTGCGCGTTTACTTACCTAACCGATAATCGCAAAGAGCTTAAAAAGTACTGATGCTCAAAAGCAAAACGGGACTGGAAACGGGACACTGGATACTGTAATAAAATAAAATAAAACATTAAATCATAGTTAGTGTGTTGATCGTGTCAAAGTGTGGGTATGTGTGTGTGTGTGTGTATGCGTTTACTTACCTAGCAGATAACCGCGTAGGGCTTAAACAGTACTTGTGCTCGAAAGCAAAACGGAACTAGACACTGGACACTGGACACTGTCATAAAAAATGAAAGCATCGAACCATAGTTAGTGTGTTGATTGTGTCAAAGTATCTATCTGTATATTTACTTACCTGATACATGAACATGACGTGAAGGACCTCTCCGTAGCTACAGTGGAATGGACGCTGGGCATACAAGACAAAAAAAGCACAAGAGACACTGGGCTGTAGTTAGTACGCTGACCGTGTCAAGGCGTGTGTGTGTCTGTATATTGTCTTACCTGCTATTAGACTGGACATTGTTTTTGAAACTTAGCTAGAGACCGCGTCTGGGGTGCGTTTCCATGGTAAATATCAGTATGAGCCTTATACAAATGGAAAGATATAGGCATCTAAAGGCGATTTTCTTACCGTGTCGGAAACCAAGGACCACCAAAGGGAAACCAGGAGGAAGAGGGGGGATTACAAGAAATTGGGAATTGTATCAATTTTTATATGAAAAAAATGGGGCTGGCGCAGCACAGAAGGCGTAAAAGGCCTATTTTGGGCAAATCAAAACAAATTCATATAAAAACTAAAGGGCTTTACGTTGTAGGTAAAAGTTCTATGCTTTTTGTTCCAGACTATTATCAAAAACCTCTTGGTATTGCCTAATAAATACATTGAGTAGTACAACCAATGGGTGAATTTGAGTATTACTATGCTTTATATAACCTTTTTATGTCTTTGGAGAAATATATTTTTATATGTTTCTAATCACACTACTGATGATCATACTGTTTTTTAAAAATCCGCCATACAAATAAAGAAAGCCTCCTTAATCTTCTAACCACAATTTGTTTACTTTCATTTCACAAAGTATGTTAAAAGACATGTAAGTAGAAAAGTACTACTATTAAGAAAACAGTGGCATATATTTATTAAAGCAGTTGGTATTCTACCAGTTCTCAAGTATACTTTTTTTTTAAAAAAAATAATCTATTCAATTCTATATATGTATGCAATATTTCTTTTGAACTACAAGTATAATATTTTTTCTTACTCTTGATAGATCAAAATATTGCTATTATAGTGTATATTCACACACGTTAGCCAGCACAGCTTATTATTTACAGAATTATGTTCAAAGACAAATAAATAATTGTATAAATGTTATTGCAAAAGAGACTTGAGTGGTTTATATGATAGATTGCTCAAATGGTTAAGAAGAAAAGAGCATATATATTGTCAATATCAGTCTATTCTCTTAAAAGTAATAGAGAAAATAAAAAGAGAGATATGTTAGGATGATCTATATTACCTTTATTTTCTTATGCTTATATATATATCAGCAGCTAATAGAATAAGATAATTAGCAAGAGCAATTTCAGCAGCTTCTTTACAGAAATCTTTTTACTTCAAGTTATAATATATTAAGACTTGTAGCGTATTAATTACTTTTTAACAATATTTCAAGGCTTATAGAGATTCTTTCCTTTACGTTAATTTTTATATTTTATACTAGTACAGTCTAAGTATCTATTGACAAGCTGGTGGCTCAGTTGGTTTTGGACAAGTACCCATATTCAATTACCAACACAATTATTATTATATAAACTATCGAATTATCTCAATAACGTGATATCAGCTTAACTCAAAGAAAACTATATAGTCCCAAACAAATCAATCCCATAAAGAACAGTTTTTACACTTATATTTTCTTTTCCTTTCTTTTTTCTGGGTCTCGATCATAAGAACACTACTATTTTCTACAAAAGCTGTGAATGTTGATCTGACCACCCCTTCTTCTCTTTTTATCTATACTTTTTTCATCAACCATTACATCACATAAACCAATATAGCACGTCTCACCACTCTCCTACCAGATTATCTGCAATCCTTTAACATTATATTTCTGTGACCTCCATTCCTCATTCAATATTGATTAATATTGACATTGACATGTTGCGTGTATATTCACATTTTCGGCCGGCCCAAACATATCACATATCTCTAAATCTTTTTGTATCAATTATGTAAACCAATCGATTAAGTAATACTTTTGGGAAGAACATGATTGTTACAACTGGCGCAGCAATCAATTGAAAATCATAAGGACTGTAACAATGAACCCCAACAATGACTATCTACCTCTATTTCTCTCTCTTATTTTTTTTATGAAGCATAGTTTATTCCAACCTCTTAGTAATAGCTTAGTAATATCTTACTAATTATATTATTTTATCTATTATCAAAATATCTATATAAACATCGAAAGATGAAAGCAATAAAGAACATCCTTACATATCACTTCTATTTTCTTTTTATCTTTCTCGAGAGAACAAGCTGCCAATTGCCAATATTAGGGCAAGGAGTTGTTAGAGGAGATTGATACATATTCTCTTTTTCTGTTAACCATTTGGACTACTTCTTTATATAAACCAATACATTCCGTCTCAATAGTATACAATGATGATAACAGAAACTCCAAGAGATTATGCCTACTACAAGGCTGATAATTTTGGAAATATTTAACTTGATTTTTTGATATTAGAAATAAAAGTAAAGCATATAATAAAGTGCTTTTAGGGGAAAAAATGAGTACATTTACTAGTGAAGAATACTATTAAATAGTAAAATAGTAAAATAGTTCTGTCAATTGTAACTGAAAGTTGACCCTTTATTTATTTATTTATTTATTTATTTATTTATTTATTTATTTATTTATTTATTTATTTATTTTTGACTTTTTCAGTGCCAATACAGCTTAAGTCGATTTATTAAAAAAATAGAAAATGGGACTAACTGATATGCTCTTAGACATTCAAGCTTACTGTAACTTTTTCAGTAGAAGAAATAAATCAAATTAAAGTCGGCTACATGAGCTAATTGTTATAAGTTGAGAAGCTTTAATATTAAATAATACTGAGCTAGTGTACAAGAGTAAGTTTATAGAAGAAAACCAAGAAATAAAAAGTGGAATTACAAACATAACTAAAACTCTGTGATTGTTTTTTTTTGCTCTTACCTAATATCAACAAGTGATCAAAATTCACTGTATGACTATCAGTAATATAATGACATAAGTAATTTTATTAAATGTAAGTCTTTCTACTAATAGAAAAAAAAAGGCTGCAAGTAAGATATGTTTGATACGATCCTAAATAAGTGTCTCCGAAATCAATACTAATAGCTATCCAAAAGATTAGAAACTGTACAGAAAATAAGTATACTAAAATAAAGATGGATAATTTGATTTTGATAATTTGATTTACTCATTATTCTCTACCTACTTTAGACTGGGGTATTCTTATAAAAGCAAAGTTATCCAATAAGCTGGCAGACAGGGTAGTGATGAAATAGAACAGAAGATATGAGAACATAATTACGTGCAAGAATAAAAAAAAATATCCTGCAAAAATCCAGCTATACTTTTTTAGTGTATTATGGTTGAGATAGTTGCAACATAAGTATACTCTGTCACTATGTCTGTTAGTTTTTTATGCTCACATACGCTTACTCACTCACCCATAAATATACATTGTCCTTCACTAAAATAGAGGTCATAAATTGTAGGCGGCTTATCAAACACTTAATGCATCATATGTCTCATATGTAATAAAGAAAAAGCCAAGTTTCCTGCTCCTAAAGTTACACCGCATATTATCAAATGCATGGCCCCTAATAAACCCTATATGATGGCCTTGTGAAGTCTAAAGAAAATTATAAATATCTAAGTCAAAATAAAATAATAAAAACCAAATAGCTAGTGCATACTTTTGCCATCAAATAAGTAGTGGTAGTGATAGCCATATTAAAAAGAAAAGACAGAGTAAGCCTATCAAGTATTTAAGAGTATATTTAATATGGATGTCACTCATACTAAAAGTAGTAAGTACAGAAAATAAAAAAAAAGAAAGCATGACGATCATATGCATATTCACGTAATCAGCAAAGAATTTAATTGAAAAAAAAAACAAATACAAGGGTATTTATGTTTCTACCACTACTCAGCCCACATTCCCTTGCCATTTTCTATAAATTCACTCTTTTTTTTCTGTTTTCATTTTTCTTTCTTTCTTTCTCTTTTTTCACTTTTTACATGGTAAGCTTGAAACTCTGCTCTCAAAGGTAAGTTACATCTTTATATACCCTTTAATATAGCTGTCTATATATTGGGTATTTTCTATAAACTATTACAGCAACGTAAGTACTTTACACCTCAAAGAATTTTTACACGTTTTATATTCTTCACCCATTAAAACTTGTTATCCTTAACACGCCAGACAGTACGCTACATGTTTCACAGCAAAACTCTTCTCTGTGGCCTTATATTTTACACTTGGCTTCCATAAACGACTTTATCAAAAAAAAGTGAAGACCACCAGAAAAAAATCCGATATTCTTTAATATTTATATATTATTATTATTCCGTCTACAATACGAGTATAGGACATACAAAGGGCGCAGGTTTGTGGTATCAGTATTTCTCCATTCTCAAAATAACTAGCAGCACATATATAGTAGCTAGGAATATATACACGCAGTCAAAACACAATATTGATACATTATACCTACCGCCCAAACCATAACCTTGATATTAGGATTATTATTCGAATACCAAACGTTACGCTTAACTTACAGTTAAATTTTAACCACTATAAGTTTAATTTCAAAGTCACTCGCCCATAAAACAAAGTAGTAAAGCGGTAAATACATGCAAAAAAGGCTAACAGTGGGATAAAATATTAATATGACAGGTACTAACCCAGCCAATTTATTATAAAAAATATTACAGCTCTAATACAGGTATAGTTATTCCAGCAGCATATCTATACAGTTGAATATGACAATGCACCAAAGACACTACAGACATTTATTGTAAGCCATATCGATAAGTGGAGAGTGAGAATTAATCATAGTTGTGCTAGCAGCAGTTTTTATTTCTACACCAGATAGCTGTGACCTGAGTATGACTAACTGAACAGCAAGTCTTACTATATTGTTACCACGACTACAACGACTACCAAGACTACGACGATTACGACGATTACGGTTAAAACGAACATTGGGATTATTACGACCATTACGACCGTTACGACCATTACAATTATTACGACGATAACGACGATTACAACAATTACTTTTTTGTATTGTTTATTAGATGTAGATTTCTAAGACAATTACGACGATCACGACCATTATTACCATAACGACCAATACGTCCAATAAGACCAATACGAACACTACAACCACTATGACCATAACGACGATTACGACGATTATTACCATAACGACCAATACGATCAGTACGAGCATAACCAACATAACCAACATAACCAACATAACGACCATAACGACCATAACGACCATAACGACCGTTAAGACCGTTAAGACCGTCAAGACGATTACGACCGTTAAGACCAATAAGACCATTACGACGATTAATTTGCTGTATTGTTTATTAGATGTAGAATTCTAGGACAGTTATGACGATTATGACCACTGCGACCACTACGACCACTGCGGCAATTAAGACGATTACGACGATTACGACCATAACGACCATAACGACCATGAAGACCATGAAGACGATTACGACGATTACAACGATTACAACGATTACAACGATTACAACGATTACAACGATTACTTTTTTGTATTGTTTATTAGATTTAGAATTCTAACACAGTTACTACCACTACAACAGTTACAACAATTAAGACGATAAAGACGATTACGACGATTAAGACGATTACGAAGATAACGACGATAACGACCTTACGACCCTACCACCATTACGACAATTACGACAATTACGACCAGTACTTTTCTGTATCGTTTATTAGATGTATAATTATAAGACAGTTAAGACCATTACGACCATCAAGACCATTACGACGAATACAACGAATACGACCATTACGACCATTACGACCATTACTTTTCTGTATTGTTTATTTGATTCAGAATTCTAAGACAGTTATGACAATTACGACGATTACGACTATTACGACCACTACGAACATTACAAACATTACGACCACTACGACCATTACGATTATTACGACAAGTGAGACCATTGAGACCATTACTTTTTTGTATTTTTATTAGATGTAGAATTTTAAGATGATTACGACGATTATGAACATTGCAACTATTACGACTATTACGACCCCTACGATTATTACCACGATTGAGACGGTTGAGACCATTACTTTTTTGTATTGCCTATTAGATGTAGAATTTTAAGACGACTACGACGATACGACTATTACAATTACTACGACGACTACGACGATCACGAAGATACGACTATTCCGACCATTACGACCATTACGATCACTATCACCACTACGACGATTAAGACGATTAAGACGATTGAGACCATTACTTCTTTGTATTGTTTATTAGATGTAGAATTTTAAGACGATTAAAATGATTACGAAGATTACGACGATTACTACATTATTACAATTATTAAGACAAGTGAGACCATTGAGACCATTGCCTTTTTGTATTGTTTATTATATGTAGAAGTTTAAGACGAATACGTCGATATGACCAGTACGACCAGTACGACCATTACGACTACTATGACGGCTACGACGATACGAAAATACGACTATTACAATTATTACGACCATTACGACCACTACGATTATCACAACAATTGAGACGATTGAGACCATTACTTCTTTGTATTGTTCATTAGATGTAGAATTTGAAGATGATTAAGACGATTACGAACATTACGACTATTACGGCCACTACGATTATTACGACGATTGAGACGATTGAGACAATTACTTTTTTGTATTGTTTATTAGATGTAGAATTTTAAGACGATAACGACTATTACGACTATTAAGACGAGTATGACGACAACGGTATGAAACAAATACGAGACGATGTGAATAAGGCTTGGAAAACTGATGGTCAATGGTATCGGAAAAATAAAGACTCAGTTTTTGACATGACTATACTAGCATCACCCTTTTTATTTATACACAAGAAGACTCTGATATAAGTATAGCCACCCAAAAATTAATTCTAGTTGCATTATTAAGCGAAAGTGTTTTTTTCTGAAGAATAAAGTATACCTAAATGTGCATCCAGTCTGTACAGTCACAATCAATAATGTTAAATAAAGCCCAAAAAAAAGAGAACTTTATGCTCATTTCACAATACGAAGCCTCATTGCTCAAAAATTCATTAATTAAACCAGCATGCCTATTCAAAAATTCCGAAAGAGCTCTCGTGGCTCTTATCGTCCACGAAAAGAAGAGAAATATTGGGGGGTTTTTTACCTTCTAAAGACAGATCTTACACTCCGTGAGATTGCAGCGATTGTTGAGATGAAATTGCCAAGTGTACAAACAGTCAAGAAACGTATACAGGTTTATGGCAATCCACTGCCTCGTAAATCAACTGGCGCACCCAGAAAAGTTGATGAGAGAACCGAAAGGCATCTAGAAAGGATTGTACGAGAGGATCCATTTACCTCGTATAATCAACTCAGAAAGGCATTATCATCAATGTCAATCAACATTTGCAGAAACATGGTAATTGACTATGTCAAGCGTCTTGATTTCAAATCTTGTATTTCTGCACACAAGTCTCGCTTGACAGAAGAACAGAAGAAGGCCTGACTTTGTTGGGCCAAGTTATGGGTGAATTGGTCCAATGAACAATGGGCTAGTGTAGTATAGTCTGACAAGTCTCGTTTCTGCTTGGAAGTCCCACAGATTATTAGCAATCTATTTTTTTATAATTTTTTAAAATAAACATCTCAACCTTTGCTCCTACAAAATTCGCAGCTGCTAGCTACATTATGCATAGAGTAACTGCTTTTTGAATAATGACCATGTGTATTTGTAAATTTTATGTAATTTAATTTTATTCAACATTATTGTATGTGACTGTATCATTATCCTGTTTATGATTTGTACATGAAGGTTTTCTTATCTTTTTTTTTAGGATGGTGATGTAAAAGTAAAAGAAAGAGCTTATTACTCAAATAAAATAATTAAGTCTTAGATATAATTTTGGCAACTTTTGTTTCTCGCTGTAATATTATCATTTTATTTAACTATATGATATAGTGGTATATAATAAATCAAATACACTAGTTACTCTGATTGAATTTGAAACATATAATAAACAATTATAAAACTTATTTAAGATAAATAGACCATCGTACTACTCAAGTTATTTTTAATAGCAAGAGAGAAATATATAGACCTTTATTGGAGATTTGATACAATCATAGATATATGATTTTTAGGTTATAAAAGAGAGAGAGAGAGGAAAGCAAAATAAAGCAAAATACAAATATATATAAATATGTACATAAGATTGAGAGTAAGATATATGAAAAAGAGAGGTATGAAAGAGAGATAGAGAGAGAAAATGGTATAGGATAACTGTGTTTTTAGAAACAAACAATAAAGTTTTTTAAGTGACCCTTTCTTCAAGGAAGGGTTCAGATTGACCGTCTGCGCTTGCAGGGACGGTATTCCTCGTCAGAATCCTCGTTAAATTCATCTCTTCTACGGACGTGTGATAGTGAACTCAAGGCTATATAGGGATAAAATATAAAAATGGTAAGCAAATCCACACACACCCACACTCACATATATATATATATCCATGGCTTTAAAATTTAGTAAACTTACATTGGGTTTCGTCCACTTCAGCACTAAATGATTCGAGACCTATAAGGTATTATATTAGTAAACTATTTATTTAACACTGGTGATAAAATAATAGGACGTTAACAACTTACTCTGTAGCCAGGCAAGGGTAAAGTCACTTAGACTTCTATTACCCACAGGGGGTTCCTCCTCGCCTTCGCCTTCGCCCTCTTCTTCGTCTTCGTCTTCGCCTTCTTCGCCCTCCTCCTCACGGAGGGTTGCCGATGAGGCAGACCAGACCTCATCTTCTCCATCTGAGGAGAGTTCCACCCCAGATAGTGAGGATTCATCGATCTGACCCACCCCAAGGCCTTCCGACCACGAAAAGTACCCCGAGTCGGGAATTGACAAAGTTGTCGAGTAGGTTTCCCCACTCGACACCGACCGATGAGAGGCCATGAATGGCACTGCATCTGGCGCCACTGTTGGCAATGACCATGATGCTGATGATGCTGATGATGATGGTGGTGTTGCCGATGGTGATGATGGCAATGAAGATGAAGATGACAATGAAGTTCGTGATGATAACAATGAATAGGTAAACATCTTCGAAAAAGAAAGGCTTTTTTATAAAGAAAAAAGGAAAGAAAAAAATATATCTCATGTTTTTGCTGCCCTTTATATATTGCCATGGCTACTGATATCTTTATGTGAATCATCAACTCAAGGCGCTTGATAAGAAACAAAGGGAGAAAGTAAAAAGACTTAATTGCTTTCCGTTTTAGAGAAGATTTATGCAAAGATAAGTAAAGAAATAGACAGAAGAAAAAATCTCCCAAAAAAATACAAAGTCAAAAAAATAATAAAATAAACTATCCTTTTTTGTCCAGATAATTTTCACGACTTCTTTTTCTTTTAACTTTTTTTTCTGAACGTATCAAACTAAATATTGGTCTATCTCCATGGATACTACTTTGTTTTTGATGCGGTAAACGGGTACTTGGTCAGAGACACACCATCCACGTATCTGATATTTTGGATGGATACTTTAGGATAGAAAAGTTTTCAGGCTTGAACCAACAAGCAATGCAAACAACTTCAAAACCTTAATTGTCTCCGCGGATATCAAATATCCAATCAAATTATGAAGGTGTGCGTGCAATGTGAAAAACAAGGAAAATTAGTATCAATATAAAGATACAAAGGGCATGAGTATGTGATTTTACACATGACATCTAAACCTATAGAACTTCATCGATGCTTTTTGCTTTATGTTGCTACAAAGACACAAGCAAAAACCTTCTGAACTAGCTAATCAACAGTCTATGGTTACATTGGAAAATGCTTTCAAAGCGTCCGTGTATTATCATTCCTTCAAGTTCTACTAGTTTCTATAAAAAACGTCCTTTCTTTGCTCTATATGTGTGTATGTGAGCAAGATCGAATATATTATCAGACCCAAATATACTAAAGAGGTAGTAGATGGCAAGTAACATTATCAAAGTAAAAAAAAGAGGCAGTAATGTAGTGCTATTTATCACTTATTTTTTGTAACTATGATCTAAGTATCCGAAAGAAAGAACTATTAAACACGGCGCGTTTGAAACTAGCTAGACAATTAGTATGAGTATCTAAAAGTTATTTACAAGATTATATTACTGGAAGGATAAACCAAACTGTACTGTGATATCTGAACCATCTTTCCAATACAATGCAGCACAATAGCAAGACATTTTTTAATAGCTACTACAGATACTTATGTGTTATATATTCTGATGACAAAATAAATCCAAGTTTAATGAAAATTTTATTACTAAGAAATAAATCACAAATTATCACAAATTATGGAATCATGTTTCTTTTTTCTTGCAATAAATATCAGTTATATTATTCACATATACAAGAGAAGTTTAACTGTGATATTGGTCATCATTTCAGTATTTCTATCTGACTGGAAAGGGTATCCACAGGGCAATTATGCGGGTTCCATTCTTAAATCATCTTAACCTCTTCTACCTACTCTCTTGTGATCTCGCGTACGCTAATATACGTGTATCTGTCATATGTTTTGTCCAAACAAAACTGATACTAGATGTCTTAAAGTAACATCTGTTAAACTTTCCCTACACTGATAAATATCTTTTTGTGTTCTATACTCTTTTCTCTTGCATAAAAGACCCTTGGGTTTGAAAGCTCAGAACACAATAGCTCGTAAATGAAGCATATGTCAATATTATGGCTGATTCTTTGTATAAAAATGGTTCTTTTTTATTTTTTGATATGTACAATAACTCTTTCAGAGACGGAATTAAGCAAGCCATAAAGCCGCTCAATCTCTCTTATTCTAAACTAATCCAACATCGAACCGAGTGTTATTTCAAAAGACTTCGCTTAAATTGAGATATAAAAATAAGATTTGAAAAGGAACAATAGGTACTGTGAGAGTGTTATTTATTTAAGAATGAAGATTATTGCTACTTATATAGATATTCGGTTCCTTAATTTAATATCCCTTGGGTTAACGGTTGGCTATCATGGAAGCAGTGTGAAGTGTACAAGTGCTTGGTGTGTGTTATGTTCCTGAGATGTACCCCTGCCAGGCTAATTAGCAACTGTGATATACGTTCTGAATTGTGGAGTGTGTATTTCACTCAATTGTGGGGTATACCACACAGAGATGATAACATAGCAATGAAATACAAGAAAATAAAACATATTATTAAATCAGTATGGCTTTTGCATATTCTTGAATTTATATATATATCTACGTGTATTAGTTGCTTTTTTAACTATCAATGGACCATGTATATTTATTTTTAAAGAAAAAACTTATTACAGAAGCTCTTTTTACGTCTTCAGTCTTTTCTTCTAAAATAAATAACGTACCTTGATTTATTCACATTTTTTTCCTTTGGAATTCAAGAAAGAAAGAGGCTTCCTGACTTAATAGATAAATCAGTCTGTAAAACCGCTTCTTCTTCTTTTTTTAAAAGAAAAACATTTACTGCAAGTATATAAATTGTTCTTCAAATATAAATGAATGTTAGTAATTTCAAATAATTCAATCTTTGCCGTTGGTTAATTTGGTGGTGCTGACAATATGGTGTTTTACTGATTTTATGCCACGACATATAGCTCAGTATATAAAGTCATATAGTAAAGTTTGCACAAAGTTATCCTGGGTCAAACGTAGATGGTGTATTCTTTGTCATTGCTTCGCGATGTTTGAGAAGCTACTTATGCACTAGAACTATTATTTTTTTGATGTACCTAAAGTTTCATCTTAAGAATTTGGTTCCAGAAAAAAACAAATTTTTATAACGTTCAATTTATTACTAATCTTATCGTAGCTATTGCCATGCTGAAAATTAATTGACTAGGGATAAAATACAAGTTTAACTATTACAGCATAATTATATGCCTAATATAATCTTGAATATACAATACCCTTAATCAATCAATCAATATATATCTATCTATCTTATTGGAATGTATGTTTAAAGAGATGTCCACAAATTGTAACAATCTTCTATATATAACTATGCACAATGTAGTTCTCTATTAATCTAAATTAAGATTGTATATTGTCTTTATGTAAAATATGTATTTCAGAATTCTCAAAGCGAAAGAAAGAGATGGAGAGAGGAGGACTCCATTCACAAGTCGAGGCAAATCAATTGGGGTTGGGAGGTTACGACGAAGTCTTTTTGTGCAATTTATTAGAGGAAACGTTATAAAAGTCGATAGACTAGAGAAGAGCTAGGATTAGTTCAAATTTAAGCTTTATGATGGGTAGGGTGGGTAGGACTGCTATGCAATTGGTGAAAAATGCCATATCATCCAAAACAAATCGAAAATGGGCACTTTATATAGCATATATTGTGTACTCAATAATCATATGAATATCTATAGTTGATCTGAGTGCCTTGATTGAGTATGGGACATGGTTCAATCAAATTAGCAAAGGTTAGACAACCAGGTGTAGTAAATAATTGAGGACAAGCCTAGTTATAAGTTAGAGTTTTGAGAGGACATGTATAGAAAAAGTGCTGACCATCCTCTAAAGCTCCACATAGAGCACAGTCAGGATTGTTAATTCCCTAATTTTATTATCAGACAATCTCTGTTAATACAATAATTTGCTGTCCATGAGACTTTGCTAGAGAATGTATATATTATGTGACATTGTACTAGTCCAAAAATGTACGCTAGTGTGATGATATTGTCTGTGATAAGTGGAATGGCTCAACGTCCAGGCACTACGATGGGGTTGTATCCCTACTAGACGCAAAAAAAATGGCAAATACATGCCATATATACACATCTTTGGTACAATTTATTTATTATCTAGTATTATTATTCTTTAAAAAAACTTGTTATTTTGAAAGACACCATACAGTTGTTAAGCAATTATTAAACTTGAATTTACTATATACCCCTCCCATTCTCCGGTGTTTAAACTTCCCGTCAATACTTAACACTCCGCAGTGCCTTATTTGGGCACTATGGCAAATTAGTGTGAACTTGCCATATGTCAACACCCTCTCTAATGATAACAATGTGTGGATATTATTATTCTGAGCATAAGCTGCGCTTGACAGTATAGAGTAATGTTATGCTAATATCCAATGTTAGTGTCATAAATTAACGTAAGTAAAATATAAGTAAAATGTAATGCTTAATTGGTGACATAGTGACTGCCCATTATCTTTCATTTCTGGGACTGTCTTTTTTTTTTTTTACTGGGTGTACCTTTGCCAATTTAAATTATACCGAGCTCACTTGTTCTCACTTTTTTTTTTATTTAAAAAAATTTCATATCTATATATATATATATATATATACACTTATATATTTGTTTCAAGTTTTATATTTTTTTCTCTTCATTTTTTAAAAAAAAAGAAAAGAAAAAGAAATGGCAGGTGTTAAAGTACATTTCAATGCCCCAAAGCAAAACTTTTCCCGGCATCCCAAGCAGGTTTTCGTTCAGAATTCCCGAATAAATGGAAAGATACAAAAGACTCCAGCTATGAACATGAACACAAACCAAAGAGCCAACTTCAACCTCAACCTTAATTCCAGACCAAAACCTAATTTCAAGTCTAAATTCAATTCTAAACCAACAAATAAATCATCACATCCATATCAATCATCAACACCAGCACAAGCGCCCGCACAGAATCAACAACAACAAAAGAGTATACCGGTACAGATCAATACGAAGATTACCGGGCCCCTTTTCGATAAAAATAAACTCCAGCCAGGCTGGAAAATCAGTCGCCGTATTGGTCCTGGACTTTTGAACGGCATGAACACTTGTTTCTTAAACTCTGTTCTCCAGTGTCTGACTTACACTCCACCATTGGCACAATATCTGTTGACTAAAAGTCATCGATCAACTTGTAAGTATTTTCCTGTTTTTTCTTTATTTCTCTCTATTTAGATAATTACGATGTTGATATATAGAAAACTAATATATTTTATGTAGGCAAGATCACTTCTTTCTGTGCTTTGTGCGCCATGGAAGTACATATCAATAGATGTCTTTGTGATCCCAAAAGTTTAGTCAAGGGAGCAGCAATTCATCCAAAATATTTCACTTCCAGTTTAAAAGGTCAGTTGCTTAGTTACTTACTTAATTATATAGTGTGTATGTGTAAATACAATTCACAATAATGAAAATAATAATGATTGGTTATAAAAATGGTATAAAGTTTAATTGTAATTAATTGTTCAATTAATTGATCGAATGATTAACTGATTTATGTATGTTTATATAAATAGCTCTGTCAAAGACAATGAGACTTGGTGAACAAGAGGATGCCAATGAATTTTTAATGTTTTTGTTTGCTGCTTTCCAAAAGTCATCAACATATGGTCTTGGGTAAGCCAATACATATACATATGAATATACACCCTGGTTAAGGAATGAATGAAACAAGTATAATGCATATAAACTAATTTATCTATCTGCTTATTTGTTCATCTGGCTATGGTAGTAAGCTAGATCCCAAAGTAGAAGAATCGACCATGATCCATCAAATCTTCGGAGGCCGAATGCAATCTCAGCTTCGATGTTACAACTGTAAAGCAACATCAAGTAACTTTGAAGCCTTCCTTGATCTCAGTATTGATCTCCACAAGGCCGACACAATAGAACAGGCACTTCAGAATTTTATCAAAGTAGACATCATCGGAGGAGGAAAGGATTCGGAAAACAAGTACATGTGCAGCTCGTAAGTTAAAGAAAAATATACTTATACTTACATTTATAATTATATCTACACTGCATATATGTGTCTTATGTTCTCTAATTGTATTATTATTTTGTGTGAATATGTACAGCTGTAAACAGCGTGTAACTGCTGGAAAACAAATGACACTTTGCGAGTTACCAATGATGTTGAATATACATCTCAAGCGTTTTACATTTGATATGCAACGAGGATACATGCGAAAGGTGACAACTGATGTAAAATACCCCGAGGTCCTGGATATGGCTCCCTACGTCAGCAAAGAGAAGCATTGTCAAAAGGCCATCTATCGTCTCTATGCAGTCTTGGTTCATTTTGGTGGCGGATGTAGCTCTGGTCATTATTACGCTTATGTAAAAAGTCCCGAAGGAAAATGGTATAGAATGGATGACGAAGACGTAAGTAAATGTATATAGATAGATATATTACTCTAGAATAATAATACTGAATGCACAAAAGAAAGCAAACATGATATACAAACTTATAGCCTTGTGTTTATTGTGTTTATTTCTAAACCCTTTTTTTCTTCTTCTTTGCAAATGTATATGTATATAGGTTGCTTTGGTGTCTCTCAAAGAAGTTCTTTCACAAAGAGCATACATGTTGTTTTACGCTTCTGAACCATCTACTAAGAAAGGTATAGCAATATTCATATTTTATACGAATGTGGGATATAAATATATATATATATATATATATATGTGCGTGTGTGCGTGTGTGCGTGTGTGCGTGTGTGCGTGTATGTGTGTGTGTGTGTGTGCGTGTGTACAATATGGTGGTATCTGTACGGCTCTAATCAGGAACGAATATGATACCAGATAACGTACCTGTAGCTGACGAGAAAAAGTTGGCAGAGAAATCGTTGAAGAGAAATGCAGATGTGATGGAAGCAACCACTGCCAGTGTGACTGCATTACAAGAGGAGGAAAAGAAAGAGAAGGAGCCCAAGCGCCAGAAGATCGACACTATGCCGGAAGATGTAAAGATAAAGACAGAAAAGGAGAAGAAGGAAGAAGAAGAAGTCAAGCTTGCCCGGAAGAGAGAGAAGAGAAAGGAACAGAAAGAGAAGAGAAAGAAGGCAAAATTAATGGAGGCCAAGTCAAGGGCAGAAACAGACTCAGCACAAATAGTGAAGAAAAATGTAGAGAAGAAAGAGGCAGAACCGATCACCACAGTACCAGTACCATCACTGGTATCAGAAACAACAACAACACTTATTACCAAAAAAGATGTCCTGGTCAAGGAACCCAAAACAGATGTCATCCCCGAGCCAATCTCTGTAAACTCTGATCATCCTGAAGCATGGGTTGTACGGTCTACAGATCAGCAACAGAGCTCCTTATCCACTTACGGCAAGAAGTCTTCTGAAGCTTCTAGTAGCAGTGGTTCTAGATTGAGACAAATGATTAACCCTTGGGTAATTGGTACAGACATTAATGTGAAACACAATCCACAAAAGATGCCCAAGAGATGGCATGTTGCACAAAAGTGGACCATCAAAGAGACTTGATTTGGTTTGAAAACAGATCCCCAATGACTTATAGATTTTATTATAGAAAAAGAAAAAGGTAGTAACAGTAGTAATTTTGTGCGTCTCTGTTGTATATTAATTTATTGTTTTTCTTATTATTATTTTTTGTATCTTTATATACATATTCTTCTTACATTGCATAGCATAGCCATACAAGCATTAGACTTTTATTTTTATTTTATAATTTGTATTCATATTCATGTAATTCTCATAGAGGAAAAGAGAAAACCCCGGGTCCCTCGACTCTTTTATTTTATTTTATTTTATTTTCAAAGAACCTGGTATGCTATATGTACATAATCAGAATCAACCCTAAAACGATAATTAATTATAATAAAAATAATAGTATTTTAATTTGTCTTATTTTGAATCAAGTAATTGGAGTCAAGCATTTTAATATATCTTTTTCATATTCTTACAACATCTTTATAAATACATACGATATCATAACCAAAAATCAATTATTCACTATGTAAACTGAATAGCAGTCAATCTGTTTTTTTCTTCTTCTTGAATAAACCCTATATATTCTTGGCACAAATTATATCTAGATCAGACAAACAAACAAACAAACAAACAAAGCTATTAGGTTTTAATTGGTGTAAAGAAGTACATACAGACCGTCACAAAATTGAAGCACTTGTAAAAAAAACAAATACCACGCATAATAGTAAATAACAATACAGGATTCGATATGTATATTTATTTATTTTAAAGAGAAAGAAAGAAATAAAAAGGTTGTTAAAACATATCATAATCGTATGCCTTTCTCTTATCAACATTCTTGGCATCCAATGGATCCATTGTGTGAGCAGATATACTGGTTGCTTCAACCGTGCGACTAAATGTGAAGCTGCTGCGTTTCTTTGGAGTCTTTGGAGTCGAATCAACAGTCAGATTGAACAGGTCGGAAGCAGAAGGTGATGATAATGATAATGAAGACGACGACAACGGCGATGACATGGCCCGGATGAAATCTGGCTTAGGAGATGATGGAGTATTGTTGCTATTATTGGTGCTGTTCTTGCTCTTGCTCTTGTTATTTTCATTTTCATTTTCATTGTTGTTATCGCCATCGTTATCCTTATTGCTGTTAGAATCTCCTTGCAAGATCCATTGGAACTTTGGATTCTGAAATGATCTTGGCAAGACTGGCTGAAGTGCTGGATCAGACAAAAGGTCTTCGATGCGGTAGACAACTTGTGGTTTCGGAGGTGGCGGATTAGTAGGGATGTAGTTTACTGGAGGAAGGGCCTTGATGTCAGGCATGGTCATATTTATGGGTGGCAAAGGCTTTGTCTGTAAATAAGCTTGTGGCTGGGAGTAAGATTGTGCTGTTGTGGTTGAATTTACAGCTGTGGATGTGGATGTGGATGTAGATGTGGCAGTTGCAATTGCGGTGTTTGAATAAGAAGGGGAGGTATAAGAAGATGAGGAGTATGAGGAGTATGAGGTTGTAGGAGCAATAATACTGTTGTTGTTGACAAGAGGTGTCTGGCTCTTGTCTTCAAGAGCCTCTTCGTGCTCCACAAGATCCCATCTCCAGTCGGGTGAGCTTTGATCATTTCGTTTGCCAAGGAGACTGACTGCACTAGGATCAAATTGGATCTGCTTGCCACTCAATACATCTCGTATATGCTTGAGACCGGCAAGAGCCATGGTAAGAGACACCTCATCCGGCTTTGACGATACACTTGAAGATGTTGATGCCTTTGACGATGCTTTTGACTTTTGGCTGTACCGACTTGAGCTCAGATCCTCGTTATCTTTGGACAAGATATCTTCTCCTTCTCCTTCTCCTTCTCCTTCTCCTTCTCCTTCTTCTCTTGCTTCTTTATCTTGCTGTATGAGATCTTTTGGTACAATATCATTGTTTGTTGATTTATCTTCTTCTTGTAAGCTATCACCACTACCACCACTAATAATAATGCTATTGCTATTACTAGTGTTATTACTATTACTATTACTACTGTTATTGTTATTGTTATTGTTATTCTGATCCACATCTTCCGACGTTTCATCTGTGGTTTCCTTTGAAATTACTTGTTCGGGCGAATTAGAGAACAGTTCTTTCTCCATAAGATCGATACATTTGGCCATCAGGTCAGCCATCTGTCGATTGGTGGCCTGAAGTCTAGCCAATTCATCGCTTTCCTTTCGTCGTCTGTTTTCAGGAGAGGTGTTTTGAGAGTCATGGGTATGGAAGGATCCTGTAGCGGCAAGTCGGTCAATACCAGCTGGGAATTCTGAAGGTACTGTCTGACGTCTTCGAGAGGTAGGACTCTGTACTTCTGAAACTGACCTTCCCAGCATATTGTCTCCAATAATATTGACGTTCTTCTGTATTCCGTACGGTGCCAAAAGTTAATAAAGAAGTGTCTCATGTTTTGGAGGTAGGAGGCAGGAGTTTTTTTTTAAAAAAAAAGAAGAAGAAATGAAGAAGAATAAGAGTTGAAAGATAGAAAGAAAGATGTGTAATGTAATGTAATGTAATGTAGTGTAGTTTGTTGAGTTGAGTTGCGTATAATGTATGTATATATATATATGGCATGTATAGTTAATTATTTAAATGATTTATTTACCTGCACAGTTCCCATTACTCCTGCAATGGCCTTGTTGATTTCACGCACATGAGGACTTTTCATAACACCTCGCGTCAGACTTGAGAATCCATCCAGGTTGGCTCCCTGTGATCTGCGCTGATCAAGCCGGTTCGGGGCTATCCGAGAATTGGTGTCTGCCTTGACTACACGAACTCCGTCCCAAAGGGAGTCGCGCGGTTCTTTACCGGCGCGGACATCATTCTGCCTCAATATGTGCAGGGCTGCATCTTCAGACAGATTTTCCTGCAAATACTTTGCTTGCTCCACAAGAGATGCAGGGCCAGATAGATGCGAGGGTCTCATGAGAAGAGTGAGACATTCGGCATATTCATGATTTATCACTAATTAAAGTAATTAGTACCCAAGAAAACGGGAAGAAGAACAACAACAACAAAAAAGGGGTGGTTTGAGTGAGTGAGTGAGTGAATGCTTCTTAAAAATGATGATGATGAGGATGATGATGATGATGAAATATTTGATACATACACTTGTCTCGGACTCTTAATAGGATAGCAAGACATATGTATTCAGCAATCTTTAGGGTTGGATCTTGTGCAAATATGGCATCCCACAGTTTCAAGAGATCGTTTATGTCAAATTCTCTTCCGAACAGTAGACGCAACCAACGGCTAGAACCAGAAAAAAAAGAGAGAGAGAGAAAGGTATCAGTAAATCAAGTGCATAGACACATAAAGCTAATAAGTGTGTACTTACATTCCATACAGTTGGGGCTCGATTCCAAAACTCTCCAAATGTTTGTAAAGAGGTGGATCAATAGCCTGAAGGTATTCATGTTGAATACGACGACATGCTATTACTATAGGGTTCAAGGGAACATTCTATACAAGCAATGAGAGACATTGAATAGATATGTAAGTAATAATGTATTTTAGAATGATAGTTATTTTGGAACAGAAATTTTGTGTGTATGACATACTTTTGATCGACTACCAGGTCTGCTGGGTACATCGTCATTGAATTCGTACCAAGGTTTAGCGTATTTCATCATTCTCTCAAACAACAGATAGGCGTCGTGCTCAACGTAAGTTGAGTTGAGGACCTGCATCATGATCTTTGTTGCTGGTCTATGAAATCATAATAAGTTATCCAAAATTACCTTCTTTTTTTTCACCCCCTCCTTCTCTGATAACCTCCCTTAACCTCCTCTTTTTTCTTCCCCTCATTTATGTGTATGTGTGTTTAAAGCTTACTCTGATACACTAGTAAGATCATCTCCATTCTCGGACAGGTCAATGCTGTCTTTATCTATGATCCAATACAAAGGTGCTAGCAACTCATGCATGCCTTGTCTGTAGGATACATCGTGGTTTATCTTGCAATAGATAAACAATATGTCTGTCATACGCTGCTGAGTCTCTTCTGAGCGAAAATATTCAACATCTGGAAATCTACAGACAGACAGTTGGACAGTTGGGCGGATAAATATATATACAAATGAAAGGTTGTGTTTATGTGTGTGTTTTTGGTGGTTTAATTGATTGACTAATTGATTAGATGCAGAGATAGAAAGTAGTCTATTTCTTCTTCTTTATCTTTGATGGCTCTAAATGTATCTGTAATTGTTCTTACGTTCGGTCAACATCTTGACGAATGATCTTTCGGATTTCAGAGTCGGCAAAGAATTGCTGCCATGGATTCTAAATACAATGAAACATCTTTGTTTCTAAACAAAGCCTGATCCATGGATATATTCGCGCTTATATATACACACATACTAGAAATACACCCACCCATACACATACACAATATATATGTGTGTGTATAGGTATGTATGTGTTTATAGATGTGTGTACATATGTGTATATGTATGTATGTATGTATGTATATATGTATTTTGCCCTTACGTACGCTCTCGTTTAGCGCAAGAGGATTATTGTCTGTTAAATCTTCTTGACTGTCGGTCTTATTTGTCATTTTCTCGGTAGGACCGTCGATATGTTGTTGTCTAAGGTCGGCATAGTATTGGCGTCTTTCTCTTTGTATTACTGACCAAGAGGATACCTCAAGGCTGGGGAAATAGTCAAGAAAGATCTGATGTAAGAAATTGTTAGTCTCTTGCTTATGTTTTGTAATTATTATTTAATAATTTATATAGATATAGATATAGATATAGATATAGATATGTATGTATGTATGTATGTATGTATGCATGTACATGTGCATGTATTTTCGGATTGGAATATTTTCACTATTACTACCACTAGTTATAATTATTACCTTCCAACACACCGACCTCAATCCTTGTTGACACACATTGCCTACCACGGCACGATGTCGAAGTGAATTCACAGACAGATTGGGGTCACTGAATATTCTATCCCAAGCTTGTCTAAAATAAAAGTAAATAAAAGAATGACAATGTAAATATAACACAATACAATAAAGTAGTCTTCAGTTTTGGGTTGGGTTGGGTTGGGTTGGGGTTTCTTTCTTTCTTTTATTCTCTCTTTTGACTGGTGATGAAGTGAGTCTGGTGTAGGTTTATATTAACCTTTTTTCTTGAAGAGTACTCGTCATGACTATGTCAGTTTATCTGTTGTTTTTTTTTTGGTTCGTGTTCTGCCTGTGTATGTGTTTTTCCTCTTATTCCACGAAATACGAAATATAATATTAATGTATATATATATATATATATATATGAAAAGAGAGAAAGAGAGAGAGAGAGAAGCAGTGAGCGGGTCTGAAAATAGGAGTCATACAAAGTAAGCCCTTGTCCGTCACAGCTTTGGTCTGCAGATGGCATTTCAAGTCCGATATGTGAACTTTGGAAATATATATATATATATATAAAAGAAGTTGAAAGGTTTCTGTGTTTGTTTCTCTTTGGTCAAACAGGAAATGTACGACAGTTATTTATTTTTTTAAAGTTTTTTCTTTTTCTTTTGATATCCTGAAGTGGCTAATCACTACATTTTGTATTTTACAGCAAGACACATTTGTAAGGCGCGTAATTCAAAAATTACAAGACGCATTTTTGTGATAAAGCTTTTTCAAAGACTTCTTTTTTTATATATATCTTTAAGCAGAAAGTAGATTGTTACTATATAGGAAATCATGTCAAAATGTCTAATAAACTAATAACCCAAGAATAGTCTTCTGTACTGTTTATTTGAAAAAAGAAGATCAATTCATAACGGTTAATAGCTCTTAAAAATGCTCCTTGTATTTCCAAATCATGCGCCTTACAAATGTGTTTTACTCTAAGCTTATATTGATTTTTTTTAGTCTAAAATAAACTCGGTGCTTGATATAGTGATATAGTGCTATAGTGATATATGGTGGATTTTTTTCTTATCACTATCAATATATCGAGCTTTGACTGTAGGCCTTGAGTGTTTGGAAATACGCAAGTTGCTGAAGCAAAGGATGAAGATGTAGTACAAGCTCTCTGGGCCACGCTTTAATTTTCAGATAATATATATAAATATATTTATATATAGCATTTCTTTTTTTTTTCTTTACATCTTTACCCCTTTTCCCCTAGATCTTTCAAGTTAAACCACACTTGGTGTAGACAGACTAAAAGTTCAAAATTGGGCAAAAATGTAAGCTGTATTATTGGATGAGAGTTTTAAACCGTTTTACCTTTATTTTTTGAACTTTTAGTCTGTCCGCATCAAGCAAGCATTTTTATTGGTCCGAAAATGAGGACATTTTTTTTGAGCCTCCCTGCTTAAATGTCAAAACTTCATCTTGTTTAAAGTTTTTTTTTTTTTTTTGCAAAAAAAATAGAAGTCTCAACGCAGAGAGTTTCTAAATAGTAAAACAAATATGTCAGCAGTAGAAGAACTCGAAAAAAAATTAAGATTCCATAAAGCCTTGTAATTTTATAATTTTACATATACAAAATGTCTATTATCAAAAAGGTGCACCATATATAATTTATTGGCGTGGGAATCAAAGATTGTAAGCTAGGATTTATAAAAATCTTCGTGAAGCTTTGGAAAGATTTTGGATTTTGGTGATATAACATATGTTTCTTTTATGAAACCATGTTCTTCAATTGAGGACTGCGAGCCAAAGTTTGAAGTGTCTTGCAACAATATAGCCCTCATTTCTTCTGCTTCTTTGACAACAAGTTCCTATAAGAGTTATATTTAAGTAAGTAATATTTATAGGCGTAAGAAGAAGAAAGTTAGGCAAACCTTGTAGCAAAGAAGCTGCTCCAAATTATCTTCAGTGAATTTTATGGCTTTATCATCGGTTAGTGGAACTTTTATGGTTCTTCCAAAATGGCTTGTCACATAGCAACCTGGTGCTGCAAGTCTCAGTTCTGTGAATATAGCCTTCAAACCTAAAGATAAAGAATGAGATTATGGTGAAGCATTCAAAACATTTAACAACTTATATTACCACAAACTTGGCCATTGATTATTATTCTTTTTTTTTTGCAACCTTAAGGCTTAGGCTGCTACGTTTTATAATCGAATTGAGGATTGACTTTGCCTCAAGAAGGACTTTACAAGCGTCTGTCTTTACAAGGCGTTGTTCCTTGCCTTGTTTTTTGAACTCTATATTTGAAATATCGTAGTTTTTTCCTTCTACAGACAAGCAAAGTCGAAGATCGACCTTGAACGAGTTGTTCAACGTATCCCCCCTATCCCAATTGAGAGAGAGAGGTATATTAAAATTTTGAATGATATTATATATTATTAACATATTTACCAAATGAGGTTTACAATTGAGCCTTCGAAAAGTGTCTCAAAGATGTTTGACCATATTTTAATTATAAGCGAACATTCAGACATAGTCTTCCATCTCTGAATATCGTCCTTTTTGTGACTTAACAAATTGTATCTATAATGTACCATAATTAATGAGACGCCATATAAAATCTGTATCGATATGGGAAACCAGTAGTGATTGCAATCGAGATTTTGTAAAATGTTTATGGTACTTTCCAAAATCATCATCGGAATTATCACTTTTTTTTGCATAGAGCATGTTTTCATATATATATATATACTTACATATGGGCTATTATAATTAGTCTCTTTCTATCATCACCATCAAGGTCAAATGATTGGGTGATATAAAATTTATATTTCTGTTGGGGTGTCAGCTAAATATTTGCATTGTGCAAGTGTCAATGGTTAGGTATACTTGAAAATATATATCGGTGTATATATGTAGTACCTTTTCAGCAGATTTGTATAAATTCTTGAGATCTTTGCCAGGCTGCGGGATGATTACTTTACGTAAATTGAAACGAGTTATCAGTGCTTGATGAGCTTGACTGTCAAGTTTCAAAAACTTTATAAATGTATCATCATTGATATCAATGATTGAATTTAAACAAAGCCTTGGAAAGTAACAAACTGTGTTAAGAAAAAAGAAACAAGCGTAGAAACACTTATACTTGTACTCACATTGCATAATACTTTTCGATTGCATTCAAAGTGTTATAGGGCTTTCTGTGATAGTTTAAGCCCAAAGTTCTTACTAAGAGCATAAGCGATTCTTTATGGCCAATAACATGAATGTAATCGCTGTCATCAACTTCTTTATCTTGTTCCTGATTATTCAATATAAGTTACTTTTGTTGCTAGCATATAAAATCAGGAGCATATATCCTTACCTGAACTTTGTTAGGGCATAATTCTTCTGACTCTTCTTCTAATACATCAAAGCTGTACTTTAGAGATATGATTGAAATGCCACATAATACTAATTTGTATAAAAAGTTTACCTATATTTAATCTTTTTCTTTTTCTTGCCTCATTAAATAATCGAACTTGTGTCTCTGCTTGATAAATAATAGCTTCTTCAGCAGCAGCATCAAGGGCTTCAATAGCTTTATCAGACATTTTATCTTAATGGTGTCAAATAAAAAGGAGATGAAATAAAAAATAAAATAAAATAATCAAATTTTGTGCTTAAAAACAACAAAGCGTTTACAAATTTTATGGCGTAAAACTATCTTTTATAATATTTGACTAATGTAGCACTATATCTATTATCAGGGAGGTTTGTGCAATTTTGTTTTATCAATCTCTTTTCCAATGTACTAATATGAACAGAAATGTCCTACCAATTTTTTGAAGTTTCATTTTGGGGAACCTTACGGACAGCCTGGCAGGACAGCCTGAACAGCCTGGACAGCGTGTACCCTAAGTTTAGGGGACGGAAATTCTTGGTGAGGGGTGACATTTTTATTCTACCGGACCACAAATCGTGGCCTTTTTGCCGGCACGGAATGTCTATCTGGTTCCTAAGGATACAGAATATTTGAATAAAGACATTCTTCTGTACTTTTCAGAAAAAGAGCGGATGGGGATTACTTACCGGCTGGTACTGTCTGACTCTGAGAATATGTAGGTGAAAGAAAGGCAAAGACATGATACGCGTAGGCAGGTCAATAAATAGTAAGATATCAAACAAGATTGCGTCACAATCTAATGAAAACAGCTCTTTATGATCTTCTGCATAACTGGCTACCGATATAGTGTATTTGCGATTAATTATTATTTCTTTGTTGTCACGTCTATATTTAAGACTGCTAATTGAATATACAGAATTTGTTTTTCGTATGAAACAGCATCTTATTATTAAGTTGCTCAAATACAGGCTGTGGCTCTTAAAATAATGAAAGTTAAGTGCCTGGCGAGAGATGAATGAACACGAAGTGTAGGTACAAAGTAGTAAAGCTAATGCGTACAATGAATATATTGTATTTCTTTGAGGGCACACCATTTTGCCCTGAAGGATTAGAGAAAGACGCCGGTCTCCGGACATGTAGTCAGAATTGATTAGTCCGGTTAGATAGAAATATCGTACCCCACCAGGAAACGTGGTTACCGTAAGATTGCACCAAATTTTATCTTTATTTTCACACAAAATAATTTTTTATTTTTGCACCAATAATTTCCGGAAAGAGTGTATATATAATTCAAATAATTAAATTTTAAAGAATGTCATAGAAGAAGTCATGTTAATATAATATTTACATCTTTAAAAGTATATTTTTAACATATTTTATTTCTGCATCTTCCTTTGAATATATCGTTAGCTTAGAGCATCTCCAGCAGTATCTAAACCCAAATACTAAATATCCAAATTAGGATTTACCGCGCTAGTACAAATAAAGCAATTTAGTATGAAAAATATCAAGGTCACTCCAGCAGTTTCTTAACACAGATTCTAAAGAGCTGATGATTTTGGTGAGGTTTTTCCTAAAGTCTGAGATTTAAAATTGAAAATTCAAAGTCACAATATAAAAAATGGAAATTTAGTAAATGATAGAATCTAAACAAATTCTGAGAAAACCTACAGAAGTTTAGATTTTGATTCAAAAAGTTTAGATCTAAATTCCGGATTTGGGTATTTAGATTTTTGTTTAGAAACTGCTGGAGACGTTTTTTTGGAAAATCTAAACACTAGTTTCCTAATTTGGATATTTAGTATTTGGGTTTAGATACTGCTGGAGATGCTCTTAGCAGTTTAAAATAATGAAATATTATTGGCTAAAAGTGCTTTGGAAAAGGTGCCCTTTTTACAAAATCTTTTTTGGAAGTATGAAACAGAATATTCCTTTTTAGGCAGGTAATTTCCTTTCTAATTTTGTTACAAAATTTGCACAAACCTCCCTTTTATTTCTATAAAATCAAGACCGTTTAAATCATAACCATAAAGCACCTCAGCTCTATGTGGTAGCAATTATAGATAATGTCTTGAGCTACTGCATAGTTAAGATTGCAGAATCTGGAGCATACGGATGAATTAGCAATTATAGATAATGTCTTGAGCCTCATCTGTGCCAGAGAAAAAGCATTCTTATTTGGCTAATTACGCGTATAACAGTGCCATTGCTTGCAGATAAGTATTTATTCATTATCACTATATAAAAATGGTACTAACTATTGATAACATCCTCTTTTTTTATAGCATCTTCACTCTACTAATAGGCCCTATGTGGTAGCAATTATAGATAATGTCTTGAGCCTCATCTGTGCCAGAGAAAAAGCATTCTTATTTGGCTAATTACGGGTATAGCAACACATGAGCTACAGGTAAGCTTTATTTCTTTGATAAATATACAAAAACGGAACTAACTATTAAAAATATCTTCTTTTTTATAGCATCCTCACTCTATTAATAAGCCCTATGTGGTAGCAATTATAGATACTGTCTTGAGCTACTGTATAGGTAGAGATGCAAAATCTGGGTATATAGATAAATGGGCAATTATAGATAATGTCTTGAGCCTCATCTCTACCAGAGAAAAAGCGATCTTATTTGGCTTATTACACGTATAGCAACATATGAGCTACAGGTAAGCTTTATTTCTTTGACAAATATACAAAAACGGAACTAACTATTAAAAATATCTTCTTTTTTATAGCATCTTCACTCTATTAATAAGCCCTATGTGGTAGCAATTATAGATACTGTCTTGAGCTACTGTATAAGTAGAGTTGCAAAATCTGGGTATATAGATAAATTAGCAATTATAGATAAGGTCTTGAGCCTCATCTGTACCAGAGAAAAAGCAATCTTATTTGGCTTATTACACGTATAGCAACATATAAGCTACAGGTAAGCTTTATTTCTTTGATAAATATACAAAGGTGACTGATAGATACAGACTGAAATTAAAATTTTCTGAATATGACAAAGTTCGTGAATGCTTTTTGTAATACACACACTCCGATTGAATGAAGTACAAACTACAAAAGCCTTAATAGGTACTATAATTATTAGTGAACCTGGTAGAGTCATATTCGGGGAATGTAATATATAGGCCCATATCGTTACTAAACACAATATTCATGATTACACAAAATCAATAAATCTAAACTACACTTCTTTTTATTTATTTTTTTAATGCTTTTCTTATTCAAATCACACCATGTCTCACCAAAACAATAAAATAACTCTTCCCAAGTGAAAGCAGCTCTCAGATTATCAAAGTGGACTGATGATCGGTGGTGCTATAACAAATGGCGCAGCTGCTGAAATTGCTGAAAAGAATGGTATACCTCTAATTATGTATTCCACAATCTATAGACGGAAAGATACTGGAATCGCATTTCCTGATATGCGAAAAGGAACTTCGAATGTAATGGGTGAGTGAGATGAAGACGAATCGGGAGACAATACTTGGGGTCTTACTACCTTCATATCTGACATCTTAAGGCATTCCATCTCAAAGTCTACCATTCGCCGAACTGTTTGTAGACCTGTATTATCTTCTTGTAAAGTTGTATACAAGTCACTGCTATCAAAAGCACACAAGAAGGAACGATTGATATTTTCTAATCATACCAGAGAGACCGATCAGAGATGGGATCGCGTCATCTCTAGTGTTGAGTCAAGGTTTATGCTTTTAAGCAAAGATGGCAATACTAGAGTATGGCGGTATCCTCAAGAAAATTACAGAGAAGAGTTCACTAGACCAATATTGTAGTGTGATAGAGGCTCCATTATGGTTTGGGGCTATGTATGGGCAGGAAGAGTTGGCCCATTGATAACCATAAAAAACAAGCTTGACAAGTATGCATATATGGACTTGATAAAAAGGAAGGTTCTTCCATTTATGGAGTATCTCAGTGAGAACAATGATGAGGAGTTTATCTACCAAGAATATAATGCCCCTTGTCATAAGTCTAAGCTTGCAGAAGAGTAGAAGAAGCGCCAGAATTTGCCAGTAATGATATGACCGCCTGACAATCCAGATCTCAGCCCCATAGAGAACTTATGGGCATATCTTACCAGGAAAGTGAAGGCCAGAACCCCCTCTCCAAAAATCTTAATGGATTGGAGAGGTCTATTAATATAGTATGGAAGGATATTCCGGTTGAAGTTTGCGAGACACATTGCATGACAATACCCAATCGCATACATGAGATGAATAAGGCTCACGGAGGGTCAACACATTATTAATTTTTTTTAATAAAGTTACTTTTTGTTTTTTTTAAGAGCTATATCTTAGTATATGTTTTCAAACATGGGTTTTAAGTGAAAGTAGATGAACTAGCGTAAGAATGTTAAAGAGTTTGATGTCTTGATTTGGTGGAATATTAAATACTGCATTCAGTATTGATATGGGCCTGTATTGTTAAATGTTTTAGAGAAATAAAGAGGAGAGAGGGAAAGTGATCTGAGGTTGGCTATTTAAACATAAGGGAGTGATAAAAGTCTAGTCACGGCTGATCCTCATGATAGTAGTCTTACAACCACTATTCACACCAATATCCATATTTACGCTTTAAAATGGTGTCTTTATCATAGGTGTTCATAAGAATGAATTGTTTTCAATATATATATACAAATCAAAAATGGCCAAATAATGACATATTCAAGGTTGTTCGAAGATTTTCTTTTTAATGTACGGATATACTTTCAATGGTTGACCACATCAGATGCAACAAGAGTCAAATGCCATGTCTGGACATCACAAATATCTTAGCCCTACAAATTTGTATTTAAAAGGGTTGACGTTATTTTCACACATTTGTTTCTCTTTTGTCCGCGCCAAAATGTATAAATATGTGTATATCAATGCATGATAGGGTGACTGCTTCTACGAGAAATTTGACGACAGAAAAAATATATAGTAGTAATAGAAGAAGTAGAGTAAGAAGAGGACTATGAGATGAGAACAGCTGTTCTATATAATATATGTATATTTTACTAATATTGTTCTACGGTCTATCTTATTGTGTTTTACATTAATTTATCTTAGTTTAGAATCATTAATTAGAGAAACACTAAAAAAATAATACAAAAAAAATTAAGAAATAAAAATAAAAATAAAAATAAAATAAAATTATATTTATATTTATATATAAAATGAAAATACAAAGCACTTAATTTTATTTATTTTTTATTTTTATTATCTGTATCTATATCTTCTTCTTTTAAATGACAAGCAATATAACGAGCCACTCGAATAATAATGCCTTTACTGAAAAGCAATCTAATTCAGAGCACTTTAACTTTTTTGGATCAACCTTAAATCATAAACCTTCATCAGATCAAAAACACCACCACTACCACCACCACCATCAACAACAACAACAACAACAACAACAACAACAACAAAATGAACAACCGTCATTACTTAGAGAATCCAACAAGGACGATGGATTAGGATTCCTAAGAAGTTTGCTGAGACCAAAGCCAAGTCAAGACATCAACAAAGAATCACACCAAACCCATGCAGACTACACAAAATCATTAAATCACATAAAACCAAGTGCAGTTGCACCACCGCTACAGATCACTCCTATCAATAAACTACACCAGACAACTGTACCTCAGCCTATGGTTCATTCGACCAACCAACACATGCCTGGTCATGGTACAACTTTGGAGACTAGACAGACATTGAATGCCTTCCATACACAATCGCAACAACAATCGCAACTTTTAAAAGCATCGCTTACTGATCGTACGGGCGACCTATCTTTACCTCAAGAATCACCAAATAAGAAACGTAAAAAAGAAACCGCAAAAAACTATTTTAAGAACAAGAAGAATAATAATGATAAAAAGAAAGCTTTGCAGAATGTTAATCAACAAAAGGTAATATATATATATATATATATACTTTTAAAAGAAAGAAAAAGAGATAGGGAAGAATAAAGGTAGTGCGTGTTTGTAATGACTTAGTATATGTTTGTTTCTTAGACACATCGGATCAATAGACACAACGACGACTGTAAAGAGAAAGAGACAAAGATTAGAGGTGCTGGCGCTGGCGCTGGTGCTGGTGATGATGATGGCTGTGAAAATGATGAATGTGACTTTGATGAGCTCATGGCTCTATACGAATCAGCAGGATCAAGAACCAACAAAGCTATAAAGCTTCCTGGATCAAAACCTAAAAAAAAGCAGAAAGCGAAAGCATTACCGCTACCTGTTGAAACTACCGCAGCTATTGCACATATCTCAGCTAGCACAGTCGGTGCAACAACTACTGTAAAGTCTGGTGGAGCTGATGCAATCAATAGTAATAATAATAAATCAATTGAAAGTACATCCAACAAGAAAACCCAATTGCCATGTCGATACTGGATTCATGGGCGATGCCAACAAGTAAGGTTTCTAAAGAAGTAAAATAAAGAAAAGGCCAACTTGGAATATAACTATTGTCAGTTTATTTAATTGGTTTTGTTTCAATTCTTAGGGTGATACTTGTCCATTCTTGCACGAGGGTGAACCGCTGGTAACTGTGTGCCGATTCTTCAAGACGAATTCATGTTATAATGGGGAGAGTTGTCCATTTTCTCATGTAAGTTGGACTAATGTTTTGATAAGACCTTAATAACATTATTACTATCATTATTAGGATTTAAAATTAGAGCCCTGTCGTTTCTTCCATCTAAAGGGTGTATGTGAAAACGGAATCGGATGCCCATTCTCACACGAACCTTTGACAAGAGACTTTCGGAGGAGACTTCACTTGTCAACCGGACCATGCCGGTTCTTTCATTTCAAGGGATTCTGTAATGATGGAGAAGAGTGCCTGTTTTCTCATGAGCCTATCAAGGAAGCTCAACTGGCCGAATTGGAAAGTACATTAGAGTTATGCAAGCATTATCATCTATCTGGCACCTGTAAACAAGGAGACAATTGCTTCTTTTTGCATGATGAAGCGTCAGAGAGTGCAGTACAAAAGTTTTTGGTAAGAGAGTGAAAGATATGTAATGTAGATACAAAATAGTAACATTTCTATATTTTATATCAATATCGATTAGGAAAAAAACAAGGCCAATAAGAATATCAACGTTAATGAAAATTAAGCTAACAACAATGAGAACTCATGGAAATATTTTTGATCAGTTTGTTCATCGCACACAAGATAATCTTTATATATATATGTTTCAATATGTTTCAATTTATGACTATAAACTTCTATTTGTTTTTGTATTAATATTTTTGTATGTGGATGATTTGACATTTGATCTTAATTTAGACAACCGGCTGTTTGATGAAAATAGAAGCACCTTATTACTAATATTAATATTAAAATTAGTATTTATATTTATATAAAGAATTTAAAGAGTAAAATGGTTAGATCTACTGCTGACATGTACATATGCATATGTGTATATAGGATGATTATATATGTAGATATTTATAGGAGACTGCAGATTTGTAGAAAAAGGGCTTGTTACACTAAATAATATAATGATAATGATAATAGTGGTGCTTCTGTATTAAAGCAGAATATAAAGAAATTAAAAAGTAAACAAAAAAGTACACTGAAAAAACCTGTATCTATGTTTAATGAAAATGAATATAGAAGGTGTTTAGATATATGCACATAAATATGCTTGTTTGATATTTTACAAGTATTATTGTTAAAGAAGAGGAGGACAATTATGGCATTTGTAGATACTAATAAATAAAGAGTATCACCTATCATACATCTCATATTTCACATCCCACATCATAGCAACAACAAAATGTGCATATGGCTTGGCAGTTGATTATTATTTGTTATTATTATTATTTGGGGGGGGAATGAAGAGGGGGTGATTTTTATTCCATCTCCCTTCATCTTTCTTTATATATATCTCGGAATGCACCATTTTCACAGGCTTGGTCCGGCCAGAATTTGTATTGGATTGGATCCGTAACACCAAAAAATAAAAATAAAAATAAAATGGCTGGGTACAAGATGTACAAGATGTACAAGATGTACAGAAAGTACACAGGGACAAAAGTGTACACAGATTCATAGCCAAATATAATACACTACAGACACTACAGCTACAACTACAGCTACCTACACCCATACGAACGTAGTATGGTTATGATTATTGGTATCTGTAGCTTTTGTTCAAATAGTCTGTAGATAATCTTTCTTTATCTACGGACATGAGGTTTTCTAGACTGCTCTCTCCTAAACAGAATAAAATAAAATAGTCTTTCAATGACATTTCCCTTTAATAATTACAAGAAAGGCAAATAGCCAGACAACAGAAGGGAAGAAAGGAGGTTGGAAAGGTGAACAATTGTATTTCTCTTTCTCTCTTTCCTCCTTTCTTCTGTCTGACTACAACAACAACTTCTTCTTCTTATTTGCCTTTTGATAATCCGCATATCACAACTAAATACAGTACAATACTCAGAGTCCTTTGTGTGAATTACACAATGATAAAAAAAAGAAAATTTCAAAAGAAAAAGCTTATATATATTTGTTAACCACATAACCGGATTAATATATTTGTTTAAAAATTCAAAAAAAAATCTTTGAAATGGCAGCAACAAATCAAGTTTCAGGCCTGTTAAACTTTCATTTTTGATTTTATTTCCTTTTGAATTTTATGTACCACTTTTTAATATTTTTATTTTTTATTTCTTAAAGTATAGCCACATCAGATCTTCTTCCCTTTTTTTTTGAACAATGTATGTATGTAAGTATCTTATTAACTAAGAACCACTTAATGATCAATACTAACAAAGTAACTCTTACTATTGTTAGTACAAACAGCAGCAGTCAACAATCAATGGTTGGTGTTCCAATAGTCACTAGTTACTAGGTAGTTTTCAGCTTTCGGGTTTCAATTTTTTTCAGTCTTCAGTGGACATTGCATCCTTGTTTGTGTCTATTAAATAAAGAAAAGTGTGACTATAGATTGTTGCTATGCACAATGGTTGCTTTGTAACAACTGATGTCATTATCTCAGCAACAGCGAAATAGTTGAACAGTTATACAACAATTTGTATCTAGGCATATTAATATAAAGATAGCAACAGTAAACAATTATTCAACTCTACCAATAAGACACCATGTGAATTTCTGTATTATATATATATATGTTTGGTTGCCATGGTTCTGTAGATAAAATGTAGATATGTATACCTATGTATATATATGTGTGTGTGTATAGATACATACATACAAAAACTACAATACGATATTATATAATATAAAATGTGTATATATGTATATATAATAAAATATAATTGAATTGAATTGAATATTGTATGTTGCTTTTGGAAATCATGAATTTAAACATCCGTCTTTAATGGTCTCTTATACCTCAAAAGGCAAGAGGCCTTTCCTCCCTAAGAAATAAAGAGACATTCTCTGTATGTTGTGTTGCGTGGGTTAACCAAAGCAAACAAGCACGTTTGATTTTTACGCCCTAATTATATATATATATATATATTATTTTATTTTATTTTATTTTTATATATACATATATTTCTTCTTCTTCTGCTTCTTCTTCTGCTTCTTCTTCTTCTTCTTTTGTATATCCATATATACGCCCTAGTTACTCACTTTGGTTTTGTAGAGAAATATACATATATATACATTATATATATAAATATATATTTTTGTATATATATATATTATATACATACGTACATATATACATACATACACAACACAACACAACACAACACACGCACACCGCACTACACTACACTACACTACACAAAAGACTTGGTTCTTTTTTTCTTTATCTTTGACTCTATAATACACTGTACTACATCCTACGTCTTGTCTTGTCTTATCTCTTGTCGAATCACACAATGCAAGACACTAATGACTGTGTCCCGGAAATGATGACCGAGGTAAAAAAAAAACCCCCAAAACCCAAAAACCCAAAAACCAAAAACCAAAAACCAAAAACCAAAAACCAAAAACTAAAGAAGACTTTGCATAATATTCAACAAACCTTTGTGTATATAAATAACAATACATATTCTTACATATATATATATATAATTTTCTCATAATTTTAATTTTATTTTACATTTTATATTTTTACTTTATTGATATCGATTTATTTGTGTGTTATTGTAGTTAAAGCCTCATCGACCTATTCCCTATGCAGTTCTCAAAGTGCAGTTTCGCCGACTGGTGTCTCAACACGACACTAACCACCAGGGCGCAATATTGACCAAGAATCTTCTTGTTCTGATCGACGACTACGAACTCGAGAACGACGTCATGCTGCTAACAGACGAACAAAAGAGAGCAATTGAACCTTACTGTCTCAATAACCCCGACCTGGAGATGAATCCAGACGATATCCTCAACCTGATCAAACTCATCTTCCCACCCTCGCCTGTCGCGTCCATTTCTGCTCCTACTCGAAAGAGCTCCTATCCCAGACTCTTGCCCCGTAAGAGCCAAGAGGCACTCTCTTCTCGACCCAGAACCTCTCCACCCCTAAAACATCCCATAATAAATCCCTGGAAGCGTAGAGCTTCTGTGGGTCTAACTATTGCTGTTCATCAAGAAGTGCCTGAACCAGAAATGGAAATAGAGGTAAGCAACATCTGTACATATTTATCTGTACCTAATTATCACACAAGAATCTCACATTCACATTCACACATTTATATAAATATATATATATATAATTATTTATTTATTCATTTATAGGGCCCAAAAGAGCAAAATAGCCTCGTGCCAGTCCAAGAATCAGAGGATCAATCAATTGAAGTAGTCCATGATACAGACAAAATTCAAGAAGAGGAAGAGGAAGAGGAAGAGGAAGAAGAGGTTTGTCTGTTTGTCTGTTTGTCTGTTTGCCTTAATCTCTCTATAGATATATTATATTATATATATATATATATATATAAAACGCCCATCTTTACACATTTAATCCTTATTCTATTAGACTATTGTTACCCCTCAGAAATCTTTTGCAGGCTATTACCGTAGATCGATAGAACTCACTCGCCGACTAAAGTCATCCGAGAGAAGCTTGGCTTCGATGACACGTGACAATGAAGATCGTATCGTGCTATTACAGAACAGAGTTGATGACATGAATCAAGAGGTGATAAAACAAAAACGGGAAATTCTTGAGTACAAAGGAAAAGAAAAGAACAGCCTCGAGCAGATTTGCACGGTATGTAGAACCAAATCCTTTTACTTTTATTTTTACTTTATATACTTCTTTAAAAAGAAAGAAAAAATAATTATACATATACACAAGTATACACATGTATATTGCATATATATTGCATGTATATTGCATGTATATTACATGTATATAAAGTAAAAAAAAAAGCATATATATAAAGTAAAGGGGAGAGATAGTAAGAGAGAGAGAGAGAGAAAAAAAAGACTGACGAGTCTTAGCTGGAGTCTCACATTGCCAATATCCAACGCTCAGAAACAGACCAAAAGCAAGTTCATTTGTCAATCAAGCGGCTCTTTGATGAGAAATGCCGTAAGTAGTCTTGGAAGAGTTTGTCTGATTACCTAAATTGGATAAAGAGAGAGAGAAGGAAGAAGAGGAAATGTTTTTTTTATTAATTAATTCATTTAAACATAAATGTCTTTAGAGGAAACACATAAGCTTCAAGAGATGCTTCGACAAAAGGAACTTGATCTTGAAAAGACTGAACAATTTCTCAGTAATTTCCAGCATGAATTTGATCAACTGAACAAAGAGCGCAATCGATTGATGGGTCTTCAGAACAACCTCGAACAGGAGCTGTCAACATCCCATCAGACGCACATGCAGCTAGCCGAACAGCGGTCGGAAAACGAGCGGCTAAAAGAGATCATCGACAGTCTAAAGGACGATCTTGATGAAGCCAGGAACAACAGACAAGGAGATTCAAGTAACAGCAATAGTACAATTGGCAGTCACAGTCCCCACATGTCTGATAGTGAAACCACATCTCTATTAAAAGTAATAGTAAAAAAAAGTTTGTTGATTGTATTGATATTAAATGCGTTGCTATCGTTTTTTTAGACATTGGAAGCAGAATTAGAAGGACGTCTGCACATGAATGAAAATGTTGAACAGGTAAATATATGATTTTGTAATTCTAATTATAATTCTAACATAACATAACATAACATAATATATATAATTTGTATATATATATGTGTGTGTGTGTGGTTTAGGTAACATTTACAGAAGAACGCTTGAGATCAATAGAAGGCGAAAAAGACTATTATAAAACTCGGGCCAACGAAGCAGTGGTTGATCTCGAAAAGGCCAAAGAGGAGCTGAGTCAACTCAAAAAGGCTCTTGACTATGAGAGTCAAAGTTTGGTGAGCGAATTGGCTGATCTGCGGATGAAATTACCCGACCGTCGAAACACAACAGACGGTAGCCATGCCCATAGCATAAATTATGATAGTAGCCCTATCAGTTCAGATACACAGCAAACTGGATTAAACCAAGAAGCAATAGCAGCAGCAGCAGCAGCAGTTGAAACACAAGGAGTGGAAATAGAAGTAGAGGGAGGAGAGAGTTCAATGGAAGCTGTCATTGATCTTAGTCAAGTGATGGATCCCATACCATCAGTATCACACTCGGCAGTAGTCAGCATACGATCAGTAGATGAGACTGCGATTGAGATGAATATCCCACTACCGACCGATGTCTGGGCACAATCAAGGGTGCGGCAACGAAAGCTGGAAAAGGGAAAAAAGACCAGAGGTAATGTATTGATTGTCTAGATAATATATTTATTTATTTTGCTTCAATGATAATAATGATTTGCTTTTTGTGTTCTTATTAAAGGTGTTCAAGACTTGAATGAGGTAAGCTTCAGTGTTTGTTTGTCTATTTTTTTTTAATATTAATTTTTTTATCTTAGTCTACTGCCTATCCAGTCAAGACATTGCCACGCATGGACTCTAGGGCAATTCGACAGGCCAATGACAAGATTGTCACAAATACGGTGACCTTTGCGCTCTATACCCTTTTGGTCTATATCTTTGGGATCGTAACCTCGACATTCCTCATCGAGAATGGGCCACCCGGTACCTGGGAACATGCACTAGCTGCAGCCAGCACACAACCAAAAAGCAAGATTCTCGAGATCCTTATCTACTGGATCGAAAAGCTCTTGTTTGAAGGTGAAGGCATCGGAATCCCCTAGTGGAAAGAAAGAAAGGAAGAAAGAAAAATAAGAAGCAAATAATTCAAACCAGAAAAAAACATTCTACCCTTATCTTTATCTTTACCTTCACTCTATTCTACTCCACTATATACATATATATATCTATTTACCTTATCTTATTTTTGAATCACACTTCCCCTACACACTCCCTCCACTCACACAATTCGCTTTCTTACATATCACAAAAAACAAACAGCAACAGCAACAGCAACAGCAACAACAACTCAACTACAGCCTAATTGGCAAATCACTATTCCTACCACCGCAAATGTCTTTATTCTTTTCTTCCCTTTATGTTTATCTTTCTTTTCTTTCGTTGTTTTCTAGCCCTTTCTATTATATATTTATATTTATATTTATATTTATAAACCAATCAAACAAACAAACACATTACTATTATAATAATAATAATAATAATAATAATAATAATTTATTTATTTATTTTTTTCAAATGGCTTAAGCTTTGAGTTTAATTACTAATTTTATATAACATAATAATATGGGATTCATAATACACTATAGTATATACTACAACAAAGCATAAGTTTCAAAAAAAATCAATTCTCTCTCTCTCATTTTTGTATAATACAAAGTCCGCAAGTCACGGGAAGGTGAGAAAATTATTGATCCCAAAATTTTGGGTTAAATTATTTATTTATTTATTAGATATATATATAATTTTATATAAATCCATACTTTTTATTTTTGATCTTTCACGCCTTTCTTTTTTCTTTTTCTTTTTTTTTAAAAAAAAAAGTATGTTCGCCTTTACTCGTCAGACCATTCAGCCCACACGCGCTGTAAGTCTCCCAAGAACAACAACAACAACGATAGCTACAAGAGAACCAATGGAATTAGCTTTAATTTGATTTTGGTTTGGTTTGGTTTGACCGTGCCCTTTTTTTTGTATTTTATATACATAACTTATAGTTCTTTGCCCGTGGTTATGCTTCTATCCCCAAGAAGGCCAACGTAAGAAATGATACCTAAAAGATGAGATTAAGAGTATAATTGAACAAAAAAAAAGTCAAACCAATAATATGTATGTATATATAAAGGACGTTGTGGTTGTGAGTGCTGTCAGAACCCCTGTTGGTTGCTTTGGTGGATCTCTCAAGTCTCTTCCTGCCACTCGTCTTGGATCCATTGCTGCAAAGGCTGCTATTGAGAAGGCTGGTAAGTAAACAAGCAGAATGGATAAATATATTACTATTTATCAGGGGTAAGAGCAAGCGAGCGGGGAATATAGGGGATTGAGTTAAAGAATATGTATGTATAGTGTATGAATAATAAAGTTGAACTAATGAAAAAAAAAACCCTTTTTATTCTTGTGATTTGTTCAGGTATCAAACCCGAGCAGGTTGAGGAGGCTTACTTTGGTAATGTCATCCAGGCAAACCTCGGTCAATCTCCCGCTCGCCAGGCAATTCTTGGTGCCGGTAAAGCTATTTCCCTTTCTTTTCTTTTTCATCTTTTTATATTATACATAATTTGTGTGGGGTAAAAAAAATAAAATAAAACAGAGAGAAGTACAAGAGGTTTGATGATGACAGAGAGAATCTAATTTCCATTTTAGGATGCCCTGACACTACTGAGGCCACTACTATTAACAAGGTGTGCGCTTCTGGTATGAAGGCCATTATGCTGGCCACTCAGTCATTGAAGGCTGGTGATCGCCAGGTTATGTTGGCTGGTGGTATGGAGAGCATGTCCAATGCACCGTAAGTACAATATACACTAATTAATAAATACCATTCTTCCCCGAAACAAATTTTAGACTTGAATGATCTTCCGTCCAGACCCATTTGAAGATGACTGATCAAACTTGACTTTCTTTTTTTTTTTATCTATTTAATTCAAACCCCGTAGATTCTACACACAGCGCAACATTGCCTATGGACACCAGCAGCTCACAGATTCTATTGTCAAGGATGGTCTCTGGGATGCCTATAACCAGATCCAGTAAGTAAAAAGAGCTAAAAGAAGATGACTGTGTTTATTAATAATCTTCTTTAATTTTTATTTAAATGTAACAAAAAAAAGCATGGTAAGATTCTGAGTACATTAGATTTATATACATTTAATTAACAGATATCTTGAAAATTATTATTAAAATAAATAGGGTTCTTGCGCAGAGAACACTGCTACCAACTACAACATCACCAGAGAAGATCAGGACGAACATGCTATTGAGTCATATAAGCGTTCAGCAAAGGCCTGGGAGGTATGACAACCATATATATAAATATATATATTAAAAAAAATAGAGCGAGAGAGAGAGAGATCTTGGGCGTGGGAAGAAGAAGAAATAAATATTGACCCGTAAAACATCTTTAATTCTTTAAACACAAAAACATATATATATATATATATATATATAATTTATATAGAACGGTGTGTTTGACAATGAAATTGCCGAGGTTGTCATCAAGGGAAAGAAGGGAGACAAGATTGTCAAGGTTGATGAAGAGTTCACCAATGTCAAGTTTGACAAGGTTCCTAGTCTCAGACCTGTATTCAAGAAGGATGGTAAATATTATATCTTTAATTCATGTGCAAGGATAAAGTAGAATAGATAGATAATACACAAAATCTTATTGGGATACTTTCTGTAAAATTTCATGAACAACTTTTATATCCTTAACACTAAAATTCTAAAAAAAAATATTATTATTATTATTATTATATTCAAGGTACCGTAACTGCTGCAAATGCAAGCACCTTGAACGATGGTGCTTCTGCCCTTGTTCTTATGACTCGTGAGAAGGCTGAAGAATTGGGTGTCAAGCCAATTGCCCGCATTATCTGTAAGTTGGTTTTACATTTTGGCTTTTAATATATATATGTATATGTACAAGAAAGAAAAGACCCCAAGAACAGAAAAGAACAAGTTGGATTGTGTTTATTAAGAATAATATAATAACCATCTGCTTTGCTTTATATTATATTAGCGTACGCTGATGCTGCCTGTGCTCCGATCGATTTCACCATTGCTCCCAGCAAGGCTCTCCCCATTGCTTTGAAGAAGGCTGGTTTGAACATCGAGGACATTAGCCTGTTCGAACTCAACGAGGCTTTCAGTGTGGTTGCAAAGGTTAATGTACAGATCATGGGTCTTGACCCTGCAAAGGTCAATGTGGCTGGTGGTGCTGTTTCCTTGGGTCATCCCATCGGGTAAGAGACAATTCTATTTTATTTTATTTTATTTTATTCATTTTTTAACATTGATTTTCTAACTTGCTCTATCTACCTATGTATTTATGTACATACATACACATACACATACACATACAAAAATTGCAATCATTCTTTTGTAGTTCTTCTGGATCTCGTATTGTAGTCACTCTTATTCACTTGTTGAAGTCTGGTGAATTTGGTGCTGCTGCTGTCTGCAACGGTGGTGGAGCTGCCAGCTCTATCATTGTCCAGAAGGAATAAAGAGCAAGAAAGAAAGAAATCTATATATATATATATATATATTACCTAAAAGAAAAGAAGAAAGAAGGGGGGGTAAAAAGGAGATTTATAAAGAAGTTTCTCTAATAAAATATAAACAAATACATATATACATACATATATATATCTATATATACAAGCACAAGTACAAGCACAAGTACAGGCACAGGCACAGGCACAGGCACAGGCACCTTCTCACTTTTACTCACTCATTTACATACATACCCTATTTCTCTCTATTCAATACAGATAGATAGATAAATAAATAACTGCATGTACATGTATACCTTTGTGTGGTGTGTATGTATAAATGATATTGAAATTATTACAAGAAAAGAAGGACGAAGAAGAATTGAATTGAAATGAAATGAAATAGAAAAAGGACCAGCGATTTAATACAAGGTCAAGACCTTACAAGAATTAAATAAAGTATTAAAGTAAAAGAATAAATAAATAAATATAAATTAGAATTAAAATAAAAATAAAATAAAGCTAGATTATTGAATACAACAAGTAGCCCTTGGTCCACGCGATTGTCGATGGTTGTTCTGGCTTTCTTCTTCACTAGCCTTTTGAGCTTCCAAGCCAATCTTCATGTGATGTGCTGCAAACGCATGAGTCTACAAAAATTATATATTATATAAGCTTTTTTTTATTTTATTTTTATTTATCTTATCCATCTAACAAATCAATTATCTTACAGTCTGCCAGGCATCTTCTACTTCTGGTAAAAACTCGTCTCTCAGTCTTTCTTTTAACACTCGAATAACGGCTGGTCCCATGTATGCTATGTGGTGTGGCTCAACATTGTATCCATAATGTCTTGCTCCTAGTCGCCTCAATCTCTGGCCAAGCCATTCTGGATCCAGCCCCTCGTCGTCAATTCCCCCTCCACGTGCCTCTACCGAACCAGAACATTTATTTGCCTGAGTTGCAGAAAATGAAGCAGAGGCAGAGGCGGAAGCAGAGGCAGAGGCGGAAGCAGAGGCAGGACAAGCATTTGCTGCCGCTGCTTGGGTCACAACATCTGAAAATGAAGGGGAGTCAGTTGTTGCTGTCATTTGATTGGCACGTTTTCGAGCATTGATGGCCTGTATGGTTGGAGTCGGCTGCTGCCGTCTATTGCCATGTATACACACCAACGGCAACCCTCTACTTCCTCCTACTCCTGGCTTGTTTTCTTCGGAAGCATTCGCACAGCATTGCAATGGATTCCTTTCTGCAAATGTCACAGCTGGTGCACGGACAATATACGCAATCATACCAGCAAGTGCTCTGGCCTGCTGAAGCACATTTGGAAAGACTAACCGAAGATCATTGTCAAGATCAAACAATGCTTTGTAGAGTGCGAATCCAAAAGCATGCGGTGGTGAGATCAAGGGATCATCAGTGGAATGTCGAATTTCTGTTACACGCTCCCAGGTATAGCGTACGATATCTATCTGAGTTTGGGTTGGAGGAACCGGATTTGATGTTCCTGCTCCTGCTGCTATCGTTGTTGTTGCTGATGATGAAGTTAAAGTTGAGGTTGAGGTTGACGTTGAGGTTGACGTTGAATTTGAAGCTATTGCCGCTGCTGCAGAGATATTGTTGTTACTATTGCTACTAATAGTATTTGTGTATTGGGTTGTGGATTTGGGTAAGAGGGTTGATAATGGACGTTCTCGTGCTTGCTTTTCATTTGGCTGAGATTGTCGCTGAGGGATATTGAGATCCTTGGAAAAAGGATAGCTATCTTTGGTGGAGTGTGCGGAGTTTGATTGGTCAGAATTCTTTTCTTTTGGCACCTCGCGTCTCATAGGCATAATAACGATAACAACAATTGTAATAATTATGATTTATAGTTATAGCTATAGATAGACAGTTATATAAAAGGAAAGTTAAAGAAACAAGTTAAAGAAAGAGAGGGAAAGAAGAAGAAGAACAAAAAAAGGATAACATATCTTACTTTTATTTAGTTTTCTTTTATGTATGCACATCCATGTATGCAGATATGCAGACATGTATGTGTATATTGGTGTGCATTCTATTTATTTGTTATTAAAAAATAGTCTATATAGGACTCACAAAGTTAAGGGGCAGATCAAGACATACATACATACATACACACACGCACACGCACACACATTACACGCGCCTATTTCTTTTTTTTAAAATTTTTTTTTTCAATTTAAACAAAGACCAATACAATAGCGTTGTGTGAGTGTGTGTGCATGAAATTGACAACCAGAAAAGTAAAGCTTAATATATATATATATATATTGAGTAAAACTGCAATAGTGAATGAGTGCATAATCAAGTGTGTACATTTCTAAAGAGTGATTGTAAAAAGGTAAGGTAAGGGAAGGGAAGGGAAGGGAGGAGAGGGGAAGGAAAGAAAGAAAGAAACAAGCGTATTAAATAAATAGAGTGTGTGTACGTAAATATATATAATTAGCGTATGGAAGTTGCAGAAAGCATATACATATACATATATATATATATAATTATGTGCTTGCATTGGTGTCAGTAGAAGTAGCAGTGTCAGTAGAAGCAGTAATATCCGTAGCAGCAATAGTGGCGGTAGTGGTAGTATCAGTAGTTGTGGTATCAGTAATGTTAGTATCAGTTGAAGTATCAGCACTGGTAGAACTAGCTGCAGTGGCAGAAGCAACACCAGCAGCAGCAGCAGACGCAGTAGCAGTGTCACTAGTAGAAGGATCAGCTGTAGACGTAGTGGTAGTAGAAGATGTATCAGACTTATTATCGAATGGCTTGCGTCCCCAGCAGCAGTATGCGTTGTTAAATGCTTTTAGATTGAGACGTTCATCGGCCGGAAGATTCTGTAGTTCCTCCAAATCTTCCCAGGTAGTATTGGTAACTTCGAGCAAGTAAGGGGCAACCGAGCAAGTGAATGCGAGCCAGTTTTCTTCCCAGAGTAGTCCGATATCAAGTCCCCAAGAGCCATTTGGAATCGAAACAAATTTGGTTTCTACTTCAGAAAGTCCTGCTTCCGTGAGCATTTCTGAGAGCAACATGGCTGCTCTAGTATTAACACTTAGAGTGTCCAATACAATATCAATTGCTATATTTTTTTTTAAAAAAAAAAGAAAAGATGTAAGGGTAATAGATATATATATATATTAGTACAATACAATATGTATATATATAATTATTATTACAGTTTAGTTGCCAAATGTCGTGTTTTTGTGCTGCGCCTTGAGTATAATAATCAACTTCAGTCAACTGAATATATCCACCTGGCTTTGTGACCCTCACAAGCTCCTTGAGGATCCTGTCCCAATCCTCTTCGGTGTATACAAGTGTTACGAGACTTTGTTGGACATAATCAAATGTATTGTCCTCGAATGGCAGGGTTTGTGCAAGCACATCGATCGGGCAGAACTCCAGGTTGTCAAAGATACGTTTTGATTTTAGACTGCTATTTAAAGCCGATACTCGGGCCTTTCTGTGGGTAAATGATGAGGTTTGGGGGCTAATGTCCGACATCAGACCAGATTTTGTGTCCAAAGTGGAGCCGTTGGTGAGCATAGAGGGGCATGATTGGGCTTGTCGTTTGTAGTAGTGGTCTTGCTGTTGTGTATCATCTTGTTTGTGTACACGGTCGGAATTAAAGCCACTGTTATCATTATCACTATCGTTATCGTTGTCATTATCATTGACACTGTCCCTATTATTATGCGTATGCGTATGCGTGTGCTTATTCTTATTCTTATTTTTCTTATCATTATTATTATTAGCATCTTTTTCTTCTTCTTTCTCATTATTGCTATCGTTATCGTCGTCGTTAGGAAGCTCGATGATAGGTGGGATAGACAAAATGTGCTGAGGGGTAGTCATCGGTATCACTACAGGAGTATTCATAGGTCCAAATGAGGAGGGAGTGAAGGAGGAGGCGGAGACGGAGGAGGCTGGTTCATTAGTGGTCAAGGGGGATATTCTAGGGTCCACGAGGGATGTGGGACGGTTCGAAAGAATTGAATGTTTAGGTAGGGTCTGAGGTTGTGTTTCGATGCTAACAGCCGTAGTGGCTGCAGTATTTACTGTATTGTTGGTTGCCATGGTAGCTGTGGTTGCCACGGTGTCTGTGGTTTCTGTGGTGATATTTGCGGTGGTGATTGGGGGTTGAGGTCTAGACGTGATTTGTGATTCTCTGGTTTCGGTTAAGTCATCGGGGTGTGGTTCGAATACAAATGAACTTAGTGGAGAGCAATCTTCATCCCCATTGTAGGAGTCCGGTGACATGAGATTACATATATCGATCGTCGTGAAATCTGATTGCTTATAATCCATTGCCATATCAATAATAGGATGTCCCATCTATAATAATTATATATAAAAACATTATTAATATTATTATTATTTTTTGAAACAAATATTAGTAGGTTAGAAATTTCAACTTTGATATTTAATTTTATATATCTAATATCTAATTTTTTTATGGTAATTATTAATTGTAATCGTTACTTGTATGATAGCTACTATTATTTATATTGTTATTTACCCATAATCCAGGACCACAACTGTGGAATGAAATACATATATATATATAAGATTTATTTATTTGATTGACATAATTATTTTAATGTTTAAATTAGTCACAGAAATTCACAGTATTACAGGGTTTTACAGAATTACAGAATCGTATAATTTATTTATATATATTTAGATATATATGTATATGTATATGTATATGTATGTAGGTATTTCTTTATATAGGTAAAGATATAGAGATATAGAGATCTTGTCTTTACTTACTTTACGTTTAGCACCTTGCAGCCTTGTCGTAATTGGTCTTTGACAGGTGCAAGAACAAGCCTATTTTAACAAAATAGACAAAACAGCTGAATATTAAACTCGATCAAAATCTCAATTAGGTAACAGTGTCTCGACCACGTTTTCCAAAAAGAACTATAAATATATATGTATAGAGAGAGAGAAAAAAAGAGAAAAAAAAAAGATTTTTTGTCCTACCCTTCAAATACCCATCGAAAGATATAGTATTGTACTCTCAGCCTATCCAATTCGTACTGATCGATTGGTAGTGGATACGCGAATCCCTACCAGACAAGAATGGCAGTACGAAAAAAAAAGAAATATAGAATATAGATATATATATATATATATATATATATATTTATATACAAAAAAATAAATAAGCATATGCACTTAATAATAATAATAATAATAATAATAATAATAGTTTTTTAAAAGTACTCAATTAAACTCACCTTATCGCCATGGAATCGCCTGCCTCCAAGCCATCGGAATTTTGAGGATTGAAATCCATCAGTACCAGTGAGACAATTTTCATAGCTGTTGTTGTTATTGTTGTTACTGTTACTGTTACTATCGTTATTAGGCCGTTCCCAATCGATTTTCTTGTCAAACAGTGCACTCAATCGAACAGCTTCCTGATTTGGCTCAATTGGGTTCGTTGTTGTTGTGGGTGGTGGTGAAGAGTTGTTTGATTTCTTTTGCTTTCGTGGACGTCGAAGCGGTTTGAGATGCTTTGGAACATGTTTTGAATTTAGATTGAGAGGGAATCCTGATCTCTCTGAGGGTTGGCCATTTCTTGAACTGAAAGTATTGCCCATATGTATTGATATATGTATATATAATTATATAATTATATATATAAAGATAAATATATTTATATATATATATTTGTAATTAAATTTGTATAGGTATATGTATAGTGTATGTATAAGGTATATATATATATATATTTATATTTATATATATATAACTATAACTATAACTATATAGATTTGTCTAAGGGGCTTTATTATTCAAGTGTGTAATTAAAATTATTTGAAGGCGAAAAGAAGAAGAAAAGAAGAAATTGAAAAGGAAGAAGAAGAAAAAGGAAGGAAAGAAAATTTTGGCAGTAATAATCGAATAAAGTATTGCTACACAATAGTCTAAAACGACTATTACAATTACAATACACTTCTTTTATTTATATAGATATATAATTATATAATATTATTAATAATTATAGCAATAGTGGTAGTGGCGGTGGTGGTGATAGTGGTGGTGATAGTGATGGTGATGGTAGTGGTAGTAATAATGATAGTGATAGTGATAGTATAATAAAGACATACAAAATCTCGTGAATTTTATTCGAATGATTTTTTTTTCGTTATCTCTCTTTTTTCTCTCTCTCTCTATATATTCCTTTACTGCTTTACTGCCTTACTCCTTTACCGCCTTACTTTTCTACTTATTCACTTCTTTATGTGCGTGGGTGTATATATTGATTTATCAGCCAACAATGAATGAGATCATTATTATCATATTTTCACTTAACTTTTTTTTTAAAAAAATATTTACAAATCTTGATTTTTGATTTATAAATACGAAAAAGATGAGGGTATTATATATCTGTATATATTGTACGTTGACCCTTTTTTTGCTGTGAAGTATATATATATAAAGAAATATTAATACAATACAATACAATACAATACAATAGAACACAATAAAAAGTACGATACAAACCTAACCAAAGGATTCTGGTGTAACTAGAAGGTGTGGACTTGGGGAATTTTCCCATCAAATTGCTTCAACGCCCAAATAAGGCAGTGCGGACTTTTACGACTGCTCAAGGCATTGTAAAGGTCCGACAAACCTAAAAAGAGATCGTTTCAACTTATATTGCTAGATCCTAAAAAAGAAATGTTATACTTGTTATAATATAAATTATACTAAAATAGAAATCCGAATATACAGTATCCAGGCAACCAAAAAAAAAAAAAACAAAAAAAAAACAAAGTCGACATAGCAACATTGTAATATATATAAAAAAGAATCACGAAAGCATAATTTATATCTTATATCTTCTTACTTCTTTCTATATACTAAAATCCCAGGAAGTTACGAATTAAAACTCAATATACGTCATGTGATCTTATACAAAAGTGCTGGAAGTTATGATTTCAAAACTAAACCCAAGTTATTATATGCATATTTTTTTTGATGGTATCTTTATATATGTATCTCTTAAATTACAGCAGCAATTCGTTATTATGGTTTAGTAAGAGACGAGCTTGATCTATGGGGATGTTGTCGGACAACATGGCATATTCATTCAAACGCCTTTGGCCCTGTTGATACGTTTGTTTGACGTGCTCAAGCGAAGCATTATCAGATGAGTCGCACCCAAGTAACTCGTCTTCAGGTACAGTTTTTTTTATTTTGACTGTTTTCAAATGGTGGAGTTTAGTGCTCATTTTGACTGTTTAAATGGCTTCTGATATCTGTGAACTCTTTGGTGTGTATGGTACAGCACTGGCAGCCGGTGTTAATCCACATCCTCGCTATTATCAGAGTTATGTTTCAAGAGCTAGTATTCATTGTTGCTGTAACGTCGAATCACCATAATAGGATATTGAAAAAACTTAACCATAGAAATCCTAAGGGTGTCGCCGAAGGTTGAATGGTGATGACGAGTATTCTGTATCCTGGCTTTGTATTAACTATTTTTTAATAAAAATGGCTCTTTAGGGACCAGATAAAGTTATCCCATGCTGAAAAAAAAGGCTATATTTTGTGGTCCGGTAGAATCAAAATGTCGTCTCCCATCAGGAAATGACATCTCCCTAAAATTAGCGTTCATCGATCCTTTCCTCTCGGGTTTGTTAGATGGTCCTAATAAAGGTGTATACTTGTGCTGGACGAACGAGCCAAATTTGAAGGCAAAGAGATCATATAGCAACATGCGCCCTGACCTTTTCATTACCAAAAATGCTAGCATTAGGTGGGCAAGAAGTTTAGGATATGGAGAAGCCAGCCCTACTACCCGCAAAAGTAACCAGTACCTAGTATACCAAGATCTCATCAAGATAGTACTTTTTTGCAAGGAATCGTTAGACGAGCACTTGATGGAGGAAGTTCTAAGGATTCACATAGTTGGTCGAACAGTTGGTTTTTACATCCTTGTATTGTCTGCTGATGCCACATATGTGATGTACTTACTGGCAGGAATTAAGGTCCCGGATTCTATCCATGATTTACATCATTTCATTACCGAGCTTCCATTGATCTTCAAGATTCTGCATGTCTTTGACACAATGTGTGTATGTTCCGATGTTCCTGAAAACGTTGCAAGTCAACGCGCACCAACAATGTCATCAAGAATATTATAGCACATAATCTCCTAATCGAAGGCCCAAAAGCCAAAAGCGACCTTGCCATCTTCACCGTAGACATTATTAAATACTGGGTATGCCGCATTTCAAGATCTTTTACAGAAAAAGAAAGCTTCTCCATACCTCTCTGTCTTCATTTTTGACCAATGACATAACTTTATCCTGACCTCTCCTTACCTATCTTTCACTCTTTTTTTATTTATTACATTCATTCGCCTTTCTTACATTTCCTATATTTTCAATATTTTTCTGTACTTCGCATTTTATAACTTTTCTGTGTTAAGACACTTGTCAAAACATCTAACAGTGAAAAATAAAGCCTTCAATGTCACATAAATATAAGTTATTGCAAGCTTCACTAAACCTGCTCAATTGGATTCAGTTCGGGAAAATACAGAGGAAGATATGCATATGGATATCTCTGGGAGTGAATACAGTTTCCTATGTCAGTTGAGTTATTGATATGAGCATGATCTCTAACAGGGTATTATCCCTTAATTTCAGGATTTTTGGTCCATTTCATGAAGGGTTGCCTTTTTAAAAAAAAACTTTGATAACTGACCTGCCACTTTTCCCATGTTATGGGCATCATCAGCACGTCCAGGCTTTCTCTTTGTGATGGGTCTTGGAACTCTTAAACTAAGATTAATTAAGCCATTTGCGGATATTTCACCTAAAATAGATCTTGGATACGTTTTAGTTGTAGGCATAGTAACTATTGCAGGAGCACCCTTCTTTAGCCAAACCATACTTTGCTTCAAATTGATATGAAATGCGGATTCATCAGAAAAGACACATTTTGTAATAAAAGTCCAGGTCAGTTTGCTGCCACTCCTGAACCCAGTCATATCTTTTCTGAATCTTTTCCTCGTTGCTTTTCTTAAAGGACGACCTGGTTTCTTCGCTTCGAAAATGCTTTTATGATCTTCAAAATACCGTATGACCCATCTCTGGGCTGCAGAATAAGCACTTGGACATTTAGTAAAAAAAAAAAAAGTATGTATGTATGTAAAAAGATTTGGGTTTCTCGTTACCAGAATAAATTGGTGGATCAGCCGACATCATTGTTGAGCGTGCGATACTTTTGCACGACATCAACCTCAAAAATCAGCGACTTTACTTTTCGAAATGACTGTATAGAAGAGAGGAAAAATCAAAAGCTTATTCTAACAGAATGCAGTTTCTCCGATAATCCGAGATACCAAGTTCCTTTAAAGGTTAAGAAGCAAATTTCCGACTAAGCCAAAATGCTAAGCAGATGTTCGAATGCATATTTGTCTCCCTATGCCTTACTCTGTCTCTGTATGTATGTATGTACGTACGTGATTTTCTCTCTTTTCATTTTTTTAAGAAATAATGATAGTAATGTTAATGCTATATTCTTCTAAAGATATTATTTAGATCTGTATATATATAAAAGGACTGGCCATAGGAATGATTTGTGATATGATAAAAAAAACCATATTATACGGTACGCAAGCGCAGAGTGTAAATTATGTCTTTAAACTGTGTCTTTTTTGTCTTTTAATTTAATTTATACGGAAATTAACATCTGTAAAGAAATTTTAGCCTTTTGTCTTGGTCGTTATCTCTATTGCTTTAACTTGAAAAAAGCCGAGAGGCTAGGTTTAAAGAAGAAAATAAGCAGACATATGGGTAAGTATACAGAAAGGGAAAAGCCAACTTAAGGTATTAGTGATGCTATTACAATAATAAATATGTACATGTATAAAACAAAGATACAAATCAAGGTACAGATGCTCATCATTTCTTGTACTCTTTGCTTACATACATTTTGCACACTTAAAGCATGAAGCTTTCCTATTTAAAATAACAGTAACAGTAATAGATGTACTTCTGTTTACAAAGCCAACAAACAGTTAAAGTATTTTATGCCTATAGATACACAGATGCACTCACTCTACAACACAACAGCTGTCTGCCAAACGGCTTTTGAGAAATACAACTAATTCACAGTTACACAAATAACTCGACATGATCTAAAGTTTAATAGTCCATATTCCCTTTACTTGTAGCTCTATTACTAAATCAGGGTACCAAAAAGAAAAGAAAATAAAAAAAAATTGGTGCCTAGCTTTTTGTATCTAACTGCGTGTATATCCCTCGAGCTGTTTAAACCTGCTAGTCCATAGATGGGAACAAAGCAAACCAAGTTTACATGTCCTGCTTTTAATAAGAAGAACAAAAAGAAGACAAACATTGAATGTACAAGTGTACGATTGTACGAGCCTACAAATGAACGAATGAACTGACTGTCTGATGGACAAACGAAAGGACAAAGATTCTTCAAAAGACTCTGACAGTACACAGCAAAAACTATGTTTGTTTAAATAAATCTTGCAACAGTAGTCTTGTAATAAGTTGCATGTTATTTTTTTTGTTCCTCTTCTTATTCACAGCACTTATTTGAATGGTTACTATATACTTTACATCTGACTGACTACTGACCAGGAGGATGAATATATGCATATACATATATATATATGTGTGTGTGTGTATTTGTATTCTGTAATAATTGTTCCACATGTGTTTTTGTGGTACCAAAATTAGGTTTATCTTTGGGAGTCTCCAAAGAAGTTCTTTCCAAAGGTCATTTTTGATCTCGAGTTCACGAATTCATATTCCACAACATACATTCGATAAATGAGTCATAATGGTCAGTACTTTTTTTTATCACAGTCTATTTATGGATGTGGCTATGCTTAGGATAAATGGTATTTAGTTTATTAAGGTCCATGGCACAAAAAAAATATATAGAAAACGCCTTGATTTTTGTAAACTATCCTAAAATCGTATTAAAAAGAAGAATCAATGGATCATTTTTACCATTTCAATAAATTAACAATGTCAAAATCAATTTCCAATAGTTTAAAGAGTTTTATTATTACAAGTTTGTAGAATATAAGTAGCACAACTTATTTGGTGTAGACTATGTAGTCTATTTTCGAGAAGGAGGAGAGAAGAGGGGGTTTTAATCAAGTGCTATTGTAATGTGGTAGGGTGGATCAATCTGCCAAGAGAAAACAAAACGTAATACTATTTCTTGTGACTTTAAGGTCTGTCAAATAACACAAGATGATCTTATCTGGTATTCCATGACTAGATAAAAAGGTGTGTGTGTATGTGTGTTCATTGCATTTTCAATAAAGCTGTATACCCCTTGCTGTTCATCTATTACGTCAATCTGATAAATAAAACGCACCATTCAAAGAGAGAAGGAGATAGTTGGACAGGTATATGTATTGGAATCAAATTGCTCAGTGCCATCTTACAAAATTACAAACCATAATTTATTTGATCATGCTAAAAACCTTGATTTCATATAATCGTCAGTGATGCATTAACAAATAGTACAAGATCACAACTCTAATATTAAACATAGACATATATAGGTATTAGATAACAGCCTCTTATAGTTATAAACACGGCTTTGTTCCTACTTGGAAATATATATATATATATATAATCTTCATTATATGTAACCATATTCAGTGCCAAAGACCCCTGCCCCCCAAAAACACATAATAAAAAGGGCTGTCTCCTAATGATATTAATCAAACTCTCCCAAGACATGCTATAAAGATATAACCAGTAAGAAACACTTGTAGATAACCCAAACAGAAAGCCGAGACCAAAAAAGAAGAAGAAGAAGAAGTAGACTCGAAATCTTACTAGTCATGAGCTAACTAGGCAAGAATACAAGAGGATTTTGATGAAATGGAATACTAAATCTGAACAAACAAGAAAGAAAAATAATAATAAGAATTAGTATTGTGAAAATAGTATTCAATTTGATTTTGCTTCAAATTCGATTCGATTCAGATTTACGGAGAAAGTGTATTGTTATGACAAAACCAATAAAAGAACATTTCCTGTGATCGATCAATACATTACATGGTCATGTTTGAAAATAGCAAAAAAAATACCTAAATAAATAAAAGTTGCGCAGTTGACAAAAGGTACATTGAGTAATGGTACAAGAAAGATTCAAGATAAGGCACAACCACGATTAAGCATACACCACACACACACACATATATATATATATATATACACTAGAGAGACCATCGTAAATAAGCTTTTATGACTATCTATAGAATTTAAATTATTCGCAATACATAAAGCATTAATAATAAGGCCTGTCTTGATTCAATAGATTTTACAGGCACAAAATCAAGGATCCCATACACACAGTATTTATATAAAAGGGGTTGGTCAAAGATAACACACACGACTATATACACCATTTCTAACTCATTATTCAGTTCCATTTTACTTTAGATTCAAGGCAAGAATCAGGGTAACAATTTATCATCAAAGTTCTCCTCTTACTCGATTATGTACTGTAAACGTATTTGATTCTTATCATTATTAGAGTGCGTTATCTAATGCTATATATATATTTGGCACAGCTCAAAAAAAATATTCTCCTCTCTTCTCCATCTGTCTTCCAATTAAAACCCATCGAAAAACCATACATACACCTTTGACTTGAGCTTTATCTCTAGCCATTTTATTTATTTTATCAACTAACATTACGGGGAAAAAAGTGGTGGTTCCGATAGTGTTTTGGGTGAAAACCTCAACCTTAAAACAATCCTTAATTCCCAAGAAAAAACTTGTATATATTTCACTAAATATTAACCCGTTAATAGTAAAAGGCGTTGGCTTGAAAGTATTAAAAAAAGAATAAGAGAGTTTGACACTAAAATCTTACAAAGGGTGGCATTAACCAACCAACCAATCAACCAATCAAGTTTTTTTTATTAATTGGATATTTAACGTCTGACTATCTATTGATTACAGCCAAACTATTATATTTTAAACCCATAATATTAATTTATCAAAGTCAGATATAATTTTCGTTTGAGAAAACGCCATCTTCCATATAGGTTTGTCGATATAAAAACAAAAAACAAGGTTAAACACATACACATACGCACAAACACAGACACGCACACAGATACATAGCCATATAAACACAGAGGTAGTGTAATATAAAGGGGTAAATACAAACAAAACCGCCTTGTATTACATGTAACAATATATACTTTGTAGGAGAACTCTTTATAATAAAAACAATATAAAAAAAATACATCTTTATTTGGTTTTCTTTCTTTCGTCCTATCACACAAATACATATATATATATATATATATATATTTGGCTGTTTCCCTTTCTTTACTCTTTAATATTTGAGATTTGATATTAAATTGAATTGAATTTTTATTGAATTTTATTACAAGTGTGTGTGTGTGTTTATACTTCAGTGGACGCTGCCATTGGATCTAATAGAGACGATGGTAACAAAGACGCTGTTGGTGTCTCTTGTATTTTGACTTCACTACAGGAATGGACACGCTTATTGGCATCCAAAGGTAACCAGCCCTCTTTCCAGCCCAAAAGATAGTCCCAATGAGGGTTAACATGATTCTCGGTCTTGTACGTCCAAAAGAACCAACCGATTCCACTTTCATACGCATCCATCTGACGCTCAGCAAATAGCTTTAGGAACTGTTTGTACTCATCTGTCCAGCTCTTCCAATCCTCTGACCCGACACATGTGCAGTTTTTGCATACCGGAATGTTTTTGACAAGATTATCGGTGCCTTCGTAGCGATTACCATGGCCAATTCCATTGAGATATTTGCCACAGTCGTTGGTTGCCACCGAAAACTCTCCCACCATAGTTGGCCCGGTTTCATTCATAGACCGCACGAGGGATTTACGCCAGGCACCACAAGGAAATTCTGCCTGCACCTCGCGTGGCATGTAGACCAATCCCTGATCAAAGATAAGGTATAGGTGTGTTTCTACCAATAAAGAAGTTAATATATATATATATATATATTCATGTATGTGTATGTATGTATGTAAAGTATGTATTATATATAAATATTAAAAAGAATAAAATTTTACCAAGTATGACGCGCGTAGTGTTTTCAAAAAAGTGAGACCACATAGGTAATGGTAAGAACCCATCATGGTAAGACAAAGTTGGACCATTGTCTCCGGTGCTATTTCGAATGGTGTCATAGCTTTTGTGGTACCACTCCATCATTGCCGCATGGTTCTTTAGACTTGTCATGGCTGGCTCGTTGAGAACTCCAAACAACGGTACTGCATGCGACCACTCAGGGTCACTGAAGTGGCGGGCCATGGCCTCGACAATGGCCAGCGTGCGATCTGCATTAAACACACCTTGGGTTCCGTTGAGCCATCCGATGGTTCCCTGTCTTCCCGAATGGTTCCAGCCATTTTGTGACCCAGGTGCGGTGTGCAACTCAACCATTACCCGCAGTCCGTATTTGCGTGCCCACTGAATACCCTTGATCAAGTAATCCCAGGCAACCAGGCCAACGTAAGGTTCATCGGGGTTGGCCAGCACGGCCCAGTGGCCGATTGGGATCCGGACATGGTTGAGCCCCATCTGTGCCATCAGCTCGAAATCGTGCTCGACTACAAATGTGTCATAGTGGGTCTCTAGTTGGCGCCTGGCTTCTTCTGGACCCAGCCGCTCGCACAGAGTCCATTCGTCGACCACCTTTTTTTCCGAGGCCGGGAATTGATCAAATAAGCTAGGTGTAATAAAAGGCTCGATTACTAGCCAGCCACCGAGATTCACGCCTCGGATCATTTGTTCACCGTAAACAAAGGGCTCTGACAGAGGAGGTGTGTATGGGTTTGGACTTGCCGAATCATCAAATGGATCTGGGGTTGTCTGTGCCTCGAGTACCGGTGTAGATGGTTCAGCCGAGCTTACATCATCAGAATGCGCGTCAGAAGCACCCGCCGCAGCAACAGAACTAGGACCAGTAGCAGGACGAGAAGTAAGAGTTTGAGTAGGAGTAGGAGTAGGAGTAGTTGAGATATTGATAATATTATTGTTGTTGCTATTATGAGTAGTTTTGGTAGCAGTTAATGGGGAGTTTCTGACAATATTCTGGATTGTGGGTACGGAAATTGCGGCAATAATTCCAGCAATTGCCAGAGAAAAGGCTAGAATGGATAGTCTTTTGTGTCGTTGAATCAATGCGAATAGACCAGAAGAGTGTTTTCCTTGTGGCTGGGTCTTTTGGGCTTTTTCGTTTGTTAGATCGACGGCTGTCCACGAAGCTGGAGACCCATGAATGGCTTGGACAGCAGGATCTGGATCTTGCTTATCATATAGATTCACTTTTATTTTATTTATTTATTTATTTCATTTATTTATTTGTGAGTAAGTACACAAACACACAGACACAGAATATATATATACATATATTATTTGATTATTTTGGTTGACTGACTGACTGACTGACTGACTGACTTACTGTATTTAATAACAAAGAAAATTAAAGACTTGATAGATAGGTAAGTCGCTAAGAAAAATGAATGGTGGGCTTAACGAATGAATGGGTAGATAAATGAGATAAAGAAGTGGATCTGACAAGCAAAACAAAGAAAACACTTGTGTAAATGATAATTTACGATGATGATAAATATATACTTTTTAAGAAACATTATTGATCTACCCTAGGAGAATAGATAGACATCTCTATATTCTTTTTAATTATTCTTTTTATTGACAAGGCTTTAACATGCACACTACTCTTATCGTCATGGCCGAAAAGAAGCGACAAGTTGAAAGAAAGAAGTATGTTCTGATGCAGATTTTTCTAATTTCCTTTAATGGTAAATAAATAATTATTAAGCTATTTGGTTGCCAAGCAACCTTTATCTTATTTTGTTTTGTGTATATAAATAAATAAAAATGTTTGATGATTATTTATTTATTTATTTATTTATTTATTGTAGTAAGATTTTGTTTTATTCTAAATACAGTACAAAGGAATACACAAATGGTAATGTTTTTTTTCCTTCCTTCCTTCCTTCTTTATTTAATTATTTATATACTCATATTCACCACTACCACTACCACTACCACTATCATCATCATCATTATCACTCTTTATGTATCTTTCACGTCACACAAGACTATTGTAATTTAGCCATGCGAAAGAGATCAACCGATGTGTATATATTGATATTGATATATTTGTGTCGAACACAACATTAAACAAAAACACAAAAGACAAACAAATGCACTTGTGATGTGAAAATAAATAAATAGTACTTTATTACAAACACGTCTGTATATATATATATATATACAAGTTATATATCAAAAATAATAATAATTATAAAATGAAAGGAAAATAAAATAAAATAAAATGAAATAAAAAATGGTTTAAATGTGTAAAGAAATACTTCTTTTAATGGCAAGCCAATAAAAATAAATAGAATATAATAAAATAGAAGGGGTGGGGTATAACAAGACACTATAAAGAAATTGTACAAGACAAAGAAGAAATATATAAATCAAATCAAATCAAATCAAATTGAATAAAATAAAATAAGCTAACAAAGAAGAAGTAGAAGAAGTAGAAGAAGTAGAGGGCAGGTGTTTATGATGCTGGTGATTTGATATATGAATGAGAAATAAAATAAAGTAAAGAATTATATGTAAAATAAAAATCTAATAATTAATAATTAATAATAATAATAATAATATTTCAAAAAAAAGAGACCTTCAAAAAGAAAGGTATTTGTGTGCGTGTGCGTGTGTGTGCATGTAAATGTAAATGTGTTTGTGTATCTGTTTGTGTGTAATGGAAGGTTGGTCGGCTTGTCATACTATTTTGGGTAGAAACACAAGCGTTTCAAGTGTGCCAGAAAGTTGAGCCCAGACGATCACTGATGACAAGGGGGCGAATCTTCCTGTGTACATCATCCGGTCTCACAATCTCTTTTCTGAACATGGATATGGGAGCGGGGTTGAAGGGAAACACTAGATCAGCCAGGAAACTATCGTCGCTTGCATTCCCATCACTCGAAACACTTCCAAAGCTATCTTTTCGTCTCCGCTGTGTCCCGATCATGTAGTTACTGCTGGCCATTGATGGCATAGTCGTAGTCGTGGTTGTAGTCGTGGTCGTAGTCGTGGTCGCGGTCGTTGTTGTAGGAGATGTTGGTGTTGTGAGACCAAGACCAAGACCTAAGCCCAAACCTAACCCGAGTCCTAGACCAAGTTTAGAATTCCATATTTCACCAGAGTACTGAAGTTGAGGTGGACTGTATGCAGTGGCTGTACTGATTGTATTGATTGTATTGGTGTCAAGCAAATTAGGTTGTTGTTGTTCTACCGAAACCTTTTTTGGGGTTGATTTGTGTTTGGTAGAAGGCGAAAGGGCGGGAAGAGGTGGGATAACATCTGCGGTGTCATGGATAAATGTGCATCGGATGCCATATGGACAGGATCCCTCGACGTGATATGCCCGACAGATCTGGGTCTTGTAACGGTTGTGTCTCGGCGCAGCTCTCAATTCATTTGAGCCATGAGCATAGCAGCATTTCTTGCCATAACGACAATGTCCCAATTCGGTCCAGTTTCGACAGTATTCTGTTTTGTAGAGAGAAGCTTCCTTGACCTTACTACCACCATTATTGTTGTTATTGTTATTGTTGCTGTTGTTGTTGTTGTTGTTGTTTTTGTTGTTGTTGTTCTTCTTTGGTGCCTTTTCCTCTATTGGTTCCGGGCGGTCAACAGTGATTGGACCAAATTGTTGACAATGAGGTTGAACAAAGGTAGTAGGATTAGGGGAGGTTTTGTACATTATGTTTCTTTACTTCAATGTATGATACTAAAATATAATTGAAATAAATAGGAATTAAATGGAATAGTAAAAAAATAATATAAAAAGTATGGACAAGAGAAAGAGAAGAGAGAAAGAGAGAGAAGAATACAAGATTTTGAAACAACTTGACTTTTATTTATCTATTCAATGTATGTATGTATATATACATTTATTTATTTTATATTATATACAGTATATACAGTATATACAGTATATAAAAAAATAAATCCCTTGAAAAAAGGAAACTCTAGAATAGAAATAAAATAAAACCAAACGTGGAATCCGCTTGTGTTTCGAGAAGTGTAAGAGAAAAAGAAAAAAAAAAAGGAGAAAGGGCGTATTGCAACACAAGAACCAAGAATCAAGAACCAAGAATAAAAATATTAAAAAAAATAAAATATAGAGGCCTATTTTTAACATTTTATTTTTTTTGATATAACAATAACATACACACACATATATATATATATTTTATATACAACATCTTTTTTTTTTTTTTAAAAAAAAAAAGAGACAACTAAGAGAAAATCAAGACAGTTTTATTTTGTATTATATACCAAGTTACTTTAGTAGTCTTGGCAACCATTGAAAGTAACCTGCAAAATTTAATGGCATCAAATTATAAAACAAAGAAGTTGGATTAAAACAATTTAGCCCATAAAATAGAATTAAAAAAAACAAATAATGTGCCAAATATCGGTTATTAAATATTAGAGCTGCAAAAGAAAAAATCCGAAAAACGGACACTTAAATTCCTAATATTTAATTTGTTTTTGTCAATGTGGTTGAATAGTGTTTAATTAAAATAATATTATCTCTAAAAAAAAATCAAATAAATTTTCTCAAGTGCTGTAGAAATACTTTAATATTTTTGTATAAAACTCTATTACAAGTATATGGCACAATACTCAGTAGGTTTATAAGAAAATTGCTTAAGAGGCAATGTTTAATTAAAAGCTGCTCAGCTGTATTGACAAAAACAAATCAAGTCTTTGGAATTCCATTTTCCGCCATTGAGCCTTTTTTTTCGTCGCCAGCTATTTTATTTCACTTTCCGACATTTGGCGTTGCTTTTACTGTGTATGTATATGGATATTTTTGAAACATTACCAAACTATCACTTATATATATATATAGGCTGTATTTTGTATTGTTGTCGCACACTGAGTACAATTATAGAGTGAACCTAAGCCCCTCCTCTTTATTCTTAATTACTCAACCTTTATTTTTATTTAGATATAAAAGTATCTTTGTGAACTAAAACAAAAAGACAATAAATGCATTATTTAGGTAAGACGCTGATGAGTAGAAACGAAAAGAAGAGAACTAATATACTATAAAAAAATTAAGAAAAATGAAAATCATAAATGTAGATTAGTTTGTCATATTGCAGAATTAAGCACAATATATATATATATATATACATATATGTATACGTACATACATATACATACATAAATATACATATACACACACACACATATATATATATATAAGCATAAGCACAAGCAGACAGATATATAACCAGACATATAAACATATAAACAGGCAAGAGAAATATATATATATTAAGAAATAAAGAATTACACTGTGAATTAATTAGGGTCTTCATTAGGCTTGCTAAGCATAAGCCTTGTAAAGAAATTTAATTAAGTCAAGGCCTATTTATTTAGACTGGCAATTATTGTTATTATTGTTATTATGATTACTATTGCCATACAAGATTATATTTGGCTTTAATGAATTATGTATATATATATACATTTATTTATTTATTTATTTATATACCTTTATCATTGTCATTGTCATTGTTGGTTTCCATGCCAATATATTTAGTTCCAAATTAGAAAAAAGCCAATTGATACCATATATACTTACCTACATACACATCTGTACATATTAGATAATTCAATATTTCTATATATAAAACCAAGAAAAAGTAAAAAGCTAAAAATCAATTATGATTACAATAATGATTATTACTATGATCAATGAAATCAATATAATAAAAAGAAAGAAAGAAAGAAATAAAAATAAATCAAATAGATAAAGAAAGGGTATTTGATATTGGATATTGGATATTGGATATTTTAACTCTGGTCTTGTACTTGCTGGATAATTGTTCCAAATTTATTTTTAAAAATTTCTTTCTTTCTTTCTTCCTGTCTGTCTGTCTGTCTGTCTGTCTGTCTATTTCCTGAAAAGGATCAGATACATTAAAAGGTGAAACGTCCCTAGATAGGGAGCTAATGTGTCGAGTGTTCTGTAACCATTTGATTGAAAAATAACTTATTATTTGTAAAGGTCCGACTTTGTTCCCTCTTTCACTCTCTCTATCTCTTTGTCTTTTTTTGTTTGTAGTTTATTTATCCGCCGCTTGTGTATTATACCAAAGCTTTTTTTTTTATGAAGAAAAAGAAGAAAAAATACCCAAAACCAGTGGCTAAAATGATATCAGCCAGATGTTTTTATATTATATGCATACATACATATATATATGTGTATATGTATGTATGTATTTATAATAGCCATAACCGTAACTAAAACCATAATTATAACCATAACCATAACCATAACAACTATAATAATAAAAGGCTATTGATTTATTGCTTGAATAATTGATTAATAGTGGTTTAATTGTAATGATTGTCCTTTGTTCTTTGTTCTTTATTTTGTTTTTTATATATATATTTATATTTATCTATATACATTTGTTTAGCTCCATACACGAATACAGCCATCTCCACCCGCAGAAATCATGGCAACATCAGATGGGTGATAGTCAACTGTTGTGACAATCCCATCGTGTGATTTCAGAGTACATTTAAGGTCTCCTTCCAACACATCCCAAATATAAATATTGCCGTCTTCAGACCCACTAACCACATGGGCATCCGTATTGGTTAGAGTAGATTCAAGCTTGTACTCAGTGTGGCGGTGACCCTTGAATCTACATAAATAAAATAAAATAAAATAAAATAAAATAAAATAGAACAGAACAGAATAGAATTTTTAGTATTTTGCATATTATATTATATTCTATTACTATTATTTAAGCTTTTTTCAAAGTTTTGAACACAATTCTGGTACAGATAACACCAACACCACCAATAACAACAACAACAACAACAACAACAACAACAACAACAGAAATATATAAATAAACACTTACTCGTTTAGTAACGTTCCACTAGACTTATCCATAAGCCGACATGTATTATCTAATGTACTGACCACCACGCAATTACTGTCCTTGGAGAACCGAGCAGATGTAATGGCAGCTAAAATTAATAAGAGCATAAAAAGTGAGTAGAACGAGTATTATACATATACATATATATATATTTACTTACGGCCAATGTAATCTTGCAGTGTTCTACCCATTCGAATATCAAATATTCTTAATTTACCGTCTGCACATCCTGCAACTATCTCTGCCCCCTTGACCTGCACAGACATGACACTGTCTTTACATGCCTCGATGATCTGCATAGGCGAGAAATTCGAAGACCTTTAAAGATTCACAGATAATACATATGCATACATACACAGGCTTAGAATTCAGGAAAAAAAAAGGATGTAAAATGAAGCTCAACACATCAAAGCCTTCAAAATTTTCCCCAGCACCCACACACAAAGCACTAAACGCTTTATATCTATACATAGCCGCATTATAACAATCCTCTTCTGAATATATATATATATAGAAATTCTAAGCCTTTATCATATTGTGCTTTTACTTTACCTGCAATCCCATAATCTAATCGTGGCATCAAAAGAACCTTTTTAGTTTTTAATTTTTTTTATAGTGTGCAAAGATAATGATAATTAGTGACAATTATAGTATTTCAGAATTAGCATAATAATTTACCACTCACAGCCACCGTTCCATCTTCATTAAAATCAACAGCATTCACACGCTAAAATAAGAGACATTGCGAAAATAGATCAATAAAGATAGATGTAGAGAAGAAGAGGTGAATAAGAACAAGGTATATTTAAAAATCAATAAATAACACATTCACACATACACGTACACATATGTAATATATATATACACACATTGTTTATTGTGATTAAAGAACTTGTTACTAGACGCAAACCCCCCAAAAAAAACAAACCAAAAAAATAAAATAAAGTCAATCGTTCTATTTACCTCCCAATGAGCAGTGTATCGTCTCAAGATCTCACCAGACCCTACATCCCACAAGATGACTGCGCGATCAACACCACAACTTGCAATCTTTGTATTGTCAGAAGCACTAGACTCAAAACAAGTTTGAATAAACTAAATCTCATATATGTATGTATGTCTTCCATAAAAACAAATTATTCTACAAATACATATATACATATATATATATGCATTTAGTGTTGGGTGTCTTACACTGCTACTCCAAGTACTTCACGACCATGACCAGAATATGTATGCAGGTGTAGACCCGTGGATGGATTCCACAATTTAACGGATCTATCACGTCCTGCGGATATACAGTATTGGCCTACTTTGTTGTAACACACGTCATTAACAGGTCCTTTATGTCCACTGAGTGTCTGGACGCATTCTGTTGGAAACTGTGGCATTGAATTGAAATGACTTTTTTCTCTCCCTTTCTCTCTCTCTTTTATTCTAGGAAATTATAAAGGAATGTTTTTCTAAAAAATAACAAAAAAGAATGGAATGAACGAAGCACGAAATTAAGCAACTTGTGCTTTACTAAAAAAAAAAAGGAAGAGAGAGAGAGAGAGAGAGGGAGCGAGAGGTAAGAGAGGACGACTGTTGTGACGGCTTGAATGTACGATTTCTAGAAAACTATGAATACTTGAACGAAATGCACATTCATCATCATGTAAAAAGTTTCGAAAAAGCCTCTTCTATACTAGTAGTAATGATACTACAAATAAGCTAGTGACTAAATGGGTGAGCGAGCATTTTACTTTGTGAGTATTGCTACTACTTGATGAATTACTATATAAATATGAATTTGAGAGTGGAACAAGACGTTAATTTTGCTTTTAATGTGTTTATTTTTTTCTTTATTTTTTGTTTTAAAAAGAGAAAAGAAGAAAGGGATATATCTATATAAAAAATGAAAAATGGAATTGTGTATTTGTGTATTTGTGTATTTGTGTACTGTGTACTGTGTGCTGTGTGCTGTGTGCTGTGTGCTGTGTGCTGTGTGCTGTGTGCTGTGTGCTGTGTGCTGTTGTGTATTGAAGAGTAAAATATAAAAAAGAAGACATGTGATTTTTTTAAAAGGTTGTCTTGCTGTTCTTGCTCTTCTTCTTCTTTTTGTTCTTGTTCTTGGATTTGTTGTTAGTAGTGTTTGATTGCGAAGGCGAAGTAGACTGGGAAGAAGACTGGGTAGAGTCGTTCTCGGTCAATCTGACAGGTGTTGGTGCCTCTATTAATACTTCTACTGGTCGTTGACTGGGGTCTACTTCTTCTCCGGCATCACCAGGTTGAACATCGGTAGGCGAAGACACAAAACTGGATTCTTCCTCTGATGCCAACAATGCTGCAGTATTGATCAAAGGACGAGGAGCTGCCTTTTTGGTTGCATATGATGGTGGTAATTGTGATGCTTTGTTATCATCATCATCATCATCATCTACTTTGGGATCAATATCTTTTTCCACTTCATATTCAGTTGCACCTTTGGGTTGTCCTGCTGTTCTTGACACACCATCAAGAGGAGATTCAGCCAATGCAGCTGTCTCAACCACAGGAGACGATGAGATAGGAACAGGAGATGCCGATGGCGGCTTGCTATTGATCTTGATCTTGTCATCCTCCGAGATACTGGTGTCACTCTCATGAATAGTGTCACTTTGATCCTCATTCTCATCATGAAGTTGCTTTTGCCACATCTCAGAGTAAACACCTTGCTGACCATCAGCTGTCATCTTTTTGATCAATTCTTCATGTGTTCCGGTCTCAACAACGGTACCATCCTTGATACTGTTTTAATAGTCAGTCAGTCAGTCAGTCAGTCAGTCAGTCAGTCAGTCAGTCAATATTTCTTTCTTTTTTCATGATACCAAAATCACTTACACTAAGATGAGGTCAGCATTGATGATAGTCGACAGTCTGTGTGCAATAACAAGAGTAGTACGATCCTTTGTCATGGTCGACAATGCCTTTTGAATCTGACGCTCAGTTGTACTAAATAAATGGACACATATGTATAAGTCAATAGAATTGTTTCAAATTATCTATATATTTCTTCCTTTTTTTTAGTGACATTTAACTTACGTATCCAATGCACTGGTTGCTTCATCCAAAAGAATGATCGGGGGATCTTTCAAGATCGTACGAGCAATGGCCACTCTTTGCTAATAAACCAAATCAATTATAATAAATACATATTATTGTTTTCATAAAAAAGAATTGAAAAAGGTTAATTAATGCCAATATGATCATTTTCCTTGTTTTGTTTGAATTGGCTAGCTTATCAGTGTTGTTATTATCTTTACCTTTTCACCACCACTCAATCGAAGTCCTCTTTCTCCAACCTTTGTTTCGTAACCTAAAATAATAACAGGAACAATAATATTCATTTTGCACACAGCACAGCACAGCACAGCACAGCACAGCACAAAACAAACAATTAGTTTCATATTATTATTATTTTGTTAATTTACAAAAATTACCATTTCTTTCCACAAGGCCTCCCCCTCTCTCTATCTATTCTCTATTATTATTTTTTGCTTACCGTCTGAGAAGGATAAAATTTTATCATGGATCTGCGCAGCCTTTGCAGCCTTAATTACGGCTTCTTCATCAGCATTGACGTCACCGTAGCGGATGTTGTACAGAATTGTGTCATTGAAAAGTACAGTGTCCTGGGGTACTACGCCAATACTCTTGCGGAGTGATGATTGATAAACGGAGCGAATGTCTTGGCCATCAATACAGATGCGACCAGAAGCAGGATCATAGAAACGGAATAGCAGGCGTAAAATAGTAGATTTTCTATTATTAATGTTAATAAATATTGATATTGATATTGATAGCAGTATTAGTGTAATTATAGCAATTACTGTTAATATATATATACATATATATTCACTCATCCAAGCTAGTTATTATTAATAAACCTTACCCTCCTCCAGATGGTCCCACAAGTGCAACAGTGGCTCCCTTGGGAATAGAGAATGAGATACCATTTAGTGCAGTCTGACGGTTGTCGTAGCAAAAGGTAACGTTTTCTGTAATAATGAAAGTAATAGTAATTATGAGTTAATGTTGGCCTGGCTACTTGATTACTATATACAGCCTCAAGAAATAAAAATACAATAATCCCCTGATATACATATACCTGTTTATGTAGATGTATAAACTTTGCAACAATATTAATATTAATAATGAAGAAAACAACTTACCAAATACAACATGCCCTTCCTTAATAACCAGCTCCTTTGCATCAGGGGCATCCTTCACAGACTGTTCTACCTCAAAGAGGGCAAGCATCTTTTCCATATCAACAAAGTTCGATTGAATCATACGGTAGTACGTGCCAAACCAATGTAACTATCAATAGAAAATAAAGACATTTCTTTATTAGTAAGACTTTCTTTTTTATTTCTTATTGTTCTGTCAATAGGTATATATATATATATATATATAAATATAAATATAAATATAGGATCTATTTAAAGACTATGTATATAAAAAGGAAACAGAAATAAGGTTGTACTTACGGGAGTGTAGAGTTGCATCATGTACATATTAAAGACCACAAAGTCACCCGATGTAAGTTGGCCCTCAGACACCTTCCATGCAAACAGCAAACAACCTGCCAACAGACCACCGGTAATGATCGTGTTCTGAGCCAGGTTGAGCAGGTTGAGAGAAACGGAGCTTTCCCAATCGGCTTGCTGATATTCAATCACAGCATTCTTGTATCGATTGACCTCAAAATCTTCAGCACCATAATACTTGACCGTCTCAAAATTCAACAGTGAATCGACTGCCTTTGTTCGAGCAAAGTTATCCAGCTCGATCATCCGCCGTCTGAACTTCGTACGCCACTCGGTCATTGCGATAGTCGCAAAGATATAGAGTGCCATCGTAATAAACACAATCAGACCAAAAGGAGGCGAGAACCAAAACGCAAACACAACTACTGCCAAGACAATGTTGGCCAAGGCAGGAAAGATCTGGAACAGAAGCTGGGACAAGAGCTGAACAATACTGCTAGTACCACGGTCCATGACTCGCAGAACCTCACCAGTCTTGCGAGTGATGTGGTAGTCGAGCGAAAGGCTGTGGAGGTGACTGAACAGCTTTACAGACACTTCACGAGTAGTGTATTGTCCAACTGGAATCCAGATCCAGTTTTGCAATGATTGAATAAGGCCAGACTGAATTAAATAAATAAATATATATATAAAAAAAAGAAACGGTTTATGAGCAAAATCAATAAATCCATCAAATCAAAAGAGTGTCAATAATTCCAAAACTTCCCAATACTAAGAGAAATAACCAAAACAACATAATGTTTTCTTCTTTCTTTTAAAAACTTACACCACCTTGAAGGAAACGAAGACCAACATAAGCCAAAACTACTCCCCATGCAAACTTGCCTATAACATTTTACACACACAGATATACAGTTAAAGCTTTAATATATGTTATCCTTTTCTTCCTTGTTTATATATATATATATATATATATATATATATTCTTACCTTTTCCTTCACCTAGACGATCAACTACAGCACCGATTTGCAAAGGTGTCCAGACGTTGATAGCCAAACTGGATAAAAGTAACATAAAATCAAGCACGACGAGGAATTGAAGCCATGGATCATTCTTTGGCCAAATGAAAGGCATAAGTTTCCTGAGCTTAGCAAAAATGTTTGAAAATGTGTTTGGTTCTTCAGGTCGAGAGGTATCACAGGTAGGAATGGCACCCAATGAACCGTAACCGCGGGCTGCTGAAGTAGGTACTGATCCGTGGGTCAAGAGAGGTTGGGTCTCTTCCATTGGCTTGCTGAACAGTTGGACGGCAGCACACAGTACAAGGATCAACTCGATTGTGTAGCGAATGATGAATATTACCAGCAGAACATAATCATAAGATTCAAATTCTGTACCTATAATTCCCAGTCAATATGCGTCAAAGAAAATAATAATATATATATATATATATGTAATTGTTAATTTTTCTTCTTTTTCTTCTTCGTTTTTATTGTCCCTTCTATGCCCATTCTCTCGCTATTTGTTTCAACACATTTAGATAATAATGATCTATAATTTTTGTTTACCTGGCTCAGGATGATAGATAGCCATTGCCCACAACCATCCTACAGTCGTTTCTCCAATTGCTGCTGCAACCCAAAAGGCATACTGTGTTCCATGCCATTCTCCAAACTTTTGTGTTTCATCCCAAAGACATGTTTGACTTGCTGCCCAGGCTAACCATGATGTACCGACATAGTATGCAAATACTCCCGAGATAAACTTCCCGTCAAACAATACACGGCTGATAATCACGGCAGCGTCTCCTAAATAACTGAACAGGATTGCATATGACATGTAGACAATAAGTTTTGGAAAGGCAGCCAAACGTTGTCTATTGACCGGTAGCGATGCTGGCAGACTGTCGACATCAATCCATGGTGAATCGCGGGTTTGGATGTAGCGGGCCAGGCCAAGCACAGTAATGAGAACAAGAAGGGTGGTTGAACTCAGAAAGAAAGGAGTGGCCCAATCGAAAGGTCCGGCTGAATAATAGGGCGGATAAATGCTTGTAGGCTCTTCATAGCCCAAAGCTGTTGACAGCATAAGAGAACCAAATAGCAAGGAGAATAAAAGGAGGAAGAAGAGGAAGAGGAAGAAGAAGAAGAGTTGAGAGTTTTTTTTTTTGAAGGGGTGGGAGTGAGGAGGAGGGGGGGGAGGGGGGTTTTGGTTATTGACAAATTGTAAGTAAGAAGGAAAGGAAGAAAGAAAGGAGATGATTAAAGCCAAATGGTAACCAACAAAAAAAATTGGCTGGGTTGAATTTTTCTTTCTATTACAAAAAAAAAGGATATGAAAATTTAACTGCATCTTTGAACACAGTCACAATGCATCATTTTTTTTAGGAAGATGAGTAAGTTTTTTTTCTTTTTTTTTTCTTTTTCTTATTCAAAGTTAATAATAATATATATATATATATATATTATTCTTGACAGTATACACACGATGGCAGAGTTAAAGATCAATGTTGAGTTCAGGTAATAGCCTCACGAGTAGTTTCCCCGGAGTCTGACTCTCCAAGCGACACAACCACAAAAAAAAAACAAACACCCACACACCCACAAATAAAATAAAATATAAAGTGGTGGAATGGAGTTGTTGTTCAAGAACATCCGCAAGCACACCCTTGCCATTCCTGCTCAGTCCAAGGTGAACCCCTCTGGACCTGCTACCCTGCAGGACCTAATCTTCTACCTGCGCGACAACCTCATGACAGAGAAGAAGGACTTGTTTGTTGATAAAGACACGGTGTAAGTTATATATACATATGTAGTATATATAGTATGTGTAGTATGTGTAGTATATGTAGTATGCATAGTATATGTATATAGTGTATGCGTCCACGCATTAGCAAAAACAAAATAGATCAATAAAAATAATACTCTTACACACACACATATATATATATAATTGTATTGCATTAGTCGCCCAGGTATCTTGGTCTTGATCAACAACGTGGATTGGGAATTATGTGATGAGTTGGAATATCAATTGGAAGACAAGGATGAAATCGTGTTTATCAGTACATTGCACGGAGGATAGTAGGAATAGTAGTAGCAGCAACAGTAGTTGATATTATAATCGAAGCGGCAAGATTGGCCACAGTATAATGGGAGACTGTTGAGTACCCTTTGAACATGACTCGAGATAAGCTGAATTCAATAAATGCTCTGTAATTGAAGATGAAGCTTCTGATAAAATTAAGGTCGTAGCTGGGGCCTCAATTCCATTCCGATGAGCAACAGTTGATTCGTCAAAATCCCACTCTTCTTCTTCGTCTTCGATTGCTTCTGCTGCCTTGTCAATTGCATCCCCTAATGATGATAATAATATAAAAGGTTTTGAATATATATATATATAAGGAAGTGAAGGCATTTCGTAAGTAATATACTTACTTTCTTTTTTGTAAGCTTCAGAGAATTTAAAAATAGCAATGGTTTCCTTTGATAATGTATTTGTATCTTGCTCATATTCATCGTATTCATCATATTCCTCATATTCCTCATATTCCTCATATTCTTTGTGCTCTTCGTGTTCTTCAGCCTTCTCAAAATTGTTTTCCTTATTTTGATCTTCAATCATTTGATCATTTTCATCAATCTGTTCTGTGACAGGGTCAGGTTGTTCATTTTGCGGCTGTTGAGAATTATTGTTGTAATAGTTGTAATATTCGTGTTCATGGTTATTGTTGCTGTAGTAGTATTGGTCATAATAATTGTAGTTACTGTTTTGGTAGTTGATGTCCGGTGAATTACTGCTTTGTTGGGAGGGATTTATTTGTTGATGAAATAGGAATCCCTGCCATCGTGCTACTTGATCAGGTCCAAAATGCTTTGCATGAAAAGATCCAAATGGTAAAGAATTCATAATCAGATTATCTTCAAAAACACGAATTCAAATTATGCAGCAAATGTAAAACACAAGAACCAAAAAAAAACAAGACTACAAAACGACTTTCTCACACTGTACTGTCAGACTCCCAAAAACAAGGTTTATTTTTAAAACTCAGTACGAACAAAAAATAAAAGTTAAACTAAATGCGAAATGACAAGGCATTTAACATTTACATTACTTTTCATTCATATAAAATCAATATGCTTTATAACACCATCATTGTAAAATTAGGATAGCAAACTATAACATTATAAATACAACAGGAGAAGGTTTCTCTTAATGCAATGTGTGCAGTCTGTGGCTCCGTTTTGCAGCTACTGGCTTACTATGCACACAAATGTATTCTTCAGACATATAATAGTAGGATTGATTTCTTTAAAACTGTTTATGATATATATTTGATTATGCTTATTTTATATAAAGAGAGCATTAGTGTATCGTACCAACCTATGCTCAGAACCACCTTATAGAATATCATTCCTTGATTCTTATCCTGTCAAAAACACATTTTTTATTACTTGTGTTTTCACAAGGTTGAAATGATTTACAGCATTTCATGTCAAATGATATTACTTCTATATATAGCAGATATCTCTGTACAAACTTTCCTATTGGCTTACATTGGTGTATCTGAGATATAATAATGTAATGCACGACTATAAATATTAAAAAGAATATGAAAATAATATAAAAACAAAAATAAAAATGAGAAAAAGTTTGATGGTACTTTTCTGGAAGTTAATATTAAATCGCAGACAATATAAGAAACCTATTTTCTATTATTTGGAGTATCAATAAAGGTCGCTGTTTATTTAAATTGTTTTTTTAAGAAAGTATTAAATCACTTTGTTTCTAATTGGAGATTATAATGAGTAATGAAAAAAAAATTTTAAACTTATTTCTGTAATGATCAAAAAATGTTAAGCAATTTACTTCTTTTATCATTCTTATTATTATTTTTATTAAAAAAAACATGCTAAAATTTTTCTATGATTAAAATGCCTATTTATCAATATTCATAGTCTTAATTTTAATAGCAAACCTTCAACAGTAATAATGAAATAAATAAATAAATAAAAAATCACCAAGCATGGCAGATATTGAGTTCTTTGTCTAGAAAGGTTCGGTTTTTTAATACCCGAATTGATCATTTCAATTTCAATTTCAATTTTTTTATACATATGCTTTAGGGTCTTTCAATGCGTTTCCTTTTCTCTTCTTCTTATATTCTTTTAAAAGTCTATTTACTTTATTATTTAACTTGCTTGTCCATTAAGGAAAGATATATATATATATATATTTCTTTATATTTTAAAGATATCAATTCGTCTCTTATAATCTATTTATTAAATAACTAATTAATTTAAAAAAAAAAAAAAGAAAAAAAGAGGTCGAAAGATGGCAACTATCAGTGAACCTGGAATGAAACCAATTCCTGATGCAGTGAATAAAATATCTCTCAGCACTCCTGCTACAACAACAGGCAACGGACCAGAACTTACCTTCTCATCGACACTAGATGACGCAGAGAATCTCGAACAGCTCGGACCTGTCATCAAGCAGATTACTGAATCAGGAAAACAATCTGCTTTTCTAGACCAACTTGATGCTCTTATTCGAAAAAAGGATGGAGAGATTGAACGCATGTGCAATGCTCATTACCAGGTTAGAAAATTCAAGGCTATACCAGGAATTCATAAATGTACAAAAGCTAAACAAAGCTTACTTTGAATATTTATACTTCTTCTATACATTTTTTTCCCTGTTTGTTTGCTGTGCCTGTATTTATTTAAATGTATAGGAATTTGTTCACGCTGTTGATCAACTTCTTAAAGTGCGACAAGGATCAGTCAACTTGCGCCGAAAAATTGCTGATGTGAATACTGGCTTACAAGCCAGAGGAAAACATTTGACTGAAAAGGTAAAACCAAGAAAAAAAAAGTCAATATATTCATATTATCTATCAAGTAAAATTACTCAATCAAATATTTACACTATCATTTGTTGTAGAAAAAAGAACTTATCGAGGCCAAACGTGTTCAGCAAAACGTAGACAATGCAATCGAAGCATTAAAGACAAGCCTTGTAGTACTTGAATTGGCTAACAAAGTCAATCAACAATTGGATGAAAAGAAATATTATTCAGCTTTAAAGGTAGCGTTACGTAAAGCAATCCAATGTAGATAAAATCAAAGACAGTTTAGTTTTCATCAGTCTAATTTACCCAACATATAGACTTTGGATGGCCTTGAACATGATCGTCTTAGAGAAATATCCAATTACAGCTTTACCCAACGGCTCGGTAATCCTTTTTCTTCCTTTTTCTAGTTATTATAGTTTACATATACTAACAAGGCAGATTAAATGTGTGTAGAGAAAGGTGTGCCTGTTATGCAAAACACAATCAAAGGTACAGTTACAGTCGAACTCAAAGAATGGTTGGCAAGGTATGTGAGTCGATTCGGTTACAAATATTATTGAACCCGGATATTAAGGAAGCTTCTCAATTATATATATTCATGTATAACGACATGTGTAGAGTGCGCGAAGTGTCGCGTGAGATTGGATCGTTGGCTATGCAAAGAATGCAAGAAAGACAAGATAGATGGAGAACTAAAACAATCGAAAATCCAAAATTAAAGAATTTGCAGCACCACAATGTTAATTCTGCAATTGAGATGGTCGTTAATGAAGGCCAAGAATGTAAGAGGAAGAAAGAAAAAAGAGAGCATATATAGTTTGCAAGTTTGTTTATGTGATTTTTATTTAATAGCAAGCATTGTCGATGAAGTCAGTATTGATTTTGAACCTCTTTATCGATGCATTCATGTGTACGATACCCTTGGAAAACGCCATGAATTTAAAACGTCATATGAAGAAGACCGACGTGTATGTATTGCTTTTTTTTGTGGATAAAAATTTGGAACCTATTAATATTAACGAGGTTTGGGATGTATACAGGCACAAGCAAACCTGGCATTATCATCACCAATCAATTTGAGAGACGGTAATCTTGGGCCTTTCCAAACACTTCTTCAAGATATCGTGGGTTTTTTTATTATAGAACACATTATTCTGCACAACACAAGCGAGTTCAGAAGTCAGTCGGAGGCAAGTACAATATAGGACTGCACTGTACAATATAGGATAGCATAAACTTGAAATAATAACGATAGCATGAATAATATTACATCAGGCTAAATAAATTTAATCCCAAAACAAACAAACAGGTCGATGCTCTTTGGGAAATGGTTACAAGCAAGGTTATGATGGTAGTATCTGAAAGTCTAAAGGGATGCAGAGACCCAGAATTGTTCCTGAGAATCAAGTTTAGTTTGTTGATCTTCATCCAGACCCTTGAAGTAAGACAAAATTTTAATTACCACAAACTTAAAGCTTACAATAGTATCTAACATTACATTTCTTTTTTCTTCGATAATAATAGGGCTTTGATTACTTCGTAAAGCCCCTTCAAGAAACTTTGCTTGCCCTCTTCCAGAGATACTCAGAGCTATTAATCAACCAATACAGTGAAGTATTCGAAAAGGTAAATACCATAAGACCATTTAACTCCAAAACATATATTTCCCTCGCCAACATGCACTACCTTGTCGACATAGATTGTTCAAGAAGATGAGTGTATGCCCATGACAGTAGAAAAGGAGGATGAGCTCAAAGAGGTCATGCAATATACCCGATTCAGACCTGACAAAGAATTCTTGAAACTACACGGGTAAATACATCAATCAGCCTAGAGTCGCTATATTAGAGATTTTCTATTGTATTGCTGTTGACAATCTTTCTTGTTGGTCTCGTTTTAGGTTCCCGCTGCGTCTTCCTTTCTCAAAAGTATTTCCTACTTGTTGTCGTGATGTGAGCGCTTTTGTACATCAATTCTATCAGTTTGCCGAAGGATTCTCTCAAACCCACGGAGAGATGGATGATATATTGAAAAAGGTTTTTATTGCAGATCTTCAGATGCTATACTTGCTTTAGTCCAAACGAAATTAATATTATATTTTTTTCTTTTGGACTCTTTTTATATATATAGGCTGTTGACAGTCTGTTGATTAAAAAAGTCAATGCGATTTTACTCAAAAAACTGGAGTCAACCAATCTATCACAGATTGTACAGATTATCATCAATATCGAATTTTTCGAGTCTACCTGTCCTGATTTTGAGATGCTTCTAATGGAAACAAGATCTTTTCATCGCTCTGGTCGCATTCATCTCAAGGCTACCTCAACATTTAAAGAAACAAGACGGAAAGCAGAGAAGCGTATTTTCGAGCTAGTCAACTCAAAATTGGATGAATTCTTGGAGCTTTCAGAATACGATTGGTAAATAATCCAAATCTATAGCCAAATGTATCAAAAGGCCTAATCTTTATTTCTACTCAAAAACATATAGGGAATCGACCGAGTTGCAGAGACAACCCAGTCCAAACCTACAGGACCTTGTCTACTTTTTGACAAATGTAACCAATGCAGCCTTACTAAATTTGCCTGAATCCATCAAAAGTTTACTTTACTTTGATGCTCTTGAGCATTTGTGTCAATCAATGAAGGTATGTAGTATTATTGTTTTTTTTTGATAGAATATTACAAGATCTTTTGAATAATCGACTTATTGCATCTTTTTACTCTAACAATATGTTTTTTTAAAACATGTATATAATATAATGGTATAATACGCAGGCTCTTTTATTAGATTCTGACCAAAGAACAATTACAGAGATTGCGCTTCATAACTTTAGTATTGATGTAGAATTCATCGAAGACTTTGTCCGCAATCTTGGTGATCCAGCCATCACAGATACTTTCCTTGAACTACGACAGGTAAAATACTCATTATTTATACAGACTTCAGACGTACGGACGAATTTATGTAAGACAAATCGCTGATCGTATTTTGTGGATAATTATTATAGCTTTTGGATCTTGCTATGAGCGAGAATTCTGAAGAGTACTTGTCGCCACCAGTGAGAAACCGAAAATACAACCGTGTCCAGGGTAGAGATGTCATTATGCTCTTTGAAAAGTAAGAGACAGGACTCTTAAGTGTTTTAAACGCAATAATTTACCAAATTATACATCTATCTATCTAGGTTGCTTCGTGAATCTCCATCAACAAATGGATTGAATCAACAGCAAAAGATACGACGTAGATCCATGGAGAATGTGGCAAGGTAAGACAGTAATCGACAAATTAAAATAAGAATGAAACTTAAACTAAAGAAACACATATAGAGTTCTTCGCTCTGTTCATATTGGAGGACGATAAATAGAGTATATTTTCTTTTTCTTTTTCTACAAGACATCTCCTCTTCTTTTTGTTATTATTTATATATCCATAACCTTCAATTCCTTTGTTTTCGGTTCTTTTCTATACATTTATACCTCGTACAAAAAAAAGAGAGAGGAAGACAAATTTTGTGGCATTACATCTTCTTTGCCAGTTTGGCAAGACTAGCTTCAGCCTTTGCAATTCCGAGATCAGCTGCACGCTCAAATCTAGTCTTCGCATCTTTAAGTTTTCCAGTAGCTTCATATACGCAAGCAAGATTGTACTGAACTTCACCGTCAAGAGGATTGAAGTTCGAGGCTTGCTCAAGATGTTTGATTGCATTAGGAATGTCCTTCAACATAATATAAGCAGATGCGATGTTGGTGTGGGCATCAGCAGAGTGAGGGGTGAATTCAAGCGAGCGTTCAAATGATTTGATAGCATCTTTATGCTTTCCTACAAATATGCCAGGTATAAATAATCTGTACACAGCACACACACATACACACACACACACACATATATATATATATCTAATAACTAATACCACAAATCTATTATCTTGACTTACCCATCTGAAAGTAACAGACACCAATGTTAAAGTAACCAGCACCTGATTTACGAATTTATCTCGTTAAGTATTAAATATAAAAACCAATAGAAAATATATTACCACTTGGGGCAATCTGGACACTCTTGTGGTAATTGTTCATAGCCTACAATAAAAATAATAATATAATATTCATATTGCAAAGGCTTTGAGAATACTTGTATTTCCTTTTGTAATGTTTGATTTCAGTATTATTACCATGTCAATAGAGCCATTGTTCATGTGTTCAGTACCAAGCTTTATCTGTTCCTCGGCATCAGCAATGCGGTCAAACTTTGGTGCACTGACAGTGAATTCTGTAATTAATGTTTAAGTAAAAAAAAAAGTATATCCCTTTTTGGAATACTGAAAGTGCAGCATACTTCGAGTAGCAATATGTGTTACACGAGGGGCGACATGAACTGCAGCGCGAATTGTAACGGGAAAAGGCAATCGCTTGGTGGTCAGCTGTCTAATGATGGACATTGGTTTGGTATGTTGTATACAACTTCTTTTCAAAAGCAGTTGTTGCCCAGGCAACCTTGTTCGTGTCTTGCTATCCACTGTGACTGCATATTAGTCTTACAGTCACTAAACATATTGTGAATAACGGCTTAATTTTCTTCTAAGACACACAAATATTTATAAAAGCTTTAATCCAATATGCTTTTTACTAAAGTTTTGAAACGTAAGAACGCACAGCTTCTAAGACAGAATTATACCAAGCAAAATTAAGAATTAAAATAAGTAATAAATTTTGGCTAGAGACCTGTTTTTTTTAGAAATAATTTATACTACATTTCATGCTTAATTGAAATCACCTTTCGATAGCTTTTTAAATTGTAATAAATAAATTGATAATATGAAAGTCTCTAGATCCATTTTGATATTTCTGCTTACCACAACACCCTTAATTTCAAACATGCTGTTTATCGTATATAGGGTAATATATCTTTAAAATTTAATCTATGGTTCTACATTTCCAGTTTTTTTTATTATTAGAAAACAGAATAAACTTGGATATGAATTGGTATGAATGTAACCTGACCGATATAAACTGGTTGATAAGCAGTATAAAAGGGAAAATAAACTTTAGAATAAATATAATGATCTAAAGAGAAAGATAGATGATATAATATCACTATTCAAATTGCTTTCATGTCGTAAAAGCTTGTGGGTTTATTACTACTTACAAGCCACACAAGCTAATACGTTTGTTAACCAAAGCATAATTTATTTTCCTTCAACGCTCTCTTTGTTTTTCATTCTTTATATATATATGGGTTTATACGAATATAACAATGTCTCTTAAACGTCTGCATCGCGAGGAAGATACTTTTAATAAATCTGATAATGGAAATGTCAGTAATTCCGGTGATAAAACTGATTACGGCAACAGTGACAGTGACAGCGACAGTGATAGCAACAGTGACAGCGACAGCGACAGCAGCCAAAGTGCCAAACGTGCCAGACATACTCCAAGTCCACTTATACATCTACCTTGTGAAGTTCTGACAAAGATATTTATTCTATCTTCAAACCCTCAGCTTCCTCTGGTCTGTCGCTCTATTTCGTACATGCTCTACCATTGTTCGAATGGAATCAAACTAGAATGGCTTATGCATCGACACAAATATTCAATTCAAAAAGCATTACAAGCCTCATTGAATTTTCCCTTCGTTAATCCCGACCTCATTTTTCGCTTTTATTATCTTTATCAACAACAGAATAATGATATTAATAATGTTACACTATTGACTGATGTTATGATTCCTACACGTCTTTTCTCTGATGCCAAACCTGAAGATGAGTGCCTGGAACTCACCCGTTTACTGCTGGAGCGTGGGGCATCCCCTACAAAACCTAAAGGTTACCCAGTTATTAAAGCATCCCAAGTGGGTCGCCTTTCGATGGTCAAACTCCTGGTGGCATTTGGTGCCGATCCCACTGTACGTCAGAATATGGCATTAAGAGTCAGTGCTGCTCGCGATAATCGAGAAATAGTCAGCTATTTCTTGGATGATCTCAAGGTAGCCCCTGACAGTGAAACACTCAAAGCTTGTGTTCAAAAAGGTCTGTGGGACATGGTGACTATCCTCATGAATCATGGAGCTGTCCCTGATATGACCACGGTCAATTATGCCTAGATATAAAAAAAAAACAAAAAGAACCCAAAAAACAAGCACATACATACATACTTTTACATCATCCTAAGCATCCACTAATTTAATCATACAGTTCACTCATTCACTCAATAATAATGATATTGTCTACAGCTTAATTGGGAATACGGATTGTATTGATATATGATGTACTGGCCTTTGATATCAATTGAAGTTTAGTGTCTATTCTGTACAATCGAATTTGAGAATTGCAATTATTCTTCATGAATATTCTTCCATACTCTTTATTAGGAATACCAACCATATTATTATACAAAATCCTTTATTTACTGTACCTTTTTAAGATCGAAGTCTACCTAGACAATGAGGCATAACATACTGAGTATCTTCTCTTTTGATATTTTTAATATAGTATTCGATTTTTAACTTACTATTAAACGGCTATAAGAGAGAAACATTAATGTTATATATAAGAATGACTGGTAATATTTCACAAAATCTAGTGTTCAATAAAGGGGTAAAGATTTTTTCCCACTCAATTTACGCTCAATTAAAGTCAAAACTAGAACATAGTAGAAGAAGGGTAAACCAAACCAGTATTGAAATCAATGCCTTTCTTTTTTCATGACTTGGTTAATATGTTAATGGGATAGCACGTGTTAGTATTCTAAATTTTAAAGCGTATATAATTGTCTACCTGCATAAAAGTGACTAAAGAAGGAGGGAAAGGGAAAGGGAAGGGGGAGAGGGTATATGCTCCTTCCAAAGTCGTGTCATATTTTTTAGGAAGAGTTTTCTGCATGATACAAAGTGACCGCAAAAGTAATTTGTGCTTTCAAATTTCGACGATACTTCTTGGAATTCAATAAAGAAACTATTCGTCGTAGAGTACAAAAGTACTATGAAGCTAATTTACTAGAGAATGAGCCTCGTCAAGGAAGACCTAAGTTTCTCACGTCTATGTAGAGCTACTATACTAAAAAGGAACACATAGAAAGCAATTGCCATCAGTCAGTGGAAGTGATGAGAGAAAAGATGGAGAGTATAATTAGAAATTCTATCGTAGAAGATGCTATCAGTAGAGCCATATAGGAGAAGCCTAGCCATAATTACTGTGTTACGCAAAAGTCATTTTCTTGTGGTTTTAAGGTACACGCCTGAAATGGGTTAACGCAAGAATAAAATAGGGTTAAGAATTGAGAACAGTAACTTGGAAGGCTGTCCTGCTTCTATCTTTTCAAAGTAGTTAGGTGAAACAACGTGTGGAAAAAGTCTGAATTTAATACCACCCTGACTTTATGCAATTAAAAGTCCAGAGGTGGAGAATCAGTGACGGTATTAGGCCACTTGTGTGCTTGAAGAACAACACAAATACAAAGGAATATAGCTAGGTTATGAAAAAACAATTCAGGTTTTCATAGGATTCGATTTCAAACAAAAGCACTCAACAGTACGCATTTCAAGAAGATAATTTGCTAGTTCACAAAGCAACTATTTAAAATATGTATAAGAAAGAACGTGGACTTGATGTTTTTGATTGGTCATCAAAGAGTTCAAACTTAAGTCCAATTAAGAATATATGGAGCCTACTGCACGACTGTTTGTGTGAGAGGTCTCTTGGTCTTATAAAACTGAGGTAGCTATCTAAAGCTTTGAAAGAAGAGTGGCAACTGAAAAGTCCACAAGAATGCTCTTTTTTCTATATTTTTAGAGAAGTAAAATACAAGCACGTGACTTACACTCTGTCTTTCAATAAATTTTTACAGTGTCCTTGAAGTCGTAATGAATTAGAAAGCACGCAACTTAAATGCATTATTACATCTTTAATAATCTCCCGCACATTATAAAAGAGAACAGATAAATGGGATTATGTGCTATACATAAGTTAGCAGTAATAAAGAATTACATATGACTGCATGTAGGATGAATGCACCCTCAAGAGGAGAGAGAGAAAAGTTAGTACCTACTGTAATAGTATGCCCAACAAGCTGCTTGATGTTAAAAACGATAATAGTGGCCAAATCCGATATTATTATTATTATTATTTTTAAAAAAAGACCTCATATTTTAATTGCAAAAATTGGATGACATAAGTTTTATAATGTTCGTGTTCTAGAACTATTGGCTAAATATATGAAGAATAAGAGAGGTGTAAAGACTATCCAGTTGATTCACAAGTGTCGCAGTTTAAATACTCAAATTACTTTTGCGTTTACATTGAATCTCTGGTTAAACTGCGTCTGGGTGAACTATGTCTGGATAAGCTGCGTCTGTGTGAGCTATGTCTGGATAAGCTACGTCTTGGTGAGCTATGTCTGGATAAGCTACGTCTTGGTGAGCTATGTCTGGATAAGCTACGTCTGGGTGAACTATGTCTGGATAAGCTGCGTCTGGGTGAACTATGTCTGGATAAGCTGCGTCTGGGTGAACTATGTCTGGATAAGCTGCGTCTGGGTGAGCTATGTCTCGATAAACTACGTCTCGAAAATCTACGCCTGGGTGAAGTGCGTCTGGGTGAAGTGCGTCTGGGCGAACTGCGTCTGAGTGAGCTGCGTCTGAGTGAGCTAAGTCTTGGTGAACTGCGTCTTGGTGAACTGCGTCTTGGTGAGCTACGTCTGGGTGAGCTATGTCTCGATAAACTACGTCTGGATGAGCTACGTCTAGATGAGCTACGTCTAGATGAGCTACGTCTGCGAGGTCGGCGTGGGCTAGGAGAACGTCTAATGGGACTTCTGGAAACAGATCGAACGCGCGAGGGAGGGCTTCTGCCTCGAACTTGACTTCTAGGACGTTTTTGAGTAGGTCTGGATGAGATACGTCTTCGAGCACGACGGGGACTAGGGGATCTTCTAATAGGGCTTCTGGAGATAGATCTAACACGTGGCGGAGGGCTTCTGCCTCGATCTTGGTTTCTGGGACGTTTTTGAGTAGGTCCAGATGAGCTGCGTCTACGGAATCGGCGAGGACTAAGAGATCTTCCAACGGGACTTCTAGAAGCAAGTCCGGTACGCGGAGGAGGGCTTCTGCCTCTATCCTGGCTTCTGCGGCGTTTCTGAATAGGTCTGGATGAGCTGCGTCTACGGGATCTACGGGGACTAGGGCTTTGGCTGAATGAGCCAGAGCTTGAACTAGATTCATAGCCTGAGCTGGAGACTGAGCTGGAGCCTGAGCTGGAGCCTGAGCTAGAGCCTGAGCTAGAGTCTGAATCAGAGTCTGAACCAGAGCTACTGGAACCAGAGCCAGAGCCAGAACTAGAATCCGAATCCGATGAAGAGCCAGAAGATGAGTCGGAGTTGGAGGATCTGCTTGATCTTGAGAAGAGGTTGAGTCCACACGTCTCAAACGCATACTTATATATATATATATACGAATACATATATGTATTTATTATAGTCCTGTTTGTTACCTGCGCTTCTTGACCATTCTCTTTTTCTTTTTGTCTTTGAGAATCTTGTCTGCCAAGCCATTTCTAGAAACCAAGACATAAGTTTAATATAAAATAATAATAATAATAAACTCATTTCCATTTACCGATCCTGAAACTCGATGGGAATCTCTGGTTCGACAAGTTTAAGAGGTTTTTTTAGTTGTTGTGTGCGTGTAGGACGTGAGCAATAGCTTCGTTCCTTTTTACATTCATAGGTCTATAAAATCTGTCAGTCAAGTATTCATCTCTGCATTCTTTTGATTCTTGTTACGTACCCAGTGACCATATTCCAAACACTTTTGACAGCGCGTGGACGGAGTGGCCCTGGGACCAGAGTGCGATGACCTACGGGAAATGAGCTTAGCTGAATCTGTTAAGCATATATTGAAAGCTGTAAAACTTACTTTGCTCCTGTTCTGTACATGGCTTATTATGTGCGTGTGTGCGTGGCAGACAAAGCACGTAAAAATTTGTCCTTGGCAAGGCACTTTAAAAAGTCACGTGCACAGCCTGTTTTAATAATAAGATCTGTGGTAAAAGAACAAGTGTAAAAGAGAGGGAGTGATATGATTGGTCACATTAAGAGAGTTTATATTTGTGGTAACCATTACCAATGGTTGTAGCGGATGCGCTTATTTTGTCCCTTTAAAGTAAGGGAATTGCGTATGGTATGGCAACGCAAGAATGGATATTTGTATCACACTAATGTCGATCATTCTTTTTTTTTCTTAGGGTCTGTTTTATGTAGAGCGATAGTGATTAAGATGAGTATGTAATGTATAAAAGGAAGATGCATTGTAAAGCTTAGATAGCAGATGAGTCAAATTGCCATGGCCGAAGAGGAGGTAATTTGACCTGGGGTTCCCTTGTGGGGTCGTTTCGCTCATATCGTAAGGGATCGTGGTAGGTTTGGTGGTAAGGATCGACGATATCAAGAGGAGGAGAGACGAGGCCTGGAGGAGTTTGTTGCTGAGTAGAAGTAGTATGAGGAGATTCTTTGTGATTATTACTGTTGTGATGTGTCTCGGGATGGGCCGGCTGTGGTGGAGATGCTGTGTGGCTCGAGTAATGATAAGAGGCATAGACCATGTCAGGGGAGACAGAGGCAGAACTCTTTGGACTACTTGCGCGTGCTAATTGAAGGTCGTTGTTGGCTTCGTCTTCTGAAAGACCTACTATCTCGGAGCGTATTGGAGGTGAATTAAGGCTAACAAAGTGATAATTGGCAAAATATTTTTCATTTGCAGTAATACTATAGGACGGAAAAAGGATATTTATCATCAGAGGTCGTTCGGGTGGTACCCACTCAGTCAAGTGCTGGTTGTCAAGTGCACCTAAGTAAGAAATTAAAAAAGGAGTGATGTCAGCAGACACGCCTGATTGCTATTACAGCCTTTACCTTGGCCATGGGAGTAGTATTCTTGTTCAAGTATATTGATCTTTTGCTGAACTTGTTGAATCATGGACCGTCGGAGAGCCAACTTGTCCCACTATGGCCTGGCTTCAATGCATGCTTTGGTTTTGATTGTTTTTTTTTCTGCTGTAGTATACTTACATAAAACTGGTCATAGGCCATCTTATGCTGGCAGGTCAGTGCGTTTTTAATATTCATCTCGATGAGATCGTGGCGCGATTCAATAGCTAGTCTTTTCTGCTCATGTTTGACTTTCATATCTTCCATCAAACGATGATAGTCAGGATGGCTGTGGTCTTTAACCGCTTTTTCGATTTTGTCTAATTCAGCCAATCTGCAACCAAAGAAGACGAAAATAAAAACAAAGAGATCAAGAAATGGCAGAATATTTTTTATGAGAACAATAATAATGCATGTAATAAAACACCATACGGACCTTTCTTTTATTACAGCATCTCTTTCAGCTCTCTTGGCTTCTCTTGCTTCTTTAGACATGCGTTGGGATGTATGGCGAGTTTCTCTATCGGTATCGTCTCGGCCAGGGGCTTTGGAGTGTGTTTCTTTCTTCTTGTAGATAGGGGCTTTTGTTTTGCGCCGTCTTTTTCTTGGCTGTGGCTCATTAATGGAATCTGCGGACTGAGATCGCGCGTTGGCAGAACTGGTAGTAGCTATATGGTCGGGTGAGAGAGAGGAGGGATCTTCTGTTTCTAAGCTGTCCTTGGGATTCATGATGGGTGATCCCGAATGGGCTGACCGGCTTGCTCGTCGAGTGAGCACCCTTGATGTTGTTACTTCCTCCGAACTCTCTGACGAGTGCTTCACAAGAGACGACATGATCAATAAGAAACACTAAAAAGTGTGGAGAGTAAGAGAAAGGATGGAGGGACAGTCGGAGTTATAAGCTCAGGGAAACCAGAAACAAAATAGGAAAGAGCGCGAGCGGTGAACACATCACATCGCTAATCTTTAGTTGAGCCAAGCGCGCGCCTTAAGAGGCCAGAAAATGTGATATTTGTCTCTCAGCAAGCCACCCTCAAGAGCACGTGTATTATGTGATGTCACGCACTCACTTGGTCTTCTACTTCTTGTCTTATTTAAGAACTTACTATTGCTCTTCACCTTGTACCTAATATTTTTTTAATACCAAGTATGCCTACGCTCACCGGTGAAAGACTCGACGCTTTGCGCGAATTGATGAAGACCGAGGACTATGCTATTGACGCATAGTAAGTATCCTTAGCTCACTTGCAGTGGAAGTCATACCTTTTATTCTTACTTGACCTAAAACCTTTGTTCTTCTTCTTCTTCTTCTTCTTCAGTCTTGTTCCTACTGAGGACGCACACCAGGTAAGACAATAACAATCATCAAACCGCCCTGCAGTTTACTAATACTTTCTTGTAGAGTGAATATATTGCTGACTGTGATAAACGTCGCTACTGGATCTCGGGCTTCACTGGCTCGGCTGGTAAATATTAGTACAAATCTTCCTTATTGGATAGCAGAATAATAATGTAGAACTTTCTCACGCTCTGTGCGTGTAGGGTTTGCTGTTGTCTCGTTGGACGAGGCTGCTCTTTTTACCGACGGTCGTTATTTCCTCCAGGCATCGGAAGAGCTGGACTCTAACTGGACCCTGATGAAGCAGGGCCTTCCTAATGTCCCTACTTGGCAAAACTATCTTGTCCATGTAAGTATTCTTATTCAGGTATATATTTCTTAATATTGACAACGGTGGTAGAATCTTCCGGCTGGCTCCCGTATTGGACTGGACCCTACCCTGATCTCTGTTGGTATGCACTATTTGTTATTTTTGATGGCTGTAACACCTTATTTTATAAACGTTTTGACTGATTGCATGATACCCGTGTAGCCGACGCCAGTCAATTGTCGGATGAGTTGAAGGCCAGCGGATCCTCTCTTGTACCAATTCAAAAGAATCTTATTGATATCATCTGGAAGGAACGTCCTGACGCTCCCAAGGACCATGTATTTGTACACCCCATTGAGTTTGCTGGTAAAATATTAGATATATATGGGTGTGGACTTTTTTTTAAATGAACTGTGACTAAAAAAAAAAGAAAAAACAAAAAAAAATTGATTATCCAAATTAGGCAAATCGCACCAAGAAAAGCTGAGCGATCTACATGCCCACATCAAGTCCAAGGACGCGTTTGGACTCATTGTCTCTGCATTGGATGAGATTGCCTGGTTATTTAACCTACGTGGATCGGATATTGAATGCAACCCAGTTTTTTTCTCCTATGCAATCATCACACAAACTGGTTCCACTTTATACGTTGATGATGCTAAACTCAGTGACAGCGTTCGCGAGCACCTCGGATCTGAGGTTATCATCAGATCATACGCTGATGTGTTTGATGACCTCCGCAAGATTGGCTCGGAGCTTGAAGAGTCTAACCAAAAACTACTCATTAATGCCAAGACCAGTCTTTCAGTTGAAGTGGCCGTCGGCAAGGTACAGATGTCTATAGGCCAACTCAACTATTCAATTGGGTTTTAAAGACATGTTCGTCATTTTTTAGGAGAATGTTACCGAGGAACGTTCAATTATCACAGATCTCAAGGCAATCAAGAACGAGACCGAGTTGCAGGGTTTCCGCGACTGCCATGTGCGTGATGGTGCTGCTCTGATCAGATACTTCGCCTGGTTGGAAGACCAGCTTAAGCAAGGTGCTGTTCTTGATGAAGTCGATGCTGCTGATCGTCTTGAGAAATTCCGTAGTGCCGAAGAACACTATGCCGGACTTTCTTTTGATACAATTTCTTCAACTGGTCCTAACGGTGCTATTATTCACTATTCGCCTGAGAAGCCCACCGCCAAGATCATTGATCCTACTCTTATTTACCTTTGTGACTCTGGAGGACAGTACAAGGATGGTACCACAGATGTCACAAGAACTCTTCACTTTGGTGAGCCCACTGCTTATGAAAAGCGATGCTTCACTCGTGTTCTCCAAGGTCATATTGCTATTGATGCTGCCGTATTTCCCACTGGAACAACTGGTAAATCATTTTTTATAAAATTTATTCCAAAAAAGAAATATCAACTAATTATTTTTTTTGTTAAAAAAAAGGCTATCTCTTGGATCCATTTGCTAGACAGGCACTGTGGAAGGATGGTTTAGATTTCTTGCACGGAACTGGCCATGGTGTTGGTTCCTTTTTAAATGTTCATGAAGGTCCTCATGGAATTGGTATCCGTATTGGTTACAACAGTACACCCTTGGCTGCAGGAATGTCTGTAACAAATGGTAAAATCTTTATACTTGTATAAACACATATATATGATATCTATATTAACGACGAGTAATTTGTTTCCTAGAACCCGGTTATTACGAAAATGGCAAATTTGGTATCCGTATCGAGAATGTCCTTCTTGTCAAAAAGATTGATACCCCTCACAACTTCAATGATCGTGGTTATCTTGGATTTGAACACGTCACTATCACTCCCATTGGCCTTAGCTTGATCGATGTTGAGCTTTTGTCTGCTGAAGAAAAGGAGTGGGTAAATACCTATCATGCCGAGTGCCTCAAGAAACTTGGTCCCCGAGTGGCTGACTGCTCACTTACCACGGCATGGCTTGAGAAGGAAACCATGCCTATCTAAATGCATGCATATAATCACACGGCCACACCCACGCCTACACCAAAATAGTTTACGAAGAATATCTTCATTAATATTCTCTTTATATACTCTATTTTTATTAATTTATCTTTATACACTATTGGTTCTCCCTTTAAAGCATCCAATATATTATAAACGTTATGCTCTTTATATGTTTTGTACTTTATTACCAACATAATTATGCTTGTTACATATCAAATGTTGGCTCATGAAAGGGCGGCCCATCAATCGCAAGCACACGTCACTATTAATTACGTACACTGGTTCTAATGAGGGTGCATTTAGCGAGCCCTTTGACGCGTATTGTCCTTGTCGCTCCGCTATCCTTTCTCATCCAACTCTTTTAACATAACCGCAACCACAGTTCAGTCATGAGTCGCGGATCAAGTGCTGGATATGACCGACACATCACCATCTTCTCACCGGAAGGTCGTCTCTACCAAGTCGGTAAGTCTGCCTGTGCCTGCAATCGTGTACCTGTATTATGCATCCCAACCCTGACACTTGTATTTTATATCTATATCGCAGAATATGCCTTCAAGGCTATCTCCAATGCAGGCATCACTTCAGTCGGTGTTCGTGGCCGAGACGGCTGCGTAATCGTTACTCAAAAAAAAGTCCCTGTAAGAAATCAATCAAACACCAGAAGATATATCTGTCCTGGATTCAATAAACTTACAGGAATTCTTCTCTTTTCTTTGCTTTTGTAGGACAAGCTTTTGGATCCCTCGACAATTACTCATGTCTTTCAATTGACCCCTAAGATCGGTTGTGTCATGACTGGAATGATTGGTATGCGATCTTTACTTTCTCTTTTAAAATCAAAGACATTGCTCATCAAATCATTCTCTGATCAATTATGTTCACAGCCGATGCACGCTCACAAGTTACACGTGCTCGTCAGGAAGCTGCCGAGTTCCGTTACAAATACGGTTATGAAATTCCTACTGATATGCTCGCAAAGCGTGTGGCCAACATTAACCAAGTTTATACTCAGCAAGCAGCAATGCGACCTCTTGGTGTCTGTAAGTTCGAAATTCACTAAAAGGAAAAACAACCAAGAAAAGGATAAAACAAAAAAAAAACTTAAAAGTGGGAAAGAGAGAGATAGAGATAAATGATGAGTAAGTCGTTTGGTACCAAAGATCTCATGAATGTTGGTGTGGGAATGTATAGCAATGATCCTGATCGGTTACGATGATGAGCTCGGTCCACAATTGTACAAGTGTGACCCCGCAGGTTACTATGTTGGGTACAAGGCAACAGCTGCTGGTGCAAAGCAACAAGAGGCACTGAACTATCTTGAGAAGAAGTTTAAGAAGAACTCAGAATTAAACTTGGAAGACACAATTGAGGTAAAAATGAGCAGGGTTGTTAGATTTTTTGCGATATAAAAATATAATTTGACTAAATAAATTCTTGGAATTCTTGGTTTTATTAGCTTGCCATCACAACTCTTTCAACAGTATTGGCTGTTGATTTTAAGGCAGGGGAGATTGAGGTTGGTTTGGTTACAAAGGATGATCCCAGTTTCCGTACTCTGGACCTTGATAGCATCGAGGAGCATTTACAGAGAATTGTTGAGAAAGATTAAAAGAAAATACCCATATCTTTGTACCGTGTCTCAATAAACCATTTTTTTTTGTATTTGGGTACTTGTGTATATGGCTTGAAAAAGATGAATGAAATAGGTTAATGTTTGAAAAAAAAAGAGCGGTTTATACTTTGTTTATTGAATACAATATAGGAACATAAGGACATGAGGTAGGAAGTATGCTTTAAGGATATAGATTGAGTTAGATGTATTTATGTTAAGTAATGTACACACTAAAGAAGATATTTTCCCACTAAAGCGTATAAACAGTCCACCAAGCTGGCGTTTTACCAGTCTACGAATATTTTAGTACAGCTACATAAATAATCATCGCTCTTTCTTACTTTAGAAAACGATCGTCTTTCAATTTCACTCGATATCCTAGGAGAAGATAACCATATACTCAGTATCTCTAAAGACACATAACCTGTGTTTCCACGAGACGTAAGATAGTCAATCTCTTCCTTCCAAGCTTTAAGAACATAAGTAACAGGTCGATCTTGTAAACCAGTTTCAAAATCCGCGAGATATATATTTTCGGCTGTCGAATCTCCAGTCAAAAGTGTATCATTAATCGCTTTAACGGTACCAAGCAACCGAGTCTTCATTAAAACGCACTCTTTTTCTTGTGTACCTTGGTGTAAGGTATAAAACATGGATGTGTGTCTTCTGAAAGATTAAAAAAATGTGATCCCAAAAATTAAGACAAGGAAAATATACAAAACAGTTGGCTTTATATAGTTTTAATAATACAAAGTTTCCGCAACTTTATATCAGTCTCCTTTAATTCACTTATAATAAGAATCCCTGGGAACTACCTATTCTTATAATAAGTATATTTAGATAATTGATAGTAATCATACAACAGGTTATATTTTATCAAATCCCCCCAAAAAATTGTAGCAAAATAAAAGCCTACTTCTTTCGCGGTTATTTTCTTGAAAATTAATGACCCCTCATGAAGTATATTCTATTTTCCCGATTCACGCTTTTATATATTAAAAGCTAAAAATAATAAAAAAATGTTCTTTGTTTTTAAACCATCAAATAAATTAATTGATCCATTAATGAATCATGATCTCTATGCAGTCTACTTGAGTAGAGCAAGTTTTACAGATACCGTTTCAGTTTGACTCATTGAAACCCGGAATATCAGATAGCAAAGAGATAAAATTTGTAGGAAAATGCCTCCCAATTGTATAACTTGAACACTACTTGCCCACACCAACCTTTTGTTTTGCTTTTTATCCAGTATGACCCATGTAAGCCTTAAAATTAACCCATTTATGAGATACTGATACTTACACAAAATCGATAAAACAGCTTTTCTAATTGACATTTTCATTGAGAAATATTCTAAAATTCTATTTTTTGCTATTCAGATGCTATAGTTAAATTATATTAACTCCTGTGCTATTTGAGGCTAGGAAAGGTTGGTACTATAGATACTTTGAGGCTTTCTTTATTGTATTCGAAGATAGATTAAGTCAAATCGAATTATCCTGCTCAATGTTATATATGCTGTTTATAGTTATATAGATATATCCAGTCATCATAGCAACTCCGGTGAGGATAATTTAAGCACTTCTTTAATATGATCCATTGATCAATCAGGCATATTGATAGTCTGCTTTAGATACTAGCTTCATATTGGGTACAAAAGTATCCCAAATCCAGCAATATCCTTGCACACAAGACTTTAAAGACACTTCAAGTATATGAATTTATATTTTTGCTTAAATATTAAGGGTTTTAAATTATTTTATTCAATGAGAACACTGTTACTTAATAAAAGTACAATAATTAGCATTATTTAATGTTCAGATTTGCTGTTTTCTGAAGAAGTAGTTTGTTCGACGGCTACATATTTAATAACACAATTCAAGGATTTAATATTTACTGTACAATTTAAACAAGATTATTTTAATTAATATATACCCTTTGCTTTTTCCTTGGAGGGAGATTCGTCTACATCCAAAAGATCATCGAGATCATCAACATCATCATTGATAATATAAGTATTCAAATCATTGTTCTCCTGTGATTTTTTTGCCTTGGTATTGTCAGGTGCACTGAATGTAATGGGCCCACCTATTAAATATATATTAATATTATGCTTCAAATAATTTCTTGTTACCCTACCTTCGTCAATTCCCTCTAAATCATCATCATGAACCAATGGTGAAGATCTTGGCTGGGAGACTTCTCTGTTTACTCTCTCTTCTTCATTTGGTTCGGTTGCGGCTTCATACATAAAGATATATATATATATATATATATATATATATATATAATGGGTAATTTGTTAGGGAGCTAAAGTTATAAAGATCGTATTTCTCTTCCATACCAGCAGTATTATTTCTTTCCCAGAAATCTTCTTGTGATGCCAACTGTCTTGCAAACTCCTCATCTTTACGAATCTGTTCTTCCAAGGCCAACGAGGTTGCTGTTTGGGCAGGAGCAGCAGTACGCTGCTCATAACTGCCAACAGATTGAGATGATACTCCGCGAGCCATTGGATTGGTAGGGCCATTAGAATGCAGTCTTCCTGTAAACATTATATCGTGGCATGTAAATAAACCCCATAACAATATCTTCCTTAGTATTTTTCTTTGGTACTTACCGTTCCACTCGTAAATATCAGCAGAAGGCAGTGTTCCAGAACGAGGTCCAGGTGCCCGCGAATTGACAGGATTATCTGATAAACGCAATCCAGACATATCATTTGCCAAGTTTTGGTCACTCTTTTCTCTTGGATTGAAACTGTTGGAATACATTTCATTTTCAGTTATATATTATAGTATGTTCATGCTGATTTGAACATATTCTAACCTTTGTTGAGGTCTCTGCGAATAACCAGGGGATGAAGGACCACCAGCTTGCTGGTCTACTGTTTGTGTGGCTGCCTTGAACTGGCTGTAAAGATCGAGTACTTTCTTTTTAGCAGCTATTTTACATAATCAGTTTTCTAACATTTTAGTTTGCGTGTGTGTGTATGTGTGTAGTACACACATGTGTATTTAGCTTACCAATACCAGCTTCAATGACTTTCTCTTTGATCACTGGAAGCTCTTCTGTAAAAATTTCAAGTTATACGTCGTGTTAAAACTCAATGTATAATCTAATTATGGTATCACTTGCCTTGAAAGTTGAAAAAGGGCTCCTCTGGCTGCTGCTGTCTCGGAGTTGCTGACTGTCGTCTCTGGGCTCTATCCTCCAAAGCCAATTGTCTTGCAAAGGCCTCATCCATTCGTAACTGCTCATCAACTGAAAGAGGTTGTTCTTGAGTCGCGGGCTGGGTAGTTGGGGGTTGGGGTTGAGTTCCTCTAGTGTTGGGATTACTAATAGGTTGCGCTTGCTGTGGCAATGCAACAGGCTCTGGTTTGTAGCTGGGGTCATTCATGCCAAGCAATACTTCGAATGCCGAATCAAGCGTGTTTCCTTGGCTCTCGAGAATGGCCTCAATGACATCGACGTCTACTGAAGGGAATGCTTCCTTGAGAGTTCTTACGGAATCAGACATTACTGGAGGTGGGGTGTCAACTGGAGTCGACATGAGTGGATTGGAAGAAGGAATGGTAGGTGACTCGTGGCTAGCCGTTGTCACACCATTGTCCTGTTCTTCTCTGTGGCTATCTGAGCCGTGTTCAGAGCACAAATCCATTTCTGGACTGGTTTGTGCTTTTTCTTTATTATCGAAAGACATAATATTGAATCGTTTGGAGGGATTGAAGAGAAAGTATGTATTGATATGGTCGCAAAATGTAACTTGTAAATATATAGCGGGATTCGCTTTTTCTTCATTTTTTTCATATTTTTTTTTTCTTTTTTCTTTTTTCTTTCTTTTTTTTACAATGATGCAGCGGATATCCAATGTGGAATAGAAAATCTGTTTGCCTTTATTCAGACTCCAAAAAAGATATATTTGCGTCATGTACAACAAAATAAAACACCACTTGTAAATTGAATTGCCAAGTTTTCTGTAGTGACAGATTCTACACACTCTGTGTAAAGGAGTGTAATTAAGGATCAGTAAGAGCCTTAGTCTATATGTATTAGACTCCCAACTGGGCAGCAAATGAGAGTGCCACCTGAGCCGCAAGCTTTCGGCGCTCTGCATCAGGAAGATCCTTTCCCTTTTCTACAATAAAGCTTATGATAAGCATACACATCAATTAAAGAAAGTTATTATACCTCTCATTGCATTCAATGTCTCAAACGCCTTGTCGAGGCCATCTTCGCCGTCCAAGTCTCCGAACAATTGGTTTTTCATCATATTTATCTCATCCTGGTTTGGAAGACCTATAGAAATGGATAAAAAAATATCATCAGAAACAAATTATTTATAAATGTATGTATTCAACCAAGAGAAAGCTCACCTAGATCATCGTTGGTCTCATCAGATTGGTCATGACGGTCGTGTTTGATATTCAATTTTTGAAGCTCTGGTGTATATGTCAGTCGGCAGCAGTAAATAGTCTATACAAATTATCGAGCTACTAATTACCTCGATAGAACTCTTCTTCATCGTCATCTTCATCTAATGCATTATCATCTTTATACTCTGGTTTATGAGGCTTCTGACCAACTGTGTCTTTGTGAGTTGATCCATCCCACATATTTGTCTTCAAGACCTCAACGGCCAATTCCACGCCTGCTTTATCTAGCGGGTCTTCTGTAGTTTCGTCAAGATCGATGTATTCAAACTCGTTGTCTAGGCACCATTCTTCATAGTCTATTGTTTCTTTCGAGTTTGTTTTTTGGGCATTTTTTTCAGTCTTTCCGACGCACAAGCGAATGGACGGATCGCATTTCTCAAGGAAGGGAAGCCATGAGCGCAGCGAGGAAAACGTTTCTGGCTACACATAGTATTTGTTCAATTTTATCAAAACATAATTGCCACGTATCGGTTTACCTTGTCTTTACGAAATACATAAACAAACGCATCAATAGCTTCGGTGATACCATGGGATTGTTCTGTGTATGCCTTGATATCTTTCTCGATAGTGTCTGGGGCAATTTCATCCAGCCAAAAATCGACATTAGCTGTATAATACTTTGTGTCAATCGTCCAAGGAATACGCAATCCAGCATGAGAGCCATTCAGCTCTTTAAGCTGATCTTCAACAAGTGATTCAGGAAATTCGGTTTCGGAAGACTTAAAAGCACCTAATTAAAAATAGAATATATATATAAGCCAAAGAAAAAAAAAGTATATAAATAATTATACGATGAATTGAATATTCCCAAGAATATATTACCTTTGACGAATTCCAACTTTCCTACATTGGCATGGCCAACGATGAAGATCTTGTTGCGAAACATTAAACCTAAAAGCTACGTGCCTTTTTCTACTGCTTTTACCAATGTCAATGGGAAAAGTGAAATTGAACGCCGACTTTCTTTTCGAGTCACAGAGCTAACAAGCTTGCTCAAAAGAACCTGCTTGTCAAATCCAAAGTTGATCATGGAGACCAAGAATGATTTTCATAAATTACGCCTGGAGAAAAAGGCAATGAGAGCAGCTAAGAAGTTGCGTGATATGAAATGCGAACAAAAACAGCCGCAGCAGACTTCTGGGCCTCTGAAACGTTCTTTTCGTGCCGTTCCTCACAAGACAGACGAGGCAAAGGACTCATGCACCATTAGTGTGATGACTTATAATGTATAATACTTTAAAGAGTACTTGGAAAAAATCTTCAGATTAAATTAATGCTTTCTTTCAAAGATCCTTGCTCAGAATTTGGTTAAACGCGAGATATTTCCCCATTCAGGCGATATGTTGAAATGGGTTGGTATATTCTTTCATAAGATTTGATACATGTATTAATAGGGTAATTTTCTTTGTTGGTAGAAAACACGCAGAAGAATGATAACTGAAGATATTGCTCAGTATAAGCCTGAAATAATGTGCCTTCAAGGTGAGTGTTTTAAAAGGACAATATTTATCATCCGATCTGCATGAAAACATACTATACTATTCTAGAGGTGGATTATTACGAAGAATACTACCAAGAAGCTTTTGATAATATTGGGTAAGTAATCAAATATTCAAAATTGAAAGAAGAATAGTCGAATTATATATATATATATATTCTAACATATTCTATTAGTTACAAGACAGAATTCTTCAAGCATCCTAAAAAACAGCATGGTAAAGATCAAGATAATCTTTGGGATTAGTAATTAAAAACTTCTTGTGTAGGCTGTATGATTGGATACAATCCGAATGTATTTGAAAAGAAACAATATTTAACAATTGAGTATGATGAGGATAGACTCTGCCCACCAACTCAACAAACTGGAAATATTGCACAGTTTATAGCCCTTGAGCATGTTAAGCACAAGAACGTTGGTTTAATTGTCGGAAATACTCATTTGTACTGGAGACCAGAATCATTCTATGAAAAACTTCGACAAGCAACTATCTACGCGCAATGGCTATCATGTTTTACACTTGATTTGCGAGAAACATTTCCAGATATTGAATGGACACCGTTACTTATTGGTGGTAAGATTTTTTGAATATATATATATACCAACAGTATAAGTCTTTGATTCATTAAATATTATGATTCTCTTAATATGCTGTATGTCTACAGACTTTAACACTTCTCCCGAGGATCCGGCCTACAGCGCACTCACCAGAAAGCCTCTCACTGATGTACAATGGAAAGCTCTTGAAGACTCTCGACGTAAATTCGGTGATGAGAGTGAACCTAGCGAGTCTCTAGTCAATTGTGTTTCTCCACAAGAGCTTGTCGAAGATATCAACAATACGCTCCCATTCCACAGTATCTACAACTGCTATGGAGAAATTGACAATGTATTATCTGGGTCTTGTGGAGAACCAAAATTCACTAACTATTCCGCAGTTTATATTGGAACCTTAGACTATTTGTTTATAGAAAATAATGCGTTAGATAAATGTTTTGTGACAGAAGTACTAGAGATTCCATCAGAAGACATGCTAAAACCTGCACTACCAAATAAGAATTTTGGTAGTGATCACCTTTGTTTAATTGCAAAGATAAAAATGTATTCTTAATTAGAAACTAGTAGCCTATTATCATTTTTTGAATATTATAAAAAAAAGTTTCAGGAAGTCTATGCTTGTTCAGTCAAAATGTGTTAAATATGTGTCTTTGCAGTATTGAGTGTTTTGTAGTTTCTTAAAATCCCGGCGTATAAAGAATAGAGCAATCAATATATTCTATATTATCAAGGGGTGAGGATTTCTAAAGATTTCTCTGGACGTTCATTTTTAATGACCGACGCTGGAATAACTCCTTATCATTATCATGGCCTCTACATCAGATGACCTTGGGTACCTCATCTGTGTTCTTCCAAACTTTTCTACATCTATTGTAGAAGAAATATTTGATAAAAATTCTGCCTTTGAAGATTGGGTGAAAGAAAACCCTTCCCACTACGCCAACTTCATCCCCAACCACACCTACATCCCCATTCCCACGGCATCAGATCCAAGTCTGGCTTGAACTACCACCCCACTCACACCTTGTCTTGATGCTATTTATTGCAGGTTTATTACCATACTTTTTGACTCGGTTTCTCTTATAAAACAACCGTATATTTAACTTTTTTTTTTCTTTTTCTATTATAGGCGAAAGCAATGAGTGCCTCGAAGAATTCTATAATGCTACTATTTTTGATAAGTCTTTATTCTTTTTCTTTATTTTCTTGACACACTTTTGGCTTCCTAACCACCTCAGCAAACAAGATGCTTGTAGTAGTAGTCCTTTGGATGAACACCATGATACCAACCATTGCAGTAGTAGTCCTCGGATGAACATCATTGGCTTGGGTTCTCATGCGAGGTGGAAGAAGCAGTGTATAACGATATGTTGAACTTATCTTTTTTCTTTTTTTTTTTTATAGACGAAGCAGTGATGACTTACAAAATTCCTCACAGTTTGTTACTGTTCTTGATGGTCTTATTACTTTTATCTACTTTCTCCACTCTTCGACGTCATATCCCTTTTCCTGTCTTATTACAAACTGTTATATTTGAGTGTACTAGCTTTTCTCCACCTCTCTATTGTTTATATTATATTAATAAATCTTTTTTAAAATTACTATATCAAAATGTACCTTTTCAAATTGTTCAAGGTTCAAGCTATTGGAAGTATCGTTAACTGTAATTTTATGTATTACTTGACTTTTTCATTTGGATCGAGATTAGGTGTGGTATTTGAATGTGTAATATGCATATCAATAAGGAAAGAATTTGCCGTTATCCGTGGTGATAATATAATATGCTGTGGTCACTGGCAAATTTTCATTCGTTGTCACGAAGAATATATGTATAGTTTCGTGTTGTTATCTTCCTTTGTTCATATCCACATTTTATTATAACAACAGTTTATTATTGTTTTTTAAACAGTAATAGCAGATGCTTGTTCCAGAGGGCATACAATAAATTTCCAAGAATTTTTAATACACCAGACTCATTAAACCAGGAGCTTACTGACTGCCATTATTATTATGTAATATGATCATTCTGAAACCTCTATACTATGTATCTACATGGTGTTATACTTTTTACACAGTATGGGTTACGTTTACGAAACGTATAAGTCTCGTGGAGCGATTGATTGCCAAAAATCTACAATTTTATCAGCAATATACCTTCCTCCTTATTCACTAATGTTGAGTCCCATAGAGGAATTTTGGTCCAAGTTGAAGGCCGGTGTGGAACGATAGATCTTATCAACAAATAGTCCTTTGACACCTCGTATTGTCCAGTCAGCATACTTAGTTACTGCTAAAGATTGTGAAGGGTGGATACGTCATGCGATGTCTTATTTTCTTCGTTGTATCCTTGAAGAAAAATGTTATAGCTACTATTGTTTTTAAAATCATCATTTATTCTTTATCATTAAAAAAAATAACCAACTTTTTGTCTAGTTTTTCTTTCCATGCTACAAAAGAATTGCTACAGCTGGGGTTGTTAGCCACCAAGTAAAAAGCATTTGGGCAGCAAATTATAAAAAACCAGCGCCATGTTGAAAAAAATGGACCGCCTAAAACGAGGAAAAATCCTGTACGTCAAGGTAAAAATAGTTTTGCGTTGCTTAGTAATAAATTTTGCGCCAAGAGATTAGAAAAAAAAATATAAATTAACCTAAGATACCGTAAAGGTTTCGACTCCTTTTTTCTTTTATTTAGTTTAAATATTAGAACAAACATGCAAAGCGTTAGTGAATTTATTACTAATAGTGAAATTATTTCAGATAACGATATGGACACTTCATCTGACGATTGTATGGAAGATGACGAGCAGGAAGAAATGGAAGTTGAGTATTTCAGTTTGAGCGAAGAATGGATGGAGAAAATAAGACGAATTGGGGATGATTCTCTATCATATGTACGTGAATATACGGAAGTAGATTTAATAGAGGAAGAGAATGACGATTTTTTTGAAGATGCTTTTCTCTTCGCAGAGCCAATGCCATTGAGAAAAAGACATACGGCTTTGAATGTTAAAACAAGAGGTTCTTACAGAAAATATACTCCTAAACAAGTTGAGAAACTCTTCGACTTAATAATCGAAGAAGTATTCACGACAAAGGCTGCAGCTTTAGCCACTGGGATTAATGTACACACTGCCCAGAATTACGTTAAAACTTACAACAATGATCCTGAGAGACGACTTCCAGGATCTTATTCTAAACCTCGTGGAAGACCTCGTAATAAGTTGACTGAGGAGCATTCTAAATTTCTAGTTGACTATATCGAAAAGAATACCACTGCTATATTAGATGAGTTAAAGTTAAAACTTTGTGAGAAATTTGAGGGTTTGAAAATCTCTATTTCTGCCATTCACAAAAATTTAGTACATAAGCATAACATTACGTTAAAGAAACTTGAAAAAATACCAGCAGCAAGAAATTCTGACAGAGTAATAGCATTACGAAAAGCGATTGTTGAACAATATAAGAGTGATGCAGATATGGATTTTTCTAAGAATTGTGTTTTTATCGATGAAGCAGGTTTCAATTTGCCTACGCAAAGAAACCACGGCCGTTCATTAAAAGGCACACCTGCAAAGGGCACTGTACCAACTGGAAAAGGTGTAACATTTACAATTTTAGGTGCAATTTCTCAAGCAGGTATCATAAATATTGGAGTTAAAAAACCAGAATCATCTTCTTCTAAAAAAAGAAGGGCAGATGTTAAGGAAGTAAAAATAAATGGCAAAGTTGGGACAAGAACTGAGCACTTTTTGGCTTATCTAAACAACGTAATGGATACACTAGATAAAAATGATATAAAGGGGCAGTATATTGTTATGGATAATGCACCTATTCATAAGCCAAAAGTAATCAAAGCATTGATCGAAGAACGAGGACACAAGTGCATATATTTGCCACCATATTCTCCTTTCTTGAATCCAATCGAGGAATTTTGGTCAAAAGTAAAAGCTGGTGTTAGAAGAACACCATTGACGACAGATGATCGTCTCACAGATCGTATATGTGAATCGGCTGAAAAAGTAACAAAAAAAGATTGTGAAGGATGGATTAAGCATTCAAAGTCATTTTTCCAGAAGTGTTTGAATGAGGAAAGAAATCTTTAAAATAGTCAGTAGGAGTGCAGCTTTCAACAGACGCACTCTGAATGCTCACTGAGATTTTAACATCATGAAGCAAGTATTAGGTTATTTTATATTTTTTTTCTAATCTCTTGAGGCAAAATTTATTACTAGGCAACGCAAAACTATTTTTACCTTGACGTAAATATTCTTTTAGTGTCAGCGCAAATTAGTTTTTATCTTAACGCAGACTCATATTCAAAAAACAGTAAAAAAAATGTGCACCGGAGATTTAAGTTTAGGACTGCGCTTTTTGTCAGGCCTGGCGCTCACGTCAGAGCAAACGTGACATAGCTCCTTATTATTTTTACTGGCTTTGTGTTACTGTTCTACAGCAGAAAGGACAGCTAATAATATCTACTCAAGGTACTTATTAAAGCAACTTTGTAAGGTGAAGCAAAGCAAAGCAAAGAATCAAAGAAGTAAGGAAGCAAAGAAATAATAAAGGGTTTGGTCTTGATCGGTGTAGTAATAATTCTAAAAGTTGAGTACAAGTTTCTATAACGGTGATTTGTAGGTTACTCTAGACTGGTCTGTGCTCTTTTTGTTCAAGGACGCAAGAGAAAGTTTTTTCTTTCTATCTTTTGCTTGTACAAATAGATATAAAATGAAACCAGTATTCAATAGTAAATAAGCCTCCATTTATTCCAAAGCTATACTAAGCAATAAATAAAAGGCAGAAAAGAAGGTAAAAAGTATAGATACACATATTATCTGGGTCTAGACATAATAGGTGACGGAATGTTGGATTCCAGGTTGAGTTTTATTGAAATGAGATTATACGAATAATTGAAAGTATCAAGATTTCCCAAGAGAGTGAATGATGGCTATAAGATGTCTAAGTATAAAAGCTCATGGCATAACATACGCTAAGAACAAAATCAAGGATGAGTTACACACATATATATAGAGAAATATTTGGTATCTTTAATAGAGAAACAACACGATACTGTGAAGTTCTGTTAAGGATTTTACTAGAAAAGAGTATAGATATGCCTTCAGCTTGCTCAGCACCAGTATCGACTTGTTTATGACCAGAGTTACCTGGTTAGAAAATGGAATGGTGATTCTACAGCAACAACGACTTGGTAGTTAATGGAAATATACAGTTAAGGTTGTATTGGCAGTATTGTCTACAAACAAATAAAGTAGTTTTACCTTAGTAAATTCTATACTTTACAAAGAGGGGTACCATAAGATAATAATGTTAATATCTTTCTCTTTAGATAATTTAATATTGATTACCCCCAACCTACTCTCACTTAAAACTTTTTCCCAAAAAGTATAAGAGTTAAATATAATCTGTCTACAAAGAAATCCAAAGTTTTCTCAATCTCAAGTAAAAATATATTAATATTACTAAGAAGAAAGAGAGAGAAAAGAAAGATGATTGAGTAACCATCATAACGCTTGATATGAGTATGCTAATAATAATAATAGGCTTTCTACTCCTTTAACTATTAGTACAGTATCAATGTTTCTTTTATTTCTTTATTTTTCTTTAAAAAAAAGGCACACAAAAGAAAGAAGCTTGGAGAGAAAAGAAGCTTTTTATACTTTAATATAAAAAGATGTAGGGAATACATATGTTTATGTAAAATTGGTAGGGAGACGCATTATTTTATTAGTGAAACTAGGATCAGTATTTATTTATTTTTCTGGCAAAGTAGCATTGTTTCAATTTTTCTTCTATAGATTATATCATAAGCGCTATTTGAGCTGTATAATTCAATAAAGTGCAAAATCTTGGTGTTGAATCCGAATATCTTTGCCAATTTTTCAATCTTGGTCATATATAAATTAACACATGGACTTGCGTGAGCCAAAGATGTAGTAAGACCCTTTTCTGGAGAAAATCTTTAGTAACATCTTTACACTATATTTCAATTAAACCACACTCAAAATTCAACTATAATCTCAAAGTTTTTATTAATTACTCTATCGTACTGTCAAATTAAGTACATATTCTTTTGACATTAATTTAAAGACCTTGACTATATATATATATAAATATATATTACATAAAAAAGTACAAATTATTAATTTAGCTTGATAGAGAAAGCTTTTGTATGTGTGGTGGCATATTTGAAATATTTCATTTAATTATAGAATATTTCAGAAACTGTTTAAGCTATGTTTTTTAAAAGAAAAATATAAATGGTAGACGCAACACACTATATATATTAACTTAACATAAAAATCTTAAATACCATAGGATTAGTATGCATAGAAAGCAAAATAATTTTATTACCTCTTTTAAAAGTGATATTGAAAAGGTTCTGATTATCAACATTGGTGACACACGCTGTATTTTTTATAAGGAATTATTGAGTCCTTTGTATGCATTTCTGATTCAGCACTTAATAGTTCTTTGAAAAGTAAATACATTTAATCTTTATATTTAGTGCACTTGAAATATATATATATATATATATGCGTGTGTGTGTGTGTCATATTTCTACAATTCAATCAATACAAGCTGTAGAACTTGTATTTTACCTCAAGATTCACATAATTGATTAAGCAATGAAAAAGTACACTCGTCGTACTGATATAATACTTTCTTTAGCTATTTGAACTTTTACAAAGCAAAGGCACAATTTTGTAGTGTAAGATCGATTGATATGTATATTATTTTTGCTATCCTTGTGGGCCTTTGAGTAATCATGTATAACATATTGTTTATTTATTTTCTTGGTTCAGTGTCTCTATTGTGTTGCAAGGGTGTGCATTATCTAATAAAGTTGATGCTGGGACCCCCGGCACAATCTAATTGTGGGGGATTTTTGTTTTTTTTTGATACAGGAAATTGAAATGACCTCGGGGTGATCAGGATCAGATACTATAGCCAACGTTACGGCTGCTCCAAGTGTACAAGTGTTTATTAGGGTGTAGATGTATCTTTGGGGGGTTTGCTCCCTTTTTTCGGTTCTTGATTTTTTTTGGACGATCTCAAAGGATCATTTGGACGGTTGAATGGTTTCTAAAGTCATTTCTCCAGATGATTAACTATGGCGAGTATCACATCAATTGCTCATCTTTTTGTGTAGCAACTTATATTTTTTAATGACTCTCGTGCAACGTTGAAAGTTATCTGAATATAGAGGATGTGGATTAATAGAATTGATTAGATTCTAGTCCAACTCTAGTCCAACACTAGCCCTTACATGGCACAGCCAACTCACACATACACATACACACGCACAGATTATATAAATATCAGAGCAAAAAAAAAGCGCGCCATTTTGTACTGTCTTGGTTTAATAAGATTCTATGTCAAGGTTTATCAGCTAGTAACGATACATAGAATACAACATTTACTCATTTCGTTGAATATCTTCTGTGCTATGTAAGTATTGAATAGTTTCTCTTAGGCTATCGGTAATACTGATTATACCCTTGTTATTATTATTTTCAAAATTATATTCTATTGAATTCTTTGATGTTAAGATTAGACCAACTTTGCAGCATTGCACAAATGATTTGTGAAAATGCTGTACTATTTTACCAAAGGAGCATGTGCTATTCTCCTATTGTTCGACTTTTTTTTTTCTCTTTTTCTCGTTAACATAGATCAAGATCAAGATCAAGATTAAGATCAAGATCAAGATCAAATATACACATTCATACCTCTCTGTCTATCCTTTCGCTTTTAATAATAATAATAATAATAATCATTATCATAATTGAATAGTAATAGCAATAGTTTGCTCAAACCACTTTCAATTTTTACTGTTTGGCTTGCAAAGATAATTTTTGATAATATTGTATGTTTTATTGCTTTGTAAAAATACAGCCCAGTGTAGAAGACTAGGGTTTAATCATAAGATCACTGTAGCAGTAAAATTGTGATTACTTTTTTTTTGGTATACAGAGTGATTGATTGAATAAAGAAAAGCAAGAAATTGTAATAATATTTAGCATACGATAATAATTCTGTGATTAATCCTAATTTTCCAAAACAGGAGCTAAAAAAAAAGCACCTTGTTAAAATATACGTTTAATTGTCTATAAAAGGAATATAAATCATACACAAGGCAGTATATGTATACCTTTTATTTATCTTGCTTTATTGTTCTAGTCATCATTCGATATTATTGTGCCTTACACTAGAAATAATACAAGACAATATTTGGATAAATCTTTACGTCTTTAGATCTTTAGATCTATATATCTATATTATTAGGATCAGATTTAGAATTAGAATTAGAGTTACAATTGCAATTGCAATTACAATTAAAATTGGTATTACTTTCATTACTACTAATATTACTACGATTATTATCAATTGTATTTGTGCATATAATCTTGTCGAGCAAAACCTTTTCTTCACCGGTACTTTGCGGGTGAGTGTGTATATTGATCTGATAATCAGTATGGTCATATTGATTTGTTTCTATTTTAACTGTACTACTGCTACTGTTAATGTTACTGCTACTATTGTTATTCTCACTGATATACTTGTATATTATCTAGAGCCTAAGTATGGCTCATAATTAATGATACGATATAAAGGAGAATTAACTGACAGTATACAGAGGAAGTAGAGAAGAAGAAAAATCTAAAGAAAAAGGGTTTGAATATGTAAATGTGTGTATGAATGGATGGTTATCGGAGGTCTAAATATTGTAGGCTGGGTTTAGACAATAAAAAAAAGAAAAATCTGATAACAACAAACAAATGTGTTTAAGCACATTTCAGTGTGTATTTGTTTGTATTTTTTTATTATTATTTTGAAACCCTAATTTTCTGTACAAATGTAGTAATTGATCGGAATATGATGGTGGTGAGAAATTGATCAATTGTAATATTGTGATGGCCATAAAGAGAAAGAAAAAGAAAAGAGAGCACAAAACCACAGCATGAAATGCCCTTACACAAGAAACCTTGATCTAAACATTGTCTTACATTGTACAAAGACCAGGGTGTTTCGGTAAATCTGGGTCTCATTCAACATAATCCATGTCAAAATAAAATGGGCCGTTACCTTGGAAACATATTGCATTGAAATCCTTTTTTTTTTTAAGAAAAAAAATATTTCTATCTAGGATCTGATAACATTGTACTCATAAAAGATAATCGAAGCAATCTTGGCCCACAGGCCAACTGATATTTTTCTTTTCTTTATAGGGTGTAGGGTATTAAATAGTTTATCCTTATTTTCCAAAAAAAGAGTACTTTGAAATATAAATATAGATTTTTATATAAAAATAAAAATAAAAACTACCATTCTTATTCTTATTTGTATTATATAACCAATAATAGCTATATAAATATATACAGACAGATATATAGCCTATATAGAAATATGCTGGGGTTCAAAGCATTATAGGGTTTTTTTTTGGTGGAGTAATAGAACAGTGAGAAGAGTCAAACGTTTGTCTGACTTGCACAAGCAAATTTTGTTTGTTTAATTTGTCTTTTAATGGAGTGCACTTGCGCCACCTTGAGCACAAATATGTACTGTGTAAGTTAATATTCATTTCAGGACAGATCTTTTAATCGTATGAGGAAATATGCAGATTAAGCAAAAAGATTATTATTTTTTGTGATTTTTTTGATTCCTCGGATTTGTGTGCATATTTCTTGATAAACTCAATTGTAGTTTTTCAATTTTTCAATTTTTTTTTGGGATATTGAAATTGAAATCTAGTAATTTACATAACACTATCCTACCATAATCGGTTGAGTTTTCATCCAACATATCTGATCAAATTGACTATCAATTAGAATTATATTTTGAAAGCGCGGGCAGGCAAAATAATAATAGTAGTAGTAATCAAATACACCACATAAGGACAGGAAAAGAGGTATTTTTTTTAATAATAATAATAATATATTATTATAATATGTGTATAAGTGAATTATTCGATGGCTCGATTATCAGTATTTTTTATATATATTATACGAATTAAAAAAAAAAGACAGAAATAAAGAGAGAATAAAGGATAAATGATAAATAGGTAGTTACAGAAGAAGGTGGGGTAAAAGGAAGAAACAATAACAGATAGAAGAGTAAGATATGCTAAATAGGTTTTTAGACTTTGTCTTTGTTTTGTTGAGGAATCTTTTCTACAATAACTCCATTTTCGCTATTGCCTTCACTGGATGTGTTGATAATGAGTTCACCGTTTGCATCGAGTATTTTCTTGGCTCCTTCAAGAGCATCATCGCCATTTCTCCATTCGCCACTCAAAGCTCTTCTGATAGCGTTACGTCTATCCTTATAGTAAGAGTGGACCAGAAGACCAGCAACAAGCACCCAGTAAAGACAGTAACTGATAATAGTACCCAAGGTAGCGACATTACTCCATCCAAGAATAGCGTTAAAAATTTGCCTAAACACAAACACATAAAACAGGACTGTTTAGTTTTTTTTTTAAAATTTTTTTATTTTATTTTATTTTATTTGACTTACCATCCACCATTAGAATCGGTCATAAGCTCAGGATTTCCCCAGGAAACGTGCCATACAGATGTAGAGACTCTGTAGCCAATTACTGAGCCACTTTCTTCGGCTACTTCACCACCGATAATGCCGTTCCATGCGTTCTGTTCAAAGAAACCGACAGCCTTGGCCATCAAACCAGCAGCCACAAGGTACAAGATAACAGTAGAGATGATAAAAAACCAGCGAAGTTTGAGAAGAGATCCACCACGATAGATAATCAAACCGACGAGACAGCCACAGAGAAAACCCATGATTGCGGCAATTGGGATAGATTTACCTGGAATACTCAAAGAGACCTAAATAATATTCAGACTGTCAATAACCAAAGCACAAAGTGTATGTTATATTACTTACACCACCAATGAACACAATTGCTTCAAGACCTTCTCTGAGCACAGTGACAAAGGGCAAGATAAAGAACGAATAGCGCTGCATTTTTTCCTTGAATGTACTCTTCTCGACCTTGTTCTTTTCCAGGGCCAATGCAAGCTTGACCTTCCATTTTTCTTGCATGCGTTCGGTCTTCAACATGGCCAGACCCATGGCGGTAATCAAGAGAGTAGCGATAAGAGAGAAGACGCCTTCCCAGATGTATTCAGAGTTTCCCCACAGATCGTTCAAGACAGTGTACCAGACAGCGATGAATGCAGCACCAATGCAAAGACAGATAAAGAGACCAGAGCCAGCGCCAATCCAAACGTGTTTTCTCAGACGCTTGTAAATAGCCGTGTCTTTATCAAACATCTTTTGCAAGAATGAGAGAAGGACAGAGACAATGATAGATGCCTCCGTCGTTTCTCTGAAAATAATAAAGAAAATTGGGACACTAAAGAGGTCTTGCGACATATTGTGCACGATTAAGTAAAGAAGAGTAAAGTTGAAATATCCTTTGTTTTTTTTTAAAAAAAATGATTTAAAGCAAAGCAAAGCAAAGAGAAGAAGAAGAAGAAAAAGGAGAAGATAAATGAAGATGATTTGAATAATTTAAACAATAACAAATATATTTTATTTTTTTTAAATATGATATTCAAAATAATAATAATAATATTTACAAGGTAGTTTGGATCTACGAAAGCGAATTGCTCCGGGATATCAGGCAGTTTGTACCCGCAAATGCCTTTGGTAAAAAATAAAAATAAAAATAAAAGTCGTGATAGGATGGTGTACAAAATAAAAGAATAAAAATTGATTCTGTTCATCGTGATTCCGAGCCAATAGACCAAGAGTAAATCTTTATCAGATTTATTTTGGGGGGGTTGAATGTACCTCAGTATGGTAAATCTGACAAAGAGATCCGGACCTGTACACCTCTCAGACGGCGACTGATGGGAAAAACGGCATCGTATGATTTGAACCAACGAGGAATGAAGCGTTACTTCTGCCATTAAATAAAAACAAAATAAAAAAAAGGATACAAGATATCACTTTGATCGTGTCTGGACCAATTCATGGGTATCCCCTGTAAAACTCCACCCTATGTTACTCAACCCGACTGTAATTCTCGGGTCTGTTAAGATCTGATAATTCCCACTCAGGAACTCTTATTTTGTCTATCTTTAATCAGCCTACAACTTCTCCATTATTCGGTATCTTCATTTGTCCTTCTCTCTCTCATTTACTTACTTACTTTTATTTTATATATATTCTTGTGCGCAACCTAAAATATAATATAAAAATATATATAAAAAAAAAGTTTTTTTTTCTTGTTTATTTATTTAATCATATAAATCATTTACAAATAACTCACCCACAAAAAACAATAATAAAATTCAACCTCTTCTTCCTTTTCTTTCTTCCTTTCTTTATTTACTTACTTACTCATCTACCTATTCCCTTTAATCTTCTTTGCACACACAAACCTCCATGCATTTCTTGGGGACTTGCTTAGCTACAATCGCTGCACTAGGCCTAGTCCGTGCTGCACGCGTCGAACTTGACTGGGTTGTTGGATATACAACAGCAAACCCTGATGGTCTTTTTGAGCGCCAAGTGATCGGTATCAATGGAGAATGGCCGTAAGTTTGTTGAATCGAATACATACATACAAAGAGAATAACTTTGCTAACATATCTTAATCTTATCATATAGACCAAAACAAGTAGAGGCAACCTTGAACGATGTTTTGGTTATCAATATTCACAATGAATTGAATGAGCCTACTGCTCTTCATGCTCACGGAATGTTCCAAAACAATACCAATTACATGGATGGACCTTCAATGGTTACTCAATGGTACAATTAAAAACATCCAACTACACATCATGATACTAATGCTTTTGACTTGTTAGCCCTATTCCTGCTGGCATGAACTTTACATATGAATTCACAATTACCCAAACAGGTACCTACTGGATGCACAGTCATTATGGGGTAAGCAGTAACAAGCTAGTCTGGACATCAAGTACTTATACATTCAACAGGGTCAATACGCTGATGGATTCAAAATGGCATTAATTCTTCACAACCCTGCCGAGCCTTATAAATATGATGAAGACATTACTGTTCCAATCTCAGGTAAAGGACACGCACACACGCTTTTTTGTTCTTTATGACTTGTAAAGATCACTCTCTAACTGATCTACTTGTATTTATATTACAGATTGGTATCATGATCAAAGTGGCAACAACCTCAAGATCTTTATGAATGAAAATAACCCCACTGGTGCAGAGCCTGTTCCAGGTAAAGTATTGTATAGTATATAGACTACCCCCTCACTGGGTAGCAGCACAAAAGCTTCATTACATACATATAGCTAACTAGTTTCAACATTTGCCTCTTGAAAATATTCAGAGTCTGGCCTGATTATGGACAATGTCAACTCAAGTCTTACATTTGTACCCGGAAAAACATATCGTCTTCGTTTGATCAACATGTCTGCCTTTTCCATGTTCTACTTTAGCATTGATGGTCATGATATGGATGTCATTGAAACCGATGGCGTAAGTCCTGCAAGACATATATCTATTTTATATGAACAGTATATTGATCTATACTATTTAGATCTATACTCAACGCACAACTGTCAAGAGTCTCTATCTGACTGCCGCTCAGCGTATCTCTGTCCTGGTCACAGCCAAGAATGCAACCAACCTGAACTACTACATGCATGCTGATATGAATACAGACATGTTTGATACCATCTCAGACAGTCTCCAGACAAGTAAATCGTTACACACAAACACATACACACATTAGTACAACATACTTACCTTTTAAAAATTTATAGACTTGACTGCTCCAATTTATTACGACAAGTCTGTTACAGAGTTTGCCCCCAGTGAGGATGTTGGTATGGGAAGTGACTTTGATGATATTGTCATCCCTCCCCTTGAAGTTATGGCAGCAGTCCCTGCCGAGCAGCAGCTCAACTTGACCTTTGAATTCCAAGTCTATACTGATGGAATCAACCGTGGTGCATTCAACAACATCCCTTACATTGCCCCCAAGGTTCCTATCCTCAACACTCTCATGACTATGGGCAACCTTTCGCATGAAGTTGATGTTTATGGCCGTCACTCTGTACCATATATCCTTGATCACTTAAACATGATTGAAGTTATCCTCAATAACGCAGATTCTGGTGATCATCCTTGTAAGTTGTAAATATACATTTGATTGAATTTCATTATTAATCATGGAACAAAACAACAACATAAAAATTGATTTATGTTATATTATATATATATATATCAATTCATCTAATAAATAGTCCATTTGCACGGACATGTCTTCCAAATTGTTGCTCGTGGTCCTGGTATTTATGATGGCACCAACGAAAACATAACATGGTACCTCGACAACCCCAACAGACGAGACACTGTAGCTGTTCCTGCCGAGAGTTTTACTATCATTCGTTTCAGAGCCGACAATCCTGGTATCTGGATTTTCCATTGCCACATCGAATGGCATTTGGAGACTGGCCTGGCTGCCATCTTTGTCGAAGCACCGGATATTGCCCAGCAACGCATGACACTTCCTCAGGCATTCAATGATCTTTGTGAGGCTGGTAACATCCCTTATTCTGGAAATGCTGCCGGAAAGCAAGGACTTGATCTCAAGGGTGCCCCAAGCGGTGTCGATATTCTTATTGATGGTTTCACTGCTTCTGGTAAGGGTGCCATGGCTGGCTGTATCTTGTCTGCACTACTTGGTATTGGTGCCATTGTTTGGTTCGCACACAGTGACCCAGAGGCAAGGGGACGAGAAATCATTGCTGCAAAAATGAGAGAGGAGCAGGAAGATTAAAAATCCAAAAAAAAAACAAAAAAAAATTAAGGTGGAAAATTGACTGTTTGAGATACAACATGATGTGGATTGAATCTACTCTAAAAATGCTCAAGAAAATAATACCTTTCTATTACATATACTATACTTTTGTACGTTTGATTAAATTATCTTATTCATTATTACTTTATTACTTTATTACTTTATTACTTTACCTTTCTCTTCCCTCTTATTTTCCATCTTTCTTTTTGGAGTCTGATCTGATCAACTATCACTTGAAATAAATGAATAAAATAAATATACATATACACATAACAACATTCGATTTTATTATTCCACACGTATCTGATAGAGAAGTAACCTATCTTGTATAAAGTATTACAACACTCACACACATATGCACCGTTTGATATATGGTAAGATGTATCCCAAAAATGTATAAATTGTACCCTCAAATGTTGTGCTCTCAAGCACTGTACACTCAAGTGCTGTACAACAATGCACTTGTGTCAAAAGCCAAAATTATACATATAAAAAAAAAAGAGAATGATTTTTATTTTACGAATCAAATCGAATATTTTGTACCAAACCATATTGATATTAAGAGTATGAAAATAGATGTACATAGTAGATAATTGAACTATGACTCATTTTCTTTGTTGGCTTAGTAAGTTGCAAGGTGGTTTTAAACAACCAGCATGTGGCAAGTTGTGTGGCGTCTATTGGATCTATCAATTTGAATACCCACAAGATTAAAGTAATAATATAAATTATATATATATATATATCGTGAGAGGGAAATTTGCCCAAATAGAGAACTTTGAGAATTGTTTCTTTCTTGAAGACAAAAAAAAATTAAACCTAGATTTTGAGCTAATCATCTGATAAGCCGGGTAAAATAAACTGAATGTTACGTACACTGATACACACACACACAACAGCTACAGCTACAGCAGCAGCAGCAGCAGCAACAACAACAACAACAAAAATAATAGTCCAATTTTTTATCGACACCCCCCATTTAAAGACACATAAAGTATCTGAATATATATATCACTTTTACTAATACAAATAAAACAAAGCAATCAATCACAAACACAAACACAAGCACAAGCACAAACACGAACACAAGCACAGGCACAAGCATAACAATGGTAATGGTAAAATATGACCCTTGACTATCGTTCGATTGTTTATCAGTTAGATCATCTAAATGTTATCAATTTTGGGTAGCCATTGTTGGTAAAGATGAAGAAACTGTTTCGCAATAAAGACGTGTTGATTTTTTTTATTATTATTGCAGCAAAAAAATCTTTTGATTTTTGAACTCTGTGTGTATTTGTGTTTGTGCGCATGTAGTTCTTTTTAATACATAATATATCAATGTATGAAATGCTAAAATAAAGAAAGAAATAGAAGAAAAAAAACAGAGACGCGCTATATCCGATAAAAGAACCTCCTACATATCCTTCTTTGCATTACGAGGTGTGATACGACTAGATGCTCTCACACGCTTAGGATGAGGAGCAATATCATCCTTGGAAACGTTTGACTTTGCAGGCGCCTTTGTTGCTGCTACTGTTGTTGATTTTTGTTTGACGGCTACCTTTGCTGTATTTTCTATCTTTACTGTCTTTGTTGCTGCTGGTGTGACTGATTTTTGTTTAACGGCTACCTTTGCTACCTTTGCTACCTTTTCTGCCTTGGGTGCCTTTTCTGTCTTGGGTGCCTTTTCTGCCTTGGGTGCCTTTTCTGCCTTGGGTGCCTTTTCTGCCTTGGGTGCCTTTGACTTTGCGTTCTTGGATGGAAGAGGGGTATCGGTGTCTACGCCATAAGCCCAGTTAAACGCTTTCAGAACATCCTCAAGATCTTTGTTAATGACATTCTTGTTCTTTTTAAACTCTGAGATATCAGTTCGGCATGTAAAGCAATTAGAAACGCCTTTTTGTTTAAGACACTTCAAGCAGCAAATATGACCGCACGGGGTAGTAACAGGGTCCTAAAATATACATTTACATTGTAAGATACACTATCTTCAGAGCACTCATAAACACACACACACACACGCGCGCGTGCGCGTGCGCGTATATATATATGTGTGTGTGCGTGTGTGCACTTTACCTTGATAGGAAAAGAGCAGGCACCACTGGCACAAACAATAGTGCTTGAGAAAAGGTTATGAAGGAACTCGTACTCTGACCAGAACTCCATCAACTTCAAGTCATCCCATACTCTCTTGTTTGCCTTGTCTTTGGCTATAAGAGCTTCGATATGCTTTGGGATTGTGTAGCGCACAAGCTTCTCCACTTTTTCGGCGTCTTGCACAATTGTACGAATTCCGTGTTTCTTAATAGCCTTTTTACCAGCCTGAGTCCATGGTGCTGGCTCATCATCGTGTCTACGGAACAAATATCTCCACACATTATGGCCACTCTTTCCTAAAGTAAAATAAAACAAATACAAGTAGTATATTTATTAGTAAATGGCATGGTTGTCTTTTATTTTTATTATATATGTATATACTCTTTTCAACATATCAACTAACCTGTATCGGGCCAGTACTTTACAATCTTATATAACCCATCATAACGCACTCCTGCTTCCGGTGCGTATTTTGGATTATGTTTAGCAAGATGCTGAGTACGGCAGACTCTGATAGGTCGACTCCTGGTCCAGTCTTTAGCTTCAGCACCAACCTCACTGTTGACTTCAGCAGCACATGTTTTCGCTAGTGCAAGATTGAATCTAGTCAATTCTTGGTCACCACAGTGATCTCCTAAGCGCTTGTTTCCTTTTAGATCACGACCGCCACTTCCGGTATAAAAAAACTCTTCTCCGTTATCCTTGTCGTCTTCATAGCCTCCAGATAGTACAACAGAAACAGCGCCTGTGGCTGTGGCACCAGAGATTCCTCCAACAGGAGATCTAACCAATCATAAATTATTATCAGTTTGAATTTCTTTTTCTTTTTTAAAAAATAAATAAAGTCAAGTCGATTTAATATTTGCTTAGAGATTATTAATGTAATAGGCTTCTTACCTGTGAATTCCCCATTCACTACACTTTAGACGGTATGTCCACGATTGTCCACATCGAATACCAGGTATATGACCTACATGGGTCTTGGGAACTAGTAAAAGAGGATAGACAAAATCAAAGAAGAATATATTAAACATTGTTATATTTAATATACATATATACATAATATATGTCTTGATCCTCCATAAGTATAATTACCTACTACGCACTCCGATTCTCTTCCAGAGCATGATACACCACCACCCCATGTCTTTGTTTGTCTTGCAGCATTGGACTTTGCCGCCTTTGTGTTACGAATATCAACACTCTTTCCTGCTCCTACAACCGCATCAACATCCGTATTGATACACTCAGGGCAATACCTATTTAATCATTTAGTAATGGTTATACATATATATCTCTTTCTTTAAAAAAAAAACAGATAAAGTATATTTATGTGTTTACTCCCGTTTACTAACCAGTCATCTTCTTCAGGCTCCTTGGTTAATCCAGCACATTCAAAATGCCAATAATCCTCACATTGATCACAGATCTAATATATATATATATATGTATGTATGTATGTATGTATGTATGTATGAGAGTTTGAAGAATGAATACATAGGTACACTTTTAAGGGGATGAATTGGCTACTTAATCTACCAGATATTTATTTATATTGTGGTGAATGTAGTAATTTTTAGCCTTGTAAGTTTGATATATAAACTTACCAGTGGATCACCAGATTTCAATTTACATTTTGAGCAACCACATTCGTTACATTTTAATATCTTGTCATTATTGTTACACGATTTACACTTATACACCTCAATCTTATTATCAATAGCAGTAGGAGGAGCAATAGCACTAGTGGTGGCAGAAACACTAGCAGTGCTAGTACTAGTATCACTACTATCACTACTATCACTACTAGTAGTAGCAGCAGCAGTAGTAGTGACGGTGGTAGTGGTAGTGGTAGTGGTAGTGGTAGGAGTAACAATCATATTACTGATATCATTGGGAATATTAATAGTACTAGGGGTAGTGTCGGAGGGACCTGCTTCCTCAGAAACTTCATCGGTTGTATCTTGTGGGGTAGTTGACGCTTCTCTGGATATAGGCTCGGGCGATTCAGTTGATTCAGCATTGGTGTCTTTCAAATGAAGAAGGACATGAGAATTATTCTTAATCTTATAAGTAACAAATAGAGTAGCTGGGGATCCATCTGCGCATTTGTCCTCGAGCTGATCCAGATTGATTTTATTATAGTTATTATTATTATTGTTCCATTTAAAGATATGTATGTATATGTATATGTATATATTAGATCGTGATCAAGGCTGTACTCTTAACATTGTTGTCAAATGTCAATAAACTTGCCACTTTTCCCATTGCGATGAGGCGGAATGAAGTTAAGTTTAGATCAAACTGCTTTGCAATCCGTTTGCGAAGGACAGACACTTTCTCATTTACAGAAGCATTTATAGCATTCTTTTTTGGATTGTGAAAGGGCACAAAAAGAGTGATCGTCATTACTGCACTGTGTTTAGAGAGTAAGAGTTTTTTTTATACATTGCTTTCACTGAACAATGATTGATATTTGTCGGAGTTATAATTCCCTAAAACAAATTTGTTTTTTTTTTTTTTGAAGAAAAAAAAAACGAGTCGTAAATGAAGTACAATAAATATATATATAACAAGTACTTGTTAAAGGTCGATAGGATTTTGATAGATACTCACATCAGGTAATATTTTGTTTGGACCATTAGTATTAGTAAGGAAGAAAAATTTGATTTAACTTTGATCTTTGATGTTTTTTTTTATGTGGTTGGTAAATATTACCCATTTGACTTTAGATTTAGACAAACCACTATGGATGCTCTTACCTACTATGCCTTTCGGGGAAAAGTGCTTTGATAAAAGTAGCTAATTATTTTTAATATTTTTTTTTTACCTACCATAGTAGTAAAGATATTGCTATTGTGCTTCCTCAAAGGCGAATAATGTTGAACTTCATAACTGAACACGTCTTAAAATTAGACAAATACTACTTAGCAAAAGCGTCGTGTAAAAAAAGTCTTAAAAGAAATAACAGGGGGGAGCAAATCGGAGCATTAAGTAAGCTGGGGTAGACCAAGATTATCCACCAAGACTTCCACAGAAGGTGCTTCTTTAATCGTGACTTATAATTAAATAGGATAAAGTGTACTAATTGTAAAGTTTGGCAAAATATTACTAAAGCATATTAATATGTAATAATAGTGATGAAGATTCTTTCGGTGTAGAAAATAGTAAAATGATAAAACGATAGTAATAGTGATTTTTTCTTCTTCTAAAGGTAACTTGATATTATATGATAAGCTTCTGACTACTTATATCTCAAGGTACAGTAGAATACAATATAGCAAGAGCAGCAGTAAAGAAAAACGAAACTTTCATGTCTTATAGTAGGGTTAAGAATGTAATGTTACTTTATTATGAAACTCCTAATAAAGCTGTTGTTATTTTACCAGAAAACAATACGAGCCAAATTATTGTTAAGTTAAAAGGGTGCATAACCACCTGGAGGAGCTCTGATTGTCTTCAACTTTGCGTCGTTTTCAGCCCAGATAGACCATTCGAGATCCTCAAAAAGAAGTCTGCGCAACTCCCAGGCCTTCTGGAGGTTCTTGATGCTGTCAGGAGCTACACTAGATTCTGACACGTAAGCCTGTACAGCCTTGAGAGCATTGCCGAATCTGCCAGCAAGGCGCTCTTTCTTCACCTTGATTAGAAGAGAAGTGATGTCAGAGTTACTGTCGTCAGAAGCTAGTTGGTTCAATTCTGTCAAACATGTTTCGAATTCAGAATCTTGATCCTTGCTCTCTGTTACTGCAGCCCAGGCAGCTGCCTTGTTCTTCAAAGCCTTGATTACTTGACTCTTCTTCTTCTCATTTTCCTTGCGCTTCTCCTTTGCCTCGTCTGTCTCTTCCTGTGACTTCTGGCGGCCGAAGAAAGCAAAGAGCTCATTTTGATTGATTTGCTCAAGAATACTATCGGCCAAGCTGGAAATCTCCTTGGCTTGTTCTTGGGTCAACTTTGAAGGTACTGCAATAATGTTCTCGTTACGTCCACCAGCAACAGTCCAGATGGCTTCAATCTTTTGCTCGTACAGTCCGATACTCTTTCCGTGGTTTTCTTCCAAGTGGGACAATACAGACTTGAAGGCATCAGACCCAGAACTCAATTTTTTCAAGTATGAGATCTGAAGATCACGAATAGCGTCTTCTAAATTCTGCTTGAGCTTCTCATCATCAGGCTTGTCAGCCTTATCCTCTTTCTTCTTTGGCTCGGATATGGTAGGAGGAACGGGGTAGACTGCACTGTATTGACCACCATCAACTCGGTTGGAAGTGAAAGAAATCTTTCCAACAAGGGCATCACCATGCTTGGCTTCTTTGGGAAGCTCACCGAGAGGTGCTGCTACAAACAAGGCTTTGGTATCCTTTCGCTCCAAAGTCACCTTGGGACAAGTGGACTTATCAGATCTATAGACATCTGCCATCGACTTGTGAACATTAAACGTGACTGCCTTGACATCTAAATCAACCTGGCACACAGTATTCTTAAGCTTTTCCAATACGTCCTGCTCCTCGGTCATCAGTTGGAGGCGAATAGTATATTCGCCCTTGTTGTCAAGCTTAATTGTCTGGTCAAACACATCCAGGTAGCCGATAACCTTGCAGTTAGCATCATAAACAATGCCGAACACACCAGCCAAATAATGCTCGTACAGTTGGTTCATCACGGTGGGGAAACGGACGACCATGGTATTGGAAGCATCTACTTTGAGCTTATACGACAGCACAAGGGCATATAACAAAGTCTTGTCGGGAAGCATGTCGCGATCAGCATAGAGTGGTGCAATTTCGGACTCATATGGGCGGATATACTTGCGCAACTTGTTAAATGATACGCTTATATCAACCTTGTTTTCCTTGCGAATAGGGGCAGCAACATCGAGACGTGTAACCTGAGGATCAAAGTAAACAACGCCATGGCCATTTGCTAGATTTCCTGCAAGCTGAACACCATGGAATTCGAGGCTAAGATCAACAGTGTGTTTTCCAAGAGCAGACCAGAACTGAGCCAAGCAGACTTCTAGATTCAGTCCTCCGCGTACAGCGAAACGCTTTACGATCACTTCTTCTTCAGAGTCGGAGTTACTGTAAGTGCCAGAACCAAGTACAAATGAGTAAGTCTGCTTGTTTTTCTGGCTCTTCTTAGGGATAAGCTGGAGTAAATGAAGCATGAACCGGGCAGGAACAGTGTTTACAAGCGACTTGGACCGAATTGTCAATTGGCAGTAAGCAGCACCTTCAGGAACATGCACAAAGTTTCTAACGATGTCACCTGGGCCAAATGCGATCTTCTTGTACTCCAAAGAACCGTGAGAAGCCAGAACTGGCTTTACAACATATACAGGAACACGGAAGACAGGTCCACGATCGGGTGCAGTTGTATCGTAACCAAGGACCTCACCGAAATGGAATTCATTTTCTTTGAGAGCCAGGGGATCAACCTTGACCTGGAAAGAGTTTCCGCCAGAGTGAAGATAGAGGTAATCAGGGGCACTAATCCATGACTCGGTAGCAACAAGTGCAATACGTGCTTCGTAGTTGAATTTTGCACGGTTATACTTGGGATCCTCGACGTTATTCTCGGCCATAAATGTAGGCTTTACAGTGACAGGAAGATACTGTACTTGGTTGGTTTCTTCTCGCTCTCTCAGATAGATACCTCTCTGGGGACCTCTCTTTGAAACTGTTATTTCGAATGCGATATCTTGGTCATTACGGCTCTTGTATGTATCGAGATACTCCCAAGCCTTCTCTACTTGGAGGAAACCGACATTGAGAGGATCTTTTACAGATTTGGCAGATTGTACAACGGCTGCCTTGACACGGTAAGGAGAATAGTCCCGCTTTTCAGCCTTGAGACCCGAAACAAGCAACGAGACACAACCGCATGCATTGGGACTTGACATACTTGTGCCGTTTTTGAGATCAAGTTTGTGAAGTCCGTAAACTGGGACACTAGTGATAGCACTTCCTGGCGCATAGATGTCTACACCACTGTAACCGTCAGTGCAAGGGCCACGGGAAGACCAGGTGTAAGGCTGCTCGGTCATGGATTCAAGCAAGGCATACTCTGCTTGCATCTGAGAGTGTTTCACGTAAGCACCAACGGTAATGAAGCTCGAATGCATACCGGCGGGCGCGCCGATTGAACTGTAACAAGGACCGTCATTACCGGCGCTGGTGACAAAAATACAACCAGACTTGGCGATGGCTTCTTCTGCCAAGAGTTTGATAAAGTGACCATCCGTGGGCGATGCACTGGATTCGCCATAAGACATATTGGCAAGATCGACCTTGTTGATGGCCAAATGAAGGGCAGCTCTTGTAAGCCCAGGTCCGGTTTCCATAGAACCAAGACGAGCATCACCAATACGGAGAGAAACAATCTGTGCACCAGGAGCAACCTAATATTCAATATTGTTAAAGAAATCCTTATGATTAGTTTGATTACGGTGGTAGGATCCTTTTCGAATTACATACACCATTCAAGGCTGGCTCTTCAGGGAAGTTTGCGGCTGTGATGCCAGCAACATGGGTTCCGTGGCTACCAGCAAGTGTAACGATGCTAAAAAAAAAGAAAAAGAAAAATGTCAGATACGTCTATGAATGTACTCGATTTCACTGATATCATACCTCAGCAGGTTTCCATCCTCATAAATATTGACGGAAAAGTTGAGTAAATCAGTTTCACCAAATGTATGGTATTTAAATTCCTTGCGGTAGTCTGTCAAGCATGGCTGGCCTGAATGAAGAAAAAATAGCTTAAATTGGCATTTTCCATAAATGGAAACCTTATCCATGTATGGACAGAAAAACCTCTACCTCTCCCCTTTCTTTTTCTAAACAAGTCTGTCTGTTCTCTTTCTTTGTCGAACTGTTACCTCTTAAATCACCAGACTCTTGAAGATCGATGACAGCTCTCCAGTCCTGACCATCATTGAAGACTACGCAGTCCAGGATAACACCAGGATCTTCATACTTATCTTTCAGTCCCTTGAGGACCTCGACACGGGTCTCTAAATCAGCAAGTTCAGCTGCCACAACTGGGTCGCTAGTCAGCTTGGATGAGTTTTGCTTTGTGAAAGAGCAGACCCGAGCCTTTGCTTCATCAACAAGGTGAAGGTGTCGTGCATCAAATGCCTTGGAACGCTCCTTAAGAGTGTATAATATATATGGTTAGATATCGATAAATAGTACGATGTATCTTATACTATGACAGCTTACTTTCTTCAGGCGGTTGACCAATTCAGTGGGGAAAAGCTCATAAGCTGGCTTCACACCGACATGGTATTCGCCGGAAGGGCATTTCCAAGTAGGATCAATGATAAGTTTTCTTCCACTCAATGCCTGAATATAGGTCAACTTATCACCGTCTTCTTCGGTTTGGGCCTTGACTATAGCTGACGTGTTTACGTCGCCTAATAGAAAATCATGAGTGGTCCATAATATATATATATATTTGAGCCATATCCGATCCATTAGCTATTTATTATATAGCTACCTCCTCCAGTGCAGTCAACAATATCGATTATCTTGGGCTTTCCATCTGTTGTGATCTAAGTCATGTTGTTAATACTTGCTATAAGAGAATACATATTGCTTATATATGTGACAGTGATTTACCTGCATACCGGCAGCTCCAGGATCGACACCTATAAGATATTTAAGCCAATATACATAGGTATGTTTTAATCTTGGTGTGAGTAAAAGTACATTTGGAATGTATGTGTGCGTATGTGCAAGGGTTTGGTTCGCAACATGATTCGAAATCTTATTGTTTATGTACCTGTGTCGAGGATGGCAATCACTGTGTTGCGACCATCGTAGTTGGGATACTTTTTAATAAATGAGGCTGCCTGAGTTTCCTGCTTTGGCATAAGCCCATTAACAGGGTATTCTTGGATGTATTTAGAGATTGAGGTCATGAGGTGAATGAAGGGTGAACAAGAAAAGTAAGAAAGACAGGTACGTACGCGTATAGATATACTTTCAATTGTCCATGGTTACAGCTCCGACATTGGACCCAGTCCCGGGTAGTCAGTAAAGAAGGGTATTCATGACCCACCCGATATATCTCAAATTCCCTAAAGACAGATTTAATAGGATTCTTGAGATCTTATACTTGGGAATTAAGCACATGCTATGAGAAAAGCACGCAAATCTTCATTATAATACAAATACCTCTTGTCAAATACCGACACCTGATTGCCTGTCTAGGAGCATTTTACTTGCAACAAGATAAGGTTGAGGCGGAGCAATGGGCTCATTTCAAAGTAAGTTAGTAGGTGTTTAAGATCAGTTAATGCGTATATTTTGTCTCAATTCTCGCACAAACATACACGTACACACACACACCAAATAAACATAATCATCAGTCGTTCATTATATTGAAGCGTCATAATGTACAAATAAGGAATGTTTTTGTTTTTGCTTTAAACATTAAATCAAGAAATTTATAGTATTCTGGTTAATTCTTCTTTATTTCCTTTATTTTTTTTTATATTTAATACAATATGAATCCTTCTGATGCAAATGCTCCCGTATCATTCACCCTCAAAGGAAAAGTAGCTGTTGGTAAGTATTATATATTAATTATAATTAATTTATATACCACTTACTAAAGCAAAGGCATAAACATAAAATTGACGTGTCAAAGTAACGGGTGGTGCGCGAGGCCTGGGTTATGAAATGATGCTTGGACTGGCAGAGAATGGTGCTTCTGTAGCCTGCATTGATATCTTAAAAGAAACAGGCACAAAGGCAATTGAATGTATTCAACAAAAATGCTCAGTTCAGGCATCTAGCTGGGCCTGCAATGTTACTGACGACAAAGCAGTGTCAAACGTATTTGATCAAATTTTTCAAAAACATGGCAGAATTGATATATTAGTTACTGCAGCTGGTATTAATAAGATGTGTCCTGCAATTGAATACACTGCTGTCGACTTTCGAACAATATTTGATGTGAATGTGAATGGAACCTTTTTTTGTGTTCAACAAGCAGCAAAGTAAGAATCTTTAATCACAAGAATACATATGAGGGCCTAACACCACAGAGTAGGAGAATGATGGAAAAAGGAACAGGAGGATCAATTATTACTATTGCTTCCATGTCAGCCCATATCACCAATCGTCCTCAGTGCCATGCCCCTTACAATGCCACCAAGGCGGCTGTTCTTCAACTCACTAAATCATTAGCTTGTGAATGGGCACCTCATAATATTCGGGTTACAGCTATTTCACCTGGTTATTTTGACACAGAAATGAATCAAGCTATATTGGACCAACAAGGAGAAGGAGGAAAGGCTTTGCGGAAAGAGTGGGAAAGTCTGGTTCCAAAAGGACGTATGGGTATGCCTCATGAGCTCAAAGGTGTTGTTGTATTTTTGGCTTCGGAAGCTGCTTCTTACGTTACTGGTACAGAAGTAATTGTTGACGGCGGATACACCGCATGGTGAAAGCAAATACGTATCCATTAAATTATGATGTTTTGTATTTATATATATATATATTCTTATTACTATTATTATACGAAATACACCCCTTTAAAATACGCCCTTGTTGGTAACAAATAAACAAACTTTAAGTAGTGTTACATGTGTTTTTTTTTGTTTTCTATACAATATTTGATATTTATTTACACACGGCGAAAATAAGGGTAAGACAAGCATGAATCCAAAGATGAAACATCTTTGAGTTTAGAGAGAATTGAAACGTCTTCTGCAGATGTCGCTTCCGTATTCCATATATTCTTTACGAGTGACAAATCTTTTTTGTAAGTCTGCCTTTGTTCCTAATGAAGCTAGTCTGTTTCCTCCTTTCCATGCATATCCAATAGGGCTATTTTTTTTTTAAAAAATAATAATAATAAGAATAAGATATACGATTTCATACAAGCATTGATCTTACTCTTCAGGAACAGCAAGTCGTAATTCATATTCACTAGGTACCATCACACGCAAGTCTTGTTCGCTACAGTAGTTATAAATACAGTAAGCATCAAGTTAAATTTGACCAAATTGTGCATACATTCGTTCTCTGTAGCCATTGAGTTTTGCGTTTCCTCCTACAAGTACAATGTTGGCGTAGAGTAATCCATGATACTCTTTACAGAAAAGTAAATAAACACATTCAATTCATTCCCAATTCTTTCTATATATATTTTACCTGGCTCACATGCTTCAATAGCTTGTGAAATAGCCTCTGGTATGCCTGCCTGATTCATTCCGATATCTGAAGGATTAAAAAGAATCTCTGGTATCATGAAACGCTCATTATTCATTGGCAATATTTGATCTACTGATCTATCCAATGTTTGATCTGATTGTTTTTGTTTTTCTTGTTTAGGTCTAACATGCCCTTGACTATGGTGAGTAAAGTCAGGTAAAACATATTCTTGAATGATGGTGTTTTCTCGGTAGCTTTTTCTGTTCAAATAGAATTTTTTAATACATATACGTACTATGCACGGTGTTTTGAAAATAGTTTAATAAGTACCTGCATATGTCAAGATCGGAATATATATCGCGAGAGACAAAGCAACAAGTTTCTTTTACTTGATTGATAATATATGTCTCTTCCATCATATCATAATGGCTATCAATACACAAGAAAATAAGTATTTACTATGATTAATATAGCCAGGTTACTTACCGAAAAGATACAGTTTCTTTAAGTTGATTCGTTAATAGTTTACCGCCTAGGTTAATTCTAAGAGAGAGAATATTAGAACCAACTAAACGATTTTATATATTAAATACCTTCTTATCGCCTTTGCCACAGGTTTTCCTTTCACAAAAGGCACAATATGAGTGAATGAAAATCCAGAATCTACTACCACACTGCAGTCGGGAACGGATCCTGGCTTATCTCCAAAGAGTGATCCAAGATCATTGAAAATACACAATTGGGGTCCTAATATCCAAGAATGTAAGCAATATGCTTCATGTTTTATATGGTGTTCTACCTATAGTACGATAGCATGAAGCAAATTCGTATTCTTCGAATATCATTTGGTCATAGGCTTCTTGAATGGTAGGTAAATTAAAGCATGGCTCTGTAATCACCAGGCGACTCTCTTTTGAATCAACCTAGTACATACACACACACCAAATATTGGATTGCGCTCATAAAAGATAATAGCAGTAATATATTACCTTGAGAACATTTTTATATAATCGATCCCATATGGTACGTTCAACTCCCCAATTTGTCAAGAAACCCTGACACTCAATTATTAGCCAAACATAAAAAGCACAGATAGCTCTTTATTATAATATCTGTGCTTACTCTCTCAAAAGGTAATCGATAAAATAGTGAAGAGAAGTCTGAACAATCATCAAGCTGATCCCCAATAAAACTTCTGTTATCTGTTCTTCCTCGAATAATGGCATTTTGTACTAGTCTATGATTCATCATAAGGCTTCCAATTCATATTATATTAATGTATTTTTATGCTAGAGCCTTGCCTGGGATCATTCATTGTCGAACCAGAGGCAATCCCTGCTTTGATTGTATAGGCCCCATGATCTAATACAACTGTTGATCGCATCTCGATAATTACTAAAAGGCACACTTATGCACTTTCTAAACAGTATTAGGCGAAAAAAATAAAGTCACGTGAAATATATGTACAATACGAGTTAGAGTCGTGTCTGTAGAGCAAATACCGGCATATCAGTTGAAGTAATTGTATGACCCAATAGGGTAGAATCTTTATACGGTCTTTCAGATTCATATGTTTTAAATATAAAAAGAATCGACCCATTTTTTAACATTTTCATATTCAAAATGTCGAGCGTCAGCTGTACCAAAGAAAGAAAGTACAGGGCAATGACATTCAATTTCAGTAAAATAAAATACTAATATTATTGAAAAATGATTTAGCTCTAACTTTTCTCTCGAAGAACTTGGTGTATGGGCATTTGATACGTTTAAGAATCAAGATAAAATGAAGCTTGTATCAACCAGTGCTATATCGAAAATTATTTACTACGAGAGTAAAGAAAAGAAATGAAAGTATCAAAGCCGAATCAATATTCGAACAAGCAGCTTACTCTTTACGCGTTGCCTGAGCCTTTGAATGCAATCTTAGAGGATATGAAAACGTTTAATTATCATTTGTATTAATATAATCCTAATTCTTAAAATCCAAAAAAAAAGATAATGAATATTGGCTGAATATCTAAACCAATATGGGGTTGATTGTTTTTTGGATACTGAAATTAACTCTTCAAAACTTTAATGGATATTTATATGTGTCTTCTCACTATTCTTTTTCTGTCAAGCTTGTACAGCTATAAACATTGGCTGTTTTTGACTAAAATTCTCAAGAAAGTTAGAATAACTGACTATTTCACCAATTGATTTATCTTGACTCATTCTGTACAATCGACTTTAAGGATATGTGTGGGTCTTACTTTGGGGCCAATAGACTTGCCTGAATTTGAAGTAGAAATACTATAATTCTTTGCTTTCAACTTGTCTGTAATGGTTTTTTTTTACATTATTTTATTTTGCTTGCCTAGTACATAGAAGAATAACTAACATGTCTATATATAAATATTTTATTTCTTTAATATAAATACATCCATTCATATTCTAATATACATATTTAGTATTTTGTATTCAGTGATCATTCGTATATGGGTCTATAATAAATAAAAAGAATTTTTAAAAAAAAAGACTTATCTTTCTGCCGCTTTAAAATTGTGCACCCAAGAGCTATTGATGATGATGTCATCACAACTAAATCTGCGTAAAAGTCTTGTCTGTTGAAATAGTCGTATTTGCTAAAGTACTGGTTTTTCAACAACAATGGCAAGAACCAAACAAACCGCCCGCAAATCCACTGGTGGAAAGGCACCCAGAAAGCAGTTGGCTACTAAGGCCGCCCGCAAGTCTGCTCCTACTACAGGTAAACAACATCTCTCGTGTTCATCCATTCATCCATCTCTTCATAATAATTAGGTGGCGTTAAGAAGCCCCATCGTTATAAGCCTGGAACTGTCGCTCTCCGTGAAATCCGTCGTTACCAGGTATATGATTACAGCAATAATAAAAATGATTGATGATCTCTAATACCAGATGATGCTTTAGAAATCTACTGAGCTCTTGATCCGCAAGCTTCCCTTCCAGCGTCTTGTCCGTGAGATTGCTCAGGACTTTAAGACTGACTTGCGTTTCCAGTCTTCAGCTATTGGTGCCCTCCAGGAGGCTGCCGAAGCTTACTTGGTATCGCTGTTTGAAGGTAATATTACACTCAAAGCTAAATGAGAAATGTTTGGCTGATCTGTGCGACTTAGATACCAACCTTGCTGCCATCCACGCCAAGAGAGTAACCATCCAGCCCAAGGATATCCAGTTGGCCCGTCGTCTCCGTGGTGAACGCTCTTAAGGTGTATAAGTATTACGTTACGTAGACTTTATCTCCCTTTCAGACCAACTTAAGTAGACATGTCCCAAAATCTACTTTATTTTATTATTTGATATATTATCCAATTATTGAAGTCAACAAAGCTTTCAAATGTCTTCCATTTTATTATGTGTATAATTTTCGTCTGTGTATGGGAAAAAATGGGTCCATTACATATTCCTTTCGTCTTGTTGTATATTATATTAAGTGGTTAAACTGATGATAATGGTTCTAAACGAAGCAAATCCTCGTGAATGGCCTTCATAGCGTGTAATGCCTTTGATTGTTCAATCACACAAGAAATATTAATTTCGGATGCTTCCTGTGAGATGATTTCAATATTGACGTTGGCTTTTGCCAGGCTGCTGAACATCTTGCCCGCAATTCCCACTGTCTTTTTCATCTGAGAGCCCACTAGTGATAGAATAGCCATGTTGTACATAACATCTACCTATTTCAAAGTAGAGGGTTGCTTAGATAACGCTTTTGTTATCTTTAATATCATATTCATTTACCTGGCCCAGATTTTCCAGTTCGACCACAGCGCTATCCATTTTGCTTTTCAAAATATCAGCCTCCAGGGCAATTGAGACATGAACTTCAGAAGTTGATATCAAATCAACGACCATGTTATATTCGTCGAGTATGCCAAAGATTCTAGCAAGAAAACCGTGACTGACACTCTTTCTGTTGGAGTGAATGTTCAATACGCAGATACTATCCTTTACTGTCACGGCCGTTGGGTGTTTTTGAGTAAGGATATGAGCACCACTGTCCGAGAAGATACATGTGCCCGCACCAGTTGGGTTTTCGACATTCTTGATCCGAATAGGGATATTAGATCTAATGACTTGCTCCATCGTGAATGGGTGGATTACTTCTGACCCATAATACGTCAATTCAGCTGCCTCTTCAGGTCGTACAAAGGAAAGAAGTCGAGCACCCTTAACCTTGCGAGGATCAGCTGTAAAGATACCATCAACTTCTTTCCATATCTGGAGCTCTTCTGCCTTGAGACCAACAGCTACCAAAGCAGCACATAAATCTGTGTATCCTCTACCCATTGTTCTCAACAAACTTCCAGGTACATTTCCAAAGAAACCTAGATAGATCAATTTAACATCTTCGTATTCATTACATTTATTTCAGTACCCGTCACGATAGGCACTTTATTGCCACATTGAACAATACGCCTGGCCATATGCTGCGAAACGTGGTCGTAAAATGTCTGGTCCAAGCCATTAAATTCCCCCACAATGATATTATTCAGCACAACAAGTTCTGTGTCAATTCCCTAACATATTAAGCATATGAATATTTGTTTCTGTAAGCTTAATATGCTGTATCTTACCCGGTCCTTCAACACGGCTGCCACCAGTGTACAGGCCAATTTTTCACCCATGCCAACAATGACATCTTTGGAGCGGGGAGAAATCTCATCAATGATCTTGATTTAAACTCCATTAGATGACAACTTCGCCATGGAAATCGTATCTCCTACCTCAGCAGCTTGAAGAAATGATCGGAGTCTAAGGCAATCTTGATGCAATTGTGCTTCGAGCTCCTTCAAGAGATCTTTATTTTTGATGAGAGACCTTGCGACATTAATATGATCATCTTTGATATCCTTGACAATTTCAAGGTAACTGATAGACCCTTCTTCCAAAGCCTCTTCCGCTGCCTTAAGTAGTCTAAGATTAAGTTTAACAAACATTTATATGCATACACACATTCATACGCACACCCATACGCAGGTTTTGGGGTTTTCAAGAAGTGTTTGCTTACCTATTAGTTGTTCCTGTACTTTTCTCCTCCCCGCTCCGAGCAGAGCATACTACTGCAACACGGTGACTGTCCATGTAGGATCTATATTGGGGTAAGGATTGGCGCAGGCAAAGAAGAAAAAAGGAAGAGGTGTCTTTACCGTACTCAGTACTTACGGAACGATGGTGGACGCAATAGTCTCCAAAAACTTGCCTACACTCGTTCCTCCGTACTTTTGGACTACCCATGGATGATCTGATGGATTTTGACGATAGGAAGAGCTAGGCATAACAAGCAAATGGAAGAAGAGAAGAGAGAAATTAGCTTTCTGGATTCGTTTTTTTTTTAAGATTAGCTCATTATTTAAAGTCACACCTTAAAAGAGATCATCTAACACTTGTACTGGATTTGGAAAAGTTCGCACAGTCGAGATAATTTTACATTTTTGACAATAGAAATTTATAGTCATTGATAGAGTTTCTTGTAAGTAAAAAGAATCCAACGGTGTATTCTTGTAAAAAAAATCAAATATTCTTTAACGGTCGTGTCAATTGGGTTATGCCTGTATGTTCTTTTAAAATAAAATAAAAGTATTGTAAAAGAGGTATTTTATAAAATAGATTGATTTGATTGGTATTCCAAGAATATTATTTAATTGATTACTTTTACTATACTATATTATATTAAATAGCTACTATTTCTTCATCCTAATCTAATTAGCAGTCATTTTCTCATATCATATTAACTATTGTTGATGAAAAATATGGCTTTGTTGTGGAAGCGACCTATTTGTTTTTGTTAGTGTAGTTAAAGTTAGGTAATGATCAATGAAAGCGTGTGAAATTAATAAAAAAACTGAATGAATCGTAGAAGAAAAGGTACAAATTATAGAACATATAACACACAATATATTTTAAGGAATCGCAAAAATGACCTTTCTAGAATCATAAGCCCATAAAAGGGCAAAAGATCAATAATAAATCAGTACAATAAAGCCGTTTATCTCTCTTAAAAAAACGCCAGTAGGTCTAAAAAACAATATTTTTTCTGTTGGAACGGATAAAATAAAAAATCAATTTTATACTGTAGTCAATTGCGCAAAGGCGTTGCTTAATCTGAAATGCAGATATTCTTACAAGGCTTTATATTTTTTATAGGTATAGTACTATTTCTTAATACTTGACATTTGATCAATTTGTCGCAAGCTTCAAATAATGAGCTGCTCTTGTGAAACTTGCTTAGACTACTTTTATAATACATTGACCGTATTTGAAATCCTTGGATTTATCCATTTATTATCAATTATAGCTGTAAAGATGCAGAAAATAGAAATCCAAACGTGGTAATTATCAAACATATGAAATTAAATTTTAAATGAAATATTCTCAAAAATTTACACAGTTTTTTTTTAAAAAAAAACTATTATTGCCTTGTTCTATCTTGTTCTCGTTTCGAACACTCTGCATCACTCGCTGATGTACTTGTCAAAGGTCCTTGCTTATCAAGAAAGTAAAGCACATCATCGCCAATACTGGACTCTTTTGTCCAATTGAAGATCTTGCTATCATCCAACCACTCAGTGGCTGCAGTATTGAGCCATTCTGCTGCTATTTCTTTGAACGTCTTCTCGCCCTCAGCAAGTTCAGATACAGAATGTTTGGTAGAAGGATCAGGTCTAAAAACATTATTAGGATCAAAATCACCAAAGACTTTGGGCCCATAATCATTGATCAGTTCTGTGATATCTTGTGATAATTTCTCTCGGGTTTTTCGAAGATTTTCTGTGCTATCAGGATCTACGAGAGCAAGGTAAAGGGGTCGCAGAGATCTATAGAGGGAAAGTTTGAATATCAAGCTTGAATGTATATATATAAACTTACTTGAATACATCTACGCCATTCTCGCCCCATCTCATACTGCAATAGCTGACAATTGGAAGCAACGTCCAAGTTGCTAATGGCAATCCGATTTTGTAAAGCCACTTCCAGTCACTTCTTAATGCAAATACTAAGGCCAGAATAGTATAGAGGCCATACATGGTTGGTAACAAAACCAACCCTACAAGAAATTTCCAGGTTGCAAGTACATCTCTACCAGCAATTTTGACAGTAGAGCTAGCAAGTGCCTCTGCAATGAATAAAATATAAAAATTTAGCTAGTTGTCAACCAAGCTTGTGAGAGAATTTATACCTTTTGCTTTCTTGGCGCTCAGAAACTTGGCAACAACCAAAATAGGAAGATTGAGTATACCTCTAAGCAATCATTAGATAAAACAAAGGTAAATTAAAAGGATCCTACCCTGGGAAGGCCAGTAGTCCCCAAACTGCCAGAGTAAGAAGGCGATAAACGAGTAAAAAGAATGTACGCCAGCCACGAAGGTTGATGCCAGGGACTTGATGGTCTTTCAGGCCATGATACTTAAGGAGCTGATTGTATGCAAGAACTTTGTGCTGGAGCTCAATTACTTTAGGATCGTCCTTGTATAAGTTATAGCCAATCACTAGACGGCGATTTAGGTCTACGACTTGCGCCAAATGAAGCTTGCGGTGCGCAGGCTTATAAAGACGCCGCGCAGCTTGGATAACCTGGAAGTATTAGCATATATCTGAACCATTTAAAAAACACTTACCATCAATGTTTGCTCATTAGAAGCATTAATTGTCACACTCTTCAATGCATAGTATATTGTGTTCAGTAGACTTGCACATGCTTCTCTCTTTTCAGTGCCACCCATCTTAAACTTTTCCACTAGTTCACTCGACACAGTAATAGGCTTTCCAAACTCAATTACAGCTCTTGAGCGGAAACGATGAGCATGAAAATAGTTTAAGCCTACTCAAAATTAATTAATTTTTTTTTCTCCAAATGTTTTCTTTTATTACCACATGGAACAATCTTCACATCCATTCCTGGATATTTTGCCATTGCACCTAATGCCATAATAGATACTCCAGCTAAATGGAATATACGATTAATAATTCTGTTATCATGGTCACTTTCTTTATATTACCTTTAAATGGAAGCATCTCAGCTCGGTCGTGGCTGCCACCTTCAGGAAAGATGGTTATACACTGGCCGTTGTTCAATTCATCATATACACGTTCATATACAGAGTCCTGTTCAACATGAGGAACACACTTGTATGCAGTTCCCTCTGGTTTGCAAAGAACATGTACAGCCCGTTTATCTGTGACATCAGACTTGACTATCAATTCTGTATCTGACAAAATCTTCACCACTTCAAACTTTCCGATTCCGCGAGGCAAGAATATTGAATCTTGAGGTTGTAGTTGAGACAAGAAATGGGTATCCATGCCAGAGATAACCCGGGGACTAGACTTTGGGTTCAAAAGTTGAATTCTCCCACTCCCTTCTTCAGCAATGTCCTGAGGACGAACAACTGGGACTAAAATGTGTTTCGAAAAGCATAAAATTAGTATTAGCCAATTAAATACAACGCGTACTTACTGGCATGAACCATGCGTGCAAGAAATCCAACTGCTTTTTGTTTCATCGATTTGGCCGCAATTAGGAAAGACACTCGGCGGTGACATTCACGCATTACGATGAGGGGATCGACAAACTAAATGAAAAGATTTAGACATGAGTATCTTATTTTATGCATTAGTAGAATGAATATCTTACTTGACTCGCATGAGGCGCTGCTACAAAGATTACCGGGCCCCGTCGAGGGATCTTGTGAGATCCACGGGGTCTGATCTCTCGAAAGAAAATATCTAGCATGATGTTGAATAGCCATAATACACAATCATAAAGAAGATCTGCTCTCTGCCTTGTTGAATGCTTCATGGTGAGACAACAGTTTATGCTGTCATCTAAAAGCAATGCCTTGTGACAGGTATCTAATGCAAAACGGCCATAAATGGGAAGGATCGATAAATACAAGCCACCCAAATATTGGCATTTTTAACCTTTTTCTATTCCGGCGCACGTGTGTATTACTTCTCTGTCTTAACCATATACTTAATTAACCATGGGAGGCATCTGGTCAAAAGAAACAAACGATACAAAACAGGAAGTTGCAGCAACAGAGGGGGTTGCTACAGTTGAGACCTTGGGTTGCTTAGAAGAAAAGCCTGGCGAGAAACGAAAGAACACAGGCAAAGACGACCGCCCAAAAGGCAAGCGCGTGAAGACCGCTAGCCAAAGAAAAGAACATTTTGAAAAGAAGGGTTCATGGAAGGCTAAAGAGAAGGAGGCATGGGGTGTTAAGAGAGAGGTTGATCCTAACCAGCCAAAGGAGCCTCGCTATCCTAAGAAGAAAGTAGCATTGCTTATTGGTTTCTGTGGAACAGGATATCAAGGAATGCAAATGTAAGACATATATACATTTGATAGAGATATGTATATTCTGATTTATTTTTCAAAAGGAACAAGGATGCAAAGACAATTGAGGGTGCTCTGTTTGATGCTATGGTAAAGGTTGGTGCGATTTCAAAAGCCAATTCGGAAGATGCTTCAAAGGTAATACACAATTTCATAAAACATCAGGCAACACAGATTTATTCAAGTGTTACAATAGATCAATTGGATGAGAACCGCACGTACTGACAAGGGTGTTCATGCTGCTTGCAATGTTGTTTCTTGCAAAATGGCTTTCCCAGTGGAGGATATGACACCACTTATTAATGCAGAATTGCCTGAACAAATCAGAGTCTGGAGTAAGATATTAACACCCTTGTAATATTTGAAAAATTATTTATATGGTGCATTTAGACTATGTTCAAACCGCTCGTTCCTTCCATGCCAAGGTTGCTTGCGATTCAAGAATCTATGAGTACTTGCTGCCAAGCTATGCCTTCGCCCCTCCCAAGAAATACATACTCACTACTGAACCAACTTCGGACACCGATGTTATGGTCAGCGGAGACAATGGCCAGACTAAGCGTTATGTTGCACGGAGTACTGCTGAGGAGCTCGCTACTTTGGATTCTTATAGAATCGACCAAGACACCTTGGAGAGATTTAGAGAGGCTTTGAGCATGTTCGTTGGCACCCATAATTTCCACAACTACACCATTGGGCGTAGCCCAACCGATAATAGCAGCAATCGCTATATCATGAGTATTAAAGTTGATGATCCTATATATATCAATGGCTGCGAATGGTTGAGTGTTAAACTACAAGGACAGTCATTTATGTTGCATCAAATCCGAAAGATGGTTTGTAAGTTCTAAAAAAAAGATAAAATGGGGTATGGCCTGATGTGATATATACGTGGGATTTGATTTAGCAATGGCTATTCTGACGGTACGAAGCAAGACACCTCTGAAGATCATTAAAAATTCTTTTGATAATGTGCGGATCAATATCCCAAAGGCACCTGCCGTTGGACTTTTATTGGAGCGCCCAGTTTTTGATTCATTCAACAAAAGTCTTCAAATGAAAGATGCAACATTCAATGCGGTCCGTGAACCTGTGGAATTTCATCCTTATAAGGTAAGTAACATTATCAGGAAAAAGAAACTATAAAGTTTATTTAACCTTATATATATATATATGTATATATATAAATATTCTTTGGACTATTAAGGATGAAATTGAGGCTTTCAAGCAGAAATGGATTTACAGCACAATTTTTGCTGCAGAAGCAGTTGAGAGAGGGTAAGATCTGAAGTGAACAAAATACTAAGTACTGATTTTTTTTTAAAAAAAAAATAGTTTTGATACATTCTTGCGGACCGTGGACGCTCATTTCGGTCACGAATTCAACTACTTGAACTCTGATGGTGAGATTCCTGATGAGTGCATTGTATATACAAAGTTTTCAGGTCAGACAAAGAAGAAAGATGACTCAGAGGACGAGATTGGAGCCGAGGAGTAGCATACTGTGTAAAGCATATTATTTAGTACAAATTAATGAAGTTTCTTGAGCAGATTAGCATATAATATTAAATGTTCAATAATAATAAACTATAAAACCTTTTAACATACTTTTATATTGGATGGTATTTTAACTTATAATGATATATAGACGTGGGTCCTTTAGATAATATATAAAGCTAATATATACTATATTATACCTACTATATATAACCCTGGTAAAATTCATATAAGTAATACATTTGTATTTATGGAAAATAAATACACTTATTTAAGGTTATAACAATGTGCGACAAATGAATTGAAAATTAAACAATAAAATTTAAATCTATGGTTATTCTATAGAAGGATTTCATAGAGTACTCAAAAATCAAAGAAAATGTATATTTTATACAGTCAAAGTAACTTCAGTAATGACATATAGTTGGACAGTTCCTATTTATTAAGCATGGCGTCTACATGAATATTCATTTCATGCAAGTTGAGATTTCTTAATTGGATTCAATAATTCCGTGACTTGCTTTTACCACTATTTTTACATTTAATATTTTAAAAAAAAGTGACAAGCTCAAAGAAGAAGAGATTGCAACTTCACAAGACGCTCACCATGGATGGAACTAGTGCCGCAGCCGCCGGGACTCCAGATGAAGAACCCCCTTTGGGATTGTCTGCTACCGAATGGAAGTTCTACAAGTTTGTGAAGAGTTCTACAAAGGTATTTTTCTGATTTGAATATACTCTTCGATGTGTAATGCTTACAATTGATAATTAATAGGGTGTTAGTCTTAGTGAGCATCCCCCTGGGATGGATGTTACAGAAGCACATCTTGCCATGAACACTCTTTTGAAAAAGGTAATGATAAAAAACATCAAGGGGATCCCCGGAATTAAACGATTTGACGATTGCCATATTTCTGGATTTTATTTTAGAGTGCCATTGAGATCATGTCTTTGAATGGCGAGAATCTTTTACGTGCTATTGATCTAAAGGATGCTGAAAAGTGGGTTTTTTTATTATGTAAAAAAAAGGAAATCGAGTTCACTAACCATCTTATTTCAATTTTTTAGAGCGAGTAAATTAGACGAAGAGGGACGTTTGGTGTTCAACGCTATTCGTGCAGCAGGAAATGTGGGCATTTGGACAAAAGATCTCAAAAAGAAGACCAATCTACATATGATTGTTCTAAACCGGGCTCTTAAATTGCTTGAACAAAAGCATGAAATCAAGGCTGTCAAGCATGTCAAGGTTAGAAATGGATCAAGAAATGAACGAAAAAAAATTGTAATTACTCACAGCAGAAGGCTATAGTTTCCTACCCGAAAGATCTATATGCTCTTTAACACTACTCCATCGAGTGAAGTTACAGGTGGTGCGTGGTATACCGATCAAGAACTTGATACAGACTTTATCGACAGTTTAAAGGCAGCCTGTCTCAAATATATTACTGCAAGAGTAAGCTTTTATTTATTTATTTTGGGAATGATTATGTGTGTGTGACTGATATATATATATATATCCTCTTGATGAATTGTAGAGTTTTCCACGTAATGAAACAGTACGTGATGCTGTTTTTGGTGCAGACCATGAGCATTACCCCACTGCTACAGAAGTCAGAAGATTTATTACCGAGTCTCGTATTTCTTCTATCGAACTCTCTGTGAAGGATATTACTAGTTTGTTAGATGTATTGGTATATGACGGTACAATTGAGAAGAAATCACCATTTGCCATTGGTATGGAAGACTTTAGCGACGAAGAAGATGGAGATGAAAATGTTCAGTGGTCATACAAGGCTGTCCGCAAGACAACTTCACGTCTACCCGTTGAGGCATTGACAGAAGTTCCATGCGGACGTTGCCAAGTATTCACATTCTGCTCAGAAAATGGGCCAGTATCACCTTTCAATTGTGAATACTTTAAAGTCTGGTTAGATTGGTAAGGAGGGAAATGCTGAAATTAAATCTATCACCATCCTTGCCATTCCTTTTTTTCTATTTTGTTTTCTTTCTTTCTTTTCTTGTCATCATTACAATCATATGCAACAACGCGAATATTATAATTTTTATATTTTATTGCACAGAACACTTTGATGCATTTTGGAATAGAGTCTGCTTGCGTCTTAAATTATAACTTCAGAGAGTTGGCGTCTAATAGCTGAGCGAGGGAGACATATAGTTAATACCAAGATTTCCTTTTACTTCATAGTACTTTTATTGGATAATGCTTTGGTTTGTATTCAAGCTTCTAGATTCTTGCATTATTTTCGCTGATTGCTTCCAAAAGCTCCGATTTAGATGGCATGAAATTAACTTGATAGTAATAATCAGACTACTATATACCAAAATCTATAGTTCCTCATCGTCTTGGTTGTTGACGCAAAGAGAAACTTGGACAATTGATAAATAATTGAAATTTAAAGAAAATATATATACATTATAATATTTCTGCTTGAGATTGAGACAAATCAGGAGGTTTTGTTAGATAAGTAAGAAAAAACCGAGACGATTGTACTTTGTAAACTAAATTGTTTATGTCAGCTTTTTTTGTTGAGGCTTTTGCCCCAGTAAGTCTCAGCATATCTTAATACACATATAGCTAAGTTTTTTAAGTAATCTACTATCAATAATCGCCTATCTTTGACTAAAACAGTTTACTGTACATACCATAACTTTCTCAATTCTCTCTTATTCGTCTAAAAAAATCCTCGTTTGTCTCAATCTTAAGTAGAAACACTGTATTATCCAATAAATCTCACCTTTGAATCCCAGGTAGTTTTTTAAAATTAAAATAAGGGATTGAAACCCCTTATTAAAATGAAGTTTACTAATTCTCAATTTTAGTCTTCTTTATCGAATTGTTGGGTGTGGAATATTGGGATGATTACAACCAATGTCTCCCTTTATTTTTATAGTAAGAATATTAGATATTTTCTTATATATTTATTCAAATTTGTATACCCTTACATTATTTCGTCAACTGCTTTTGATGGCTCCAAACTAGATGGTGTAAGTACAAATGGATATGAGTCAGGCTCGCATACGCCATCTAACTCTGTGTTAACAGCTGAGACGAGGAGGAACTTTAGAGGGGAACTTGGATAATCAATAGGAATATCGACTAAAAAACGCAGATTAATATACCGATATATTGTTGGCTATTGTAACTTGCCTTTCACAAGTACTGGTGCATCCGTATGAGCTTTTGCTATCTGTTGAGTAAATTTGGAATACGATTCCTCCTGATAGTCGACCATATTTTCTTGAACTTCATCTGGTATTTCTACAGATATATAGAAGGATATAGAAAGATAGCTGTCTATATCAAGCCACACCAAATTGCTACCATGAATCTTAATTATCTTCAATGTTTGCACCAAGAAATTGAATTTGAAAACTTACTCTACGATACGAGGAACCCATTCCTCTATTATTTCTTTTCGCCCTATGTACGATAGGTACATATAATCTTTTTGCTCTTTAGAATGTGTATTTTCCTCAGACAAATCCAGTGAATGCGTTGATACTGCGTCTGTATAGTCACTATTAGACTCTTCTTCTTTATATTCATCTAAAGAATTTTCGAGAAAGCTGGTGCTGTGTTTTTGTTTTTCTTGTGAACTATTCCCGATTGAACTATATTCACATATAACTTTCCAGATTATTTGAAGCCAATTATGCAAACACCCTATGCGAGTAAGATCCCACTCGTGTGGAGGTAGTAATAATGAGAATTTATCGAATTCACTCAAATATTCTTTGGGATAGGTAAATATAATATCGGGTGGGAAAAGGTAATCTTTGGAATCAAAAACAATTTGACCTGGTGTAAGTTTTTAAAGTAAAAAAAAAAGTGTTCTTGTTAGAGGCAAGATTATAGTATTTCCGTCTGTCCAAATATTTCATACATGTCACTTCTACGAGGTCTCCTCGCTTGAAGTTGACCTCAATTCTGTCTTTGTATAAACTATTGCGGTCAATGGTTTGATCTGGGTCCACAAGATGATTGATGAACATGTACGATGAGGAATTTTCGCATGCATATTCAATTGCCTTTTGAACAAGAGGATATAATGCATCATTTCGTAAGTGTGCCATGATATTTGATTTATTAAAATGTTTCTTTTTTAAATAATAGTATTTTTTTTTAAAAAAAAAAGGCAAAATAAAAAATAATATAGAGTTAAAGATATACTTTTGTAACCGTGAAGTTTGAAGTCATTTAATTTTAAGCTGGGAAACAGGAATACGATAGTCACAATTTTAACTTTTTAACACAATCCAAAAATTATTCGCACAGTCTTAATACCAAATGGTCCTATTATTTTCTTAACTTGTTTGCATAATTTTGGAACTTTATAATATTATATATACAAAAGTATGCAAAAGGTTTCTAGAAATAAATATATATATACGTTTTTAAGCTCAAAGGCAAGACAAGAAGAAAAACGCAGTGTATGAAACAAAGGAAATCTTTCAATTTAGAGCAATCCAAATAAACATATTATTTATTAAACAAAGACCCTGTCTATTTAAGAAAATTGGCTAACATAGTACCTAAATTAATCGTCAAAGAGAAGTAAATAGTTTTTTTTGGGCATTTATTTTTCTACAAGCAAAACCATTTGGAGAAATAAGACATAAAGTACAGTTGTTTGGCAATAGAACCAAGCGATAGATAATACAAAAGATGTTACAGTTAACAGGTTGAATCATAGAGAGGAGTATGTGAGAGTACTCTTGTTCTGTATTAAAGAACACATATATACAAATATACACACAAATGTAGCATATGTAGATTATAAAAGAAAATTCAACTTGTTTCAAATGGCATAGTTTTGACTGGTCGATTTTTTTGTTGGGTTTGTTTTATAGTTACTATCAATGTTTTTTTTGGTGATGTTCATATAGATGTTGCTGGTTTTTGTTTTTGTTGTTGTTGTTGATATTCTTTGATGGGTGTTATTGGTGCTACTGATATTCAATATTTCTTTTTCTTTTTTTTTTTGGAGATTTTGACAGGTAGTTCCTTCTTAACTGGAGCCTTTTATACTGTCATTATTTTAGGTATGGGCACTTGCAACGTTCATGTCCATAGATTCCACACCAAGTGCTATTTTTTTTTGACTAAATCAGTATGGTGATATATATAAACAAAAGTGTTTACCATTGGCCTCCTGTTGTATCAATGTCTGGAATTCCATAGCTTGTAGGTGATGTGCACAAGTGAGCCCGCTTATTAAAGAGAACGATTCCCATTCAGACAAGAAATCAGAACGCCAAAGACTATGGTAAGAAAGGTCAAGTAATTTCAAATTGACTATTATTTATAGCTTATTCGAATTAGATTCCTAGTAACTTGGACTGGCGGTAAAAACAGAGACTTTTGTTTTTTATTTTTTTTTCTTTGGGTAAGAGTCGGAATCCATAGTACTTTAATTCTAGATTCAAGACACAAACAGAGCGTATATTTTACAAAGGATATTTGTAATAATGAACTTCTTTGATAACATATATGTATATATGTATATGTATACTTAAATACTTCTTATTTGCGGTCTATACATTCATTAGGAAAGTTTGAATGTTACAATATTGACAAACAAAACAACAGAAAGTATATTATATATATATATATAATTTATAGGTTTTCTGTCCCAACAAAACTAGTGCACAGCTTATATATATATAAGGAAAAAAAGGGCACAAAAGTCGAGGCTGTCATTCAGGAACGGACCGTACAACAACAATGTAGCAGTACATAATGTCTAATGTACTGACAGGTCATAGTATATCTAGAAAATAATCTTAAATAGATTTACTTTTTCTTTTTTGTGCAAAGTAGGACGAATCCAAGGTTTCGCCTCTGGCTCATGACAAATATTGTCTCATGAGCGACCCGCTAGTTCTGAAATAAATGGCCCACAAACATATCATCCTTGTATTAAACATGTACATGTGAATCAATGTCGGGCACCCCCAAACCTTCTCACACTTTATTCTGGGCAAGAGTCTTTAAATATTCCGTGGTTCCCGATGATCTGGGACTTGTAGTGCATTATGTGTATCGCATAGATGAGAGTAACAATGTGTTCTTGGCTGTCACCCGATTTCATTAATACTTTAAAAGAATAACAATCAAAGCAGCAGTCAAGATAAACAGAAGACACAGAGAGCTTAATATCACACACCCCCTACTGGCTGGGAAATAACCCATATTCATAGTGTGTTGGGAGTGGAAATAGCGGACATTGGCGAAATAGAGAAACAGTATACTCAATAAAAAGAAGGCGAGACCAACACCACGTCCAATACGGGCTCTTTCTTCTGCCCCATCTTTACTGGGTGCGCTTGGTGAAAGGTTGTAAACTTGAGTTACGGCTTTTTAAAGGCATATTAAGTCGTACGATCGACGTTATACATTATATATATATATTTCTTTATTATTTATTTATTTATTTCTTTCTTTATTTTATCTTATTTTATTATGCTTACCTATTCCAGCAGTAAATAGTGATAGAGAAGTACGAAGCCAAGCCAGAAACGTTCGTTCATTGGCTAAATACAAAAATGCAAGTGTGAAATAAATTAATACATTAAAACAACAAAGCACAAGTATGTCTGTCTAACCGTGCGCTTCATGCGGACATCAATTCTAATGTTTACATTGTATAAACTATGTACTCTCAATCACCCCCTTCCTTTTATTATGATACTACGCACCCTTGCGCATTCAAAATATCCCTTGGCTTTAGAAGATAATTTCTAGTATACCTAGATGGTCTCTGGCAGCACTGTTTTTGTTTTCGACAATAAGAGAAAACGACAAGCGGGAATAAAGAGTAGCAAAATAAGGATGTGGTTTGACATGAGTTTTCGGAAGAACACCGCTCTTTTCTAAACCATTCCGATCGGCTTGACTGATTGTGAGGTCAATGTGTGTTTGAATATTTGATAGACATGATATTGTCGATGTTTGAGAGGCAGAAGACGTATCAACATTTGACCTTGGTCTGCTTTTTTCTTGCTGGCATGTGGATGTAGTATCTTCGTTTTGTGACATAGATGTTAGGGTGTGTTAATAATAAAAGAAGGTAAATATAAGTTTTTTTTTTAAAAAAAAATCAAAGCCCTTGAGTTCCACCTGTGCAGTTTAAGAAAACTTGGCTGTGAATGGTATTTTTTTTTAAAAAAAAGTTTGTACTTGATTTGCATAAATACACATTCCCTTTGATTATGCCATAAATGCATTTACACGCGGTACGGTTGTGGTATAGTTTTGATTTGCTTTAGAATTCGTTTCAATATGTGTGGCTCACAAGAAAAATAGAGGGAGAAAGAGGTATATGTATATACGCAGGAATAATGTAAGTATAATTTCATTCCATATTTTACCATAAGAAACAGTCAAACAGTAGGCAATCTGTATATATAACATCTTTTAAACTATCTAATTCCCGGTTTTTTTATAAAGCTCATAAGATAGAAGTTCAAAGCGTATATTATATAACTGGACAGATTAGAATAGTGAGACTTATATTTTTGTTTCTAACGTACATTGTGTTAAATAGTAAAAGCATGCCTAGTGTAAATTCCAATAAAAAAAATTACGCAAGTCCAAGGGCAGGCTCCCAGGTTCTAGAAATTAATGTCACCACGTCGACAAATTAGATGCCGTATTTGTGAATATTTTGTCGTACAAGCCTTGGCATATTTAAATTATAAAAAGTGGACTAGAATTCTATTCTTGGACTTCTTCTTTTATCATAATAATACCTACAATACCACGAGAAAATCATTAATGAAGTATAATTATACCCTTTGCACAAACAAGCGCAGAGTGAAGCCCCTCATTCTGTTGTCTAAAAATATCTTAATGTGTTTGTCATTGCGAAGTAGCTAAGTAACAGCACTTTTACAGCAAATATATGGGAAGAAAGTACAAGAATGATCCTGATTACACCTTTGAGAAATATATAAAAGCTGCTCGCCCAAGTCTACTGAGTGAAAAATACAGCCGTTTCTCTCTCTCTGAATTAGATCGATAATAAACTGCTGGCTATTATTAACAAAAGTGATCGAACAACTGACATGAACTCCACAAGAAACTGTGCCTTTCTTAACAAATTAGCCAGTCCTATATGCATAAATCATAGTATACAGTTATACATATATATAAAGCTTACATACAGTTTCCAGAAAGCTCATAACATGACCAAATCGAACCAAAATCTTGGGAGGATTTGCGTTTGAAAATTCCAAGAATTACTTATCAATAAAGAAAAGGTAAAGAAATAAGCAAGGTACTCCAATTTCTTGAAAAGCTAGACTTTTACAAAAAAAAATCCAGTGAAGCTTCTTGACTTGAAATTGAGCGACTTTAAAGTCTTTCCTCGGTAACCCTTACAGACGCTTAAATGTGCTTTCTATTTATTTAAAAGCAGCTTATAGGAAAATGAAGTGATATCCCATCTTTTATCAGAAATTACCATATAAGCAGGGCCAGGGATTTTATTTTCATCGAATATCTAGTATGCACAATATAATGTGATAGTTCCTAAGAAAAAGAAGATCTAGACACGCTTCAAGTTCATCTTGCTTCCTACTAAGTTGTCTATCTGGCTGTTAGAAAATCAGGTCTTCATGAATAAGATGTTTATGAATTACATAGTCATTTTTGGATATATTCAAATAAATATGAAGAAGAAGAGGAAGAAGAAGAAGAAGAAGAAAATACATTAAAATAATATATATATCTATATCTATATACCTATATATATATAACATATAACATATATAATATAAATACAAAAGAGATGGAAAGAATAGGATATAAACCAAGGGGTCACATTTTGTTGGTGATGTTGATGTTGATGTTAATGTTGATGTTATTATACTTGACCAAACTGGGTTCGTCGCTTCTCAGCACGGATATTACGCTGTCGTTGTAGTTGTTGGATGTGCTCTTCGCAGTATATGTGCCTCTCCAGCATATAATATACATCTGTAATGGGACATCGACAAACCTATGAAGAGTAGTTAGAGTCCAATGTTCTCAATATAGGATATTTGTATCTCTTACATGACATCGGAAACAAGGAGGATGGAATCTCCAGTTCTCAATAGTTTGTGCACATGGACCTTCGATTGGGTCATCGCATGTTCTGCAAAGTGAGTTATTCAATTGATGGTAGTGTCTTTTGCAGTAAGGTGCGTTCTCAAAGACATAAAATGTATTATCCGGAAAAGGTCTGTGGCAGGTCTATAAAGTATGTCATGAGCATATTACTGATATTTATGAACATAACTTACATGGCATCCAAAGCAGTCCAAATGCCATTTTCCTTGAAGTTTACCGTCCAAAGCCGACACAGCCTCCTTTTCAACTGGCTTATTACAGCCTCTGCACTTTGGTAAAAATAAAGTCTTGAAATCCGCTCGACAGTACACACGCCCTTGGTGTTCTTTACAGCCTGTTTTCTCGTCAACCGGCTCATAACAATGATAACATTTGAGATGCCCGGGATGGTAGTACTTCCCAAGCGCTTTAATGGATTTTGTACCAGGTTGAATAGGGCGATCACTAAAAAAAGAAAATCTTGAACTTAATTACCTGGTACAGGGTTACACGGGGTTTCTATATGTTTTTTTTTATTGCCTATTCTTCTTTTAATTACCATGCCGCACAAGCAACTCTGTGTTTGACTACATTATAATCGCGTTCACAGTAAAGGTTGCCTTCATGTTCAAATGTATTTTGATGAGGATCAAGAGGAGTCCTACAGAGTCGACATTGGAAGCACGGCCTGTGATAATACTAATGGGCCAATTAATTATTAATTATAAATATTAAAAAGTTAGCTCTCTCTCTCTCTTTTTTTTTTAGGTGTACAACTTGGTCTATTGCCTTTAACAATGTGCCACGAGGTAATTCTCACTTGCCTTGTTACCCACAGTAGTCACATCGTCTCGGTAATCAAACTCCTCATGGCATGCTGAACAGCTATTGTCGGTACCGGTGGCACCTATGCCCTCATCATCATTGATATCCTGCATACTGTTCATCAGATCGGCCATAAGCGAATCCAGTGCACCGCCTCCTGCCTTTACACTTCCAGATTTGTTTTTATTGCCAGACAGAATATTTCCCAAAGATTCCTTGCGAGTACGAGGCGACAAAGGCTCACCTGCTATAAGTTACAAGTGGGTTGAGCCGGAAATGTCTAGATTTGGAAGTGTCCATTGTCTTTCCTTTTATATTATATATATATATGTATATATCCATTTTTGTTTTTATCTTATTTTATTTTATTTTTCTTGAGCTTGCGCGTGTCTAATTACTTACGTTTATAACGATCATCGCCGTGGTATCCAGACCCAATATCATCTCTTGATCCGTTGTTACTCCGAGAAGGATCTGATCTATATATGTTTAGATACGAGTAAATAGCGAATATGTATTACTAATTAATAAATTGAAATGAATTTCTCCTCTACAATATACACATATGTCCATATACACATACATACTTATATGTATATATGGAATATATGTATATGTATATGTACTCTTTGATTTTTCTTTATATATTTAATTCTCTTTAAATGTACCTAAAAGGCGGACTTTTGGGTGAATTATCCTCAGTACGAACTGGAGATTGGTTGTTATTCCGTTGATCATAAGGCAAAGAATTATTGTAGTGGGATGATAGACTGCCTGGATTTTGATTAGGAAGATTCCCAGCACGCAGACTGTTAATACTGGTATTACTAGTATTATTTGGTCTGTAATTTCCAGATCCATCATCATGGTAATTATCTAGCGGTGATCTTGCTCTAAGAGGTTGCTGTGTACGTTGATGGGTGTCTTCATATGCTGAAGGTCTGCGAAGGTCTCTGGCCATTCCAGGGTAATATGGCGGAGTGACAGATCCAACCATTTCGCTACTATAGTTATTTCCATAATTATTGTCGTATTTAAAGTTGTTTGGGCTGCTCAAGGGAGAAGATGGAGGGGGACTCTTGGCAGGGCTTTTGATGGGTCCTGGCTTGGACTGGTCTATAGTATGAATAGGTTAGGTAAATCCAGAAATATACATTGTAAGTTAAATCTTTTTCTCTTTTGTTTTGTTTTTTTTTTTTTTTTTTACCATTACGGAAGATGGGAATGATCGGTAAGGTTGGAAGGGGTGGTGCACTTGAACAGAGATGATCGCCTAAGCGACGAATGTGAACATCGCGCCCACAGTCAGAACATTTGACTGTGGGTAAGATTTGCGACATGCGCTCATTCGGCGCAACTTTGCTCATTAGGATGAAAGAAAGAGATGAAAGGGTTCCACCGAGACTTTGGCATAGTTTTCATTTGAGAAATCGAGCGCATTTCATGAGTAACGGAAAGCAAACTATGATTTGCCTTTTAAGACACTTTCCACTTTTAATCTCCGGGAATAGTAAGAGCCAACCCAATTTTCTAATTTTCTTTTTCTGGGTTTACAAAAATACAGTAAAACACATTTGTAGGGCGCACAATCCGAAAAAATAAGGCGCATTTTTACATTTTCGATTTCTTTTTTAGAAAAAAAAAACAAGTGACGTGCCAAGTACTTACTTATTTTTTCTTGTAGAAAATCATGCAAGGAGTACATAAATTTCCCTTCATATATAGGACACCTAAGAAATAAGAAAGACTTTTTTTTTTCAAAATGCATAGTCGCTAGTATTTATGATTGTTTCAATTTCAATATTATTTTTTTTAACCTTTTTGTTTTATCATAATGAACTTCGCTTTCCCAGTGTCTGTTTCCTATAAATTCGCACAACAAACACTTTGGTCTTCTTTACTTTTTGTTTTATTTTATTTTCAAACCACTAATTAAGTCTTTGGTAAGATTTGCCGGATTTTTATTGAACTTCTGCTCACACCGCCTTAGGTGGGTCTATTGTTTTTATAGTAAAGTTTCATATCAATCGTATCACGATTAGCTTCGACGATATATTAGTATCTCAGAATTTTAATTGAAGAGAGCATCATCATAATTTATCATAATGCGAAATGTTATCCTTCAACCTTTCTTTTCAAAGCTTGCGACAAAGACATGAAACACAAACATGAAGATAACTCATCTGAGAATTCAGCAAAAAGAAAGGAATGTTTTATAGAGCAAGTATCAAACGTATACATTGCTGATGAAAAGAAGCATACGTTATTTTCTGGAAATCCTCGCCTGCAAGACCTCTGAATTTTATTTGTCATGGGTTAACAGTGAGCCAAAAACTAAAGAAAAAATTACCATGGCCGTCATCTATTGAAAAGACAGATGCTCTCAAGGAAATTACCACCAACATCAATACGCTGTGGTCTCTCTATCAGCCAATAGACTCTGAACCCGATACCTTGTATGCCCAGCCTCATATGTATTTCAAATGGCTTCACTTTCTTCAAACAGAAGTTGATAAAATAGCTCTTATCACGGAATAATTACCGGAAACTGTCGCTTCTAAAGCGTGCGTCCATCATAAACTCAAAGAACAAGTCCTTATATATATTAACAGCAATCAACCTCTGATATTTGGAAAGAATCTGCAAAATATTCAACCGCATAAGATGACAGTTTCAAATTTTGTCAACACCGTAAAGACAAGGATAAAAGATGATACTTTTTGTCCTGTCAAGTATACCGATAAACGTGGATATCGCTTTTTTTCTCTTCTGCCTGTTTATTTGTTTCAAGGAAAATCGGTTCAGATCGATGCTCATGCGTTTTGGAGACTAGTGAAAGAGTCTGGAATTGAAAACTATCCTAAAAGCTCTAAGAACTAGGAAATGTTGTCTTATTTTTATTACAAGCTTTTCGGTTTCTCCAAGATTGGATTTAGAGCCAGAAAGAGTCTTTCTAATGGCAGAAAGACATTAAGTAAATATTTAACTATGACTTTTAATAATATTTCGAAATTAAACGATTAATATTAGGAGCGTTGTATATTCTGATGGCTATTCAATATCATTTCTGTTCTCACGAGTCTCAAAGAAAAGCAACTCTAATGCCTCTCCCAAAAAAAAAGCCGCCGGATTTTCGTAATGAAATCGAAAATGGATGTCAAGTCTGGGCCCTGGACCCTGGGATAACAGCAGTATTGCAGTGCAATGAAAGCGTTTTCAAGGTTATTTGGAATTGCGATGTGATGGCCGCAAAGAATAATGGCGCTCGCCTGTCCCCGTTCCTACGCCCTCTATTATAAGAATAATTATAATCACTGTGTGTTATTGATATAACTCCTTAATACACCCTTACAGGTAAATTTAGCAATTATTTAATATATTCATTTCATTTTTCTGATTTCCATCTTTATTCTTATTTTATCTAAAATAGGCAAACAAGCCTGTTAAACTACTATTTTGCTTCGTCCAAAAAAAAAACAAAAACATAATCCTCGAATTGCTGAAAACGCTCTCAAAATTTATTTATTTATTTATTTTTTTTAAAAAAAAAAAGATAAATTGAACTGCTGGGTAAAGTGGCCTTTGCTTTAGCTAAAGTGGCCATGTTTGGACTTAGATAAGTTAAACGTTAACTTACTGCTGGAGATTGTCTTGACTTACTACTTTGTCCCCATAGTTTGTGTATTCATCAATCTATCCCCAAGCACCTACCTCTCCTTCCTTGAAGAGTCTCAGCCTGTATTTGGACAACTTAATAATGGAATACTCGCATACGAAAAACAAATCCTGTATATTCAACTAGTAGCTCTGAATTTAGACTTGAAAATAAAGAAATAATAATTACACAAATACACTATATCAATAGTCAGTTATGCAGAGCAGTATGAATTGTCATTAAACTGTGAGCAGTCTTGTTAGATATTCTACTATTTATTATCCTTACACGTATCATTTCTTTCTCTTTCTTTCACCTACTTACACTACCAAAAAGTGGCCCAGGGTTTGTCATTGGAAAAAAAAAGAAGCCAGAAGCAAAGCTGCTTTCTATTTATTCCAAGGGTATTAACTCATGACATGCTGTCTCAGGAAAAGATCCTACAAACGGCGTGATAAAAAATTGTTGGAAGATTCAACGATTTGAATACTCGCCATCTTAAAATCCGGATTTAAATACTATCAAACATGTTTGACATGCTCTAAAAGCCAAGCTTCAAGAGAGAAAGGGTTCTGTAAATAACGTCCAAGAATTTGAATGACCATATCCTTCAGGGACTCGGCTTAACTCAAAAGGTCCTTACGCTATTGTATCAGGTATGGATAATAGAAATGCGCCCAAACGGCGATCAAGTCTCGTGGTGGCCACACCATATATTGCTTCTTATTCTTCTTTTAATTCGTAGAATATATTTATAAAACAAAACCTTTATTTTATTTAGTTGATGTTTTTTAAAAACTATACAACAAAGAAGTTGGTTTTTAATAGTTTGCTTGGAATTAGAAATCAAGAAATCCGATGGTGATTTCTCTGACAGAAATGTACTTCCAACAAAGAAGTCGTAGATTGAGCATATCCTCCAGGCAATCAATGCTCTTTTTGTACTAAAGGTCAGGCTGCTCTGTCACTTTTTCTATTCGTGAAATTCATCCTTTTCTCACTTGAAAGAATCATGTGTTCAAGTTTGCGGAAGAAGTTGGAGACCAAGCACGAAGAAGTAGACTGAGAGGAATTATTCGACGAAAAGAATCTATGGTAACTCCTTGCCAAACTCCTCGAGTGATGTTTTCACCCAAGTTGAAGAAGAAAAAGCTAAATGAAGAAGGTCGACCATAAAATATCAATAAAAATAAAAATAAATATTAGATAACATTTTGTCTTCAGCAACAGGACTCTATACGTCGCTTTAAATTATGCAAAGTCTTGCTTCCCTTCTACTTAGTAGGTTTAATCAAGTTGGTCAGACTTGTTTTATATATTAAAGTGTCCCTTTTTTAAGTTTACTTGAATATTAAATATGTGTATTCTAGCTCCAAAAAAAAATAAGTCTAACAGCAGTAGAATCCATAAAATCAGAAATATTATCTGTGAATAATACAAACAATGTTTGTTCGGGTAAAGGAACGTACTGATATTGAAACAGTAAAGTTTTTTTTTTAAAAAAAAAGCTGTTTCTATTCACCTTTTTTACGGCCTAAATAAAATGAAGACATTTGCTAAATTGATTCTGCTGCAACGATGTACATCATCAATCAGTCATGTTTCCAACAGTAAGAACGAGTTAGAAAAAGTCTCTTGCTTTAACTTGCTTAAATAGTATTTTTTGTACTGATTATGTTATATGGCTCTTTTCTTAAGCAAAGAAATATTTTAAATACATTCACTATTCAAGCATTATTGAACAACATCAACTGAGTGCTGAATAAATGCTAGAAAGTGCTTAAGGTGGACGGACTGCATGCCTCAGATATTCTAGTGGTCAAATCTTCAGTGTTCTTAACTTGGCTGTTTTACTTTCTTAGCTATTAACCAGAAGTGTTCAATAGGGTTGAGCTCAGGGAAATAAGGGGGGAATATAAGCGCATCTATATCCTCTTTTCAAGATTAATGCCTCTATCTCTTTAGCAGTGTGGATGGGAGCATTGTCCACCACTATGTATTGACCCTTCAATTCAGGAAAGCAGTCCATCTAATCCATGGTTTTTTCAAGAAAGTTTAGATAATGGCCAGTGACAGTACCTTTTCTGGTGGGCTTTTTGGTACCATCTGCAGTCTTTCTTTTGCGATTACTAAAAGCAATATTGATTGACTTGGACCAATTTTCCTGAGGTTTTCTCACTTCCATTAATACCACAAATTTTGCTAAAACGGCACCTAATATTGTATCCAACACTACCCTGGTGAAAGGAGTTTCTAAAATAGCGAAGGTACCCTTTTAAGACCATTTTCCTGTGTGTTTTATGCTGACGTTAAACGCAGACTCATCACCAAAAATGCAATTCTCGAAAAAATACATGTCTGTTGTAGCTCAGCTTATAACCCAGACTAAACGATCAGTAATTTTTGTTGGGTTATTTCTCGCTACTGGATGAATAGTAATCTTCTTGAAGGAAAGGTTACACTCTGTTTTTGAAATTTTATGAACACTATTCTTCTTTAAAGTGAAATTTGCAAATCGTTTGGTAAGAGCCCACTGGGTCAACGAAACGAGCCAGTGGATTCTCGTTGTAGAAGTTGAGAAGGTAAGTTCGGTGTCTTCCTTTAGGCTGAGGGTTTGGTCTGTTAACCAAATTAGTTTGCTTCTCAAGAATATTCCAGCCTTTATCTTCTCTAAGCCTTTTAATCCATTTTTGTACCGTGCATTCAGCAATTCCACCCTTTAAACGGCCAGATTTTGCAGTATTGAACAGATTAACTTTATTTTAATAAACAAAAAGGAGTTTTTGTTTATTAGAGTATTGGCTGTAATGCTTAGTTTGCTTCTTGGGGTTTTCTTCAATCTCCTCTATAGCAGTGTCTAGCTCAACATTCTCTTTGATCTGTTATTTTTCCTGTACCTCAAAATAGAGTATTATGTGAGTCAAATCCTTCAAATTGAAAGGTTGAGGTTCAGAATCCCAATAAATTGTGTCATTGCCTTCCTCATCAACAATTTTTTCTTGCCCATCATAAAAAAAAACGTGTACCTATTTACAAGTGCATTTTTTTAATTTTGAGATTTAAAAAAACGCCCTTTGAACAAATATTTACCCGCCCTTTTTTTTTTTCTAAAAAAAATCCGCCCTTTACTACAGTAGTATTGGAATGGCTGTATTTTTTATTTATTTTTTTATTTGGGCGCTCTTTTAATATTTTAGATCGACAAGTTTCCAAAATAAGAACGGAACCTCTTGCACTGCTTTTGTGTTGAAGTGTGTGTGCGCGTGTGTTCTTCCTGCTTCTTCTTATTTCCTAATGTCTCAATATAAAGCCATTATTCTTGTTGGCGGACCATCCAGAGCAACTCGCTTCCGCCCCTTGTCTCTGGATGTGCCCAAGCCTTTGTTTCCCGTTGCAGGTGCACCAATCATCTCTCATCATCTGGCTGCTCTGTCAAAAGTCGAAGGTCTTCAAGAAGTTTTGATTATCGGTTTCTTTGAAGACAGCGTATTTACGCGTTTTTTGGAGGATGCTGCCAATGAGTACCCTCATATTAACATCCGGTAAGATACATCTAGCATCAAACCATCTTGTTTTTTCAGGGTCATTAATAACTTGACTTGGCACATGTATTTTTTTTTGTTAGTTACCTCCGTGAATACCAATCGCTTGGCACTGCCGGTGGTCTGTTCCACTTCCGCGATGAAATTTTGCGTGGAAATCCTCAGCAGTTCTTTGTGATGCATGTAGACATCGCTTGTTCCTTCCCCTTGAATGAAATGATGGCTGCTCACATGAAACACCGAGGTTTGTGCACAATGCTGAGCACAAAGGTGGGTTTATTCGATGCATAATGAGGTGTATGCGCAAAAAAAAATTATACTGACAACTGTAAAAAAAAACCAAATACGCAATCAAACAACAAAGGTACCCCGCGACCAGGCCACCAAGTACGGTTGTCTTGTTGCCAAGCCTGACACCAACGAAGTACTTCATTATGTTGAGAAACCCGAGACATTTATCTCAGATCTTATTTCTTGTGGCGTATACTTGTTTGATACAGCCGTGTTTGGTGAGATGAGAAAGGCTATCGAGAGAAAGAAGGATGTCCATCACGAAGAGAGCGATTATCTCTGGACGTCTTCTGATGATAGACTGCGCCTGGAACAAGATCTCTTGAGACCTTTGTCAGAGAGCAGAAAGTTATATGTTTATGTGACCGAAAACTTCTGGCGCCAAATTAAGACTGCCAGTTCCGCAATTCCTGCCAACGCTGCCTACCTTGAGCAGTGTGCACGCGAAAATCCTTCTCGTTTGGCCCACAACAAGCCCGATGGTCCCGAGATTATTGGTGCTGTTTATATTCACCCATCTGCTCAAGTTGATCCTACTGCAAAGATCGGTCCTAATGTATCCATTGGGTCTCGTGTTCACATTGGCAAGGGTGTCCGTATCAAGGACTCTATTATTTTGGACAACGTTCAGATCGGCGTAAGTTGTTCTTTGTGTTTTTATAGAGAGCATTGTCGGTTGTTCTAACAGGCTTTTGTAGAATGCAGGCTGTGTATTACACTCTGTGATTGGATGGAATAGTAAGATTGGTGCTTGGGCACGCGTTGAGGGTACCCCTATTAGCGACCATAATACTTCTATGATGTCGAATGGTGTCAAGAGTCAGAGTATCACCATTCTTGGTAAGTTGGCCAAGATACACTATGAATACAAAAATTAACACGTTTTCGTTTGTACAGGCAAAGAGGTGTCTGTTATGGATGAGACTATTATCCGCAACTGCATTGTTCTTCCCCACAAAGAACTCAAATCTTCATTCCACAGTGAGATTCTCATGTAAATGGGATTAGATTTTCAATATTTCACAACAAATTTAGCTTTCTAGTACAACCTTTATCTACAGTAAATAGTTCATATTATTATCCAGGGACTTGTCTCTATTATTAAATATATTGATGTTTTCCTCACATTATTTTATAAAGAAGAAAATGGATAGAATCTTTGTTACAAAAATTGAATTCTGGGACAGTTATAAAAAGGATAATATATATTACTCTAATACATTCAAATAAAATATGCAACAAAGTAAGAAAGAACAGTAAACAATATCATACGACCTAAAACCACTTATACTTTACAAAGTTTTACAGTTGGCCTATGTCTTAACAAAATTTAACTTTATATATAATTTATTGATCCTGGATTAAACCTTGAGCTTAGTGCTTTGGTTTTAGACAATCATCACAATGTTTCTTAGTTTTTTAGTCATTAATAATAATGATATTGCCTTACTATGTATATTTTATGTAGTAAGGATACTTGTTTAATTATTTGCTTTTATTTATGTTATTGAATTATCATTAATGTGTCGTATTCTTCAAGGATATAAGAATAGACAAGAAGTGCTTAAACACCACACAATATATTGTGTTTTCTTTTCTGTTTCAATGTGGAGCATATGTACTTTGTCTGTGATTTCTAAAGTTAACCAGGCAAATATCTCGGTCGTTATTGAATAGACATGAACAAAATAATATATAAAAAACTGAATTAACTAATAAATTGCTTTGAATAAAGTTACTTTTCTCCCCCTCTTCTTCTTGTTTTACCAATATGTGCATAAAAAAGGTCACGTGATCGCGTGGCTTTTGACTTCATGTTGCGCAAAAATAACCCCTTTGCTTCTCGGCTGGGCTACTGAGAGGAAAAACTTCTCTTTCTTCCCTTGTTACCTTTTTTATTTTTCTAATTCATCGACCTCTGTACGGTGAAATTTCTCTAAGGAGATAATTAAAAGAAAAATAAATAAGAAAAAAAAAGGTGAGCACATCTAAAGTCGTATACAAGTAAATGGCTTCGTAGATGGAGCTGTATAGATGAGCCGTGTTAGAAACAGACGCAGAAAAAGCAATCTTGAATGTCATGACACTCTTTCGTCTGTCAAACTTGAATTACTGATCATTTCCGAGAATAAATATGTTCTGATAATCTCTGATACAAAAAGCCAATTCTGCATGCGTCTTTGTTTATTTTCCTAATTCACTTTCAATAGTACAAACAAACAAGAAACCCAAACAAAAGACAAGAAAAAAAAAGTATGTCACCTGGACAATACAAACATGACAAAAATAACAAAAAAAAATTAACAAGAGCATCAATAACAACACTAAATATGTGGAGAGCAATAAGGAAGATAGTAGATAAATACACACTTAAATATAAATTTCACAATTACTGATATATATGTATATATATGTATATATATACTTGAATTAACAGTGGATGACATGAGCAGTGGATCAGATAGTGATTATGCAAAGTACTGGATAGACTGGTTCTTGGGAACCAAGGGTAACGAATACTTTTGCGAGGTAGACGAGGAATACATTCTTGATCGGTTCAATTTGACTGGTCTGAATGTCGAAGTACAGCATTACTACCTAGAGGCACTTGACATGATAACCGATAATCTTGGTAAGCAATCCCTGGTCAGTCAAAAATTCAGAAATTTTAAATTTTAATTCGTGGAAATCTGTAGACGAAGAGAGCCTGGATGAGAAGGTTCGGGAGCAGATTGAGAAAGCTGCTCGTCACTTGTATGGTCTTATCCACGCACGTTTTGTTATCACCACTCGCGGTCTTGCCAAGATGGTAATAGTAATAGTAATTAGCCAAGACTAACCGGTGATCGGATAAATAACAAAGCCCAAACATCATAGTTGGATAAATACAAAAAGGCCGAATTCGGTCGATGCCCTCGCGTACTCTGTAACCTTCAGTCTTTACTACCAGTCGGTATGTCCGATGTTCCAATGACAAAGACCGTCAAGCTGTACTGTCCTCGTTGTGAAGATATATACAATCCAAAATCATCGCGCCATGCTTCTATCGATGGAGCCTATTTTGGAACTAGCATGCCACACATGCTTTTCCAAGTTCACCCTACATACTTACCTGCCAAGAGCCACGAACGTTACATTCCTCGTATTTTTGGTTTCAAGGTTCATGACATTGCAGAGCAACACAGATGGCAGGATCAAGCACGTCTTCGTTTTGAAGAAAAACAGCGCGATGAAGGGAGACAACAAAGAGATGCCCGTGCTTTAGGAGCTGCTGTGCCCTCCAAACCAACATTAGAAGGAGGCAACAAGGAATAGAAGTAAACCCTAATCCGTGCCTCGAATGAAATCACATACTCACCTACTCACAATTTCTCTTTTTATCTTTCTATCTTTATTTCAATTTCTACCTTTATCTCTATCTACATGAAGTCTTTCGAGTTCCCTTATTTTTTTCTTTAATCATAAGCTCGAAGGAAAAGAAGTTTATTTTCTAACAAGAAAAAGAGAGAGAGAGAGAGGCTACTACCAAATGCGTGTGTGTATGTGTATATATATATATATATGCGTCTGTGTCTCATAAAATTGAATTACTATATAAATCATTGTGCAGGACAATATGTACATTTTCTTTAATGCTGTTAAGTAACTTGGGATGCTTGGACAGTACTTCTCCGAAATGACTATACAAAACAAAACCAAGTATTATATTGTTCCTATAGTTTTTTCTTTTGTTCTTCTGATTAATTTGAGAGTTCCCGACTTAGCTCAGGACATATATGCTTGTCTATTACTCCAAAGTATAGAATCCAGACCCCATATTATGTTTCTCTGCTAATACTAGTTTGTATGGTACAAATTCCTATTTCTGGAATATGTGGACTATCATTAGCACCAGTACTTTTTGTAAAAATTCAAATAATACATTTTGACTCTCAAAGTACTTTAATGGATTCCTGTTATTATTAAGCAGATTTGAAAAGAAAAATGGTAGCGTTATATTCAACCAAAAACACTTTAACTTACAATTAAACAGTTAGTCCGTCCACGCCAACTGTAATATTAAACGGATATTTAGTTCTGACCAAAAACTATCAATTACTACATGTCTGCCAAAGACTTTAAAACATCTTTTGCTTATAAATAAATATTCATAACGGTCTTGATTCTAACAAAACGGAGAAAAAATAAGCATTTGGCAAGTTTAGGTTTAACGCCTTTTTTTTAGCTAAAATTATTCCTTGTTTTACTGATTGTAAAGAGAGAAAAATAAGTAAATGAGAAGAATTCTAATTGAATACATTTACTAGAAAATCTGCTATTTCTTTAATAAAATATATTCTCAAACAAAATATACTTCTTTAACATTCATTTCTTGAATACTTCGTTAATGATTTTCCTCTTTCCATTCCATATCTTTCTTTTCTACTTTGTTGCATGCGTCACCAAAGCGTGTCACCTTCCGCATTTAGTAGAAATTGTGTCTGCCCCGGAAACGACTCTTTTTATTTTTCCTATTCCACAGCTGTCTTGGTCGCTTTTTTTTCTGGTTTAAAGGATGGGAAACTCGGCATCTACCGAGCAAACGCAAACAGCCTCGAACGGCTTCAAAAGACAAAGCATGAGCAATCCAATAGACCACACGTCCAGCGACGCTTACACTGAAGATTCATCCACTGCTGAAATTGTCGGTTCGCATAAATCAGCCGAGTCCTTGCCGTTTCAAATGTCAATTACCGAACCTCTTGATGATTCTTTTGCTAATCGACCAACATCACCACAACCCATCATTTCCGACAACGAAGCTCCTTCTTCATTCCCCTCTTCGCCGCCCCACACTCGACACCCGCAACCGGAAATGCCCAAGGCCGTGCCAGTCGCCACAGGCAAAGCGGGCTGGGTGTCAAGTACTGGCAACACAAGTCCTTGGGTTGGGTCCCTTTCTTCATCTGCATCTTCTAACCGTCGTGACTCTATTCATGGACCGTACTATCGTGCACGTGGAATGAGCATTAACCGTGATTCTGAAGCAGACGAAGATTCTCCTGCTCCACAACAACCAATACTTCCTAAAATGATTGGACAACACAAATCCAATGAGCCAGATAGTCAAGGTAATATGAAATATGTGAAGTGAAGTTATTGCACACACATATGTATGCGTGAGGAAGTGAGGGAGTGAGTGTGCATAAAGGCAAATTAAGCTAATATTTCCTTTTTTGTTGTTGTTGTTGTTGTTGTTGTTGTTGTTGTCGTCGTCGTCGTTGTCATTGTTTTTGTTGCTAATTCTAGGCGTAACCACACTTCTCACTTGGACACAGGGAGGAAATAATGTGTATGTGACAGGTACATTCAATGGATGGAAACACAAGATAAAGCTGGTGAAAAGGTAAGAAAACAAATTATAGAGCAAGAAGAAAATATGACAATGAAAGACCAAGTGTGTACGCAGATACTAAGAGCAAATGTGTTTCTGTTATTTATGTAGTACACATGACTTTAATGTTGTGTTGGAATTACCGCCAGGAACACATCGGTTAAAGTTTATAGTGGATGACGAATGGAAATGTTCAAATGACTTGGAAACGGCGACTGATCCAAAAGGAAATCTGGTCAACTACATTCGGGTGATGGATGAGGATGAAGACTCTACCGATGAATTCAATAGTCCTAGTAAAGGCCTGGATCGGTCGGGTGCTTCTACTCCTGAAGAGGAATATACCTCCAAGGTCCCCTCTGATCTTTTGGCTCTTGCTACAGCTATGGCTTCTGCAGAAGACGACAAAAACCGTATGGCGGCTCTAGAGTGGGAACGAAAGCAACCCCAGCCTCCAGGCCTACCTCCTCACCTTGAGAAAGTCTTGTTGAATTCGCAAGCTGTGAGCGAAGAAGACAACTCCGTTCTCATGGAGCCAAATCATGTGACACTGAATCATCTGTACGCCTGTTCCATTAAAGATCAGGTCATGGCACTCTCTACTACGACACGGTATCGTAAAAAGGTAATAAGTCAAGGAGATATGTGAGTGTATCTGTGCGTGTTTGTGAAGATATAACCTCTATTTATATTGTGCTTATATAGTACGTTACAACTATGTATTACCGACCAGTGTTTCCAAAGAATTAAGATTTCATAGTGGTAAAGAATGAAAGAAAGATCGTAAATGGAGCCTCTACGTACCCTCTCCTTACAAGACAGACCGGAAACACATACACACACACATATATATATACATATACACATACATACACACACACACACTTATATATATATATATATAGATACGTACAAACGTACATATGGAAATGTTCTATAGTTTTAATCTTTAAGAAAACTGCTTTGTATATGTTTACTTCTATTGGGGAGAGCAGAAGAAGAGAGTGTAGATAAAGAAGTGTCATGTATATGTGTATATGTATATATATTTATATATATACTTTTATAGTCCTGCTTTTACCATTCTCTTGCAATTTAACATGTATATTCTACCCCACAGTAAATAAGTTTCAACTTTTCTTTTTTGATATTGGAAACAGTTTTACACACACACAAAAGACATTAAAGTCATGAAAATATAGTTATTTTTATTTTTTATTTCTAGTCTTTTTTTATTTTTATTTGATGTATATGTATTTTAGGGAGGGAATATGCAAGGTGTATATGTAAAAATGTATGTAGAATGCTTATGTAGGAGTGGTTTTTGTATATAAAAGAAGTGGAATTTGGTGGGTATTTCATACAATTGGAGAAGGAAGGCCAAAATATTCAACAGAGTTTGAAAGCACTGCGCCTTCAAGCATGGCCTCTTTTCGTGCTTCGACAATTTGAGTGGTGAAGCTACTTGAGCGGCCACAGACGTGAGGAACACCTGCAAAAAATGAATCGGCTCTCATTGCTAGCAGCTTGTCAACAATACCCAAAAGTCCGCTGTCATGTTTTCCAACGATATTAGGAACGCTTATAGATGTCCAGTTTGCAGGGGGAGGGCCTATGTGTGAATTTCCGGACTCTTCTAGACTAGTGACTCTAACGGGGACATGGCTGTAAAGGTATGCCATGGCTTTGTGGTGATGAGGGGTGAGCATTTTTAAGTGGAAGGTGGCTGAAGCTGAGCGCATCTGTGTAGGGTCTGTGATGTTTTTGACAATTGCAGAGTATATTGCCTGCTCACTGAATGTGTGGGGGTAATCAGTCAAAAGGAAGAGTTTGTGAGGAACTCCGTCATCGCTAATGTCGCTCGTGAGCTTCTCGACGAGTGTTTGAGCACATTCGACCAAATTCTCAGCGGGCTCGAGAGTCTCTGTGCGCCAATGGACTGCCCGATATGGACCTAGACTTGATGCAATCTGGTCTGCAAATCCAGTTACACGCTCATTGTACGGAATAGGAAGATTTGAGAGTGGGTGGTGTACAAATGGGTACCTGGAAAAGATAATAGAGTCAAATTTAGTTTATTATCATAGAGATTGATCATTAACAACAACAGAAGAGGGGAAAAAAAACTTACCGTCTGTCATAGAACAAACCGAGTACTTCGATACCATCATCTTCAGTAAGGAATTCATATACTTGTCTTTCGATATCAACACGCAATTCGGGTTGTCTGTGTTCCTTCATCAACAAAAGTCTATCAGGAAGGTTTCGTGGTGCGAGGAGTGGGTCGAGACAATTTTGTGGTGACATGTAAGGATTTCCTGTGGTAGGGTCTACGCGAATGTGAAGATTTCTATTGGTACCGGCACGGCCAAGGGCTTTACGCTCTTTGAGCCAGGCAGTAAAATCGGCCATTGTAATGGTATTGAAATGATCTTTGTTTTGTTTTCCCCAGCTATTTGAGTAGTAAAAATCAAAGGGGTGGCGAAGACAGGCACCGAGACGAGAGTTTTTAACATTAGGTAAGACGACTGTTCGATTAACAAGACCGGACATAAAGGCAATTTGTTGAAGATGTATTTGTGCCTTTGATTCTAAATAAGATGTTGTGTTGGTTAGCAATGTTTCTCTTTATCTTTCTTATTATCATAACTATTTTATTTACCTTGCTCCATAATCTTTAATGGCAAAATGAATCTACATGGTCCACCGCAGTATTTCATATCTATTCTATTAACTTCTTGCTTGATGTGATGGTTGACTGTGTTAACGACAAATGTGACTGGAGGTGCTATAGATGGCTGCCACCGAAGGCTCGCTACAAGCATGCAAATAAAGAAAATCGCGGCAACCCATGCCTGTGTGCGTCGCAGGGGGGACATGGTATTTTGTAATTTAATATTGAATTCTTAAAGAGCGAAGAAAGATGCTGGGAAAAAAGAAAGCCTAAAATATAGTTCCTGACGGTAAGTTTTTATACCCAAAAGATCGTCACTTGTGTACGGTTCATCAAACGATCATCTATTATCCAATCAACGCTAGAGGACTAACTTGTGATAGTAAGACGATAAAAGAAAAGAAAAAAAGGCCAAGACAGAGCTAAGATAGTGATGTATTATATTATCAAGATCAAGATCAAGACCAAGACTAAACGTTTCATCTACTTCAACGCTTATTGTCCAAGGGTTATCTGTTCTAATGCTTGCTTTCGAATACGCTGACTATATGTAACATGTCTTGTAAAAACGTGTTTACTCTCATCTTCCTGATCGGTTTTTACATGTATTTTGAATTAACTTTAAGGGCATATTTCCCATCTTGTGGATCATTGTACTACATTATCGTGACATAATATTCGCACTAACATTGGAAAAGCTTGCCCCCCTTTAAGAGTCCGTGGTAACTAAATATTTATACAATAATAATTACTGTCTCAAATTGCGGCTTTAAAAAATCCCAATAGTGAATTTAAGATAATAATAATAAAAAATGCGGGTTATGAAATACCAATCTGCGCACTCAAACAAATTCAATTGATGGTTTTGTAAAAACCAGATAGTGGATTTATTTAGTTAATTGGTGTTTCTTTTAGATTATTGATTTTGAACTAAGCATAAGAAAAAACAACAACAAAAATACAGCGGAAGAAGGACAAGGGAGAACTAACGCAGAAGAAGGTAAGGAAGATATGAATTATATCGTGGATAATGAGAATGGAAATCTCAACTAATTTTATATACATGGTCCAAAAAAAACGGCTCGCATCTTTTAACATATATTATGAATGATAAAGATATTACTAATTCAAAGCTATATGTAAAGGTACACAATACTTATTACAGTATAATGCTTGGAAGGACAAAACTACAAAGTATATATGTTAATAATATGAAAATAAAATACAGCTTTAATATTGAATCTGGCTAGAGTCCTTTTACTAAAGTAATTCCAATCACTCGGGGATAATAAGTAGAAATTTCGACGAGTATTTCTTGATACTACGTTCCATTATTCCAATGAAGCTACTTTCATCTCGTCCAGACTTTTTAATCAGAAGTGTATTAAATTGCCTTTGCCATCAATAATCTTTCATTTGCTCTCTGATTCCCAGGTCAATATTATTGGAAGATTATTTTCAAACATCTCGTCCTTGTTCTTTCTTAAACCTTTTAGAACTTGTAACCAGCACTACTAGCAGCAGGAAGAGCATGCAAGAATGAGAGGAAATGGTTTCAAAGAACTTTTACAAATTTTGGTCCATAGATATTTTCATTTATGAAAACAAATGGCCCGATTTCTCACTAATTTGGCACTAAAGCTTGCTATGTTCATTCTTCTTGTATAGGCGTGTACCAAGCACAACATTTGGTGATTTGTGTTTTGGTAAGCATAAGCTTTGTACATATGACTTTGCTCACATTCTTTTCCTTGTTGGAAAATGATTCAGTTACCAGGCAACTTAAAGCTTACTGCCAGTATTTTGTCTTTTGTCTCACCTGAAGAATATTATAGTGGCAACAAAAGTTGTTGTTATTTTTTAAGATGGTTGGAAATGTAAAGACAAATGTTAAAAAAAGGTATAGATAACAAGACAAGGTACGAAACATTTCTTTCAAACCCTTTAAATCGACTGTGTTTTTTTTTTTATAAAACTGTCAATTGAATTTGTTCGAGTTTGCAGATTGATATTTTTGAAATCCGCTACTTGGATTTTCTAAAGCCGCCGTTTGAGATGAAGTATTGTATTTTTTTTTTATTTATCTTGAGCTTCTTTTACTGGGTCCTAATTAAACAAATGTTTCGGCTCAAACGGGTTTATTGTGGTACAAAATATGGCCAAATTTACAGGTTCAGTGGTTTCCACTGTTTTTTCCTCACCAGTTTGAAGCAAAAAGCCTATTGGTCTGGGGCATTTAGCTTGCATCGTCTGATTCTTTATTTAAAAAGTAGTACAAAATCAACAAGACCCTAAAGAGATATAGCTTTGGTGTATTTTTTAGAGTCATCAGTTCCTTATATTTATATATGATTATTATAGTGCTTAAATAGTGCAAAGTATAATAAAGCTGAGCTGCCCTTAAAAAAAAGAAGAAGCGTATAAAAAGATAAAATTAAATGAAACATATAACCAGAATTCTATTTTATCAATTACTACAATTTACGACACAGTTCCAGAATTATTATTATTATTGTAGCTATTAATTTGGCAGCATATTTCTCTTTTTTATTATTATTACTATACGGCCAATTATTTGCTTAACCTGGTCTGGATATCTAAATGTAGGCGCCTTTATTGGAAAATATACTTTAATATCATAAATACATATTAATTTGCCTTTTTACATACAAGCATGAATATCTATATATACATATCTGCATACATGTATTTGTGGCAAAGATAAATACTATTAATTCAATACATTGTTTCTGGTTGATAAAGTTTGATCGATGATTGGTCAGTTCGGTTTGTCACACAAGACTGTTCTCCTCGAGAAATTATACTGTAGATGGAAATAATAAGCAAGTACATTGCTTACCATTATCTTAATTCACATTGTCTGTTTGTCTTTATTCAATACTACCAATCACGGGAAAAAAAGGGGCTTAATGGCTATTGTTTACAAGAAAATAATAGAATAAAGCAGAGCAGAAAATAAGGGTAAAGGATAACCGTTGCCAAGACAACAGAACTATAATAAATCGTTTAATCCCGAGTTCAGCATTATTCAATTACATGCACAAAAAAAATTAAATTCAAATGTTCATTTGATTATATATAAAAAGAAGAAGAAATATACGCACATATATATGAAAGGATTGGCCTGTCAGCGGTGAGAGTTACACTAACTACAGAAATGACTATCATAAATTGTAGTATGCTTGTAACCGAAAACTAGACCTAGAATTTCGCAGATCCCTATTTAAAGAAGAATTAACTCAAGGCGTACAAGACAAGGTGTAAACGTCTCTAATGTGGCTATGGAAGTCCTTGTATTCTTCTTCTCTATCTATGTATCGTTCCGTTTTTCTTTCGTCTATATTTAAAACTAAAAAAGAGCAGTATTCTGTCTTATGTGGATCATTTGTACAAATCTAAAGAGGATTATAGAGTGTAATATATACTTCTGTAGAGTCTACTACAAGATCACAGTGTTTTGATGTAGTGCTACTGTAATAATCACTGGTGTAATATTGAGCAATTCGATTCAAATTAAACCAATATACACATATACTTATTTATACAAGCGCTTAATCGGTTTATTGTGTTTTAAAGAAGCAAAATAAATATAAAAACATCAAATCAATATCAACATCATTAAAGTGCATATTAAATAATAATATTCTATTCAAGCTAACCAAAAACACATTAAAAAGCGTATTTTACCCGTCTTTGGAGTTATTATCATTATTATCATTATTGCCGTTCGTTTCCAAGACCCTGTTTCTTATAGCCCCATCTCTCTGTCTCTCTTTCTTTCTCTTTCTTCTTTATTTAATTTTTCAATTTCTCTTTTGTAGATTCTCATGGTTGTACGGTCCAATTTTAGGTGTGGCTCAATCTAAACACCATGTAATTATTTCAATTAAGTGCATAATATGTGTGTATCGAATGACAAATAGGATCGCCATTCGTATCTAAAATTCTCTGAATTCCTTTTTACCGTTTTTTTTATAGGTTTTTTTTTATAATAAACAAAAAAGGGGGTGGGAGGGGGTTGCGCTATACTCATTTTAGATAAAAAACAAAAAATGCCCATTACAGGCAAATTATTGAGAGGCAGCAAATCTAGCCTGAGCAGTATTGACCTTTTCTCTAAATGTACTAATGACTTCTGAAGGCTTTTCTGCCTTGAAGATACCTGTGCCAGCTACAATGACATTTGCACCAGCATCAGCAGAAGCATCGATTGTCTCCATGGACAAACCACCATCAACCTCAATGTCTAGACCAGGATAGGCACGACGAAGAGCCTCGACCTAATTCATATAAGTAATTAGATATTACAAATGACAAATAGGTGCCATACACAACCCAACACCCAGTTATTATATAACCCTTTTGATATATTTTACCTTTGGCATACACTCCGCCATAAAACGCTGTCCGCCAAATCCAGGTTCAACAGTCATAATAAGAATCATGTCAACTTCCTCGGCAATCTGGCCCATGACAGCTTCAACGGGAGTCTTGGGCTTGACGGCAACACCAGCCTGCATACCGGCAGCATGGATAGCACGGATGACAGCAAGAGGATCCTCGGTGGCCTCAATGTGGAAAGTATACATTTGTCCACCAGCCTTTGCAACATCATCAATCCACTGAAGTGGGTTGGACACCATCATATGGCAATCTTTTAATTTTTTACACTTAGTTTTTTTATTTTGTTTTTTTTTTGGTTGATCAAGCACAATATATACATCTTGGTCTCTTTCTTACCAAAATAAGCCTCGGTGTGAGGGCGAAGAGCTGCAATAATAGGTGCACCGAGTGTGATATTGGGGACAAAGTGGCTAGTAAAATCAATAAACAATAGTAATGATTATCAATATACTATTATTATCATTTTCTCACAAGCAGATTTGCTTTGGTGTTTATTTACCCGTCCATAACATCTGCAAGTACAAGTATGTTAGTTCAACGCGTCTCTTTCTTTGTGATTACTTTGCTTACCGAGATGGAGCCAATCTGCGCCATTCTTTGTCATGCGCTTTGCCTCTACACCAAGATTGGCAAAGTCACATGAAAGCATGGAGGGAGAAATCTTGGCTTCAGGCATGATCAAATTAGATTCTACGTAAAAGATTAGATGGTAGGGTCTAAAAATAAAATGTATGTATTAAAAAAAAGTCCAACCTCTGTGTAGTGCGTGCAAACAAGGGATCTTTGTGTTTTGAATGCCAGCAAATCATAGTGCCGCTTTACTTTTGGGTGTTGTAATGATGATCCGCTTGTGTTTCTGTAAGGAAAGTATTCGATATGAGACATAAAGGTATTAGATTATACTATTCTGGACAAATGAAAAGTAAGTATTTTTACATCATAAGCTGTAATATTAAGCTTATAAACGAATGATGTCTATTCCACAAACAGGATACTAATATTATCAAGAAGTGTCTTTTTGGTTGGGAACTGACTGAGTTAAGATTAGTATGTTTATCAATTCAATATTGAATTAAATTAAATAATATAATATAATATTAATTGATAATGATATATCCAACTGTTTGAGATTCACGTTTTTCGATAGTGTTATTTAAATCAAACCAATGTTTTTTTTTGTTTTTTTTTGGCTTTTCTATCCTCTTCTTCTCCTTCTCCTTCTTCGACTACTACTACTACTACGACTACTTCTATTTCTTCTTCTTATATATATTAGCCCATGTAATTTTGTTTTATTAAATACTTCTTTAAATAGATATCATGTGAAATTAAATGCATTCCATTCAAAGAAAATAAGCAATAAACATTAAATACTCCTATTAATAATATTTCCTATCCAAGTTAAAAAGTACTTTTTAGATGCATATATATTTTTTATTCTAAAAAAGAACAAAAGCTCAAGCCCAATTCTTTGTATTCATTCATGTATAGATACATAATATATATATATATATACTTGTTTCATAAAACTACCGGTTTATATTTTAGATGAGTTAGACTGGCGGAAAGTAAATGATATTTTGCCAAGGTTCCCCATGCTTATTATAGAAAAACGCCAATACCAAAGTTGCATCCGAGGTTGATACAACTACCATTGATCAAGTTACTCTTGGCTTGTTTTAAAATTGTATATATGTATTTGGCATTGATACATGTATAAAAATAGTTTATTTAGCCAGTAAATTACATATTTTACTTTTGAGTATCTGTATCCGAGGGGTCAACAAACTCGGCGTCTCCATCATGTCTCTCGTGTTCATCATCTATGGTCTTTGTGTCCTCGATCTCTGAGCCATTATTATTCTGCTCAAAAGCGTCATTCAGTTTGTTCCACAGACCTTGTCCGAATACCCTCCAAGCAATTACGGCACATATAAACTCAATTGTAGCAAACATAATCGCAAATACAATAGCAGTGGCAACACGATGATGGTACATGTAATATCTACACCATTCTCAACATACATCAATACTCGCACGTACATAAAGCGTACACAAATCACAACATTCTATTTATTACCTTAATCCACGGAAATCAGCGATAATACTTAACTCGGCATCGTAAACCTGAACAAGAGGGCTGGAAAGAGACACCGTAGCGTGCACAACAGGAGCAGCCTTAGAAAGAAAATACGTTATTTAGACATAATATACAGATACAATACAATACAGTAAAATATAGTACATTATACTATACTATATTATATTCTTTTTTTTTCTTAATCTTATGCTCTAGTACCTTTTGCTCTATATAACCTTCAATCATCGGAACATAGATAACTTGACTTTCTTCCGTAAGTCCAACCAATAAAGGTAGCGCCTTTGCAAATACACGGAGTACTCGCTGAGTATTGGACTGATATCGAAGAATAGCCTAAAAGCCTAAATGTTATATATTTGTACTTGAGCTCAGTATACAGAAATCTATACTTACAGGTCGACTAGAAGAAGCAACGACACTGCTATTACTTGTTTCAAGGTTAACAGAAACCATGAAGTTTCCTAAATATGTTCTTTGTAAGTTTCCATCATCTAAAAAAAGGAGCTTTCTCCAAGACTTACCGAGGTTAAAATTTATATCAGAAGTAGGTACATGTAAACGTACGGATACATCATATCCTTGATCGTGTCGTAAAATCTGACAAATTTTAAATAGCAGAAAATCAGACCTAGAATTTATAAACAATCTCTTTCTTTCTTTCTTTCTTTCTTTCTTTCTTTCTTTCTTTATTCACTTCTTTCTCCATTTATTATCTTTCTTTGATTGTGCTTTTTTATTTTAGTTTATAGTCTCTTACCGGATAATGGTCACCACGCAAAAGATCAACTGCACCCACAGGGCTAGATGTCAATTCACCCGGTCGTGACATTGATCCATATTGAAACCAAATAGGCTCTGTATGAATGATCTGGGGAACATGCCGACGATAGAACAATGTGTATGCTGTAATACTAGTCATCAATATCCACATAATGCTAAAACTTAAAATTGTTGTCTTGACAACTGTGCGTTGTGCGCTGGGTGCAAATACGATACGGAAAAAGGGTCGGAGACTACTCTTGATGAGGTTGATCACAAAAAGTACAGTGGGATTCAGTTGTGGTGGAGCATGTATTTCATCGTCTTCTACATGGTTGGCTGACTCAGACACATGATCAGGATCAGGATCATGATCATGATCATGGTCTTGGTCATTGTTGCTGTGGTCATTTTCCTGTTCGCTGTCCTGAAGGATTGAGGTTCCTTCGTCATGAAGATCACTTGGCCCACCAAAATCTTGCGTGTGCGAAGGCACGACGTGAAAAGTGTCGTTCTAACGCACACATTACATTAGACTTCTTTTTATATTTTTTAGCTTAATAGAATGAAGTGCCCTTACAGTGGCATTATCTGATGAATTACTCATTGTTGAGTGGAAAGAGATGTGTGGAGTTCCCGGGACAAGGAAACAGTAGTTAAATGCATGTGAAAACTTGTACGATTGAGACTCCGAGCTTAACGAGAAGTGAAAAAAAAAAGAGAAATTACAATCCCCAAGACTTGTAAGCTCGTGTGAATGTCACCATTATTATTATTAATATTTCTTTTCGAAATAATGATAAAAATAATAATGGTGTTCATTGTGTTTGTATATATGTGTGTGTTTGTAGATATGTGCGTGTGTGTGTAAATGTGGATTCATATAATACTCTATCGGCTAGACTCTACTCCCATGGCATATTTCATTATCTCAGCCTAACAGAGCAAATTAAATTTAATACCAATTGGATATGCTTAATATAAGTATTCAAAATCATTATTCATGTCCATTTTTTACCTTGAGACTGTCACTGCTGTTGACAGCCGATAATCCAAGGGATCGGATCCATGTAACAGGAGCAACATCGGTGCCAAATAGCCTGTGCATCTTGTCGCATGCACTCAACATGACAATGTTGCGTCCATAGCGCTCAGCTGCATAGTCTCGCAACAAGTTGAGCTTTCCAATGTCTTGGCCTTCAAGTGTACCCTTTTCAAGGACCTTGGAAAGGCAAGCTACATCTAACATGCCCTGATTAAGTCCCTGTCCAGCTAATGGGTGAATTGCGTGAGCTGCGTCACTAATTTACCCAAAATATAAAATATAAATGAATGACAGGCATTTTTAGATACACATGTATACATCGTATGAGTTTTTTTTTGCAGATTCTGTTCTGCAGTACCGTTGACTTGAAATTCAAACTGATTTTTGGTTATCTTTTTTTTTTAAAAAAAAAAGAAGAAGAAAAGAAAACTCACCCCACAAGAGCAACCCGATCAGCCACATATCTCTCAGAGTTACGCATACGAAGAGGAAAGCTGGCTCGACTCTTGTCTTGAATACTTACCACAGCAGGCGGAAGGCTCTCTTCACGCTGCCATACTTCAATAGTACTCTTTGACTTATTGGCCACCTCCTCACGCCAGGTGTACTCTAACCCAATGTCACATTCTGGGATAAAAGTGTTCTTGTTAATCGCACCATAGAGATAATTGAGATCGATAGTTGACATTCGGAAGGCAGCGTTTACGAGTTTACAAAAATCATCTGATGATACTCCCTTGAGAATTTTAGCAATTTCTGGCTTGGTAGACCAAACCAATGAGGCGTATCCTTCACTCAACTACATATATCATGTCAGCTTGCATATAGTGTTTTGGTACTCTACATACAGGTAGCATAGCAATTGGCCCTGTGGGTAAGAATCTTTGCCATGCGGTATTATTGGGGCGAGAATCATCCAATTTTAGAGTAGCGACCACACCATGAGTATCATAATCCCAGCCAAGCGATTCAATGTTGGCATGATTGCGCACTGGACTATTGACACCATCGGCACCAATCTAGTTTGTTAATTTGTGTTTGTTTGAATGGATAAATGAATGGCACTTCAAACCAATTATGTAATTTATCATTATGTTTACCAAAAGACGTGTCTGGAGAACATCACCACTCTCAAGTTTCACTGATGGCCAGTCTGATACATCAAACTCGGTAGAAGACTGCTCATTACCGATAGAGGCTACACGAGCCTTTTGAAGGATATCGACTTGAGCACCTCTGGTATTACATTCTCTAATACGCTTCAACATAGCATTTTGGAGATGAATGTTTTCTACCATGTACGCAATCGATTCCTTGCTGGTATCTTTCTTTGATCCAAGCAAGCTAGTATCAAACTTGATTCTTGCGTCTGTCACTCCGTCCCATACTTCCATATCACCGTAACCATGTACGCGAGAAAGGTTCATATGCTCCACAACACCCATTCCTGCCATCCGAAGCAAATAAATAAAATATAAATCAGGCGCGGATTTTCTTTTAAAAAAACTCCAAGGAAATGATGATATTAGATAACTTACGCTCAAAAAAATTCATAGAGCCAGGTGTAAGAGAAACAACACGATTCGAATAACTTTCTTTTACTGGGCTCCACTCAATTGTGCTGGTTAAATCCATTGCCTCTACCAGAGCCACGCGGTTGTCTCTTAATACTGGGTTTGAAGCTTGTTTTTTTTGTTTATATTAAACGAGACAATAATAGATATAAAAAAAGTAAAGCCAAAAAAAATATTAAATCCTCAGTATCTTGGATGACCACAACCTTTTATGTGTTCTTACCAAGTGCACAAGCTAGAGCAGTTCCAGCAACGCCACCCCCAACAATCACAATATCATACAAGGCAGTCTTCTCATTCAGTTGCAGGCCTTCTTCTGAAGCGCGACGACAAGAGGATGAATGAATTGAGCGAAGGGCAATTGGCATGCCGGGTTGGGACCCCATGGCATGCCCTGTCTTTAAAAGACTGCCGACAAGTTTTTTAGTAACACGCTGAAGCATTCCCTAGAAGCAAGAAAACAAAGAACGAGATGTCATAGAATCGAGCCATTGCGTTTGAGTCACGATGAGACTGCTTCCTTGCTTTGTCTGTCTTTTTATCTTTCTCTTTATAAAATCTACAATATTTTTTTTTAAAAAAAGGGGGAAAAGCAGATATATAGAAATAATAATAAATAACACAAATGTCCTCTCAAGTAATCGAAGAACAAGATCTCTTTCTAGATGACGATACTAATTTCCCTGAACAAACTTCATTCTGGTGGCCAGCCGAAACGACAACAAAACCTGTTAATGATGGAGTAATTGACTCGCTGCGGACGCAACTCGCAGGTCCTTCTACTGGCAAGGTGTGAATGGTCAAATTGTTTTTGGCAATTTAGGAATCAATAGAAAGAGAAAGAGAGAAAGAGTACTTTTGTGCTAAAAAAAAAGAGAAGCAAAAACTTAATGTACAAATGTGGTACTTGTTAGGCTGGTCTTGCAAATATTGACAAGGAGAAAGTGAATGCGATCATTTATGAGGCATCCAAAGTAAGAGGTTAATACCACAATATGCTTTCCTGGTCCTCTTTTCTTTCTTTCTTTCTTTCTTTCTTTCTTAAAAAACCCCCTATAAATATAAACAAAAGGGATCTGCATATTTTGAAAATGAGCGTAGAAAAGACAAAACTGTGACGAAGCGTATCGAGACCATGTTAATAGAAGCAAGCAAAGTACGAGAAATGGATCTCTCGATGGAAACACGTATAGTTGATGGAATGGTAATAATACAAGCAATTATTCTTTTAATGAATTGCTATAATATAAGAATATATGTATATTTATAAGAATATGAGTGCATATAAATATCCTTAACTTGCTTCAAATATATCTTAGATAAGAGAATTTGAAGAAAGCAGGGACTTGTCTCAAACCATATGCCATGTGGATATGGATGCTTTTTATGCCTCAGTAGAAGAGCTCGATGCTCCTGAGTGGAAGAACAAACCAATGGCAGTTGGATCTAATGCCATGTTGTCTACAAGCAACTATATAGCTAGAACTTTTGGTGTTCGTAGTGCAATGCCAGGGTTTATTGCTCTAAAGCTTTGTCCTGATCTATGCATCCTTCCCCACAATTTCAAAAAGTATCAGGCTGCTTCTGACAAAGTGCGTGCTGTGTTTGCTAAATATGATCCTGACTTTTCTCCGATGAGCTTGGATGAGGCAAGCATTATCTTTCTTCTTTTCGGTTATATGTTTGCTTGTTTTTACGAGGGATTCTGTCTACTATTCACTTCTTAATATTAATTATTTATTTAAACCAATAGGCTTATCTTAATCTTACAAAGGTAAGTTTAAAGGAGGTCATTTTTTGGTCTAAGCAAAATTTAAACCATACGAGTACTAAGAATATTATGTATAAACAGCGTTTGGAAACAAATTCAATGACTGCATCAGAATTAGTGCAGACAATCCGAGAAGAGATATTTCAGTCAACTCAGTTGACAGCTAGTGCCGGTATTGGACCCAACAAATTGCTTGCCAAGATCTGTAGTGATTTTCAAAAGCCAAATGGTCAATTCGAAGTTTCTAACGATCGAGAAGCTGTACAAAAGTTTATGGCTGCTTTACCGATCCGAAAGGTAAATGAAAATCCAAAATCTGTGCTAATTCAAGTCTCTAAGCGTCTACTTAGATTTTTGGTGTTGGAAGAGTAACAGAGCGCGTATTGGATTCTTTGGGGGTCAAGATGTGTAGCGACATTTATGCTCATCGCGCCCTTTTATACAAGCTATTAAGTCCTATAAGTTTCAAGTTTATGCTACGGTCATATCTTGGTCTTGGATCTACAGTCGTAAAAGCGGAAACTACCCGGAAGAGTATCAGCGTAGAGAGGTAAAAAGAAATGAAAGGAAATAAAAAGAAATGGATGATATAGAATTTAGCGTAAGGTGCCTAATTTATGGAAAAACAAAATACATGTAGAACTTTTGACGCATTATCTGCTGTTGGTGATCTCATTCTCAAAGTTGAAGAACTAGCAGTGCTTTTAGCTAAGGACCTTGCTGATGCTGGTATCAAGGTAAACCCTTAAATTTTATTGTAACTGTACCTGTTATTCAATTTGGTAATCAATGTATAATACTCCCAGGGAAAAACGATTGGTATCAAACTCAAACTGTCCTCATTTGAGCTACGTGTAAGGTCCAAAACAATGCCTTTTTATATTTCGAGTGCTGAAGATATTGCACGAATAGCGGGAGAGGTAGGCTTATGCTAGGTAGAAAGTAATAACAAAAATATTTAGAGAAGCATACTAAATTTATGCGATATGTTTAGTTACTTTTCAAAGAAATGCCTGTGAGCCTTCGATTGATGGGCATTCGAATGTCTTCTCTGCAACCCTTGGTCAATGAAAACGGATTGAAGAAGGTATAAATATTTAATATTAAAAGACCTAAATATGCTGATATTTCCTCTCTTTGTTTTTCTTTAAAAAAAGTATTTCTCTGCAAAAATTCCCAATAAACAAAGCATTGAGGATGAAGAAGATATGACTCCGTATATTCCAGAAGATTATCCAATGGAAGCAGAACTATCAGAAGAAGGAGACATAGAGAATAAGTCGTCGCTTACATGTCCTATTTGTAACCGTTGTCTGCAATTGGATAATCTTGAATTTAATCAGCATGTAGACGGATGTTTGAGTAAGATTGAAGTTGGTGAGATTCTCAGACACTATGAAAGAGAACAACCAAAAAGAATAAGCAAACCAAAGTAAGAGACAATGTGTTATAATTGAATGCGTAGTACTCATACCTTATTATTAGGCCTGTTACTTTAAGACATAGCCCGGCGTCAAAAAGACGACTAGAGGAGACAGGTCGTTCTTTGTTAGATTATTATGGTCCTTCCTCAAGTATAAATTAGCATATTATTTACTCACTTTCTTTGGTGCTTACCAAAAAAGAAAAAGTAAAAGCGGGATTTACGGGAGAATGGCGGAAATGGTTTATAGTGTAAAAAGGAACTATGTATCTGCTTTGTGTAAAATAATGCAAGACCATATAAAAAACTATTAGCCCTTAATATTCATAAACTAAAATAAATCGACGGTATATGATCCAAGGGCCAATAAGCTAAATACTGATTATAATTAAAGGAAGAAGTACATATTCATCTAGAATAAGATAAAGCGGGTCTGTAAGGAATAGGATGAGCGGCTAAAGAAAATATTCCCCCGCAGCGGTTTATTAATTCCAGCTTTCTCCAGAAAAACCCCTCCTTTTATATTTATATATATATATATATATTTGGTCCCCAACTTGCTTTGACCTTGTTCTTTCTATTATTATTATTATTTTTATTATTATTATATTTTAAAGATATACCTCGAATACCATGGATCCTATGCCAATATTTGTTATGATGGGCACAGCCGGCTGTGGAAAGTCTAGTGTGGCTCTAGAGATGGAGAGTCGTTTGGGATGCTTATTTATCGAAGGAGATGAACTTCATCCCGCCTCCAACGTACAAAAGATGGCCAACGGTAAAATAGAAGAAGCATTTTCTTGTATTTACTCTGTTGACTCTTTGCTTTTTTGTTTATATGTATAAAAGGCTACCCCTTAACCGACGAAGACCGTCTTCCCTGGTTGCGTACTATCCGCGATGTATTACTGGAAGAAGCCAAGAAGCGTTATACTCATCAAGCTACCAGTGACGCCAGCCGGATTGGAGCCATTGTTACCTGTTCTTCGCTCCGGAAGATCTACAGAGACATCTTGTCTGATATACCTAGCCATCTTGCTACTGTCACATTCTGCTATCTTAAGGGTTCTCCTGAATTACTGGCTACTCGGATTGCCGCCCGTCAGAACCATTTTATGAAGCCTGGCATGTTGCAGTCACAGCTCCAAGCATTAGAAGAACCCGATTCGACAAAGGAACGTGTGATTGTGGCTGATATTGGATTTCCTATAAAGGAGATTGTAGATAGTATTATGAGCCAAGCTAAAGAGCGTCATTTGCTGCCATAAACATGAAATGAAATTTTGGTGATGATGGGATACACAGTCTATATTACTTGATCTTGGTTGGTTTGAGAATCAAACAATCAAATTGAACCAGGCAATCCAATTGATAAGGGCAGTTGTAAAGAGGCATAGTACACGTTAATTATTGGTTTGATTGATGTAGGCATAATCTAAGGTTGGGTTGACTGTATTGTATTATTTAAATGAAACAGGATTAGATCAAGCACAACAACAATCAATTGCTTTATAGATGTATCCTGGATTACGATAGATTGAGTCTTACCTTTCTATCTTACCTTCTGTACCTCTTTGTGCTCAACATGTGTTCAAACATGTGGCTCATACTTGATGTATATACAACTGAAATATACTTTGGTTTTCAATGAAATCTTCTCTTTGCAGTAAGAGCAGACTCTTATATACTCTTCAAATATTCTCCGACTTATTAGTCTGTCGAGATACCCCTCTAATCCTGTCGATCCATATTCTTTTGTTTGGTTGTATAGATATACGATTATTAAAGACAAACAGATTATCAAACGAAATAGAGAGTTGAAATTCCGATGACCAGAAAAAGGGCATTGTTTTCTGTCTTGGCAACCAGCCCATCTATATTTAACCATTTGTATTCCCAAGAATCCCCCTTCTATTCCTTTCCTTTCTCTCTTATTCTTTACTGATTTTCACTTTTTCAATTCTATACATGAACACCCTCACAATCGACTCTGAAAAGGCAGATGCAATCATTGGCCTTGTATCAACCGGCAGAGTAGCAGGCGAGGCTAAAAGCCATAGTCCATCAGACGCACGCAAAATTGCCCTTCAGGCTCTTCAAAATATACAGCACACGGTCAAAGCTCGTCAAAAGAAAATGCTCGCTTACGATATCACTGCCGATTGTCTTGACCGTCATTACAAAGCCAAAATTTATGCCGCCCGGCAAAAACTGACAAACCTTGAGGTCAACTTGGCTGGTCTGACCCACGCCCTAGCTATCTTGCAGCAGACTCGCCGAGTATCCGAACGTGAGGTAACTGAGCATGAAGAAGTGCTAGAGCAGGCAAGAAACTATGCACAGCAGCGTCAGAACAAAAAATCCAAGCGTGAACAACAGTACAACCACTTTTACTTTGTTCCTCTAGTCTCTAGACAGTTTGAAAATAAGTACAAGCGGGCGAGCGACAAAAATGCATTTGCTGAGGACCAAGTATGCAAAATTAGGAGCGCTATTGAGGAGTGTCAGGCAACAATCCGTGACACAGCCAAGGAACAAAAGTTGCGCCAGACTGAGTTTGAAGAAGAAACGAGTAAACGCGATATAATTGAACGGGACATCCGAGAGTCTGAAAATATGTTGGACCACTTAGCCAAGGGACGCCAATTCTGGGGAGAGTTTGATACCTGTCAAGCTCACATCTTGATCGAATGTACCAAACAGATGGCCGCACTTTTTGGACATTCTGAAAAGAAGTCCAAGTCGCCGAAGCTACAACAAGAAAGAGATGAATGGATCAGCGTATTTCGTCTAGCATGCCTAAACTACGGTGAATGTGAACGCCAAGGTGAAGAACGATGGGGAAGTGGACTAAAAGCCGAATTTGTCTGTGCTCGCTGCAATGTACTTAAGGTTGAATGGCCTACACCCGACAAGGTCCGTCCTAATGATCTACTGTGTGCCGAGTGCTACGAAGAGACACGAACGAGTATGATTATGGAGAAAAAAGTCAATAGTCTTGGAGGCAAGCTCGGCTTAGAAAGACCTCCTAATGTACGCATGGCATCCAAAGCATCGTTTATGTCTTCGGTGTCAACAAACACAAATAATTCTGGCCGGTCACAGAGTTCGTTTTTAGCAGAATCAAAACCAGCTGTGAAGAAGATGCTCAAGACACTCTTTCACAAAAAGTCACAAGCTCTATGCAATGATTCACTTCAAAATGGGCAATCCATGAATGGGTACAGCAATAACAGCCAACACCAATCCATGATGACATAACTATTATATATATATATATATATGTAAAAGTAGAATTTTGAGTTTCGGGTCAAAACAAACAAACAAACAAACAAACAGATAAACATACATACATATACATACATACATATCCCCTAATTAATATTTCCCATAATATATGGGAAGCATCATTTAATAGCATATAACTTGATTGTTCTTTTTTTTTTCTAGTATACAAAGAGACTTAATTTCATATTTATAATGGCCAATAAAGAAGTTTATTAGTAAAAACTTGAATTATATTGGACTTGCACTCCTAGCATATGAAACATATTTAAGTGTTTTAATTTGTTTGTATTCATTCTTATGTCTGATGTGTATATTGGCGAGTAAGTTATATTATCCCTTAAGATTCCAGTCCAGCACATGGGCTAATCGTAATCTCACTTTTATAAAAGCAAAATTATATATATGATTCGAGTGGTCAAAAGCTTACCTATCGATGAGACAAGGTTAATTTGTTCTGTAAAAATATTTAATCAATTATTTCAAGTAAATGCTACGTAATTTTTTTTTTGTGTATTTAAAGTTCTTTGGCCATAACTTATCTTTTGTTAATCAAAAGAGCTCATATTTTTTCATCCTTTTGATTCTTAATTGAGTCTTAGCACACTATGTTTACCGTATATAATTCCAAGAAATGTGGTAACAGAACATGAGCTTAAGATTAATAATCTCCTTAATTATGCATATTTATATCAATGTTTTAGATACATAAATGCTTTCAAATACTATACACAATAATTGATAGTGTAGATTAATTAATGAGCACCTTTAATGACAATATATTCAGGCTTTACAACGACCAATGAATTTCATACGACTCTTATATTTGTTTGTTTTTGTTAATAAAAAAAAAGATATTACATATTTTAATATATAATCAATGTAATAAAATGAGCTGCTTAACTGTATAAGTATATATCTTATTATCATTACTATTATCATTAATTATAAAATAACGAGTCTGTTAATATTTAGTAGCTAAGAAGGGTTCCTACAACAGCTATAGCTTATGTATCAGAAAACCTTCAATAAAATGTATATCAACGGCTCATATGTACATATGTTTTTATTTTATGGCTTTTAGTCACAATTGTATTAAAGAAACAGATCATGCTTGGCTGTCTCCAATAAATGCCAATCGTGTTGTACTTATAGCTAAGTTTTAGATAAAAGCTAAAGACAGGAACATGGTTTTTACAGCTTTACAAAGCCTATCAAAATTACTTGTTTTAAATAAAACTCATCATACCTGTCAAATAATAATACATACTGTCTATATCTCATTTTGAAAAAAAGGAAGTTTACAAGTTATGTTTGTTCAATTTGTTTCAATTTTTGTATTAATTGAACTATCATACTAAAGACTGATCGCCATTATTTTCTTAAGCGTTACTTGAAGGTTTTAAGGCTTTAAAATCTACATTAAGTAACCAGCTTCACACACAAACATTTATATATCTTTTTTAAAAGAAACTATTCAAAAACGTAAATGACCATCTATAATTTTCTCATACACGCAACAAGAAACATCAAAAGTAAAAAGAGGTATTCTTGCTATGTTCAACCCAAAATTCCGAGAAAATAAGTATTTAGTAAAAGTACGAGTATGTATTTTGGATATCAATGTTTAACCCATGGTCTATTTCTAGAGTAACATGGATCAAATAAGTAACCCAAGATATTAGGATATCGTTTTAATCTAATCTATATCAAATTGATATATGCAAGAGCCCTAACTTATTGCTTTAAAAATAGCCGTATAAAAACCCACATCAATGTCAATTATCTTATTCAAATGTGAGCAAATCATAATTGACTTTAATAGAAAATCTTGAGAATAATTTGGACACTTTTTTTTTGGTCTATTGGAAATCTAAATAACATACTAGTAAAAATCAATTGAAAGCAATATGCAAGAACAGTAGAAAATTGTTACTATAGGTGTTTATAAAGGATACAATTTACAAGTATCCCACATCGTTTGGCTCTATTTATGAAAAATAAAGATAAGGATAACTCTTATTGCACTTGTTTGATGTTTTTTTTATCAGTACATAAATTATACCCTTTTTAAAGTGGTTTTTGTGCATATATCTATACTATGAGATATATATATATTTACGTCTTACCATAGCTATACCAGCACAATATTCTCTATTACACATAAATGTATTTAAACATTGATTGTACCTTGAAAGATTATGTATATGGTTTAGGGTATTATCAAGATACCCCCATTTGGTATTTTAGTAAAGCAAAAAAAAAGAGAAAGAGAGAGAGAGAGTGAATGATATTACAAGCAATTGTCAGAATATGATAGGGTCTCTCCCAACCCCTGACAAACTATTGATATCTTTACTTGTATGCTCATCTTTATCTTAAAAAATAATTCTATTAGAGTGGATGTGATATCCGACAAGAATTATAGCTACATTTGCAAACATCATCCTTTCTTTTTGATTTGTTAAATAAAAGCTAGTTATACGTTAGTTTCTTTCCTAAATAATTGTTCTGTCTAATTGAAATATCTAATGAAAATTTGTGTATACAGCCAATCGTTGTTTCTGTCATATGGGTAGACGTTCTTTTGATTTGATTTTCATATGATCTACAAACACCAGTTAATGCTTACTGCATGCTACTTTGTGCCCCAAACAATACATGACTGCATGTTATCTTCCACAGAATATTTATAATATATGTCAGCATAGTTCTATAGCGGGATAAATATCGAATATCACATATTATACAAGAGCGCGAACCCCATTGCGGATTAAGTAAAAAAAAATTGTATGGTAAAAGATGAAATATACGAATAAAGAAACCCTCGATAATCAATGGCTAGATGAGATGATCTAGCAGCTGCAAGTCTCATACGATCTGTCTTCTTGAGCATCTTCAGATCCTGACGTCACTCTGATAGTAGAAGGACTTTGGCTCTTTTGTCTCAATGCCGGAGTCTCGATGATCTTGGATAACGAATGAGTTTAATGGATTTCGTATACATCTATAGAATATATAAAGAATCAAACAACAGGTTCTTACCTTTATTACGAGCTCTTCGAATGCTTCCTTTACGCCCATATTGGTTTTTGCACTGCATTCCACAAAGAGACTTTGCAATTTGCGTGCCAATTCTGAACCCTCCCTGTGCGATACCACTCTTGAGGACTCCTACTTGCGTGATCAGCAGTCATAAAAAGGGGTTCTCGGGTGACCCCAAAAGTAAAAGGAAAGGAAAGAGGTTATATACTCATAATTTACCTTGTCAACCTTGTTGCCTACAATCATCTTCACAACATCCGGACTTGAGCAATAAGTATTAACCTCATTCCACCATGTGTGTAGTGCATCGAACGTCTCGCGGTTGCTCACGTCATAAACTAATAAAGATTTAGCTCTTTCATTCCTAATTAATTACCGTTTCAAAGCCTACCCAAAATAACACCCTGTGCACCACGGTAATATGACGACGTCAGGGTTCTAAATCGCTCTTGTCCAGCAGTATCCTAAAGTAAAGTGACTCAGCCCATGTCTCCATTACAATAAAAAACTAACCCAGATCGTCAACTTGTAAGACTGGCCATCGACTTGCATCATGTTAACTTTGAAATCAACACCTAAAATACATATATACATATATATATAGTTAGTATCTCAGTTTTCTTTAATAGAAAAAAAGGAAGAATATTGAATAGCATACCAATCGTGGCTGATACTTCTTCTTGTGGTAAAAAGGTATCGTCAGTGAATCGCAACAGAAGAGAACTCTTGCCGACATTTGAGTTTCCAATCAACAATAATTTTAATGTAGGAGTATCGGTTGACATTATGAGATTTAAGCGAAAGAAAGGTGTTTGGGAAAAACAAATGGAAATGGTGTAATTTTAGAGCTGTGCAACAGAAGGGGGAGTAGAAATAGAAGTGGGAGCAGAGGGGTGGGGGATCAGTTCCAAGGTAAAAGATATTAAGATTTCCTTATGCAGCTGGTACCCACAGTAGCCTTACCAAACGAGAATAGCTCGGTTAATATAATCCCCGATGTCAACGGCATATCCCAGCGCGAATATATCCATGGTAATGTATGTATATATAAATAAAAATCGAGACTACCAAGTAATACACTATACAATACCTAAAAATCAATTTAATTTTAGAGATTTTCTTTAAGATATATCAAAAAGGTTGTAGCTTAGGAAGATAAACTAAACTTGATTTTACATTTCATCCACTAACGTTTAAGCTTTATTGGAGATGTTATCTATTTCATAAGGTTCTCACCGTATAATTACTTATATTTACATGATTTTAAAAGACCTTGGTCACAAAAAGAAAATATATTCTATAATTATATTTTTCTGCTTACTGGAAAGTAGTATCTGCATATTCTTTATTAGTTTCGTTTTTTTATTCAAGATATGACTTTTACTTTTGAACGCATTGTTATGAACGAGTCCTTTATTTTATATATTAAAAAATACAACGAAGACTCGATATGTCAAAAACATAGAGGAACAAAAAGACTAAAATCGGTATGCTATAGTTTTTTTCATTTACAAAAAAAAATACATTCAAATAACTAGGATTCGTAAAGAAATATTGTTTCATTATGAAAGATGCTTACCCATAATTTTTTTTCTTTTGCATTTATTTAATAATTCAGTGTAGTTGAGCACTAAGTTTTGACCAAATTTATATATATATATTATTAAGTCCAATGTATTTTTTTTAATTCACTTTCCATTAGTTTACCAACAATATACTGAATTTTCATCATATTGAATAGTCCATGTCAATTTCAATTTAAGAAAGATAGCAATGTCAGTATGTAACCATAATTGAGCATTCAGTTATAATGAGTTTCTCCTTCAAATGATAAAAAATATTATAGGTTTATTTCTTTTTTTGATTATCAAGCTATTGCTTCGCACAGTTTGATAGGGGCAATATTAAATGTGGAGATACTTTGGAGGGTTGCAAGAGTATGACTTTGACAGTTTCCCAGTATTAAACCAGCTCACTATAGAAAAAATTCTATATTCAATTTGGGACTGGATTTTATATTCACACCCTATAAAGTTTATATTGATTATCTCTTAAAATTCACTGTAATATTCATACATAGTATAATGAGTATGCTTTACTTTATATATCTGAAGCCAAGAGAACTTTTTATTGTTATATATAGCTATACGGTTTAATAAAATAAGGCAGGACACACTGCAGTATACACTAGTCTTCTTGCTTTCAGGGTATTATATGGAGTCTATTTATTCATTTAATTAAAAAGTATTGTAAACATAATATGTTTTAGTATTTATAATTTTATATACCACATTGCTTTTCTTTTTTTCCTTTTTTTTTTTAAGAAAAATTATATATATATTTATATGTATACCAAAATGCAATAGAACAATGTGTTATGTGTAGATATCGGCCAACACCGACGAATTTCTAGGTAGTCTTCTTGTTGTGGTTAACATATCCAATGCCAACACAGGTCATCAGGATAGTGTTTGAGGATTCCTCTGGTTGTATCTTGAAGGAAACCCCAAAGAAGTCCTTGAGATCGCGCAAAAATTGGATGCTAATAAACATGCGGAAGCCATGATAATAAGAACTCAAAGAATTTATGAACCAATGTAGTTAATTTATAAACTTACGTGAATGGGGAGAGTTGTCCCACCCGCACCTTGCCAACATCTTCAGGTGACAAAACCATTAACAGAAGATTCAACCATTGACTTGCTGTATCAATACATCCGCCCTTTTGGATCTCATTAAGCAATAATCTAGCGGCAACAACACCAACATCTTCTGGAGTCTGTCCAGGCTCAGCTGCCTTCTCTGCAGACAAAAGAGCACCCTTTGTTGTTTCTGCTACCAGAGACAGAGCAAAACCAGGAGACCTAATTCACATGTCTATCAGCGGTCTTGCATCTGACAATCAAGCCCTCTTTTATAGTTTCTTACTTTCCACTCTCGGCTCCCTTGTATACGTCAGTGTAAATGTAAATATCAGGAATATACCGGTTCAACACAGAGCGTGCAGATTCAACTAGACGGTTGGCAGTCTGTGGTGATACACGAGTACAGTACGCAATACCACGAATACGCTTAATTCTACCCTCTTCTGTGAACTGAACTGGCTTTAACTGACGAACACAATTACAAGTGAACATGACCTCTCCTCCACCTAATGGTGGTGCTCCTCTCTTTGAAATCTGTGTGGCGTTTAATAATCCATGCTGTCAAATACTCTTTTCTTGTTTTATTTACCTTGAGTTCCACATTCTCCTCAATACCAAATCGCTTCAATTGAGGTAACAAAACTGTCCGAACGCTATCCATCTAAAACCAAAATTAATATGCGTTATAGTTCTTGCCACAAAATAAAAAAAATCTATTCATTACATTATTTCCTTACCGAAATATCAATGTGATCGGTTGTGATTCCCTGTAGGGTCAGAACAAATGGCAATTTGGAAAATGGAGCAAGTGCAATCATAGGTTCCAAGAAATATGCTATGCTCCTATCTGTGCCGCAATCGTGTTCCACACGTCCTCCCTGAATACCTCCAGGTCTATATACGATCGAGGTACCTTAATTAAGTGCATCAGTGCCAAGTTCTACTTTTATCAAGCGTTGATAATACCTGTGTAACTGATCTCGATCGTCGATCCGTTGGTTACTTTCTCAAGCAATTTAAGAAAGCTTGCTTCGTATTCTATAGACCCAAAAAAAGAAAGAAGAGGATGTCAGGCTTTGGTATACAAATAATACAATTAATTACCTTTCAGACCAGGATTTTCGTCATTAGAGCGGATCTTGTCAATGCGAACTGTCTTTCCGCTAAGTGTTGCTAGTATCAGGCGCTGTCTTAGGTAGTTGTGGCCTTCGTATCGTACTAATTTGCTCATTATTCTTAATTGAAATACAAAAGTGCCTTGAAACGCTCTTTTTTTTTATGAGCTTGACCATGAAGCAGTCACTGCCTGTCTTAGTCTATCTTAAGTGGTGGCTTAGGTAGTTAGATTTAACAGGTTTAGGCTTATATAAACTTTTTTAGAAAGTCTTTAGAGCGGTCTAATGATATTTCTTGTACAAACACCCGAGATTTCTATGCGAATTCTTTACTATTAAAGGTGCAATATTCGTATAAATGGCTATCAAGCAATAAGGAATATCGTTAAAGTGCGGATCAGCAGTAGAAAGGAACACCGTAAATTCCCCAATCAGCAAAGAGAGTCACAATGAATTCGATTTGAGTGTGAGTTTGTTACACTTAGTGAAGGGAACAAAAAAAAACCACTAGAAAGCATGGACTCGATGGACGTTTATGCGTTTTAAATACCCAGATTCTAACTAGACTTTCTTTTGAGCTAAAGCATTGTTAAAGAAATTTATGCTAAATTGTCTATAATTTATGGCAATTTCAACCAAAATAACTCTAATGTAAGAACAATTACTGCAATTTGTCCTGTTCTCTAATGTATGACTTCTCTGAAGTTCCCAAAAGTGCTCTGATTTTACTCGGAGACATTTATTTCGCCATTGGCTTTAAATTACTTCCATTTTAGCCGTCCCGAAATTGCTCCAAGATTTACCCTTCTCTAAATACCACCCAGGTACACTGGTCTTTTTCTTTCTTTAAAAAGCTTATGAAGAGGCTACACAATAAAGATAAGAGGCGTTATATGATTATAAAGTCAAAAATAAACCCAATTGGCATGTTTATTTGGTATATATTTCATCTATTTCGTAAATTCATCCTCTGATAAAGGATTTAAAGACTCCAGGTTCTAGATAATCTAAATTAATGCTATTATCGTAACTGTCGGCAATACTGAAGGTTTCTATCTTAATACTGTGTAAAAAGATGTATTGAAGAAGAAACATTATGGGGTATACGTAATGAGTTTATTCCACGCTATAGTTGATGTTAACCTTTGTGACTCGCCTTTCTGAATAGAGATATACCATTGCCGCAGTAGAAAGAGTATCGATGATGTATGATTGGATAGGACAATTAATTTCAAGCAGCCACCGTGTGCAGTAGTGACGAATACAAGACCTAGAAAACACCAGATAACACATTAAATTCCTTTTTCTTACTTTAAACTATATTCAACAATGACTACAAAAGAATTTGATACTTCTTCTGTCCTAAATGTTCTGGAGAAATCTGTCAATGGATCCCTTCAATCGCCACAAGATGCTTTAGCTGCAGCAGTACATGCAATTATGCTTAGTGCGGGATTCAAGCTTAGCGAACCCAGTAAAGGTAATAAATGAAAACCGACGTTACATTTTGTTTTGGAATAGTTTTGGAATAGAAAAGCTATATTGAATACATAAAATAACTTTATTTTGTTTCTTTGCATATGGATAAATAAAATATCTTATAATAAATTCATATCATATGGCTATATCTCTACAAAGAGGATAAGGATGGGCAAAGCAAATTGCTCGCAGGATGGAACTCTCTAGGACCCAATTACTATGGGTACTTTTATGATCTTCAGGATTCTGGTTCAACTTGCGAAATAAAAGGAGTCAAGATTGGACATCGCTTCGTTGTGCTTGGACTGAATGGGGTAAAAAAAATACGGATTATCTGATGTAAAGCCGAGAAGAATGGAAGAGTCAATTCTGATTGCGTTTCTTTAGGATGAGACTGTTGTTCTTGATATTCCTGTTAAAGAGTATACGTCGGAATCATCATTTCCCATTGAGACATCAAGCAAGGATTTAGGGTCTGCATTCATTTCAGCAGAGAAATTTGAGGATCTTATTCACCTTTTCAAGACCCATATTTTGCATAAACTAACCTCAGGTTCCACAAACTCGGGCTATGAAAATACAAGGTAGAAATTTTAAATTTATAATAGCTTTAGACTTTATTACAAAAAGAGAAAAAAACATGGTCTAAATCAAAACGTTCATTAGATCAGGCAGACAGGAAGGTTTCCCAAGAAACAACCAGCAGCAATCAGACGATATTCCAGTCTTTTCTTCTTTACAGGATAACTCACGCCCAGGGTAAGTGTGCAAGAAAGTTAAACACGACTAATAAACACCATGTATTGTAGTCGTGAAAACCCTTTTAGCGTTGGTCGATCAGATATCGATCCTCTTGGAGGTCATCATATCCCTGGGTAATATTAATTCATAATAAAGCAAAATATACTCTTACGCATCATATTACCCACAGACCAGGAGATGGCACGTACGTAGGACCTTCTCACCCAATGTATAGCCACCGACACGATCAAGAAAATTCTAACATTTTCGGTGGCCCTCAAACATTACCCAGGTAAGTCGTCTGAAACCCTTGTTGAGGAAGAAAATTTTAAAGCTAATAATTTAATGTGTGAATGTTCCAGGGGGGCTGTTCCTCCAGGTGCACGCTTTGATCCTATTGGTCCTTTTGGAAACCCTCCCGGAAGAGGTGGTCTTGGTGGACCTCGTCGTGGTTTCGGTGGCGAACCTGATAACGATGAAATGTCTCCTCCTGTAAGTACTATATTACTGTGTAAAAGATCTTATAATTCTCACATTTATTGCCTTTCTAGGGCTTCAATAACATGTTCATGTAAATCAAATACCACTTGATCAAAATGTAGTTAAACGCATGGCTTTGGTGGAACTTTTTTTTATCCTTAAGAAGCGATGCCATTCAAAGATATTGCTACGTCAGCAACACTTTGCATTTCAAAAATAATAAAAACCTTTATCAAAAAATGAATCGTGTCTTCTTTATCTTATCTAAATGACAAACTCAGAAGCTTCTTTTGTGGTATTCTCAGGCGGATCAGCCTGTAATTACATTGGTGCGTAGAATAGAATACCGTGGGAATACCTAATTCCAAAGAACAACGTAGTTTTACTGATAGATATACAGCAAATGCTTTCCAGACCATCACCCCAAATGTCTGTTATATACTTGGCATTTCTGACAATGGTGGATCAACAGTAAGTTTCTCATCACTTGACGAATCAACAAGCTAACAGCCCTTAGAGTGAACTATTGCGTGTCCTAGGTGGACCTAGTATTGGTGATTTACGATCTCGATTAACTCGTCTCATCACAGTGAATGGCAATGATGCTACCGAATCCATGGCTGTCAAGGACCTTTTAAGCTATCGACTTCCACATGAAGGAGATGATCATGACATTCGTGACGAATGGGTTATGATTGTTGAAGGACGACACAGGTACGACATATTATTTTTACTTTTAAAATGCTTTAAACCAGGTATTAATTGATGTTGCAATAGATTGTGGGAACGTATCCCAACTGAAAAAAAGGAAACAATTCGTGGATTTCTCGTCTTGTTCAATTGCGAGATTCTCAAGAGAGCACACAAACACTTTAACTTTCGGAATGGATCGATTGGAAACTTTTTCCTGACAGGTGCTCGTCTATTTTTTGGATCACTCGAGGCGGCTGTATTTCTGTTTTCCTCTATCACAGCCATTCGTGAACCAACCTGTGTTGTTCCTGTCATAAACACTAATCACACAGCCGCAATAGCAGCTCTTTTAGAAGATGGACAAGTTCTTAGAGGGCAATGTGAAATTAGTCATCCAGGAGAACCGAAATTAAACTGTGTGATTATGAATCCTATTGATGCCTTCTCGAGGCTAGCCTTGCCAAACTCTCCAAACCAGACAATCGGAGACGAAGGCGTCAATAGTAACTTAACATTTTGCAAGACAAGTGAAGAAAAATTGTCAGCCCCTATTCGTCGCATATTCTATATGAATGAATATGGACAAGAGATATACCCTTTGCCAAACCACAAAGTTATTGCTCATTTGTCTAAGCGAAAGCACTTGGTGTATTCTATCGGATCTCTTTATACTTCTATCCTGCCTTGTTTAATCCTTCGGGGAATTGGAAAAGCCGTCGCTACTTCCGAATGTATGAAGCACAAGATTCTGATATTGAACGGTACAAATGACCGTGAGACAGATGGATACACGGCTATGGATTTTATCTGTACTATCACGAATGCATTAAACGAGAGTCAATTGGTTGATGCCCGACACAAGTTTTATGATAGTCTTACGGAAGGAGAGGCTGCGGCACATCATCAAAAGCATTCCGGAAAGCAACACCCTGACTTCTTTGCCCGCCCAGTCAATCATGGCTTCAGACAATGGCCACCCCCGACACGTAGACCCCATTTGCAGTTGATGATGCCACCAAAGTCTACTGTAAATCGAAGCTTCTCTTCGTTACATCAAGAGACATACCCACTCACTAGCCCGGTGTCTGCTGTGGATGGGATGTCCTTTGATTTTCCACCTGATTTAGTCCCAAATTCACCTCCTTCCACCTTCATTACTCACTTGGTTTATTTATCTAATTCTGGTAAGTTAATAGAAAAGAGTGCTTAAAAATAACACTAACATGTAACTTTTTTGTCTGTAGAAATTGGGGTTGACGTGGCGACAATTGAACGGCTTGGCATTAAATGTATCAAAGCCCAACCTGATCAAATGGCAAAGGAACCTCAGTATAATGCCGATGAATTACAAAAAGTTCTCGAATCAATCATCAGTACATAGTACACAGAGACTTTTCTTTTTCTTTTTATTCAGACCTTTATATCAGACTATTCTATATATTCTATTTTCATTTTAAAGCATTTAAAAAGAAAAGAAAGATGTATTTTTCTACAGAAACTACTTTAAATTGAATATATTTTAATGTCCCCACCATAGGTGCTCTTCACTTATAGCAACAAGCTTATCAGCTTATTATTGTGCTCTAAGGAAGTATTCATATTATTGCAGTACAAATAATAATAATAAAAGATTGATATATTTGCTATATCAGAGTATGGAGCAAAGGTCTTTCAAAAAGAAAAGAAAAATACATGATCTAGAAATTTAAATATGAAAGTCAACCAATCTATGATCCGTTATACATCACAGTCTTATATTTCATAAACAAATTAAACTATGAAAAATGATAGTGATAAAAGAAGAAGAAAGGAACCAAGCTACACTAGTAGTATTCTAAAATTGCAAAAAAAAAAAAACTTTATCTTTTCATACATCTTTCTTACAGTGACATAACTGCTTCTGGATTGCCTGTAGTGACGCAATCAAAAATATTGCGGACCTTTAAGAAATTAAAGTATACTGAAAAAGTGATTTCTTATTTTAATTGAAAATAAATAATAGCCACTTTAAACTACATTTAGTTTTAGCTCTCACCTTTCTATTATTTTAAAAGATGGGCGGCATAAGCTTAACGTCCGATGAATACTCATCAGAAGGAAGCGACATGGACATCTCTGAGAGCGAACTCGACATGCAAAACTTAAATGGTCAACCAAATTCAAGCTCCAATAGAGAATCACATCCAATCAACGCACACCAAAAGAAAAACACCACGAAACATGCTGAAGCGAAAGGTAATAATGATAATAACTAAACTAAATTATACTTACCCGCCAATCTAAATAACTCTTATGCTGCATCGCCTATTTTAGCCAAATCCTTACTTACCAATGCCAAAACCGCCTTTACTGGCTTTAACAACGTCGATTGGGAAGCTGCAAACTATAAAAGTCACAGCACCAGCCTCTTTGATACCAATGAGTCTTTCGTTATTGACAGTAGTGAAGACAGCCCAGATATAAGCCTTGCCATCGAATCTCTTTATGGTCCATTTCCCGTACCATCCCAGGAATCTCACAATAATTACGCAGGCTACACACGACCTCAGTATACATCACCACAACCTACTCCAAGATCTTTTAAAGCAGCTGCTGAAAAACCATATCTTGCAAAACACATGCTTGAACTAGAACTCCTAAAGAAAGAGATTGGAGAAAGGGAGAAAAGGATAAAACTGGGAAAACAACGTTTACCAGTTTTATCCTCTTCATCTGGTAGTCCTACTCCACCTCCTACTTCTGCAGATGAAACATCTGTGGCCATTTCATCTGATATACCAAAAATTCAATCCGTAAAAGGAATCCCGGCAGATATCGATTCTACATCACAGACAGAAATTAATGCCGCGATCAAAGCAGCAGTATCAGCGGTGGCAGAACCTACTGCCAAACCTGAAACCATTGTAGCGGCTACAAATTTATTAAACAAATGTCGAGACCAGATTCACAAGATGACAGATGATATTAAAGTTGATGGAAATATTGACGATAATTCAGACACCAAATCCAAAAATCAAGACGCCCTTCTTGATATGGCCATAATGACTGATGCTCTAAATGAAGTTACCCACCGTGGCGTACCAATGATTGTAGAAGATAGCGAAACAGAGATTGATACGAATCGTAGTGAAGATAAAGATGTGGAAGATAATAATTCCGACTCGACAGCTACCATCACAAAAGACAGAATGGAGACTGAAGATTTTCCTGAAGATGACAGTTATGACTCTGACTCAAGTTACAAAACTGCACCACTGTCGCCTATTCATGATGAAATACGCGACTTTGAGGTGGTAGCTAACAAGCTTCAAAAGTCGATTAAAAAATACGAGAATGACATTGAAGAATTGAAGAAACGAAAGGAATCGATCCAAATCCGTAAACTTCGACTTCAAGTTAGCCTTTCTATTGCTCGTAATAGACAGACCATAGCTAATAAGCAGGCACTCAAGCAAAAGGAAGTGTCGGAATCTGCAGGAGAAAAACGTATCAACAACAGCACAGACTACGAGAATGACACAATGCCTAATAGGAACAAACGACATGTATCAGAAAATATGGTCCACCTACCTCCATCCCTGCCTGAACCTTTGAATAGTGTAGATATGTTTAGCGTTCACAACCAAAATTTACAAAACATACCTCCATATTACGATGCAAGAGGTCTCATGAATGGAATAGGATATGTAAATATGCACGGCTATTATCCACATCCACTTGCCCAACAACTTCACCAACACCAACACCAACACCAACATCACCAACATCACCAACCGCACCAGCCACATCAACCAATGCACCAGCCAATGCACCAGCCACATCAACCATTGCACCAACATCATCAACCGCTGCACCAACACCATCAGCCACTAAACCAGCCACTACACCAACAGCACCAATCACTGCACCAACAACATCAACAACAACAGCAGCAGCAGCAGCATCAGCCAATACACCAACAGATGCACCATTTAGTCTATCCTCAAGCGCACAAACTTGTGTATCCAACTCCTCCACCTCCACCACCTCCACCGCCACCACCTCCACCAACTCAGCCATATCCATTACCGCCAGCACAACCGCCAGCACAACCGCCAGCACAACCGCCAGCACAACCTCCAACACAACCACCAGTACAACCACCTGCGCAACCACCTGCACAACCACCTGCACAACCACCTGCACAACCACCTGCACAACCACCAGTACAATCACCAGCGCCAATCCACACTTCTATGCCATTACAGGCATCTCCGCAACTTCTAACGCCTAGGCCAACACTTAATACTAGCTCTAAAGCTGCACCTGTACCACCAAAACCTATTTTCTCCCCCTATCCATCTTATACTGCACACCTCCAAAGACATCAGCACACCCCTTCATCCCAAACATCACCTGTCACCCCAACTCAGCCCAACTCGTTACCACCTTCGCCTAGCACTAGCGGATTTCCTATAGTAGATGGCATGAAACTGGGAAACTACCTTCTCGAAGTAGAGGAACTCATCAAGATGCGTATGGAATCCTTGCAAGCATGCATGGACCCAGAAACTCCTATAAAGCGTTCTCCCCCACGCGCGCTCCGACTGATGACAATCGACGGTATTTCCTTGACTTTAGATTCGATACTCTTAACCAGGGATGATACTTCAGAACACCAACCACAGGTACTAATAAACAAATGATTAGAAGAAGAATATACTGCTTGCTAATATGAAAGCTGTTCCTCTATAGGCATACTCTAATTTAGCCATAAGAATGCCTTTTGAACAGAACTCTAGTGCATATGCTTCAGAAACAACCTCTCAGGTATGAGTTATGGCTCATTTAATGTATGTGCCAGCTTGATGTATTTATTAAGAAGTCACAAACCCTATAGGAACTGCTGGATGATCAGGGAGGAAGCGACCCTAACCTTGCGCACGAGAGTGTTATTTATAATATAATGGAACGCAATGTTCATAGAGTATGCTTATGTACGCCAGAGGTACAAAAAAATATATTCCTGATCCTGAGAGCCTTGCCAGAAAATTTTATAGAGTCTATCGCTTCTGAAGAATTGTGGGGCTCTATAGAGGTAGGGAAGGCAAAAGAACTTGCTGCTACGGCTGCACTTTCATATCCAAACGTAGAGGTTTTATGGGATATATATGCCGAGCTTTGTCTTTATCACCACGGACGGACAGAGACTTTTTTGAATGCGATAAAAACAATTCTTGAGCAAGTTCCGCTTGCCTTTGATGTTCATTGGCAGAGAATTCGTGTGGCAAAGAACAGTGGATATAGACAAGGCATTGCAAACAGCTTGCTCAAATATATCTCAGAAAATAAAGCAGGGCCAAAATCGCTAGGTAAGTGACAATTAATGAAGTGGAGGTCGAAGCAGTCTGCATAAGAATGAATTAGATTGAAAGGACTGTGTAGTGGGGAGACTCATGGGGAATTGATACCTTGGGGGTGTTATTTTTCTTTCTATAGGAGACATGGCTATGTCAAACATGACTTCTGAAGTCGTTCTCCGTATCATACGACGTGAAGGACTCTCGGTGATCTTGAAGTTTCTAACGGGCGCAGAAGACATTATAAAGACTCAAAAAGTGGAGACCTTTTCTTTGGAAGATTCCCAGACTCAGTTTTACATGTCTGATCATGATCTCTATATTGTCTGGATGTCTATACTATATTATTTCCTGTGTGGAGAGTTGCCCAACTCTATCAGCCGTCATTGGATGAAGTCTCTTGTCACAAGTGGAGAAAGACCGCCCAAGAAGTTGCTATTCACTCTGTCTTGGTCGTCTGTTGTTGCTAATGGACCTTTGACACGCTCGGAACAGATTGGATCTATCAATATTTTACTTTCAATGCTTCAATACTTTGGCAAAAAAGCAAGGAGCAATGATGTCAAGCGGCCTCTACTGATTGGAGTCTTGCGAACTCTTCTAGACTTACTTGCTCATATGGAGTGCTACAAACGTGCGGGTGCTCTTGCTCTGATTCGTGGTGGATTCGAAGTAGAAGGATTACGCCCTGAAGTTTATGATATTGCTGCTCATCTGGAGACTCTTATGGGAGACCACTCTGGAGCGGTTACAAGACTTTCTACAAACATGCTCCGACTTCCCATCGCCCAACGACTTGCTCTCGCTTACCGATCTGCCCGACTCCTCAATCCTGCTCGTTCAAGCTCAGTTGATGTTTTGTATGAATCCGCCCGACTGGTAGGTTTACCACTTACTATCGCATACAATATGGATGATTGCGAAATATTGAAGAGCGGAAATGTCGAGGTGAAAATCGACTTTATCCGCCGATTGTACCTTACTGTACTTGGTATGGATACCCTCTTTCCTCTACCGTTCAAGAGATCCTTCAATCCAAAGGAATTTAGACGTTCGACATTTGCATGGATAAATTTGATTTTCCTGACCAGTATTGCACGCTGGATATATGACAAACCTAGCTTGGATGATACACTTACTCTACAGATTTCGATGGCGTATGACTTGGGACTAAAGTCTGTGGAATCTGAAGATTCAAAATCATTGATGTTTAAGTATACCTCAGACTGTGTCCGATTATAGTATCTTTTTAGCAGCTATATCTTTGTATATTCGTGTATGTATTTCAACAAGGAAAGTTTTTAGGCTAGAGAAATAGTGAGTCAAAAAAATAATAATAATTTATTTATCTTTGCTTAAAAAATATTTTCAAAACAAAAAACAACAAAATAACAAAACAAAAAACAAAAAAATATTAAAATGACATAAATTATAGTAACAATACTTTCCAAGTAAGGCAAATACTTCTTTATTGTCTGTTTAACATAGCTGACTAATAAACCATGTATACCCACATTTAATTATTATTCTTTTAAAAAATAAATAAAATAAAAAGACTTTTTCTTGATTCCTTGAAGTCTGCAATGTAAATAAAACATGACTTAGAATTTACTGGTTATAATAGCAAATTGATCTCTTCAAAGAACTCGGCAAAGTTTAACTAGTTATCCAAGAAGTATTTTTGCAGAGTAGCAAAACATACATACATATATGTCAAAGAAAGTCTCTTAAATGCTCTTTTGCGTTAGTTTTAGCTCACAAGTGAAACAGGTGGTCCAAGTTCTCATAACAGAACAAACACACTATATACAGTAGTTTGTTTCTCTTCTGTACAAGTTTCTATTCATTTCTCCTTTACTTAGTATGCTATTTGTGTCTTCCTTAATTACATTCGTCATGTACAACAAACTTTGACAGAGATCTTTCTTGATATTTAATTGGATAAATGGGTTCTCTATGCGCTCGAGTAGTTTTTGATTTACTAAAAAGCTTATTGTGAGCGTTTAAGCTGGATATTATATTTTCTATGATGCCTCGAGCTGTGTATTTAGCTTAATCATTAAGGTTTTCAGGTCACTAACAATTATTATACTTTATCTAGGGACAATTTCAATGGGGTTTCTTACATACAAGATATAGGCATTTTTAAAGATTATAGATTTAACCAGCTAATATTATTGATGTTAAAGCTATTAATCATAAAAGAAACGTGAGGTGGGAAATGCAAGTGTTTATTGATGATGTAAACCAGCGATTACAAATGATCAATAATTCTTACTAGACCCTGAATTATAAAAACTTGATCTTACCCATATCCATATATATATCCATATATATATATACAGGATTCTTCTGGACTTATATATCCACTAAAATTATGCTTAAACAAATACTACTTAAACGCAAGCTTTGTGGAAATAAGCGGATCGACTTAAAGAGGTACAAATTATTGGAGTATACAATAAATGACTTGTACCTCTTGTGTCGGAAAAAGCGCTGTTTCCGGAATACGTGTGATATTGCGATGTGTAACCCGGTTTTCCGATTGAGATTTTGAGGTTTGAATCCAAAATTCGTGTCCTTAAAACGAACATATCATTGGAGATGGAAGGGTAGATCCTGGCTGTGCTACTTAAAAGCTAATCCATGTTTCAGAAAGAAGTTCTAGTCTTTGTGCGATGAGACATCAGGTTATCCGAATTACTGTAGCTTAGTAGATCATTATACTCTGTGTGCCGAACGGCGATATTATTGTATTGTTCGGAGTGTACGGTGTAATATATATGGCTGGTACTTACTATTGTTTTTTTTATATGAAAGGCTTGGCTTGTAATTTCAGCAGGTACACATCTGATTAGCATCTACCGATCAATTCTTTCTTTGGATCGGACGGTGAGAATAGTGAGACCGCTATGCCTGTTTGTAAATATTCTGTTTCAAATATTTGGTCCTTATGAGATATATGGTATTCGGCGTGATATATTTTCTACTTTGAGATTAACTATGCATATATTTTATATAAATATTTGTCTGTTATATACAAAAATAGTTGATCGGCCTACTTAGCAAAAGGTAAAATATCTCAAGAGAGAGATACCCTGATCTGGGTATAAAATGGAGAGTCGAGTCTCGCCTTGTAGAGTCGGCCTTGTCACGTCCAAGTACAAAAATGGTCGACAGAATCCTATATAAATAAGGAGAGCTCAATAAAGGTTCTGAAATAACACAAAAATAAAAAATAAAAAAATAAGAATATAAACAAGGACAGCACATCTTTGTCCTTTATTCTCTTCAACCATGTTTACCATAACAAGGATATTGGTATTTTTTATAGTCTTTCGTTACCACTGTTACCACTATACACGTCCTCATACTAAAGAATATATATATATAGAAACAACGAGCGCACGCGAACCGATGGATATTACTGTTCTTGGGCATCACGATACTCCAGCTACTTATTTCTATGATTAACCTTATAACCAACACCCGTTTCAGCTCACCGAAAAACCTAGGCCAGACTTTGGCTGCAATCCAACTAGCAGAGGTTCTGAAGCATAGATTACATAGAAATATTATGGAGAGTGCATGGATATTTATGTTCCAGGTCTGGAGGCTATGGGTTGGTTTGGATGGAGTAAGTGATTTATTATTCTAAATATAATAGAATTAATAACATTAATACGTTCCTATCATACATAGATAATAAGAGGAGACAGACCTCCTGTGATTGTCGCTGGAGTATCAACGATATGGACAATCGCTATGAGTGCTATCGTAAGCAATAAGTATAAAATATACCAGTCTTGGTTTGGCTCATTGTATTACAGCAAATAGTCATATCCAGAATGCTGATTAATCATGGAATGAATGAAGTCTATCCTCAACTTGTCATGAGTGGTGTTCTTATTGGCATATCTGCACCTATATTCATTGTGGTAGTAATGCTAGTAAAGAACTCCAGCTGGACGTCTACTCCAGATCTAGGTCCTGATCCCAATATGAAGAGTAAGATACATACATAATATTTTTTTGAGCTTTGGTCTTAATGAGCCTTTTCTTTTTCTTTCAAAAGATATGTACAACTGTATTTCCCGATTCTTGGTTCTCTCCAAGTGCGGTATATTTTTCCAGTTTCTTTTGATGCTTTTCCATGGCGTGTTTATGAAAGATATCGGATTTCAGCCGTGGAACTGGGTACTTTTTATTCCTCTTCCGATACTTAGTCTCGTATTTATGCTGACGGGTCAAAAGGCAGTAAGTAAATTTAGTCCAAGTGTGTTGCAGTAGGATTTATCCTGGAATTTATGTAGATTGCAGCCGAGAGTTCCCCTTTGATGATAATATTTATCCTATATCAAGCATGCTTTCTGGCCTACAATTCTTGTATGATTTGGTGGGGAGAGGGACACATGGTATACAACACATGGATCTTTTTATATACTTACAGTAAGAGTCGTCACCTGTTTTTGAGTAAAAAAATAAAAATAACCAGCACTTGTCTTACACACCCCTTTTAAACTTTATAGGTGGAGTGGCAATGATTCTGTGTTTGGTAAGTAGATTACTGCATTGCATTGTACAATCTAATGGTCAAAACTAAAGTGACATATCAACCTTATTATAGCTTACTCTCTTGACGAGTATCCGATGCCTTGCAAATTTTGGCAAAGGTATCCAGCCTTTTGGTACGTATATGTGTATATAGCCAGTTCTTGGAGAGAGAAAGGGAGCGAGAGAGAATATATATATATACTTACTCTTGGTTCCACAGTCAAAACAGGATTATTCAATGGCAAAAATGCCACGGACCTATCCGATGGAGATGCGGAAATGGCTTTCGCCACCGCGCCAATGACACTTGAAATTAACGAGAAAGAGGAGACTCCAAATAAACACAACAACAACCTCATAGTCAATAGTGTCATTGAGATTACCACCAACAGTCAAGTATAATGCATATGCCGGAATCATATCTATATACTCGCAACCCACAATCCGACCTTCCCTTCCCTTTTGGAGTTCTCCAATCTTATTTATTTATATGCATCTCTTATATTATTTGCAGCTTGTACTTACTACTATATTTCTTGACTATCAAAAAAAAATTAATACGATATATACAATATCTTTTATGGTCTTTTTTATTATATTTTTACTAGGGGCCATACTAAGCTTCCCTAAGTTTCCAAAAAAAAATTGTGTTTTGGATGTTTAAGTAAAATTTGGCCTATAAAGATCCTTCCAGATCAATCGTAGTGTCAAAATTTGGATACAGGCACCGAAAACAAGGTTTGAAAATGGAACCCTTACTTATATATATCGTGTAACAAAGAAAAACCAATATCAGGCTGTCTAGAAAGAAATAAAGAAAAACAAGCGTTCTCTATAAACAAATAATATGTATGAAGGATGTGTTTTACATGCTTTTAGACTATCAGACAGGATACAAAGAAAGCTTTCTAGTATGCATAATCGTCGTTAGGTCCAAAAAGAACACAGCTTTAAATTTACCAGTTCTCTCTTTGTCTTTCATTATTAAATATGAACCATTCAAAGAAAGGCATCTAAGCTCTATTTGATTTCATTCGTACTATACTCTATGTGAATTATGAAATTCAAAACCACTGGGTATACAAAAAAAAATGATCATCATGTAAATGCACAGAACAAAGACAAAGCATCGAACCAGGTCTCATTTATCTATATTTATTAGTATTTCGCATATGCAGACATAAACAAAAATATGTGCCAACTCCAAGTCCAAGTCTAACTTTGAGTATTGAAGCACTGAGAGCAGTGTAGATATTGTATTATAAAGTCAAATCTGATGGAAAATAAAGGATTAAGCATGTAAATTATATTCGGATGATACAGTATTAAAATAAATTAGTTATTTATCAGCACCTCTTTCTCTTTCATGCTTTCTATAAAGAAGAAACTGGTCTGTACCTAGACTATCGACAAAGATTTTCATAATAGCTCATCATACAATTAATGATAATGATAACAGCTTGAAAGAGTACATGAGAATAAATGGGCCAAGTACTTTATTATATTGGCCACTATTCAACTGCTCGTAGCCCTTCCCACCATGATCATCACTCTTGTAATACTTGGCCAGAGCAAGACGAAGTTTGGACTACACCAAGAGATTGGATACAAACATATAATTGCCAAAGAGAATCGTATTATGATCGAGAGCATCTGGTTCTTTTTATACGAAATCTGGAGATTCTGGCTAGCATTTGATGGTGTAATTTATTATTATTACTTCTTCCTCTCTTAATACGGCTTAAAAAACTGCTATATTAAATCTAAAAACATGTATAGGTCCTTCATAGTAACTCTCTGACTGTTTCGGCTTCCTTTATTTCTACGTTGTTTGCAATAGCTTTGGGCAGCATGGTAAATTAGTTTTGGCATTTATAAAATACTCTTTAATAAACTAACTTTATTTTCTTGGTACTGTAATGTAGCAAATAGCAGAGTTTATAAAATTGGATGAAGCCACTAAGCTCGAGATTATTCCTCAAATTGTTATGGTCTTCTCTTTGACCATAATTAGCGCCCCTACTCTATACATTTCATTCAAGCTGTATAGGGATTGTGATTGGATTAAGTACAGAAAGCTAGGGCCAGAAGTTAGGCTACATCGTATGTATAGATATGTATACATCTGGACGTCTATCAAAGCTAATCAATGTATAGACATGTATCATTGGGTTCAGTGCTTTGTTCTTGCTCTTAAAGTAGACATCTTCTTTCAGATTTTTCTCACAGCATATTACACTGTTCTATCCAATCTCGCAGCATATAAGCTATGGATTTTAGTATGTCTATCTGTATTACCTGCCGCGTGCCTTGTATTTATCATAATAGGAAGGAAATCAGTAAGTCAACATAAACATGTCAGCTCTTAATAATAATAGTGATAATAATAAGATCGTGGCTTTTGTGAAACGATATAGATTGCGAACGAGAGTATGTGGCTCATGTCATTATTCATACTATACCAAATTGGTATAATACTCTTGAGTATTGGAGTTTTAGCAGTAGCTATACTTTTATTGAAAGATGATGCATGGTACTTTCTTTATGCCTATGGTAAGACTCTAAATTGGTCTTGGTTTCTTTGACCTGATTTTTATTTTGTTCTATAGTTTCAATGGCGATCTTGATGTGCTTGGTAATATCTGTGATTTGGCTTCGTATTTTATTTTATTTGCGCAACAACTAGACATATTAACTGTTTTGCTTTTACAGATTACAATCTCTTTGTCCATTAGATGCCTGATGAACTTCAACAAAGGACTTTATAAGCATGGTATTTTTTCTATTCCTAATTCGAGTCTAAAAAAGAAAACTAACTCTAAGCACACAGTACAAATTGGGATGTTTGGCAGTAAACAAGATTCAAATCCCCTTGAAAGAAATCAAAATAGCGTCGTAGACCCATCTCTCATAGATACATGCGATGAAGACGACAGTATATCAAGAGAATCAAAGGCAAAGTCAAAGTTTCCGACCGGTAACCAACAAGAAAATATATAGTTTTGAAGTGTCAGAAATTCTCTGCCGAGGTTCTATAAAAGCGTACCCATATACATAAAAGACCGCCACATAAGCTTATAATAATAGTACTAATAACCTATCTGTATCTACTGGTTTCTCTTTAAATTATCCATATATTTTTTAATAAAGATCGAATAATATTATCTATAATTTTTCTTCAAATAAGTATGCCCTTGATAATATGGCTACAGAATTATTCCATTAGAATCGGACGGAATCCGCATCAATGTGTGTGTGTGTGCGTATCACTCTGTACCTGAGACTTGAAACTTGTACTGTACGATCCTTTTTTTAATTCTGATGTTGTATATATATTGTATAGGTATAACAATGAGTTCTTATATCGATGGTGGGTCAGTGAAGGTCTTTTCTTTTCTTAGTCTTATATGTTCAACTTGTTCGAAAGAAAGCAAATATTGGAACCAACAAAATTAGGCTGTGCACCAAGCAGCTTGAGCGTGTCCTTTTTTTTGATAAAATAATTTATTTGAATAATAATATAGAACAAAAAGTTATGTTTGTGACATTCATTAAGACAAATTATGGTTAAGCTATGCATTATTATTTTTCCTTAAACAGTATAATAAATCCCTGGTTAAATAAGTATAGATTAAATAGCTATAATAATAATAATAATAATAAGCCATATAAAGAAAGTATATGTTGTTATATTGGTACTTCTTGTAAATTAACCAATAAATAAATAATGGTGAATATCTACATTGCTTTGGACTGTATTGTATAGGTATGGCTTTATATATGAGCGTGTGTATTAACAAAATAAAGAGAGAGAAAGGCTATTGTTTAATATAATATAGTTTAATGTAGTGTATAGTGTTTGTGGCTGTGGCTGTGGCTGTGGCTGTGAAAAATAGGTGAAATGCTTAATCAAAAGTTAAATGTCGTGCAGATAAAGTAATAAGTTGATTTCCATTAAAGACTTTCTGTTTTTCACTTGAAAAAGAAAATGATAGTAATTACTTGTCATCAGTATATTCATAAACTCTACTAAACATGGAAACATTGCTCAAATTATACATTCCATTTTGGTAAAATACAGAGCTTAAAACCCTATTTTTACCTTGACCTCATAATTTTGCACTGGCGTGATTGGACTCATTTACAGACAGCCTCCGCTATAAATGTGTACAGCTCAATATAAATTCTTGGATTAGATTCAACATTGACCACCAAGACAAAAAGTACTATTGTGCACATTGATTGGGTTGAATACTGGCTATGCTCTTGTACACACACTAATGAAGAAAATATACAGAGAAGCTTCTGAAGAGGTTACAGTAGTTGAGTCACAAAATATAATCAATTTCATGAACTTGAGATTTGAACTCATAAATACTGGTCAATAAAAGAAGATAAAGAGCAATATTTCCATATGTCTTGTTGTCAATTAAACCAAAACCAAGATAACAATCGATAGAGACCTTATTGCTTTCCATCTGGCTTTATGACTTCTTTCTTTCTATTTCAAGATATATCGGCGCCCATACGGATACACCTAATATGTACATATATATAAATACATACATTGGCAAATGGCTTATGTTCATTGGAGGAATGAATCATTTACTCTTATTGTGGCAAATGGTATTAGCAATACTAGCCTAATTGATCAATCGATAGGGACCCTTCTTTTGAGCATGTATATATGTGTGTACCTAGAGTGTAAAGCTATATATATATAGTCTAGTAAAGCTATTAGTAGTACACAGATAAAAATCAACTCTACAGATCGTAATGTGATGGTTTTGGTCTCCTTAGTTATTTAAGTATGGTATATTAAGGTAATTAAGTCATTTATAAGCTTCATTTGCTGTGTTTTCTATATTGAAGGTATTTTTTTTTTTACAATTTAAAGCTCGTTTTTTTAAAGAAAATTATTCATGTATTTATGTATCTATCTATATTTGTATATGGATTTGTATATGTATATGTATTCATAGATGCATATTGAGTCTGAGTACGTTTTATATCCTATTATTTGGCACACATCAATGGCCTGTGGTAATTTATAGATCAATATACAGACATAAAAGAGGAATTAATATAGATATATAATATATAAACATAGAGAGAGAGAAAAGACAGACAGACCGAGAAAATGAATGTTAAAGGACTGATCTTGCCCTAATAAACCAAAAATGGTACATTGGCCAATGGCTCTGTGTAATGTAGCAACCATGAGTTTTAATTGAGAAAAGAATTGAAGGAAAATGGCTTCAAAAAAAATAAACCATAGAAAATAAATAAAAAGATATTTTTGGAAAAGCATTCAATTTGGTTTGTGTAGCCAATCGTATATATCCATCCTATATTTTCATTTCTCATTCCCTTTGCTCTTCTTTTCCTTCAATCTATCCTAGAATGTTTGCCTTACGATCCTCATTCTTCCTCCTCAGCGCCATTGTTTTGGTTGCCTTTATCCAGACCGCCTGCGCAAGTGTCTTCTCTCAGCTTCAATACATCAAAATCGTATCACCAACCAGTGGACAGGATGTCAAAGCTGGTGAAAGTCTCGTTGTTAAATATGTGATGCAGCCTCTTGTCCTTGGTAAGTAGCAACATTAAACACACACACACACATATATATATACTTATACTTATATAATTCTTTAGATGGAGTATCTTCAGGAAAGGCTCTTAGCTTGAATATCAGTCTCCACAGCAGAACCGGAAACCAGAAACAACAGAAGCTTGCCATTGTTCACAACTCTTGGTACGTAAAGCATTCATGGAAATACATCAAAGCTCTTTTTAATAACTTCCTTATCTATTTCTCTAGTCCCGTAACCGCACAGACTAACAAATATGTCACTCACACCAAGACATGGTCTGTTCCTGCCAACCTCAAGCCCGGATCTTACGCTATTGACTTTGAAGAACTTGTTCAGTTCCGTCGTAGTCAGGTCACTGCCACCGAGACAGTCAAGATCAACATTGTCGATTAAATATATAAATCCTTTTTTATTTTATTTTTATTAAATGTACATCTTTTTTTTCCCGCTCTTTTGGCAACCTATTCTGAAAAGTAGAAGGCAAAAGGAAATCAATACGATACAATAGAAGAAGTAACAATTCCATTCATCATTCATATCTTTAGAATCCTATCGGCACTTTTTGCACTAATCTACACTTCTTCTTTTTCTTTTTGGAAAGTGTATATTATATCTGTAAGCCGATCATGTTCAAATAAACAGGCCACACAAACGCTAAAACTGTCTCGTATATCAAAAAGAGAGATAGAAAACAAGGGCAAAAAATAATTGGTGTATAAAAGCCAAAAATAAAATTAATGTACTTATAAATCTGAAGTATAAAAATACCACATACATCTTTGAACCAACGGTCTTGTGTACCAATATAGACAGAAACTTCACGATATTCATATAGGCAAGAAGCCAAATAAAGCCTGCAGTTAAAACGGCGACTGATTCGCTACCTTCCATTAAAAAAAAAGTAACAATAATGAACATCTTGAAATTGACTTGGTGATAGAACCACAAATTTATTACACTTAATAAAATACACCATCAAATTAACGTTTTTAATTTGAAAGAACACTACTTCACATTAGTACTTTCAAAAACCTATATTGTTTTAAAGGCACACACACACACACACACACATATATATATATATATATTGTCTGTGTGTATGTGTGTGTCCAATTTTTTATTTTTTTATTTTTGCGTTAATGCGGTTGTTCCCGATACCGCTCCCGTTTGATATCTGTTACAGGCAAGTAACTCCCTTTTTGGGTGTAAAGGCCTGTCGCTTGCTACACTGCGTCACATGTTGACGTTGCTTCGAGGGATACAAACCTTGAACTCGTGTCTCTCTAAAATTCGACATTCTGGAGTTCACAGCTGAAACACATCGTTGTAAGCTCCATTAATGAACTTTGCGTTGCCATTCTGCGGGTGTGCGGAACCACCAGAGGTAAATGAACCCTGACAATGACTCGATCAACAGCGACGATCCCCAAAGGTCTCATAATCAAATATTCAAATAGATTGGATCTCTGTCTCTGGAATTCGATTCCTGCACACGAGAGACGTGAGTGATCTGTCTTGTAGACAAGTAAAAAAAAACTTTCCTATCCGAGAAAAAGAAAATGCTCATCGACTAATGCCAAAATTTCTTTTCAATAGTCTTCTCGATGCTGCCTTACCACTTGCATTCCTTATTGTTTCACTTGGAGTCAATAGTCTTCGCCGCTACCGTACCTGGAGAACAGGCGCATTGCGATTGACAGGCGATGCTGACACTTTGCGACTTCCTACCACAAAACAAGCAGCCCTCTTGCGTCAGAGCCTTATTCTTCTCGTCCTAGTTCTGCTTGAGATAAGCACTTGGGCATTCATATTCGCATGGCGTTTAGAGAGTGCCATTCTCGATCGTGACAACCCAAAACACGCAACTGAACTGACCTCTGCTTTGACTGAAAGATGTGGCACTCCACCCTACCAAGTTCTTGATCCTATTTTGGCCCTGATTCCTCGGGTAAATTCGCTTTCATGAGCATTTACTGAGTGTTGCGTGCTGATATTCTGGATTGTTCAAGATATATATCCTCATTCTTGTGATCAGATCATTTACTACGCCCGCAGACCCCGTCGCCCCATCCAAGTTCACGCTTTATAACCCGCATTTTCTAACGTTTTATTCGTTTGCCCTGATTTCAGCTATTGTACGCATATTTGCACATTTTGGCACTCTTCTGAACAGTAGAGATGGTGTACCATCAGGTGTTGAAAAAGGATTTTCTTTGGTCGACTGTTTTATCTGTTTGGCAATATGGTTGGTGAGTGCTACCACACCAAGCGAACTGGATCAAGGAGAGCTGCTCGACTTTGATGACGATGACGATGGCGTAATGGTACTCAATGATGGCCGGGTGGTTCGAAATGTAAGAAGTGTGGTCAGCTAGCGAATCCTTAGTAGAAAAAACTTAATTCAAACTACTTTGTGTGTGTGGGTTGTAGGGACGTATACTGAGCTTCGAAGCAACTGCATCCCCTTTGTCGTTTATGACCTTTGGTTGGATAAACAGTCTCTTACACAAAGCATACAAAAAACCCTTGACGGCTGATCAACTCTGGGCCTTGCCACTCAGGCAGAGAGCCCAGGAAAACTTTAGACAATTCAAGCAGACAATAAACAGCAGCCTTGTCAGACGTATTTATGAAGCCAACAAGACAATAATCCTTGTTCAATTTGTAACTGCCATTGCCGCCGTATTCTTCCATTATGCCAACCCTTTTTTCTTACGCAAACTATTGAACTATATACAAGACTCAAAAAACCAACCGAGTGATATTGGGTATCTTTACTGCCTGGCCATCTTTGTCTGCAGCATCATCAGTACCCTGGTGGCTTCTCAGACACTTTTGTGGGGTAGAAGATGGCATGTGTCGATGACTAACATGCTGAATTCGGAAATCTACGAACACACTCTTCAGTTAAACCACCCAAAAGAAACCACAGTCAATAAAAGTGAAAGTGAGGAGGATGCAGAGAATGCTCTGCCAAACAAATTGGCGAGTTTGATGAGTCGTGACACCGAGCGGCTAGCCGAACTTGCTTCGTATCTCCATGTAAGCCATGTCAAAATATATATATTTACTTTCATCGTACTTGAAACGTTCTAATAACAAAAGAGGGTTTCTTTATTTATTGTACAAACAAACAAACGCATACACACATATACACACACAAATTAGATATTTTATACATGTCCGTTAGAGATTGGTGTTGGTGTCATATTCTTGTACCAAGTTCTCGGAAACTCGTTCCTGGCCGGCCTTGTTGTTATGGCAGTTACCCTTCCGTCAACCCATTTTATAAGTCAGCGATTAATTCATGTTCAAAAGCAACTAGAGGAAGCAAAAACATGGCGTACTCGATTATTAAAAGAGTTATTTGAAGGCATCAAGACAACTAAGTTTCTTGCATGGGAACACAAGTGGGAGCATGTTATTGCTGTAAGAGCTGATACGATACGCCCATACACATAGACATTCCCGAGAATTCTATCCAAATAGACTGATTGCTTTTTTTTCTGGTCTATCTAGGCTGCTCGTGACGATGAACTCGTCAAATTGATCAAGTTATATACCCAGAACACAATTCTTGGTCTCATCTGGTTCGCAACCCCTGTTCTTGTTACTACAATTTCATTTGCATGGTATACTTTAATTGAGAAAAATACACTTGATGCCAGGCAAGTCAATAGGGGTTACACGGTTAGCACAACAATATTAATACCAATACTAATAACTTTTTTTAATAATAATAAAAAACTAAAACAATAGTACGGCGTTTGTAAGTATTGTGCTCTTTGGAATGCTTCGGGAGCCACTTAATGTCATGCCTCAGGCCTTTATGGCCTACAATGACGCAAAGGTCAGCTTGGAGCATATCAACAGTTTCTTAAACTCGGGAGAGAAGCGCTATTCTGATTCCGATTCTAGCACACCATATGAAGCCATGAACTATTCCTACACTGAACATGTACAGACCGGATTTGATGAAGGCAGCTTTCAATGGCTCCCAAAATCAGAACCCTCGGTCCGTCGCCCTTATGTTCGCGACAAAGCAACCCTTAGTCCAAACTCAAGTGATGGACACCTCTCATCGTTTCGTCTCACTGTTCCAGAAATCGATTTTCCGGTTGGTTCAATCTCGGTTATTACCGGCCCAAGAAAAAGTGGGAAGTCAAGCATGATATCTGCCTTGTTAGGAGAGATGAAAGGAGTGTCAGGAAGTAGTCATATCCCCTCACGGTTCTTAACTATGCGCACCAATCTGATCAGGGATCAAAAGTATAGAGCACTCTATGTTTTCAGAGTTGCCTATGTTGCCCAAATTCCGTGGATCGAAAGTGGAACAATTCGTGAAAATATCTTATTCTCAGATCCGTGGGATGACAGCCGTTACCGCGCTGTACTTTACCAATGCGACCTCTTGAGAGATCTATCATTACTGGAAAATGGCGACTTGACCCAAATTGGAGAGCGTGGAATGGCATTGACGGGTAAGAAAAGACAATAGAGTCCCCTAATGGGGTCAAGAGTATGTATATATTTATACAGTAGGATTAATCATTTTTCATGTGTGTGTGTATATCCATTTTGTCAGAATCTCAGAAACACAAGATTTCGCTTGCACGGGCAGTGTATTCAAGGGCGAAGACTGTACTTATTGATGATCTGTTTGCTTTACTCGAAACACCCACCGTAAACTTCTTGTTTGACAAATGCATTTCTGGAGACTTGATGCAAGGTCGTACGGTGATAATTACTGCCACAGAATTAGGACAGTGGGCATGTAATGCCCAGCTTTTAGTTTGTTTGGACTCTGGGAACGTTTCACAAATCGAACGAGAATGCGATGCCATTAGTACCTGGGTGTTTACCCACCAAGCACGTAGAGATAGCTCGACAGCCGTGGTTGCAAGTGATGATCGTATCGAAGCATTATTTGAAACCGACAATGTCTACACCGACGATGACTTTTTTGATGAGGCATCGGTACTACGGGAATCTATCGCTGCTCCCGAAGATATCACAATAGAGAACACAAAGGCAAGAAAGTATGCCTACGCCACATATTTTTCTGCGTGTGGTGGGTGGCAATTTTGGATGTCAGCAATCATGTTTACTGTTCTAGCCCGAGTGTCCAGTATATCCGAAAGTTATTGGCTAAAGGAAGGTAACATGGGCAGCACTTTCCACTTGTGGAGAGAATAAAAGAACATCTGGCTTATGTTAAATCAATTTGTGTGTGTGTGTGTAAAACTTACAGATGTGGTCCGTTGCGTACACTTCTCCACAGCCGATTTTCATTCCAACTCCAACCCAGCCTGAGAAAGAAATACCTGATGAGAATGTTATCAATCACTATGTAATAATTTACCTTGGGCTTTCGATGGTGACGGTGGCGTTCAACTTTAGTCGTACAGTTGTACAATATCGTGGTTCTCTCCAGGCTTCAAATCGAATCTTCCTCCGACTGCTTCAGGCTGTCTGTCATGCACCCCTTCAATTCTTTGATAACACTCTTCAAAGCGACATTATGAATAGGTTCAGCAAAGACATGGAAACAGTTGATTCAAGTATTGGCTGGCATGTCAATTTCTTGCTACAAACTCTGTTTGGGATTATTGGGGTGGTTATTGCCATTGGATTTATTTTACCTGAAGTATATATAGTCAGCTTTTTCGCAGGTATAAATGTATATATGTATATATTTGCACTACATTTTAACAAACCTACACACGCAGCTCGGTCTAATACAAGAATATGATTCGTGTTTGCAGCTCTTTTATATTTATACATTGGCATGATATACATACGCGCATCTGGTGAGCTCAAGAAACTCAATACCGACACCAGGCCGGCCATTGTTTGCTTGTATGCAGACACTTTAGCCGGACTCTCTACTATTCGTGCTTATAGAGAGCAGAGAGGAATGATGAGAAAGATGTTTCAACGCCTGGATGAAAATATGCGGCCATTCTACACGCTCTGGACAACAAACCGGTAAGCCGGGAATAAGAAATAGAAGAAGAAAATAAGGGAAAGAAACCATGAGCCTAATATACGTACAGCTGGTTATTTGTGCGTGTAGAAGTACTGGGTGCATTGATCTCCCTTTTTATCAGTGTTCTTTTGATCTACAAGCGAGATACAGTTGATGCTGGTTCTGCTGGTATTGCATTGACCTTTGCCACAAGTTTATTGGAGTATGTTTATTGGTTGATGCGACAATCTACGACTGTCGATATGCACTTTGAGGCAGTCGAGAGAATCAATGAGTATCTGGACATGCCCCAAGAACCACCAGGTGTGGTTGAAGGATCTCGGCCTCCGGCAGCTGTAAGTAAACAACTATTATTATACAAAAACAGAGAACACAAACGCTAATCGGTTGTTGTATTGTGTAGTGGCCTGCTACTGCTGCTATTAATGTGAGAGACTTGATGGTGAGTTATGGAGGCGAAGAAGACCCAATCTTGCGCCATGTCTCGTTCAACATCCTTTCGGGTGAGAAAGTTGCCTTGGTTGGAAGAGCTGGAGCAGAAAAGAATGTGTTGGTTTCTTGTATATTTCGATTTGTGGACCCACTACGAGGATCTATCAAAATCGACGGCGTCAATATTGCGTGGATTGGTGTAAAGGATCTACGATCTCGGATCACTTTTATTGCAAAGGACGGGTGGCTCTTGAGCGGAACAGTTAGTATCTTTGCTTTTCTTTTTATATGTATTTAAAATGTTGGATAGTAAAGATATTGAGTAACCCTTTCTTTTTTTTTTATAAAAAAAACAAGGTTCGTAGCAATCTTGATCCTTTTGGGGAATATGATGACTATGAACTCTGGCAAGCCCTATACCGTGTCCACCTCGCTGTTTCGCCTATATCTGAAGAGGACGTACAGAACTATGTACACTCGGCTACAACATCTACTATATATGATCTTGATATGGATCTGGGTAAAGATGGAATGGCTCTGAGCGTAGGAAACAGGCAATTGTTATGCGTTGCGCGAGCTTTGTTGCGTGATTGCACAAGATTAGTCGTCCTTGAGGAGGCACAGTTGACGTTGGAGACGCAAGAGAAAATGCAACGTGTGATTGAAGAAGAGTTTGAAGATTCGGTAATTACAAAAAAAAGATATTAAGATATACTATAGTGTGCACCTAAATCAAATTAATCGTCGGATTTTTTTTAAAAAAAAAAACACATAGACACTATTAGTGATTCCTTATTCGCTTCAAAGTGTGTTACGCTATGATAGGGTATGTTTGATTTCAATTAATGTATATAATTCTATTAGATGGGGTTTTTTCCCTTTTGCATATTAATTATTTGGTATTAATAATGTACGCGATTGATTTTATGTTTAGGCCATGGTGTTTGACCAGGGAGATCTTGTTGAATACGATAACCCAGCTGATTTATTAAAGAGAGAAGATGGATTGCTTCATTCTCTCTTTGAGCGTGCAGGCATACTAGAGGCTCACATCACAGAATAAAACTAAGTAACTAACTAAATAACTGCAGTTTCCATCACTATATATTCTTTTATATTATATTATTAGCACTTATGTATCACTACCAAATTTTGTCAGATAATAAAACAAATAAATAAATAAATAAAAAGGTTCAATGATTTCGTATTGCGTCGGCGTGGAAGGACAGAATGTGGGAATGGTTTTGGCCAATCTACATTTTGGTTTGGTTTGGTTTGGTTTGTTTGTTTGTTTTTATTACAACTCGTTTCTTATAAAAGCTCTAACGTCAAAATCCTTTTGGCAGAGTGTCATAATCTCGGGTTATTCGATAGACTATTCGTTGGAGCAAGTTTGTCTAATGAGGGCAGATTTACTGGCGCTTGGAAGCCTCGAGCTTGGCGTAGTAAGCATCGCGAACCTGGACATTAGGGACGTGGTAAAGGTTCCACCAGGCAGCACCACCAACGGCACCGAGAACGAGGGAGATGCTAATATCCTTGATGATCTGCTTGCGGTACTTGCCGGTGATAGGAGCAATCATTCTGTACTTGTAGTTTTGGGAGTGGGGAGAGTTGAAAGCGAAGTAAACAAAAAATTGAGAGCGGGTATTAGAAAACTTGATTACCCAGGTGCGAAGGGTAAGGTTTAGGTTGACGTAACAAAAAGTAAAGTAACATTTGGTACCCCGATGAATTATTTTATTTTATTTTATTTTAAGCTGGATAGATCTCCAGTCATTTTCTCCCTCCTCTCTACCTATCTGTCTGTCTGTCTGTTTATCTCTGGCTTCCTTTTGTATATATCTATATACATATATTGGATAAATTCATGCTAGGATTTCTTCAGCTCGAAATGTAAAGAAAAGATGACAGGAAAATTACAGATTTAATGGTTGATTTGGGCTTAAAATTTCTAGTTTGAGATTTTTGATATGTTTTCACTCTCAAAATATAACCCACAAAAATAGCACAATAGACATCCAATAATACCAAATATCGGTCAAAAAGAGTGGTCTTCAGTATTGAAAAAATATATATTCATAAATGATCAAAAACTGTCAAAAGTTTATATAATATACTTTAGTTTCTCCTTATCCTTCTCTTTTGTAACAACCTTAGAGATACAAGATCGGTTGTATTGAAAAGACAAGTGAAAATCATTAAGAAAAGAATCTTGCCCGTATTATATGTTTTATATATATAATTATTTATGGGTATACCCTATAGAAAAAAAAATAGGCGATTTTAGTGAATTGTTGCAAGTTTTCCGGGGTTTAAAGCGTCTTGTAGTTGAGTTTTAATTGAGCACCAGTTTCTCTCTCGCTCTCTTTTATATTCTACTTTTTTTTTACCCCACCATGTTTTTTGCAGTCAAAGCAAAACATCTTTTTCTTAGCTTTTTCAACCCATTACAAAACTAAATACCAAGTTATTCAAATCTAATGGCTTACCAGCGGTAGCTTGGGTGGGTCCTAAGCGGTAACCAGGACGGAATTTTATCATCTTCTTTGAATTCTGGTCAGTCTTTGTCTCAAACGACGACCCTCCTGGAGATCTTCTTCTGCTTGTCTTCTGATACGTCCAATCCGAATGACGCGGGTGAACCTTACAGGTATAGTCTCATCATATCTCAGATTGTTAAGTATATGTCGGAAGTTCAGGACAGCAGCAAGATCCCGATTCCACAAACGATGCATAACCTCTGACCCGTCCATGTTCTCCAAACAATTTAGATTGGTACATCTAAAAAAGGACTTGTTTTTATTTTTTCACAAGGTCTAGAATTATTAAATGTCTTTAAAAAGAACACACTTAATAACTATGAAGACTAGTATTAATAAAATAGGAATCAGCAAAGTTGACAAAAGAAAGTAGCTTGAGAAGAATTGACAGAAAAATATCTACATCATGTACAGTTTGGTTGTCAAGATTGCTCGCATGCTCATTAGAAATCTCGGTAGATTTAGAGAATCGCAGGGAATCTGTCTTCTTGTTTTTCAAAAGTAGGAATCAAACATGACAATGTTAACACAAAGTAGGTTTATACTCTTTGATAAAAAGAATCAATTAAGCAATATACATACCTTCATCAATATCATAGTACTTAGAGAATAGCCTTTTTTTATATAAAAAATGTAAAAAGTATTACATAAAAATAGATATATGTATATCATTTAGTAACTTTATAGCTTAAACTGTTACTAAATATCATAAAAAATAGTACTTCTTCTTTCCATACTTTATATTTAACTTGTATTATTTTGATCAATAAAAACTATAAAATTCAAATATAAAACCGTGTATTTGTTGAACCAATTATAAGAATAGAGATATCTAAAAAAAGGTATAGATTTGTCATATTTAGAATATTTGATTGGATTATATGTGAAAATGATCTGAAATCTAACAAATTGTACTATCCAAATGTGTTCTAAAAAGAGAAATAGATACCTAAAAATGGTATAATTTTGCTACTTTAGACGATTTTATTGGATTAGATAAAAAAGTAATTTTAACTCCAATAAATAGTATTCGCTGTAAATACTTTTAATTTACTAAAAACCAATATTCTATTGGCAGAAAGTACAACTCCGCGACCGTAGGAATTATACGGTCCCGTATATCTTATACGAATCCATATAATTCCTACGGTTGCGGAGTTGCAATTCCTGCCATTTACTACAATTATAGCTTATTCAAGCGAGTTTTCCGTTGATAGATCGTTATCTTTACATTAGAATTAAATAACGCAAATTTGGGGTTTCCTTTCTAAATTTTCTCACACTAATAAAAGTCAAGAAGAAGGAAAGAAAGTCTAAGGAAACTATGCAGAAAATAGTGGTGTTTATTCTTAGGTTGAAACCTGTGAGCGGCTTCTCCCACAAATTTGATCTAAACAATAATCTGTAATAGACGATATCCCGAGATATGTGGCGTATCTAGTATACCGTGTTCTCCAATTAGATGCATATATAAGTCAAAATATGAGCTTTTTTATTTTATTTTATTTTAAAAAAAATCATTCAGTTTGGCACATTTTGCCGTTGGTATATCTTTGTGAGTGGATTACCAATACTTATTCTTTATTTTATTTCGAAAAACACTCGCCGCATTTATGGCCATGATATGTAGGTTATGTCTTGGTGATCTTGAGATCTACTAATGCCATGGAATCATACCGAGTGTTGACATGACTCTAGAGTCCATGATAGTTTGAAAGAAACTGGAGATGTGTGTATGTGGCTTTGACCAGCTTCGGCGGACTCTCTTTGGAAGCAACGGCTGTACAAAGAAATAAAGAAATATAGGAGGTATGTTTCAACCTTCTGTTTCGTTGTGTCAAGATGCATAATACACTTTCCGGCACATGGGGCTATGAATACCAGAAAGGAAAGGGATTGATTTTGCTTTGCTTTATTAGGGATCGACTCTTTTAAAAAAAGTACACTTTTACTCTCGATAAAATCTCCAGGCTAATCATGCACCACGGACGATAAATTCATATTTTAAGAATAATACGCCAAAGTCTCTCAACCACGCTGCTCTACGCTATCATTATTAGTGTCATACATAGGAGCCCAATTCATTGTGGTCTTGAGAAGAAGAAGGCTAAAATAATGACCAGTTCTCTTTTCATGCTCTTCTTCTTTGAACCATGTCATGGTGTTAAACGTTGATATGAAGGACAAGTTAATTAAGAAAAACAAAGAAAGACGACCTTTTCACAAAGTCCAATGCCGCATAATGTGCCATTTGGGTATAAAAGTTAAGAAACATTTAACTATCAATTTGAGATACATATTTATATATTAGACACACTTAGGGGGTGGTTAGTTATTTTATATGATGCAGATATCAGTGTTGATTTGATCATCAAGGTGGGTGGCAATAAACTTGCGGCTATGGCCACTTGTCAAATTGGGCATATGAGCAATGTGAAAGCCAGCAGTCTGAAGAGTGTTATAATTCACAAATTCAAGGACCCAGTCCCTGTGGATTCAGGGTAGTCACTCTTGTCAACAATATGGTTCTATGTTTGTAGAGCTGATAGGTCAATTGTCTATTTTCGAGTATACAAGGAGATATGCGTGGTAAGAAATCACAAACACAATACCTAAAATAAATAAGAAAGAAACAAAAGCTTAATGTTTACATTTCAAGATAACCTTGTTGAATTCCTTTTCTTCTTTTTGTACCACAATTCGTTGTGTGATTAAGGCTTTTGATTTGTTCTTGTAGAGTGGGGGATGTGTAATTTATTTTAATTTTTGAAACTCGCAGGGTGGATATTTCGTATTGTTATTTTTCGGAAAAGAGTGTATAGTAGGCATTCTATGCAGAGTATCTTTTGTTTAAAAAAATAAATAAATAAAATAAAATAAACTCTTGGCCAGATGATTTCATTTGAAATTCGGATTTATACAACTTGAATGGATAAAAATAAAGATAAAAGAAGTATAGAGGAAGGATGGTTGGGTTACTATAGCCAATGGGTCGGGATACTACTAACAGATCTACAATTGTCAAATTAACTGCTCTATAGAATGTCGACATTCTTATTCACCCATTGATTTTTTTTTGTATTTTATCCGAGGGTGGTAAAGAGGAGAAAGAGTAGGAGAAGTAGGAGGAGGAGTAGGAGGAAGAGGAATAAGATGAGAAGAAGAGGGGTAGGTCGGTTATTAGATTCCTAACGACGCATACATTTAGCGCAGGGTCTTGACTTGATGTGTTTTAGTGAAAATAGAGTATACTGACAAGATCATCTGACATCGCTTTTTATTTTATTTTATTTTAGTCAGTCGGTCAGTCGGTCGAGCTTAACCAAGGCAAGACAAAATAAAATATGAAATGGTTCTATTGACTATACTAACTTTTAAAGAAGAACTACTTGAATTAGCAAGTTAAGCTGCTTATAAATACTTTTACGTGTATTTCTACGACATTCATAAAGACCATTTTGGCCGGACCCATAAGACCAGAAAAAATAAATAAATTTCACAATTGTGGCACACCAAAGAAAGAATTAAAAAAAAAAAAAGTTAGGACGAATCAGTCTTGAAAACTGAGAGAGAAGATCTTTAATGATTTTACCTTTTGCAGCGATTTTCACTAGCGCTCCTTGAAGCCGGCCAATGAATTCTAAAAGACCTTGTTCTACAAGGGCACCTACGAAAACCCAATACGGTTTAACGCATGCCCTCTAATTTTATTTTATTTTATTTTATTTTATGGCTGCACCCTTTCTTCCCGCCCCTTTTTGTTCATTCCTCTCTTTCTCTTCTACTCTTCTATTCTTTCTTTATTGTCTTTATCTATTTTACAGATCAGTCAGTACTCCATTGAATATCTCTTATTTATTATTATTTCTACTAAAATATATTCTTATATATAAAATAAAGAGGTGGTCCAGCTTTGGTGAAAACAACAATAGCCAAAGTTTTGCAAGGAAAGAAACAAAAATCTATATATTTCCTTGTCTACAGATTTCAAAGCCTTTTTTTCTTCTTCTTTTTCTTTTATATATACATTATATATTTATTTGGTATTTGATATTTGATATTTGATATTTTTATTATTCACCAATTCATTTTAAACCAATAGCCTTTCCTTTTTACTTTATCTTTTTTATTCAAAAAAAACAAAAAACAAAACAAATAGCAACAACAACCTTTGCCTACACTTGTGCTGTCTCTATCGATCCAATGACTTCCAATGTGTACCCATTAGCCTCTTACAGAACCTCCTTGTACTCCAGAATGATCTTCCGGGTCGCTCTATTCATGATTGTATTGCAGTTACATGTCGCGCTGGCGCAAACCTCTCTGCCTTTACCTTCGATCACGTCAAGTCCAGACCTAGACTGTACAAATAGTACAAATCAGGATTACTCGAGTTGTTCATCATCATTATCATCATCATCATCATTAGCAACAACAACAACAACAACAGAGTCGGCAGAAGAATCAGAATCATCGTCAATATTATCCACAACATCGACCACTGCCACCAGTAACAGCCATTTGCCGACTTCTCTATCCGTTTCCGCTTCCTCCGCTCCGTCCAATACACCAAGATTAACACCCACACCTTTTGCACCTCAGCCTAGCGTGAATACAACTGGATTTGATTATGGAAATACTGGACCATCCAAGTCTGAAGAGAGCTGGCTCAAGAAGAACAACCGATTTATATTTGTAATTGTCCTGGGTGTGGTTGTGGGCGGTTTGATTATCTGGTACATAGTAAGAAGTGTCCAGGGTATGCGGAGACGATTGGAGCAGGAGAACCATGCACAGATGCTGATGCTCCAGCAAGCCCAGGCTGGACGAAACGACCACCATCACCGTGTGATTCCCGAAGAAAGTTTCAATGGTTACAAAATGGAATTATCTTCATCTACAATCCCTAGCTCGCCAGCATCACCTCTCGCTCCGGTACACCATGCTGTCCCATCCCATCACTAAAGAATAAGAAAACGATAAATGAAAAGAAAAGCCTTTATAATATACACACTACACACACTACACACACCCGCTATACAAACTATACACACTATACACACAATCATATATAATCGTATCCTACAACAGATGTACACCCTACTATTTCATCTTACATAACTTTCAAAAATATATACATATACATATACATATACATATATATATATATTCATACACATTCATACATACTCGTATATCCATATCCATATCCATATCCATATCTATATGTATGTGTGCCTGTGTGCCTGTGTGCTTGTGTGCTTGTGCTTGTGCTTGTGCTTGTGCTTGTGCTTGTGCTCGTGCATATATATATATATATTACTGTTATCCAAATATTCGATTCACAAAGCATACAAGTCAGAGAACAATATATATATATATATATATATAAAAGTTTGATTTGCCATTGATTTTTTTTGGTAATCAAATTAACTAAAAAACTAAAAAAGTATAAAACCCCAACTGGGTTACCAGCTTCCTATTGTGGGATGGGGCTTTGCTCTCCTACACATTACTACATTTCTCAATTAGCAACCTTGCAATACCTCTTTTATATTGTACTTGGACGTACCAAGATACGCGGGCACTATTTTGTGAAACAGGAGTTTGACCATTGTGGTTTTGGTTCAAATTATCGATATATTGCCAAATACTGTGCTTCCACTCTCAATTTACCGGATCTTTGAAAAAAATAAACACCGCTCACTCTTTTGAGCCGATGCCGTTAAAAGTGAACCAGACTCTCTGGTAGTCTAGTCACAAATCATAACCTATATTCCTTTTTTCTTTTAAATAAAAATAAAAAAAATGCTTTTACTTGAATATACATTTATTATTCACTATCTTGAAAGACACAACTTTTTTTTCTCTTAGATAAAATGAGCAGTATAGATCTGTCTTCCAGAGATTTCATAAAGACAAAAATTGATATTTTGTAATTTTTTGTTTCTTAAAAAAAATATCTAATAGTTTATGAGACTAGTTTCTGTGGCTGATAGAAAGAATCTGGTGCACTTTTAACGATACCCAACTTTTTGGTGATAGGAAAATGACAAACAGCCTTGGCCCTCAACAAACCTCATCTGAAGAAGGCAGAAACCAAAGCCTACATTGTCATTAGAAAAATTTACAGCAAATAATTGACATGAACTTATCAAAAGAGTGTTTAAATACCTTTTAGTGATAAATGGTGACTTTAGTTTATCTCGATATAGTTTGATAACAGCTAGTAACTTCCAGCAAGCTCCCCCCAACTGCACAGTCCGGCTCTTTAGAACATAAAAGACGCGCCTTCTAGGTCAACAGAACCCCCCCCCCCCCATTCATAAAGTATTCAGGTCTTCCGATCCAAGTTATTGATTTATAGATCCCTTTCTACCTCGAACGTTGGCGTTTAGAATATGTCAAACGTCCTCGATTAGGTTCAGAGCCGGACTTTGATATTACCAGTAGTCAAAGCCTTTTGATTTCTTGACGGCCTTTTATATATATATCATATCGTGTAGGACTACCAGTATGACAGCCAGCATAATCTTCTTCATTTATTTACTTTTAATATCCTGAATTGAGATTTTTTGATAACCAGTTGATGTATGCGTCTTGGTCTACAGATAATGACACCATCAGTTGCCAAATTCTTTGTTGATATGCAAAACTTTCAAAAAGATTATGTCTCACACTCAAACAAAGCCTTGTAACATTTGTAACACTGCGCTTCTTTGGTATCCCAAGTCTGGGCTTTGGCTTTGCGGTACCGATTTTCTCCAAAATCTTGATAGTAGTGTTGATTGTCATGCAAAAAATCTCCATCTGACTTGCAATCGAAGTTAGCAGGTGTTATTGGCTTTATAGAGCTAAATAACACCATCACACTCAAACTCAAACTCAAACTCTGATAATTTTTCCTTATGTAAATTATTACAGCCAGGTGTTACAGGTATTATCATTTTTTTATTGATATGCCATTGTGAAAAAAAAAACCTCAAGAATGAAACGCCTACATGAAACATGAGACGCCTAGAATTGATATAATCAGATAGCCAACTATCAATTGACAGATATATTTTACTTATATCACACACAGTAAGCTTATACTACATAAGACCATCAATGAAAAAAAAATTATGGCGTTGCAGATGACAGTTGACCTGGAGTACAGACATGCTTATTCCTTATTGGGTCTACGTCAATGGCAGCCGTGCCGTTGGATGTGAACAATGAAACTTACAGGTGCTGTCAGAAAGGTTACGGTATCGTTTTAGACGTGCTTTTTCAACGTGCGTTTTCACTCTTGAGGGGAAGCTGTGCTCTTAAACCACTTGGATTATCTTCTTTCAAAACCGGGACGGTGTAGCTTTATTTGGGTTTCCACTCATAGACCAAGTTAGACGCGGTCGATTGACAGACGCAAAAAACACTTTCTTCAAGAGGAACTAAAGACAGTGAGAATGTTTGTTGAAAATATACCATTTCATCCAGCACTCAATCAATATATCCTCTAAATGCTTGAATAACGAACTTTTGCAACCATCTCGAATATTTGGTCATTTTTTTTTGGTCAACTTAACTTTACACTAGTACCCAAAATTATTCAAAATAATGGGAGCACAGTAGTTCTAGAACCTTACCATTAAAACATAAAAAAAAACGAATGGCTGCCGGGAAAACATTTTAAATTATTTATATATAAACGTATATATATATTTGGAACATAGCCGATAAAAAGCCAAGATATATATATATATATAAAGGTTAGGCTTATTCGCCTATTTTTATTTTGAACTAAAATAAATAAATATACAGTAGGTCAGCAATCTTACGGGGACGATGTTTCCTGGCGGGGTACGACGTTTCTATCTAACCGGACTAATTCACCGCGACTACCAGTCCGGGGCCAGGTGTCTTTCTCTAATCCTTCAGGGCAAAATGGCGTGTCCTAAAAAAACACAATATATTCATTGTATGCATCAGCCTTACTACTTTGTCGCCATACTTTGTGCCCATTAATCTCTCTCCAGTCACCTAACTCTCATCACCTTAAGACCCACAGTCCAACTTTGGGTAATTTAATAATGAAATGCTGTCTCACACGGAAAACAAATCCTGTATATTCATTGTATAGCCGTTTGCACCCTAAACTTAGACTTGGTTATAAAAGATACACTATACCAATAACCTGTTATGCAAAAAATTATAAAGAGCTGCTGTCATCAAAGACTTTGTGATGCAATATTGTTTGATATTTTACTATTTATTGGGATATTTACGCGCACCTGTCCTTCTCTTTCTTTCACCTATTGTATATATGTTACAAGAGTTTAACATCAACTGGCAAGTAATCCTAGCCTACCATTTTATTTTCATTTTTTTAAAGCACAAAGGAAGACCTAGATACGAATATTCTGTATCCTGACTTGCAGTAATTATTATAATAAGAATGGATCTTTAGGGACCAGATAGTTATTTCATGTTGGCAAAAAATGGCACTATTTATGGTCTGGTAGAATCAACATGTCATCTACCACCAGAAAACTTCGTCACCCTAAGATTAGCGAAGAAACAAATCGGTTTGGCTTCTTGTACTAAAAAGTGGAATAAAGGTATTGTTACTAACGTAGCCCCAAAGAGAGAAGGGTTTCATGTATATTTGTATTTTAAACAGCCCTTTGGCATTAACAGTATTTCTTCTAGCATTAATTATAGCTATTTTGTACGACAGTTGAAACATTATTGGATTAAAATACATAGGTCAGCTAACTATTTATGAGTATGCTTGTAAAAATTTACACTAGTTTTTGTTTATTACTCTTAAATAACTTCTTTACAATTTTACGCAGATCAAACAAGAAGTTTTTTCTTTGAACGAGCACTCGATCCGCCATAATGAAACTGCTCAAATTTTAGCTGGTCTTATTAAACCTCTCACTCATGCTTGTCACTTATTGTTTGATAAATTGGCCATTTGTGCGCCGAGTTTAAGAGTAAAGAGATAATTGATTAAATCTTATTACTTACAAATGGACGAGCTGTTTGACCTTTCAATTCACGCCGACCTCAATTTTACAAAAGTTATTCACACTCATGTGTAAGTTGCTCATTTAATGTCACCAGTCAAAGGCGTTTGTTTCTCGATCGTATGTAATTTATAAGTTGTATGATGTAGATGAGCAAGTATTGAGCTGATAATTATATTTACCATTGTCTGTCAATTACATCATTGCACTCAATAAACATATTATGGAAGATTGGGATAATTTTAAGAAAAGCAGTGTTCCTTTCTAACTGCTGTTGTTGCATAGGCTTTCTTGGGATCTCAATCAAATTATGAAAGCTGTGATTATTGAAATTAAAAAAGAAAGGTTAGCTTTTTAGAGCATCCCCACCGGATCAATTTTTTTATATCTTTAACAAAAAGACAAAGGTTATCTGACTGTTGGGGATGCTCTTATATACCATGTATATCTAAGTATTGATCTATCAATTTAGATTGGTATTATATACGTATATACATGGCCATGTATTTTTTTTTTAGTAAGTACTAGCTCATCGTATATCTACTTTCAGAAAGCAGTCTAAATTACCGCAATATAAAAAAGTGGCGTTTCAAACCCCTATTGTAACTCTATAAGTTTCACAAGGGCAATATCTTTATGCCAATAAAGCATATCAGCCTTTAGCCTATTAGTTTTACTTCGGGAATAAGATTTGTGGAGTCTCTAGATTCGTTTACTAGAGAATATGGGCTAGGCTATTGGAAGGAAGGAAGAATAAAGCCAAAAGACGACACATAATCCTTTCTAATTTTAATCATAAAAGTCAAAATTTCAGAAACCATAGCCTACATGTATATATCTATATGTTAAAGAAGGATAAATAAGAGGCTAGAATTTGGTTGTGTCACATTTCTTGTCAGTAACTTTGGCCTTTTTTTTAAAAAAAAAAAAAATCTCAAAACTTGAAACAATGTCTTTTAATTCGTGTCTTGTGGATTTACCTACTTTGAGTTTATCCACAACGGCTATTATTTTTCTCCCTACTTTTGAAGAGTTTCTGCACTAGGTGGGCTCTTCCAAATGTGCTCAATAATAGGATTAAGATCTAGGCTCTGGAAAAGCCAAAGATCTTCCAGAGATACCTTTCACTCATCTTCTTGGTAATTATAACCTTTTTTTTTATTATTATTTACTAGCTTTTGTGAACAAAAAAAAATTCAAGTGTTTCCCGTTGGGATTTATAGAGTCATTTGAAGTTTATTTGGTTAAGAAATCAGAGTTGACTTATAGATAAAAGAAATGCTTTGGTTAGACTTCTTTTAAAAAATAAATAAAGAAATAAAAACCACAAAATTTTGTGACCGACCGGCCATCTAATACATTTTATTTTTTGACTGCATCTTGAGAGATTCAAAGAATGTTAAAATGTCAGAGAACACAGGCCCAAATTTACAAAAAAAAAATAAAAATAAAAATAAAAAATAAAAATAAAATGAGCTTTTAACCAACTGGTCGGAATCTCTCTAGTGACGTCACCTTTTATTTGTTGCCCTTCTGAACAGGATCCTCGTTGAGGACGGTCTCCAACCACTTACACTAACTATACAATGAGTTTGCTCACTAGCGTCTCTGGTTTCGCAGCCTTTGGTGTGCTTGTACGTACATACGCTCTTGGACTCCAGAAGCGTCCTCTTTTTGCCAGTAAGTTAATAATTCAGAATTTAGATCACTTTTTTTTAATAGAAAAAAAAACAATATATGAAATAAAATAAAATAAAAAGACATGGTATCTGAATCAATTGACGTCTAGATCCCAGCGGCCACGCCATTGCTGCCGGAGCCTTTGGAGCCTTTGGCTACTTTGCTTATAACCTCCAGGAGAAGCAGCTCGCAATCATGGCCGGAAAGAAAGAGCTTTTGCTTAAAAACAGAGCACGCGCAGAAGAGATCGCACAGCAGCAGCAAGCCGCCCTCTAGACGAAACAATCAAACTTGGACGAATTACCGCGGATTATCTCTCCTTCTTTTATATATATATATAAAAGAGGAAAAAAAAATAAACGATAAAAGAAGCAAAAAAAAACAAAACAAAAAAATAAGAATCGACCACTATGGATAATATTTACGACAGTAACTTTTATTTTATACACATTTACATGTTTGGAAAAATGGATACAGTTTATTTAATAATTTATTCTATGAGACTTTAGATGTAAGTAAGTAAGCGAGTGAGTAAATGAGTGAGTGAGTGAGAAAGATTGATTGATTGAATGAGACTGAGTCAGTCGATAAGGTGGGTTGGTGAAGAATGTGCAATTGGTGAAAGATGGTTTGGAAAGATTTTGTGGACTACAAAAGAAGAAGGAAAGGGATATCTAGTGTGGTTTGTTTTTGCTTTTTTTTACATGTCTTCATCATCTTCGAGTTCCTTTCTTTTACGCTCAATGTCCTCGACACGGAGACGTTCTACTTCTTTACGTAAAACAGAAGTGAGTTTGAGAATATTTTTCTCGTATCGTGCAGACACAGGAATGACAGGAATATCCTTAGCTTCTGCCTGAAGACGAGTAAGATTCTCCCGAGCAGTCGTTACTCTATCAGCCTTGTTGCCGATGATGAGTGACTGACGCTTGGTTAAACCTGGTCTGTATGCTTCCAATTCACTCTGAAGAACTTTGAGATCTTCCCAAGGAGTCTCTCCGCTCAGATCAATGACATATACCAGGATCTTGGCACGCTCTACGTGACGCAAGAAGGCATGTCCCAGACCGACGTTACGGTGAGCACCCTGGATAAGTCCGGGGATATCTGCAACTGTCAATTGATAATCATCCACATAATCCACAGTACCAACAAATGGGTGAAGGGTCGTAAAGGCATATGATGCCTGTTTTGGGTGTGCATTCGAAATAGCACCCAAAAGTGTCGACTTGCCTGCATTTGGCAAACCCACAAGACCAATGTCGGCAATTGTCTTTAGCTCCAACTCAAATTCACGGATTTCGCCTTTACGCCCGCGAGTTGCAAACTTTGGAGACCGATTGTCAGTCGTGAGGAAGTAAGGATTACCGTATCCGCCACTACCACCAGTACACAGAACAAGTTCCTGATCGGGCTCATTGAGATCCACATCAATAACTGTCTGTTGCTCGGTCCGTGCTCTCCAACGCAAGTATTTGTCTTCTTCATCCATAACACGTTCAGCCTGTCTGAAAAAATTCTTTTTGCCTTCAATCACAGTCTGGTTGGGTTCTGTGCGCGGGAAGTAGACCCAACGGTTCTCGCGTGCTTGTTGCGCAAGAGCCTCTTCGTCCTCTGGTTCGTCTTCAGGATCAACTTCTTTTTTGTCTCTAAACACCTGTCGAACTACAGTGCCAACCGGCACACGAATCACCAGATTCTCACCCATCATACCATGGCGTCCTCCACCCAAACCATTCTGACCACGTTTAGCTGATCCTCCACTGCCCATATATCGAAGTGTCGTTTCGTCTGAAGATGATTTTATGATCACATTCCCACCTCGTCCGCCATTTCCGCCGTTAGGAGGTCCTTTGGCAAGATATTTCTCACGATGAAATGAGACACAACCATCGCCACCATCACCACCTCGTGCAGTAAATCGAACAAAGTCAATGAATTGTCGGCCCTAAAGAAAAATAATAATAATAATTATGACATAAGAATATAATTTTATAAATACATGATAGAGACTAGGAGAGTTGGGAGTCAAGGAAAGAAACAATGCGTTTTTTCTGACTTGCCTTGCCACGCAGTTTGTAATTGACAGAAGAAGGCGATCGTTTTTGTGGTTGGTCTTGATCGAGGCATCGTGTGGTCGTGTGGAATGTTGCTCGGCAGGACCACAGCAATCGCACCTCAGAGCTAGCCAAGGGTCTCTGAATAAGTTTTGACAAGAACATTACTTGATGTTTTAATATTCCAGAAAACTAGGGTACTTTCTTTATTTTTTCTTTTATTATCATCAAGTCAAACCAACGTCACGTATGAAATTTAGTGTAAATGGGATCTCTACTTCTTCTATTTCATTTTCTTTGGTGATAGTGTTTATATTGTAGTAGAAACATTAGTAGTAATAGTAATAGTATTATTGTTATTGTTATTATTATTATTAGTGGTAGTGGTAATAGTAGTAGTAGTAGTAGTGGTAATAGTAGCTATAAAAGAGATGCGATATATATTAAAGAATAAAAGGAAATAAAAAGAAAACAAAGGGTAAATATGAAAGGATAAAGAGCTGTATGTGTGTATAAGAGATAAAAGAAAAGAAGAAGCAAAGAAAAATTAGGAAGGTAGGAGAGGAAAGGAGAGGATATAGAAGGGAAGGAACGAGAATTAAATAGTATATCCAGGTGGAGCTTGCATGGAAGAAGACGCTGATTGTTGTGTGTAAGTAAGATGACTAGGATTAACAGCTTCTTCGGGCCCTCCAAATAGCATTGTGTCTCGCATATGCCCACTGTAAGCAGGTGGTGGTGGTAGAGTATCTTGTTTTGGTGCCAGGGCGGCTTCTCTAATATTGGCTACAAAATAAAAATATATAAATATAAATAAAGAGGGCCAGGAAAACTATAGGTGGTTAGATTGTACAAATTGGTGTACAAAATTGCTTTGTTGAATGTTAATTATTACCAGCTGCAAATAAGAAATCTGTAATAGATACAAATGTATTAATTAAAAGTGTCAAACGATATGTATGTATGTATATATGTATGTATGTATGTATGTATGTATGTATGCGAGAGAATAATCTAAATGCATAATCTTTATCTTTTTACGGTTAAGTTGTAGACTTGCCTTGTTGTCCAAAATTGACAGAAACTTGACACGGTCCATTAGATCCAATAGAAGGATAACAAGGAAACTTGAATCCAATCGATGCTTTGCCAAGGTTCTTAAAGAATATGATTTGATTTGAATGAATAGAATACATTTTATTTAGCTGTTGTTGTATGTCAAGTTCTAAATGATTTTTTTTAGTAAGCCGGCAAAATTTACCTTTCCATTGCGAGTAAAGAATACAGTACTTGTTTGGGTAAGAAACCCAACACCAATGACATCTCCCTGTTTGAAGGGTGGTCCATAAGGTCTGCCGATCAAGGGATCACTTGTGTGTATTGCCCCTGTGTGTGAATGATAAGCAACTGAATGACGATGGAACCCTACAATGTTTAAAGAAATTAATAATGAAATAATCATTGTGATGAAATGGTGGTGCGTGGTGGTGTAAAGCAGTGTGTAGGTTTCATCATATTTTGTGATGCATTTAATATTAATAATTTTTTTTTTACCAGGAAGTGTCCAGACAGGGTATGGCTTGGTTGATAATCCAATCGCAAGTCTATCTTGATCGTCCAGTTGGAGAACCTTGACTTCCCAATAGACAAATTCATTTGCGGGTAGTGGAAGGTTTGTGAGGGTACATCCTTGGCCTTGACAGAATACAATGGTTGTCTTGTCCATCACAGCGGCATTGGATTCCTCTTCCGATTCTTCCATATGTTCATTCTCCACAAATGCCCATGCTCCCACTCCACGTTCGAGTACAAGAGGGTTTCTTGGGACATCTGTCCAATCTGTTGAACGAGGAGGATGTTTGGCCTGCCATGCTGTGTGATTTTTTTAAATATATATATAATATTTATAAGCAAGATAAATACACAGATAAAGTATATATCACATTGATAGTTTGTACACTATTGGTGTATTTAAGCGACAAAAGGATGCTCATTTACCAAGCACACGTTGAATCTGATCCCTTGTATCGGCATCCAATGGACCTGACGATACATCAGCCAGCGGCTGCCACTCATCTGGAGACCGACGCGGATCGTCTTCATTGTTCATGTTTGCTCTTCGAAAGAGACGAATTCCAAGACAGCACACGATAGATGCCAATACGACAACAATGACAACAATGACAGCGTAGAATCCTTCAAAACCCGACATTGTCTTTACCCTTTCCCCTTTAATCTATGGCTAATGTACACAGTTACTGTCTCCATCTAAATGGGAAACCTTTCTCTACTCTTCATTTTTTTTATCCAAATTCACTCGCCGCCTCTCCCTTCATTGACTCTTTTATTATTTTTTAGGACCGTTTTTATTTAATTATTTTTATTTTTATTATATGGTGAATTTTATCATGTATTCTGTGTGCGTGTGTTTTTTTTGGTCAATACAGTCAAAGGACATAATCAAACTCCTAGCGCAATTAACCCGGAGTACAAGAGTTCTTATTGTCTAACCTATACTACTTTTTGTATATGCATTCAAAAAGATATTTCTTATAAAGAGAATCAATTTTTATATAACATTTTTTTTGTAAAGAAGTTTAATTTGAGAGCAAAACAATAGCTGAGTATAAGAGCATGTTATAGAATTAACCTTTTGATAATTAATGCAAATCATGAAACATGATCTTTCAATTTATTTGAATTTTATCAAAACATTGAGGCAGTGCATTTTATAAAAAAAAAGAATCACACATACACACACTTTTTCTCTCTTTATTTCTATACATACACAAATATTCTAACGTGTTCTTCATTCTAATAGAATGATACGACATGTCTTACAAGAATGATGGGCCAACATGGGACCCGTCAGAGTCCCAGAAATTATATGCATTTAATTTCAAGTCCATTGTCTCATGTCAAAAGTAAATAATAGTAGTAGTAGTAATAATAACTATTAAAAAAAAATAGGGCCTTTGGCTTGTTTGTTGGTGGCCAATGCCTGGAAATGAAGAGCGCTCTCATCTTATTGGGGACGCTTCTTGGGGTATTTTTTTTTTGAAATTTTCATATTCGTACAAGTCACGCATGAAACCTTGAATAGATTCTATACAAAAATATACAACAAGAAGAAATCAGAAAATGTATATATATTTAAATTATGATTGCTATATACATTTTCTCTTCTTCTTCTTGTTTATATATATATATATCTTTCTACTTTTACTTATTTTATTCCGAATCTCTTAATTCATTTTTATATATTATAAATCATGGCACAGAAATTGAAAGTAGCTATCATCGGCTCGGGTAACTGGTAAGCTTCTTTAGATATTATTTAAATCGAATAAAGAGGGAGAGAAAAACTATATTATTAATACACTTTTGTGGTCTGTATTTGTGTAGGGGATCAGCAATCTCAAAAATCATTGGTAACAATGTTAAGCTCCACCCAGATATCTTTCAAGAAGATGTCAACATGTGGGTCTTCCAAGAGCAAGTGGACGGCAAGAATCTAACAGACATTATCAATGAGAAGCATGAAAACGTCAAGTAAGTGTAATGTTTTACATTTTGGTCTGTTGGTCTGTTGGTTGGGACAATAGAATGCATGAATGACTGGGGTCCATTTTTTTTGAAAAAAAAATCTTTGACTCAAAACAACTAACCCCAAACACCCACCTACACACACACACACACACACACACAAATAATTATTAGATATCTTCCTGGCATTCCACTCCCCGAGAATATTCACGCTGTATCAGATGTCAAGGAAACTGCCAGTGGGGCCAACATCCTTGTCTTTGTGCTTCCACACCAGGTAAAAATAAAAATAAGACCATCTGCTTTGAATCACAGCCTAATCTCATGTGTAAATCATTTTGTGTATGTAGTTTGTGTATAAAGTATGTGAGTCTCTCAAGGACGTCATCTCCCCAGATTGCAAGGCGATTTCATTGATCAAGGTAAAACAATAGTAATATGTTTTATAAATATTTTTTTAATATATATATATATATATTGTAATTATCAACTGAATTTAACCATATATATATATATATAAAACAGGGCCTTGATTTCCAAGACAATAACCTTACGTTATTTAGCGAGGAAATCGAAAAGATTCTTGGGATTTCCTGCGCTTGTTTGAGCGGAGCCAACATTGCTAGTGAAGTGGCCGAGGAAAAGTTCGGTGAGACAACCATCGCGGCAAAGACTGAAGAAGATGGCAAAATATTTGAAAAAGTAAGAAAAAAAAAGAATACGAATAAGAAGAGTAAAAGCTTAATCTCAATTAATCATTAATTTTTTTTCTATCCTTACGTCCTTTGTTAGTTGTTTCACACTCCCAACTTTGATGTCAAGATAATCAATGATCATGTTGGTGTGGAGGTGTGTGGGTCCCTCAAAAACGTAATTGCCATTGGTGCCGGTATTTGTGATGGTCTCGAGTAAGTCCCAGACACTTGTGATTTTCAAACAGTAAATGCTGTTTTTGAAAGATAGACTAATATACCATGTGTGCATGTGTGTATGTGTGTGTATAGTTACGGTAACAACACCAAAGCCGCTGTTATCAGACGTGGTTTATTGGAGATGCGCAAATTCGGCAAGACTTTCTTTGGTGGGGTTCGCACAGAAACCTTTTTTGGTAAAGTACAAAGGAATAAAGAGGATAAGGAAGTGTGTGTGTGGGTGTGTGTGAGGAAGTGACATTGACTTGTCTTTGTAAAAATATTTTTAATTATTCATATTCATTATTCCTTGTAGAATCGTGTGGTGTAGCGGATCTGATTACCACATGTGCTGGTGGACGTAACCGTAAGGTAGCCGCTGCATTTATCAATTCGGGCAAGGTGAGTAACAGCCTTTAAGAAAGAAGAAAATAGTAATGAAAGCTACATATACAATTATATATAATTACATTTTGATTCTCATTCTTTAATGTCTTGAATTCTAATATGTATGATATATTTCAAATAGTCCATTGATGAAATTGAAAAGGAGATGTTGAATGGGCAAAAGCTTCAAGGCACTACCACTGCTCTTGAAGTACATAGATTCCTGGAATCAAAGAACATGACAGACGAGTAAGTCCTTTGATTTCTTTATAACTTAAACTTATTTCTCTAATCTTAATTATACAAAATATCAAATAGGTTCCCATTGATGACTGCTATATACAGAATTGTCTATGAGGGAGCTCCTCCTGAACTTCTTGCTGAAAACCTTAGAACTCGTAAATTTTAGACTATTGTATTCTATCTATCTAATTATCTCTTTTCATCCATACATTTTTCTTTCAAATTATAAGTATTATCATTAAATAATAAATTGAAATAAACTACATATATATATATATATATGTATATAAACAAAAATAAACCAACATCACGAAAAAAAAGAGCGATCTCAAGGGTGATCTCAGAGACAATTCTAGAAGATCGCTTTTTGTTTATAACCCTGCTTTGACCCTTTACTGTTATGGAAAGCAGTCTATCTCCACTCTCTTATGCGGATAGAATATTTTATTTTTACAAGAAAACTATTTTATTGGTTGCTATAACAACAAACGAATATTTTTTTTATCATAATCACTGGTCATAAATGGTTTACTATATCATATGGCTTCATAGTAAGCATGCTATTCGGCCGTACTTACAATGTAATTATTGATTTCTTTAGCAGTAAGCTTATAGGGATATATATTGTTTTGAGATAAACCGCCTGTTTAATATTGACTTTGTTAGTAAACTATTCCCGCGGGTTAACTAAGCATGAATTCCAAGTTAGGAACCTGTCTCTCTCTGCCTATCACTTTCCAGTTTTCCGTGTTAGATTTCCGCGTGATAAACACAAAATGTAAATTTCTCTTTCTGAGGTATAAGTAAAAAAACAGATACATAACATGTTTCGAAGCAAGATATTCTTACGAGGACGACATTTCTATCTAACCGGACTAATTCATTGCGATTAGGTGTCTAGGGTCCGGTTTCTTTAATCATAAAGGGCAAAATAGCGTGTCCTAAAAATTTATAATATATTCATTGTACGTATTAGCTTACTACTTTGTCTCCAGGCACCTAACTCTCGTTCTTTTAAGAGTTACAGCTTGTATTTGAGCAACTTAATAATGGAATACTGTCGCATACGAAAAACAAATCTTGTATATTCAATTAGTAGCCCTGGATTTAGATTTGACAATAAAGAAATAATAATTAATCCCATATGCACTATATCAATAGCCAGCCATGCAGAAGATCATAATGAGTTTCTGTCATAAAACTGTGATGCAGTCTTGTTGGATATCTTACTATCTATTATCCTTCTTATGCGTATCATGTCTTTCTCTTTCTTTCATTTACTTACATATCCAAAACGTGACCCAAGGTTTTTCATTAAAAAAAAAGATGGAAGTAAAGCTGTTTACTATTTACTCAAAATGTATTGACTCATGACATGTTGTTCCAGGCAAAGATCCTACCAACAACGTGATAAAAACCTTGTTGGAAGATTCAACGATTTGACTAGGGTACACTTTTTTATGTGACAATTTTTATTTGTAAAATTAGAAAATCATAAGGCTTTATGGGATCTTCATATTTGTAATTTCTAATTGCTTTAAAATGTCTTTTTTTTTATATATCATTTGAAAGCACTTTATGGTGAAATATCTTCTACGCTTCTACAAAAATACTTCTTAAACTAGATAAAGTCTCAATATTTAAGCAGGGCAATAAATGTAAGACTCTTTTTTTTTCAGCCAATGATATTTGTTCCGGAGTTTTCATATACATTGTATAATCTATTGTGTTACATAAATGACTTTAAATTACCATTTATGAAATCAGGGCTTTCAATCCAGAAAATGCCTCTCTTTAAAAATCGTCTTTTATAAAAAAAAGGTGCACCCTATTTTTAAAAATATTTGATTGGATTATGTGCAAAGTAATCTAAAATCCCATAAATAGTATTTGCTGAGAATAATTTTAATTTACTAAAGGCTGACATGCTATTGGCAGAATGTATATTTCCTATGAGTCTGGAGTTATAAGTTCTGCCATTTACAGTAGTTCTATTGGCTGCACATCTCCGCTCGTATTTCTACGAGTCTAGACTTTTAAATGCTGCTATTTCCTACAGAGAAATTGTAATGTTGGAGTGCAGAATAGGCCTTTCGTTTACGGCGCGGTGTGATCGAGGATTCTTTCGAGGGAGAAGGGAGGATACACGCACAAAGATGGAGAGATAGTGAAGATGTAGAAAAAGGTGTACTCAATAGCGGAATAAAAGAAGATAGTGACAAGGGAAACTCTCACTTCGTTACAGACGATTCTAACTGACCAGAGCGACCTATGTCCTCTGCGACAATTACAGACTTTACGAGAAAAAGAGATGATTTTATTGTAACTCGTGTACTAGGATAATATAATAGTTGGACAATGCGTGCCTACTAAAATAGACTCTAGCGCTCCTAATTCCTGGTTTTCCTTATTTCAGTCCTCGCCGGACCAACTGCTGGATCAGTACGGGTCACATAATAAAATAGCTCTTAAAATCGAATCTTTGCAGAATTGTCCCAGATTGAATAGAGGTCAATATTCTGTATGTTTTAATTATGACTGAGCCCTGAATTCCATCATCCATTACATATACAAACACAACATTTTAGACTTCCATCCATGTCTGGTTTTAAAAAGTCTCATGATGAGATTGTTTATTTTTTAAGCTATTTTATTATTTATTGCTTTCCGAAGATTTCAAGCTTCTTTAATTTAAAAGAGATTAGGACCCTCAAATAAAGAAAACACTGGTCGGGGGCTATCTGTCGCAATATTGTCCACATTAACTGGAGCGAAAAGTTTCCAGGGTGCAGAGTTTGGAGACAAAGGACGAGTTGCATGATTATCTTTGCCAATGGGTCCTAATGGGTTTGGAGTGTCTTGATGTTTTTTGTAGTGATGGTTTTGGTAGCAGTGATTGTGATTGTGTTTGTGTTTGTGAATGTGAATGTGATCGTGATTGTTGTGTGAGTGGGTGAATGTGGGAGAGTGAGTTTGTTCATTATAAGAATGATTTTGCAATCTTGATGTACCCGACTCAAGATATGGGCCGTTGAGTAGGCCAAACTGATAAGAGGATGTGACACCGCCAGAGAACAAAGAGTAAGTTGATGGGGTTCTGAGTGATTGCTGTTGCTGTTGCGGTTGCGGTTGCGGTTGCGGTTGCGGTTGCGGTTGCGGTTGAGATCGAGGTTGAGGTTGAGGTTGTTTGATCTTATAATTAAAAAGATCATTGCGTCGCAAGATGTCGAGATCTAAACCAGTAGAAAATGGCGAATACCAATTCTGAACAGCTTGCCGGTAAGAAGGAGGAGAAAGGGGAGGAGATTGAGGATTATTCGATTCATCGTCACTTGTTACAGGTGTCAAATCCATAGCTAGAAGAGGTGTTTGGTGAGTTGAAAGAGAGTTGTAAAAGTTATTTTCGTTATCGTTGTCTTCTTCTTCGACATTGTCATCATCGTCACAGCCACCGTCGTCGTCGTCGTCGCCATCATTTTCATCATTAGGATTGTCGTTATCATTATAATTGTAATTATTGTCAGTAACATCAACGTCGACATCAACGTCACCGTCCACATCAGTAATGAAATTGAAATTGACATTAGCATTAGCATTAACATTAACATTGTCGCTGTCATTAACATTGCTACTATCATTCTTTTGCTTCAGAGGAGTTTCTACAATTCTTTTTTCGGAGATCTTTGTTTCAAGACGATGGGATTTTTTAGGCAAATGTCTTTTGGGCTTTACATTGACCCAGTCGTCCGAATCAGCAGAAGAAAAAGAAGAGGAAGAGGAAGCCGCTTCGTCGTCAGCAATGGTTGATTTTGTCTGGTCGGTTTGGTCGGTTTGGTCGGTTCCTTCTGTTGTGAGTTTTGGGCCTGGTTTGTGGTCAGAATATACTGTTCGTACATGGTTTCGATGGTTCGACTTTTTGGTTGGTTGACTGATTGTGTTTGCTCGTTTGCGACGTGGGTGCGGAAGGTCTTTTGGCTTTTGGTCTACTCTCCGATCAACCACATGATGAATTGGGGCTTCTGTAGGTTGAGGTGCACGGTTGGCTTGTAGCGTGGTTACAAGGACTGTGTCGATCTTTGGAACCTTTTTGGTGAAATACACGATACTGTCATACAGTGTTGCACCAGTGCTCATGCAGGGCTGAATGGCTTTTTTAAGGGTCCGTAAGCATTTTGTAGGGAACTACAGATATTACACCCGCACACATAAATATGTACATATTTGAGTGAGTTATTTTACGTTTGTGTTCGTAGCATATAGTATTATAGTAAAAGTAATTGTAGTGTGTGACTGGTATCATCAGTATTCATGTTTGTTTTTTATGATATTAAACTTTTCTCTCTCTCTCTATCTCTCTATCTACTATCTTGTATATATTTGGTCAATTCAAATCAGGGGTGGTGAATATACAATTGTATTCCCTTTTTTTTCACCTTTCTTACACATTTATATACTCTTATACACACACAAATATGATATAATCTTGAAAAATCCACTCCTTCCAATTTACGCAGTAATGATTTATAATGATAATGATAATGATAGATATAAACATAAAGATAATAATAATGCTAACGATAATGACACTGGGTTTTTTTAAAAAATAAAATAAAATAGAATAAAAGAGAAGAAAGAAAGAGAGGGAGGGAGGAAGGGAGGGAGGGAGAAAGAAATTGGTAGGAACAAACCTTTGTAAACCCAACGGTTAAAAGACAAAGTCCGAAACAAGCGATAGTTAACCAAGAAAGATAATCTTTTACTTGATAAACAGGCCACTCCGGTCTTGTTTCTGACACATTCGAATGGTTGGTTACTTCTGATTGATTGTATCCTAAAGACTCTGTTCCCGAGTGAAAGTCTAGAGACTGTGAGTGTGCCCAGAGATCAAGAATGGCAAATTTGGTAAAGTGAGCCAATGCAGTTGGTAAACAGAATGACTTTAGTTGCGAAAAGACTGAAATGACGAGGATTACTACGGGAGTGATGAGTAGTAGTAAGACAGGTAGTAAGACGACAAGGGAGGTGACTTGTAAGCCACGAGAGGTACGCATAGGAAATGAAAATAAAATAAAAATAAAAATAAAAATAAAAATAAAAATAAAAATAAAAATAAAAAAATAATAAAGTAAAATGAAGGGAAGTGGGTGAAAGAACGATGAAACTAGTCTGTCTGGTCTTGCTTTCAAAAGCTGATTTTCTCACTCTTAGGTTTTCTTACCCAGGCAAGGTTTTTTTTTGTTTCTTTTTTTTTGTAATGTCTTTATTTTCCTTAAAGGGTAATATGCAAGCTTGGATTACCCCGCCGTGATATTGTTGGTTGGTTTTTGTCAGCCAGAATTTTAGTTTTGGTTAAGTTTGACAGCCCTTGTAATTCCACTTCAATGTCCTTTTACGTATAGATATATGTATTGTATACCAAATGAAATAAAAGAAGGACAGATGTCAATTTTACACACAAATAAGATTATTTTCATGTATATTTCTTTTCAGTTCAAATATTGGTCCACCTTATTAAAATTTGACAAAGGGCATTAAGAGAGATCCGGGTACTAATTGACCAACATGTGCTCAAATAATATGGCACTTGACCTTGTTAGTGTAGCGTTGGACGAGCCTTGTCCAAAAGATAAACAATCCCTTTTTTTTCTATTTCTTGTTAATATTTTCAAATAATAATAGTATTACATTTGAGAGCATCTACATATTTATAGTTGATTAAAATAAAATAAGATAAGATTAAAGCAAGCCGAAACGCAAAAGTATAAAAAGAACAAGCTTTTCTTAACATTCAACAATTGAATTGAATAATTTACAAATCAAAACAAAGAATATTATTACTGTTATTACTACAACCATTGTAACCTTACCCAATACATTCCATTGTATTATTGTACGGTATGGTATATTTATTTAATTTTGAGTGTATGTAAAATAGTGCTATCTACAGCGAGGCACAATTTGTATAAAAATACACATGGCTGATCTGTCGATACATTTTGTATGTAATGTGTATATATATATACTTAACCTTGTGTGATCATGGTTTATCAACTGCAAGATTCATATACACAAATTCATTTACACGCTTTACTCTCTGTATCTCTCCTTTATTTATTATTAAACCTCCTGGAGGTAAGGCTCCCATGTTTGTATGTTCTCTATTCATAATTAGCGTAAAATGGGGTTTTCTTTAATTCATTTTTGATATTCAGATACGCTAAAAAGAAAGACAATACACATGTATTTATAGAGTCGATCTTCTTCTTTTTTTATATATATGTATAATAGAAATAGATCTATTCTCCGGACAGGTATCTACTATGTATTGAAATAAGCATCTAAGATTTGCATCATATTTGACCCGGAAAAATGTTGAGAGAAATAAACATAATAGAGAGAGAAAGAGATGATATGTGTCCAAGTCTGTAAGTGTGCTTGTGTGTGTGTGGCTTGGGAGTGCCGAACAGCCGGCTAATACGTTCTGGAAATTGGATTGTCCGGCGACAATGCTAGTAGTATGCGGTATTCTAAATTGATTTTGCGGAATATCATTTTACCAAAAGGTACATGACATTTATACATAAAATATTTCTGTTATTTTTGTGTAATTCATTTGCCCTTTTGTATAAACCACACTTCTTACTTTAAAGGAAACATTTTCCACCATCATCTGTAGCTCCATGTGGCTGTGTAAAGAAAGCAATTCTAGGTCGATTTGTCTGCCCCTATTTACTTCTTTCTCTCTATATACTTTTGTTATGTTTTTGCTCTTATCATAAATTAAAACCGAAACAAATAGCATGGAGTAGAGATTAGAAAAAGACAAGCCCTCAATATCGAAATCATTGAGATTATCCTTTTCATATTCTCCACCCCTTAGACTACCACAGCACATGAAACACTTGTTTTTCTTTTTCCAAAAGAAATATTATCCTGTAGCTACACAATTTGTAGATCGCCAGCTATACTCCTTTAATGTAAATAATATATACATATTTATATCATGAGAAATAGCAATCACACACAGAAAGACAATGGTTCTGGTCCAGTGACTTTTGGTATTTACGTGCCACTGTCATGTTTGACACAAAGCAATCAAAATTAAAAATGTATTTTGGTGAAATTTGTTTATATATGTATATATACCTTTGATTTCTTCTTCTTCTTCTACTATTACTATTACTATTACTGTTACTATAGCTAATAGAAACTCTAATAGCAATACTAGTAGTAACACTGATTTTGATTGACCTACTAACCCCTATTGTAAAGCTCTGCAACTCTTCCACCCCCTTTATATATCAGAAAGTAAGTCAGCAAATCAGTCAATTGGTATGAACTATATTCAATAAAAGCAACTTATTTAACTTTCTATTATCTCGGGTTGATCTACTTTTATTACTATTAATTGTATTACTTGGAGACAACATCCAGTTTTACTTCATCTGGTCTGTGCGATCAGGTAATTAAAACCCAAAAAATAATATTATGCCTTTCATATATTTGATAAATACTTTTTTTTATTATTTATATTTAGGCTTCATCAACAGGTATTAATCTAGATTTTTCAAACCTTTCCCAAGCTAGCATAAGCTCCCTAATCACTCGCCCAAAAGACAACACCTACTACATGTTCTCGAGAAAATTGAGATATGGACGGAAATAAATAAAGCTGACTATTGTGGCCACACTTTCTTAATGCTTTCTGAAACCTTTGTACTCATATTATTATTTTTAATAAGCTGGTGTACCCACACTACTAGATATTGTCAAGCTATTAATATTTAAAGGACAAGAGCTTCTCTTAATTCTTCATCACCCATATATGTATATATAGCTTGAATGGAAGACTCATTACTGTATAGCATTTACCATTGATTAGGGTGCTTGGACACAAGTAAAAGACAATCCATTGATTATATGTATATGCCTTGGATAATTATGACTCGCTTAGAGCAACCTCATAATACCAATAATAAAGAGAAAACCATTTATACTTCTACTAATCATTTTACTAATAGTCGTATATTTCTAAATATATCTGTCACTTGTATTTAATCGCGTTTTTTTTGTCGCACCCTTTAGTTGTAACCCCTGTGATTCATTTCCAATCAACTTCTTTTCTGCTTAATATTATTATTTTATTGGTTCATTAAGATGGTGAGATATGGTAAGATTTAAGTGAGAAAAAGAGGGTCCTGTATAAAAATTAAAATAACTTTATATAGTCGCGACTTTATCTTCGGGGATTTAATAATATTCTGCAAATATATATATATAAATAAAAGGGGGGAGAAGTGAAGAGGGTCTTATTTATAAATAAATAAAAATAAAAACACGCACATTTTATCATATTTAAAATACCGAACAACTGTGAAACAGATTCCGCAAAAGAAAAGTGTAAGAGGCTGTTGATTGGCGCTGAAACTATATTATAATATATTCTTTGCACAACTTTTTATTTTCTAGTTAATTAATCTTATATAAAACATTTGTATGTATTTTATACAAAAAAAAAGCATAAAGTGTCAAAAATGTCAAATTTGTTTACACAAATTAGGTTGCTGTTGCTGTTGCTGTTGTTGCTTATTATTTTAAAAAATAATCTAATTATATTGATAGGCTTTCTTGCCAATGAATAACTTGAGTGTGGCGTAGTGTATGATTTGAATGACTAGGTAATTAATACTTAAATATTTAATATTACAAAGAACAATATAAAAGAAGAAAAACATTCATCTTTAAATATCATAGCAACATCGGAGACAATCTCCTTTTGTTTTATTTATATATTTATTATAGATGTTTTTTTTCGGTTGGTTGGTTTCCAGGTACAAGGAGTAAGATTTGGCAGGGACGTCTGGCCAATGATAGGAAATAAAGAACACTGCAGAGTACGACCATTGGCAGGGCAAGCAGTTCAGGTAAACGTGACCGGAGAAGTGTCTGTCGTGTAACATCTCACTGACCCTTCGTCACAAGAAAAGAGGGCCACGTTTTGAGGTCGAGCCAGTTGATTTGACTGACATTTTGGAGTTTGCGCAATAGGTTTTTTTTTTATTTTTGCCCCTCAGCCCTAATGTAAAGTGGAGGTCTTAAATGTTCATATCCTTCTCTCGTTTGAGGTGTTCATTCCCTTCCACATACACACCCATACACCCACCCATACACCCACACATTTCCAGCTATTCCTAGAAATATTTATGAGTACTCCATGGATATGTCAGGCTTCCAACTCGATGGCATAAATGACATGGACATGTTAAGGTCTCTTTCCAACAGACACTCCCAGGATCAAGATCAATCAATCAATATGGACGAGTCCTCTTCATTCGATCATTTCTCAAAAGACATTGACCTCCTTTTCCAAACCTCCCACGCCAGTGCACCCACTGACCTTAATTCATTTCTCTCGCCTTACCAATCCACAGCAAATACTCCGCAAAAGCTGATCATAACCTCCACACATATGTCTCCTCTCTATCCACATCCTCATCTATCTTCTAACCCTGTCAGTCAAGAATTCATGGACCAAGATGTAAGCCAAAGCAGTCCCAACTTCTCATTTTAAGCTCTGGCATTGACCACTATTCTAGGACATATTTACCCCTCTTGTATCTCCCGCCATGACGCCCTCTTTTACCTACCAGTTGCCCCAGAAACACCACCCGAACATTCCCCTAACCACAGAGATGGACTTTTCTCCTCTTTCGTCCCCAGCGATCATGCCCCAACTGGATAGGCAACACAGTCGGGATACTTCCGGAAATCCTATATTTGGGTCTCAGTTCTCAGCTACATTTGATAAAATGTCCTCGACTCAAATATGCGAACAATACGAACAATTGGAGCAAGCCAAGATTATGATCACCCGGAAGTTGTCTGAATTGCAACAGAAACAGCAACAACACTTGCAGCAGAAGCAGCAGCAAATACTACAGCAACAACAACAATTGCAGCAGCAACACCAACTACAAATTCAAAAGCAACAGCAGGCTCAGAAAAAGGCTCAAATGCAAGTTCAACAACAAGTTCAACAAGTTCAACTGCAACTACAGCAACAGCAGCAACAGCAGCAACAGCAGCAACAGCAGCAACAACAGCAACAACAGCAACAACAGCAACAACAGCAACAACAGCAACAACAGCAACAACAGCAACAACAGCAACAACAGCAACAACAGCAACAACAGCAACAACAGCAACAGCAACAACATCAGCAACAACAACAACAACAGCAACAACAACAACATCAGCAACAACATCAGCAGCTGCAGCAGAGGAATTCTCAACATCAACAAGACAGCAGCAGACAGTCTCAATTCGACCTAACTCAATCCACATTCAGAACGAGACACCCACCTTCAAAGCTATCAAATTCAACAAAAAGTGATACAATAACTGACCAACAGGTTGTCTTTTCTCAAACTGTTCAACTTCCTCCAAGTTATACTGAAGGTGTGTATATATAAATATACAGACATAAATAGATACACTTGAATATAGCCAAATATTTTTCACCATATTCATTGTTCTTTTTATTCATTTATTTTGTCTGTATGTGTTTGTAGCCACAAGCCCTACAACAATGGCTTACACTATGCAGAGCTTCCAGCCGGCCGTGGTTCCTGAAAAACCGAGTCACCTTGAGCCTGTAACGCCAGCATCTTTAATGAATATGAAAATGCAATCTCTCAGCATACCACCCAAACGGCTTGCGAGCACAAATCAGCCTCCTGCGTTTGCACCGATCCTGACTTCCCAGATAGAGCCAGTTGTAGCATTGTCACACTCACTCTCGGACAGCTCGACCCAAAGCCTTGTTCTCACTCCTACCGACACTCCAAAGACGCCGCCACGTTCCTTGTCGGCAAAGACTACTAGGGGCTCGACAGCAAACTCTGCGGGTCACAAGAAAATATCATCGACACATGCTTCAGATGCAGCACCCAGGCCTGTGTCCAAAAAACAGCGCCGAGAGTCCACGCTTACTCACACAGATACCAAATCCCTGATCTCTCCTTCACCACGTGCACTCAAGCCACTCTTACTTAGTCCCACCCTTACGGCTGGTCTGGAGTCGAGTCCGACCCGGTTGAATGCCGAGCGCATATTGGCTACTCGATCAAATTACCAAAACCTAATGGAAGGCAAAGCTGCCGCGCTAGGTATCGCGTTTATGCCACACATCAAGAGTGGTATCGAAGTCCGTCGGACAGCACACAAAGCTGCCGAGCAGAAGCGTCGCGACTCTCTCAAAGAATGGTTTGAGCGGCTACGTCGGGAAGTCGAAGATGGTTATGTGAAGAAGAAATCTGGGTTGGCGTCAATTGTGATTCGTGAACAAGAAAGGGAGGCTAGAGGAGAAATTGAGGACACAAGTGGTGGAGAGAGCTCCAAGACCAGACAGAGTAGTGCGGATGAAGCTGACCATTCTGAAGGAGCCGATGAGTCAGATGCAGTACTAAAGCCGTTGTCCAAAGTACTTTTATTACGATATGCCTATGAATATATCTCGACACTCAAGACAAGTGTTTCGAATAGAGATCTTCGTATACTCGAACTCGAGGAAGAGAATGCCAGACTTCGACAGGGATCAGCATCCAAAGAGAGCTCTCCCCCAGAATCTCCTTACACCGCCTAATATATCGAAAACGCGCATCATCCTATGTTATTTAACGAAAAACAAAATCCCCTAAAAAAACACATACACACACACTCCCTTACAAAATGCCTCATTCGTTTTACATTTTCTTTACATTGTCATTTGTATGCACCCTATTGTTATCATCATAATCTTCACTATTATATGCTCTTTATTTTCTTGTTTCTTCTTCTAATACTTCTTTATATCTATTTTACTTCTTTTATATGCCTTGTATCTTAAATATCTTTCTCTTTCTCCCTCCCCCCTTTACTTTTCCTTTTTTTTTCAATGTCTATTTCTAATTCTTACTATGAATTTTCATTACACACACATATATATATATATATATATAATATACAAACAACTTTCTATTACTATTCTTATCTTTATTGTATTGTATTCTACTGTACTGTACTGTACTGTACTGTATCATTTAAACATTACACATATTATCTACCTTCACCTGTATAAATATAAATATATAAATATATAAATATATAAATATAAATAAATTTAACTATATGAAACTTTTATTAACTTCTTTATTCCGTGACGTGCAATTAATTCTCATTGAAGCTACTAGAGTTTAAATGGAGAATATGTTTAGACATACAGTTAATAACAATAGTAATAGCAATACTACTAGAATGTATGAGCTTATGATAAATCAAAACAGGTATAATAATCAATTTCTTATTCTTTCTTACTCTAACGGCAAGTGTCCTTTCTAAATCGAATATTTACTACAATATTGATGTTTACATTTTATCTATGTACTTATACTGGTGTGCACAGTAGTTATTCAGGGTTAGTTTATCAGTACGGCCTCATTGATAGGTAGAAGATCTCAATATATCATTAATTATGCCACATCAAAATTTATATCTATTTTTCATCTATGGAATTTAAATAGCCGCATCAGTGGCTGATGGTAGACAGAATCTTGTCTTAAAACCCTAAAAATGGAAAGGGAAATCTGGGTGTCTGTTGTAGTCTGAGCTACGAACATAAAATAGAAATGCCAGGGCAAAGGGCGGAATATTGAAACAGAAAAAAAAGTAATTCATCTTTCATTCCATTACAATTCATCATGGACTTTCAACATAGAGCGGAAAGTCCATTCTCTATAGGTAAAACACAAATTGCAATTACGCACAAATTCATAGAAAAAGAAAAAGAAGAAGAAGAAGAAGAAGAAACATACTCCACACCAACACCTACACACATACCAATACAAAGACACAAATAAAAAGAGATCATTAAGCATCCTGGATGACTTGTTAATGATGTACTTTAAACAAATAAGAAATTAATATTAATTATGTCGAATATCGCAATAATAATAAATGAAATTTCATTCTCTTTTTTTTTATAAATATTATTGAATCCTTACAGGAAACATTTCCAAACTCAATGGAACAAAGCCTCTTTATCCTACACGATGCGTACACACAATTTCCCAAGAAGATGAAAACTCTGTATTATCTCTTGCAGCTAGTCGGCAATACCTTTTTAGTGGAAGCCAAAGTTCAAAGATTCATGTAAACACCCAAAATAATATATATATATGTATATATAATCATTGATAATATATTTCAATTCATTTATTCTTATTTTCAATTGATTCTTAAATATGGATTTCAATATTAAATATTAATGTTAATGTTAATGTTATATATATATGAATCCTTAGGTGTGGGATCTACAGACATTTACTTTGGTTGCCACTCTAGAAGGTCACAGAGGAAGTGTATTGGGACTATCAATATCTAAAGATCAAAAATGGTTATTCAGTTGCTCTGGTAAAAATCATGATATTAATATATATATATCTTTATTCAATTAATGGATCCATTGTTTAATATTTAAACAATTTCCCCATTTTCTTCTTTTAAATTAATTCATTGCTCTTCTTTTATAGGCGATGGCACCATTAGGGTAAAATATGTCATAATTGTATTAAGGAGAATCCGTATTGGATAATAACAGCAGCAATTACTATATGTATATGTATATATAAAAATAGGTTTGGGACACTGGTACACTCAAATGTACCTATTCTATTGTCTCTTGTCATGATGTAGGTGACATCTTCTCGATTGTATATTCTGAAAAATCCAATACTCTTTTCTTTGGAAGTCAGAACACCAGTATTCAGGTACGCACACGCACACGCACACGCACACACACACACACAGGAAGAGAGAGAAAGATTATATTTATTTATTTATTTATATAAATACGCATGCTATTTGTAGTGGTACAGCTTTGATGATCCACAAACTCGTGGGTCAACTACTGGAGTACCTGTGCTTCCTATAACTCCACGAAACAGTCAAAAATTGAAATTCTTTGAAGGTCCTGGAATGCTGGAATGCGAGATCACTGACAATTTTGATGAGGATGTTATCAAATGTGTCGTACGTGAAAAGAACGTTCACTTGAATGCACACGATGGCTATGTTTACTGTCTTTTGTACTCTACAGAAGTACCCAATATCGATGGCGAGGTTATAATCAGTGGTAAAGTATTATTATTATTATTATTATTAGTAGTAGTAGTAGAAGAAGAAAGAAGAATATATGTGTCAAGTACATATATAAGCGATCAAAGTATTAATACATTTAAATCTAGGATCCGGAGATGGAGATGTCAAGGTATAAAGAAGAAGGCAAAGATAGAGAATTGGCAGATCAATATAAGGAACCAAAAGCACAGACCGATAAAAGAATGAAATGAATTATTTTTCATATATTAAAACAAAAGAGGATGAAAACTCCTCCTGTTTAGATCTGGATCATTATAGATGGTACTCTCAAGTATCTACAAACTCTGGTAGGGAACTCTGACAAGGGGGTCCTCAGCTTGGCATTATCTGAAGATGGTTATTTATTTTGTGGTGTTCAAGGAGGCGATGTCCAGGAAAGTAAACTGTTAGGTGTAGTCAAAATGTGCGTCAAGGTGATTGAGTACTTATCTTTGTATATCAAAAAAAAATAGATCTGGGATTTGGAAACCGTAAGTATACCTTGTCTGAAATATATGATTATTAGAAAGCTACCCACTTTTTTTTTCTGAATCATTTAACCTAGTACCAAATGATTCGTTCAGTCATGGCACATTCTGTAAGTTAATCTTTAATTGCATTAAAAACAAGACAAGACAAAACAAAAACAAGGAAAGAAAGGAATAAAAATGTATTGACTAATTTATATTTTGCTGAAGGATGATGTACTTGCTGTAGCATTAAAAGGGCCAGGTCTAGTTAGTGCATCTGCAGATGGAACCACAAAGGTATCATATTATGGATATTGAAACATAAACTCATGGCTAGATAGAGCTCAAATGAGTGTATTATACTTATAATAAAATTTGTGGTTTAGATTTGGAGCCAGGGATTTGAATTCAGAGAGTCTTTGGATGAACACAGTGGTGCTGTACTTGCTTTGACAACTACAGGAAACTATCTTATCACTGGAAGTAGTGACCACTCAATCAAGGTAACATTTTTTTAAAAAAAAGAGTTTACTATACAATCTTGTCAAGTTCCTAAAAAAAACACCGACAACAAGTTCTGGGACTTGCCTTCTACTGTGTCCAGTCAAGAACCTTTTAGACGCAATAGTATTGTGAAGGAAACTCCTTCAAATGGTAAGTCACACACACACAAAGAGTGAAATAGAGAAATAGAGAAAGGCATGTTTGCTTTACCTTGCATACTCTTAACCACTTCTTTTTAGATACATTTTTGTATGTTCTTGAGAAATGGGTAGCTATGCGTACTGTGGGTGGGAATCCTAAATACATGGAAGAGTGTCGGAGAGGAGCACGGTTCTTAAAAAATGTACTTCAGCAGCTTGGTGCAGTTAGTCGAATGGTAAGGTGGACACAAGAATCCAGAAACGCAAAGGAAGAGAGAGAATATTAAGTAATTTTTATTATTACATATTAATATTAAAAGTGAATATATCTATATGTTAGATTCCTGGAGAATGTGGTAGAAACCCACTGGTTTATGGAAAGTTTACAGGAAAAACATCCCCAGATCCATCAAAAAAGACCCCCACTGTGTTGATATACGGCCATTATGATGTTATTTCTGCAGAAGATGAAAAACAAGAGTGGAACAGCGACCCGTTCAAACTCACAGGAAAAAATGGTTATCTCTATGGCAGAGGAACGAGTGACAACAAGGTAATGATCTCCTTTAGAAATAGTAAAAAGAAGAATGAAAACTACATTTAAAAGCGATGAATATCAAGAAAAAAAATACATTAATATCTTTGTGGTTTTATAGGGTCCTATTCTTTCCTGTATTTTTGCTGTAAATGAATTGCTCAACGAAGGATTACTAGATGTCAATGTCATATTTCTGATTGAAGGAGAAGAGGAGAGTGGGAGTGTGGGATTCTTTGAAGGTGTTAATAAGCACAAGGTAAATATATAATAAACTGTGTAAATGTTAAAAAACGGGTATATGTTTCAAATGTCTAACGATCAACAGGAATTGTTTGCTGATGTTGATATGATCTTGTTGAGGTAAGGTGGAATACTATAATAAGCGGATAACCAGACAAGAGTACTTAGATTCTTGCTATTGTAAAAAAAAGCAACTCTTATTGGTTAGGTGAAGATGTTCCATGTCTTACATATGGTTTGAGAGGCGTAATTCACGCCTCTGTTACGGTATTTACTTCTTCTTTGACATACACACACACACACACACACATATATATATATATATATATATATTATGCAATTGATCGACTAATTACCATTTATTCAAACAGGTGTCTAATCCTAGAGCAGATATGCATTCTGGCGTTGAAGGTGGAGCAATTTCGGAGCCTCTTATTGATCTGATTCACGTCCTTGGAAAAATTGTGGATAACGACAAGAAAATACTCATTCCAGGTAACACTGACGAAAACAGTTCTTTCAATAGCTTAATACGACTCGTTAATTTAACTTTGTGTGTGTGTGTATTTTTTTATTTAAAAAAATATAGGGTTTTATGACAATGTTCGACCTGTTACTGATACAGAAGAGCGTCTCTATGACCCTATTATAAAGTGGATGCAAACGTAAGGATTGTGCTATTATGTTAAAGGCTATAGAAATGCGCACACACACAGGTTATTAATATAATATCTTAGATCCAAGGAGTCACAATCCAGTACAAGAGCACAACATTCTTACCTTGCCTCTCCTACACTTTCTGGCGCACCAAAACGTTCCGAAAAAGATAACAATACTTCCTTGACTAAAGAGCCTCTTGCCTTGGATGCCGAGAAACTCAAATATGATTTGATGGCACGATGGAGATACCCGACCTTTACAGTACACAAGATTGATGTGTCGATCAATAACCCAACCATTATCCCACGCAGTGCCACTGCCATAGTTAGTATGAGAGTGGTTCCTGATCAATCCATTGCCGAGATTTGCGAACAGTTCAAAAACCACGTACGAAATGCATTTGAAGATAACGTGTCTGAAAATAATATTTCAGTAAGTATACCAAATAATAATAATAATTACAATAACAGGAATAATAAGGAGGACAATGGTTGTTTTCTGTGGATTAATCACTACTTTGCTGGGTGTAGATTGATATTCAAAGTGCATCTGAGTACTGGTTAGGAAATCCTCAAAGTGAGTATTTCAAGGCTGTAGAAAACGCTATTGAAGAAGAGTGGAACGTGAAGCCGTTGTATATTCGAGAAGGTGGTTCCATTCCAGCTGTACGATGGCTTGAAAAGTTCTGCAACGCCCCAGCAGTGCATCTTCCTATGGGACAGGTAAAGAAAAGCAAACAAAATGATTATTGTATTTTACTAGTTTTTTTTTTTACTAAACTCTATTCTCATATCATTATTATTATCGAAATCTACAAGGCATCCGACCAAGCACATCTTCACAATGAACGTATTAGATTACGAAATATTCATGCGGGTAGAAGAATTGTTAAAAGACTTTTGCAGACACTCCCTGTACTTGCTGATAGAGAAAAATATTAGTCTTTTTTTTGATTATTTTTTTTTACAAATACAACCTAAATAATATGAATCATATAGAGTTACTCGTGCACAGACTTTCGAAACTAGCATTCTTTAATCAGAAGAAACTGAACTCGGAAAATGGTACATGAAAACTTGGTATACTGAGAAAGTAATAATGTATTAATAAGATAAAAGAATATTGCTATTTAAATCGTGGGCTTATAGAGATATTACAATAATAAGCTAGTAATAATGCAGACCCACATCAGTGAATAGAATACTCAATTAAGACTTTACTAAAATAACGTACCAGACCTACTCTATACTATAATATAATATACTGTTTTATTTTCTTATTTTCATTTGTCTATGAAAGCCCCAAATTGTCTTCCAAAGTAACAGTAGATATCTTAACAAGTACAAAGGACATTCAGACGATCAAAAAGGAGCGACAATTGGTCCTGTTATTAGTTAGTGTCGTTAAAAGTTCTAAACTATTGTTCCCAAAAAAAAAGAAATAAGGACAAATCATGTCTTACGCGCTGGAAAAATAGGGTAATTTCATCTGGATCAAATGTGCCAAAAAGGTAGATGATTGGGCCGATATCATCTATGGTGCTGATGCGTATCATCATAACAACGGGTATACGAAAACCCAATGTAGAACGATTGTCAGTCCTCAAACTATGGAAACTGAATAAATATTGTAGTTACGCTTTACTCCTATCGAGTCTACCTCTTTATGTGTTATATTTTGAGGTCTATAAAGAGCTAGCGTCCCATATTATTATTTTTACCGGGTTTTTTTTATTGGCTGCAGAAATGCTTTAAAAATCATCAAAGAGATGATTGTAGATTTTTTACAGTATAAAGAAATGATGATAGTTGGTTTTTTATACATGCTCAAAGTGATGAAACTAGGTTTTTTATACGCACAAAAGCAATGAAACTAAGTTTTTTTTACAATGGAAAAGAGAAACAAAGCATCGGTAGATTTTTATAAACAAGCCTCTTTGGTTTGTTTATTTATTTTACTTTTTTTTTTTGGAAAAACGTTGGGTTATACATTTTTTGTTCAATTTTGCTTTATTTGATAGGAAAATATTTTCTAGATAAAAATCCTAATTTCGCGACAGTTTTGATACTATAGCTATTATAATCGCTAATACTTCTTGCTCGCTATATATAATTTAAAGCCTTCCAGGAGTAGACATGGAATACATACTTTAATAGCGGGAATGCTATTAAAAAATGAGTAATAGAAAAGAAGAATTGGTAAATGATTTAAATTGAAATTTCTTCATAAATACTTACAAGACGGAGAAGACTTGACATAAAATTGATATGAATATGTTCTTCAGAATTATCAAGACAATACCAGTAGTCTTTGAATAGAGATACATTCTAAAAATGAATAATTATTAATATTGTGCGTAGTAAAGGCGTATTTATTAAATATATTGTAGTTAACTTACCAAATATTACTGATTATACGTCTTCGTGCATAATATTAGACATAACTAATAAATCATAATAAAAATAAATATATATCTATGAGTACGACGAAAGGATAATTTGAATTTTTTTTTAAGAAAAAAACTTACCATGTTCGATTAAGAGATGATGAGACTCAATGGAAATGAGTAGCAATGGCAAGACAAACAATATGATGAGTAACAGAGATCATTAAGAGAATAATATCTTACCTTGATATATCAGACAGAGTATAGTCAAACAAAGAGACACATATTTGGTATCGAGCTATAAAAGAAAGAAAGAAAATTGTAAGTGAAATTGTAAAAACAAGCAAAAGAGAAAGAAAGAAAAGATCAATAGACAAGGTGTTATCTCACAGAAATTTAAATTTTCCATGAGATGACCACTTTCCGGCGCTTTAATTTCCAAATATTTGTTTCACTCTACTAAAATGGTAACCACTCACAGAATTTCTGTGAGAAAAGTGCCCAAATCACAGAAAATTCGAACAAATTTTCTGTCACTTATTTTTTTAACAACAAATGATGCCAAGAATCTTTGTTTAAGCAAGATATTGGTATAAGGCCTAAACTACACAGAAAATTATATTGAGACTAAAGATCAATAGTACAAAAAATAACTATAATCTAAACAGATAATTAGGTGTTATTTACTGTGAAATAAAACAATTATACTAGTATAAAAGTTGTACCTAGTTACATAGTAGGCAATAAGAAGAAGGATATGTATTTAATGTGAGGGTATTAGAAGTTGATAGATATACCTTAAGGACTTATATACCAAGGGTTTTATATGCTTACATTGAGATATATACTTGTAAAGAACAAACTACCTTTGGAAGAGTCAAACGGACCTCTCTCTTGTACTCAGCGTCAGAAAGGTCTTCAAGATTTAAGTGTTTACGGCTTCTCCTTTTGGCTTAAGTTTCCTGCAATTCTTTATCACTAGTAATAAGATACTCGATCAGGTCAGGGTTAACGAAAAGCATGTTTTTCTTTCTAAATACCAATATAAAGATAACTTACACCCCAAAATAAAGAAACGCACTGCTTTTGATTTTCTTTCTCGCAGAAATTGTAAAAAATCGAATTACGATATTTATTCTGACGTTGGACATCAACTTTTTGTAATTAAGCAATCCATGGCTCTTCCCGCTAAAGTACCGGACCCACCTATTGGGTCCACCACAACACTAGGTCAAGCCAGTATAACCACTCCACAACCCTCTACTACTACCTCTACCACAACCAACACTAGGTCATATCTCGATGTCGCCACAGCCACTTCCGCCCCCAGTCAAGTACCAGTCGTTCTTTTCTCTAACTTGCCGACATCTACGGATCGCGTCTGGCGCGAAAGTACATCTCGTCATTCGGTATTTTTCACCCCACCAACTGATTCCACCATTACCTCTGAATTCTGGACTGCTCTCAGAGCAAGCGTTCCTACGGCATGCACCTTGGGAATATCATTCGCTCATCGTCAACCGCTCATCCACGAATTGCACCCGACCAATTCTACCATCTGCACCGAACTCTGTTCCAAAGGCTTCCTGGTTGGAGGCCAAACGTACTTCCCCTCTATGGGTATTGCCCCAGGCACAAAAATCTTGCGTATCTCCCTCTCCCAGCTTCCATACCTTCCTTCCCCTCTGCTTGAAGAGGCTATCAAAACAGCCTTGGCCGCATATAGCACCGTCCGCGAAGTCGGTTTGCATCTTCGTGCCAATTTTTTTGATGGCACTGGTTTTGCTTACCTTGAACGACCACCCAACCCCGATGCCACCCTTGCCAAACTCTCATACAAGATCCCGTATGATGGCGACTTGTACTTCTTAGGTACCTGGAAACAGATGGGTATTCACTGTAATTATTGTAAAGTTATGGGCCATGCTATCGAAAACTGTCCAGACCGCCCCAAAGATTCCCGACGCTGCTTCACTTGTGACCAGACTGGTCACTTGCAACATGCCTGCCCCAGAGCACCCCCCACGGACGCCAGCTCTTCCAAGAGACCCCGCAAGGTTCCCACGACACCTGAATCCCCTGATCGCTCACGCAAGTCTACTCCCGGTGCGTCTCACAGACCTCCGGCCAAGAAATCGATCCCCCCTCGCGGTACACCTACGATGGCTGAGGGATCCCAGGCTACTACCACCACCTCCCGCACGAATTCCTCGACACCGCGACGAACCTCTGTCCCCGCTGTTCCTACTTCCCCCCGCCAGTCTGCCAACAGGTTTGCTGCACTTGACGGACTAACTGACAACAGCCGCACAGGCGCACTCTTCGACCCCACTCTGCCTCTTCTTCAGACACACAACACCCAGTATGATCCCGTCTTTCACCCCCTCCACAACGCTTTTCTTCCCTCCAACTACACTTCCGGCTCCACTAAAGACGAAGAAGAATTTCACCCCAGCGCTTTTGACGGCGACGACGACCAAGACTCCCAGAATATCCTAACTGATGACGAGATGGCAGACGGCGATCATTCTTAAATTTATGATTAATATAGCCTCCATGAACTGCCGCGGACTTGTCAAGTCCGGAAACCCCAATAATCGCTCTCTCTTTATTAGATATCTTCGCTCCCTCTCTCTAGACATACTTGCCCTTCAAGAAACTCACGCCAACACAGACGCTCTTCAACAGACATTTCATCTTCAATTTCAAGCATCCGACTCACTATGGTCTCCTCACTGTGGTTTGGTTTCCCTCTTTCCCCTCATTTCTTTTACTGATCCTCTTTTTTCTCTCTGTGGTCATTGCATTACTGCCACCGTTGTTCACTCTTCCAATTTGTTTGCCCCATTTCGTATTTGCGTTTTATATGTCCCTGCTTCATATCGTCCTCGATATGATTTTCTCACCTCTCTCCTATCCTCCCCACATCTTCTCCCTTCCCTTCCTTCTCGCTTTCTTATGCTAGGAGATTTTAATTATTCCTCATATGCAAAGGCCTCTCGTGCTGGCCTCGCGCTACGTCTATGGCTGCATTTTGTCGCTAACCACTTTGTAGACTGTGTCACTTTGTCTGACGCTCAACCTATGCCTACCTTTCATCGCGACCTTTCCTCTTCGACTATCGACTACATATATGCCTCCAAGGATATAGCGTCTTGTCACTCTTCGTCCACCGTCACATTTGTTCAGCCCCTGTGGACCGATCATTGCCTTGTACGTACCTGTCTTAGTTTTCCTATGCTGTCTCACATTGGTCGAGGTTTGTGGCGTGCGAACCCTCGTTTGGCGAACATCCCTTCCTTCCGCTCCTCCCTGTCCGACTGTCTTTCATCCTTCATACCACTACTCTCGCCTTCAATTTCCCCCCAATCACAGTGGGATCTGATCAAAGTCGAAGTGGCTCGTTTCACACGTTCATATTCACGCACAACCCGCCCATCACTTGCCACTTTGGAGGTAAAGCTTCAGAGTAAACGTGACCATTTGATACATAGATTTCGCCATCAGCCTGCTCAGAACTTCCAGCTGCCCATCGTCGAGCGTCAACTTCAGCAAGTTCAACAGGAACGCACCGAGATACTAGCACTCCGCGCCGGAAAACACTGGAGAGAACAAGGCGAAACTTCCGCTGGGTTTTTGAAACGCACAGTTGCTTTTCGCCAAGCTCGAACCACAATAACCAGCCTCCGCCACCCCTTCACCGACACCTTATGCACTGATCCCGATGATCTTACGGAAGCTGCTGCTGCATTTTATGAAGATCTTTACACACCCGACCCTCCTGCTCAGACAGCTATCGACGACCTCCTCCTTCACTTGCCACCAGACCTCTTTCTTTCCGAAACTACCTCCACGACCCTCCTTAAACCCTTCACCTTGGATGACATCCGAGACGGCGCCACTCGCACTCCTAATGCCAGTAGCCCTGGGCCGGATGGCCTGCCTTATGAGATTCTGCGATTAATTATGGATCATCTGATGTGTGCTGTCTTACTTGTTCGAATATTTAACGATGGGCTTGCCCTCGGTGTGTTCCCTTCGTCCTGGCAATCAACCTGCGTCTCTCTTCTTCCCAAGAAAGGTGACCTCACCTCCCTCCGCAACTGGCGCCCGATCGCTCTAATCAATACCGATGCCAAAGTGTTCACTCGCCTCGTCAATCGTCGCATGGTGCCTGCTGCTTCCTCCCTTGTTACGCCCTTCCAGACCGGGTTTGTCCAAGGACGCTTCATTGCTGACAATGGCATGCTGACCAAGTTGGTTATGGCACAGGCTAGACAGGACGGTTCATCTGGTATAGGCCTTCTTTTGGATCAGGAGAAAGCTTACGACAGAGTCCATCCCGATTACCTTCGCCAGGTCTTGCAGCATTTCAACTTTCCCCCTTCCCTCGTTACCTGTATATCTCAACTTTTCTTCTCTACACAGATTCGAATCAATGTCAATGGACACCTATCCCGATCATTCCTTCAGGCTCGTGGACTCCGGCAGGGTGATCCTCTTTCTCCTGTACTCTTTAACCTTGCATTCGAACCTTTGTTGCGTCGTGTGATTCATGATCCTTCCTTTGCCGGATTTTCTCCATCACCACGCACTGCTATTCAACCACCTCCGCCCATCAAGCTCTTGGCCTATGCCGACGATCTGCTAGTCTTTCTGCCTGATGCCGCCCACTTGTCTTGTATTCATCATCATCTTCTCACATACTCTCATGCCTCCAATGCTCGCATCAATCTCCATAAAACTGAAGCTTTCTCCCTGTCCGGTCTTCCACTGCCAGAATGGCGCCCCGTCCTACAACAATTCGACATCACCGCCTGGTCTGACAGATCTTCCTCCACTCCCCTGCGATATCTCGGCTTTCCTCTTATTCAATCCTTACCTCAGCGCAATTCTTTCTGTGACAACATTCTTTCCAAGATTGAATCTACCTGTAATATCCACCACTCTCGCTCTCTCTCTATTCGTGGCCGTGCCACAGTGCTCAACTCTCTCATCCTCTCTAAGCTCTGGCACGTCCTCAGAGTTGTCACTGTACCTCTATCCTTTTTCCGTCGACTTCGCTCGATCATGAGTAAGTTTAGACAATACCGCTCCTTTCCTCCCATTCCTCTCGGCACTTTCTGCCAGCCTATTCGGCTCGGCGGTCTAGGGGTCCTTGATCCTCAGGTTCAACAGGCTGCTCTTCAGTTGCGCTGGCTCCGGCCTCTCGTCCGCTCTCCGCTGTCCCCCTCTGGCCTGGTCCCGCCTTGGTTCTCTTACGTCCTCCGCCTCGACTCCTCATCTGCTGATCCACTCGTTCCTTTGATATTTCCATCTCTCCAATCCTCTCATCAGCGTGATTTCGACTCTCCTCTGGCCACCCTACTTGCTGCCATTGACCTTCTCCCTCACAACTTCTCTGACGTGGTAGTCAACCTCCCCACCTGTCTCTCTCTGCCTCTCTCCTATCTCACTACCGCACAACCAGACCACCCTCCCTTTCCATCTGCATGGCGCGATCTCCGGGTTTCCGACGCCTATGAAGTAGATCCTAGTTTCGGCGTGCTTGCCCAACGCCCCCTCCACCGCATACTCCGTCGTCCTATTGTCCTTCACCGGTTCTTCGAACGTCTCTACACTCGCTCTCTTGTCTTGCACCCTGTCCTGTATCGTGCCACCATTCCCCCCGCGATCTGTGCCATACAGTTTCCTTCGCTAGATATGCCTTCCGATACAGCTGTCGATGTGCGTCCTTTCTTGACGGCTCTTGTCCCCGGCATCCCTTGGCATCGTTTGTCCACCCAGTCTTTCCGCCTACTCTGCAATTTCCACTCCAAATCCGCACGCCCCATAAGCCCCACACTCGTCCCTCGCCAGCTTCGTCGGTTTTGGTCCTTCCCCCTGCTGCATGGGGCCCGCAACGTTTGGTTTTGTGCCCTGCACAAGAACATTCCTTGCCGTTCTCGCCTCAATTCTAGGATCCCTACCACTTTCCCAGACCCATCCTGTGCCCTCTGCTCTCACCCTCTGGACAATCAAACTCATTTTTTGTTCCAGTGTCCGGTCAAACTGTCCGTATGGTCGTCAATCTGGACGTTGTACTTCGCCCAGACCGCGACGCCCACTGTCTTGCTTTCTGGTTTGCAATCCTTCACATTCCCTCCTTGCACCGATTCTTCTCTTTCTGCTGCCTCAATTTTTGGCTGCACGCTGCTGGCTATATGGCGCCATCATTGGCTGTTCATATTTGATCACGTTCCTTTTGTCTCCTCCGCTGCCTTTTCCACTGCTTCCTCTCTTCTCGACCGCCTCAAGAGCGAACTTGCTCTCGACTTTCCCCCCCTTTAGCTTCCTTCCATACCTCCACAATATATATAGCCACAAACATATAAATAGAAAAACATTGTAAAAATATAAAAGCCAAAAACAAGTCGTGATTTTCCTCTTTTGCCTTGCAGCATAGAGGCTCACTAATAAACTAGAGCCTTCGGCTCCCTACAAAAAAATAATTAAGCAATCCCGAAATTTCTGTGAGATAACACCTCTAATAATAAATGTCGTTAAAAGAAAAAAAATAAAAAAAGGAAAAAAAAGACCTTGTCTTAAAATCCAGTTTGACCCTGACAAAATGCGGGCTGTAAAAAGTAATACTCCAAAAGAAGATGACCACCGTCATCTTGAAACACTACTTTGTGCCTCATTGAGTTAGAAAAGAAGTTGTCTAAATGTGGATCAAGCGGTTGGGAGATGTGCTTAAATATCAAATGAAAGGTAGAGAGTTAATCTGCACCGCTTATCCTCTTTACTAGTATGTGAATTTTAAATATGATATAACAAGTGTAGTGAATTGTACAATATTAGTTGAAAATTATTAATATTTATTTTATTAACAGAAAATGACAAAGCGTATTCCTACTGCTCCCCGCCGACCCAACCTACGCATGAATGCTGTTCTTAATAGCACAATTGCAGGTGTTGTTGCTCCAATTGATACACCAACTCCAGAAGTAGCAGTTGTCACAGCCCCTGAAGTTCAAGTCGCTGTGACCCCAATGGATCACGTCCTTACCTTGTTGGCAGCCAACAATGTGTCGATGCAATTCCTTGCAAGAAAATGCAAAAGGAGTGACTGATGCAATAACTCATTTGAAGAATGGTCTGGATTTGTACAACAAGACAAATGAATTTTTGAAGAACTCGGTCCTTCAGCTCATGACTGCAAATGCCGAAATAGAAAAGGCAATGACCAGCCAAAATTCCGTGATGCCTTCTGCTGTACCAGCGGATTCTTCTTCTTCCATGGATGATGATATTGACCTTGGAGCGAAACATCATCCCTTGATTTCTGTAAGTAAATTGATAATAATAACATTACCGATTAATATATCTAATACTATTTTTATAGCAACTTATCAATAGTTACATCAAGAAACCGAACTTTGTTAGCACAGATCCGCTCAAAGTTGCTGAGAATAATAATAGATCAGCATGGTCAATGACTGGCAGGTATGGCGATAAGTACAACAAGACACTTGCACTGGCTCTCTTCAAGTACCCGAGACCTCAAAGATGCTGCACAAATGTGTCAAAGAGTGTCATTATGAATATAATAAAGAATCACTACCAAAATCAAGTGCGAGTCTTCCGGACCTCAGCAGAGAAGATTATGGCTAGAAATAAAGCTGGAAGAAGACGCAACAGAAAGAAGACCATAAGCCTTAAAACAAAGTTAATTTACTATTGATTTAATGTTTTAATAAAATATTCTTTGGTAGCTTCTTGACCGTCGTATTATCACGTACCAGACATACACAGAGGCTATTCATGAGGGCATGAATCGATATGATTGCGGAAATATTCTTTCTATTGACGTGATGTCTGATGGCGAGTCGGATGGAGATAACGAAGTGCGGGCATATCGTCCCAGCTGGAGAACTGATGAGGTAATGTTAAACATCTATTTATGTTTTAAAGAAAATAATAATACTTTATTAATACTATTTATTCTTTAAACCAGCTCCAGACGTTTATTACTACTATTGATGAACTTACTGTTATCCGTTTGAAGAAAAATTCAGAAAGCTTGAAAAAGCGCATCCCTTATGAGAAAGAAGTGAGCATTCCCGAGAATTTGGCAGTCACTTTACCAGATTGGTGTTTTTTCAAAATAAATCATTTTTTTCTTGCCCACTATTTTAGAGTCTTTTTTCTACTTGTTTATGTTTACGGATTAGCATGATGTATACAGCTGCATGTATAGCATGCCAAGTACAAACAAAAATTTATAGAAATAATAAAAAATAAACGTGCAGTTATATATATACTAGCCTGTATTAATTACTATTTCTTTTTTATACGTGTTTTATTTTTGTATTTGAATCTAAATATATATTTTTTGTGGCAAAGGAACTACACACATCTGAACTTCGCCTTCTAGACCAAGGTGCTCGCCTACTGCGACTGGATAGCAGATTCTATGCACTGGGAGAATGCTGTTCATGCTGTCATCTTCGAAACCCACCTCATTAACCTCAACTCCTTCTCCTGCTCTGGGCTGAAGTAAAACTTCCTTGTACCATCGTATATATGCAAATACATGCTGGCTCGCATGACCAGCAAACGAGTTTACAGCAGTATTGACAAAGAGGTACTGAATTTGGCCTGCGTACGGCTTGGTACTTCTACCATCACTTGTCTCAAATAAGGCTTGCATGAACGACCCGCGCTGATTCTTCGTTTTGCTCTTGTAGATTTGCCCGAGAAGATCGATTGATTCAAACTTCTGTATCCGATTGTTAACAAAATTATCGGAATGACCAGCCTGACGATAATGAACAAGAGTTTGATCATCGTATGTCTCGCGATAGTATTCCAACAAATGCCCATACTCGGATTCATCCATGGAAATCTCCCCCTTTAGAGCTAAAGGAAGTGCGGAAGGGGGCAAAGGCTCGTTTCCCTTGACGATATCAAAGTTGATCTCAGGAGAATCAAGAAAAGCATTGATATCGAATTGGATTGAGGTAGCAGTGGAAGTGGAAGTGGCTATGGAATTGGCAGTGGATGCAGTGAGCTCAAGGATGATCGCCGAATGCTCAGGTCGAATTATTGGCAAAGTTTGGCGAATAAGATCTCCCTGGAATGCTTCCTCAAGATACTTCTTCATATAGGTTCCCTCAAACCCGTCTTTTCTATTCGTCGCATAGTTTTTCAAGATACCATTGCATCTTTCGAAACTAGAAAGCCAATATCCATAAACCGGGCCAAAGTTCAGTACAGTCTCTCGCAGATGAAGATGGAGATGCATGTTTGGCGAAAGGAACGGGGCTTTATACAACTTCTCGCACTCTCTGCAGAAAGCCTCCAAAGATTGATGGGCTTCATCAAGATGAGCCATGGATATGCTTGGCATTGAGAGGTACTGGTATGCATTGACAAACGTTGTCCAGTTACCGGGATGAGCTTCAGGTAGACGACCACGCAGGAGAACAGGAGAGTACACCAAGCACCAAGACTTCCACTCGTCGGCCTTCATGAATGGGAAGCCACGCTCGATCTTTGTCCCTAATGGCGTGTAGTCCTCTGGCAGTACAAGCTTGTCAGCATCCAACTGCATTTCGGCCGAGTGTGCATCTGTGATGAGACCTGAAGATCTCCATTTCTCCATTATCCTCTTTGCTGTTCCGAGGTACAGGTTGTGCATCGGATCGATGACAGTGCACTACACGAGGTTAAAGTAAACCAGGTCATGCAATTCTGACCATCGGACACCATTTTCCCTCTCCAATCTCTTTCTCTGTGCATCACTGCTGGCCATTCTCCACAACTCGACATCACGACGGTTTTCGGCATCAGTGCGAGGCACCCACTCAGAAAACACGAACCCAGAGTAGTTCACAGCATTGGAGTCTGGAAGGCGAGGGAACTGTCGGTTACACTTATTGCATGCACATGTGCTTGAATGAGAGGTAAACCCACAAGTCTTACGGGCAGCAGGAATGTCGCAGGCAACAAGAAGAAGGGCAGCACGGACAAGAGCACCAGATGGGCACTGTACGGTAGGCATCACCACACCGCCATACAACTGGTTGAGTTCCACAACAAGGGGACGGAGGTAGTGATTGATCTCACTTGTCTTTGCTTCCTTGGGCCCTGGCATGAGACCAACGAGAACAACATTCTCCTTCTTGTACCGTTCCGATCTTGGCAAGTTGTTGATGCAAAGGTATATCGCACCACAGGAGTAAGTGACCCCATCGAAAGGTTGAAGCCAATCGATGTTCATTGTAAGCATTATGGAACGCTCATGATTCACAAACGGTAAACCATTGCTGTCCTTCAGACTGTTCCACTTCGTACCATCGTAAATGTCAAACATCATGCCCGGAACTTGCACTCTGGTTCTCCAATGGTTGATGGTGTCTTCGAATCCAGGGCGGCAAAAAAAAGGATAGACAATGTTTTGATTATGGAGTTATACATGTAGATCTTTTTGGGGATAGTCAAGGCTCTTGATGTTTCAAAGAAAAGAGCGTTTCCACATTCTCTACCAGAGAGTCTCTCGAAATTACAGCACTCTGGAACAATATCAGACTCTTCGTATACTTTGTTACAATCGCCACATGCAATAAACCGCTGGACACCTCGAGTCACGTCGCTGAGACCGGTCATAGAGTTGACACCGTTTATACTGAGGGGAAAACGGAAAGACTGTCCAAAGTGTGCCAATACTTCGTTAAGAAACTTCAACAGAACAACACCACCAGAATTGACAACATATTTGGATATGAAGAAGGCAGCAAAAGAAGCAATAAAAGCATGAGTAGGATCGACTGGCATATTGGATGAAGAAAAGTTCTCTATTTGAAAAAAAAATCAATACTTGTTGACTTTATTGATTTATATGTGCTTTTTGTACTAACCTCTAACATCATTAGATTCATCATCAGAAATATCCAAAATGGTTGCTTCAATGACACCCTCATCTTCGCTTTCAGAATCAAACAAGGAATCAACATCAAAAAAAGGTAAGTCTTCGGCTGTTTTGTTAGGTAAAAAAGAATCAAATTATTAGATATTATAAATGATTATAAAACTTTAATAAAAATACTATGCATATCTTCAACTTGATCTTCGGTATCAACATTGTTTTCAAAGTCAATCTCCATGTCATTGTCATTTGACATTACTTCTACAACTGAGGCTATATTATATGAAAATAAATATTTAGTTAAACTTGTCTCAATAATAATTTTCTTAAATTTGAACTTACAAGAAGATCCTGACTGATACTGTCTCACGATATCTTGTTGTGCATGTCTTCTGAGTGTTTGGGTAGACACCAAAACAAATCCCATGCTATTGGAAGAGCATTTAGAGCACTTGCATTCTGAATTGTTGTTGTTGTTTGACATATTGTGTGTGTATGTTTTATTTTTTAAGTCTTTAGAATTGACAAGAATAGAAAATTGTTCAGGAACACAATTTAATATATATCTTTCCAAATTACACCAACTGCCAAAATGACATAGTTTATTCCGGTTGTTAAAATGGGCAGTTCTCTAAACAGTAATTGATTGCCTCATTCTAAAATACAATAATACACGCTTTTGTTAAAACATGTCGTCATGTACATTTTATTGGCTGTAGAGCATATACAACAAAAATATTTGTAGTAATATCACGACCATTAACCTCATCATACTTATAAATAAATATTACAACAATAAAAAGCTTTATTATCTCACTCAAAAGATATCATTTGGTTTAAGTTCCCTACAACTATTGACTCTGCGACATGGCCACAAGTCCCAAAAAGAAATCTCGCAGACATTTTTTACAAAAAAGAGTAAACTCGTTTTTTTATCCAATAAAACAGACCGAGCATTATCATCGCCGTCGAAAATAAAAAAGACAAAAATGATGGAAATTTAGGCTGCCACTCCACAAATAATAGTACCCTACACCATAGATGAAATTACCCTATTTTTCCAGTATACTGTTTTATTAAAGTTAAAAAATGTATCACAAAGTCCAGAAAAAAAGAAATTATAACCTCAGTTTAAATTAACACAAATTTATATCTTTGTACTTTATGTAATTCAACCAAATGTTTAATTATCTTGCGTTCCAGTGATTAGTTTTTGCTGAAAACAAGTGCATTAAAGAGCTAGAGACAATAAAAAACGAGTGGAATAAGAGGCGCTGCGGGCTTTTAAATAAATCGAATTTTCGGAGTATGAATTAGCTTAAAAATTGAAATCCGCTACTTACTCCTGCAGTGGGAAAGTGTTGTTTTCAGTCTCCATTCGAGTAGTATTAAAAGACAGAATAGATACCATTAGGGTGTTTTAAATTGAAATATTTCCATCGGCGAGTGTAAAAGGTAAGTCAGCTTCAAAAAGGATTCCGAAACTAGTAAAGTATATGTAAAAAATATGTAAATCAAAAAGCTTCAAAAGGTTTCTTTTAGATTTTTAGAAGTTGATTATTTTTTACAGGACTTTACGTAGGGAAGTTAAGTAATATGTTTTCATATTAGATGTTATTAGCTAATTAATAGAGTATGGATAGAAAATAAAAACCTTGAATTCTTCAAGATCTTTAAACTTGAAACACCCTATTTTATCAGACACGGATTTAATATGAAATGTCAAATTGAACAATATGCTCCCTGGTTAAGAATTGTAAAGATAGACGAAAAAGAAAATATATCCTTATTATAAGAGCTGTATCTTGTTAGGTTTAATAAAATATATATGTTTATTCGATTTATATAAGATTTTCAAATATATTTAACTGAAATAGAACAAAACTAAGAATCTTATCAACTAAGAATTTAATAATTTTATTTGATGTTGGAATATCAAGTTTTATTGAAAAATAAAAAAAGAAAAACACTATTATACAAAAAACACTTAACAACTTATTGAGAACAAGTATACATTCTAAATATCAGTTAAATATTGGATATTAATAATAATAATAATAATAAAAATAAAATCCAAAGAAAAGCAAAAAAAAATATAATTAAATATTAAAAACAATTTATCCTTCACTTGTTTATTGAATTTTTTTAAACATCTGCTTTGATTCGATTAAATCAAATCCGTTTTTATATAAATTTATTTTATTTATAGACACGGAGTCTTTGTTCCCTTTAATTCTCTTTGATATTTGTTTATTCTTATTGTGTTTAAAGAAGACATTGCAATTGCGATTTATATCAGTTTACTCTTATAATACCTCTGACTTAAACAATCAATATATATATTGAAGATTGTTCTGTAATATAATATATGCTTTTCTTTAATTGTATTCTATATGTTTGATTATTTCTAAGAGCATCTCTAACAATCCGATAATTTTATCTTTTCTTAAAATCAAACATCACAACTCTAGATAAAAAAAATCACTTCACCTATCAGTTCAATTTAGTTTTTTTTAACATAAATTATGGGAGTATTTGCATCAATAAATTTTAAATCCTTGTCGAAGTTGCCACAAAGATAAAAAAAAAAGACTATATTTTTTCCATAAAATAAAATAATTCAGACTTGTGAATATAACGCTTTACTAAACTTTTATATTTCAGATAGAAGCTGATATAAATTTGACTGTTTGAGATATGCGAAGATATCAAATTTTAAAATTAAATATATAGAGCAAATAAAAATAAAATGTTGATAAATAATATAAACAAAGAAAAATAATTAAAGAAGGCTTGTACTAGTTTAAAAGCCTTGATTAATACAATAAAAAGAGAACCTGGTTTGGTCGGGTAAAATTCAATATATATATATATTATAGTCATTATATATGTATCCGATTAGTTCCTGTGCTTACTTTAAATATAGTTCAGACAATAAAAAGATTGTGAGGTTACACGTAGATAGAAAATACAAGAAGCTTCTTTTATAAAAACATATAAATATAATAATATAGTTTGTACTTAAACTATAAACTCTGAGCCACTTTACTATACTCAGATATTTTCTTATAATAAACCATGTGTTTCACAATTGAATACATATACATCACAGATATATATTATTTTCGGGAATGTTTTCCGTAATATCTGAGTTAGTACTCACTTGAAGCTGCTAACAGTCCAAATTGGGAATTATAATAGAGGTCGCAAATCATATAAATACGGTGTACACGTAAATGTTACCTAAACAATTCTTTTGTGTACATTATACTTTTCCTACAAATGGCCTGATGTTTTTGTTTAATAAAACACAAAGCCTTGTATGAAGTAGTCGCACTTTATTAAACGAGTGAATCTAAGTCAAATTATGTAGTAGCATATATCAAATGTTGCTTGTTGAAATTTTTAAATATGAGTAAGAGCGTCATTGGGATCGAAGAAGGTGTCGGAATTATGGTGGTATGAATACTATATGACTTGGAGAGTTGAAGGTCAGCTCTGAGAATGGTGGCATATAACACTTCAGGTATAGAGAAATATTGTATATGACTTGCGAGTGTTGAGGTTTTATTATATGGCCATTATTTCGATTTTTATTTTTCAGTGATTATAAAATAAAACAATAATATTGTTGGTGGTGGCGATTCTGGTAGTTTTGTAAAGTTGATGGCGGGATGGTGGGATGGCGGGATGGAGGGAATGTAGGAAGAGGATTCACGCCATCGTTAAATAGAATTTTTATTTTATTTTTTTTACGGCGCAGTGAAGGCCACTTTAATATACCGTCCTCTCTGGGCGATTGTAAGTAACCACTAGACGGTCTTTCAACCTATGTATGGGTAACAGTATCCCTGTCAATGGACCCTGCTATGTTCCTTTAGCTTAGGGATACACAAAGCTGTCTGCGCAACCAATTGGTAATACCAATTTACAAAAAAGTGCATTCTGTCCGAATTATCGAGTAGAATCCTTAGGTTGTAAAAAGACACAAAAAGAAATAGACAATATATATATATTGTATCAGTGCAGCAATTGTATTGGTAGACAATTGGGCGAGTGTGCGAGTGTGCGTATGTGCATATGTGCGTATGTGTGTGTGTTGGATAAAAGAAAAGAAAAATATATGATAGTAAGCCCAAAATATGATAGCAAGTTATATATATATAGTTTGGGAGTAGCTTCTGGTGTGTAACCGTATATTGAATAAAATGAAAATAAATATATATGATAGTGTATCCAAAATATGATAGAAGCTCGTATATATATATATTTCGGGAGTAGCTTTTGGTGTGTGTCCATGTGTTGAATAATAATAATAAAATATACAAGATAGTATATCCAAAATATGATAGAGGCTCGTATATGTATATAGTTCGGGAGTAGCTTCTGGTGTGTGCCAGTGTGTTGAATAATAATAATAACATATATAAAACAATATATCCAAAACATGATAACAGTTTATATATATTTAGTTCGAAAGTTACTTTTGGTTTATGAATATCACCCTTTTCATTTTGACTTGGTAATATTTTTCTGTAGGCTCTTGCTTTTTTGGTGTAAAATGTTTGATGCTTTTTGATCCAATTTCATTAAGTATAATTATAGAAGAATGTGTATGGATCTGGATAGTGTGTTATTTATGAAACATACTAGAAAACATAGTTTAAATTATATTATTATATATAGCTTCTATCATACATTAAAAGTATTAACGAAAATATAAATAACAATGCGATTGTGAATGATTTGTAAATATATACCGTGGAACAAAAATCGGCTATAGAAGTATATTCCAATATATATTGTATTATTATCTATAGATTAAACCCAATCTAATTTTAATTAGAATCTTGAGGAGACAGGATATATGAACAATTTTGGAATTATTTGAGAGAGGTATGATACAAGCTATATATTTATAAGAAAGCAAAACTATTATTACTAGCATATATGTTTTTACGATATTATTATCTTCTGGATTCCGACGGCCCAAGATTGTTGGAAATATCCCTTCAGTCCAGATCGAGCTCAATAGGCGGCCGATCCGGACAGGACCATATTGCTGATATAACATATTCGGTTTTTATTGGTTAACTGAAATTGTAGTTCTTATTAATCATACATATGTTTTATTTTTATACTGGGCCGACTTCTGTCTACTATGAAATGTAATATTATATGAATGACGATTCCCAAAAGGAATGAATATTCTCAAAAAGGATGACGGGATGGATGAATGGGGGAATGTAGAAGGAGGATGCAAGCCACCGTAAAAAAAAGTTTTTTTTGTTATGATTATGGCGCAGTGAAGGCCACTTTAATATATCATCCTGTCTGAGCGATTGTAAGTGAGAACTAGGCGGTTTTTAAGTCTATGTATGGGGAACAGTATCCCTGTCAATTGATTCTGCTATGTTATTTTAGCTTATTGATACACGAAAACCGCCTGCGCAACCAATTGGTAATAACAGTTTACAAAAAAGTGCATTCTGTCCGAATTATGGATTATAATCCTTAGTTTGTAAGAAAATATAAAAGGAACATACAATCAAGTATATTTTGTACCAGTTCAGCCAATATATTGGTAGACAATTGGGTGAGTGTGCGTATGTGTGTGTGGTGGATTAAAGAAAAGACATATATATAGTATCTGTCACACATTTAATATATTAATAAAAAGAAAAAAACAATGCGATAGTTAATGATCCATCGAGCTATTTCGTGGATTAAACTGTTATAAGAACATATTAAATTAATTCCTATTTAGTTTATATAATTTTCAGTAAGATACTATATCACTACAAAAAAGGAGCGATTCAGAGAGTGATTTTAAAAGCTATTATAAGCATTCTTTATAATCACTAGTTGAATTGCCAATTTTTTCTTAGTGGATCTATTTCTAATAAAGATCTCAAGCAGTGCGATGAACATGATGTCAGTTTATTAGAGTGTTCAGAATAATTTTTTTTTCTATATGCGCTTTCTTTCTTTCATAACATTTAATTATATAACTAAAAGTTAATTCTATGATATATATTCCATATCAAAACCTTTATATAAAGTATAGATTCCTTTTATTCTTATATGTTTTATTAAAACATTCTTGTTATTATATTTGCTTATTATCTAATATAAAAACCCGATACTCTCAATATTATATATTACTATGCCCAGTTGTGAAAACTTTTAGTTCTCTTGTAATACATTTATATATATAATCTAAGACTAGATATATGCTCTTATCGACTATAGCAATTCGGTAAATAAAAAAAAACTAATTGCATTTTAAACATGTCAATAATATTTTTAATTTATGAGACTTGCTTTAATAAAAAGCTGGGATAATATAAAGAGTCTCTTGATATGCTCTTATAGTCTATACATATATATATATGGACCACTTTCTCTTTCATATTCCAACTAAAGTGGTACAGTTTTACAACCTTTCTTTTAAGAAATAATATATTAATATATAACATATGTGTCAAGTAAATTTTTATATAAAATCAATTCACGAAAATGGGTAGCCATATAAGAAATTCGGGTTTTTAAAATGAAAGTCTTTATATTGCTTCTAATCAGAGCAATCAATCCATTGATCTACAATTTTCTATGCATGCTGCTATGTCATCATCTAATGACGAAAGCATAAAATTTTTTCACAGTTATTTAGTAAGAGTGCCAGCCAGACCATCTCTGTTTTCCTCTTGTGCATGGTAAGTCTATTATTTCCTTTTCATTTGTGTTGAGGGAGTAGTATAGTCTATAGATATACTAATCTTGACCTTTTTTCTATGTGAATCAGCGGCGTGTCGGATGGATGGGTGTTGGTGTGGTGTGGATGGGGGGGTGTGGTGGGTGTGGTGGGTGTGGTGGGTGTGGGGTAGTTTAGTTTCCCCTCTCTAGTTAGTTTACGTAGTGGGTAGTCTTTAGATATAGCTTTCGTTTATCCCTTTAGCTTAGCTTAGATTGATAGTTTCGTTCCCTGTTCACCTTTTATTTTTTAAGCCCATAGCTAGCCTCACACCCCAGCGTTCCCGATCTCCTCCCCACTCCGTTCTCTTCCACGAAGTCAGGACAGGTCTACGCCCTGTGGAGGATGGATCCGCCTTTATAGGTGGTGAACTAAGATTCTGACGATATATTTGAATATTAATAAAATTTTTTTTTAAACCATTTTTGTCTGCCCATAAATACAATGTCTGCTTTACAAATGATTGAGAGAAACACTTTATTATTAGAAGAAAACTGAATAAAACAATGCGCGAGAACAATAATATGAGTTTATTTTTTATTTAAAAATATCAAGTTTTAATAGTAGTGTATTTTTTATATGGGCGAGAAGTGGGCGGTGTGAGTGGGTGGTCCGTGTGGGTGGTCCGTGTGGGTGGTCCGTGTGAGTAGTCAGTGTGACAAAGTTTTGACATTCATGGCGCATGCTAATGACGAGAGATTAACATCGCGAGACTTTTTGTTAGGTGGCGTCCGCTTGGTCTAGACCCAGTCGCGTAAAAGTATACTGAAAGGCGTGAGCTTTGAAAATTATGTCCGATGGGATGGAATTAGATGGGATGGGACGGAATTGAATGGCGTCATTGGGATCGAAGAAGGTGTCGGAATTATGGTGGTATGAATACTATATGACTTGGAGAGTTGAAGGTCAGCTCTGAGAATGGTGGCATATAACACTTCAGGTATAGAGAAATATTGTATATGACTTGCGAGTGTTGAGGTTTTATTATATGGCCATTATTTCGATTTTTATTTTTCAGTGATTATAAAATAAAACAATAATATTGTTGGTGGTGGCGATTCTGGTAGTTTTGTAAAGTTGATGGCGGGATGGTGGGATGGCGGGATGGAGGGAATGTAGGAAGAGGATTCACGCCATCGTTAAATAGAATTTTTATTTTATTTTTTTTACGGCGCAGTGAAGGCCACTTTAATATACCGTCCTCTCTGGGCGATTGTAAGTAACCACTAGACGGTCTTTCAACCTATGTATGGGTAACAGTATCCCTGTCAATGGACCCTGCTATGTTCCTTTAGCTTAGGGATACACAAAGCTGTCTGCGCAACCAATTGGTAATACCAATTTACAAAAAAGTGCATTCTGTCCGAATTATCGAGTAGAATCCTTAGGTTGTAAAAAGACACAAAAAGAAATAGACAATATATATATATTGTATCAGTGCAGCAATTGTATTGGTAGACAATTGGGCGAGTGTGCGAGTGTGCGTATGTGCATATGTGCGTATGTGTGTGTGTTGGATAAAAGAAAAGAAAAATATATGATAGTAAGCCCAAAATATGATAGCAAGTTATATATATATAGTTTGGGAGTAGCTTCTGGTGTGTAACCGTATATTGAATAAAATGAAAATAAATATATATGATAGTGTATCCAAAATATGATAGAAGCTCGTATATATATATATTTCGGGAGTAGCTTTTGGTGTGTGTCCATGTGTTGAATAATAATAATAAAATATACAAGATAGTATATCCAAAATATGATAGAGGCTCGTATATGTATATAGTTCGGGAGTAGCTTCTGGTGTGTGCCAGTGTGTTGAATAATAATAATAACATATATAAAACAATATATCCAAAACATGATAACAGTTTATATATATTTAGTTCGAAAGTTACTTTTGGTTTATGAATATCACCCTTTTCATTTTGACTTGGTAATATTTTTCTGTAGGCTCTTGCTTTTTTGGTGTAAAATGTTTGATGCTTTTTGATCCAATTTCATTAAGTATAATTATAGAAGAATGTGTATGGATCTGGATAGTGTGTTATTTATGAAACATACTAGAAAACATAGTTTAAATTATATTATTATATATAGCTTCTATCATACATTAAAAGTATTAACGAAAATATAAATAACAATGCGATTGTGAATGATTTGTAAATATATACCGTGGAACAAAAATCGGCTATAGAAGTATATTCCAATATATATTGTATTATTATCTATAGATTAAACCCAATCTAATTTTAATTAGAATCTTGAGGAGACAGGATATATGAACAATTTTGGAATTATTTGAGAGAGGTATGATACAAGCTATATATTTATAAGAAAGCAAAACTATTATTACTAGCATATATGTTTTTACGATATTATTATCTTCTGGATTCCGACGGCCCAAGATTGTTGGAAATATCCCTTCAGTCCAGATTGAGCTCAATAGGCGGCCGATCCGGACAGGACCATATTGCTGATATAACATATTCGGTTTTTATTGGTTAACTGAAATTGTAATTCTTATTAATCGTACATATCACCACCAAAGAGTTTTCTTGTGTAATTATACTCCCAAAATAGGTTTACATAGCTGAGTAAATAGTTCTGCCTTTTATGGACAGACCATTTTTGCGATGAATTCTGATTGAAAAAAAACACGGATTTAAAAATGCTTTTTCCAAAATATCAAAAATGATTCAAAATAAAGTCTCTTTCAAATAAATGGTTTTTATTTTTATTTCAAAATAGAAAAAATATTAAGTTATTTTATATAGTTTATAGACAAAAATATATAATAAATTTAATATAGTTGCTCTATACTAAATGAAAAATCAGAATATCCATATCACTCATTATTCTTGAATAGAAAAGTAACCTAGCAAAATATAAATATGAATTAGTATTTCAAGCTTAAAAAATATAAATCAAATTAAAGTTTACGTTTGTGTTTTCCATGATACATCTCATAAAAGTCAGAATATCTGCAAGTAAGAAGAGATAAAAGATAATTAGTATTCCATTATTCTGTAAACCGAGTAAACAGTTATTACCTCTTAACTCATTTTGACCAGATAATGAAAAACTAATTGTCAACAAATGACACCTGAGATGAATAACTGCATCACAAAGTAGAATATTGCTTTTCTATTATACATACCTCAAAAACAAAAATATATAGATCTGTTTCCTACAAGAATAATATTGTAGATGTAAACACACGTAATGAACAAACTTTTGTTGATAAAGTAGAGTAAGAAGTAATGCAAAGAATGTAATCTCACACTTTCTTTTGTATGGAGCCAGGAAAAAAAAAAGCTCAGGATTTTATTAAAGGTCTCTGATTGAATATGAAAAGAGAAAATTAAAATATTTGTTTTTAAGGTTTTGTAGCTTATATGATGTTTTTTGCTTTTAAATTTTATGGTTGTTTTTGTTTTTGTTTTTTTGTATAAAAAAAATGTAGGAGTTATGGAGAGTCCAGCTCTAGTTCAGAGCAGAGATGAGAAATTGACTTGCGTGCAATGTGGAGCACTGCAGAGGGAAGGAAAGGGACAGACTTAAAGTAGAAAGACCAGTGGTGATCCCAAATAGTCAGGATAGTTAGGCCAAAGACTGAGGAAGCAGGGAACGCAGGGTTAAGCATGGGAGGGAAGACGAAGGATTGGAGAGCACTTGAGAGGACAGAGGGCAGAGGGACGGTGCCGAAGAATTCCAACCAAATGCCTGTCCACACAGCAGATTTCAACGGGCAACACTGGAAAAATAAGGACAATTAACATATTGTCCAGGTAGTCGGATCATAGTGGATATGTCAGGATTTTTTTTCATCTCAGCAGTTTTTTTTCATCAAGTTGGGGGTGTAGTTTTGATGTATTCTATTGGCTTAAATAAAAATAAAATAAAAATAAAATAAAAAATACGTTTTGGTTTACTATAAAACCGTATCAAATGAAATATTTGTAGCACTCTTGTTTCCTTTTTTATTTTATAATTCAAAATACATACACTATGTTTCCTTCTATTCAAATGCACAACACTGATTGCCACTGCACCAGATGCAATAATAATGATCAAGGAGTTTCCCGAGTATCGAGACGTACTGCTCAGTGTCATAATAAAAGAGCTAGATTTGAAGGTACTGAGATATTCAAGAGTTGTATAATTTATTCAGTGCTGTTATCTGTCTACCGAGTAATAATCGCTTTTATTTTTATTTTTTATTATTTTAAAAAACATAGCTGAAAAGAGAAGCATGGAAGTAGATACTGAAAGTAAGACATTTTTTATATGAAACGCAGAAGAAAAACTAATAATAAACTATTATATTCCATATTTGTAGTAATCCTGACGTATCAATCCGATTCTGTGGAAGCAATGGACGGTCAGGCCAACTCACCTATTTCGGATGCCGTCTCAACGTTTGACAATGACGTCTTTGTTGGTAATGACTACAATGGTGATGAGTCTGACACGACCGATGACAATGACAGTGATGACAATGGCGAAGAAGACACTGCCGAGATTTATGTTGAAAAGTTTAACAATGAGGGTCAGTTTTAAATACATAAAAAAAAACTAAAAAAAAATGTGTGTTAATTTTTTTTTTTTAAAAAAAAGACCCTTTTGCTGCTTCTGGTATGCCCGAGAATCCAGTGCACAGATTTATTGCTACTTTTACAGTACTGTTTGCATCTCGTTACGTGGTCAATAAGGGTTCTGTTGTCTTGATTGAGTTCATCAATGAGCTCTTGAAGATTTATGGACAAGATTTCCAACTTCCCGAAAGTCTGGCTGGGCTACATAAAATGACTGGCTTTTCGTCTATCACCAAAGGCATCAAGCGATTTGTGTCATGTCCAAACTGCCATTGCATCTATGAAGAAAACATGTCCGTACCTCCCCATTGTGTTTTCACAAATGTTGGTGCACGCTCTCCTTGTGGTTGTAAGTTGATGAAAGAGTCAACTTCAGGTGCACTGGTATCAAAGCGAGCATACTTGTACCAGTCCCTCAAGCAAGCTTTGTCTGTTCTTTTCCTTCGTCCTGGTTTTGAAGAGCAAATCCGTCACTGGAACACGGAGCTTAAGATTGTCGATACTATGTGCGACGTATACGATGGAGCAATGTGGAAAGAGCTGAAGGATGCAAGTGGTGTCTCGTTTGTTGCTTGTTCTCGCTCATTGATGTTGACACTCAACATAGACTGGTTCCAGCCGTTCGATGGAGTTAGTTACTCTTCTGGTGCAATTTACTTGGTTGTAAATAATCTGCCTCGAGAGGTATGGTTCAAGCCTGAGAACACAATTCTGGTTGGTTTGATGCCTGGTCCCAAGGAGCCAAGATGCGAGGAGATAAATAACTATCTCAAGCCCATGGTAGACGAGATGAAGCAGTTGTATGTTGGAATGCGAGTCCTGACCTACGAGTGCCCTTCTGGTGCTAATGTCCGTGCTGCCTTGCTGATGGTTGCGTGTGACATCCCTGCTGCCAGGAAAACAAGTGGATTTACAGCCCACAATAGTACATGTGCGTGCTACAAGTGTACAACCCAGTTCCCCAGATTGCCCAACACAAATCAGGTGGACTTCAGTGGATTCGATTATTCGCTTTGGAATATTCGTAGTGGTGTAGAGAACAGGTTGCATGCTGAGGAGTGGAAGAGTGCGAGTACACCCTCAGAAAGGCACCAGCTGGAGGTCGAATATGGTGTTCGATGGTCGCAGTTGCAACGCCTTGGATACTTTGATCTAGTACGTGGAACGATCATTGATCCCATGCATAATTTATTCCTGGGGACGCCCAAGAGAATGATGGACCGGTGGGTCGATAAGAAAACGATTGGAGCCGAAGAGTTTGCTGCCATGGAAAAAATCGCAGGGACAATGGTTCTTCCGAGGGATTATACAAAGCTGACATCGAAGATTGGAAAAGGCTTTCCTTACATGAAAGCCGACGACTGGAAATCCTGGGTACTGGTGTATTCTCCTGTTCTTCTGCATGGTGTTCTACCATTTGAAATGTACAACAACTGGATGAATTTCGTCCGTGCATGCCGCTATCTTATCAAGCCAAGCATCACATTTGATGAAGTGAACAGCGCCCACGACTATCTGGAAATGTTTTGCAAAAAGGCTACCGAACTCTACACTCCCACCATCCTCACCTGCAACATGCACCTGCACCTCCACCTTCGCGAGACCATTCGTGATTTTGGACCCATGTACGGTTACTGGCTCTTTGGGTTTGAGAGATACAATGGCCTGTTGAAGCATATAAAGACAAACGGAAAAGATAGTTTTGAGGCAACATATATGAGAAGTTTTGTTCAAAACGCATTCAAGGGTGACTATGCCAATGCTGTTCTGAAAAGTTCTAGCCACGTCCCCTTTTTCAACATTCTCTCAAAGCTTTCTCTGAAATTCACACCTACCACCACAGTCATTACTCTCTCCTCCCGTCCATTCCGATTGCAATCATTCTTACTAGCATTGTCCAACCCACATCTTCCTCCAAAGGGTAACGAACCTCTCCCTCCTTCGACTTTTCCTCTTCAGCTAAAAAAATCATCACTGATGGATGAAACCGACTATGCCCATCTGCTTCAGCACTACAAAACATCCTATGATCTTCCCGACCTTGTCAGTTACCAATATGCCACGCTCACAAACTCCTTTGTTGACAATGAAATCACAAAATTGAAGTTCATTGACTTACTTGGTCAACAGTACCGTGGTAAAAACGGTTCAGCTAGTTGTGGTTCTCTTGTCCACGTAATGTTTGTTGGTAGTGATGGTAGAAATACCCTAGCCTATGCTGGACAAATACAGTATCTCTTCACACACTCCTTTACACACCCTTCTAACAGCAATCTCCACCTGACTCGCATGGTTCATGATCATTGACATGTATTCGCATATATCAAGTGGTTTAATACTTCCTCTGATAGATCGCGTGAGGATGACAGTCTTGAGTTTTGTCTCCCCACCTTCTCCCCCGATAGTCGCCATTGCATTGTACCTGTGCACCGCATCTTTTTAGAGATTGCTACAGCCAGGATTACTACAAGTAGAAATGTTAGTAAGATGTTAGTAATTGCTTTGCCAAAAAAGCTTTATGCTTAAAATAAAAAAAAACCCCCACTTGAATTTCCTTTTCTTATACAAAAAAAAACAGAACAAATTCCCTATATATATTGATAGTATTGTGTATGTAAAAAGTAATACGTAGATAAAAAGAGAGAAACATTTTTTTTTATTTAGAGCCCGTCTCTAAGAGCCCACCGAGGAAAATTGGGGCTAATGTTATCCGGGACTGCTGAGTTGGACACACTAGTAGTGATCCTACGGATCCTTTGATTAGCACTTGACCCCATGGCCTGGACAGCATAAGTGTCAACAAGTGCAATGAAACGGTTGCACTGAAATACATTCGTTAATAATTCACTCAATATAATAATACACCAATACAAACGTATTACTCCAAATTAATCTACCTCATCGCTTCTCCAGCCTGGTTGTACAATATGAATGACATGTTTTATGCCATCCTCGTCCATTTCATCGGCAGACTCTCCATCTGACATTACTGCTTTTTGGAGAGTGTTGGCACAGTCTCTGAGCATTACAAGATCAATTGCCTCCTTATTGTCTTTGTAGGCCAGTACACGGCGACACTCATTCTAGTAATAAGTTTTGTTAATTTGTTATTTTTATTTTTAATTTTCAACTATAAACTATATATATTAGCATAATACTCACATCATCTGCACGGGCTGCTCTTCGTGTAAGAGCGTTTGTTTCCGCTATCTCATCATCAGACATTCTCTCACGATGGGTTCTACTAGTGAAGTTGGTGTGCAACCTCTTTCGGAGGTCACTCCGTCTCATACTAGAGGAACCAAACCTGTGCTCAAGGTTAGAAAGAAGTCTCTCGGCTATCTCCCTGTTGGGAGATTTGTTGAAAGCAACATTTGTATCCCATCTGGGCTTGAGGTTGTTGGCCAGGATATTTTCTGGCGTTCTCAAGCTAAGCTTGGGTTTCCACATAAGGTTGTGAATATGAGCCTGATAAATAAATCATGAGAAAATGAATTGATAAAATATTTTATAATATGTTACTCACATAAACTGCATTAGATTCTTCATGGGTAGGCTCATGGTTGGAGATGACAACAGGTGCAGCAACAGTGAGTTCGGCTCTCACAGGAGCAGCAAGGGGAGTTCTGGCCAAACTATCTATGGCACTGATGGTGTTGGTGCTGGTGGTGGCAAGAACGCCAATTCTGCCATTCATGTTGGTCAGAGTTTGCTCAACATTGCCGATCTGTCCTTTTACGGTAGACATATCAGCTCTCACAGTAGAAAGTATTTCCATAAGCTGCTGATTGGTAATCTCAACAGGACGAAGGGCAATTGCGCGTTCACGTCTTGTGTTAGTCATTGTCTACAGAATATAATAAAATGAAAGGTTATAATGATTAGTTTCAGATTATATTATTATTATTGCTGTCATTCTACAATTAAATTTATGTAAATTTAATTAAAAATAAATCGTATCAAGTTTACATACTTGAATTGTTAGAACAAGTGTATTGATTTGGGAGTATAAGTGTAGTAAGTAGCAAGAGAGTAAGAGCAAGGGAAAGTGTATTATATGAAAGGTATGATTATTATATATATTCAAAATATATTTGATATACAAATCTCTATTAATACTTCTTGTAATGACTGGGATGTAAATCGGTTTTCATATTGTTTTGGGACTTGATGAAATCATTTTAGTCTTTTGTTTTAAACACACTTTTTTCTTTTTTTTTAAGATTTTTTTTTTTACTTTTTTATTCGTTTTTTGTTATTTCCCTCTTTTCTCTCTCTTTTCAATTCTTGTTATATTTGCAAATTTTTCTGGTAAGATTGTTTTTGGTTCAAAATACTTCTTTACAAAGAACAAAAGAATTAATTTTTTTGTCTGTCATAGGTATTCTATCTGTTTCTCTCTCTTCACTCTTTACACTCGCAAGGTTTTATGGTAAGGCACTTTCTTTGTTTTAAAAGAAATATATACTTCTTTATGTATAACTAAAAAATAACAATATATTTTAATGTCATAGAAACTCACTCTTTGTCTCATTCTGATGTGCCATCTTCACAACAGTCATCCGGATTAGCCAGGGTTAGTAAATATACTTTATGCCATCATTCCATACAATCATTCTGACTTTTTTCTTTCTTTAATATAGGCCACATCGCCAAAAATACTCTCTACAATCAAACACGGATATTGACACGGTAATATTCTATTTTATTTTAATCTATTTCTTTTTAATATTTATCTAACTGAATATAATTTCTATTATAGATGAACATCCCTCTTACGAACGTGCCATTCCTCAAGAACTTCCATCCCATGCTACCGTCATTGCCATGGTAAGCCTTTTATTTACTTCTATAAATACAATAATATTATTTATACTATATATTAATGTATATTCTCTACTAGAGACGATATTACCACTTTACAGATAATATCTTGGTCTGCAAAGAAATCCTTTGCCTTTGGTATGTAAATCAATTATTCTATCATGCAATTCACAAAAATTAATTCTTTCCTATCGTTTTATAGTCAAAGAAATCATAATCCCGTGCTTTACTGTAAATGTTTTATTTCTTTGTCCATTTGTACTGGGTACTTCCAATGTAAGTATTAATTAGTCCATAAAATTTGCAGTATAAAACACGCACGCACTCCCATCACTAATGTTTTATCTATTCTCAAAGAGTACTGCTCTTACCCCTAAAAAAAGGTAACGAGCACCTCATTTTCTTTAGGTATTTGTTTTTTGTAGAAAATTTTTCATCCCAAATATAACAAGCTTGCCGAGCAAGAAGTAGCTGAGGATATAGAATAGCTTTATTAGATTTGAAACCTAGAAACATTCTATTCTTTCCAATAAAAATAAAAGCGTAAACCATTACCAACCTAACAAGAATGGGAAACCAAATAAATAAAGAACATATTACTGGTCCATAATTTTAAAGACGTGTTTTTATGCTGTTGATGATTGAAGGTTTTAAAGAACTGTCAGTATAGGTGGTCAGTAAAGGTGGTCAGTAAAGGTGAGGTGTAGTACAGATAAACCATTGGAGCAATATACATGATGTAACCCATCTTTGACCTTTCCTGTTCTGTGTCAAGAATACCGAGATAAATCCGTAGTTTTAAATATTTTTATTTATTTATTAAGCATAACGAGTATATCAAAAGTGCTACCAAACCTTACTTGCGGAACCCCCCATCTACATATACTGTAGTGTTTGTAAGTCTCGCACATACAGTGCTAGATGACCTTAAAACCTAGTGGAAAAAAATATCAACTATGATATATCACGTTATTCCAGTACCGTTTGCCCATATATACACGTCAGTATTTTTCTACTTTTTTCCAGTGCAAGCAAGAAGAAAATGTTCTTGCGTCTCGATAGACACCTGGCAAATAGTGCAGAGAGGAGAAGAGACGGTGGATGACATGATGCGGTACAGAAGTGCTCAGCACGAAAGCTTATTGTGCAACCTGTGAAACCAGACATTCTGAGCCCAGTGAGGGAGGGCAAAAGACCAGAAGGAGCAAAGTTGTTGTAAGATGAGAGGAGGGTGGATGGGACGAGCATCAGACAGTTGATGGGAGCAGGCAGAACGGTAGGAGCACGTGGAGAGCCAGGATCAGGTCTGACCGGGAAGTTTGGCTGACAGAAGTGGCTGAAGGTCAATGGACAACCCGTCGCGAATAGGAAGATCTGACTATTGGAATGCCAGTACAAAAGAAAGAATGCATGCTCAAAAGAGAATGGGATGCAAGATCATTGTATGATCGCAAATTCTGTTGAGGATAAGATTAAGTGTGACAGAACAGGGTAGAAGACGAGAGGGAGTGATTGGTATGAGTATATACAAATTGGACTCGCAAATCACGCCAAGCAGATCGATATGGAGGGTGAGATGGCATACTGGATATCATGGAAGACAACGGCAGGATGAGACAACTGGAAAGGTTGAGTACAACTCTGTCAAAGTTTTGAGGAAGAGTATTCATAGCCTTCAGAACCAGATGCAGCAGGGAATCAAGGGTTCAATAGTTGCGAGGATGACATTCCAGAAAGAGTAAGGGAAGAAGAGGATCAATGGCAGGGACGTCAGAGCAAAGAAGAGTGGAGAACCATTGGGGAACAAGATCGTGAGGCAGTAGAGGATTACGGATAAGGGGCTTCAGCCAGCAAAGTTGGAGAGCACATTGTTGTATACCAGGATCCAAGATACCAAGGCCACCCTGTAGTCGGGGCAAGCAGAGAGTGTCAAAAGCAATGGGAGGAAAAGATTTGACACCAAAGAACCCATGCACGATAGAGCGAACTCAGTCAAGGAAGGCAGAAGGGAACGAAACCACACGAAGAACGTGCCATAGTTGAGAAAGTACAAGAGAGTTCATGATGGTTGCCCACCCATGAAAGGAAAGATATCGTGATCCGTGAATACTGCAAAAGGTCTCAATTTTTGACAGGAGGGTGGTCCCGTAGGAGTCTCGTTGAGTGATAGAGGAAAATAATGGAAAACCAAGATATCGGAGAGAGGTAGGTGACGTACGATCATGCCAATCAGTAACATCATATGCACAAAGGAAAGTATTCCAGTCGGGGAGTGGCGATCCTGAAAGGGAGAAGGCTTGAGTCTTGTGCATATTTATGCAAGCGTTAGATGCGGCAGCATATGTGTTGAGATGGTGGTGAAGTCGAGACATCTGATCCATGTCTAGAAGAAACACCAGCAGGTCATTGGCATAAGCCAGCAGTTTGCCAGGGGATAAAGGGGGAAGAGTGGGAGGGACAGAAGGGAGGACATCGAGAAATAGAGGATCGTGTATCACGCAGCAAAGCAAAGACTCAAAAGCTAGGTTGAAGAGAATTGGTGAGAAAGGATCCCCTTGTCAAAGGCCACGGGCTTGTGTAAGAGAGCGGAAGAGAAAGCCATTGACATTAATCTGTAGCTGCGTAGAGAAAAATAGAGAAGAGACAGAATTAACGATGGAAGGAGGGAAGCGGAAATAAGCAAGCACTTGATGAAAATACTCTGGGTGTACTCAATCATAAGCCTTTTCCTGGTCCAAGAGCAATACAATCCCTGAGGATCCAACCTTCGCGGCTTGTGCCATGACCAAGCGAGTCAGCATCCCATTATCAGCTATAAATCTACCTTGAACAAAACCAGTTTGATACGGGGTGATAAGTGTGGTAACAGCAGAAATCATATGAGCATTCATGAGATGGGTAAACACTTTTGCATCACTATTAATCAAGGCGATGGGACACAAGTTCATCAGAGAACTGAGATCGCCTTTTTTTGGCAACAAGCAGACACAAGTGAACAGTTAAGAAGGAGAAAAGATTCCCTTCAACAAGGCATCGTTATATATCTGGGAAACGAGGTTGCCACACATGGGATGGGCGAGAATGAGGCAGAGAATCTCATATAGCAAACTATCTGGGCCCAGGCTACTAGAGCTGGGAGAGCAGACAGTGTCTGACCAAATTGTGTTGAGAGCAAATGGCCGAGTCATATAGTCCTGTGCAAGTTCAGACAAATGGACATCTGAAAGCAAATGAGAGAGCAGCTCATCTACAGCAGAGTGGTCTATAGTATCAGGGGTGTACAAGCCTTCATAGAAGACTGCTGCGGCCTCAGTCATGTCATTGAGTGTGATGCAAATGTTGTTTGTAACAGGGTGACAGAGGCTAGCAATAGCTTTGCGGGATTGGTGAATGGCGATAGTGCGTTTGAGGTATTCTGCAGAAGTCTTACCCTTTTCCCACCAGTGTTTCCCGGCCCTGAGAGCCATAATCTCGATGCGTTCAAGTTGGACTTGCTGCAACAATCGTTTCACAATTGGGAGTTGTAAGTTCTGGGCGGGTTGGTGGCCAAAACAGTGAATGAGTCGGTCTCATCGTTTTTGTAGGTGTGTTTCCAGGTCGTTCAGAGAGGGGGAAGGTGGTGAGAGAAACATTTAACAAAATGAATCACTTTGAGCTTAATCGCATCCCATTGGGCTTGAGGAGAAAGATCAGTGCGAAGGGCAGGAACGAGGGTGGAGAGAAGAGTGTTGAGATTGGTATGGAACGAAAGTGATTGTTCTAGGCGAGGGTTAGCACGTCAAAGTCCCTTACCAGAAGACTTGGTTGAAGGGAGGGACAGACTGATGTCAACCAAAAAATGATCAGACTATTTCTAGTGAATATAGCTCACTTGTGGATCTGTAGTTCAAGGGTGAAGGTCGGAGGACGCAAGGATGTAGTCAATGGCAGTGGAAGACAAGGCATGTTGGAACGTAGACTGCGGGTGCTGGCCACGAGGGGTGATACAGTCAGTCATATGGGTATCTATAAACTGTAGTCAGTCAGTGGGAACACAACGTCCAAGATCATAGAGTGAGTAAATTGCATAGTTAAAATCGCTCAATCGAATCACGTTTGAAGGATTGGGAGGGATGAGGTCAGGAGTGAACAGTAAAGAGGTAAGAAAACAATAATGTAGGTTTGGGAAGCTGGCGCATAAATGACGCCTATCCTGAAGGGCGAAAAAATATTATCCACATGCATGATAGTTGTCGTGATATACCTGCCACATGGGCTAAATAGAGGGTCAGTGAAGATAATGTGAGGGGAAAAGCATACAATACCGCAGTGTGGAGACCATAAAAATGAAGAGGACCGAAATTGTTGATCAAAGGTAGATTGAAGCATAGATGATGAGGCATGGGTTTGTTGCAGGGCTAAAATATCGATTCCCTGCAAGCGTAAATGACATATGAAAAAGGAGCATGATTCAGGGTGCTCGACTTTGGGTAGACCTCTACAGTTCATAGTGCCTATTTTAATCATTGGTTAATGTTGGCCTCTGCGCCGAGGGCTTTTGTGGCTTGTGCATGAGTAAAGCGAGGAGGAGAGAGAGATGTATTGTGGCCTGTTGGACGTGCCAGCTGGGAAAAACGGAGATGAGTGTGACGAGAGGCAGACTGGAGTCGAAGAGCCTGAGCCTCATCTCTATCCATGAGATTAGTTATTATTCTGTTGTCTATCTCTTTGTCCCAGCTACGTGTGGGAGTGTTAACAGAACGGCTTCGAGGACAAGGGCCGGAGGACGTGGGCATCTTGGTTGGTGTTGGTAGAGTAAAGGAGGTCGTTGTGAGAGAAAGCTTAGACAACTCACGCAAAGCAGGTTGACAAGGGTTGTGCTTGGAAGCCTCTGATCCTCCATAAATGAGTGTGAGCTCAGTGGGAATCAAAGGCTTGGGTGCAATGATGGGGCGATTGAGGTTCGAATTGTGGCTGGGGTGGTGGGAGTGCTTGTTGGATGTCTTTGATGTCTTGGATGTCTTGGATGTCTTGGAAGGATCGGTAATGTATGGACAATTGGCTTGTAAATGACCAGTCTTGTTGCATCCAAAACACGTTCGGGTTTTGGCTGGGCGTTTGGTGCATTTTGTGATGCCATGCGCCATTTCGTTACAGTAGGTGCAGTGGGAGCCCATGGAAGGTGTTATGTATGAGGTAAAAATAAGATATAAAATAAAGCAAGCGCAGACGAGAGTACGGTGAGACTTTGTTTTATTAGAAGAAGTGAAAGAATCAGAAAAGAGATGCTGTTCTATTGCTATTAGTATTGTGCGTTTATATAGACATTGTATTTAGCTTGGTGATGATATGATGATATCATGTAATGTCTGTTTCTCTACCATTATCTTCTATGATTTAGTTCTTATGTTTTTAGTGTTATTAACTAGAGTCTTAGTATTTGTTTTAGTATGTTCTTTACGTAATTTCCTTGTATAAGGGAAGGTATATCTTTTAGTATTGTTACTAGTTGTCGGTAACTCAATGTACATATTTATTGAGTGTCTGTACTTTTAATTTAAATCTACGATTACATTGGATACAACAGAAGGCCACTTACGAAGAATCTTTTGCGTACCATCGTATGCAATTTGGTATGTCAGAGAATCTGATGGCGCATTGTTGGTAGGTGTATTGGCGAGGACAACATAGCCAGAACCGTCAAAAAACCCATATGATTCATGAATGGCGATCTCCCACACTTTGTCAAAAGAGACATACATTTGGCGAGTTGTGTAGCCAGTTCATGATAAGGAACACAAGGAAGCTTGGTTAGAAAAACACGGCAAACAATTGTGCCAATTGGAACAGCAGGTTGAGCAGGGAAAGACGAATTGCTGACTACCAAAGGTTGAGAGCACACTTGCTCGCAGTCAGCGCTGGTAGGTAGATAAAGTTCACATGTATCAGGGGAAGAGCGTGAGCCAAGAGTGATGCCCATGTTAACCTCGCGAGGGTAAGCTGAGAGAAGAGCTCTTCAAAAAGGGTCAAACTTGGGTGAGGATTTGGGTGGGATGCTAAAAAAAACTGAAAACTTAGAGGACCCTACACGCCAGGTACGTGGGGTCGTGTTATTTGTAGAGCTGAAGATAACATGAGGTTGCTTTTCAAGAAGTGGAAGTGCGTTCTGAGTAGCTACTTGTGAGTAAAGAGGTGTTGAAAAGGGTGACATTGGTGTGAATGAGGGTTGCAATGGTGTAGATGAGCCAGTGTTGGAGGGGTTTTTGGTCCCAGGTGGTTCCAGAGTGGTAGTGGAAAGAGCCATGTTCGTAATCTCACACTTATTCAAAATTGATTTAAAAAATTTTCATTGATCTACTGGCGTCTAATACCAATGTTGAAACTGGCAGAAATGTTGTTAAAAAAAACGCGAAGTCATTCTCTCTCTGCTTGTCTTATTTTTATAAGTTAAAGAGATATGTTTAATAGTAAATAATTAAAGATACAGCCATAAAGTATTGATAAAAATTATGTATACGTATTTATATTTTCACTGGGTTGAGTTTTGTCTTAGAAGATTGCTTACGTTAAACATTTTTTACGAATATTATAAGAAACAAAAAAAATCGTATATTTTTTGTTTGAAATTTCGATAAAGTTGTTTTATATGCTGAAATTCGTTGCCTTTGCCGAATTTTAACAGAATTGATTTTTCATTGCTCAATACAATCGCCGAATTTTCTTATTCAACGCTATGCCTTACCTGAACAGCTTTTTGTTGTGATCAGAAAGGTTTGAAGTAGGACCAAACCTTCTTTCCTCCTTTATTTGGAAAAGAAAAGATTCAATTCACAAAAATACACAAAGAAAAATTCTCTAAGCCAATAATATTGCTTGGGTGAAACTTACTACCATATTTGGTTTAGAGTCTCAGTGGTGGTGATATGAATGAGGATCCCTAAAAGGAATGAATATTCTTGAAAAGGATGATGGGATGGATGGGGGAATGTAGAAAGAGAATGCAAGCCACTGACAGAAAAAAATTTGTAATGATTATGGCACAATAAAGTTTGTTTTAATACACACTTCTTTCTAAATAGTTTTGAGTAAATAGGTGCTCACCAGCACCTGTAAATATATCGATATCGAAAATTGAATGTCATCTCAAATATCTCAAAAGGATTATAACCTGCTTTTTATTCTTGTCTCGTTTTGGAAAAGTAAATATAAATACTAAAATAACTAATTTTTCTTCTAGTAATCTTTTTTTTAAAAATATCAAACCCAAAAAAAGAGTGGTGGTAGTTTAGATTTCCTTTTTTTGACCCTGATTATTTTGAGTATATATATTTTGTAACTTTAAAATCATTGATATCCCTTTCCTTTTTGAAATTTTGTTCCCTTTTGGGATCCTGATTATTTTGAGGGGTTTTATAGATTGGGAACAAAAAACAGTGCTTAAATCTTCAAAATTGAAAACATTTTGGGTAGTGGTGAGCACCAAATACTAACAGTGCTCTTCATGACCCCAACCCCTTTCCTTTTACGTCCCACCAGACCTATTCCTAAAACGTTCCCAAAACAATTTTGGAGCTATATGTTACTCAAGATATTTTTGGAGTACTTGATCTCTAAAATGCCATCATAATGTGTGCATTTTTTTTGTACTATTTCTTGTGTTCTTTATTTTGCAATATTTCTATTAAAACAAAACAACAATGAACTACAACTACCTTATTGACTTTGTTTTTGGAGAAGGAGGAGCCAAAAAAATTTTATAAGCATTGTATAATGCTTACCCTTAGATTTTTCTAATTGACAAATGACTCAGAATAGCAAACAGATTCATTTAAAAGGCAATGAAAAAGAAGTAAAGAAATAAAATAGCACATTAACGTAGCTATTATTCTCATGAAAAGTAACAGTGTAACTATGACTGTTTAGTATGCTGTATATGGGATGTTATTTTGCATTTTACTTCCTGTCGAAGATGTATTTTCACCTTTGGCAAGTACAAGATTTTTTATCATTTTGGAAATTTTATGTTACATAATTACTATATATATCAAGAATCCTTATGTATGTTTTGGGAATGGGTCTGGTAGACGTAAAAGGAAAGGGGTCGGCGTTGTGAAGAGTACCTTAAATTATTTTTCGTCCTTATATAGATAATAGTGTCCCTGACAATTGATCGTGCTCTGGTTACTTCTTGTGGTATTTCAGGTACGAAACAATAGAAAAATAAAATATTTGATAATAGAGACGTATAGAAATACTTTGAGACTGTATATCAGTTTTTTTTATTCATAAATAAAAAGTGTCCCTTTTTATAAGAAAACACAATCTGCTCTTGTCATTACGTCTTAGTTTCTTAAGGCTTTCTTCCTTTACTATATTTGGTTATTAGAGTGTATTTACTGCTTAACTAGTGTCGGTGTTACAATTATGACATCAAGTCATAAATTGTACTTCTTTAGCTCTTAGCTATTCTTTTCTCTTTTATACTAGAGCTTTAGGACTTCCTACTAAATTAGCTCCATATCGATCTGACACAGTTTACCCGGCAGTATGATATAATTATCTTAACAATCTTTAAGATATTATCTACAGTACTAACTGTAATAATTATTGGGCTGATTACTTAATCGTTTATATATATTTTATACTGACAAGATGATAGCTACTACGCTATCCCAATATGAATATGTTCTTATATGTGATAAATCCAACATCCGAGTGTCTGGATCACCACACTTCTCTATAGGCTTCACAAAAGCTTTTTGTACTACTGATCAGTCATATCTGTGTACAAAAAGACTTTTCTTTATAGGAGGTCGTAAGCTCTAACTTATCAATGAGTCTCTACACAGTCTACAAGAAGGCATAAAAAGCAAATCATCTTATACTCTATATTTTATAATGATACAGCCAAGATGTTGGTGGACAAGCTGGTTTGTGCATCTATATGTGAAGAAAGACTGGGATGTATACACTGCACATATACACCTTGGAGACAGGTATTTAACCCCAAAAAAATGCCCTTATTAATTTAAATTTTCACATTTTTTCTTATTTTTTTCTTTTTTACTTCCTTATACCAATTTACTATAATAATTTTAATTAATAAATCTAAAACAAAGACTTCAAGTATGATATTTAATGGAATACATAAAAAGTATTCTATGTATTTTTCTTTTCTCTTAAAGGGCAATATAAAATATCATGACATATATTATACAGCCGTCCATTTCAAGAGTGTCTGCCAAAGTCATTGCCTTTTTTTGGAAAAAAGATTGTAGCTTTATTTGTACTCCACTCTTTGCTTCCAGTGTATGCTTGTAATGTCAGAATATAGGACGGCTTTTTTTCATATAAACGTTTATACAAACTGATATTCTGTTATGTAGAGTATATATAGATATATAGCTATTCTATAATGTCTCTTATGCTAAATAATATTCTCTTTTCTTTAAAAAAAATATTTCTAACTTTTGAACACTCCAAATTGATGCCTTTTGGAGTGTCTGATTTATGTATTCAACTAAAAAAAAATTGTACTTTTAGAAACAACTCGTATTTTTGCTATTGGGCATTTAAAGAGCTTATTGAAGTGGTGCAAGCTTCCCGAATTTCAGGGTTCTATGCTTTTTGAGAGTGAAAAAATCGGATATTTTGATTAACATTTGAGTAATTGTAATATAATAAACCTCGAAGAGGTGGATCACAATGTGTCTCACCAGGTTACTTAAAGCCAAAAAAAAACATTGCTTATTTGATTCGATTTTTAATTTTCTATAATTGAAAAGCTATGATTACCATTGGTGTGCATTTGCATATGCTTGTAGAAATCTTAAAAAATATCATTTCCAGTACACTCATATTTAATCGACCATAGAAAAGGTTCATTTATACAAAGGCTCCGTGCTTCAAACTAAAATAGTCTCAAGCAAACCAAAGCTAGACTATGAGCTTCAAAGTAATAAGTGGAATCATACTATACAGTACTGTAGCGCATTATATTGTATTACAAAACAAAAGTTATAAATCAAAGCCTTTAATCCAACAGAGTATTATTTCTAGGTTATTCATGCATCCAGTTGAGTTCGGTATACAAGCGCAAAATATCAAAAGCACTAGATTCTATAAATTGATAATTAGTAATCGATAGTGTCTTGCTCCCAACCAAACAAAACCTATACATTCAGTAGCAGTAGATTGTCTCTTTGCTTTCATATTGTGCTGTCAGTCAGTCTGAGCAATAACAGAAAAAAATAGTAAATAAGCACAGCCTTTAAAAGGTGATTTATATATATGTAATAGCCATTTTACTAGCTTGATCTATCTGTGACCAGGCTAGCACAATTGCAAGCACCACTACTTTTTCATGGTGTATAATATAACTTATATAAATAATTATAATTATCGATAGAATGGTGTATATTTGAACACATGTAAATGTAAAGTGTTTCAGGCAGTTGGGTTATGCTGTATTAATTTCTCGGTTGGATTATGATTGGTTTATAAAGTAGTACAAACCAAGGTCGATTGACAAACACTAGGCTAGACCCTGTTCTTCTTTTTACTTTTATTTTACTCTAAGAACGATGCTTTAACTTGAGGTACCAACGACTTTCAATAGTCAGGCTGTCAATCCCTTCATACTGAAGCACTGAAAGTACTTTTATTTCAAGAAAGTATTCCTACACTTTGTGTTTATTAACTCAAGACACTGGTGAAAAAGCTAGAAGAAAAATGGAAGTCTTTCACACGAAAGAAAAGAAAAGATATAAGCAGCAATTTTTTTCGAGGGTGCTTCTTAAACTAATAAAGTCACAGCATGTGAAACAAACAAACAAGAAAACAAACAAATAAATATACACAAGACTTTAATTAAAGCTTTATAATCAACACAACTTTACACTTCTTTATTGTAGTTAAACGTCTAGCCGATTAATACTTTGTATATCAGTAGTACAGCTAAAATGAACACAGAGGCATATATAGTGTCTCGACAAGTGGCTGTTCAAAAGCATAAGCCTTGTTAACAGAATCACAACAGAAAGTAGAATAAAAAAGGGGATGGGGGTCCATAGCAACTGAATAATTTGACATGCATATAGTCCACCAATTGGAAGACATCATTTAAATGTTTTCATGCTAAAGTAAAGTCTGGACCACTATTGCTACTATGCTCCTCTAAGCCTCATGACACATGTGATGCTGCACGGACAGCACGGACCTTATGTGACATAAAAAGAACTAAAACAAAAAAAGAGGCAAAAGAAAAAAACAAAAAGTAAAACAAGTGCCTGCACAGCACGTCCTTCAGAATGTAAGTGATACTTCTTTAACACCCAAAACCCATATTTTAAGCATAGATATTAAATAAAGAAGTAAAATAGTAATAATATATACATGTTGTCAAGGCTAAAAGATAAAAGAAAACCGAAAAAGGAATAAGAAAAAAACCGAATTTTATAATATATTATCAAACTATCACAATAAAAATAATAAAAAAGAACAGCAACTCATGATTGAGACGTCATGAGTTTTATAAAAAAAAAACATCTATCCAAACAGAACGCATCAAAACAACTCTCTTCCACATACCATTAATACTTTATACACTTCTTTACTGCTCTTGCACAAACTGCTTTAATCAACATAGACGTTAAAGACGAATCATGACCAATACAAATCCATTTTGCTAGTCAAATCTCAGGCTTTTATCATATGTAAAACGGTCAGTAGCAAGGTATAAGACAACATGTCAAAACCAGTACACAGCAAAAATGAAATACTGAGGTCCAACACTGGTTAGATCATCAATCTATCCAAAGCCTATCCACGCTCAGAAACAAGAGATAAACTGACAGGACTTACTATATTTCAAGGAGTATATGATATTCATCAAAGACACACATTGTGAAGATTATATTTGTCTAGTCTTTTGACAAACAAGGTCAACGATAAAAAATAAGATCTCCATCCAGGCCTACAGGCATATAAAGGCTTGTTGATTAATCATTCACTGTCTTTGATATTTCTGTAGGGACTTTTCAGGCAAAGTCAAGCAATCAAGAACAGGTTTCCATCTAGGGCCACAGGTACACCAAGACTCGATGAGCATATGCTCATTGTCTTTTGTATGCTTCTAGTGTCTTCCATCCAGGTCAAGCATCAGGGATCCGATCAGAGTCTAAGGATTAGGTATATAAAAACTCGATGCGCAGTTACTCACTTGTTTTTGTATATTTGTAGTATCTATTCCAGCCATGTCAAGCTTCAAGGTTCACGTCAAGGTCCACGCTTTTCAGGTCAAGGTCCATGGTTTCAGGTATATCAAAACTCGATGAGCATTTACTCACTTGTTTTTGTATATTTGTAGTATCCAATCTATGCAGGAAAAGCATCAAGGTTCCGATCTCCCAGCTATGATTATAGGTATAACAAACCATATGCGCATTTACTCACTAACTTTTATCTATTACTAGTGTTCAGCCATCCAGGTCAAGTGTCAAGGATCCGATTGCCCGGCCATGGGTATAGGTATAACAAAACGTTATGGGCCTATACTCACTAGCTTTAATATTTTTCTAGTGTTTAGTTATCCAGGTCAAGCATCAAGGACCCTATCGCCCGCCCATGGTTATAAGTACAAAAAGCATTATGTGCATATACTTATTTTTTTAATCTAGTTCTAGTCTCCAGCCATCCAGGTCAAGCATCAAGATTCTGATCTCCCATTATATGGTTATAGGTATAACAAAAATCGATGAGCAATCACACTCGGCTTTATTTATTTCTAGTGTTGAATTCACCAAGATCATGCTTCATGGATCCGGATTCAGTCTGTGGCTATAGGTATACAAAAACTTGATGAGCAATTACTCATTGGATTTTATATATTTCTAGTGTCTACTCATCCACAGCAATTATCAGGATCCGATTTTCATGAATTGTTATAGCTAATCAAGTTTCCTTTAAACCTTTCCTTAAAACAAACTGTACTCTTTATTTATACTTTCTTTTGATGGCAAAGAACGATAATCAAATATACATCCATTACGGAAGGTATACAAGTCGTTCTTGGCCATTACTAGCCTAGAAGTATATATGACTATTGTTTTTACTCTTCAGGCCAAACAGCAAGGATCAAAACTCAAATTTGGGCTACAGGTAAACAAGTCTTCTTGAGCTTTTACTTACTGTCATTTATATATTTCTAGTGTTTTTTTTTCCTTAAAGTTCAAATATCAAAGATCTGATTTCAAATCAAGGTTACGGGTACACACTTTTCTCTCTGTCTTTACATGCTTTCTTTTGTATTGGCCTAGTGTGTTTACGATCCGGCTACACAATGAAAAATTTGTTTTCCTTCCAGTGCAACAGGTATATACATCTAGTTCGGCCTTTAGTTACTGTTGGCTTTATTTCTCTACTGGCTTCACAGTCCAAGCCAGCCATAATGGATCCTATATCCGTTCAGTGTTACAGGTATACACTTCTCTTTGGGATTTTACTTACTGTCGGTTTTAATTTTCTACTGTCCTTAAAGTCAAGGCCAACGACCAATCATCTGGTATCTGCCGAGAATTACAGATATAAAAATGTTATTGGGTCATTACTTATAATTGTTTTTGTTTCTCTAGTGTCCTTGTAGTCAAGGGTAACGAGCAAGAACCCGGTCTCCATATTGGGATATAGTGTTACACGTCTCTTTGATTTTTGACTTGCTGCAAACTGTATTTTTTCTCGTGACTTTACAGTCAAATTCAACACTCAAGGATTCAGTTTCCATCAAGTTTTACAGGTATACAAATCTGACAAGTGCTTTTATTTAATGTGTCTTTTTTTTTTGTCAAGTGCCTTTACTGTCTATGCCAATGATTCCGAATCTGAGCCCTATCCAGAGTGACAGGTATACAAATATGTTTGCGTCTTTACTAACTTTTAGTTTTATATGTCTAGTGCCTATACGGTTTAGGCCGAAGAACTAGGACTTGATATTCATCCAGACTTGCAGATATATATTTTTTGTTGGGCCGTTGATTATTGGCTTTTTTTATCCGTCTATTGTTTTTACTGTCAAGGGCAACCATTAAGGATTCGATCTCCATCCAGTATGACAGGTATACACTTTTCTTTGGGTTTCTACTTATCGCTTGTTTTTTTTTGTCTAGTGTTTTCACTGCCCAGGTCGAAGAACAAGGATTTCTTCTTCATCCACGGTTACAGGTATACAATTCTCTTTTAGCCTTTGCATAACGCTTGTTTGATTTTTCTAATTTCATTAATGTCTATGCTAAATAATAAGCATCTACTCTCCATCTAAGGCCATAGGTTTAAAAAATATTTTTAAGTATTATTTTACTATTTATTAATTAATTAATTATTATTTTTTAATTTTACACAGCCAAGGCCAATCGATCCAGGTTTACTGTCCTCTAGGGTAACAAGTATACATACATACCTGATCGTTTACTTACTGCTTGTTGTTTCAAGTAATTTTTATTTATTCAAACTGAATTACCAAAGTTTTCCTATCTACCTAGTGCCTGAGGTATACAGGTCTCATTTAGTACTCATGTATTACTTATTATTCTGTCTAGCTTTTTTATAGTTTAAGCCAGCAATCGGGTTTTTAATCTCCATTAAGGATTAATGGTATACATGACTATGTGAACCTTTACTTACTAGCTATTATATTTTCTAGTCTTTTTATAGGAAAGGTCCACAATTAATATGAGTTGTCTATCCGGGGGGGACAGGTATACAAATCTGCCAAAAAATCTACTTACTATATATTTGCATAATGTTTTTACAGCCGAAGCCAACGATCAAAGCTTTGATATTCTTTTGGGCTCACAGGTATAAAAGTCTCTTTGACTTTTTAGGTACTATCAGTTGTTTTGTTCTAACCCTTTTTTCTCCGTAGCAAGCGTTCAATGCTCAGCTCTACATCAAAGGTCGCAGGTATACAAGAATCTTTAAGCAATTTACTAAAAATTAGATTTTCCTAGCATTTACATAGTCAAGGCGAAATGATCATGTTCTTTCTATCTGTTCAAGGTTCTAGATACATATGCACATTTTAGCATTTATTCTTCACTGGTTGAATCTTTTTAATCTTTGACAGTTCATGCCGAGAATCAAGATTGCACTTCAAAAAATAGGGTTAAGGTATACATGCCTTTTTAAGCATTTACTTACTACTAGTTGCTTTATTCAGACTTTATACAGTTGAGACCAAAGATCAATAGCCCAATTTCCGCATAGATTTACAGGGATACAAGTGGCTTTCTTTACTCATTAACATATTGCTAGCTGTTTGAAGCAGTCTTTTTACAGTTCAATTCAACAGTCAAGGTTCAAATCCCCGTCAAAAATCACTGATATACTGCCACTTTTTAGTATTTACTTACTGCCAATTGTGTTTCTTTAGTCTAATCGCAGAAAAGGCCAACAATCAAGATGCCACTCTCCTTCTTGGATGTTAGGTATACCAGTATCTTTAGGTATTTACCTATTACCAGCTTTAGTTTGGTAGTCTTTTTACAATTGAGGCCAACACCCAAGATTCCATGGTTCATACAGGGTTACTGGTATATATACCTCTTTGAGCATTTGCTTAGTGTCTGCTATATTTGTCTAGTCTTTTCATAGTCAAGGCTACTAATTGAGATTCCGCTGCTCATCTGGGGTAAAAGATATATATGCTTTTTTTTAATAGTTAATCATTGCTTGTTGAAATTGTCTAATAATTTTACAGTCAACATGGATGATCAAGTTTCTGCTTTTTGTCGAGGTAACAGGCGTACACTCTCCTTTGAATATCTTTCTGTCATTCATCATATTTATCTAGTCATATCATAGTCCACACCAAGGTTCAAGATTTTTGTCTCCACTCAGGTTCACAGACATTCAAGTATAATTGCTCTTTTAGAACTGCCGGCTGCTATTGCCTATTGTTTTTAATATATAGGTCAAGAGATAAATTTCCTACTCTCAACCATGATCCACAGGTATCACCGTTTATTTTGAACATTTATTTATTATCGATTATATTTGATTAGTATTTTAAATCCGAGTCCAACGATTAAGCTTTGGCTTTCTGGTAAGGGTTGAAGATATCTATGTATCTTTGATTTTTTCTTTTAATAACGACTGAATTTCTTTGGCGTTTGCACATTCAAGTCCATTGATCAAGTCTTTGGTCATTATCAAGTTTCCACTCAACATTATTGGGTAAAGGTATATAAGATTCTTAGATTACTTTTTTACAGCCAATGACATTTATCAAGCGTTTTTAGAGTCCTGGTCAACGATCAAGATCCTGCTATTAATTCAACGTCTTAGATATATAAGTGTATTTAAATATTACTTTACTACTGATTCTATCTATTTAAGCTTTTTTTTTTCTTTTTTTTTACATTCTATGCTAGCCCTCACGGCTCTAGTCTCCATCAAGGCTTATAGACATACAAGGTTTTTTTTATTGGAATATGTTCTTACTATCAGTTTTAATTTTTCTAGTAATTTTACAGTTCATACCAACGATTAGGCTTCCGATTTCCATCCAGGGCTACAGGCATACATCTTTATTACACCATTTACTTACAGCCTATTTTATATGTCCAGAATCTTCACAGCTCATGTCAACAGTCACAGTTTTGACCTACATCTCCAACCATAGGTATATATATATTTCCGAGAATTTACTTACTATTAGGTGTATTTTTCTAGTGTTTTCATAGTAAAGACCAACGATTAATATTCCGACATTTTCCTACAGTCATAGACATACAAGTCTCTTTGAGCCTTTAGTTACTTTAAGCTGTATATTCCCATACTTTTTACTGCAAAGACCAGCGATCAAGGTTTCACTCTCCATAAAAATCCTCAGGTATACAAAGCTCTTTAAATATTTTCTTACTATCAATTAGATTATTCTAGTGTTTACACAGTCAAAGCCAAACTATAAAGCCTCTGTTGCCCGTCCAAGTTCTCCAGTATATATATATATATATATATTGAGCATCTACTTACTGGTTGTTGTTTTTAGTTATCTTAACATAGTCAAAACCAACGATTAAGGTTTCACCATACATCCAGGGTATGAGATACACATGTCTCGTTTAGTATTTAGCTATCAACTATTATTTTGTCTAGCTTTTTTTTTATATTTTAAGCCAACGATCAAGTTTTGAGTATTTATTCATGATCACAGGTATATATTTCTTTTTGAACATATACTTATTGTTGGCTTTCTTTTTTTAGTCTATTTACCACCAGGGCAAACGATCAATATTCCGCTGCCCATTTTGGGCTATATGTATACATGACTCTTTAAGCAGTTAATACCTGTCGCTTTTATTTGTCTAGTATTTTAATTGCCAAGTCCAAAATTTATGGCTCTGCTCTACATCATGGGCCGTAGGTATACAAGTCTCTTTGTGAATCTATTCACTGATGGTTATAAATACTTATAATTTCACAGTTGGTGTCAAAGATCATTGTTTAACTCTTATTCATATGTTACAGGTATACATTGTTTAGTTGCCCATTTTTCTTTGAATGATGCTTGTATTTGCTTATTTTTTTTCTCTTCGTAGTTTAGGTCAATTATCATGGTTCTATTTTTTATTAAGGATTAAAGACATAGGAGGAGTTTTAAAATTTTCTCACTGAAAATTGTATTTACTAATTTTTTTACAGCCGATACCAGGTATCAGTATTCTACTCTCTATTGTGGGCCACAGCTATATTTGTCTTTTTTTATTTGTATTTTTTTACTACCAATTATTTTTTTTACTATGTGTACTTTTTTTTTGTAGGGAGCCAAAGGCTCTAGTTTATTAGTGAGCCTCTATGCTGCAAGGCAAAAGAGGAAAGTCACGACTTGTTTTTGGCTTTTATATTTTTACAATGTTTTTCTATTTATATGTTTGTGGTTATATATATTGTGGAGGTATGGAAGAAAGTTAAAGGGGGGGAAAGTCGAGAGCAAGTTCGCTCTTGAGGCAGTCGAGAAGAGAGGAAGCAGTGGAAAAGGCAGTGAAGGAGACAAAAGGAACGTGATCAAATATGAACAGCCAATGATGGCGCCATATAGCCAGCAGCGTGCAGCCAAAAATTGAGGCAGCAGAAAGAGAAGAATCGGTGCAAGGAGGGAATGTGAAGGATTGCAAACCAGAAAGCAAGACAGTGGGTGTCGCGGTCTGGGCGAAGTACAACGTCCAGATTGACGACCATACGGACAGTTTGACCAGACACTGGAACAAAAAATGAGTTACATTGTCCAGAGGGTGAGAGCAGAGGGCACAGGATGGGTCTGGGAAAGTGGTAGGGATCCTAGAATTGAGGCGAGAATGGCAAGGAATGTTCTTGTGCAGGGCACAAAACCAAACGTTGCGGGCCCCATGCAGCAGGGGGAAGGACCAAAACCAACGAAGCTGGCAAGGGACGAGTGTGGGGCTTATGGGGCGTGCGGATTTGGAGTGGAAATTGCAGAGTAGGCGGAAAGACTGGGTGGACAAACGATGCCAAGGGATGCCGGGGACAAGAGCCATCAAGAAAGGATGCACATCAACAGCTGTACCGGAAGGCATATCTAGCAAAGGAAACTGTATGGCACAGATCGCAGGGGGAATGATGGCATGATACAGGACAGGATGCAAGACAAGAGAGCGAGTGTAGAGACGTTCGAAGAACCGGTGAAGGACAATAGGATGACGGAGTATGCGGTGGAGGGGGCGTTGGGCAAGCACGCCAAAACTAGGATCTACTTCATAGGCGTCAGAAACCCGGAGATCGCGCCATGCAGATGGAAAGGGAGGATGGTCTGGTTGTGCGGTAGTGAGATAGGAGAGAGGCAGAGAAAGACAGGTGGGGAGGTTGACTACCACGTCAGAGAAGTTGTGAGGGAGAAGGTCAATGGCAGCAAGTAGGGTGGCCAGAGGAGAGTCGAAATCACGCTGATGAGAGGATTGGAGAGATGGAAATATCAAAGGAACGAGTGGATCAGCAGATGAGGAGTTGAGGCGGAGGATGTAAGAGAACCGAGGCGGGACCAGGCCAGAGGGAGACAGCGGAGAGTGGACAAGAGGCTGGAGCCAGCGCAACTGAAGAGCAGCCTGTTGAACCTAAGGATCAAGGACCCCTAGACTGCTGAGCCGAATAGGCTGGCAGAAAGTGCCGAGAGAAATGGGAGGAAAGGAGCGGTATTGTATAAACTTACTCATGATCGAGCAAAGTCGACAGAAAAAGGATAGAGGTACAGTGACAACTCTGAGGACGTGCCAGAGCTTAGAGAGGATGAGAGAGTTGAGCACTGTGGCATGGCCACGAATAGAGAGAGAGCAAGAGTGGTGGATATTACAGGTAGATTCAATCTTGGAAAGAATGTTGTCACAGAAAGAATTGCGCTGAGGTAAGGATTGAATAAGAGGAAAGCCGAGATATTGCAGGGGAGTAGAGGAAGATCTGTCAGACCAGGCGGTGATGTCGAATTGTTGTAGGACGGGGCACCATTCTGGCAGTGGAAGACCGGACAGGGAGAAAGCTTCAGTTTTATGGAGATTGATGCGAGCATTGGAGGCATGAGAGTATGTGAGAAGATGATGATGAAGACTGGACAAGTGGGCGGCATTAGGCAGAAAGACTAGCAGATCGTCGGCATAGGCCAAGAGCTTGATGGGCGGAGGTGGTGGAATAGCAGTGCGTGGTGATGGAGAAAATCTGGCAAAGGAAGGATCATGAATCACACGACCCAACAAAGGTTCGAATGCAAGGTTAAAGGGTACAGGAGAAAGAGGATCACCCTGCCAGAGTCCACAAGCCTGAAGGAATGATCGGGATAGGTGTCCATTGACATTGATTCGAATCTGTGTAGAGAAGAAAAGTTGAGATATACAGGTAACAAGGGAAGGGGGAAAGTTGAAATGCTGCAAGACCTGGCGAAGGTAGTCGGGATGGACTCTGTTGTAAGTTTTCTCCTGATCCAAAGGAAGGCCTATACCAGATGAACCGTCCTGTCTAGCCTGTGCCATAACCAACTTGGTCAGCATGCCATTGTCAGCAATGAAGCGTCCTTGGACAAACCCGGTCTGGAAGGGCGTAACAAGGGAGGAAGCAGCAGGTACCATGTGACGATTAATGAGGTGAGTGAACACTTTGGCATCGGTATTGATGAGAGCAATCGGGCGCCAGTTGCAGAGGGAGGTGAGGTCACCTTTCTTGGGAAGAAGAGAGACGCAGGTTGATTGCCAGGACGAAGGGAACACACCGAGGGCAAGCCCATCATTAAATATTCGAACAAGACAGCACACATCGGATGATCCATAATTAATCGCAGAATCTCATAAGGCAGGCCATCTGGCCCAGGGCTACTGGCATTAGGAGTGCGAGTGGCGCTGTCTCGGATGTCATCCAAGGTGAAGGGTTTAAGGAGGGTCGTGGAGGTAGTTTTGGAAAGAAAGAGGTCTGGTGGCAAGTGAAGGAGGAGGTCGTTGATAGCTGTCTGAGCAGGAGGGTCGGGTGTGTAAAGATCTTCATAAAATGCAGCAGCAGCTTCCGTAAGATCATTGGGATCAGTGCATAAGGTGTCGGTGAAGGGGTGGCGGAGGCTGGTTATTGTGGTTCGAGCTTGGCGAAAAGCAACTGTGCGTTTCAAAAACCCAGCGGAAGTTTTGCCTTGTTCTCTCCAGTGTTTTCTGGCACGGAGTGCTAGTATCTCAGTGCGTTCTTGTTGAACTTGCTGAAGTTGATGCTTGACGATGGGCAGCTGGAAGTTCTGAGCAGGCTGATGGCAAAATCTATGTATCAAATGGTCACGTTTACTCTGAAGCTTTACCTCCAAAGTGGCAAGTGATGTGCGGGTTGTGCGTGAATATGAATGTGTGAAACGAGCCACTTCGACTTTGATCAGATCCCACTGTGATTGGGGGGAAATTGAAGGCAAGAGTAGTGGTATGAAGGATGAAAGACAGTCAGACAGGGAGGAGTGGAAGGAAGGGATGTTCGCCAAACAAGGGTTCGCATGCCACAAACCTCGACCAATGTGAGACAGCATAGGAAAACTAAGACAGGTATGTACAAGGCAATGATCGGTTCACAGGGGCTGAACAAATGTGACGGTGGACGAAGAGTGACAAGACACTATATCCTTGGAGGCATATATGTAGTCGATAGTCGAAGAGGAAAGGTTGCGATGAAAGGTAGGCATAGGTTGAGCGTCAGACAAAGTGACACAGTCTACAAAGTGGTTAGCTACAAAAATGCAGTCATAGACGTGGCGCGAGGCCAGCATGAGAGGCATTTGCATATGAGGAATAATTAAAATCTCCTAGCATAAGAAAGCGAGAAGGAAGGGAAGGGAGAAGATGTGGGGAGGATAGGAGAGAGGTGAGAAAATCATATCGAGGATGATATGAAGCAGGGACATATAAAACGCAAATACGAAATGGGGCAAACAAATTGGAAGAGTGAACAACAGTGGCAGTAATGCAATGACCACAGAGAGGAAAAAGAGGATCAGTAAAAGAAATGAGGGGAGAGAGGGAAACCAAACCACAGTGAGGAGACCATAGTGAGTCAGATGCTTGAAATTGAAGATGAAACGTCTGTTGAAGAGCGTCTGTGTTGGCATGAGTTTCTTGAAGGGCAAGTATGTCTAGAGAGAGGGAGCGAAGATATCTAATAAAGAGAGAGCAATTATTGGTGTTTCCGGACTTGACAAGTCCGCGGCAGTTCATGGAGGCTATATTAATCATAAATTTAAGAATGATCGCCGTCTGCCATCTCGTCATCAGTTAGGATATTCTGGGAGTCTTGGTCGTCGTTGCTGTCAAAAGCGCTGGGGTGAATTTCTTCTTCGTCTTTAGTGGAGCCGGAAGTGTAGTTGGAGAGAAGAAAAGCGTTGTGGAGGGGGTGAAAGACGGGATCATACTGGGTGTTGTGTGTCTGAGGAAGAGGCAGAGTGGGGTCGAAGAGTGCGCCTGTGTGGCTGTTGTCAGTTAGTCCATCAAGTGCAGCAAACCTGTTGGCAGACTGGCAGGGGGAAGTAGGAACAGCGGGGACAGAGGGTCGTCGTGGTGTTGAGGAATTCGTGTGGGAGGTGGTGGTAGTAGCCTGTGATCCCTCAGCCATCGTAGGTGTACCGCAAGGGGGGATCGATTTCTTGGCCAGAGGTCTGTGAGACGCACCGGGAGTAGTCTTGCATGAGTGATCAGGGGATTCAGGTGTTGTGGGAACCTTTCGGGGTCTCTTGGAAGAGCTGGCGTCCGTGGGGGGTGCTCTGGGGCAGGCATGTTGCAAGTGACCAGTCTGGTCACGAGTGAAGCAGCATCGGGAATCTTTGGGGCGGTCTGGACAGTTTTCAATAGCATGGCCCATAACTTTACAATAATTACAGTGAATACCCATCTGTTTCCAGGTACCTAAGAAGTACAAGTCGCCATCATACGGGATCTTGTATGAGAGTTTGGCAAGGGTGGCATCGGGGTTGGGTGGTCGTTCAAGGTAAGCAAAACCAGTGACATCAAAAAAATTGACACGAAAATGCAAACCGACTTCTCGGATGGTGCCATATGCGGCCAAGGCTGTTTTGATAGCCTTTTCAAGCAGAGGGGAAGTGTTGTATCCAACATAATCGTAGATTCAAATAGAGCGCACAGAAAATAAGACAAAGACATATTGAATAAGCGACCAGTATCAATTATACATTATTTCTCACACTATCATTAAATAAAGAATATACCGATAACAAGGTCACACACCTTAGTCAACATCACTAATCACTCAAACAAGAGCGTGGGTAATAACTTAACAATATATTATCTATGATATAAGAAAACAGACATCACATGATATACTCATATCATTATCCTAAATACACACGCAATATCTATATAAACTCACATAGCAAATAGCAATAGAAGATCATCTCTCTTTTTATCAATAAACAAAGTCTCACCATACTTCTCGTCTGCACTTTGTTTTTCTTTCTTTTCTAAAAATATAACAGGAAGTACGTTTGGCCTCCAACCAGGAAGCCTTTGGAACAGAGTTCGGTGCAGATGGTAGAATTGGTCAGGTGCAATTCGTGGATGAGCAGTTGACGATGAGCGAATGATATTCCCAAGGTGCATGCCGTAGGAACGCTTGCTCTGAGAGCAGTCCAGAATTCAGAGGTAAGGGTGGAATCAGTTGGTGGGGTGAAGAATACCGAATGACGAGATGTATTTTTGTGCCAGACGCGATCCGTAGATGTCGGCAAGTTAGAGAAAAGAACGACTGGTACTTGACTGGGGGCGGGAGTGGCTGTGGCAACATCGAGATATGACCTAGTGCTGGTTGTGGTAGAGGTAGTAGTAGAGGGTTGTGGAGTGGTTATATTGGCTTGACCTAGTGTTGTGGTGGACCCAATAGGTGGGTCCGGTACTTTAGCAGGAAGAGCCATGTTACTATGGTGTACAGTAAAACACACTATACAAGGCGCATAAATGAGTTAGATGATGTTATTTTTTTGGACGAATTACAATAGTAGTTTAAAAGGTTTGTTTGCCTATTTTAGGTAAAATAAAAATAAAAATGGAAATCAAAAAAATGGAATGGATATATTAAATAATTGCTAAATTTACCTGTAAGGGTGTATTAAAGAGTTATATCAATAACGCACAGCGATTATAATTGTTTTGATAATGGAGGGCGCTGGAACGGAGAGAGGTGAACGTCATTGTTTTTTGCGGCGTATGGTGTATTTTTCTTATACACAGAAAAACACACAATATATGAACATTTACTGCGAGGGGATTGTTTGCAAAACGGACCGCAATTGATCCTTTCGATTCTGTCGAGCTCACTACAAGTGACTTTAATATCCAGGAAATTACGGAGAATTTCCGAGTGTTTACGGTGGATCCTGGAAGAAGAGATGCCTTCAACTCATATCATGGTAATGATGATATAAGACGCTTAACAACCAATGAATACTACAATGCATCTAGTATCGTTAAGTGAATGAGAAATGAGAAATGAAGATGTAAGGAAAGTGGCCCAAGGAATCAAGGAAGTTGAACCACATACCCTCACAGTAAAAACAACATGAGGAGAGTAATTTCTACAGAATACCCGATATACTATAGCCAATATGCCTACTCAATACAATATTTATAACTTCAAAGTACCTGAAATATATTTGAAAAAAAATCAGAGGTCGACAGAAAGCCTTAGACAATTACCCCAACATCCTTAACCATGGGTTTACAAAGTATAACAAAGAAAGAAGAAGAGACGTTGTATAGCAAACAGGCAGAATCCTGAAAGTACACACCAACCTGTCCAACCAAGGTAATAAGTCAATTACTTATTGTTTGTATTCCATTTCACTTATAATAGTTTAAAATATTACATAAACTCTCACCGACATGACTTTAGAGCCAGAGATGTTTCTAAAATCCCCTTTTGTCTATGGAGATAGGCTTACAAACAAACCAAGTATCAGATTTCGCAGTGTACGGCATGGAGTATCCAAAAAAAAATTACAAGCATCTTATAAAACAAAAGATCGGAGAATTGTACATTTTAGACATCAATGCATTTAATATGTCAAAGGTACATGCACTTTTTCTTTGAAGTTTTGTTCTTTATATGCAATATTGATTGTGTAGGTTTGCGACTTCTGTAATAGCAAATACTTCAGATATTTCCAAGATGCCAGCGGTAGACCCAACCATCCAATATTAGCTTGCAACAACTGTATTTTTTTTTGTAATAGGGATGTCATGGCGGCAAAAAACATGTTCTATATTGTGCAGGAAATTTGGGGTGGCAACGGTAGGCCAGAAATCTTCAATCCTCAACCAAGACCAACAACAGCAACAACAACAACAAAGCACCACAATTAACGTGATTGTTCCTCACTCCGGTAGGCGAACTTAAAGATGCTTACAGGTAAAGAACATTCTAGTCATCTTTACCTTGTCTCAACCAAATCCCCTTTTTATCCCAAATTTTATTCTTTTGTGTCACAATTCTCTTTTCGTTTGTCCAAAAAAGGTAAGCAAGTTGTCTAAAAATTAATTTTCATTCGTCCAAAAAAAAATAACATCGTCTAAATCTCAAGTAGAAACACTGTACATGCCCAATGATAACTTGATATATATTGATCTAAAATTGGAATTACCTCTTGAACCTATATTGTGCTACTTGATCCATGCTACATTTATTATTTCCTATTTATTTCTATACGTGGGTTTATATATCTATATATCTATATATCTATATATCTATATATCTATGTATCTATGTATCTATATATACGATGTGTGTTATGTGGGTCCATGATCTTGATTAACTTATCTGATCTTGAAAATATAAAAATGTGGGTGGAATTAATCCATTTTCTGAACCACCTGATATATATATATATATTAGACTTTGAGTGTGATTTGTGGGTAGACCATTATAAATTATTAGAATGTTCGTTCCAAAGAAATAATAATAGTAATAGATGAATTTCTATATACTATGTGAGATTAGATACTTAAGGATAGTACTAGAATCTAAGTACTTTTTGGTTTTTATTGAATTAACTATAGCGTATCTTTAGTTATATCTTTTTTAAGGTCGCCCTCTTTGTCTGTTTGGGCTTAGTGTAGTATTATAATTCATAGATTTTTAATTTTTGATCATATATTATTGACTTTCCAGAACTTATTTATCTTAAATTCATATTACTGTGAATGAATCTTTCAGTGCGATTCACCGCGTATTTCAATTTGTCTATTTTGCCTATACCATAAAGACCGGTACTCTTCCTTCTTAATTCCCAATATAAGATATGTCAGTGATAGTAAATAGACAATACGCTTTGTTGGATATAATACAATTCCTTGATAGTTTAAATTTTGATATTCTATATATATATGTACAACTGAAATTTCCATAGAAACCTCCAGATTTAATCAGAATTGATAGTAGTTTTTAAACACTTTAAAGTAAAGTAGTATACCCTACATATTTTGAATTATTTCGGGTTCGCTTGTTGTTACAAGCAGAGTATACTGGAAACTAAAATCAACCAACCAGGCGACAGATTAATTAATTAATTAATTAATTAGCCTACAAAATTGTATGTGGTTTTGAACAACAAACCATCTTTGTAAAGGATATAAAAAAATCTGTGATGATAATTGACAAGATTAATTAGAGCTACACAAGAAAAATAAGGTTAAATTTTGAAACCTTAAGGCCGATGCTTTTCATGATATTATGTTTTGATCCAGTATTATTATAGCATCACACTCTGGAACTTAAGTCATTTATATATACTCAAAAGATTGTATTGCATTTTAGGTATTTCATATTATAGAATATATAGGGTACTTCATTTTTACTTTTGATTTATTCTTTTAAATGAGCCTCTAGTAATCAGCCTGATAAAAGCACGTACATTGATCCATTCATATATCATATATTGAAATCTAAAGACATGTATATTGGTTAGCCCAAAAAGTAGATTCACTCGCCCCTCTTCAATAGAATATATAAAAATAAATATTTTTACGAAAAACTCCACCAACCAAGAAAGTAAGACAAACATCCCGTTTGTCAATATGAAAAGGTTATTTACCTTGTGCTTTTTCCCGCTCAAAAAAAGCAACATTTCATCTCTTCACGTGTGCAACTCGTTTATTTGGAACAGAAGCGGTTTTTGTATAATTTTATTTATTTGTTAGATTTTATTCTTAAGTCCCGGGGATCAGACCAACTAATTAATATACTGGTTGTACTCTTTACATTCCTTTCTTTCTCTCTTATATAAATATCTATATACGTACAGAGTAGAACGAGGGAGAAAAATGCAAAGAAATAGTGTATTGAGGTAATAATATGAAAAAAATACAAAAGAGGGAGACAAGGGAGATATATATATATATATGTGTGTGTGTGTGAGTGTGTGTGTGTAGAGCTGTAAAAAAAAAATAGATAAAGATAATAATCAAGCTGTTCAATCAATACCAGCATGATCAAAAGCAAACCACCAGATCAGGATACCTGCTACAATTAAAATAATAATAGCAATTGCAAAGCAGCACCATTTTTTCTATATTCCACAAATATATATATATATAGTCAGATCGAAGTTTATATTCTCTAGTGTGGCTGAGGTCTTTTACTTACAGAACGTGTACTTTTGGCACTAACAATGGCCCTGTCAATGTCCTTGTTTCCCTGTTCCAGGTCCATCATTACGGCTTCAGAGTGCATCTCAACCTCCTTTAGTGTCTCTCCTTGTTGCTCCACCATCATTTGCATGTCCATGAACAATTGATGAAGTTGCTACACATCACATTAAATTATAGAATTCAATTACTACTACTTAAATAATAACATAATATAAGTATATTTACCAGGATCGTCTTTTCAATCTTTTTAATGTCATCGTGTCGTGTCTGGACTTCATTCAGAACTGCTCGGGCTTGGCCTGATCGGTTGGCTTGCATAAGCTAAATAAAAATAGCTCAAGTTAAAAACACGCAAATCAATTCATTCTCCCTCCTCTTATACTTCTTCTATTACTTCTTCTACTTCAAACGAACAGATAAATATAAGAATATTTTTCCATACTTACAGATTGAGCAAAAATCTGCGTCTCGTCAGAATCCAACGCCTTTTCAATCTCATCCGAAGTTGCCTCTGGCTTAACTATATTTTTTTTTAAAAAAATTTACAGAAATAAAATAAGATAAAAACAGACACTTGGAGGATTAAAAGTCCTTGTCATGGTTACAAAATAACTAGAGGTAAATTTCACACACAAAAACAAAAAAAAAGAAAGAAAGAAATATAGAGAGAAGGGAGGCCTCGTGTTATTTACCAATACGGATCTGTCTCTCGACACGCTGTCTATATTTTTGCTGATACGTCCGTTCAATGTCTTGGTATCGCTGAATTGTTTCAATGAAACGCTTCTTTAATGCCGAAAGCTAATAATGATAATAAAATGTGAACAATGCGTTATTGAATCTATAAAGAAAGAAAAAGGTAGACCCGCCATTATAATTCATTTTACCTGTGTTTTACGCATAGGGAGATCACCAGTGCTGGCTGGTATCCTTGCATTGCTCAATTCAATAGCTATACAATTCAATACAATTCGATACAATTCAATACAATACAATTCAACGCAATACAATCAATTAATTAATCAATTAATTAAATGTTCCTATTACTATTATGGCCATGATTATATATTTAACCAGAATTTCGGAACAAGTAAAAAAAAAAGAAAACTCTTGGCTGGCTATATTTCTTCTCAAACATAATATAATATAGTTTACCTTTTATTCGCAGTTTGGCTTCATTATTCAATTTTGCTGTCTGAGTTGATAGCTGCTCCAGGCGGCGAGTGTTCTCAGACATTTGTTCTTCACTGATATTAACAAGTGTTGCACCGTGCATCTCTTCAATATCAGTAATGTTTTGGTTGATACGTTTGGTCAAATCCTTGACTTCTTCGACCTATAATGCATATAAGCAATTATACATATTTATTTAATAAACAAAAGGTTCAATTATAAGAACATATAAATTTTATGTATATATGTTGGTTCTTTATTGTGACCAAATAATTACAATTAACTCTAATTTATCTATACAAGTTACTATACCTCTAAAAAGAATACTTCGGTCGAAACAGGCCCATTTGGGTCAAGGGCGGTAGGGGCAGTAGTTGGCTGGCGTTGTTGCATTTCATACTGGTCATTGGTGTTCGCGTAACGATCACCTCTGGATGAGTTGTTGTAAGTAGCAGAAGGAGGGGCGGGAGGACGGTAAGAGGTTTCGTCTTCGTAACGTTGTGTGCGTTGAGTTGCTGGTGGGGCACGATAAGAAGGCATGGGAGGGGCGTCATACTCATCACTAAAGTAATAATAGCAAAGGTTAAGAGGGTCTTTATGTACTAAAAGGATATTCTAATGCGGTCGTATATGTCTATGTACCTTAGGCGACTACAAAAATAAAATAAAATAAAATAAAATAAAATAAAATAAAATAAAGAATGGTTAATTAAACGAGTCTTAAGTTGCCTTTTATATATATATAAAATATGGTTGAAACTTACTCATAGCGTTTCTCGTTACTACTTGGACCCTAACAATATACAAGATGTTGGTTGATGATGACATGCTTTGTGTCTATTTATTATTTACTCTTAGTTCCGCTAGTCTGTCTCGGCTCATTGTGAATCGAGATTGGGACATTGTTAAACGAGTGGAAGTGGATTTAAGCGAAAGGAATGTGAAATGGGTGTTGGGATGTGTGTATGTGTGCGGAAGGGGAGAGGAGGGGTTTAGAGACGGACTGTAGAGAAGAGAGAGAGAAGAGGGAGAGAGAGAAGTTCTTGTTAGGCTCCGTCTGTCTTTTTTAGCCTTTTCATCCTTTTGTTTTTTCTTGTGTTGCATTAAGATTGAGCCCGCTCTAGGGTAGGACAACGCAAATTGAATAACTTTGATCTGTCCACTTCTACAAAGGAGTCCCGTTTCACACGACTTGACTAGCATATTTCGGTAAATAGCAATGTGCCCAGTCATTTCCCCTCTTCTCTCTTACTAGACAAGTCAAATCCAATTGACCCAGAAGATATAAATAATATGCATACATAGTTCCATTATCTTGTCGACCAAAACGACCACCAGTTTACTTGACCAAGAATATATATACACACACATATATATATATATATAGATTTACTATATTATTTATCATTTTCATACTTGAAAATAAAATAAAATAAAACATACACGCACACTTTCTTTTAATACAAGTTACAAGCAACTTAAGGGGGTGTCGCCTTCTTCTTCTTCTCTTCGACAATGTCGATATTATCTTCAGGCACCTACAGAAAACAATTATAGAGTGATATCAAGTAAATAAACACAATATAATAAAAGCCAATGAATTTTTTATTCACACAAAGCCGTCTATTGTAGTTTTTGTTTTTGTTTTTAAAGCGTTTTTGAAGACTTACATGAGGCCAGTTTGCAAGGATCAAGTCATTCAACTCCTCAGAGAAATCACCTTGGACAACGATCTCATCCTGTCCCTGGTTATTTTTTGCAACAGATGATCCACATGCGAATTTGTTGGCAAACATCTTTGCCGCTTTCTTCATGTCCACACCTTGAAAGAAAGTAAGAATTCACAGTTAAGATATCAATAGAAATTAAGAATATATTATACTAGTTCTTCAAGACCAGCCAATAAAATATAAAAATGTTTACCAAATACATCCAAGCCGTAAATGGTAGTAACGCACTTTCGCTTTGTACGCTCTACACGCTTAATTGTAACGCGGGAAGACTAAATTGAATAAACACACATATAAGTAAGTTGACAGCTTTGTCATTACCACCACACACACGCAATATTCAATATCCCTCTTTTTAATCTTTTATTTACTTTTTTTTCATTAAGAATTAATAACCAAAAACCTCCAAAAGAAAAGAAAAAGAAATAGCCTCACCATCTTCTTCTTATTCTCGCGTTCAAGCTTAGCCTCGAGCTTGGCTGATTTGTCCTTTACAAAGGTGCGATCAGGCTTACCATCAGCAGTTGTAGCTCCGGGTTCTTCGAGTGCGACATTCTCTACACCCTTTGTGATTGCTAATATACATGAGCGGTTTTTTTTTTGGTTCGGTTGCATTTTTTAGTTTAGATTTTTTGATATATCTCGCTATATACATATATATCGTAACGCGTTCATAGTCTGGAGATAGCTTGCCTTCGACATTGTAAAGTGAAACGTAGACGTCTTCGTGATTATCTTTAAGCCATTCTTTGCACTTTTCTTGGGTACCGCTGAATTCACAGTACTAGATTTAAGGATGAGAATGTAGTAGCTTCACATGTATGTATATACATGTTTTATATACAAATAAATCAATAATGTACCTCTGGGGGCATTGTGCAGACTACGCGTAGAGATGATTAAGACAAGTTGTACTTTTTTTATATATATATATATTCACATGCAATCATTCTTTCTAAGAAAGAAATGTGTCTCTACTCACTGCCACAATACAGGACTTTTACTTCTTCCAAGGCCATGACGATATAATGCTATAAAATAATGCAAAAGAAATAGGACCAAAAATAAAAATAAAGGGAATAAAGGCGGTTTTTTCTTTTTTCTCTTTTCTTTACTTTGTGCGATTGTTAAAATTCGTTTTCCTTCAAGCTTAAATCAGCAGTCATGAAATATTACACGCCAGCTTTATTTATATTTATATATATAAATTAGGCTTGGAAAGTAAAACGACTAGCAAAAAAAAAAGCAGAAAACTAAAGGCAAAATATACAATGTATACTAGCAATAGAAGAAGTCCTTTGAAGAGTATGAATAAAGAACTAAATAATCAATTCCCAACAATAGCAGTAAATAAATAAGTAAAATGTATACATGTATATATCATATAATATCCATATGTGTATGGGTCTGTGTGTGTGTGTTTTTTTTTAATTACTTCTTTTTAAGTCCAAATTGGAATCCTCCTGCTCGCTTTTGGGGAAGGCCAAACGACATTTTAATTGCCTCTTTTTTGACGTTTGGGATGTCAGCAGCAGGCACAGAATAAGGTACTGGTGCTGTTGAAATAGAAGAAGAAGAAGAGGTAGGAATGGGAGGAGTAGAAGTAGAAGGAGGGGGTGGAGGGGGAGGAGTCATGGCTTTTGGAGGTGCGGCTGGAACAGATCTCTGGATTGGTACAGTAGGTTGAGGTTGAACAGTGGCCCAACCACCTCTTCCGGCTGATGTGTTTGTATGAACTGGTTTAGCTGATGGAGGTGCGGGTGTAAGTGTAGGTGGAGGTGGAGGTGGTGCTGCTTCTCCTGATCTCTTTAGCATTGCTTCATGCATTCTCTTCAACTCTCTCTCCTCGCGCTTCCTCTCTCGTTCTCGCTTTCTTTCTTTTTCAGACAAGGCAGCATCTGTATTCTTTGCCGACTCTTTCATGTCCTTGAATCTCTAAAAAGAAGCACACATATACATAAAACAATTAGATAATGCTAGCTATAATCATGTCATGTACTCAATGTACCTTTAAAAATATATAATAATATTTACCTTTTTATGGTGGTGATCATAACTCTGTAAATGCTGTTCATATTCACTGATTTTGCTGTACTGCTTATCACACAACTCACAATAAAATGCTCGTTTGACTTCCTTTAATTCGCGTACAATTGCTTCCTTTTGAACAACCTTGTTTTCTCTCCAATTTTTCTCCTCTTCTGTTTCCTCCAATTGTTTCTCACTATCGAGAGCCTTTCGACGTGCTGTTGACGACACGTGGTAGGATTCTTCTTCGCCGGCCTTACCAACACCAAGCGAGTCGAGTTTGATCTCGATTGAAATAGGATCGATACGACCTAAAACGAGTGTAGATAATTAGTATATAGTATGTATTTTATTTGTGAGCATATAAGTATGTCTGCAGAGCTATCATCATTATTTACAGCTATTATATTACGTTACCTTGACCCTGAGTACCAAGACCTTCACCAACTTTCCATCCCATTTTTTGCAAGAGTAAATAGCCTCGATTGGTACTTGGAATTGGTTCGAGCATTGTGGCTTGCATGTTGGCTTCAAAGTTCATGTAGCCTGTGGGCTGTGCATTGCGTGGAAGCGAAAACGAAGGCTCTTCGGCAAAGTCAAGACTGTCTTGGCTGCCATCGGATGTGTAGCCTGTCGTCATCTTTTTGGATTCAAGGACAAAAAAAAGGAAAGGGTAGACAGGGAATTGGGAAAATTAGGACGAACATTGTAATACCTTTAAGATATTTATTTTTCTTCTTCTTCTATGAATATATAAGTATGAATGTATATATGTATATATTGTTGGATTACAAATATATATATATATATATAAAAGAATGCAAGATTGAAAGATAAACACAATTCTCTAAACCTCTCGCTCTCTCTTTATAACTTTCTATTTTTTTACGGTCGGACACTTAAATAACATCTTTCGGTGGTGTAAATATCGATATTTGCATTTTTACATCCATCGATATCTCCATGAATATTGGTCTGTTGCTAGTCAAACAAGCACTGACCAAAGTTGTGTTACTTTTTGCACAACTTTACTTAATAGAGCAAAAACAAAAATTTCATTTTTTTTTCAAATACTGCTCTGAGGAAAAAGTGGGTATTAAAACTGGACTTTTTGGTGCAAATAGCCATTTTTTATTAATAAATGGTTTTTTAAGAATGAAAAAATATGATGTTTTGATCAATACTTGAGTAATCAATGTCAAACTACTTTTATGTGGTGGATCTTTTTGTGCCTCACCAGGTTACTTATATTTATAGGAAAGAGTTTCATAATAGATTTGGATGTATAGCAGGTTTTTTGTATTTAATTTGTCCATTTTGATCAAAATGATCCTTTTCTTTTTATACATATTTATAAAGCGCTTCATTATAACGCTCGATATAGATATAGTAATATGATTTTTGGTTGTATCAATATTAGCACAATATCAAGACCTAACTATATGTACATTTACAATCTCTCTTTTATTCAAATAAATTATCAAGATACTGTGATCTACTTGAAGATGTATTCGACTTGATTCCCTCCCTTAAATCCCTAATTGATAAATCATCGTTCAAAAAGAAAATAATATTTAATATAAAAAAATACGGGCCTTGAATACAAACCCACATATATAGACACACAGTATGAGTGTGTTGTGGTTTGAATAACATTCGTGACTCTAATCCTTATTTCCATTGTTATTGTTATCATCTTATTTGTTTGTCATTTCCAAAGAAAGAGAGAGAAGATGAGCTTGTTACAAAAGACTGCTATTATTACTGGAGCAACGCGTGGTATTGGTTTTGGGATTGCAAATGCAATGGCCAAACAGGGTGCTCAGACGATTCTGATCGGTCAAGATCCTGAACGTGTCAAGGCAGTGGAATCGTATTTCCAAAAAATATATGGCGACCATCACCAAGGCGTTGTGTTGGATGTTTCTGACAGTCAGGCCATTGAAACTACTCTCAAAGTATAGACACAAATAGATACATTTACATATATGTATATTATAGAGATGTATACTTAGCTTGAGTTTATTTTTAGGACCTATTGAAACACTCTCCAGCCCAATACTTGGTAAATGCTGCAGGTAAATAGTATATTATTTAAAGGAAAGAAATAAATATATATATATATATATAATTGCTTTATAGCTACACAAAAGAACGAGTAATAAGAGTCGAGGCACCTTCCTTTTTGTGTATTCTAAAAAGGAGTTTTATGAATATTAAAATATATAATAAAGGCATTGCACGAGATGGACTTTTGATTCAGCTCAAAAGAGAAGATCTAGAGGATACGATCAATACCAATTTATTGGGTACTATTCATATGTGTCGTCTTGTTGCAAAGTCAATGATACGCAAGCGACAAGGTAAGAATATTAATAATCAATCGTTTGTATGTAAAATACAACACAATTTTAAAATAATTTACTATATGTATATATATATTTGTATGTATAATGAGGAAAGGTGGCTGCATTATCAATCTGTCAAGTGTGGTTGGCATCGATGGCAATGTAGGACAGAGTTCCTATAGTGCGTCCAAGGCTGGAATTATCGGTACACACCATTTCATTTGGAATCACCCACAATTACTTATTTGGGTTTCACAGGATTCACTCGTTCGCTTGCAAAGGAACTTGGACCTCTTCGCATTCGAGTAAATGCAATTGCACCTGGATTCATTGAAACTGACATGACAGCAGGTAACAAGTAAAAAGCTTTTTGTTTAATAATATATTGTTACAGTATTTACTTAAAAGAAGAAGAACTTTTCTAATACACAGTTGTTTAAGATCTTTTAGCGGCTACAGAAAAGAAACAGGCTCTATTGGATTCTATTCCTTTACGTAAATTGGGTACTGTAGAGGATGTTGCCGAGGCTGCAATGTTTCTAGCCAAATCAAACTATGTTCATGGACAGGCAAGTGCTTTTGCTTTGATTTATTTCTTTCGAATGTCTTGGCTTTGCTTAGCAACTGAATACAAATATATCCATACTTTATATAATATATGTATATAACAAATGTATTAATTTTAGGTCCTTCGAGTGGATGGTGGTTTACACCTATGAGTTTTGTGTTGTAATTTTTTTAAAAAATTTATTCCCCGTCACTTACAACGGTGCTTTAATGAGATTGTGAGTCTGTGGGTATTGTGTATTGTGTATGATGTGTTTGTGTTTGTGTGTGTGTGGAAAATTAAATAAAAGCCAAAAATAATAATAATAAAAATAAAAAAAAGGAAAAAGGAAATAAAGCAGAAAGAATCCCCCTCTACTTCTTCTTCTTCTCCTTTTCTTCTTCTTCACACACAAAAACTAACCACCAAAATAAGACAATTTCCCTTTATTTTCTTTATTTTCCTTTCCTCTTGTACACTTCTTTCTTTGGAGTAATATCCACTGGTGTTGTCTTGATAATTTAAAAGCTAACATATAGACAATAGACAATAGATATATCACGCACGCATATACATAAATAAAATATATTAATAAAAATTAAACACCAAAAAAAAACAAGAAAAAAAAACAAAAAAAACAAAAGTATTCTTCTCTTGACATCATCTTCAACGTGGCTTCTTCAAACCCCACGAATCCATTTGGCGATGCCTCTGAGGCAACCAGTCCGACACAACAACATGTGTACGGAGGCGACGATGCGACCAACAATCCTTTCGCCAGCCCATCTCAGACTCATCAGCCTTCGTCCAACGGCGCCCCTTACCAATACTCTCCCTCAGACTACGGTACAGACCTGATTGATCTCCAGCACGGCCCACCTTCATCACATCCCAACCCTTCCTCTATCCCAACTGCTCCCTCGGCCACTGCAGCACCAGTACATTTTAGCAACACAAAACGTAATAATGAACCATTCCATGCTGATTCTGGTAATATCATCTATTAATTTACTAATGGCTTTTATATATCTATTTCTTTTATTTTTTTTAAAAAAATATACATATACATATTCTTATTCTTATTCTTCTTTGTTTGCTTATATGTGTATATATTTCTATAATTTCTGCTACTATTCTTATTATTGTCTTTGTAGCATCCTTATACGATGGAACGGAAGCATTCGACGACGATGATGACCTGCAGTTGTTGTCGCATCAAGGCCAAATTGCAGGCACACACACAAACTCTTCGAACCCTCCAGATCCTGGAATTCCTCTTCGGTCAGCTACGTCTCCTCGTCGAGAGCCTCCTGTCAGGACGCGTAGTCTGAAAGAACGGCTCAGTCAGGCTGTCAAGGGGATATTTAACCGGCCAAAGACAGCCTCGGGAACTATGGGTGAAGGAGGTGAACGGATCATTTACATCAACAATCCAGCCCTCAACGGCGCCCAACAATTCCTTCACAACCGGGTATTTACTGCAAAGTACACCGCCTTTTCTTTTCTTCCAAGGTTTCTTTACGAAGAGTTTTCAAAATATGCAAATGTGTTTTTTTTGTTTATTTCTGGTATTCAGGTAAATATATTGTATATATACATGGAGTGTTAATATTGAAAAGATTCTAACATGGTCTTTAAATCTTACTTGGGTTGATAGCAAATTCCTGGTATCTCCCCCACTTCAAGGTATACCACCCTTGTGCCGCTGGTCATTGTATTGACAATCACTGCAGTAAAAGAAGTTATTGAAGATTGGGTAGGTCTCTTTTGGTTTGTGTTTGGTTTGTGTTTGGTTATTGTTTCAAGTGTTGTTCTTGGTGTTACTATTGTTGTATAAAACCTAACCTTAATTGATTTTATGTTGTTGTTAAATGTTCTTTATAATCTACATATATAAACTTTTGTTCTTATCATACAATAGGGAGTTCATCGTTCGGATGCAGAATTGAATGCCAAATCTTGTCGGGTATTGGAGGGCACTCAGTTCGTAGACAAGTCTTGGCGTGACATCAAAGTGGGGGATGTTTTGCGCGTTGAAAGCGGAGAGAATTTCCCTGCGGACCTGATTCTTGTAAGCAGTTCAGAGCCAGAAGGACTGTGTTATATCGAGACAAGTAACCTGGATGGGTAAGCAAATTCAAACAACAGTATTAAGAGCGCACAAAGGAGAGGATATGGAAGATATGGAAGATATGGAAAATACAAAAGGGCAAAGAAAGAAAAGGACTTGCGGAGGGTTTACTACTAGTGATGTTTTTCTTATTAATTTTTGGTTAATCTCTTTGTGTATTACGCGCAGTGAAGTTAATTTGAAAATTAAACAAGCCTTACCCCAGACTGCTGGACGTCTAAATCCTATCGAAATGAGCCGTCTCCAGGGCGTAATAAAATCAGAACAGCCGAACAACAGACTTTACAACTATGATGGTGTAATGACAATATCTTCGGACAATGACACCGGAAAGCCACGCGATCATCCACTTGACCCAACCCAGCTTTTGCTACGCGGTGCTCAGCTGAGAAATACGTCTTGGGTATATGCAATTGTCGTGTTTACTGGTCATGAAACCAAATTAATGTTGAATTCGAGGTAAAGCTGATAAGAATGATATGTGAAATGTATATATATATATATACACATAGGTTATAGCGAGAGTTTAAACTAACCAACTAACAACCTAAATTTTCATCTTTTCTTTTTCTTTTAAACAGCAAAAAACCATCCAAAGTTTCAAATATTACACATATCACTAACCGAAACATTCTTTATCTGTTTGCAATCTTGGTTTTGATGAGTATTGGAGGTGCTATTGGTGGCATGGTCTTCACTGTATGTATATATAAATTAAAATGTTACAAACAAAGAAGAAGAAAAGGGAAATGCATCCTTTTGTTTTGTCTCTTGATCTCTCTGTTTTTTCTTCTGTAGTGGTGTATTCAATTATATGCCTAACTAACTAACTAAATAATTAAATAATTAAATAAATTACTTGTTTGATTTTGTAGATCAACAAAGGAGACTTGGTGAGCTACTTGCCACTAAATGAACAAAGCAGGGCAGAAGAGTTTGGATATGATATCTTGACTTTTTTGATTTTATTCAACAGTTTTATCCCGATTAGGTAAGGACAAGAGAAATAATGAACAATGAAAAAAAGGGGGGAGAGGAAAGGAACAGAATTATAGACAGCATATATACATAATTATATACAATCTCAGTCACAAACTCTTTTTCTATTTTATTTATTAAACTCTAAAATTTATACACATTATTTTTGCTCTTACTAGTTTGATGGTTACTATGGAAATTGTCAAGTTTATATTGTCATACTTGATTGAATCAGACTTGGATATGTACTACGAGCCAACCGACACTGCAGCGGTTGCACGCAGTAGTAGTTTGATTGAAGAGCTTGGTCAAGTCAAATATGTTTTCTCGGACAAGACTGGTACACTGACTTGCAATGAAATGCAATTCCGACAATCATCGATTGCCGGTCTGTCGTATGCTGATAAGGTCGAGGCCGATAAACAGGCCAGGGATGGCACAGACGATCCTACACTCCAATACAATTTTGACCAACTCCAAGAGCATCTCAAGACACATCCTACGGCCAACGTTATTAACGAATTCTTGATTCTCTTGGCGTGCTGCCACACTGTCATTCCAGAAGCACAAGAAGGCTCTGATGAGATTGAATATCAAGCATCGTCTCCAGATGAAGGTGCCTTGGTCAAAGGTGCCAGTATGCTTGGTTACAAATTTCATGTAAGGACATGCAAATAATAGATATATAGATATATGAGGTATATCTATTGATTGAAAGATAATTGGATAAGAGGTGTATTCGCTTTTTTTTCGTTGTTGTTGTTTTACACCTACAGTTAATATTTACCCACCAACCTACGGGTCGATATACCTTATTTATATATGTATTTTCTAGACACGTCGTCCAAACTCTATTACTTGCTCGATTCGTGGTCATGATATGGAATATCAAGTTCTGAATGTGTGTGAGTTTAATTCGACACGTAAACGTATGTCGGCAATTATTCGCGGTCCGGACGGAAAAATCAAGTTGTACTGCAAAGGTGCCGACACTGTTATTCTCGAACGTTTGGCAGACAACAACCCGTTTGTCGAGACCACCTTGGTCCATCTGGAAGACTACGCGTCCGAGGGTCTGCGAACCTTGTGTATTGCAATGCGCGAGATCCCTGAAGAAGAATACGCACGCTGGTCCCAGATTTACGATCGTGCTGCAACCACCCTTGTGGATCGTGCCGATGAACTTGATAAGGCGGCCGAGATGATCGAGCAGAATTTGTTTTTACTTGGTGCAACCGCAATTGAAGACAGACTCCAGGATGGCGTACCAGATACTATCTACACACTCCAGGAAGCCGGTATCAAGGTCTGGGTCCTTACGGGCGATCGACAGGAAACAGCTATCAATATTGGATACTCTTGCAAACTTCTCAATGAAGAAATGAGTTTGATTATCTGTAATGAAGACAATCACTGGGATACAAAGACATTTTTGGCTAAGAAACTGGAAGACATTCAAAAGCTGATGACTCGCGGGGAAGACGTTGAGGTAAGAAGAAGAAGAAAGGGTGCTGGTGGTGGTATGAGGATCAAGGCAAGTAAATCATACTATGCTTTTACTAATGCATTTCTTTATTACTTTAAACTCTACATTACAACTACAAATAGCCTTTAGCACTGGTTATCGATGGTCGCGCACTGACATTTGGGCTTGAAAAAGATATCGAAAAAATTCTATTTGATTTGGCTGTTCTGTGTAAAGCGGTTATCTGCTGCCGTGTATCTCCTCTTCAAAAGGCTCTGGTTGTCAAACTTGTTAAAAAGTATGACAAGGCAATTTTGCTTGCTATTGGTGATGGTGCCAATGACGTCTCTATGATCCAGGCGGCCCATGTTGGCGTGGGTATCAGTGGTGTTGAAGGCCTTCAGGCAGCACGTAGTGCAGATTTTGCTATTTCTCAATTCCGTTTCCTCAAGAAGCTCCTGCTGGTTCATGGTTCATGGGCTTACCAACGGTTGAGTAAAATGATCTTTTTCTATTTCTACAAAAACGTTACTTTGTACCTCACTCTGTTCTGGGTAAGTGATTTTAATAGATTGAGTAGCTTAAATGGGATGGGATGGGATGGGATAGGATAGGATGTGGGATAAATTGATTATTATAAATATTGGTATCAGAAGAAAAAAGGAAGATTTAGAGTTTTTCTAATATGGTTATAATTTTTTGGGAATACCTAATATAGTATGCATTCTACAATGGGTTCTCAGGATCAACTCTGTATGAGTCTTGGACTATGTCGTGTTTCAACGTCATCTTTACATTCCTTCCTCCCTTGGTTATTGGTGTCTTTGATCAGTTTGTTTCAGCCCGTATGTTGGACAAATATCCTCAAATGTACATGCTCGGCCAAATTAATGAGTTCTTTAATCAAAAGAAGTTCTGGGGATGGTTTTTGAATGCCTGTTATCATTCTCTGGTAAGCACTGGTCACCATTATGTACCATGTACTATGTATTAGTAGTAGTATAATTATAATAATTTTGCTAATCATTATGTCTATTTCTTGTGATTATAGCTCCTGTTCTTCCTTGGTATGGCTGCATTTAGAGATGAAGGTGTATTCAAGAACGGTTTGATGGGTGGTCAATGGTGGGCAGGCACAGCTGTTTTCACGGCCGTCCTTGGCTGTATTGTTTGGAAAGGTGCTCTGGTGACTGAGTAAGTAAATTGAGATAAAAAAGGAAATTTGATAGAAATGGAAATCCGGTTTTTTTTCTTTTTTTTTAGATTTCTGACAAATCAATGATTTATTGCTTTACTATAGTGTTTGGACAAAGTATACCTTCATTGCCATGTTCGGTTCAATGGTTATCTGGTTTATCTACCTTCCAGTAGTAGCGTATATTGGACCTGCAATTTCAGTTACAGTGTTTCCTGAATACTATGGCATGGTTCCCATGTTGTGGGGAAACCCTAATTTCTGGTTTTTCATTATCCTGGTACCATTCACTTGTAATTTGCGAGATTTCATATGGAAATAGTAAGTTTGTTATTTTTTTTAAAAAAAAAAAAAAGAAAATCATGGAAAACCTTGGTTGTTTTACTATTACCCTGATTTGAGTCATTGATCAAAAAAAAATCCGGGTGTTTTTTTTTTTCTACTTAAAAAAAATTATTTGTGTAGTGGAAAGCGTATGTACCGACCCATGCCCTATCATTTCGTTCAAGAGATCCAAAAATACAATTTACCCGATTATCGACCTCGAATGGATCGTTTCCGCCAGGCTGTCAATAAGGTCCGGCGGATACAGCGTTTGAAGAGAAACAGAGGATATGCATTTTCTCAGAACGACAGTGACCAAGCCAAGATCATTCGTGTTTACGATACTACACAGCAGAAGCCACTTGGTTAATCTTATTATCTTACTTCTATTATTATTCACCTACAACAAAGTTCCGCTTTTTTTTTCTATTTCTTGCTTTCTATTGTTTCCCTATCTTTTGTCTACATTTTGATTGGTAAATTAACATATATATATATATAAAATAATATAATATAAAATACCTAATTCTTGTTTTGTCACATAATATATATATATATATATGAATTTGCATATGTATCTATGTATCTATGTATGTATGTTTTTTATACAAAATGTCTGGGTACCCGTAAACTTCCGTGTTCAACCCTTTCTCCTCCACAACCCACGACTGTTACACAGTTTAGAAATGAACGATTTGTTTGTTAATCCAAAAAGGAAAAATAGTCAGACCATTTTTTATATTAATTATCCGCCACCGCAGATCTAAACTTCATATATATATATATAGCACTCAAATCCCATACCTTTTTTTATTATTATTATTTTATTCATTTATTTCATCTTCACTCTTCCCTCTCTTACCCTTGCTCTTCCTTTTATTTACTTCTTACATTACCCCAAGAATGCAGCACATTGATAACGACCAGCTCTACCAGGACAGTACATACCGCTTCGAGTATGTCTCCAAGTTCATGGACTTTGGTATGTGTAATCAATATGCTTTACCTGTCAACTTGTCCTAACCTTTTCTCCTTTGTTGTTATTTGATAGGCGAGGCTGATATCAAGGCCATTCAGGATGTTGCTGAGCTTGTCCGTCCCCTTGTTCCCGTTGTGGTCGATGCTGTCTACGCAAAGCTATTCGAGTTTGATGTCACCAAGAGATTTTTCTTACCCAAGAATGATGGCTTCGAAGGCGAATTACCTGCCACTTTGGAAGAACTCACATTGAACCACCCCCAGGTTAAGTTTCGTAAAGAATTCCTGGGCAAGTATCTTTACAAGATTCTCTCTGGTCCATATGATGAAAGGTAAATACAATTGGCATAAAGTGGATATATGTATGTGTGTGTGTGTATGTGTATGTGTACAATATGAGCGATAAAAAGGAGATGATGGATATTAAATGTATATTACTTTTTTTGTTTTTTATTCAACTCATTTATCTTTCTAGATTCATTCGTTATTTGGACTGGGTTGCCAAAATCCACACTGATACCCCCGAAAAGAAGTCAAAGATCAATGTTGATTATATTCACATCAACGCACTGATGGGTTTCGTAGAGACTGCTTTGGTCGGTGGACTTCTGTCCTTAAATTTGGACCGTCAGACTGAAGGAGCTGCCTTGGCCGCATTCAATAAGCTTTTATGGATCCAGAACGATTACTTTGCCAAGTACTACATCAAGCCCGAGAAGAAGGCTGTTGTAGCCAAGAGCTTCCCTGTAGACTTGACTATTCTGCCATTCGCCGTAGGTGCTTTGGCTGGCGCACTTGGTGTATGGCTTGGTCTCCAGCGCCAGTAGATATGTAATCCGGCTGTAAATATAATACAGACTTATTCAATTCCCCTCTGTTTTTTTCATTATAAATAAATATCTCTTCATATTATCATCTTTTTTAAAAGCATATACTTTTATACACATATAAGCAACATCATCAATCAATGAGAGACAGAGTGAATATAAAAGGAAAAGGATGTTTTTAAAGTCAAAAGATGAAGATTAGATCTAAATTGATGAAGTGGGGTTTACAAGGGTGATAATATTGAGTGAACGTTTGCCTATTTAAGCTATCAATAAGCGTGACAGAAAGAAATAAATAAACTAGAAATGGAAAATATACAGTAAAAATAATAATAATAATGTCCAGAACCTTACCTATCTGTGTGTATTGAAAAGAGAACCAGATCTCACTCTTATTATTATAATTTACAAGCAAAATTTGTACAACACTGGAAAATGGTTAGTGCTTTGTACAAACCTTTTATTGTAAAATAAAAGAGCAATTTATCTATGTATAAATGCAGTCCTGAGAATTTGATTACAAAAAAAAGCAAAGCACAAGAAAGATCATAATTATGAAATCCCACGAGCAAACTAACAAATCTTTTAACCTCCTCCCCGCATTTACACAATTTTTTCTTTAGATTGTGATACGAATACCAGGGCCATTATTATGTATTTAGAGCAATGGTATTGTACCAAAGTCTTGTGAATGTGGTTCTCCGAATATGCAAGTATCAGGGCTATAGCCTTATACCATTCTCTAGTAATTTTCTTATATAAGAGTAAGAGAAATTGATGTTCGCCAAATTTTAATGGAATGATTTCTTTTTCTTTTCTTTTGTACTACTTGAAAGACCCTGTAACACTACTGGAGTCGTGTCTGGGAACTGTCTTCTTTCGTTATTATATTATATTATATTATACTATTGTATATTATGTTACTGTATATCCGGAAATGATGCACTTTAATTAAAGTCAAACTTGCTATAAAAAGTTATTTCTTATTCTGCTGTTGTAGAGAGGCGTGCGTTAATATTGATAACTGGCTACCGTTTGGTTAATTCCATTAAATGAATCAACATATAGCTTTATATATCAGTATGAGTATTATGAAAAGAAGAAGAAGAATATGAATTGGTATTAATCATCAAATTGATAAACAGGGTGGTCAAAATCAACGTGTCACCGATCATTTATTGATTTATTGACTTTTATATCTTTAAAGTATGAGTGGCTTTAACCATACAAGACTATTTATTTTTACCAGTTTTTTTATTCTTTACAATTCGATGTAGCGATGCTTTCATAACCATCAAAACAATACAATCGGGTGTAATAGCCTTGAGTAAATTACAGCAAGTCAAAAAACCTCCAGTAGTTTAGTTTTGAGCTAAACTACCAGTACTCAGACTGATTATATATCTATACATATTAAACTATTAATTGAGCATATATCACATTAATCATTTGTAATTTTGATCAAAATGGATAAATTAAATACAAAAAATCTGCTATACATCCAAATCTATTAAGTAGTGCTTTCTTGTGTATATAAGTAATCTGGTGAGCCACAACAAGATCCACCACATAAAAGTAGTTTGACATTGATTACTCAAGTATTGATCAAAACATCATATTTTTTCACTCATAAAAAACCATTTACTAATAAAAATGGCTATTTGCACCAAAAAGTTCATTTTTAATACCCACTTTTTCCTCAGAGCAGCATTTGAAAAAAAAATTAAATGTTTTGTTTTTGTTCTATTAAGTAAAGTTGTGCAAAAATTAACACAATTTTGGTCAGTGCTTGTTTAACTAGCAACAGACCAATATTCATGGAGATATCGATGGATGTAAAGATACTAATATCGATATTTACACCATCAAAAGATGTTATTTAAGTGTCCGACATCAAAAGTGTGTGTGCACTAAAAATTGATCTTACTTTTTGTTGATGTTCGCGCTCTGCAGCTATTTAGCGCAAGGTATTATAAATACGATATTGGTATTTATGTTTTTCCCAAAAAAAAAGAGGATAAGAGTATGGTAATATTCCGTAAGGTATATATATAAATATAAAGCATAATTTTTAGTATGATGCTTCAAAAAATGAAAAACAAGCATCCAAGCACCTAAAAAATAGTTCACCACTGGATGTCGTGACTTGGCCAAAATTTTGTAGATTTTGTACTTTATGTAAAATTGATGGCAAAGTTTATAGAAAAGCAAAGTCAAGGATAAAACATAATCAATCTATGTAAGAGTGGCTATATTAATACAAAGTTATAGAAGTCTAATTTACTTGTAGGGAGTTTGGTCAGGTGCACTATATTTTATGGGTACTCTAATCAAGCATATTGTACATATGAATTTTGAAGCATATGAGAGAAAACATACCAACCAAGAGACATTAATGGTACTCGATAGTTTTTTTTTGATGTTGGTTATTGTTGGATAATGCTTAAACTACCGCTACATCCAACAGTCAAGCATCCAGAGCTGGTGAAACCCCCTAATATAAACACGCCTTTCTATTTCTGAAAGATATTCTATAAATATGTTACCAAAGATGTACACAGTATACCCACTACAGGAAATGCGACATTATAATATATTAATATAAAGTCGAAGGAAAAGGGAATTTTGTGGACAATAGAAACATGGAAAATGTAAACTTTTAAAGTGGGACTTTCTTTTACACAATATTCACCACACAATCCTTGTTTCGAAGTATACAACGCCTTTACTGACCTAAGCTCTAAGGTTAAGGTAGTTGATTTTACGATATGTAGTTTGACTGCCAACATTGGCTAAATATTAATCAGAGCTCTAAATATACAAGGAGAATCGCGGAAAATCGTTTCTCATTGTCCCAACAGTAAAAATTAGTCATAGTAGTGTCAAAGCAAAACAGGTGTACGTTCTTTGATAAAAGCAATGAATTAATATATATACATAAATTTCGTAAATTGGGTATTGTTTAACAGGTGCTCTATTTTAGATACAAAAAATACAAATTCGCCTCAACCTCAAGTAAAAACATTATAGTATTCCACATAGTAAATGTTACACGATTTATATGTTATGTCATGGAATAAATGAGCATTATGCAGATCAAGGTTTTATGGCTCTCCGACGAGAAGAGTGTCACTTGCTGAGCAACATTTATAACAGACTGTCGACCACCATGAGGTCTCATAATGACTCATTTGATCTACAGCATTTCGCCAGCTTGGTCAGCTAAGTTCAAGTGAAATTAATGATCATTTTGTTTTAATCAAATCATAAATTGTTTTCTACTTATGCATTTGTATTTTATTAGTAGTTAAACACGAACATTATAGCTATTATATATATATATATATAAAAGCTATTGGTTTATCAGTGTTATTCTTCACTTAAAGTGTAACTCTATCCAAAGTATAGAAATAGACAACTACAAAGAAACGAATGAAGTGGTTGCACCAGCCGCAGTAAACTTCTTTGTACTACATTTATGCAGTAAATTAAAGTATATAAAGTTAATAAAATTAAGTCATGTTTTATTTATCTCTTACTTTGCATAGAAATTTAACAATGGAAACTCTTGTTGTAGCTCCTCTTCATTCAGTTGATACCATCGATACCACCGAAGATCATTCTAGAATCCAAGCATTTTATCAATTAAAACAAACCTTAAAAAAGAATCAGAGAGTTGTAAATTATACCACGCGAGATCAGACGATATGGACCTCCTGGAGAATTGAAGAGAAGATATACAAATCTCATCGAGATCCATTGCCTTCTAAAGCACGAGGGCTCTTTACTGTCCATGAAGATGGAGTGCATCGGGTTGTAGTTAGAGGCTATGATAAATTTTTCAATGTTGGCGAGACCGATGATACACAGGTAAGCTATTAAAAACTTAATGAGTACATGTCTCATAGCTGTGTTTCTTAGTGGGATGCTTTTCGCGAAGGAACAGAGGGACCTTATGATGTGACACTTAAAGAAAATGGATGCATTATTCTCATTTCAGCCCTTTCAGAATCCAGTCTTGCTGTCACATCGAAGCATGCACTCCCTAAAGTTCAAGATGATGAATATTCCCATGCAGGAGTTGGATACAAGTGGTTGTGTAAACATCTTGCTTCTGTACATATGACAGAACGAGATTTAGCAGAGTGGATATATCATAAAGATATAACATTAGTAGCAGAGGTATACAAAAAAGGCAATACGAAAATCAAGTATATTTACTTTTATTTTATTTTGAAACAGCTATGTGACGACGAGTTTGAAGAACATGTGTTGGAGTATGAACCGGCGAATCGAGGTCTCTACTTACATGGAATTAATTACAACACTATGGAGTATCACACTGTTCCTATGGATGCAGTCCGACAGGTTGCAGTAGTTTTTGGTTTCTTTCCCCCGGAATACATTTCGCTACAAAATATACAGGGTGTCGAAGATATGAGCCAGGAAATGCAGCGCACCCACAAGTTCCTGGGAAGAGAGGTGGAAGGAGTTGTTGTGCGTTGCAAGAAAGGCGGAAAGGACTTTCAATTCAAGATCAAAGACAGACAATATCTACAGTACCGCGAATACAGAGAAGTGACAAATATTATCCTCAGCGCAAAGGATAAAAAGAAGGATGCCAAAAATGTTTGGAAAAGATATGAAAAAACAAGTGATTATATTGATTGGCTGGAAAGTTTGATACAAACCGATCCTGACCGATTAAAAGATTATCGAAAGAAAAAAGGGATTATTTCAATGAGAAAAGATTTCGAAAAAGAGATTAAATCGAGATAGCTCTCGGTTCACATACAATAAATTTTATACTCATTCATACTCGTCTGTATCTGCATACTCATCCTTCATATAAAATGTTGGCATTACCAGTGAAGCACGATCAAGATACCACTGTCCACAATCCAGTTTTAGCAGAGTGGCAGTCATGACCATGTTTGTCAATAGCTCTTTCACAATGCTGTTTTCCAATTTTACTTCAAATATATCGTTCTCGTTGTCATAGTCCTGTAGAATAACTGAGATAAAATCTTCATCCTTGGCCTCTTCGGGAATTGGTGCGATACTTTTTATTTTGACAAGGATTTGGTACCGGCGATCAACGACATGAGCTTTACTGATGTTCTTTATAAACGGGTGGACATGAGCGCGTGCTTCCACAGAGGACATTCCAACAGAGTCTGCTAAAAAGTCGTCGATTAATCCCTGTGTTTTGGAGTTTCCTACAGCCCATGACATGTCCATAGAAGCAGCTGCCTTGAGTTCGCCCTCAAATAGCATACTACAAGCCTTGTTGAAATTTCCGGGCAACAGATTGGAGACACGCTTGCATTTGGGTAACTCTACTTTGGCTTGGGCACATATCAAGCGTGCTTTTTCAATATCCTCACTGTATTCTGGGCATACGTTACGGATTTGTAGGTATCTGAGAAATGCGTCAATCAGGAGCGGGGCATCATTGAAATCCTGGAGAGCAATAAATCTACTCTGACGCACAAAGGTATTACCAAGATAGACCTGAACAACTTCTGTGAAATCGACTACCATATCCATATCTTCTTCTTCAATATCAGGAACCTGGTCTGTAGAAATCTTGGCAGCTTCGAAATCTTGTTCTGCATCAGGATCATTAGGTGTATCTGCACTGGTTGAACGGCCTTGGAATGCATTGGGACCAGTCTCAATCCCACCAAAGCGTAAATAGTTATCGAAAATGGCTTTTTTCTCTTCAGAAAACTTATGGTTCTTGCGGTACTTCCACAGCGCGTTTCCGACGCGTTCTGAGATAGATAGCGCACTTGGGTTGAAAATATTTTAAGTAAAAAACGGCTTACTTTTGGATACACAGGTACTTACGGGTCAAATGGATCGTCTACAGGATCCTCTGTGTACTTTTCCTGGTAGTCATCCTTGAGTTCTGTACCAGCCTCAGGAAGGTTTGCAGTCTTGGACTTCTTCTTCTTCTTCTTCTTTTTCTTCTCGGTTGCTTCTCCCTGTCGGAGACTTACAGGGGTTGACAGGTTTGTGGGCATGTTGTCTGCGTTGCTCTGTTCAGTAGTAACCTCCTCAACAATTTCCTGATCATCCTCAGATCCTTCATTGGATGCTGTCAAGATGTCTTCACTACGTTCAACATTATTAAACGAGCAGGTGGTTTTTGAGATCTTACTTACACAAATTTCACCCTCTCGTTGAGGTTTTTGCTACCAAGGTCTGTCATTTGTTCAGGAGATGAGTAAGAGAGGGTTCCGGAGGTCAATATGCTGTATATAAGCATTGAAAGCACGACATAAGCCACACTCTGCATTATGTTTGTAGCTATTGGTTCCCCGAAAAGACTTTCATTGTATACTATTTCCTCATCGAGTCATTATGGTATGGATGTACACCTTACAATCGTTGTGGGATCATTACTCACAAAAATCTACTGTATAGTCGCGTGTTGAACTGTTAACACCTGAAGGTACGGTTTGAATTACTCTAAAAATTAACATGAACTAATATTTTTTGACAGGTCTGCGTGTCGATGGTCGTCGCGCTAACGAATTAAGAAAGATCACAGCCAAGACCTCCGTCTTTAGTCAATCGGATGGATCTGCGTACATTGAACAGGGAAATACAAAGTGTTTAGCTGCTGTATATGGCCCACGAGAGGTAATCATCGAGACTTCCGATAACGATTGTTACTAATACCTTTTCTCTAGGTGCGTCATCGTATGCAAGCACTTGCTGATCGTGCAATCATCAATGTTGAATTCAACGTCGCCCCTTTTAGTACAAGCGAACGAAAGAAACGCTCAAAGAATGATAAGTAAGTAATTCATCTCTCAGTAATCATATCTGTATATCTTACTAATATGATCGATTAGACGCTCTCTTGAAGTAGCCACTTTTATTAGACAAACATTTGAGCCTGTAATCCTTACTAGTCAATTCCCTCGCTCCCAAATTGATATATATCTTCAGATCTTCCAACACGATGGTGGTAAGTTAATTAATTTATTTTCCGGGCATTAATTTTGAGACTAATGGGACCTCGACTACGGGATTAGGACTACTTCAGAGCTGTATTAATGCAGCTACATTGGCATTGATCGATGCTGGTATCCCAATGTTGGATTATGTCTGTGCATGCTCTGCGGGATGTATTGATAAAGTTCCTGTATTGGGTATGTATATGTAACGTGGAACTATTAGTCTGGTTAAAGCGTCTCTAACCGAGATTATACTTTAGATTTGAATAATCTTGAAGAGTCTGCAGATACACCAGAACTGACAGTAGCAATACTCCCAAGAACAGGCAAAGTCAATCTATTAGAGGTAAATCAACAGGAGAATTATTATAGCTCTTTATTACAAACTTCTTATTTACTTATTTAAACGCTTGTATATATCATATAGATGGAATCTCGCTTACATATAGAGAAGCTAGCAAGTGTGACTGAATTGGCGACAGAAGGATGTATGCAGATCCACAAGATACTGGATGATGTTGTCAGAAAGAATACGCAGCATCTTAAAGACAGACTGACATCATAGATAACTCAATTGCCCTCACAGGGACCATTTGCATTGCGTGACTGATTTGTCATGGTAATATGGATCCTCCTCAAATATATTTTTAAAAAATCGTCAGCTCTCTACTTTCAATAAAACGCGCTCTTTCGTGATAATATTTATTGACATACAATGGCGTGTCCCCACATTAAAAACACTTCATTTAAAGTACCATCTGCCTATACTCAAGTTCATAAAGAAGAATGCACCCAGTGCTTTGAGTCTCAAGTAAGGCAGTAAAACACAATAAAAAGAGTTTTTGTTGATTCCCCATGCTAGGATGGCTTGGGTGGCATTGATGTTTGTCTCACATGTTTCAATGGAGGCTGTGCAGAAACTGAACAATGTCATGCCAAAACTCATTACAACACAAGTCACCATCCCCTAGCCGTGAATATTCGTCGCAGAATTGTGTCTGAAAAGCCAAAGAGGGTAATTATCAGATTCGCCCTGAAAGATCTCTCATCATTATGTGTCATTTTAGACTGAGGATGAATCCCCTCCTCCTCAGAAGATTAGCAAACTTGCGATTGTCCCAGACAGCGAGACAATCAAATACGAGTTCTTCACAAAAGTCCGCTGTCGTGCTTGCCCAGGAGTAGAAGTATCCAAGGATACCACTCCAGAGGTAGAAAATATATAGATAAGCTAAATATAATGAATATCTGTGTTAATTAAATATTTAGTTGAACGCAATTGTTGAAGCTATCCTGGCAACTTTGTCATCAGCTAAACAATCAGAGGTTAAAGCATGGGAAGAGGAGATATACCCATGCGAGCATACACTTTGCCTTACACAAGATTCTCCCAAGAAACTGGAAACGCAGGATCTTGCTCACTGTACAGAGTGTGATCTTAAAGAGAATCTTTGGCTTTGCTTAACTTGTGGCACCCTTCACTGCGGCAGAAAACATTACGACGGATCAGGTGGAAACAATCATGGCATTGAGCATTTCGAGAAGACTTGGCATGTAGTTTCGTGCAAGCTTGGAACAATCACACCTGAAGGAACAGCGGGTATTACTTTTTTTTACCTTCCAGATTAAAGATGTATATATGGCTTTTATTCTTACAAAATACTTTTTAATAGATATCTACTGCTACAAATGTAATGACGCCAAACTGGATAATGAGCTTGCTGTACATTTAGCCAACTGGGGAATAAATATATCTCAGCAATTGAAGACAGAGAAAAATATGACTGAACTTGTAAGAGGTTATAATATTCCATATGTACGCTTCTAATGATTTCAATTAGCAATTGGAGCAAAACATGAAATTTGACTTTAGTATGACAACTGAAGATGGAAAACAATTGGAGCCCAAGTTTGGTCCCGGATATACTGGATTAAAAAATCTTGGAAACAGGTGCTTTAACATCAAAACTCTTATAAAAATTATATTCTTATTCCTTAAAAATTAATAGTTGCTATATGGCTTCTATCATCCAAGCTGTATTTGATATCAACACCTTCCAAGACCGTTACTTTATTCAACTTCAAGACCACGCTTCTGTCTGTCAAAACGATCCCGCAAACTGCTGGGATTGTCAACTTCACAAATTAGCCGATGGACTTTTGTCTGGAAACTACTCTCTTCCAATTCCTTCTACCACAGACAATGATACACTGAGTCAGGAAGGAATTGCTCCTGGAATGTTCAAGACACTCTTTGGAAAAGGTCACGAAGAGTTTGCATCCATGCGCCAGCAGGATGCTTATGAATTCTTCCAACTTTTCTGTAAAACAGTATCTCAGAAAGAACATACTAATAAAGACCAGGATCCTACCCAGACGTTCGAGTTTTCCTTGGAGCAACGCTTGCAGTGTGGAAAATGCAGAAAGATTCGTTATCAAGTTGATCCAAGTAGCAGTCTTTCAATTAATGTTCCAGCAAAGAGAATTGGAGAGGAGGACTCAAAGACACTTTATGAGCCAGTTGGCTTTTATGAATGCTTGGACAATTTTGTACAGGAGGACACAGTGGAAGGTTACAACTGTCCTCATTGTAAGGAAAAGACTACTGCATTTAAGTAAGATATAAATATGCATGAGAAGTTACAAAAAAAATCGACCACTACTAAACCACTAAATAGGTCTGTCAAGTTTAACACTTTCCCTGATGTCTTGGTTATTCATGCCCGCAGATTTGCCTTTGTTGACTGGGTGCCAAGAAAGCTGGGTTAGTATTGATGATTATATAACTAATAAAACTAATAAATATGCAATACAGATGTAAAAATTACTTTTCCAAAGGAGCCTATTAACCTGGATAAATATCTTGGTACTGGCCAGCAACCGGGAGAAGATGTTCTCCCAGAAGATGAAGTGCTTGCTGAAGGTATAAATATACTGTGATATAAAAACTTTAAAATCAGTGATCTAATTCTAACAAACATATAACTATTAGCACCTTCGTTTGATCAGTCTGCAGTCGAACAGCTCATGGGCATGGGCTTCCCTGAGATTCGTTGCCAAAAAGCGCTGATCAACACTGGCAACAATGGTGCCGAAGTAGCAATGAACTGGCTATTTGAACACATGGATGATCCTGGTAAGAATAAAGAAAACCTAAAAAACTAAAAATGACCTAACGATATATTATTTATCTATCTTATAGACATTGATGCCCCTCTTGCTACAGCGCCACCTTCTTCTGGTCCAACTGATGACCAGATAACAACATTGTGCGATATGGGTTTCACCCCTGCTCAGGCCAAGAAAGCATTAAGAGAAACTGTAAGCTTATACTCGTATTTGAGATTATATACACTTGATGTTGTTGTCTAATACATTCTGTCATAGAATAACTCTACAGAGCGTGCTTTGGACTGGCTCTTTAATCACCCCGGAGATTTGGGTGAAGCTGGGTCGTCTGATCCTTCAAGTGGTCCTTCTATTCCAGGAGGTATTGTACTGAACCATAGCACGAAATTGCTTTCTCAACGCGTTATTTGAATTCTTGATTTAGATGCCACACCGCCTTTTGATTATAGAGTCAAATCTTTTGTCTCTCACAAAGGTACATCTGTACACTGTGGACATTATGTAGCTCATGTTCGCAAAGAGGGTGAGTGGGTACTGTTCAATGACAACAAGGTTGCTATTGCACCGAACCCTCCTATTGGTGAGGCATATGTCTATTTCCTTCAAAGATTTCATTCTGGGAAAAGTTACACCGAATAAGTCTTGATGATGCATGTATATATATTGATTGCAGAACCTTCTAATTAAAATGAAGCGGACAATATTTAAGCGACTACAGCTGTATTCATATCATTTAACATGCTTAAATCAATTTAAATATATCTGTTTTATTTTGTATACATAAATTTGTGCTTGGTGTGTTTTGTACGGATCTTTGTAGGTATATACATAAATATACATCAAGCTTACAGCACAAAATAGCATGTCTAACTGCGCATTGTGCCCATAACCAAAGCCAAGAGAGCCATGCGTACGTAAAGACCATAACGCATCTGGCGGAAATAAGCGGCTCTTTGGTCAAAGTCAACTTCAGGTTCAATCTCATTTACACGGGGCAATGGATGTAATACAATCATGTGGGACTGTGCCTTGCTCAAGACATCATTGTTAATAATAAAGGAATCCTTGACGCTGTTGTATTCTCCTTCGGTTGAGAATCTTTCCTTCTGAACTCTCGTCATGTACAGTACATCAGTGGAACCAATAACTTCATCTAATGAGCGATAAGTATTCTGGGTAACACCTGCTTCCTTTACTTCCTCGATAAGATCTGCTGGCATCGAAAGTGATTCGGGCGACACATAATTGATTGTAACCTGATAATAAGTCAAAAGCTTGACAAGACTGTGTACTGTACGGCCATTCTTGAGATCACCAACCAGGGTAATACTTAAACCATTGACTGTTCCAAGCTCTTCGCGGATGGTAAATATATCCAAAAATGCCTGAGTAGGATGCTCACCGATACCATCTCCTGCGTTAATTATGGGGACTTTTGAGTACTTTGCAGCTATCTGAGCACTGCCTGGCTGTGGGTGACGAAGAACAATAGCATCGGAATAACAACCGAGGGTACGGACAGTATCGGCAAGTGATTCTCCTTTTTGTACTGAAGATGTTGCTGCACTCACAGAGACTACTTTTCCACCCAGGCGATACATTGCGGCTTCAAAGGAGGAAGATGTACGAGTTGAAGGCTCAAAGAACATAGTGGTAATAACACGGCTTTGCAATAAGTTGACACATCCATAACGTTCTACCAAGGCACGCATTTCTTGCGCGACACTAAAGAGCAAGTGCAAATCATTTCTATCAAATTGTTTTGCGCGCAAAATATGCTTTTTATAAAAGGGAGATCGACCCAAAACTCGAGAAAGAGAAGCGGAGAGTTCAAACGAAGGAGCTTCGTACAAAACCAACTGCCCATCTGGGGTGGCTCCAAACTTGGCATGCTTTTCTGGGTTAGGTCGGCGGATATTTTCATCAGATGCTGTATCAGAAGACATTGGCTTTTCGACGATTTTCTTCACAGCAGATTTGACAGCTAAGGCTTGTGTGGACATGTTACGACCCAGAGTACCATCTGACTTGCAGACGCCTTCCATAAATACAGTAGTTTCGTTTACTACAACTCTGTGTATTAAACCTGAGAGGGTTCGGCCTTCAAGGGGAGACCATGACCCATCGCTCTTAGCACAAACGTGTTTTCGATCCAGCTCAACTTCTATATAAGTCTCTGGCTGAGGAAGCAAACCGAATATCTTTCGAGGATTTTCGTGAAGACGATCAGAAATATCTTTGAGACTCAGGCGGCCTTTAGATACGGCATCCAGAAGTAACGGTAGTGTTTCTTGAATACCATCAGTCGGAGACACCGGTTTCCCAAGTTCCTTGCATAGCTTGGTTGGAATTGATCCGATAGAGAAACAGTCCACAATATCAAGCCGCTTCCATAAGTCAGCTTGTTCCTTTTTGGTAGGCAAAAGCTTGGTGTTGTCAAATTCTTCTGATGTGAAGAATAAGGAATAAACTGCTATGTCACAAGTAACTTCCAATCCCTTCTTTTTACTCATAGCAATCAAATCTAAATCACTTTTCCCTGTCACATTTGATATATGAAGTACACTATTATGAAAGGACGCCAGTAAGAGAATTGTTGCGAGATCTGTGCCTTTAGCTTCGGCTACAATCAAATGGGAGCTTGGCCACGATGAAAATACGGAATCAAAAACGGAGACTTCTCCGCTGCCAATTTTGTCAGTATTGATATAAACAAATGCGGCGTCTTCAGAAAGTTCCCCTAGCCTTGAAGCGTTATCAACAGTAGAAATAGCATTGAGAATGTAATCTGTGTGAGCGTATTTTCGAGCAATCGCATTGGCTGCTTCGAGAGACGCAGCATCACGAATGTCAGAAGCGTGGACTGAAAGAGTTGTGAATCCGGCAGATAATGAGGTCTCTGATATTGCTCCAAAGCTCTGGCTACATCCCATATATGCATTAATATTGAAAAGACCAGGAAGGGTGGCAGATGTGTGCCCAGTCTTGTAATCTATGCCAAGAATATCATAATCTCCAGTAGGATTACGAGCAAGAGCCTCAACAAAGACTTTGGCACATTTGACATTTGTGAGAAGAGGAATATCATAGTCAACTGCCATTCTACGAGAGCGATAGCCCTTAGACATGTACGAGGCAGGACGACGATAACGGTTACGAGAAGGCAAATTGATGTATAGATCTATCAGGTTTTTGGCCAAGTGCTGTTGAAGAGAATATTCCGCCTTAAGAACATCACTTCCGCCATCCAAAACCTCCAGATACTTAACAGGAATATTGTGCTCCTGAATAAAGTCGGCTGTACCAGCGGTGGCAAAAAGGATATACCCAAGATTATGAAGCTTCCGTACGGATGGTAACATCTCCATTTTCTCTTTATATGAGCCGATTGATAATAGGATGTTCTTTTTGGGGATTGTAAATCCAGTTGCCAATAATGCCTTTAGATAAGCAGAATATTTATCCCTTCCAAAGCAAGCGACTTCACCGGTTGATGCCATCTCAACTCCTAACACTGGATCAGCACCGGAAAGACGGCTGAAGGAAAATTGAGGGACCTTAACACCCACATAATCCTTAGGAATTACAACCTTTGGGTAAGGAACTACTGGCAATCCAAGCATGGCATTTGTTGCCATTTCAATCAAGTCAACTCCAAGAACTTTGGAGACAAATGGGAATGAACGAGAAGCACGGACATTACACTCAATAACCTTAATTTCGTTGTCTTTTGCAATAAACTGAATGTTGTATGGCCCAGTGACATTCAGAGCACGACCAATTTTGGCTGTTGCAATTTCAATTTTACGCACTGTTTCTGGATCCAGATCCTGAGGGGGTAATACAAGTGTGGCATCGCCAGAATGAACACCTGCATTTTCTACATGTTCCGAAATGACGTGCATTATCATTTTTCCGTCCAAAGCAACAGCATCCATTTCAATCTCTTTGGCTTCTTCGATATACTTGGAAATAACAACTGGGTGATCGCGAGATACAGCAGCAGCTTCATTGAGATAAGAAGCTAGATCGTCCTTTGAGAATACAACGTTCATAGCAGCACCAGATAAAACATACGAAGGACGGACAAGTACAGGATATCCGACCTTGTTACAGAAATCGTCAGCCTCATCGTAGCTGGTCAACTCTTTCCATAATGGCTGGTCGACACCGATCTGATCACACATACGAGAGAATTTGTATCTATTTTCGGCATTATCGATCATCTCTGGTGAAGTACCAAGAACCTTGACATTCTGGCGGAACAGAGGTAGAGCTATGTTGTTAGGGGTTTGGCCACCCATAGCCATCAGAACACCAGAAGAATGTTCGATTTCATAAATATCAAGAACACGTTCCATGTTTATGTTTTCAAAGTAAAGGCGATCGGCCTCATCGTAGTCAGTAGATACAGTTTCGGGATTGTAGTTGACCATTACAGTCTTTATATGATTTTCGCGAAGGGTTCGTATAGCTCGAACAGCACACCAATCGAACTCAACAGAAGAACCGATGCGGTATACACCAGATCCTAGAACCATAACCCCGTTATCCTTGAATGCAATATCATGGTCACTTGCATTGTAAGTCATGTACAGGTAATTGGTGAATGCAGGGAATTCGGCGGCAACTATAAAAAATATGTTAAGGACTCTTCTTTGTTTTATCTTACTCTTTTTTCTTACCTGTATCAATTTGTTTAACAAATGGTGTGACACCATACTCTTGTCGAAGTTTTCTGACAGATAGTTCGTTGCTGTTGATCTTGTTAGCAATCTGGCGATCAGAGAATCCCAGCTGTTTGGCTGACAGTATCAAATTTCCCGGTATATTGGCTTTTGTAAATTCTTCGAGGCGCTTGTCAAAATTGACAATACGCATTAATTTGTTCAAAAACCATTTGTCGATGTTTGTCAGCTCCCATATACGATCCACGGTATATCCTTTGTTCATTGCATTTGCTATAGCAAACAAACGTTGATCCGAAGGATTTCTGAGATCATCATCAAGATTCTCCATATCCACAACATCGGGAATCTGTAGAATAAAAGTTGTGGGTTACTTTCAACCCCACTCTATCACTCTTACTCAAATAACTTACTGCAGAAAACCCGACCAGATTGTAGTCGATTGCACGAATGGCCTTTTGGATAGTTTCTTCAAATGTTCTACCAATTGCCATAACCTCTCCCACAGACTTCATAGAAGAACTAAGAGCGGTGCTGACACGATTAAACTTCTTAAGATCCCATCTAGGAATCTTAACGACGATGTAATCCAGGGAAGGCTCGAAACAGGCACAGGTCACCTTTGTAACACTGTTAGAAATTTCATTTAAAGGGATACCAAGTCCCAGCTTTGCGGCTACAAAGGCTAGAGGATATCCTGTCGCTTTGGATGCTAATGCAGAAGAGCGAGAGAGGCGAGCATTGACTTCAATAATACAATATTCTTTGGAAAACGGGTTAAGTGCATATTGAATATTGCACTCGCCAACCACGCCAAGATGTCGGATTACATTCACAGCAGTTGTACGGAGCATATTGTAATCATCATCGGAAAGTGTCTGAGAAGGGGCTACGACAATAGAATCGCCGGTGTGTATACCAAGAGGGTCAAAGTTTTCCATGTTGCAGACTGTAATGCAATTGTCCTGACAGTCCCGAACAACTTCGTATTCAATTTCCTTCCATCCTTTCATTGACTTTTCAACCAAAACTTGTGGAGAAGTTGCAAAAGCTTTGTTGCAAAGTGCAATTAGTTCATTTTCATTATTAGCAAACCCAGAGCCAAGTCCACCCAGAGCATATGCAGCACGACAGATGACAGGATATCCAATATCTTCGGCGGCCTTTAATGCTTCGTCAATTGATATGGCTGAGGCGGATGGTGCGCACTTTTCGTTGATCTCAAACAACGCTTGGGCAAATAAATCTCGATCTTCAGTGGTGATGACAGTGTCTATCTGAGTACCAAGTACTTTGACACCCAAATCTTCGAATTCATCCTTGAGCTTAATACCCACATTGAGTGCAGTCTGCCCACCAAATGTAACATAGATACCATCTGGTTTCTCGAATTCAATCACCTTGCGCACAAAGTCCGGGGTCACAGGGAGGAAGTAAACTTTATCAGCGAGACCTTTCGAGGTTTGAATAGTGGCAATGTTAGGGTTGATCAGGATAGTGTATATTCCTTCTTCTTTCAAGGCCTTGATAGCCTGAGAGCCAGAATAATCAAATTCTCCCGCTTGACCAATAGATAGTCCGCCGGAACCTAAGACAAGCACCTTATTGACCGATACTCTTGGATTTTTTATCATGTTTTCGGCCTTAGTTCCACCTGGCATTGCTATTGGTGCTAATGTGCCCAAATCAGCACATTCTTTTACGCTATCAATGAAAACATCGAATAAGAACTCGGTATCACGAGGCCCGGCTGCAGATTCGGGATGGAACTGGACAGAGAATACAGGGAGTGTCTTGTGGATGATACCCTCATTTGAGCCATCGTTTGCATTGACAAATAGCTCTTGAAAATCCGGTGGAAGTGTGGTAGAATCGACTGCATAGCCATGGTTCTGTGTTGTAATATAGCAACGACCAGAAATTTTGTCTGTGCAAGGAATATTTTGGCCGCGGTTACCGTACTTCATTTTGACTGTCTTAGCATTTGCAGCAAGAGCAAGGATTTGGTGGCCAAGACAGATACCAAAGATAGGTTTCCTGACGTTTTTAAGCACAGTTTTGAGGTGATTGATCGTGGCTTTTACCATAGTCGGATCACCGGGGCCGTTTGAGATAAAGAGACCATCATAGGTATCAGTCGGCTCAGATGAAAAATCATAATCCCATGGAACAACCTTAAGCTCGATACCGCGATACACGAAGCAGCGAATCTGATTATATTTCATACCCACGTCAACAGCAATGATTCGGAGAGTGCGCCCATGTGAAGACTTGATGGCTTTTGAAGCCTGGGGTTTATAAATCTTCGGCTCTTTTATCGAAACATCGGCCACTAAGTTTCGCTTGTTTGGGTCCACCCATTCAATATCGTTAAAGTCATTTAGCCACTTTCCGGGATCATTGCCTTTGGAGAGTCCAAGTGCAGAAGCCGCGGAATCAATGAAAGAAACGTCTGCCTTTCTGAACAAGATCTTTCCCAATAGAACACCTTGCTTTCTAATCTTCTTGGTCATAGCACGGGTATCTATACCATAGAGTGCTGGCACATTATTCTCCTTGAGCCAATCCGACAGAGACGATTTGGCCAAGTAGTGAGAATAGTCTTGTGAATAATTGCCGACTATCAAACCAGCCACATGTATTTCTGATGATTCAAAATATTTTGGTATGCCTTCGAGATATTCTTCCATAGCCTCGCGTGATGGCACACCATAGTTGCCGATGAGTGGGAATGTCAATACAAGGATCTGTCCACGGTAGGATGGATCTGTCAGTGATTCAGGGTAGCCTACCATACCTGTTCATTAAACAAAGTTAGTGCCTGTTTTGGTGACTATTACTGTATATTATTCACACACCGGTTTGGAACACACACTCTCCAGAGATGCTTTTTCCTTCCGCACCAAACGATACGCCTTGAAAACTTGCTCCATCTTGAAGAATGAAAGCAGCTGTCGTTACATCTTTTGGATTTTCGATTGCAGTTGCGGCAGGTTGAGGGCCAGAATGTGAGCGGAGAGAGAATGGCAGTGGTGTTGAATTTGCAGCTGGAACAGGAATACGTGAGTTTGTACCTGTTGAAGGTGCTGTACCAGCATCTGCAACGGAAGGTATTGGAAATCCAGAAGCCATAGGCAAAGAGAATATAGAAGAGATGAAGAAAGAGGTATGTTTGTCTACAAAAATATCCTTTATTATTTCTGGACAGGTAAATAAAAACTTTTTTTTATAAAAAAAAAAGAAATTAGTCTACGCGTTGAATAACGAATATATTTGCTATTCCGATATAATTTTACATTTCTGTCCGTACTTCTTTATCTGAAAGACTTTTATTAAAGAAGCCTGATGTTTTTCTTGTTAAAACTTAAAGAAGTGTCTATTAAGGTAATTACTTTTATTTCAACAGGAAATACCAAAAGAGAAGAGATTGAAACAATCTAATTCTTGTTGGCTTTTATACATAAGAGAAAAAAAAACGATCTAAAATATAGTAAACAGACTGTGACAACTCGTTTGTTTCTTATTCATTAATGAACCTTTCCAAATTAAGCTGCGATCAAGTCTTATACTTTGGGGGGAGGTCGTTGAGGCTGGAACATTTTGTAATCAGCTAATAAGAATCACAACTAGATTCTTTTTCCTCCCCCTTAATATCAATAGAGCCAATTTACACTAATATGCTACACACATATCGAGGCTTATAAGAATAAGCTTCTTTAATCGTTCAATATTATTCGTTATTTTACGCTAATATTCACAGACTTACAGATTTATAAATTCATAAATTCATATCGCAGATTATGAATTAATAAAAATCTGCGTAAAAAGGACTACGTTGACTGTCTTTCTTACCTCTTCGAGGTATCTCGTGACCTAAATGTGGACGATCATAATTCACTCTCCGTACCAAGGAAGGAGTACTTGAGCCTCATGTCTGTTCCCGGCCATCGTCAAGAAGGAATATTTTCAGCGTATGGATCAACACGATCGTCGAACAATCCATACCGAGATCTAGAACCCAATGATCAGGACCTTCCTCAACCTGACATTCTAAATCATGTTCCTGAGAATGCCCCAACCTTTTTATCTTTCCCAGCCAAGGATATCGCCCCAGAGACTCATCTCAGACGAACCTTTACTCGAAGTAAGCCTGTCGATCAGAGCGACTTCAAAGCTGCATTTGAGGATGGTCAGGTACCACCTGCTACTACAGAAGAACGGCAAGAACCAGAACAACCTACCAAACCACGGAGAGCAAAACGCAATCGTTACAGACGTCCTTCACTAGCAGAGTCCCTGAGCACCACTGCACTTATGTCTGAGCAGTCATATATACGCACCTACGATGCCACAGATGATGTGGACTATTCGGATACAGCCAAACTAACTGCCAATGCCTCAGGGTCCGGCAGAGATCCTTCTCCTCCTTCTATCCGACCCTACGATTCGACTCCTGTCGCTCCCACTCAAGATATGCAGCGACAACAGTCTCAGCACAACTCTTTGGTCAGCAAGCGCCAGTCTCTTATCAAAGTGGGTACGGTAATTCGCCGTATGTCAAGGCGTGTGGTTAATGTTCAAAACCGAGGCCCACTACCAAAACCATTAAATATACCAAAATCTACTTACGACACTATGAGACAAGCCGCTAGACTTGAAGAAGAAATACCAGTTGTGGAAGAAGCCATTCCTCTCACACCAGCTACACCTTATAGGCAACCTGTAGACATAGAGTCGAGTCAACGACAAGCCGGGGAGCTTGATCGTGATAGTTTTGCGCAAACTTTGCAAATGCAAAATGGATCACACATATATTTGGTAGACCAGAGCTGTGGGATATTTTCTCCCACAAATCGGTTAAGAGTAGCATTGGCCAATGTACTGTGTTGGAAGTAAGTATAACAAGCCCACAAAAATTAGGTCATAAGACTCCATAGGCTTTAGGATGTTAATTGACCTCATTAGATGGACAGAAACCTTGATTATGATGCTGATTGCACTTCATGGATCGGTACTACTTGCAGTTGGGTGGGGAACTGATCCTAATCCTAAGCCGCCTTCACAATGGGGAGTGCAGTGGAATCAATTCGTTCTACTTGGTATATTCTGCTGTTACACGTAAGTCCTGTCCCCACGTCCCCCCTTTCTACCCCCTTTCAGTCTGTTTGTCAAACGATACTCATGTAATCCACAGAGTGGCTATTATCGTGCGCGTAATTGTCTATGGTCTTATCAGTAATCCTATCAAGAAAGAGGGTGATATAGTTCCACCACTAGCGTTTCTTCGGCACAGCTGGAATCGCATTGATTTTCTATCTGTAATTGCCTATTGGATTGATCTTATTCTCCTGTTGACAGGCCAAGAGATAATTGGAGAAACGAGACGTATTATGGTTTTCAAAATGCTTTCTACGCTTATCCTTTTACGCCTTCTCAATATCACAAACGGAAACAAGGTTATCCTCCAAAGTTTGAAAAAGGCAGCGCCACTATTAAGAAATGTCTTATTTTTCGTCTTATTTTTCTTCATTATCTTTGCGTAAGTCGTGTTTATGAGAGTTTAAGGAACACAAGAACGATTAACTTTCGTCATATAATCGAATGTAACAAAAACATAACCCCTTGTTTTGCTGTTGTTTGCCGTTGTTGTTGTTTTAGTATTGTTGGTGTCCAGTCTTTCAAAGGATCTTACCTTCGTCGTTGTGTGTGGACAAGTATGGAAATTTAATATTTAACAAATAGAACACAAAGTTATAAAACAACAACAACAACAACAAATTGACGGTCTTATAATAGATCCCGAGGATTCCGAGGATGTTCAAATACTTCAGCAGTATTGTGGAGGATACTATGTTGAAGAAGAAGAAAAGCCATTCTTACTAAAAAATGGAAATGAAGGACCATGGTCAAAGGGGTTCATATGTCCAAACGGCTTAGTTTGTAAGGTAAAAGGACACCATCAAAATATATTTTATACACAATTTACTAAAGACAAAATTTATATATATATTTTAATAGGAAACAGAAAATCCTTTTGGAAACACCATTAGCTTTGATAATATATTTGCTTCCATGCTTATTGTCATGATCATCGCAGGCGGTATGTAATCTGTTTTTTTTTGTTGGACTCTACTGACGTGACATCTATAGACCAATCATGGACAGACCGAATGTACGATATGATGGATGCCGAATACTACTTTGCGTGTCTCTACTTCATTGTCCTTGTTATCGTAATGAATTTCTGGCTTATTAACCTTTTCGTTGCTGTTATCAATGAGATGTTCGCCAAGGTGCGCGAAGATTCTCAGCACTCGGCGTTCACCACTTCAAAGTAAGTAAATAAATAAACAAATAAGATCTGTATGCAACCCCGTTTTTAAGCTTACTTTTTTTGGGGGTTTGTTTGTTTGGCTGTTCGGTTGGCTGGTTGTTTTCTTTTTCTTTAAAGGGCAACGCCTGTGTTAGCAGATGCAGATGAAGGGTGGTCATTTGGAGAAAATATGAATGGTTTAGCAAAGGTCAAGAAGTCAGCGCTTAGTGGCATTGTTACCGTCACACGACCTTTTTGGATTATACTCGTTGTTGTTGATTTGGTTGTAATGGGAGCCAAAAACAACAGCATGACATCCGAGCAGCTGGCTGCACTAGGTAACCCCGGGTTTTATTTTACAAAACTTAAAATTGGTCCAATGAAAAATTAATGCTTTGTATTGCAGATTATGCTGAATTGGGTTTCACACTCGCCTTTTTGGTAGAGATTTTACTGCGTCTGGCGAGTCAAAGACGTCAACTGAAAAAATTCTTTCATGAAAAAATGAACAGAGTGGATTTTTTTGTAGCCATAATTACTTGTATTATCTGGATCCCACCTATTCATAACAACAGGGTTGCCTATGCATGGTTAACAGGCTTTCAGGTGTTACGAATTTATCGTGTTGTTGTTGCTGTTCCGCGTTTGAGGGTGTTGATGGTAAGGTGCTATAAGTTATCCGTTTATACTGTGTTCTTTATTGTTAATATCCTTCTATAGTCTCGTGTACTTGGTAGTGTATATGGTCTTATTAACTTAGTATTCTTTATCGTCCTGGCTACATTTCTGTGTGCTATTGTGGTAAGATTAACATGCAAAATGTACATCCGGAAATAAAATACTAAACATTCTACTCTATCTTTTAAATATCTGGGATATATAGGCATTTCAGCTATTTGAAGGCGATCTTAACGATACTGGAGAAGAAATGCGATTTTTCTCCATCTATAATTCGTTCGTTGCACTTTATCAGGTAAGAAAGAAAGAAAGAGAGAGAGAGAGGAGTGTTTTCCTGAGAAACGGACGAGTTGATAGCTCTCTTACTTGATATAGTTATTTTCTGGCGAAGATTGGACAACGGTTCTTTACACAGCCATGGAAGCTGGATCAAAATCAAAAAATAGTGCAATCTATGCCCTTTTCCTTGTATTCTGGTTTGCATTCTCAAATTGTAAGTTTGTAGATGGCTGTAGATGTCCGTGGCTTTTAACGCTTTATTATGTGTAGTTGTACTTGTAAATATGTTCATTGCCGTTCTTATGGAGAATTTTGAGACTGCAGAAGAAGAAAAGAAGAAGCGACAGATCCAATATTATGTCGAAAAGACTGAGAATGCATTTGTCACTGACGATCCAATTGTCAGTCGTTGGAATATTTACCGCTACATGAAGGCCAAACCCAAAGAATTAGAGATCAAGAATATGCCTACAACCTTACTTTTACCTGTTCAGAAGAATGCAGTGCGCGAATTCATGAATGAGGCAGCAGAGACTTCATTTGCGAAAGATAAAAAGGTTTGACTCTATACATAATCACTAAATCCAAAAAGAAAAAGAAACAATGAAGATTTGGGAAAGCTTACATTTGTTCTGCTTAATTTTTGGAAGATCAACAAAAGGGTAACTCAGATGGATCGATCGGTGGAAAAGGATTTTTTGTCAAAGACAAAAAATTTTCTTGGCGACCTTCTGGTATCCAAGAAAAATGCAGCACCCCACCTTTTGGTCAATAACCCACGCAAGAGCTTAAACATCGATGCTTTTAATTTTGAGCAGTTTTCTACATTTTACGATCACAACAAGCAAGGAAACTCGAACGATCCTCAATCTATGCGCTATTTATTCGATAGTACATCCAAGGAGACAGCTGCGTCTAGAGTTGCTGAAGCTGTTAGTCACAACCTAGAAGAAAGAAAAGCGAACCAACAAGAATTCATTACGGCACATCCAACCTACGACAAAGCATTGTATATTTTCTCTCAAAGCAATTTTATTAGACGAGCATGTCAAGCGCTTGTTCCTCCAAGTCGTGGTGAACGTACATTTGGAAGAACACCTTCATACTGGCACAGCCTTTTGTTCTCATTTTTCATCGTATCATGTGTAATTACCAATGTTGTATTAACAATCTACAACTCGCCAGTTTACGCTGCGGAAAACCGGAATGAGGAACCCAAGATTCTTATCCTCAAGTATGTCGATTGGGCATTTACAATAATTTTCTCTGCCGAGTTTGTTATTAAGGTCGTTGCCGATGGATTCTTTATGACACCAAATGCATACTTGTTGAATGGATGGAACGTTCTCGATCTGTTTGTCCTGATTACACTCTACATGTCCAACTTTGGAAACTTTGCTGCCTCTACTGGTTTGGAGCGTGTGTTTCGAGCATTTAAAGCTCTTCGTGCTCTACGATTGATTAATCTACTCGAACCTGCCAAAGAAACTTTTACTTCAATCTTGGTTACCGGTCTTCCGCACATTTTAGATGCAGCCTTTCTTGGTCTTTCCCTTATTGTACCTTTTGCGCTTTATGGTCAGAATATTTTCCAGGGTCTCATGTTCATTTGCAATGACGATGGTGACACTATTACTGATAAGAACAGTTGTATGTACGAAGCAATGCTTGGGACAGCAGAACCTATGGCAGCAGAAACACAGATATACCAGCCACGAGTCTGGGATAATCCTTACGTCTATAGCTTTGACTCTTTCTGGAAATCACTTTTGATTCTTTTTGAAATCTCTAGCGGTGAAGGTTGGATTGATGTGCTCTCTTCTAGTATGGCGGTGACAAGTAAAGACCAGAATCCACAGCAAGACAACAGTCAATTGTGGGGTATATTCTTTATGGTGTACAACTTGGCAGGATCAGTTTTTGTCATATCGCTATTCCTTGGCGTTGTTTTGGAAAACTTTGCAAAGAGAAACGGCACACTTTACTTAACTGCGGACCAACGACGATGGTTGGATCTGAAGAAACTGCTGAGTCAAATGAGGCCAGCTAAACGACCAAAGACTGTACCATCAGGTCGAATTCGTAGAAGATGCTTTGAATTGGTAGTAGAGAAGCGTGGCCGCTTCTATAAGTTTATGACAATTGTTATCTGTATGAATATTCTTTTTTTGTGCACCGATTCCGACCATGATGAGAACGTTCCTGGATTAACTATAGCAAAAGGTATAATAAAACTAAACTAAACTGCAAAATTAGGGGGTTTTACTGACGCATATTGATCTGTTTAATAGGATATGTCTATCTGACATTTATTTTTACTTATTGGCTTGAAATTGCTATTAAACTATTGGGGCTTGGGTGGAGCTCTTATAGACGCAATCTCTGGAACGTCTATGATCTGCTGGTAGTTATTGGTAGTGCAATTGCAGTTATTGCTACCTTGGGCTCAAGCAGTCATCAGATCAATGTGGAATCACAAAAGTTGTTTATGACCGCGCTTTGTTTCAAACTTGTGCAAAGAAGTGACAGTTTGAACCAGCTGTTTACTACCATGGCGTAAGTATCATAATATTTATAATTTCATAAAGGCTCTTGTAGATGACATTATATTTATCGATAAATTTACTGACAACTCAATTAGTGCATCTGCTTATCAAATTCTTAACGTTTTTGCGGTGTGGTTTGTTGTCATGACAACCTATGCAATTATGTTCATGGAAATCTTTGGATTAACCAAGTACGGAAATCAGGCCAGCACAGAACACATTAACTTTAGATCCTATGCTAACACAATGACATCCCTTGTGCGATACTCGACTGGGTAAATATAAACACATTAATATTCATATATATATGCAATATATGCGATATATGTTTCTGTAATATGATTGTTCTGATATTAGTATTTCTACTTTATTGTTTTTTTAGAGAAGGATGGAATGCAGTGATGCACAACTTTGCTGTTGAAAGTCCTAATTGTGTGGAGGCGGTCAATTACTTGGACTCGGATTGCGGGTCAACCGGCTGGGCTTTGGCATTATTTCTTACATTCAATGTCATTTCAATGTATATCTTCCAGGCTATCTTTGTAGCTGTAGTATCCGACAACTTCTCCTACGTATATCAGATCGCAGCAAATTTCTCTCTGGTCAACAGAGACGAGATTAGAAAATATCCTTTATATATACATGTGTGCGTGTGTGTACCAGGCCATACTCAGACTAACCTATCAATCGATATATTACCTTAACTTTTTTTTCTTTCACGTTCAAGAAAATATGGGCTGAATTTGATGTAGAACGCACTGGATATATTACATCGAAAGATTATATGTCGTTTTGGAGAGTAAGTGATTGTATCTCATGGGATAATAACACGTTTCATGTAACCGTTTGCCATGTAGAAATTGGATGGCATGTTCAATGTTAGAATATATGACAGAGAGCTTTCATACAAGACTTTGGTCAAACAGTGCTCCATAGACGGTCCTGTCGTAAATGCTAGAGACGATCCCTATAGATTAAATGTCGATATTGACGCTTTAAACAGAAAACTTGATATCATTGACAAGCCAGTGGTTCACGGGCGAAAACATGACTTGGATATGCTCTACTGGGTCAGTAAATAGTGTACACATAGTTGTACTATATTAACCAATCTACCTATAATAGGAAGCGGCAATGGTAGAATCTCCAAAGGGCGTTTCTTTTAACCAAATGCTCCTCATGCTTGCTCATAGAAAACTTATCGTTCCAGAACACGCTCTTTTGTAAGTTTATTGTGTAAAATTATACATAAGATTGTACTATATCAATTATATGTGTAGGCTCGATGAACTTTTGGCAAACCGAAGGAAAGAAGAAGGAATCCAGACTCTAATCAATATTGACCGCGTCAAAGGATTAATTGAAACCATTGTACTGAGAAAGAAATTCTTGGCCCATCTTCAAGCTAAAAAGGATGCCAGTCGTCAAAAACACGATCGTGAGTAAAAGTTAATTAATTGTGTGAATTTAGGGCGTGTGCGTGTACTTTCGCTTATTATTATCGCTTTATAGTGCCTTCAATTGTGGTTGATTATGATGATGTTAGTTTATTGAGGGTAAAGACGATACCTGAAGGATCTCCTGTGTCTTCCTCTCCTGGAACACCAGCATCTGTGACGGGTGATACGAATCCATTTGATACACATATTGAAGAGCATTCACCACGTTCCTCGCACTCTCCGTATGTTTATAATTATATATATATATTATATTATATATTATATATCTTAAGAAACCTTTTTTTTGCGCTCTTGGCATATTCACTTCTTCCATTTAAACTAGAAGCTCAATATCAGAACAAAACCAGGGAGATACAGAAGGAGATACTACTCCATCGAGTTCAAGGAATACAATTGATCATTCACCAGAACAAGATATCTGGCTTGGTATGTTTAAAATTACCGACTATTACTTTAAACTAACCATTGTTCATCTAGAAATGCTCCAAGAAGAAATGCGCAAATAGAATTAGTCTACCATTTATTCAATAAAGTTATTGTTTATCTCATCCTCTCTACAAGGCTGTCGCAGAGTAATAGAATATTCATAATATTATACGAACTATAAATTTGCTTAAGAATATATCTGCACACCTTTGCTTTTATTTTTACAGCGAATACAACGTGTGTTTCTACTACAAGTGACATTCTTGGCACTGGCCATTAATACATGGATACTTAGAGTTCAATGGCTGACTACAAAACAAAGCTGAACACAAGAAACGTTTGTACATAGTCCGAATTGACAATGTGTTAGTTGCACTAAAATTTCCAGAAAGTGAAATGACACTGATGAACTATTAGCTTTTTTATGACAAGGACACCGCGGTATCGGCTTTAAGGATTATGTTGATTTTAACTCCACGATAGACTTTTTTTTTGGCTTATATTTTACTTTGCTATTTCTGAAAAACATAAAGGACATTCTTTTTTATTTTAATAATGGTTGATGAAATGATTCTGATTTGAGAGGAACTTCTTTTAAGCTGGTTATATGAAGAAATAACCCGAGCGATCGGCCACTTGTTAACCTCTTTCTTTTCTGTCTTAATTATCTTCTCTTTCAATCTCTTTAACATTTTTTTCAGCTCAGCTTGTTTGTTGCTACACTGTTTTTGCTACAGATCTGATACTCTATTTAGCCGATGATACACAATTGTAAAAATAAATAAAACTTTATATATATACATTGTTATTTCAGCACTAAAAAGTATAATGTACACATTCAATCAAATGAATTATTTTATGAATTTGGATATATTGTTTATTATTTAGAGGTAGTGTATTATGAAACTACTGAGAGTACAATCGCAAATAAGCTTCTTGTGAATTTAGTACTCGCATTTGGTAAAGGCCTATGCTTATTTTAGTTCGAATATGTTATTTGTTATAGCGCACGGTATGAGCTTATTGGTATAATACAATTCGATTAAAAAAAAAAAGTAAGCTAAAATATAAGATATATGTCTAAATTATATGTCTACATCTCGCAGTTTTAAAAGATGTTCAAGGTGCCCTTGCGGAAAAATGTTTAGCATGATGACTCGTAAGCTTTATTTTTTCATCTTTTTAGTTGAGTAATATAGAGGTGAAGGCCGATGAGGGCATGTCCATTGTCAATTTGTTAAATATCCGCCAAGCAGATTCAATCCTTCATTTTCATATTTATCCCAATTGTAACTGATTAAGCCCTGTAACTTTCAAAAGCTTTAACAAAAGCTCTTACAGCCTTTTACCCCAAGATAACGGAAGCACATAAGCTGTCTTAATTGTATCCATTTAAGCTTTAATAAAATGTATTTATGTGTACAAAATTTTAGAAGTCATTTGTTAAGAATGAAAGAGAAAAATAAGGTGCACTGCAGTAAAAGTACTAGATCTTGCTGACTGTGTATACAGATGAATTTATATGTATATATATAAGAACTGCATTTTGGATATTTTCTGTCAGTTTTACTATTATTACAACTACTATTTCTTTGGCCTGTTTTCAATAAATAAAAAATATAAATATAAATAAAAAATAAAAACAATACAATACAATTACGGGCTCTGGATTTTTAGTTTTATAAAGCTTTTTATTGGAGTGTTATTAATTTAAAGGAGCACTTCGGCTTGCTAACCAAGTGTACTCGGCTGTTATGTGGGTTCTACAAATGACTATAACATCGGCAATATTCCTTTTACTGCAACTGTATTATATAATGTGAAAAATAATCACCTGAAGCATTCTTTACTAAAGACCCAACCGACCCCAAGGTCGGTATAATCGGAACTGGTCTTCACTGATTCACCCCACTTCTTAAATGCTTGATCTTATAAAATCATGTGGTAAAGCTCTCTTTGACCTGGGATTGAATGGAAATGGGATCTGAAATGCTATAAACTATTAGCTATAGACACATGTAAGCAAGTGTTAATTAGTATACAGCTTGATTATTTCTAAGAAAAACAAAGCCGATAGAGCAAATGTTTAATTGGCTGCTTTAGCAGACACATCTATCTATATCTAGTCTTTTGATCTTATCTTACCTCTCTTGCTATGGTCCCCTATGAATAGTCGGTTACTGTGTTATTGCCTTCAAAGGTCTGACATCCAGCTAAAAGTACCTTTTCTCATTTTGGATAGCGACCTTCTTAATAAAGACAAGTTCGACTCATTCAATGTTTAGGGTTACACTGTTATATAACTATTCGATTGGACAAACAGCTGCCAGCAAACAGAAAAATCTAACCCCTACCGGGATACCTCCCAGCACCAATGGTGAATGACCCACATCTTGTAAGCAACGAATAGATTAGGTGCTTAAGATTCTTGACAAGGGAACACAATAAAAAGTACGCGTGCCATTAAAGATTCTGCTAGACTACTACACAGATCAACTTGTGACAGGAACAAGGGTATTGAGATGCTTTGGAAGCGTCATGTCTGTGTTATACAGTCGAGTAGTACAGTAATATAGGATGTTTTGTAAAAACTTGGAAGGAAGACTTCCTCCAGGAATGCCTTCAAAGGGAGAGCAGAGTCGCCATGAGTTGGGGATTAGAGCAGATTGAACACATAACATACATAAATGAATATTAATAGGAGAATTAAAAGGAACTGATAGTAAGCCAGTAAGCTTTTGAGCTAAGCTTGATCGATACACACATGCTAGAGCTCTTTGGGAATTTATGTTTATGTTTTTTTTTCTTGGTTCTTGTCTGCTGTTTATTCAAATATACTTTTGTCATTCCTTACGGTTTATTACCGAAATTACTTGAGCATATTTTAAAGCTTGATTCTTATCGTTTATAATCATAGCACAAAGTCAGGTACGTTTCTTTTATAGCTGGTTTATGTACTCTTGTTGAATACAAATATACAAGGTATGTATTTATAGCATTGCCTACGAGTTACTCATTTGGAATATATATTCCTGTTCCTCTTTAAGTATAAATCACAGAAAAAAAATCCCCAAATACTGATTTGTCAGACCTTTGTGAAATACATACTAAGCCCAGTTACTAACCACGCTCAGGGCAAATGAAATTTAATAAGGCATCAAGGATTTATATCCGGAAAAAAAAGGGGCAGAGCCAAAATACACATATACTCAAAAAAAAACCAACACTTCTTTACTTGGTGGCATTTCTAAGTACAATGCAAAACATATAATCTTTTTTTTTTAAAAAAAAAGGCACCACTGGCCCAAATTTTCCTTCAAAACCAAATAAACACAAAAGAAAGTCCGTTCTTCTATAGCACAATGATATATGTACTCTCGTATGACTCTTGCACTTAGACATACACAAGTTACACATATACATGGCATATTGCTCCCATGATTTAAGGGTAATTCTCTCTAAGAATGGATATGAAAACAGATTTTGCTGTACAACAAACCATCGGCGTTTAGAATAGGATTCGAGGTGGCTGGTTTCCATCAAAAAGGATACGCAGTCATACATCCTGCTCTTTGAGGACGAAAAAGAGGGACACTGAATTTTTTTCCAGTGTGCAGATACAATTTGACAACCATGGCACCACCAGACCAGAAAGACAAGTATAAGAAGGGCAATCCTTCTGCCGGCGAAAAACCCCAATTTGCCAGACGCGATAGCCAGAATGATCGTCGTGGTGGACAGAACGATCGCCGTGGTGGACAAAATGATCGCCGTGGAGGACCCAACGATCGCCGTGGAGGACCCAACGATCGCCGTGGAGGACCTAACGATCGCCGTGGACCTAATGACAGAAACAGTGGAAAAAACGATAGACGAAATGGTCCAAGCGATCGCCGTGGACCCAATGATAGAAATAATGGACAAAACGATCGTCGCGGCGGAAAGTTTGACAACAACAACAAGCCTGACAGAGGTTTTAAGAGCGCACCACCTCAGAAATCAAACGAATCTGGAAAACCAGAAGAGAATGCAGAAGCTAAGCCTGTCAGAACTGCAGCAAGTGAAGCCGAGAAAAAGGTTTTGCATGAACAAATTTTGGCTCTCGGTGGTACCAAAGGTGATTTGAAATTCCTGGAGGATGTTGATGTGGACGCCGAAGAGATTCTTGAGGACAAGGAAGTTGAAGAGCGGATGGACAGTAAAGTTCTGGTGAGCTATATAAAAATAAGCATATATGCACACATATGCAGGTGTATATGAAAATATTAATATTGGGACGGTATGGGGATCCGAAAAAAAAACGTTAATATTTATGTATTTCTTGTTTCTTTTGGTATTATTTGAATCAATTGGCTTGATTTTTTTAGAACACTCTCCAGCATGAATTGAAGAGTTTCATAACCAACATTGGATTGACCGCCGACTTAAATGAAGATCTCGAAGATGATGAAGTTGAAGCTGAAGAGGATTCCGAGGAAGAAGAGGATGAAGGGGAAGAAGAGGAAGAAGAGGAAGAGAAGCCCAAGTTCAACAAAAACGCCAAGTTGGTAAATTATATACAGTGAATCAAAGAAAGAATACGTTATATAATGACTAAATGTGTGTGCATTATCTTATATACCTATATAGCTTATTGAACCTACTCCTTTGTGGCATCAGTTGACTCTTCCTCCAGTCAACGCAAAAGCCGATCGTCTCACTAACACCGAGATGGCAGAAAAGTACAGCTATGCACGCGAGCTGTTATTGCAGGAAAACGAACGTGGTGAAAAACACAGCGTCCTTTCTTCATCTGATCGCAACTTCATGTCCAACATCTTGACTTCCGGTACTCTTAACGATAAAGTTTCAGCTCTTACATTGTTGATCCAAGAGTCTCCTTTGCATGGTGTTAAGACTCTTGATGCAATGATGGCTATGACAAAGAAAAAGGGAAGGAAGGAGGCTGTTATGGCAGTCCAGAGTCTTAAGGATTTGTTTGTTGGTTCAGTACTTCCAGACCGCAAGCTTATCTACTTTAATGATCGCCCCCTCGGTGCAGAGAATGTTCAAGACGAGCACCTATTGTTGTGGGCCTTTGAAGATCATTTGAAAAAGACTTACTTTGAGTTTGTCCAACAGATTGAGGTAGGTTGTGTACAACTGGATTAGGGATGAGAAACTCACATGCAATCTACATACACAAAAAAAAACAAAAAACAGCTGCTCGCTCATGATACACTTATGCATGTCCGTTACAGCATGATCAAGTGTATTCAGGACCTCTTGTCTGGAAAGCCTGAACAGGAACAGAATTTGTTGAAACTTTTGGTCAACAAACTTGGTGATGCTGAAAACAAGGTTGCTGCCAAGACTGCACAGATGTTGACTGATCTGATGGTCGCACATCCAGGCATGAAAATGTATGTTGTTAGAGAAATCGAACAACTTTTGCTGCGTCCCAACGTTTCTGAGCGTGCACAATACTACTCTATCATCACCCTCAACCAGACCATCTTGACCGGCAAAGATACTACTGTAGCCAACAAGCTTATCGACCTTTATTTCATTTTCTTCCGTCGCCTTTTAAAGATCACCGAAGAAGAAGAGAAGGCTGAAAAGGCCAATAAAAAGACTGCAGAAGAAATCCAGAAAGAAGAGGATGAAAAGAAAAAGAACAAGAAGAATAAGCAACCTGAGTTTGAGCTGGAAGATCAGCAATCAAAGACAATCGCTGCTATTCTGACCGGTGTTAACCGCGCATTCCATTTCTCTAATATCACTGAAGAAGTGTGAGTAATGAATAGTTGTAGCTGTAGTTGCACAAAAGATATGTTTATTGACATCTCTTTTTTTTAAGGTTTGAGAAGCATATGGAGGTCCTATTCAAGATCACTCACTCTGGTACTTTTAACACTGCTATCCAAGCACTCTCCCTCATTTTTTCCATCTCCCTCGCCAAGCACACCGCTACCGACCGTTTCTACCGCACACTTTACGAATCTATGCTCGATCCCAGACTTATTACTAGCTCAAAGCAAGCCATGTACCTCAACTTGTTGTTCAAGGCCATTCGTGCTGACTCTGACAACAGACGTGTAAAGGCATTCGTTAAGCGTATGGTTCAAATCGCTGGTCATCACCAACCTCCTTTTATTTGCGGTCTGTTTTACATTCTCAGTCAGGTAATATACGTTAAACAATGATAGTATCAATGTACTTGACTCAACAAATAGCTTTGTTTGTTGGTTTGTTTATTTGCTTTGTGTATTTGTGTATCTGTGTATCTGTGTCTTTGTTTGTTTACTTATTTATTTTCTAAATAGCTCATGTCTGCACAACCTGGTCTGCACTCTATGTTGACTTCACCTGAAGATGATGATGAAGAAGAACACTTTGTGGATATGCCAGATGAGGATGAGGAAGAAGGTGAAAATGAAGAGAAGAAATCTGAAACAAAGACAGAGACAAAGGAAACCACATTAGACATGAGCGCACAATACGACGGCAGAAAAAGAGATCCTCGTTTCAGCAATGCCGAGAAAAGTTGCTTGTGGGAGCTTGTAAGTTATTTGGGGACAAGATGTTGCGTTGCACCAAAAGGCTAATGAATCTACTCTTTTTCTTTTTTACTTTACTTTACTTTACTTTATTGTACTTTATAAATAAAATAGGTGCCTTTCCAGGAACACTACCATCCATCTGTAGCCAGATATGCAGAGAGCCTCTTCAAGGGTGAGCCTATTCAAGACCAGCCAGATTTGCACCACCACACCTTGATGCATTTCTTGGACAGATTTGTGTACCGCAATGCCAAGAAACAAATCACTACCAAGGGTAGCTCTATCATGCAACCTCTTGGAAGCAGGCGAGATGGCGGTGTTCTTTTCACGCGCGGAGGTGGTGTTGGCCTTGATAGCGTACCACTAAACTCTGAAGCATTCTGGCGCAAGCAAGTAGAGCAAGTACCGGTTGACGAGGTAACGTTGTCATGCGGCGGAGTAAAAATGTGCTGTGCTAATTTAGTAAATATGTCTGATTTTGTGTCCCTAGGTCTTCTTCCACAAGTACTTTACACAAAAGGCAGCAACGTCCACAGACAAGCCAAAGACAAAGCCGGCTGAAGGAGACGATGAGGAAGATGAAGTCTGGAGAGCAATGATGTCCTCTATACCCGGAGGTCTCGATGACGATGATGATAATGATGATCCTGACTTGGGCGATGATGATGAGGAAGATGATGAAGAACTGCAGGCATTGTTAATGGATAGTGATGACGACGATGCTGATTTGATGGATGCTGAGGCTGAAGACGAAGAGCTCGGGTCGGAGCTAGACGAAGACGAAGAAGATATAGATGACTTTGAATTGATGAACGCGTCCAGTATGGATGAAGACGAGCAAGAAGAAGTCGGTGAGAAGCGAAAGGCACAGGATGACGATGAAGAGGATATAGACGAGGATCAGTCAAATAAGAAGAAGAAGAAGAGCAAGAAGCCACGGTTACCAACATTTGCTTCTTATGAAGATTATGCAAAACTTATTGACAGCACAGAATAAGGCTACTATTCATAAAACAACCCTATCACAAAGTAATAAAAAATATAATAAAATAATAAAAAATAAAATCAGCCTTTGGACATTCATTTCTATTTCGGCCATTGACGGGACCAGGTTAGATCGTTGCAGACATGGCCAATGGCAGACAAAAGGTCGCGGATAAAATCAGGGGACACAGAATCCTAACCTCACCAGTAGCCTATTGTCGCTTACGGACCGATCAGTGATCCCAGAGGCTGTGTCAAATTAAATACCCGTCCAAAGGTCTACCCACTCGTATACTGGCGCTGTTTAACACATATATAAGTGGTGGTACGACGTTGGACAATGTGAGGCAAACCCTTTTTCCGGACTTCTTGCTTGATTGAATACTTAGGCTTCTTACCTTGATGATGTTGAGAAGAAAAAAAAAGGCACCGCATCCCAATATGATGAACAAGGTTAGGGTTGAGGATCAAATGATGCCAGCATTTGTTGCTAGGCAACACAAGTGTTCTGGTGTACCGGAGTAAAGGTCGCGACTTTAATTGTATTGGCATCCAGAGTACAGACTTGTGTAACAGTGTAACAGTCCAGGTAATATAAAATCCATTTACTTTTCTTTTCTTCTTCCTTACCCTTAAAGCGTCCTGCATCTTGATTCATACCCTTGATCCCATACATCTTCCCCTACTCTAATCATTATGCCTGCCCCCATTGAATACACCTGCATCCGCCGCATGAGCACAATTACTGTGCCCAAGCAAGATATTAACTTTGAGTAAGTATCTTGTGCTCAATCAATCGAGCAAGCATCTTCTTTTGTCAGCAAAAGATATACATATACCATATCGACAAGTTGCTTATAAATCTTTTTTTTTCTTGTATTTTCTTTAGTGCTTACGACTTCCAGGTCTGCAAGCCTCAGAACGATGTTAAGAATGCATTCGAGTCTAGGGAGCTTGAAGCTTCTTTCTGCCGCGACTTTGCCTGCTGTGGTTTGGTCCTCAACGACCTTCATGATCTTCTTCAACATTATGAAGAATGCCACGTCCGCTTCGAGGATGAAGAAGGCAGTCTTTATGACGAGTCAGAGTCCAACTATTGGTCTCCTGTATCATCCCCTACCTCATGTTCATTTGCATCCTCTGAACCCAGCAGTCCTACTCTCACTCACGATGAGCCTGAAAGCATCAGCATCTTAAAAAAGAAGGCTGCTTCTTACCTGTCTGACCTTTACAACGCCAACGCTGCCACAGCATCTCCTGCTTCTCTTTCTGGTTCGAGCTCCTTGTCGACTCCCTCTTCGCCTCTTTCTGTAGCTGACGATCTTTCGATCGACCAGTCTGAATGTCTCGCAGATGATGATTCTTCTCTTCCCAGCAAAAAATCACAGGGAAAGAAGCGCTCATATACTCAATTCTCTACCTCCCACCCAAATGCCCTCGACCTTTTGACTCAGTCTGCCGCAAAAAAGCTCGCACTTGCCACAGGTGACCTTCCTACACCCATTCTCACTGATGAAGATTTCCTTGCCCAAGCTGGTGCTCTTCTTGCTTCTGCCAACACAAGTAAGTATTGTTATTAATAATATTATTAATATTATTTAAAAAACTTTATAATAAACAAAATAAACTAAACATCATTCTTTTTCGTTCAGATGCTAATGCTGACAAGCCTTACAAATGCCCTGTTCCTGGCTGTGACAAGGCTTACAAGAACCCCAACGGGCTCAAATACCACAACCAGCATGGTCACTGCAATTTGGTTTCAGATGAAAATGAAAACGTTGCTTCCAAACCTTACCAGTGCACTATCGGCGAGTGTGGCAAGCGTTACAAGAACCTAAACGGACTTAAATACCATATTGAGCATTCCCATATGGCCGCTCTCAATCACACCCTTGCCACATTTGGCTCATCTCTGTTTGCTGGCCTACCCGGAGGAAATGCAACTGCTCTTAACGCCATTGCTCAACTTGAGCAGGCTGCCGCTGCTGCTGCTGCCGCTGCTGGTAGTGTTGGTGCTTCTGCCTTCATCTCCCCCGAGGCATCTCCCATTCTCTCTTCCGCCTCGCTTCCCTCCCTCTTCTAAAAAGTCAAAAGTAGTATTATTATCAAAAAAGTACCCAACAAAAAGTTCTCCCTTCCCCTCCCATTCCTCTTTCATATTTCATTTTAGTTCATTTTATTTCATCTCACCCATCTCCAAAAAAAAAGTATTCCTCTTTACTACCCATCTTACTAGTTTTATAGCTTTTCCTTATTATTTTCTTATACTCTTTCTCTAATCTCCTGTATATATCTTCGTCTCTATTGTTTCAAAACGTAACTTCTATATCTATCGATCTCTGTTTAATTGTTTAATTGCTTATAAAAGTTTATCATTTAATTCTTTACTCAAAAATATAAAATATCATGGTTTCCTTTTTTTTTTCTCCTAATTCCTATTTCCTTTTTCCTTTTGACATGGGCTTCATTCAAATGTTATTTTGTTACACGATCATTCATTACACTGCGTGTGCGACTATCTTTTGTCTGTTTTTGTTTTTTGTTTTTTTTGTTGTTTGACTGGGTTTTCCTATAAAGGCAGTTGAACATAAAGTAACCTTTTTTTTATATTATATATTTATATATAATATTTGTGTCTATGTGTATATATATATATATATATATTTCTTTTTTGCTGTTACGTCTGTAGAAAAAAAGACATATTTAGTAAATAGGGACCAATCGACAAATAGAACCCATGGAGGTACCAGAGAACCCATGATCTTGACGGCAGAACCATCAAGCCAAAGTAGTAATCATTTTTTGAACGATGAATAGAAATCCATCGACAAGGACACACCTGCTCACACATCCTCACACACACACAGAGAGAGGGAGAAAAATAGTGCTAATAAACTCCACATGGAAATCAAGTCTATACAAAAGGAGGTTTAATGGTTACACTAGAAACCATCAAATGAGGAACTCTACCCTATTCAGTTTCTCATTTTACTTTACTTTATCTTACTTTACTTCCTTCTGTTATTTTATATATTATGTATCCTGTTCATTCTTTCTGTCAGTTTCATTAGTTCCTTCAATTTGTGTCTTCATACGTTGCAAATTCCCGATTTGAAGGCGAACATGTATTCTGAAACTAATGAATGTCAGGGACTCTGAATCATATTGATAATATTGATAAGCATGGACCCTTGGTTAATTAATACAGATCAATTCAAAGTAATATTATTATTTTTCTATTTGAGGTCAGAAACAAAGCCCAAACCCTGAAGATGAAAATAAACCGAGGGTAAGCTTTCTGAAGTGAACTATTATTAGTGGCTACAATGTCTTCTGGGTTTCCATCTTTTGGCTAAATAGGTGAGGCCCATTCAGAAGGGCAGGAAAGCGTATTTTTTTTTTCTTTTTCTTTTTCTTTTTGGTGAAGCCAGTAAAGAGGCTGCTATAATAATCGAATCCCCAAATCTGTTGAACCTCCGCGGGTTTAGTGTACCATCTCTAAAGGCAATTGGACAAAAGCTTATTCAATTTCTATTTTACTTTTTTTTTTATTTATTTTTGATCGATAAAAGACACAGTCCCCGCCATGTCTCCGCAGTTAGGTAGGCGACCACACAATATATATTGTATTATAAAAGGAAAACTAACAAGTTAGTTGGTTACTAGGGTACAAATTGCTATTTATTTATATGTTTCATTATTTCTTCATTCTTATTCTTATTCTTAGACTATTGGGTTGATCGACTTGTACAAGCCTTGCAGTACTAAAGAAGATGAAGAAGAATAGAAACAGAATTTTAGAACTTCTTGAACACAAATGCTTCATATAATACACAAACTTAACGTAAAATGAGAAACCTAGTTTTGTAATCCGCGCAAAATGTTTGGTCATGCTATTTAATTAGTTACACTAATCATAGGGCCTGAGGATAGTGTCGGCTTTGGGGTGGTTTTTTTTATATTTTTTTGAATTGAATTCAATTGAATTCAATTGATAGTTGTATTTTATTGTATTTTTTTTTATTTTTGGCCGGAGCTCATCACGGCCAAAAAGGCAAAAGATACTTTGTTTTCTTATTAACTGCCACGTTAGCTGTTAAAATGAAAATGAGAATTAAAAAATAGAACAAAAAAAAAAGGGCAAATGAAGACTAACAAGACAACTTCATTTCCAATAGTTCGTGACTGCTCTAACTCCTCTCTATGAGGATCACTTTCTCATAAGATCAAAAAATCAAAAAAAAGGGTAACCAATCCCTAAAAGGTACGTTGCATTAACCTTCTTTAATTTGTTATAAAACACCAATACTACATTAATATTTTCTGCCAAGGTTATCTATCTATCCATATATATATATATATATATATAGGTATGTATGCTTTGGTATAAAATGGAATTCTTTATTAAAGCATAAAAATAATAATAATTATAGCTTATAGAAAGATCATCTAAATCAAGGCAAATGAAGCAAATGGAGAACACTTTGAGCAGGTGGTTCAAAGCAGCTAGACCGATTGTTCCCGCCATGACTGCACTCCTTTCATCGTCATGCTGTATTATTCAACTTGCCCTCAATTTCTTCTCATTCTCTTGTGCCGGCTTTGCTGTCCTGACACCCTTCCGGCCTATACTGACGGCGATCACCATTATTCTCCTCACATATTCCTTCTACGCACGTGGGTGGAAGGATAAGAAGATGGCCGGAACCACTCTAGTCTCTATAGTATTGTTGGTGAGCCCAGAGATTGTTGAATGGATCAATCAGAACCAAACTCAGTCCCAGTTCTTGGCCGTCACGACAACCTACTTGGTGCAACTTCAAGGCTTAGGATGTATTGCCTGTGCCAACCGTATCAAGAGCGCGCTTTTAGCTGTGGATGTCATTGAGTCTGCAACAGTGTTTTTTGATAATAGTTCTGCTGTAGTACGTGCCTCACAGGCTAATGTAGCTCATATAGTCTTGGACACCATAAAGGGCATAGATCTGAAATACGATGCAAATATTCTCGAATCATGGTGAATAATAAAACGAAAAAAAAGAAGGATAGAGAGAGAGAAAATGATGAGTATAACCAACATGTATTTTTGACGATCTTGGCTATAAAAGGTTCGTGGGAATACAGAAGGATGGTTGGTTCATCGAAATCGCATTCCCACAACTATGCCTTCTACAAGTTACTCAAGTGCCTTTAACCTTTGATGGTAAGAAAATGAATTCTATCATTCATTTGATAACAGCTAAAGACGTTAGTTGGTTGGTTGGTTGGTTGGTCGGTTGGTTTGTCCACCCTATTTTGGAATCTTTGGAATACCAAGTTTGGGGCTACGAGATATACTTACTCTACCTGTTATATCTTACTACATCTACTATACCCACTATACATAGATACTTTTAAACCTTTTTATTTTTAAGGTTAAAAGGAAATATACTATCAATTTTTTAAAGAAAAAATAACCAAAAAAAATCTAGCAATCATGTAAAAAAAAAAAAAAAAAAAAAAAAAAACCAGCAATATCAGTATCCTTGTAATCAATTCATTTTGTTTTTTTTTGGCAGGGTCCTTTATCTGTCCTGCTAAAAGGATATAATTCAAACACAAATATAAAAAAAAAATTAAAAAACATATATGGGGGATTTCAAACTGCTCTTGATTTTATTTTATGTTCACAAACATTTGTTTTATGTATGTGTAGATTCATATATTTATATTCATATATCCTTTCGGAATAGGCTACCATTGACAATCTATTCCTTTCAAATGATTATTGAGCATAGCCTGGATTTCATTAGCCAAGTAAGAAGAAGAAGAAAACCCACAATGGTTATTTAAAGGTTCAAATGACAGCAAAGTTGTACAAGAATCCATATAATTACTTGTTGGTGATTGATAGGCTACTTATGTTTCACTAAAAGAACAAACACAAAAAAAAAAGACAAGAGCTAAGGAAATAGAATAGGACAGTTCTTGCAAATACTTCCGCTGTTAATAGCTGTATCTAATAAGAGTCACATATATCTAATTCCCAGACTGTTTGTCCAATGTATATATCAAATATTAAACATACAGAATAACATCAAAAGACTTGGGGGTAAACTTCAAAGGAGAGGGACGAAGGGAGGAGCTATTATTATTATTTAAATTACCGGGATTTAGTAGAAAAGAAAAAAAACCCCCCAAATGCTATCAATCCCGACATCTCAGACTTGATACTACAGAATTCTTATATTTGAAGCTTTAATATCTTCTTGAATGCCAAGGTTCATAAACTACCGTAAATTAATATTACTATTCTTGTTTCGTTTTTTTTTATAAAAAGAAAACCTTCTTCAATTCCTCCTCCTATCTACACAAGACAAATATGCAATCAATGCTTATTGTTTCGTATTACTCTTGTCATAATAATAAAAGCAATTATATGAGCAATTGGTATGGTCTGAATATAAAAGGCCAGGCAACAAAGAAGTGAAACCCTCTAGGAATTCTGCCTTTTTTTTGGTGCTCAGCTGTAGACAGGTCTTTATGGAAGATGAAGTACCCATGTAAAGTATAATGAAAATGAAACTAAGAAATCAAAGATAAAATCTATAACCTTAAATTATCGTTGACTACCAAATAAAAACCATTTTTAGGTAGATTTGTTAAGAAAGGCTGTGTAGTTTTGGGTTTAGATACTACTTTAAAGATCTTTCACGAGTAAAAATAATTCATAAATGTTGATGGCTTGATAGATACTATTTTGAATATAATATCTCGTGGTACATGACCATTTAAGCTATCTCAGCATACGCACACACACACACATATATATATATATATTATATATTTACATTTATATTGCTTTTCATGCCAAATAGACACAAGTGGTAGGATGTCAGGTATTTATTTTTTTAAAAAAAAAGGCAAAGGTCTTAATAAAGACAAGGATCATGAATGTGTAATATTTTATATAACAACAAAAGCCATATTCTTTGTATGTTACTTTCCCCACTAAAGCCATGGAAAGTAAGCCTATATTGATATTGATATTGATATTGGTATTAAAACTGCTACCTATAGCAATAATATGTGTATAAATTTATTAGAGTACAAAAATACAGTAATTAAAAGTAAATAGCAAGAACAATCTTGCCGTGGCTAGCTTAATGTATGTAATATATATATATCTTTGAGTCATCGTAGCTAGAGTAACATAGGTATATAATTCTATGCATAGAAGAAGAGGAAAAAGAAAGGAGGCTTTTCAGGGCATTATCTTACTAAATAGTTGTACAGTACTTTTACTTTCACTTTCACTTTCACTTTCTCATCTATCTTTTTATTTATTTATTTTCTTGGGTTTTTTAAGCCGGCCCAACAATTAAGCTATAAAGCATATTATTGGGATCCAACCTACTCAATGGTTACTCAGATCGTGGTTCTGTTTCGCTCTTTGATATATATATATACATATATGTATATGTGTATATATCAATTGCTATAAAAACTAAAATCCAAAAACCAAAAGAACACCGAATAAGTAAGTAAGCTTGAGCTTCAATTGCACACAGACATATACAAGAGGTATAGAGGGTGAAGATTAAGAGGAAGAAGAAAAAGATGCCAAGATACTAGGCTCTGGCTTTATTTGAGTAGCTTTTCTTTTTTTTATATAATTTTTTTTAAAATATATATATATATATATAAAGACTTCTTTGATAGTCAGTTACTGCTGCTGCTATTATTTTGAAAATACATGTTGTTATGAGAAAGTTTTTACAACATAAATCCCCATTGGCAGCAAATTGTTGCTTTGTACTCCATTGTCAATTTTTTTTTGTGTCTCTGTCTTTTTTGATTCTTAAGGGTCCGAAAGCTAAACTTGTACATACGTTATTAAACTTTACACAGAGTAACACGATATCTTATGGGATATAGCCGTGAGAATATTCCATTGGAATTGCTGCCTATCAAAATAGACATAAACCAAAGTGGCATTATATATATGTAATTTGACAAAAATAATATTAAAAAATGAAAAATGGAATTTGTAGATTATTTTGAATTCAAGGTACAATGCATAGTATTGTGAATATACTATATCTTATATAACACAACAGTAAAGCCCAAAAAATATAAGCTTTCTCAAAGTGTAGAGAAAATTGAGTGTGTGCTATATAGATATTCAAAGAAAAGATGTCAAATAAAAGTTTAATAAAATAATTAGTGATAGGAATCGATTGACTTACTTATACTAAAATAACACCTTGAACCAACTTTGCTTGTATATTATCCATTTCTAATATCAGCATTTTGATTGTTAGTTTGTATCATAATGCAAAGGTCAAGACAAAGGATTCAAACTTACCGCAGATAAACTATGAGTGGCAATGTCTCCCTTGTGAAATAAATAAATTGGGCAATTTGTTTGGTTGAATTAGGGCTCAAATAGATATAGCTTTATTAGCTTTATGATATACGACTTCTCAAAATAGTTATGCGAGCAGCTTGAAGCAAACATATGCCAAGCAAAGTTATATTATTCAAGTCTAAAACATAAGCTTTCTTTTCTTGTTCTTCTATTAAAAGCCTCAATCACCTGTCATTGTTTTACTTGGATTTAGCTGTAAATACTATTACTATTATTTGATTGTTTTGAACTGGTAATTATTTTGGGGTTGTAGTCATCCATAATCTTGTACTTATTTTTGGCCATGTTGGTGCCTCTGAACTAATACAGAACGCCGTATTTGTGCGATAAATAGTTGATAGAAAATAAATATATACGTTAAACTCGCCTGCTTTGGCTTTTTATATGCATGTACAAGACATAGATGTCAGGATCGTCTGTATACTCAACATGATGATCATATCTTTGGTTCTATAACCAGTTTATTTCCTTCTTCTATTGACACGAGAGCCAAAGAGATTCAGTTGCAAAGTCCTGCTTGCTGTTATCACTCATATCGATTATCTATTTTTATTTTTAGAAGAAGAAAAGAAAAGGATATCTCAAAAGAGCTTAGTGAATCAAGCAGCTTGATTTTTTTTTGGCTGTCAAGACCAACTGTTTACTAAAGTAATAGAGAATCGTGACCCAAAAGAAAGTCCATTTGTATTCAGTGATCGTGTCATTTTGTTAGACTGAATAATCCATATATCAAGGAACCCAGCAAGATTTAGGCTTTCCAATAGGTATTTCAATTTACCCGAATGTTAACTGCCTGTTTCTTGCTTCTCGTCCTGTTCTTTCTTTTTATAAAAAAAAACATGTAAAAGAGTAATAGACTTGTGGAGCACAGTTTTGTTGTACTACATTTTATTTTTTCTTTAAATAATTATTTTATTTTATTGTATAGATAGATAGATAACTAGATAATTAGATTATGAACGTCTTAATCATCATCAATATAAATTTGCCAAAGAGCTAAAAGCTAGTTAATTAGAAACCGTTTGAAAATTGCTTTAAATAAGTATAGGACAAATCCTTTAAATTGATCACTAATTTTTTGTTTGTTTGTTTGTTTTGTTAAATCAAAAACAATTATATTATACCATATCATCTGTCCACACCTATTTTTTTTTATTCTTCTTTTATTATCTGTTGCGGATAACCATTTAGCCTGAGTGAGTTGATCAAATTCTTAGTTATTTTTTTTTAAAAAAAATAAATAAATAAGGTTTCTTTTATGGTGGTTTGAATAATATGGCATTTACAAGTGGGTTATTTGGTTGTATGGTATGGCTGTATAGCTGTATGACTGTATGTATTATACAAATATACGGTCGTGTAGCACTTATCCTAATATTATGATTATTTTTGATGTTTTCTAATAGAATATATCTCAAAAAGTGCCCTTTTACATATTGCCACGCCAAATACACTTTATGTTACATGGCTGATGGTTTTCTTTTTATAGATAATTTCTTTTTGAGAGAGATGTTTAAGCCGGTATTTAAATGTTTGATGCCTTTGGAGGTATATGTGCTTATGTACTTGTGTATGTGTCTAATTAATTTTGTCAGCCCTATTCTTTAATCCACGCGAGTCAATATTAAACCAATGGCTATCAAAGTACTATTTACCAAAACCAAAATAAGATCTTGGTTAGCAAGGTCTTTTATGAAATAACGAGTCATTACCTTTGACATACGGAATTAAAATCAATAACCACAAACCTAATATAGACAATAAGCCGAATATATGATTTCATTTGGCTCATTTTGTTCACTTGGCTCATTTGGTTTATATGCTATTTTGCTTTGCTCTACTCAATGCTTCTTAAACGTATTGCTGTGAGTTATATGTATTTCTGAGCCAGATATCCAGTATCAAATACATAACGACATTATCGCTGTCACAAAGCATAGTCTATTTGCCAATCTGCATTATCTTGCAAATCTTTAAAGGTATACTATATAAATAAAATAACTAAATTAACTTTACGATCGTATATAGTGTATTTTAGGATAGCGCTCTTAAAACTAGCAAATGACATGTAAATGATGTAAAAAAAAAAATATGCTTATAATTTTAATTAAAAAAATAAAATAAAATTTAATAATAATAATAGTAATTATTTCAGGATTTCATTCAATCATCTATATTTTCCTTTTTCTTCTTCTTCTTCTTCCTACTCTTAATTTACCTTTTATACTACGATGGAATACATCAAAAGCCTTTTCCTAGAGAACCCTGAACCAGCAACTGTTTTGGTCGATAAAGAGAACCACATTTACAGAAACCGACATGGTGTAGAAGAACTAATCTCAAGTCCACTTTTCCCTCGGCTCGATTCCTCTGAGCGCACAATTTCCAAGATTTGGGAAAGTGTGACGGATACAAACTCGTCCAAGAAAGGATTTGGTCACAGAAACGTCGTTAAAATTCACAACAACGAAGTAGCAGCAGATCCCAACAATCCGGAATCAAAGCCAAAAAAGTGGATGTCGTATGAGCTCGAAGATTATACATGGCTCACTTACGGTGAAGCAAAGAAGAGAACCGAGAAGATTGCTGGATGTTTAAAAAAGAGAGGCTTAAAATCTGGAGATTTGATCCTTTTGTTTGCAAAGACAAGGTAAAGTAAACAGAGGCACTTCTTTGGACGATAATACTACTATCACCAGGACTAATATAACTACTCCTTTCTTTTGTTTTTATTCTTACTCTTATCAGAGAGGAATGGATATTGATGGCTATGGGTAAATATCTGCTACATTTCTTTTCAATATATGGTTTCTAACAATATTATTGGGGACAAATCAGCCTGCTTTTCTTTGGGAATTGTCGTAGCCACTGCTTATGATAGTATGCCTGCCGACGCCATATCCCACATTTTGGATGAAACCGAACCTAAAGCAGTATTTTGTGAGGTAAACTTCTTAGCCAATGCCATTCCTCAATTATTATCCTTCTCTTTCAGCTCGTAACAAACCTAATTATGCCTTATTTATATCACCTGAATTGCACAGACTTCATTATTGAATGTGCTAAGCAAGGGACTTGGAATGCTTACCGAAGAAAAAAGATCCAAGCTTGTACTCTATGTTGGACTCGAAGAGGAATCACCAGGAGCCGTAGAAAACTTTAGAGAATCTCATTCAAATGACGCCGAATTGATCCATTTTGATACAATTTACGAATCTGATAATCTGACTGCTACCGACAGTACGGTCAGACCCGATGATCTGGCTGTAGTCATGTATACGTAAGTATATGTTTCATATAGTTATACTACCTTTTTATTAATATTATCATTCAATTAAATTCAATTCAAAGTTATAATATTAATATATTCTATCCAATAGCTCGGGTACATCTGGTGCGCCAAAGGGTGTTGAGCTGACACACGGAAATATTGTTGCTGCTATGGGTGCAGCCGAGTATTTGGTGGTCGACTTTTTAAAGGAGGAGGATAATCACTGCTATGTCGGATTCCTGCCGTTGGCACATGTTCTCGAATTCCTTTTGGAGTTCCTCTTTATAACCATGGGCATCCCAATTGGTTATGCTACCATCCGTACCTTGATGGATGACGGTGTATGTGGTCCTGGAGGCAAAGGAAAGGGTACCGGCGATCTCAAGGCTTTGAAACCAACTATCCTTGTTGGTGTTCCAGCTGTATGGGAGCGTATCACAAAGGGTGTGTCCAGTCAACTGGATAAGAAGCATTGGGCACTACAGAACATTTTTAAAGGTAGGTTTCCTGCTTTATTCTATATCTGCATATATGGTGCTCTAAACGCATGTAACCCTGTTAAATAGCTGCGGTCGAGGTTAAGTGGCAGATGCTCAAATTCTTTGGGAAGGAAAACAATATCACTAGAGCATTAGATACCACCATATTTGCGTCTGTCAGAGAGGCAACTGGAGGACGCCTCAAGTATGGTCTTTCAGGAGGAGCACCCATATCATACGACACCCAAAAATTCCTCTGGTCTTCTCTTTGTTACTTTTTGCAAGGTTACGGGTAAATAAAAATATACATATAGGGATATGCTATATCATGCTTGTAAACAGTTTTATTGTTTTGGGTTTTTAAAGCTAATGATTGTATAATTATTATTACGTTTAAAATTTTTCTAGGTTGACAGAATGTTGTGGTTTAGCTGCTGTCACACTGCCTACGTTAGGTATTGTTACAGGTTTAGTCGGTCCTCCTTCGCCTTCTATTGAGTGCAAGCTTGTTGATGTACCCGACACGGATTACAAGGCCGAAAATGGTATTGGTGAAGTCTGGCTTCGTGGACCTTCAGTAATGCGTGGATACTACAAGCGTCCCGATCTCACAAAGGAGGCACTGACAGAAGATGGCTGGTTTAAGACTGGCGACGTGGCTCATTTCACAGAAAATGGCTCTATTGCTATTACTGATCGTATCAAGAACCTTGTCAAGCTTTCCCATGGTGAATATATTGCGCTCGAAAGCCTCGAGTCAAAATACAGAAACAGCACAGAAATCAAGAATATTTGTCTTATCGCCAACAGCGAAAGATCTTATATCATTGGTGTAGTTGAGCCTAAAGATGATAGCGTCGATAAAGACACTCTCCTCCAAGAGCTTCAATCGACAGCAAAGAAGAGTGGATGTAGTCGTGTGGAGATCATCAAAGACATCTTAGTAACAAGAGACGAAGATTGGGTTAAGCATTATTTGACCACCAGCGGAAAACTGAAGCGTAGAGATATATACAAGTCTAACAAGGATGAAATCGAAAAAATTTACACCTAGACGAATGCGCTGATATATTTAATAAAAATCTTAAATAATCATAACCATAACCATAATATAATACAATTTATTTTTGTGTTGGTTCTTTATTTCATATAAAATCAGCTCACTTTATACCAGAGTAGTGTAACAAAACACTTGCCTTTTTATTTCTTGAAATGATGTCAAGGTAAAGAGCTTTTAGAAAAGAGTTCTTTACCATTTGTTGATTTTCTTCTTCTTCTGGTGCTCAGCACCACCGGGTTTTTATATATAAGTTATACCTTACCTATTGTATTCTAAACCCACTAGTTCCTCTAAGCATTTTGACAACCAGTGTCTATACCGAACCTCTCCATTGAAAACAAGATCACATTTAGACTAATAGATTATGATATTCTCCTATCAATATTTTCAGACATTATATAATGTACTAATATTATTGTTGGAATAATAACAAGACTTACTTACTTGGTTACTTTTTATTATTAAGAAACAAAACCATGTAAAAATCGCTAGTTTTACAGATAGAGTGCAAAGCTAGAGAAATTGGTCAAGTCTAAACATGATTTGTAAATTCAAAAGGCACACACAATTGAATGTCATATCAGAGCAAGACTCACGCTCGCACTTTATCTATATCTCTTTATGCATAAATATTTTCTCATAAAAAAACACAAAAAGCAAGATTACGCCAGAAGCTTGTTTCTTACCCCTATCACTCACTTTAGTACTAGACTACATACATTCTGACAAATTATGGAACTGCTAGTTGGGCTAGAAAGAGCAATAAATAAACTGTTGTTTTTGTTTAAAATAATAATAAGAAAACATTAACGCACAGTGCACAAATGTTGCATACAAATTAGCTTTAGACCAAAGAAATATAGAATACAGACACATAATAAATGTTACTCAAAAATACATGTATGCACATCTTGACCAAAAGATATAATTATCATTATAATAACAATAATTTGCTTATCAGAAACATTCACATCAAGTAACTAAGCCCCATTTTTAAATACAGGTTATCATAAAAAGGAATCGTGTTTTAGAGCTGAGCTTAGCAGTAGCGTGTCTAGCCCTTTCCAAAGGATTGTATTGCTGCACAATAGAATTCTTATTATTATTATTTTGAGCGCATTACTCATTTCAAAATTCACACGTGAAGTGTTATTTTGATAGAATGTGGATCACCCCATTCAACCAACAAGATAGACTATGTATTCTCGGACTCAGTAACCAATTTTTTCTTCTTCTTTTTCTTTATTTCAATTTCATCATTAGTAACACCCAAAGAGCGTATTCTTGTACGGGTTCCGGATGAGTGGGCGAGTACCCATGTACATATGGTGTTCGTTGACGAGGTACATCAACCGCAATTAAGCTTTACTGTGTTCAAGCTGTATCATCTAAGCTATCTCACCTTATATAATATCAAATAAAATAAAATAAATCAATGGTAATTCCTAGGGAATACAAAAAAAAAGGTATTTTTAGGACAGGAGTAAGCGGTCTATGGCTGATCGCAGATCCGAAACTACATCTTACAAAGAAACAATGAGCTTCTTGACGGATATTACCCTTAGCCCAATTCTACCAAAACAAAATTTAAGTTACCAACAAAAACACAAAAACACAAAAATATTACTTTTTACAGCATTAATTCCATACACACATACACAATACAATACAAAAATACTGGTTGTGTATAGGAAGAACTGCTTATGTGTATGAATATTTTAGTATATAGAAATGAAAATTATTAATGTAACAATATTATAGTAGTAAACTGAAAATAAAAGCCCAGAATTTGGAAGTTAATAATAATAATAATAATAATAATAATAATAGCAGTAGTAATAGTAATAAGCATAGGAATAGGAATAGGAATAGAAATAAGAATAATAGCAATCGTACAGTGTTTGGTTATGGATTACTCAGAATACGCGATCGTCCATGAGTTGATGATAATGGCACGTCAAAGTGCTCTGTAAATCGACTAGCTTGTATTGGTTGCGGAAACAGCTCCGGTACATGCATACTTCCAAACGAAGTACTTGCATGGAGTTGTCCAGGTTCCACAGAAGCATTACTTGTTTGTGTTATGTTTGAAAGAGTATCATGAAGCCGAGAGGCCCATTCAGATGTATCGTTTTCTGTAGGCTGAGGTATGAATCTAGGTGATAGTGATGGTGATGCTAATGGTGGGTCTTGACCAATGTTTGAAGATATGTCTCTAGATGGCGTTTGTACTTTTTGTTTGTGTCTCCTGTACAGGCAAAATACTACAAGACCGACAAATATAGCAAATCCTACAAAGCCAAGCACACTACCCAAAATGATCGCTAGACGACGGTTGTTGTTTGAATTTCTTTTTGACTTCTCGGCCTCATCTTCATCGAGTGCACGTTTAGGAAAAAAATAAGCCTTTGTCGGTGTTTGACCAAATGAAGCTGAGGTCTGAGATGTCCACCAAAAAGGTATTTCGAGAAAGTTTTGATTAGCGGTGTCCAATACTCGCACATTTCCAAAACCAAAGACGTGTCCGCCGTACAGTGTTAGATGATAATTTTTGGTTCCTCGGACAACTTGACCACCATCAAGTTTTGTATTTTGACTGAGTAAGGGGAGCCAAGTCAGAGTTCCACGAGGTGATTCTGTTGACATATCATATTTCCACACTCCTTTTGGCATATCACAATCTTCTTGGTTGGTTGGTTCGGGTAGATGGGTTTTAGTTGGACAATTCTTCCAGACAGGTGTAATGATAAGTGTGTCCAGATTGTTTTTGGATAAGGACACCAGTCTGACTTGATCTGATGTGCTGGTAAATTCAACCACTTTCCCCACCCACTCCAATGATATTAAATCAAAGCAATACACCGTGACAGTGTAGCCTGCAGTAAAAGATGAAGCATCGAATGGTCCGTGTTTAGGAGTGACGGAAAAATGTAGAATCCAACGCGTTGTCGCAATCATTTGAGCTCCATGGGTTGGAGTTGGTGTTGGAGTTAGTGTAAGTGTAGATGTGTTGGAAGATAAAGAGCTCGGGGTGCGATTCCATTTCCAAGGGGGAGGTGCCTGCATATCAAGGATGTACATATCCCGGGTAGTGAGCACGGAGACACTATTTTCTTTGTTCTCAGTATATCCACCATACGCATACATCTTATTGTTCGCGACCGTCATTGTGGATTCTTTGAGTGCCTTGCGTATCATTGAAGGCTTTAGAGGCATAGAGTGCCATTTCAAGGTCTTGAGATCCAGTGTCTTGGTGGGATTATCTGACAATGGAAAGATAACCTTTCCATATGTTAAGATGCACGCATTATGTTTGACATTAAAAGACCGTTTGACATCCCCAAACTCTGTTCCAAAAGGACTCTTTGGACCGAGTGATGAAAATATTAGCTTGAGATCTGGTTGTATTTTAGAGATTTTCGAAAGGCCATAGACAGATCCTTCAGAAAACACTACGCAGTAGTGGTTGAGAAGGGTCGTGTGGGAAATATTGAGTGAACGAGTGGGGGTTATCGACAATGAAAATGAAGAGGGTAGAAGCAAGAGGATCCAAAAAGTCCATGTCTGGGAAGACTTGACTCCATTCAAGACCGATAAAATGAATGGTGTGGATCGCATCAAGCGGGAAAAGGAGCATCAAAAGAGGATAAGGGAAAAGCAATTGCTTTATAAAGGCTCGTTTCCTTCCATGACTATAAACAGATGGGTTTGTAGAACGAAGAAATCCTGTGAGATCTTTCTTTTTTTCTTTTCTAGGTGATTTAACTGAATTTTATTATTTCTTTCTATAAAATTAAAATACAACAGGCTTGACATTGGCTGATATGAATTTAACCAGCCTTGTGGCTATAAACAACAAATAATAATAGATAAACGTTTAGTTACAAATTCTTTATATATGGACATCATATTTCTGCACGTCATTTTCTCTCTCTCTCTATTATACTTACAATTGCCAGGCAGCAGCTATATATATATATAGTATAGATATCATACACAAATCGTAACGTCATAAAGTTAATTCAAGCACTAAATAAATACCGCCCTATACACGCCCACATTTTCTGTTACACATACCGATGAAGGGAGCACCGAAACCAAGACCAAGATAGAGGGTCATCTTGACAGCAAGAGCGGCTCTGTTCTTGGTATCGAAAGGAATGTTCTAACATTGCCAAATCATGTCATTAAGATCTAGTCATAACAACAACAACAAAAAAACTCCCGCACGATTCTTACCTGACCGTTGCTGTTGGAGAAGTGGTACAAGTCAGAACGCATGACCTGACGAGAGGCGACGCGGGAACGGAGGGCAGAGCGAGCAAAGACGTTGGCGACCATGTTGATAGAGAGTAGGGTGGAAGAAGTTACTTGAAAGTTCACAACAAAAAAAAATACTGTACCGGGGTTTCGAGATAGTGCTATTTACACTCAATAAGTACCTTTTTTGATGACATCAGTTCGCCTTTACATTTCTACTATAAAAAAAACAACCATTTTGATTTATTCCATACTGCCTTTAAATACTACATATATATATAAACACACACAAGTAACTGTGTAGTAGATATCAGTAATAGTCTTTCTATGAATTTCTTTATCCAAAAAAAAAATCCACAAAATCTATAAATTTCAATAGCAAGATTATTTTGTATGGAAACATGTACAAAAACTAATGTTTTTTTTGGCAGTCTTTAGTGGTAAATCCATAGCATGTAACACCCGGCCTTTGAAAACTATTGACTATACACAGGCATGTACGCAAGAAGAAAGAAAAGAAGAAAAAAGCGACAGAAGAAGAAGGAGAAGAAGCAAAATAGGGATGACTAAATACCAACTAGCTTTCGAATAGAAATATTCGATTATCATGGCTAGCACAGTAGTTACAGATGTAAAAACTGTAGTAAGAACATTTCTCCTTCTCAGAAATAATACCATAGTGAGTAAATTAGAGAGAATTAGGCGTGATATACGTAACATGGATGTGTATATCAAGTGTAAATAAAAATGTAAGCATAATGTGCAAAAATAAAACAAAATAATGATATACAAGTCCCATTGCGAGCAAGGTTAGCATTGGTTAATATTTTACATGTACTAATCACACAGTGCAAAAGGACAAGAGAATGATAATAGAAAATTGGTGATTATTGTTGGGTAAATAAATAAATAGTCAATTTGACGAGAATAGGACAGGATAATAAACTTTAGGTAGCTGGTAGCTAGCAGATTCTATCCAGAGTCGGTAAAATTCTCATAATTAGGAATACATTGACTAGACAAGGAATGTAGAGCTGTGTTTTTCGAATTTTAAGCAGGTATTAAATGAAGAAAGAAAGAAGGAAAGAAAAAGACATGTACAAATATATAGAAAAATATCTCATAAAGTAAAATCAAGTAATACCTCAAACACTAAGTCTGAAGAGAAGGACAGAGAGACGATCATGTTTTTATTGTCCATAATTTTGTAAAAAATAAGAAAGAATACAACAAATATAAGTAAAGTATCCACACGCCGGAGCCCTTCTTTTCTTCTTCTTTTCGTTGTGGTAAAATAATAATAGGCACATCCTGGTGCTTAATAACTATGAAAAACTTAATAGCTGGGGGAATTCACTAGTCGCTGTGAGCTTTGGGCTGCAAGACTTTTAATTATCGACCCATACTAGGAAGGCTTGATTAGATGAATGCTATAATAATCAAGCTTTGTAGCTAGAAGTTTGATGCCTATATTATAACCGTGACTCGAGCGATGTTGAACACCAAACCATTAGGTATGCTTGTGGAGCTTACCCAGTATTGAAAGGAGAAAGATAAATAAAATATCGGGATTGGGTTTAACCAGAAATACAGAGAAACCCTATGTAAAATATCTCGGTAAGCTGTTCCACCAAAACCGCAGCATCTTGTTCCACAAAACGATGAAAGGAGAATTGATTCTATAGAGGAATATGTGAGAGATCATCTCAACCCTCATTTAGAGTTTCTAGGTGTAGGTTTTAGAAGGCTATATGCTTTGTATGGAGCAAGCTTGGTGGGAAACAAATAATATCATCAAAACATATAATGAGTATGCAAGGCTAGGGACCTTATAAGTAAGTGACTCGCCAGGTCCAAGCTCACTGTATTCTATAGTGTAAGACTTGGAAAACTAGCGGGTGAAGTGACTGATGTCAAATCCCAAACGGAACAAAAAGATTGATGATCGACAAATAAGATGGTGAGATCTATGACGATTACTATAAAAGGAATAAGCATCTCCGAAGTCAAGACAAGCAGTACTTAAGATCCTTTTTCTCACCCTATCCATCTCTAATTCTCTTTCTACTCTTGACTTTATTATCATCAAGAATATAATGGTTGACAAGTAAGATAAAAACTTCTGCGTCACAACGCACACAGAGAGACAGTGTAGCTGACCTCTCTGCTTTATGACAACAGGAAAATCTTATTGCTTGGATCGGGCTTTGTTGCTGCTCCCTGTGTCGAGTATATCCTGCGTAGACCAGAAAACAAGTTGACCATCGGTAAGGAAATTTAAAGATGTGTATTCACAATTATCTGTAGCTTACTTACTATGACGCGTCAATATTCCAACTATAGCCAGCAGAAGACTCGAGAATGCTAAGGAGTTGGCCGGTCAGTTCAAGAACACTACTGCTGTCTCTTGCGATATCACCAATGACAAGGCTATTGACGAGATCGTTGCCCAGCACGATGTGATTATCAGGTAATATTGATAGGACTGAACTTGTGGAAAGAGAGCTAGATATATATACATATATGCGTGTGTGATATAACTAAACATATATATCTAGTTTGATTCCTTATATCTACCACGCCAAGGTTATCGCTGCCGCTGTTAAGCACAAGAAGCACGTTGTCACAACCTCATACGTCTCTCCCGCTATGATGGAATATGACCAGGCGTAAGTTTAATAGACACGTGTATTTCTACCAGAACCCAATAATTAACAACATTCATGCCTAATTAGTGCTAAGGATGCTGGCATCACTGTCATGAACGAGATTGGTCTTGATCCCGGAATTGATCACTTGTATGCTGTCCGCACTATCGACACAGTCCACAAGGAGGGTGGCAAGGTAATTATTCAAATATTAATAGCCTGTGGTTTTTGGGGTTTTGTATTAAAACATTATTTCTAGCTCAACGAGTTCATCTCTTTCTGCGGTGGTCTTCCTGCTCCTGAGGATTCCAACAACCCCTTCGGTTATAAGTTCTCTTGGTCTGCTCGCGGTGTCTTGTTGGCTTTGAAGAATACTGCCAAGTATCTCGAGAACGGAAAGGTTGTCGAAGTCAGCGGTACTGCCCTCATGGACTCTGCCAAGGTTCTCAACACTGGCTACCCCGGTTTTGCTTTCGTTGGTTACGGTAACCGTGACTCTACTATCTACGACAAGCGTTACAACATCCCCGAGGCCACCACCATTATCCGTGGTACCATTCGTTATGATGGCTTCCCTCAATTTGTCAAAGCTCTCGTTGTTCTTGGTTTCCTGAGTGAGGATGAGCAGCCCCATTTGTCTGCTGCCTCTAGCGAAATTGCATGGAACGAGGTTATTGGCAAGGTTGTTGGTTCCTCAGACTTGTCTGAGAACGCTCTCAAGGCCGCCATTATTGCCAAGTGCGACCTCGAGAACAACCCTCGTAAGGATCACATTCTTGATGGAATGAAGTGGGTTGGTTTCTTCTCTGACAACAAGGTTCACCGTCGTGGTAACTTGTTGGACACTTTCTGTGCCACCCTTGAGGAGAAGATGCAGTACGAGGAAGGTGAACGTGACTTGGTTTTCTTGCAGCATCGTTTTGAGATTGAACTCAAGGACGGATCCAAGCAGACTCGTACGTCCACTTTGGTTGAATTTGGTGTTCCTGGTGGATTCAGTGCTATGGCCAAGACTGTAGGTGTTCCTTGCGGTATTGCTGTTCAATTAATATTGGACGGTAAGCTCACAAAGACTGGTGTGATTGCCCCTATGTCTGCTGAAATCAATGATCCTATTATTGAGCTTTTGGAGAAGGAGGGTATGGGTATGGTTGAAGCCATCCTTTAAAACTGTAAATTATGTGCCATGAATTTTTATATAATAAAATAAAATAAAATAAAATAAAATTAAAAAAAATTAAAAAATTAAAAAAATAATTGATCACATTTTTAATAATTTTGAATTTAATTAATGCCTTTTTGTCAATGGATTAATATTTATCCGGGTATCACAATAAGACAATGGGTTTCCGTGGGACCGTATATTTCCTACGATTTCGGAGTTATAATGTCTGCCATTTATTACAGCGAAATCCTACCTTTCTTATGCCACACACACTCTGTGTGGGTCGGTGACGTAGCATTTAAGTTCTTTAAGTGTAATTTTCCTTGCCCCTGCCAGAATATGAGGAATAATTTTATGACATAACAAATTTTTTTTTAAAGTTCCTTTCTACCCATATTCACCCTTTTTATCCCGATTTTTTTTTGTTTACCTTTTCTTCCCCTTTTTTAAAAAGATGTTCTTGTCCCGTACTACCGTCGCCCCTCTCAAGGCCAGTGCCTTGTCCTTTGCCAAGGTAAAAACCTAGCCTTCGGTTAAAGCCAAACCCATACAACCAAAAAACCAAAACCAACAATTTATCAATAGGTCAATGCTGTCCGTGCTATCACCACCGCCACTCCCAGCATTACCCAGGCCTTCAGCGCCCAGAAGAACGCCAACGTAAGCCCATTAACATCAATTACCCAGCACGGTCGTTAATTGTATAGATATTTCCGCAAATAATAATAGGGTAACTACTTGGTCACCATGATCCCCGGTGATGGTATCGGTCCCGAAATCTCTCGTTCCGTCAAGGAGATTTTCGCTGCCGCTAAGGCACCTATTGAGTGGGAAGAAGTAGATGTTACCCCTATCGTCAAGGATGGCAAGACTGCTATCCCTGATGAGGCCATTGTCAGTGTACGCAAGAGCACCGTTGCTCTCAAGGGTCCCCTCGCCACTCCCATCGGTAAGGGTCACGTTTCCCTCAACTTGACTCTCCGTCGTACATTCAACCTTTACGCCAACGTCCGTCCTTGCCGTTCCGTTGTCGGTTTCAAGACCCCTTACGACGATGTCAACACTGTCCTTATCCGTGAGAACACCGAGGGTGAATACTCTGGTATTGAGCACGAGGTAATAAAGCGAGGAACAACTGGATGGGATTAAGGCATATAAAATATACACCGCACACATATACCCTCTCTCTCTGTATGTGCATGTGCATGTGTATGTGTGGGTGTATATGTGTGTATTTGAGTGTGAAAAATGTTTATTTATTTAATTAATTTGTGGAATTCAAGGTCGTCGATGGTGTAGTCCAGTCCATTAAGTTGATCACCAAGGATGCCTCCGAGCGCGTTGCCCGTTACGCTTTCACATACGCCCAGTCCATTGGTCGTGACCGTGTCACCGCCGTCCACAAGGCTAACATCATGTAAGAATTAAGGATATAAAAGGGAACAAAACACAAGAAAACCAAAAAAAAAGAAATTCAATCTAATCTGTTTTACGACAGGAAATTGGCTGATGGTCTTTTCTTGGATGTCTGCCGTCAGGTCTCCAAGGACTTCCCCGACATCAAGTTCAACGATATCCTCTTGGATCGTGCCTGCCTTAACGTAAATATACTTTTACTTTATGTGATTTTTGGTTTATTCACACCATTTCCGAATATCTAGATCACCTCCGACCCCTCTTTGTACGCTGATACCGTCATGGTCATGCCTAACCTTTACGGTGATATCTTGTCCGACATGTGCGCCGGTTTGATTGGTGGTCTTGGTTTGACTCCCTCTGGTAACATTGGTCGTGATGCCTCCATCTTCGAGGCCGTCCACGGTACTGCCCCCGATATTGCTGTAAGTTTTAATTAAAAAATTAGGCGTGTCGTAAAGTATTATAGATAGATTTTTTAATATTAAAAAACAAAACTGAGCAAATTTATTAATGGGAATGCAATATCTATTTTTTCCTTTGTTTTACAGGGTCAGGACAAGGCTAACCCCACCGCCTTGTTGTTGTCTGGTATCATGATGCTGAGACACATGCGCTTGAACGAGCAGGCTGCTAACGTCGAGCAGGCTGTCTTCAAGACCATTGCCGAGAGCAAGTTCTTGACTGCCGATTTGGGCGGTCGCTCCACCAACAGCGAGTTCACCAAGGCTGTTATTGGCGTAAGTAAAAAAAATATTAGCACTATAATATTTACAGCTCCTAACATACTTTGTGGTTTATAGAACTTGAAGGCTTAGATATCCTATCCTACCCCAACCTTTCCCAGAGTCCTTGTCTCTTTAAAAGAAGACTAAAACATTGTTTTCATCATGTCCATATAGAAGCTACTTCATCAATAATAAAAAAGCAGGAATGCAACTCTTTGTACTCCTGTAAAAATCAATTCCCAGCGCGTACTTTTTTCTTTTTTGTAATTTATTATTTATTAATTGAAAAATATAAAGCATGGCTGGGATTTTGTTCAGAGACCAGACTTTTTGACCTTCTTGACCTTCTTGCCACCCTTCTTCTGAAAATCGCGCCAGCTGTTCACGCGCGTGTCACGCGAGGCCTCCCATTGTTTAGCTTCCTCTGCTTTTCGCTTCCTATCGACCACTGCCTCTTCGGCCTTTCGTGCCACCACACCTAGCACAACTTAAGCACGCAAAGCAAAACTATCTTTTTAATTACCTTCAGCTTCCAACTCCTTCTTCAGCATCCTCCGGCGACGAAGCTCCATTTCAATCAAAATTTCTTTAACTTTCTCACGAACTGCCGTCTGTCCATCGCGTGTCTGTAGGAATGGATAATTCTGATCGTCAACCACTGTAGCAGACTCTACTGTAACTTTATTTCTGCCATCCTCTTCCTTTTCCTCGGTGTTGACCTGTGTCTTGACTTTGTGTCCATTCGCTCTTAAAGCTTCAACTTTAGCCTCTTCTATTACTGTCAACAAAAACTTCATCCGAGTTTCGTCATTCAATTCGGACTCGGCTTTCTTCAGCATTCCAAATGCCTCCTCTGCACGCTCATGCTTCACTTTGTCAGGATGAATCATCAAACTCTTTTTGCGGTACGATGCCTTGATGGCTTTGATCTCTGGACGATTGTAAGGCAATTCGAGGATGGCAAAGGGGTCGAGTTTAAAGCATTGAAGTACACGTTCAATCTCGAGTTGTTTTTCTGCTTGTGAAAAGTATCGATCGAGATCGAGATCTGTTTCCAAAGGAGCCGTATTAAGTTTAGAGGTTGCTGGTGTGGGATCTGCCATGTTCGAAAGTTTTTTAAAAAAAAGTCTACCAACGGAGAGAGTAAGAGAGCAGGTGTAGAAGGGGGAAGAAAGGCAAACGCATTTTTATGTGACTGCTTAGAGCGTAATTCTTTATCGCAAAATAGGGAAAGGGAGCAAGAGATTGAAATGAAAAGTTGTAGTTGTTTAAACCTTTAATAAATATGTAGATCGACAAAAGGGTTTATTTGAAATACTCACCAAATTGCACAAGCTCCAAAAATATCAACTCACTATAAAGCAGGCACACTCTCTCTTTGTGAAAACATCAAAAAGCTATTTTATTATATAGTGCTTTATATAAGAGATGTTTGTAATTTTCTATCATTGTGTTAAATAGTATATTTATATATACACTTTTTTTTTGTTCCCTTTCTTAATAGGCAAAAGAACAAAAGAAAACGGAGGTTTCTACGGCTGAATACATTAGCGGCCATTATCCGAAACTGTACCGCTTGTTATGGTATTTTGCAATACATAAAGCTGGTAAATTGCGGAAAATACCCATCTATCCAGTTTGCTGAAAAAAGCACAATGAATGATGAAAATTGCAAATTCAAGTTTTTTTAAATTTTATTGTGTTTTGTAAATTGAATTTTAATATGAGAAATTACACCTTTTGATGTACACGAATATTCTAATCAAACGAAAATTATAATCTACTTGACCCATGTGCAGGGCATCATCATCTTAATACGTTCTACACATATTTATAAATACTTTAAAAATATTTTTTGTTTTGACATTGTAAAAGCAGAATTTTCAAAATATAAAAGGTTTACAAAATGAAAATTCCAGCTCGAGAATTACAACGGGAAGAGTCCTGAGATTAATATTCAAAATTCTTGTAAACTATATGCGTGCTTCTTACACATTATTCAAAAATCCTCTCAGTACATCGGCGGCTAAATAAGGTTATCCTAAATATATCTCCGACAATTACCAGGTGAATCAACCTCTTGCCACAAGTGGCTTGCAGAGCTTACTCCGCAGCCGGCGGCCGCCCCTTTCAACTTTATTGAATCACGTGAGTTAGATTTGCAGTATTTTCAGCCTGAGCATTCAATTATACACCATCCATTGCTTTCCTGTCAACATGTACAGACCTCCATCCGCATCATTTCCACCTGGGGCTGTAAGTTCTCTCTCCAATCTTCGCCAAAAAATGCTTACACTTTTTAAATTCATAGTATGGTGGTCCCCAATCGCCAGTTGTAGGAGGTCCTCATCCTCCTGGAGGTGGATCGCCCTGGCCAAGACCGCCACCTCATCAATCCGGTCCTCCTACCACAGGCGTGAGTTTATATATTAAAATCATACTAAACATTTATACATGAATGAAACAATAACAAAAAAAAACGCTTACATACATATCTATCTATTTTGTAGCCGATTTGGAAAGAACATCACACACCAGAGGGAAAAAAATATTGGTTTAATACAACTACACGACAGAGTACGTGGGAAAAACCTGAAGAACTGTTGACTCCAGAAGAGAAGGCATTGATGAGTTGTCCTTGGAAGGAATATACCACACCCGAAGGGAAAAAGTACTACAGCAATTCTCAAACTAAGGAAACTACATGGCAGATCCCACCTGAATACAAAGGTAAAATAAACATAAAAATAAAAAGGAAAATTTGCTTTGTCGTATTGATTATTATTATTTTCATTAAAAAAATAAACAAATTGATATTTTTGTAGAACAATTAGAAAAGGCCCAACAGGCAAAGGAGAAGGCAGAGGCAGAAGCGTAAGTAAATTATAAATACTATTTTATATGTATAAATATGTATTTAAAAGAAGCTTATTTAAAATTAAGCAGAAGGCTGTATTGTTATAATTATGATTTTTTTATTCTTACATTTAATAACCTTTGTATGTATTTTGTGAATATAGTAAGACCAATCCTGCTACTAACAGCTCTGCAACCCCAGCTGTAGCTTCAACCACGACTAACACTCAACCAGAAGTTGAAAAAACATATCGAGTCCGTCAACCACTTCCTAGCGCAGCTCTTATGGCACAAACACCAGCTGTCGAATTTGCTACACGTGAAGAAGCTGAAAAGGCATTCTTTAAACTTTTAAAGGAAACTGTAAGTTTAATAACCCTTCCTTTTTTGTTTGGAAACAACTGTCTTGATATTTATCTACATATATATATGCTTACTTTAGAATGTAAAATCTGATTGGACATGGGAACAAGCAATGAGAGCAATTATTACAAATCCTCTCTACAGATCTCTTAAAACAGTTGCTGAACGAAAGGCCGCTTTCCATGCTTATGCAGAAAGAGAAGCTAGACGTGAGCGCGTAAGTTTTTTTTTTAAAAAAGTTTACTTGATGATATTTAGATTTCAAATCAAATATAAACGTGATTTTGCATATTTATATAAAAACAGGAATTGAGGGAAGAGCGCGAACAAAAACATAGATCAGCATTCATTCACATGCTGGAAAATAACAAAGCCATCAAACCATATACTCGCTTCAAGAGTGCTTTAAAAATTCTCGCCAACCAACCAGCATTTCAACAAATCAAATCTGACCAACAACGTGAACAATACTTTAATGAGTATGTAGAAGGGTTGCAACGTCGTGAGAAAGACAGAATGAGAGATCTTCGCAAGAGTAGCATGGATAGATTTGCTGAACTGCTAAGAGACACTCCAGAAATTACCTACGAGACCGAGTGGAGAAATGCTCAAAAGATTTATATGAAATTACCCGCTTTGGAAGACCCAAAGACATTTGAAGGCATGGATATTTTGGATTTCCTTTCTGTATATGAGGAGCACAGTCGTCTTCTTTGGGAACCTGTTTTAGCAGATTTGAGCAAAAGAGCACGCGATAAGAAGCGAAAAGAGAGAAAAGCTAGAGATGGATTTAAGGTAAGCTCTACATATTTATATGGGGACACATCAAAAGGATTGGGTTGTCAGTCTGGCTTTAACGGGTTTTGTAGGCCTTGTTGAAGGAACAATTAGATCAGAGCCACATAAATGCTCTTACTTTGTGGAAGGAACTTTATCCTCATATTAAAGACGACCCACGTTACACTGGACTTCTTGGTTTACCCCAGTCTACACCAATTGATCTTTTCTGGGACCTTATATACGACCTCGAAGAGCATTTACATTATCAAAAGAAGGTGGTTTATGACGTATTAAAGGTAATGTACTGTATAAAAATTTAGCGTGTACTGTACCATTGAAGCTCATGTGAATTACAGCGACGTGAATTTGAGGTGACTCTGGAGACACCTTTTGAAACATTCCGCGATCTCGTAGCACAGGACGAAAGTGGACATAGTATCCCAGAAAATAACTTGATGATAATATATGAACATGTAAGCTCCAAAATTACTCCGAATGAAGGCTTGCTATTTATCTGTTATTTTGTATATACTCTTTAGCTAAAAAATAAGGCAGTTATTAAGCAAAAGGAAGAAAGACGTCGACAGGAGAGAAAGCTGCGACGAAAGATGGACAATTTGCGACATGTTATGAAATATATTGAGACACCGATTGGAGTTGAGGAGACCTGGGAGTCTGTCCGACCACGGCTCCAGGATCTTCCAGAGTATAAGGATATTGATGATGAACAGATATGCATAGAAGTATTTGATAAGTTTATCAAACGTCTCAAGGTAATTCTTTTTTTTTTATAATAATATAGGAATTTGGCGTATCAACTTGTGTGCATTATTTAGGAGAAGCAAAGCGGACAAGATGAAGAAGAAGACGAAGAAGGTATTATTAGAGAAGAAGAAGAAGTGATGCACAACAGATATCGCAGATCGCACAGTCGTGGGCCTGGTAGGCACAACCGACACGGTGAACGGGAAAGTGATCACGGTATGAGTGATGATGAGCGCCTGAGAAAGAGAAAGAGGGCGAGACACACAGGAAGACCAACCGAATACGATCAACCTATGGACTCTGGTCGTGTAAGTGCTGAAGAAGGAGATGCACTGGATCAATACGAAAATGATCCTCGTCGCCAACATTAAAAAAAAGAATATTGAGTATAGTAATAATAATAAAAAAAAGAATAATTTACAAACCTTACAAGGAAAATGACGATTGATAATTCAAATCTTGTAATTCATTAACTATTAAAAACGCATATTTCATATACACAGTAAAATATAAGTAATATATATATATATTCATAAAAGTTCATTCAATCCAAAAGAAATACTCATTTGTTTATTCGCCAATGAATTTAAACAAATATCATCCAATCAAATCTGATAATTAAAGTCGTACAATAATACAATTGGCAAACACGAAACTTTATTTTGCACAACTAAAAATTACCCGATAGAAAAAAAAGGCGATTTGTGTACTTTGTTCTAAAATACTGACTCCGATATGAACTAATTGTCCTTTTTTTTCTCTTTCACTTTTTTTTTGCTTACGTCACAATAAAAATGTGGTGCAAACAGCGAAAATTGTGCTCGTCAAGGTCACTATAAAAGGATAATGAAGCTCATTGCTTCTTTTCTCATTTGGACATAGCTTACCTTTTAATAAAAGGTCGTCGTCTTTATTTGTAAGAGGATCGAGCCTTTAAGTAGTTCGGTTACATTATCTTCGTTTTTTCCTCATTTCTGCTAACTGCTGTGCTTGTGATTCAAAGAGCATTAACATGTCCACAAGCTGCAATGGTAAGATAGCTTACATCCTTGTTTCCCACACCTCCTATAGACATCAGCCTTTTTTTCTGTTTTTTTTTCTCTCCTCCAATTATACTTTATTATTATTTTTACATGTTAATATTCAGAGCACTAGTTAGTACTTTTACACATTCGGACGAGAAATCAATGATTGGATGAACCATCCAGAATTGAAAAAAAAAGAAGAAAGTGAAAATATATAGCCTCTATATCGTTATTAGCCAAGTTTTCGGGCTGGGGATGCCTTTGTTTTATTATGGACCAAACTGAGAAACCAAAAACTCGGATATATATATATATATATGTGTATATATGTATATATATCCTTTCTTCTTATTCTCTGTGTGTAAATATGTATATATGTTTCTATACATCTCTATCTCTGTATATATACATGTATATATACATACACATATAAATATACACGCATACACACACATATATATATATATGTGTGTGTGTGTATACATACCTCTATATCTTCAAGCGTTTTGTTAGTTTGGCACTGATTGACGTTGCCTTTCACAATCACGCGTTCTTGTTATTAACCACTCTTTCTTTCTGCTTGTCTGCAGATTCAAACGGATCTCTCACCCAAAAACAACAAGAACTCTTGGATATTTACTGTCAAGGTGCAACAGAAGCAACCGAAGATCAGGTAAAAAGCAAGAATTTAATTGATACTTACAGATTTGATGAAATAGTATCAAGAAATATTTATCATCATAATATATTTACAATTAATGGATTATACAATGCTATCGATTCATTATTCACAAAACATACACGCACTTATACATACATACATAAATACATATATATGTGGACACATATAGATTACTTATTTTTCATACCTCTTGATCTGCCCTCGTTCTCTGGTACATTACCCAAATTTTTGGCATATTCTTCAATAATATATTAATATCTTTTAAAGATTTCCGATTGGTTTTACAAAAGATTTTCCAACCTAGAAAACAAGTCCAAAAATAAAAGCAAAACTCAAGATGGTAAAAGAGAAGAATATTGGAATTGTACATCACAGGGTTTCATGTGGAGCAATTCAAAGATGTGCTATATAAATATTAATATTATCTTTATGTGAAAAAAAAACAAACAAACAAAAACCAACAGATTCAACCGAGCAGTCTCAAGAACAACAACTGAACATAATATCCTGTGGATTACAGGAAGGATTGATGACCACTATGCGTAAATCCAGAGATTTTAGCCAAAAGATTTCCCAGGGCTTGCCAAATAAGGATTCTGATGATCTATCTCCTGGACTCAACTCAACTAAAGATAAATCCGATCTTTGTAAAAAGTATTTTAACTCTGTATTAGCCATTGTGCTGAACGCGGCCAAATATTCTATCAAAGGACCAGTTATTGAACTTGTCCAGTCATTAAGGGACGGGATAATGACACAGACCCAGTTGACACAATTTATGGATACAATCCCATTTGCAAATGACACAATTCAACGTATGGGGATCCTCGGTGTGATGGGATCCACTGACATACCAGAAATACTCAATGGGTAAGGCAACAGGATCAACATTCTTTTTTTTTTTTTTTTGACAAAACTCATTCAATTGTAATTAATATGTTACTATCTTCGATTTCTATTGTAGATTGGCAGATTACTCTATTGTTAGTGAGACAATAGCACGTTGGTTGGTTGAGGCATCAAATGTTTGGTACATTAGCACCATTGTTCCAATGTTGCATGTAAGTATTAATTATACATATGCATATATATATATATATGTGTGTGTATGTGTGGATATAACTGAACATTTGGATATAACTAATCAAGCTGATTTCCAATCTAGATTCTCGATCATATTCCATTCAAATGGACTAGTATTAATAATGCCAACCTAAAATCTATAATATTGGATATATCCAAAAAAGCCTCTCGAATTTCAGAAGTACTCCAAAAGATGCCCGGAAATACCGAAACTATTATGGAGGACAACAAAGGCAATTTTTATACAACATAATCGAAACGAATGCAAGAGTTTAATTATATATATATATGTGTGTGTAAATTGAAATTATCTAGATAACAAATTTGTTCTGCAAGAGACCCTCAGATTTCTCTGCAAATATTCAATTATGGAGAAAGGTAAGATTTTGAACTCGTTTAGATTCAAAGATTTTTTTGGCTATTGTTTTTACGGGAGCAAAAAAAAAAAAGAAAGAATCAAAACGGAACAAATTCAATAAAATTCAGACACATAAAAAATAATCCTATTTCATCTGTCTATCATGTTCATCTTATATATATTTATATATATATATTCTCTAATCACACAAAAAAGACTATAAAAAAAGCATTGAAAGGCAAGTTCCTTTTTTTTACAAGGCAGACTTTATGCATGCTAATAACATATAAATCTCCGATTAAACAGCAAGAATATTTCCAAAATCCAGGCCAAACCACCTACACCTAAACCAACATCTGCAATAGTTCCACCAAAAAGCCCTTTATTAAACCAACCTATTGAAAATAATTCAAAAAATTTAACTGAAACTTCCCCGATAACACCTTTAGTTACATCGGCCACACCCACAGCACCTGCAGCAATGCTTTCTAGTGCCCAATTATCAGTTCCAGTCCCAGTACAAACTCCGATTCCCACTCAAACTCAGGCTCAGGCTCAAGCTCAGGCTCAAGCTCAGGCTCAGGCTCAGGCTCAGGCTCAAGCTCAGGCTCAGGCTCAGGCTCAGGCTCAGGCTCAGGCTCAAGCTCAAGCTCAAGCTCAAGCTCAGGCTCAGGCTCAGGCTCAGGCTCAGGCTCAGGCTCAGGCTCAAGCTCAAGCTCAAGCTCAGGCTCAGGCTCAGGCTCAGGCTCAGGCTCAGGCTCAGGCTCAAGCTCAGGCTCAAGCTCAGGCTCAGGCTCAGGCTCAGGCACAACCACAACCACAACCACAACCACAACCACAACCACAACCACAGGCACAGGCACATCAACCGACACAGCAGCAGCAGCAGCAGCAGCAACAATCACAGCCACAAGCTCAGGTTCAGCAGCAAGCTCAGGTTCAGGCTCTAGCTCAAGCTCAAGCTCAACAAATCCAATCTCCTCCAGCTACCGCAAACCCTCAGACACAAGTGGGTCAAACGATTACAAGAGGTAAGTTGACAGTGATTTTTTTATTTAGAATATTTAATTTTAGAAGGATAATTAAACTTCAATAGCTCTAACGTAAATCTATCTACATATTTACTTTTTTTTTTCTACTACAGGAGACAATCCACCCAAAGTAATAATCATTGGAAAATACAGTGCTGTTTTACTTACTATTACTATTATTTACCTAGGATACAGTAAGAAAAACAGCTCGCCTTGCTTTGTCTAGTGAACCTCCTCAGAAACCTCAAGCCCAGGCCATCATAGATACCGACTTTTTTAAATCTATTTCTGGTCCTCCAAAGCCAAAGAAGATACCTGTTCCAAGGCAAGTATATAATATATACACACATGCATATATATATATATTTATATGCAAAATACTAGCATATATTAATACGTTTATATCTTGTAAATATTATTTGTATTACAGAGTCATGTCAATCGGATCAACTGGAGCTAGGAATTCGGCCCAATTTAATCTAGATGACATCTTGGGACCTGACCCAGGGGCTGGAAGTGTTCGAAGTGCGATTGAATCCACCCAAACTCCTTCTACACGTCCTCGCAAAAGAGTTCGTTTTGCTGAAGATTACCGCTTGGTTGAAATACGCGAATACGAGAAGAATCCTGCTGAATGGCTTTGGGTATGTTTGCCCGAATATTGTCGATATTAAAGCAGGAATAGTGATATTAAATCGATATTCTTTACTTTCTATAGAACGGACTTCATGAAGGATCTCAGGTAAACTCGATGACCGATTGTTATGGCAACCAATATTCCGCCGCAACTATTGCCTGGTACAGCCCTCGCCCTGTGGAATTACCTGAAGATTATCAAATACCTATCAAAAAAGAATCCCCGGAAGCGGCTATTGAGATGCAGAGAGAGGAAGGATGCTTGGCTGCAATCTACATTAGTGACCGACACATCCCGCCTTCTCCAGCAGAACATATAGATATGACTCCTTATAATCCAGCAACTCCTGTTTCTATTATCCCACTTACCGATTGCTATTCTGATGTGGTTAACGGTGATTTCTCATAGTCAGCAGTAAAACTCACTCATATATATATATATATACATATACATATACACACACCTACACCTAAACCTACACCTAAACCTACACGCGCTCACACAAAATCACAAACATATGCATCCAATTTATCTGAAAATCCCATAAAAAAAGAAGACATAAAAATGAATAATACGTGTGCTTAAAATGTACACAGATATGTATGTAATTCAGTTTCGACATTATATTTTATTTTTACAGTAAAAAGATTTTTTTTTCTACTTTTCTACTTACAACCAGTCTTGACTTTCAGAGGGGGACGGAGTTTTTCATGGTTATGTTTCATGGTATAAATAAATTAGAAATAAAGTATATTTAATACAATTTCAACATGTTTTGAATTTACAAAAAAAAAGAAAGAAATACTTTGATATTAATTGCTGATTATATATGTATATACGAGTGTTGAAAGCAATAGCGTGAGGACGTTTATTATACAATGGTGAAGTGGGAATTTTTTTTTAAAAAAAGAAAGAAAGCAACAAAGAAAGAGGGGTGAACAGAGAAATATATATGCAGGGAGATAGTATATCATATGAAATACATGCATATGTCAAAATAATTGACATCCTAGGCGTATTTCTCCCCAAATGGTTTTGGCGAAACACTCTCAGTTGTGTCTTTTGCTTGTTCTGTTTCATGTTCTCTCGTCCGTCGGTCTCTTTCTTCCCAGACATTTGGAACCTTGACCTTGACAAAGGTTGGATAAACCAACCTGTCGATATAAAGACTGCGCAGTTTTGATGTTATAAGGTCTGTTAGTTTCGGGATGTCTTCAAGTTTTGTTCGTGATCCGATCAGTGACCGGACGTTGAGATCGAGTACAAAATCTGAGTAGGATGAGATAGCAATATATCGTTCCAAAGGGCGTTCTGGTTTTGTAGTGGTTTCCGGTGGGTTGATCAATTCAATAGTCAACTAAAAAAAACATATGTATATACATAATCTCAATGATCAGACCAATGTTCAATTTGCCATTCCTCAAATTTACAAAACCCAAATCTTCTCTTTTTAATGTAATTTAATGTTTATAGGCATATGCTTTATATTTAAAGGCTGTTATTTTCTTGAATATGCTTACCGTCCCAGAGAATTTAACAACGGATAAAACAAGTGAAACTGGAAGAGCAGCAAATGCTTGTCTTGGCCAATTGAGAATAAGTTGGGTTTCAATACCCAAAGTAATCTGGTCATTATATTCAAAATCAATCTCTGCTCTCTATTAATTTTTTTTTAGAAAAAGAGATTAATAAAATTATTAAGCTTTAATGTATTCTGACTATCTCCACTGGTTACCATTGATCCAATATCATCTGAAGGTCGAATACGAGCGCTACTAAATATCGGAAACTCTTCTCCAAGGTTCAATTCGGTTACATGAATAGGGCCCTTTATATAATTATATAGAAACATACGGCCAAATTTAAGTATCTAGCCATTATACCAATGTATAGTATTGAAAAGAAGAAAATAAACTCACCAGAAAACTAGGACGAACTCCTCCATTTAATACTTCATCAACTGCTAAAATCAATCGATGATTGATCTTCGCATCATCACGATATTGCATAATCGCCTGTGCAATCAAAACATTGACCCAATCTGTACTTTCTGGAGGGTGATGAACCACATCGTAATATGTTTTTTGTGTAATGTAAGCAGCTGGCAATTGGGAGGCAGCAGTAGCATTGACTCGAGAAGGTGGTGAAGCAGAAAGTCTCGAAGGGATATAGCGCTAACAAGATAATATTGATATTACTATACTATATTATTATTATTATAATATAAAAAAAAGAATTGTAATAAACAGGTAAAGTAAAATAAAGTAAAATATATAATTAAGGTCATAAACTCAATCGCACCTTTTTCACACCCTTGACATCTTCCATAAGCAAGTATCGCAAGGCTAGTATAACAATAGTAATTACGCTCAGCTGACCGAGAACAAACCCCTGAAAGAACGAGATTGCACTATTATGCGAGCAAGCATGGTCATGAAGTGTTTCTCTAATGTAGTCCAACACCTGAGGCGTTATGCCAGAGTGGGTTGTTTCCATGAGGGTTACTTGATGAGGAAACTCAAAATGGAAAAAAAAATAGTAAAAAAAAAGGTTCTTGTAAAAGAAAAGGGAGGGGTAGGCGATGAAAATGTTGTGACTAGTTAATTGATACACCGCCACAAGCATTAGAGAGCTTCTTTATGCAATTGTTAAAGTTGTTGAAAATATAAGGGTGATTAAAGGTATATGCTATTCATTAGGTAACAAGTTATTCATATTATCAGTCATAAATAAATATAAAGTGTTTCAAAACCGAATTGTGCAAGTACAAAATTTTTCAATAATAAATCAAAATTTAGACGGGATTGCCAGCAACAAATTTAACTTCATATCGTACACCTGTGTAATTAATAGTGTTTAATTAATGATAGACAGAATAAAAGCGTACTGATTACAAGAGATTGTATATATAGCATTAAAACAAAAGATAATAATAATAATAATAATAATAGTTATTAATAGTAGCTGTCCATGGTATAAAACAACTAACATCAGGACGTATGAAGTAATTAATAAATGGTATTTGGTACTTTTAAACCATCAAAATAAAATACTTCTTTATATACTCAGAAGTACCCGAAGCTTATCCAATTGACCAACCAACCGAGTATCAAGAAGATGAAATGAAAGGGGTGTTTATACAAGAAAAGCATGATAGTAACTTGTGTATATCTACCTATACAGACATACATTAATGGATCAATAGAGACAGAAGGAAATAGAGAGATATAGAGAACAGTAATAAAGAGATAAAGAGCGGCTATTATTCAACAGTTAGTATCAGGTAGAATTGGAATTAATGCAGGCTATAATAATTGCCTTTTCTCTTCAGAAAAATATATAGAAAATGTTGAACCACAAATCAGGCATAGGTAAATTGTTTATTTCTTAGTGGCATGCTATCTTACTAGTCAATAATACTATTCAAAATAAGAATTTAAAATAAATATGACTTTATTGACTTCAAGAGGCTACTACTGCTCAAGGATATAACAGAAAGGAAATAAGGTCATTGAAATGGTTTATTTTTTAAAGGAAAAAATAAAAAAAGTTGCTGTCAGGATGGAAGAATGGCAACGTGGTTATATTCCCAACATCCTTTGGAATGGAGTTAGCAATGAAACGATAACTGTGTTTGTCAATTATATCGGGCTTACCACAAAAGAATGTTATCCACAGTCCTCTTTAGATCCTGTCTATGACTACAAGGCATATTTATCAATAGGCCACTATCAGACTATCCTCCATACCTGTCCTTGTTGATCTTATAGAGAAAAATAAAACATATTCTCTCTATAAATCCTACACTCTTTCTCTTTATTTCTTTACAGCTTATTTCTTTTTACCCGTTGCCCCCTTTTTTTATATACACGAGAATGAAAATCTATCAAGTCCTTGCCGCTTCGGCTGCCTTGGCATCTCTGGCTCACGGTAAAAATTAAATTAAATTATATCGAATAAAGTAAAATAAAGCATACAATACAATACAATACAATACAATAAAATACAATACAATAAATAAATAAAGACAGAACATCAAAACATGAACTATAAAAATGGAAACAACAACAACAGCAATATCAATATACACCTCTTCAATTTTACGAAAAACAATCTACAGTTACATCTTTTGTCGGATATAATTCGAATTACATCGCAAATTTATTAACTTTTTGAATATATGTGTAGGCTACAAAGGACATGATGATGTAGAGTACGTTACCGTTCCCATTGGCCCCAATACACACGAGGTTCCTCCATATCCTGATAACAACCACGGAAAGCCCTTCCCAATCATACCTGGAATGCAAGTTGAATATAAACCACCTGTAGTAGTTGTCGAGTACGTTTCCGCCACAACAGTCATCCCAGTTTTCCCCGAAGAGCATAATGGCTGGTATGATGAGGAAGATTGCGAGGAGGAAGACGAGCAGAATAACTTCAGACCACATGGAAGACCACAGCACGGTGGACCTGGTGGATCTGGTGGATTTGGTGGACACGGAGGCAAACCCCAGCACAGCGGCTCTGGTGGCCACGGAGGACCTGGAGGCAAACCACAACACGGTGGCTCTGGTAGCCATAGAGGACCTGGAGGCAAATCACAGCACGGAAGTTCTGGTGGTCACAGAGGACCTGGTGGAAAACCACAGCACGGTGGTTCCAGTGGCCATGGAGGACATGGTGACAAGCCCGAGCACAATGGTTCCGGTGGTAACGGAGGACACGGAGGCAAACCTGAGCACGGTGGATCTGGTGGATCTGGTGGATCTGGTGGATCTGGTGGATCCGATAAACCAAGCGTACCAGCTGTACCGATCGTACCAATTGTACCAGTTGTACCAGTTGTACCAGGCGAGCCCGATGGATCATTCGGACCTTCAACTGACTCAGTATCGATGAATAATGATCCTAATGTTGATTTTGCTGCTGCTGCCGCCGTATCTGATGTGAATAATGCAGGCGTAGGTTCCGCCATCGAATCAGCATTCTCATCTGCAACAAACAAGGCTATCTCAAGCGCAAAATCTAGCGTTACTTCAAGATCTTCATCTACATCCTCTTCCTCTCAAACTACTACAACATCTGGTGCTGTCAGCGTTCGCATTGGCGGAACTATGATTGTTGGTCTCGCTGGCTTTGTAGCCTACCTTTTGATCTAACTCTAGATACCATCACTCACCCTCTACATACCCGTGAGCGTGTTTTGAATGCGTTTACGTTTGATCTCTGTTGCCATAAGCTTCTTTCTATTACTTCTCCACAATGTTTCTTATTAGACAATTCGTTCATGAATACCCCATGCACATTTATCCTTAACATTGCTATTAATGAGCAAACAATAAAATACAAAAAAAGCTAGCAATTAAAATAATAATAAATATAACATACAATTACCTGTATTTATCTACCTCTTTAGTAAACTCTTTTATATTCTTCTTTCTTTCAAGACAATTGAATCAATTGTTCCACCAACAAAAAGGAGACTATCCTTTTATGTGATTGTGCAACAATGTAGTATAACAATTATCTCGTCTGCAAGTAATCGAAAATTGTTTAAACCCAATCTTGTTTGGTTCAAGCTCCAGAAATAACAATTGATTGTAAGCTTTTCTATATACAAGATATGAAAGAGACAATACTAATAGCAATAGTAATGGTAGTAAAAGCAGTAACAAGAGCAATATTTTATATGTAATTGAATTTATTTAAAGCAATGGTGAGTTTTTCACCCTTTTTTGGGTCAGTGTGAGTGTGTGTGAGGGTGTGTGAGGGTGTGTGAGGAGGGATTTTTTTTTACGTATTCTGTATATATATACATTGAGATAAAAGGGAGAAAAATAAAAGTAAAAATAAAATAGAAAGGGGAAAGGAAAAAAGTTATGTAGCTCATCTATTCTATTTTCATGAATGGGAGCACACTTTTATGCCTCGCCATTCTCAGCAGCCTGCTTGAACTTTTGTGCGTTCTGAACAAGAGCTGCGAAACGGTTACCATGAAGGTTGTTCTGAGGTTCCTGGCTAGTTGTACCACTGTTTTCAGACTCGCGGGGTTGAGAGTGCATACTGCGGGTAGCACCATAGTTTGGTGCACTCGAAGCCATGCTGCGATGACTATCCTTGGAAGTAGAGCGAACAGGTCGGTTTCGGGAACGACGGAGGAATGAATAGAGACGGAGTTCTTTGCGGACATCACCAATGGCACCTTCCCAGCTCATACGGGAGTAAGTGGCAAGAGGCTTGGCCTCTTCGCTGAACTTGCGCTCACCACCACAATCGGGCAAAAGACGGATAATAGTACCAACGGGAAGCGAGAGAGATCCGATAGCAACCGTCACAAGCCACTGTATTGGAGTCAAAGGCACGGTCTTGAAAGCAATGCCACCAAAAGTTACGATAAGGAATTGTCCAAGAATGACAAGAACTTGAATAGCCAAGAAAATCCAGTTGTTGAAGATATCCTTGAAAACATTGAGGGTATTGTCGATACGTCTGCAGTTGATCTCATTGAAAACCTGGAGGAAGACAAAGACATTGAAAACCATGGTGCGAAGAGTAGCCTGACCCTGGGCATCATTATCAAGATGGAAGATGGCAAGACCGAGGTACATGATAACCAAGTTGACAGCAATCTGGAAAATAGCCTGGCCAATAATCATCTTGCCCATTCGGAAATTAATCAAGTGAGCATATTTGGAAATAGGCTTGCGCTGCAAGAGATCCTGAGTTGGAGGTTCGGTGGCCAACGCAAGTGCGGCAAGGGTGTCCATAATCAAGTTAACCCACAAAAGCTGAACGGCACTCAAGATACTTTCCGAGTTGTCAGAACCAATGGCACTGATAAAGGACAGGACAACAGCGGCAATGTTGACAGTAAGCTGGAAAGTCAAGAACTTGCGCACACCATCATTGACAGCACGACCCCAAAGAAGGGCCTTGAGAATAGAGTTAAAGTTGTCATCCATCAAAATAATATCAGAAGCTTCCTTGGCAACCTCAGTACCAGCAATACCCATAGAGAAACCAACATCGGCAAGCTTGAGGGCTGGTCCATCGTTGGTACCATCACCAGTCATACCGACTACCTGATCCTGTTCTTGGAGACGAGTGACAACAACGGTCTTATCAGTGGGGGAAGAGCGAGCGAGAACCTGGAGACGGGGAATGACCTTGCGCTGTTCTTCTACAGACATTTCACGGAACTCTGGACCAGTCAAGGCAATACCACCCTTGGTCAGAATACCAGCATTGCGAGCGATGGCCTTGGCAGTGTTAATGTTATCACCGGTAATCATGCGTACAAAAACACCAGCTTCTCTAAAGGCAGCTACAGACTCGACAACACCAGGGCGCAGGGGGTCCATGATACCAACGATACCAATGAGTACGAGATCCTTGAGGGTGGGTTCATCATCAGACATGTCCTCGTACTTGCTGGAGCTGAGGTCACGATAGGCGAGGGCAATGGTACGGAGAGCCTTGTCAGCATAAGCACTGATAAGTCCACCGACCTTCACGTTGGTCTCCTTGTCCAATTTCTTAACATGGCCATCCGAAGTGAGGAAGGAGGTACAGGACTCAAGGACAATCTCTGAGGCACCCTTGGTGTACATGCGGTACTCCTTTTGATTATGGGAGGTAGCAGAGTTCTCCTGAATCTTCATAATGGTTGTCATGGTCTTGCGCTTGGAAGCAAAGGGATAAACTTTGGCAACATTGGTTTCATGGCGAATTGCGTCGTAGTCGGAACCGAGGATCTTGGAGAAACCAAGCAGGGCACATTCGGTTTTGGATCCAACGAAATCAACACGGTTGTTCTCATCCTTGCCCTCGAAAGCGGTGGAATTTACAGCAATGCTCTCGGTCAGGAGTTGGACAACACTAGAGTCAACACGGCCAGCCCAGCCCTTGACATGCTCGGGCTTGTCGAATGCCTCTTCGGCAAGTGTACCTTCGGCAACAGTCATCTTGTTCTGGGTGAGAGTTCCGGTCTTGTCGGAGCAGATGGCAGTAGCGTTACCCATGGTCTCGCAGGCGGCCAAAACTCTGACGAGGTTGTTGTCCTTGAGCATCTGGGTTGTAGCAAAGGCAAGGGCCATGGTTACGGCCATAGGAAGACCTTCAGGCACAGCGACGACAATGATAGTGATGGCCTGGATGATGATGCTGATCATAGCAGCGGCGATTTCCTGGCCTGGAGGGAAATGAGGCTGCATGGCAGCGACAATGAAGTATTTGATGACCAATGCAAACAGCATGATGATAGCAGCGGCGAAACCAAGCTTGGCAATTTGTTCGGCGAGAGTGTCGAGCTTCATCTGGAGGGGTGTGCCTTCAGCCTCGGTACCACGCATGGCCATCATAGTCTTTCCAAAGTACGACTGCTCTCCAACAGCAATAGCAACCATCTTACCGACACCTTCAAGGACCTTTGAACCAGAGAGGATAAAGCAATCCCCTTGATCATCGGTAAGTTTCTTCATAGTGTCCGATTCACCAGTGGCAGAGGATTCATCGCAGGCAAGGTTGTGGCCACCGAGATAAAGACCATCGGCAGGAATGATGTCTCCAGGCTCGAGCATAAGAATGTCGCCGACGTTGAGGTCATAGACGCTGATCTGCAGTTCTTTTCCGTCACGGATGACCTTGACAACACGGTCCTCTTTCTTTGCATTGAGTTTCTTGAACTGGCGCTCTTTTTGGTAATCGTTGATGGCGTTAGTTAGTACGACGGCAAGAACAGCCACGAGGATCGCCGTGCCTTCGACCCTACAGCGGAGAAATTAATTAAAACAGTTCTACAATAACGGAGATTCCAGCCACAGCAGTGCATTTAAATTCATCCAGACTTTCTCGTGAACACAAAATATGAAATGCACTACAGCCAAAAAGAAATGTTTATTGGGAAGGTTGACTTACCATCCGACGCGAGGTTCATCTTCAGGGTGGTTAGGAGAATAGTCTTCCCAGATTCCAATGGCCAGAGATACCAATGAGGCGATGGTCAAGAGAATGAGGGTTTTGTCGTTGTATGCAGCCCAGAGAAGCTGAAGAAAAGACTTTGAGATGGTTTCAGGGAGAATGTTGCGGCCAAAGACGCTTTGACGGTCAGAAAATGCCTTGTCAGAGGAAGATTCGACACCTTCATCAGAAGATAGACCGGATTTAGGGTCTACACGAAGTTTCTTGAGTACAGCCTGTGTACCGCCGAGTTTCTTGAGAAGTTCGGGGCTTTTTGGGTCAACAAGGTCTGTGAGTTGTGAGGGAGAGACTCCAAAAGGATTGTGCTGCTGATCGCTGCCCAACAGGGGGCGATGATCGTGCGGCGACATTGGGGTGGGGGAATAGGGAAGCAAAGAGTAAGAGAAATGGTGGTTTAGTAAAAAAGGTGTTTAAATAGCCCACAGGAGTTCTTGCCAAGACTCAGTTAGACGCTTATTATCCAGTATTATTATATAATACCTGATATTAATACTAACAGTAAAAATAAAATAAAATAAAATAAAATAAAATATTTATCAAGTTCAAATTGGCCTAATAATATAAACCCCCAAGCGGACAGGGTTTCAGTTCTGTTTCCGTCACTAATGACTCGTGTTTTTTTTTTCTTTTTCTTTGCACCACGGAAAGTTCTTATTTCGATTCTTAATTTTTATTTATTTTTATTTCTTTAAGTTTTTTTTTTTCTTTTTTTTTTTATTAATCGATTTCGTCATCAAGTTCACCTGCCAAATCATCAAGAAAAGAGGATGATGAATCAGACTCATTTGATGGAGACTCTGAGCCATCAGAACTATTGGCAGTTGTGACTTTGGATAGATGGGACCTTCCGCGTTGTGCTGTCTCTGCGCGTCTGGCTGACAATGGAGAACGCGACCGGGATGGCCGACGAATGCGTATGCGTGGCTGGTCGCTGTCCTCGTCAGATTCTTCATCTTCACCATCTCCGCTTGCGTAACGCTTTCGCTTTCCTTTGAAAGGTGGGCCCAAAGGACTATGACGATGAGTACGATCACTGGTCTTAGTTGACTCTCTTACCTTTCCACTGTATCTGAATCTGTGTCGATCACATCTGTTCCACTCTCATTCATACAATCCTCAACTTCGCGGTCTGCTTCATCCCAATCGATATTTTCAACCAGTGAATTATCGGCATCCTCAAACGCATCTTCAAAGTCAAGAGGAGTTGATTCGGGGTTCTCTATCTCCTGGGGGGTTGATGGTTGTGCAAGGCCATACAGCGCCTCATCTTGTATAGCCCACCGCGACGTACTGTCCACTAGCCATGCTGGTGTGACAATCGAAATACGTTTACCATACTTTAGCGCTGCTTTGACTTTTGAGGTTCCTGGCTATATAAATTATAAGCATCAATTATTATTTTTTTACACTATAGAGCTGTAAAAAAAAGTAATGATAATTACCTTGGCAGCAATAAGATGAGTAACTTTTCCAGTCAGCTCAAGTTCACAATTTGCACCAAATGATATTGCCAGCTGCCACAGCCAAGATTGAGACGGCTCTTGGTGGAGAGGGATTACACCAGAGAATACAAGATGAAGTCCCTTGAGAATCCGACTCTTCATGGACGGAATAATCTCCTTAACATCAGGTGCGGTTGTGTTCGACGTCTGTGAGTCTGCGGCCTTGTAATATCGGCTGTGAACCTCGGATAGTATCTGAGCCAAGGTTTATTAGTTTTGAGCTTAATGCAAGGTTTACCCAATATAAGAAGAACAATGAAAATGGCATTTACCTTGAGCATGGTATACAATTCCCGATCGTCGTCTACCAGCAAAGGACGTTCCTGGCGTGCATTAAGCTCAGTTTGTTTCTGGGCTAGGGGTCTTTGCTGTGTTTGTTCCTCTACCATGGCCTCCTGCTCGCGTGTTTGGGCAGCAAGAGTTGGGGGATCGTCTGGCTTGGGAACCTCGGGGTCTGCTTTGGGTTCTTCCGTCTTTTCTGTCTTGAGCTTAGCAACAATGGGATGAGTTTGGAAGTGTGGCGTCGTGGAGCTTACCTGTTTGGGACCAAAAGGGGAGTTTATGTCGCCTGTACCAACAAAGAACTCATCTGGTACAAGAATGTGTTACTATCCTTATTAAATTTATCTCGCTATATCGACTCTTTATATATTTCCTTTTTATTTTCTTTACATCATTTTATCTTATTTTTATTTTGGCTTTACTTTTACCAGCCTATTACTTATTCTTACATGGTTTAATTTTGATCAAATTAGGTGAAAAACTCCAGACGTCAGAACGATCATCTAGTACAACCACCATTGAGGTATCGCAAGGGAATAGACGCTGAAGAGTCTTTTGGGTGACACCTATAATATATAGCAACACCAACAATAGTAATTGCAATAGTTGTAAGTAAATGCAAGTGGTCATCTTATCCAATAGATCTTACTTCCACTTTCATCACGCGATAGAATTCGTTCTCGAAACATGGTGCCTCGAGGATCAATTTCACGCGCCACTGCTTCAGCGTAATGTCTTGTACCCATTGTATAAATGTGTAATTCATAAAGTTGGCTGACCTTTTCAAGGAATTCTGATAATCCTGGACTAGATGAATATTAATTATTATCAATATCAATATCAATATCAATATCAATTCTTATTAGTTAAATGTAATGCTTATTTATTTATTTATCTTCTTCCTTTGGTCTCTTTATTCTCTATTCTTTACCCGCTTATTAGCTTCTTCTTACCGCAATTTAATGTAATAAACCAATGGACTTCCAGCAAGTGTGAATTTACGAATATCTTCAGTTGCAGAATGATTGGCATTCTTTTCATCGTCCATCCACTCCCCAACTGTCGGGTCCCAAGTGGCATGAACAATAGTCTGATCAAGATCAAGAATCAATGACAACTTCTTGTCTTTTCTCAGCCTTTCTGCTGTCTCTTTCTCCAATCTCTCGGCTTCCTATTGTTCATATTAATATACAAAAAAGAAGCAAGATCAATAGAAAACATCAAAATTGAATTGGTATCTGACCTTTCGGCTAACTGTCAGACCCTTTAAATCGTGGCTCATATTGATACCGGCTTCCGTTATCTCTGAACTATAAGCCAGAATGAGTACCTCATTTTTATTCATTATTTTTTATTTTATTTTTATTTTGTTTGTATGTTTGTATGTATGTGAATGTATGTATGTGTGCGTGTGCAATTTTTGATTTACCTTTCAAGAATAGCACCACAAATAGCACACAGCCCATTAAACTGGACTTCATGTTTGCAGTCCATCTATAGAGTATTTAAATATAAGAATATATAAGAATATATATATATATTTGTATACACATATATATATGTCCACTGTGTACTGTGTACTGTGTACTGTGTACTGTGTGCTGTGTACTGTATGCTGCGTATGTTGTATATATATATATATATATATATATATATATGTATGTGTGTTGTATGTTGTATTTGTATTTTGCTTGCATTTGATTTTACCGTCGTTTCTTTTTCTTTTTATAAAAATAATTTTCAATATGTTTGGTGGGCAGATTGGTTCAACCAGGAGGTATCTAATAGGAGTCCAAGAATGTGTGTTTATCTTTTCATCCAAGTCAGTAAAGATCAGATCAGTCCTATTGATGACCCACAATAGTGGACCTTGTTCCTGTGCGCGTTATACCTGGAATGTAAAAAGCGGGATGGTGGTCACAAACTCATGTCAGCATCTCAAGTGCATTATAAATTCATCCTATTGCTCGATCATCTCTCTTCACCTCTTTACACTTGTCTCTCTGTTCGATACACTTTAGCAGAAGGAAAAGAAAAAGCAAAAAGAAAAAAAAAGCGAAGCGTTCGGTATAAGTCACGTGATGTATTTGTGCCTTCAAGGCAGGTTGTTGACATGTTGAATTTGTGTAACATTATGCATGGGGGAGTGCTATGATTTTTATGCGTGGTAAAGAAAATAATAGAAAGTGATAATATGAAAGCGAGACTAGTGGTATAATAAGAGTAATAAGAATAATAGAACGACTATGTACAGAAGATTATGCTGATTTTTTTGTATGGGTATTATCGAGTATTATTATGTATCCGAGCAAAAGTCCAGGGGATCCTCTTCTTGTTCTGGCCAGAGTAAAGCCAGGAGAGCTGCCTCTAGCTCAGTCCGTTGAGCCTCTTCTTCAAATGGCCAGGTATCTTCGAGTTCAAGAAATACAGTATCATCTTTGGCCTCTTGTTCTTCTTCCTCTTCAATCTCCTGTAAGAATGCCTCCAAATCAAACGATAGTCCAAATGCATTGTCTTCTGCCTGTTCTTTGCGCGCATACTCCTTGAGGGCCTCATCTGGATCACCATCGCACGGAGATGTTTTACGCTGGGTATCCTTGAGTACTATCTGGCCAGTGGTAATCGGAGCAGCAAGTGCAACCATAGTGCACGACCAAAAGCAGATCAGGGCACAGATGAGTTTGAGCATTTTTGAAGAGAAACAGATGATGAAATAAAATACGTCGGTTGGACCAGGTCGATTTATATAACGTATGGATCCAATGAAGGGGTCTGTTTTGCAGTGATCTACCGCAAAAAAATAAAAAAAAAAATAACCCACACCCCTTTATTTATTATTTTTGCTTTCTTAGTAAGAGACCCTTGCTGCATTGTCTCTTTCCTCCTGAATCTGCCAGAACTTTTCTTCTTCCTCTTCACTGGCTCGTCAGCGGATCTTCAACCCATCATACTTAATACGCCTTTATGTTTCTGTTTTGCTTTGGTGATCCTCATGTCAAAGGAGTTGAATGAAGATGGATAATAGTGCTATCAATGAACCATACCTTTTAATCTGATTTTATATTTTTTTGATCTGTTGATCGTTTGATTTAGAATCATCAATCAGTATCGTGACATTCGTGCTCAAGGCAAGAACAAGCAAGAATAACCTTTTTGTTAAAGTATAAACACAGAACAAACAAGTATATATATATACAGCTATATGTGTATGTGTATGTGGAAGAGTAAGCTTTAGTACATATAAAATTCATAGCTGTAATCAAGGAGTCTAAACTAAACATCAAGTAGCTTTAAATATATATATATATATATACTTTATGGTCTCCTTTCAACAAAGCAACTTCACTTTCCAAAGAAACACTAAGAGAAAGAAAATCAACTGAGCACACCAAAGCACATCAAGGCAGATCAATGCAATCGAATGCAAAATATCACAAGAATACATCCTTTGATGTTCCCCACACACAAACACACATATATATATATATATATATTACATATCTGTATTAATACAAACATCTTTAACATTAATTACTGCTGTTAAAGAAGTCAATACTCATAACCCTTGTTTCTTTTTTATCATTTCATGAGGCAAAAGCGTTATCTCCATGACTTAATCCTCCTTTTCTCTATACCCCTTTTTTTCGCTCTTCTTCTTCTTCTTTTCTTCTATAACCCTAAAAGATGAGAAAACTATTGTCTAGAGTGCCGAAAGGAAACTACAGACAAAATTAATAGCCTCATAAAAAAAGCATAATTTTTAGTTTATCAGATACTGGTATGGGTATAGCCTGTCTAAAGTCAAAAGCATCCTCCTCAGTGTTCCTCTAGTCCCTCCATCTCCTCCTTTGGCTTGTCTAGGTTGGTCCCAATGATTTTACTTGAGGAAAATAGATAAAGTAGGGATCAAATGTGCTTTTACTTTTGTACTTCTTTTTAGTATTTATGTTTGAATAAGATGAATTTTAATCAACTGTATTTGGCGCGTTGCACTGAGAGCTTAGTTTAATAATACTATTGACACATAGTGGCAAAACATTGCTTGATACACGACAATTGTCTGTCTTTTTGTTATATTATTGATTGTAACAAGCTCAAAGTTCTATATGCACATATGAAGAAAATACTCTTTTTATACACACATCATATTTTAGGGACCAAAGCCTGCACATTTGCATTATCACTACAGTATATATATATATATATATATATATTAGACATTTAACGAATAGTAAAAAGAAGATAAAACTGGCTCACGTCTTGGATCTATTAGAAGCAAGAGATTGTTGTCAATGGATATTATACAACTTCAATCATGTGTATCAACTGTGACTAGATTCTTCACCCTTCTCAGATATATAAACGGAACTATAGTATTTCATATCGTCAATGCTAGAACAAAAAACTTGTAACCCTACAGGTCTTATCAGCTACGACATCAGGCTGAAAAGATGTATTGTCGAAAATGAAGCCTCAATTGGTATACTAGATCTCTTGTGTTGTGATTTCCACCACAAGCAAACATAGATAAAGATACTGGTCTTGAGCGAACAGGATAAACTAGCTAAACATTGTCATCACACCGGTAGCTGTTCATGTGGGAAGCTACCAAGAAAGAGTAGCACTGCACACCTCACGTTTCCGGAAGCACTCGAAGAAATGAAGTTTATCTTCCACAGGGGCAGGGCAAAAAAAAGGCAGGAGGGAGAAGGGGAGTTAGGGTCGGGATGATATAGCTGAAGCGACCTTGCGTCGGCATGGTTACCCCATAGAGCTTTCCACCAGACCGTACGGCACTTGTGGGAAATTTTAAGCCGCCAGATTTGACACCAAACAGGACTTGAATAAACAAGTCATTCTTATGTACTTACTCTAAATACTTGATCTATCTTGTCTTGAAAGAAAGTTTGCGCTTCATTTTTCTTCTTTGTAAAAATGATTGTATTTTTTACAATACAGTATATACATTGATCATTGTCTTTCAATAATTTTTTTTACAAAATGATTGTATCTTACAATACAGTATATGAGTTAATGGCTGTCTTTCAATTTACAAAACATATTCCCATTTGGACTTTCCATTTTGAAAAATATATATTTATATTTATATAGATATATAAACTGTATTCATAAATCACTGTCAAACTACGATTTTCAAATAAAACAAAAAAATAAAGGAATCCAATCATTCAATGCGTGTCAAACTCACTACAACTAGTCCATTTCCCCAAAAAAATCGCTGGTACATTGTCGACAGGAGTCTCGAATCCGGGACAATTGCCAACTTGGCTAATAGAGTTGCCAATGATCTATCATTACCAACACAATCCGATCTCATACTTGAGATTGACGGCTTTGAACTGTTCCCCACAGATACAGTAGCTGACCTAGTTAGAGAAAATGATCTCATAAAGTAAGCACGCGCACACACATAAATATATACAAATGCTATATTTGGCCCTGAACTAATAATTTATTTATAAAGTGTTCGTCAAATACGCCCTGAAGAAGACTTGCTTAAAAAGCGGAAGCGAGGTAATACATCATATACTTTATGCACCTTAAATACTCAGCAAAAAAATGCTGTTGTTATGATTATTGTGATCATATAGATCTTGAAGAAAATGTAGCTGAGCCATCCAAGCCTGAGAAAAAGCACAAATCAACCAAGAAAGTTTCTCGTGCAGATGCACAAGAAACTCTAGCTTCCAAACTATCCAAAAAAGATCATTCTGGAACTATGCCAGCATCTTCTTTAGCAGAAAAAAAACGTAGCCTTGCTACTGAAAATACTCTGAAACAAAAAGGAAAATCGGCGGAACAAAAACAGGATAATTTTCAACAATCTCGCCAGGAAAAGAAAGCAGCCAAGAAAGCAGCCAAGAAAGCAGCCGAAAAGGCAGATAAAAAGGCAGATAAAAAAGCAGCCGAAAAGGCAGCCAAGGAGAAATCTGAAAAAGTAACAGACAATCATAAAATATCTATTGATCACACAAATCACGAAAAGACTTGTACAAAACCTACACAAAAGGAGCGTCCTAAAAAGCCAGAGCAAGCAAAAGGCGGTGGTGTGGCTACCTCAAAAAATGAATCTTCTATGCATGCTCAGTCGGGCGTAACTCAGCCGAAGCCATCTACTGATAAACCCACCGAAAGCCCACAACACAAAAAAGTGTCTTTCAATTTGCCAGCCGAGAAGACTCAACCTGTACGTCCTACTGGACTTCCATATGAAGGCCGACCTACTACAAAGAGAAGAAACGCTCGTAGGGCAGCCCATAAACAGCTAATGAAAGAGAATAAGGAAAAAGAAGCCGAAAAAGAAACTGATCCTACTACAGTTCAACAATCGAGCCAGAAGGATGCCAATAAAGACAATCAGACAATTTCGAGTGACCAGACACCTGCTGGCTTGACAATACATCCACACGGTCTGGTCAAACACAACAAGAACAAAAAAAAGAATTTTCTCAAAGAAATGGATAGCAGACCACGCCTTCATACGCATTTTGAAGAAGTATCGCAGAACAAAACAAATACATGTGAAGACTCGTCTAAAGCTGGATTAAAACTCAACACGGCAAAGGAACACACAGAAGAACTAAACGCAAAAGATTCTTCCTCAAAGCAAGATTCCACCTCAGAATCATCCTCAGAAGAAGAATCATCCTCAGAAGAAGAATCATCCTCAGAAGAAGAAGAAGAATCATCTTCAGAAGAAGAATCATCCTCAGAAGAATCATCTTCATCTTCAGAATCTGAGGAAGAATCTGAAGAAAAAGGATCCACGGTAGAAGAACAAGAGAATGAATCCAACTTATTTAAAGCTTTGAAAGATTTTAGCCGTGTACTTGTATCAACATGTGAGGCTGATGAATACTATGTTCCAAACCAAAAGCAAAGCAATTGGGGAGCAGATTATCCTATTCAACAAAAGGAATCCCAATTCTATGTCAAAATAGCCGACGGAAAGAAACAACAGGCTGAACACAAAGAATCGACCGTAGACAAGAAGGTTTCAAACAAAAATGCAATTGCAAATGCAAAAGAAAAAGAAAAAGAAAAAGAAAAAGAAAAGGAGGCCCCAATTGAAAACGTTGACTACAATAGCCTTGAAGCTGTTACACTTGAAAGTGCTGATCTCTCTGTAGGAGACATACTCGCCATCAAGGTAAGGGATGTTTATAAAGAAACACACTGTCGATATGCTCAACTGTGCATCTATGTTTATTATCCTAAAAAAATAAAAATAAAATAAAAATGACCGCAATTACGTAGACATTGGAATTGTCCCCAACCTACACTCCTGAGATATCTGATTGGATGGTAGGAAATCAAGATTTAAAATACAATGCCTAAGCAGATGATTCTTACAAAGATTGTACTTTATTGGTAGCAAACAAAACTGGTTGATATGGATAGAGTTCGTATGACACTCACTCTCAAGTTCCTCCCAGGGTTTTCTCCCAAAGTCATCAAAGGAGGTAGATTCGAGCTGACAAAGTCTAAACATGACTACAATGATGAAGAATACTATGATGAATACTATGAAGAGTACAATGGTGAAGAGCCATACACGGAAGAAGAAGAAGAAATTATTGAGACGTATCAGGCCAGTTCACTTTTTGAAATTCGAAGAGTCAAATCTGTTGAACAATAAAAGGGTGAATCACCAAGTAATTGATACTAAAATATGTAGCATCTATTTTATATGGATCAAAAATCATTATTTATTTTTTGCGTTTATTAAAAGCAAATAAAGAAACAAATACACATTTTGCAAAGAACAGAGAAAAACCTGCCATTTCTGTTTTTCACTTTTATTAATATTAATATTATTACCATTACCATTACTACTCATATACATAAACGCATAAACGCATAAACGCATATTGTATATATATTTGTATATTTGAATTATTTTTGAGATGCAAGCTGCTGGTATTGCATCTGTAGTTCGCCAATCTAAAGTACACAATGCATTATAAGAAAATCAATACTTTATTGATTTCTTTTGACTCTCTCATATCTTAAACTTACTGTGTTCTTCTTCATCTCAGACTTCTCGGTCAATTCCTTAAGCTGGTTCTCGACGCGTTTACTTTTAAATATAATATATAAGCACAAAAAAACATAATAATATACTTGATAGTTTTAGAGTTGCAAAAATTACACCTACATTTCACTGCCAATAAGATCCAAACGGTTCTTGACATTGGTAGTGGCCTCTGACTTATCCTGCTTGACAAGCACTGGGCCAATTAACTTATAAATATTGGCATCTGATTTCAACAATCCAAATTCCTATTCCAATCCAACGTCAGTCTCTTTATGTACCGTTATATAAGTCCAAGTATACCCTTTCTACACTTATATTTCTCTCTCTCTTTATCTATTTACTTTGTATGTTCTTACCTTGTTCACCAACTCATTCTCCTGCTGTTGAGAATCCAGTCTCTGTCTGGACTCAATGACCTTTTGAAGTTCTGTTGGACAGATTTATTTGAGATGATGTGTGCTTAACTTGTTTAGATCTCTACAATCCTGTCATTCACTCGACTATTACCCTTCTGCAATTGCTGGAATGCTTTTGATTCTGACTCAAGCTTAGCTTCGATAACTGACAAGGAGCTCATTTGATGTTGATATAGATGTAGATGTAGATGTATTGGTTTCCAGTCTTCTTTTTCTCGCGTTGTCCAGGAGCGGAGTTGTGGCTTACGGCAAGTCACCTTGAATGAAGGTTGAAGCAACGTATTTGGCACCTTGTAACGAGATCCATTAACTCGTGGATGTGCTTATCACAGCTATATACACAATATTTCTCAAAGCAAAATAAATCATTATATATAAACAGCATACTTTTATAAGCCGGGAGTACATTATGAGTTTATTTATTTCTCTTAAAGATATTGTCTTTATTTAATTTCTTTAGAAGCTTTCTTTTCTTTTTTCGTCTTCTTCTTCTTGATAATATGTATGTTCACGTTGAATATGGATAGAGTAATTAAGGACCTCTTTTTTGTTTAGTTTTTTGTTTGTTTAGTTTTTTCTTTATCTACTTGATATCTTTGTTAAAGATAGCAGAGCTGCTGCTGTTGGTATTAAAATAACCCATTTTGGACTTTTCCTTGTGCTTCAGGCCCAGTCGCTCGATATCAGCAACTACCTTCTCTATATTCTCCTCTGTAATCTTTCTTCTCATCTCTGTAGGGCGCAATGAAGCAGATTTTCCTAAAGGAGAACTCGCATCTGTCTTCCATGACTTTGAAGCCACCTCTCTCGGTTTCTGAAACGCCGCATGGTTCTTGTGAACTATAATCCCATTCACCAAATCAATATCTTTTCTCAACCCCTTTACATAAAAGAAACCGAAAAAATAGCTTACTCTTGAAATAGAACGATTGAATCTCTGCTGGTTTCATAAGACTTGCCAACTGGTTCTGCACTTCCACATCCTGTGCAGAGTTATGCCCATTTGCTGTCCAAATCTGATAGCTGTCACATTGTTGCCGAGAAGATACAGACACACCACACACAGTGTCATCTATACATCCTTCAACTCTTTCACCAATCAATAGCACAAGAAGATCTCTCCAGGCTAGGGGAGATTGTGCCTTAGGAATCTTAAAATTAAATGATCCTCCATATTCATTGCGTGGATCTTCCCTAATGGTTGAATCGATAAATATCTTCCTTAGTATCTTTATCCTAGTCCTTTCTCTGTCACACGCAAACACACACAGCTAAAAAAATTGAGCTACTTACCAGATAGGCTTGATACCTTTACGCATAAAATGTAAGTTGCTCCTAAAACCGAGTTTTTCTGGTCCGTCTATATTGTTGTACACAGACCAGAATTTCTATTAAAAGGATTTTATAAATATTTGTGTGCATTCTGGGACTTTGATAATTCAAAGTTATGGCACACTGTAGCACACAGTATCACAACTGAGCCAAGCCAGGTGAAACCAGAAAGTGCTAATAATACAATAGATAATGAACGAACTGGCCTACCTGTACAGATCCAACTGTGGAAATGACTTGAAGATTGGCTTCATATTCTGTAGGTGGCAAATTAGGGACATATCTATTGTTAAGTATGAAGCCAATTTAGTTCCATTATATCTATACATATATGTATATATATATATATATATATATATCTTCTAATCTCTTTTCTTATAAATCTGTACTTTATGTAAATTTCTTGTTTGATTCACTGGCTTGTGAATATAAGAAACCACGGTATCCGCACTTTACCTATCATACCAAAATGTCCACTCTGTCTGAAGGGTAATCTCTCCTACATTAAGAAGCTCTTCTTTCTTTTGCTGGTCGAGTATCACAATCTCATCCTTGTAAACATAACCGTCCTTGATGACTGGACTTGATGGTGAGATGATTTCGGGTCCTGGTGACTGCAGTCCGCCATTTGAGAGAGAGCGTCGAAGGTCCTGAGTGTCTTGGACTACTGATGATGAGACAAGTCCACCTTCTGAGCTGATCGAGCGTGCTCCTAGTTCTAGAGAGCGGATGGTAGGAGATAACGATGACGGTTGGTGATGGAATGAAGGTGTAGAGCTTCCCATTGCAGCTGATTTAAATTGGAACGCAGACACGGCTGGTGACAATGCCATGTTTGTTTTCACACCAGGACGAAGCACTTTTGCTGCCGCATGGTTCAGAGGCTGCTGGTTCGCAAGATGAACACTGTCATTAGATTTGGAGTCGGTCATCAGGTTTAGAAACTGTAAAGGATTGAGGAGACAGAAAACAGATAAAAGGAAGGTGGGGTTTGAATATCAGGTTGGATGTTCGGCCATGCATTGGCTTTTTGATCCCCGCGTTGTCAAGGGGTAGTGGTGTTAAGAAAAAAGCTTACGATAGATACTTTATCTGTATTTATACACTTCAAGACAAGCTATGTTTTGACAGTGTGCGTTTTTTGTTTGAAGATTACTTCTTGTGGTAGTAAGAATAGTATAGTAATACAAAATAAATAAGTAAATAAATAAATAAATAAATATGCACATTAAAGTCATCAACGCTTTATAAATAGTAGCCCCCATAAATCAAAAAAAAAAAAGTATATAAGTAGCAGGTTATCCTAAACTTCAGGAACCAGGTTCTTTTCATTTTCTAAACTGCTCAAAATGACACTCCTCAACAACCAGGTCTATGAGTATCTTTTGAACATACAAGTCAAGGCTCTAAATTCCGATATCCTGATCGTCCTATTAGCAAGTTTCTTCTGGACTCAAAAGTCAATAGTGATTACTTACGATTTTATGTATTTATTTATTATTGCAGTGTTCAGGGCTTGTATCAAAGCCTGACCACAAGAAAGATTTTCAGTTTTTAGCAAGTAGACATCTTGAATCATTTGCGACAAATGAAGAAAAGTCAAAGTGGGCAAAAATTATGCGCTCAGCTATCACGAAATCTCTTATTTTTCAAGGCTTTCCGACTGTAAGTATATAGCTCTATTATGTATAAACAGCCTTGTTTTAGTTTTATTTTTTATATTAAATAAAGTGCATTCACAAGATTATCAACGCATCTAGTGATCTTTACGAGATTTTGACACCCGAAGTCAAAGCTATACTCAAAACTGAAGTCGACATGTATGTATACATACGAGTGGCAATTCTTCTCTTCTGTACAGACTATAATGTGTAAAATTATTTAGATACTATCGTAACGATACAACTATGGAAGAATTATATGAAAAAGGCTACGGTGTATTCAAAAATGTTTACAAGGAACGCAGTAATAGTGTGGCTACCTACATGACAGAACAGAACCATGATTTATTTAATCACTGCCTCTACATGTACGCGGTAGTTATTGGCAACTACACCCACTTGTCTGTGCTCGAAACCCATTATGTAATGGTACTCAATTTATTACTCAAAGAAACAAATGTACAGGCAAGTTTAACTTCCATTTTCTTTTTGAGATTTGGGCTACTAAAGTTATTTTACTTACAGCTAGAAAACCATTTGAAAAATTTTATTGATCTTGGAGGCACTGAAGAAGAATTAAAAGATATCAATACTATTGTTGAAGCTATTAAAGCACTTTAAAGTATCAACATACAAATGTGTATATCTAGACAATTTACTAAGCTAGGATTACGGGTGACATATTTTAATATCACTCTCTCATTCTCAAAAAATAGATAATAAATAAATATATGCTATTGGAAAAAAAATAATCAACTCTAGCCTGCGAACTATAGTGTTTGGTCTTAAGCAGACTCTTGTGAGAAAATGTATTTCTCGAGGTACTCTCTAGTCTTAACCGGATCGTTGGAGTCCATACTATTAGGTACACATTAATTAACATTATATTCTCCAGTTTGAGTAATTTACGTATCTAAAGAAATAATCCACTCACTGTGCAAGTCCCTTGAATATGTATTCATCATGCTCTATGTCGAAGAATCGAGGTTTCCAAGGAATACCATGCTCTTCGCGCTCTTTTGTAGCTTGTCTCTGCTCATCTTCTATAAACGTTTTTTCTTCTGTGGCCTTATCCATATCACGACTTTGGATTGCTGCTGTCAAAGCACTCCAGAGACTAAAGCACAGTCCATATTAAAAGCCTGTGATTTTACCTCTATTTCACCAATAAACTCACCGTCTGGATTCAAGCCTCTCCTGGTCAGTTTCTGGTGGAACAGATTTGGGAAATAATGTCGCGGTTTTTACATCAAAGAACGGCTTCTTGACATTGGTCTAAGTGAATTTCCTTATTAGTCTAATACATCTATTAAGCTTTTTCTTTTGTTTAGGTGGTCAAAACTCACTTTGCAGTACTTGATCATAGTTTCATTTGACCATTGACCTGTGATTTCGCATAATAACTCTTGGGTGCTTTCCTTCTTGATCTTTCCTACAACTGAATTCCATTGGCCCGAGAAAAACCCCTATTTTTTTTTTCATATGAAGATATAAATATTTTTCTCCGTATCATTCATTATTTATATATATAAATATATAAATATATACTCCAGCTACAAATTTCTCTTACTTTGGTCTTGAATTCTAATTCGCAGATCAGATCGCTCGTGATACACCGAACTGTTGAGGTGTCACCCAGTTCCATTGTCATTGTTCCAAATCTGGTCGAAACAGAGCCATGAACTCAAACTTCTCCTATCTGCCTTTATGTAATGACCCGGAACTTACAAGATTCCTCGTGCGTAGACATTAGGCATCCTTATATCATATCTCTCGTTAAAACGCTTCTCAAGAATCAACTGAGTATCTCCTTGCATAAGTGTAGCCACACTGTTGCCAAGAAATCTAGATTTAGGCTTAATATCACCAGTAACTGTGATGTGGTGCTCGGGACAGGTGTAAAAATAAGAAGAAACCGGAGGATGATGAGAAACCTGCTCGGAAAGGTAAAAACCTTCTGTACCGTCCTCGTAAGAGTAACGACAACGGAAGAATTCTCCCAATACGGGGTTGTAAGGCTTCTTCACACCCTATATATACACAACATATCATACCATACCATATTAACCCTTTAAAGATACAACCAAAACCAAAAAAATATCTTGATTAAATACTAACCCTTGGTCTGATATGCCATCCAGAGAGAAAATAACGAACGACAGCAATAAAGCGCTCGAGTGGATCGTCAATTTCATTGGCACTGACAAAGAAGAAGTGTTAATAAACAGCCCTATAAAACTGGTTCATACAGTAAAGATAAACTTACTTTAGAATAAGATTGGGATGGGACATGAAATCTGTTATGCGCTCTACCATACTACGCGATTCCAGCACAAATGTAGGTAAAGTAACCCGATGCTTTTTATGGATTACCGTAGATCAGAAAAATACATTTCAAACTGATTAAGGGTTCTTACAAGATCCATGCCTTTCGTCAATTGTGAGGCAATTCCGAGGAGGATGTTGCGAGAACCATCGTCAACATCTTCACTGCAGACCGAATAGTTGATGGGCTGGGATGACATTAGAGTTTGTATATGGTAAAGAACGTGAAGGCAAGAGTACTGGCCATAAAAGGGTTATAGTCGCACACGTCATCATTCTCTTTCAGTGCAGATCCAAACCCCAACGCAGACCCAACCAAGATGTTCTTCCTCTTTCTCACTTTCTTTATATATAAAAAGAAATTTCCCGAGACAGTATAGAGTATAGCTTGATCAAGCAATATATTATAGTCAATATATCCAATTGCAAGGCTGCGAGCTAGAAAAATAAGGTCTCCATTCTATTAGGATATGTATGCCATAGCCCCACGGTAAGAGACCGATTTACTGTTCCCACAGGCGCCTTGAATTTGTTTAAACACATCGTCAGTGAGATAGGTATGTAGCTCAAGTGTCACAATGAAATTTTCTCAACCAAAAATGTCCGCACAAGGTGAATAGATATAGACGAAAAATAAAAATCCAAAGCAAAGAATATAATTCAAAAAATGCACAAAAAGAGAATATAAAGCAATGTAACAAATATTAAATACCATCTAAAGACAGGTGCATTTGGTTATGTTTTGTTATATAAAAGTTATTCAAATTCCAAAGGTAACACAAGAGTTAAAAACATCTCTTAACCCGGTAAAGAGAGAAAGAGAGTTATTTTTGATCCGACTTAAATCGAATGCGGTGTATTTATTTCCGCCTCCAGGACTTTGTTTAATACAAGATATGCGTTATAAACCATTCACAAGCTTTACTATCGATTCAATTTTGCTTAAAGCCTAAAGCTCACAAAAAAAAAGAATGTACGACAGTAAATCGAATACACATCATAATCATTCTGGTAGTACAGATCTCTTAATGCACCAAAACAAGCGAGTATTAAAATACCTGGCTTTTATAAGGATATGAAGACAAATTTGGCATAAAATTCGATATTTCTCAAACTCACTTTAGACTTCAATATTTTTTTCAGAACGACTACCGATTGGTTATTCTCTAAATAATATATATACTTACCAGAGTCTTTTCTATTTTAGCTACAAGCTCAAATTTTATTAGCTTATATAGTGCAAGAATTATAGATATTTGAGAAATACCAAACAACTTTGATAGTTATCTCTTGCTACCCAATATATACATTTATTTCCAAATTTAAAGCGAAAATATTTAAAAGTAAAAAGAGTATAACGAAAAGACGATATATTTTGTCTACTACGCTTGTAGAAATTGGGATTTCGAAATGATATATACTTATATTATGAGTTTTCAAATACAATCGAGTAATTTGATATTTTTTGAGTGTATAGTGCAACTACCTAAAATCTTATTCTTTTAGTATCCCTGTAAAAGTATTATTATTATTTTTGGATTGTTGTGAGTATGTTGGCTGTGAAGTATGTGGCTAAGAATAATTATATATTACTGATTATCACTTTTGAGCAATTCTATTTATGTATTGATTTTTTGGTATATTCGTCTGCTCTATACGGCTCAATATTGTTTCAAAATAAAGATTTATTCTAATAATTCCAACTATTCTTTATAACTTCAATAAATACTCTCTGACAATTCACGCCTACCTATTATGTATTTGAGGTTTTATTAAAAAAATAATAATTCGCCCAGTACCCCTTACCAGATCATTTTCTAATATTTCCTCTCAATATTTTCCTTTTGCCTACTTGGGTACCCACAAACATAATACATTCGGATATTACACAATACTTATAACAGCAACATTAGAAAATACTCAAACGTGTGGTGTTTGTAAACTTGCTCATCAACAATAAGAGGCTTCAATTCAGCCACACTCCAGTTCATATAAATTTATTTGCGTCCAGATGTTTGTTAAGTGTTCTTTAAAAGTAGCTTTACTCATCTCTCTATGAACTCAATTTAATCTCTTTCTTTTACCAAAGCCCAGATATTGATTTTATAATAAAATCTACAACCTTGACATGCCAGAATACCTTTTATAATCATGAAGAGTTCTAGGCTTTTTATTCCTCAATAATACGGCAGATAATGTAACTTATAGGCTCTTCAAATTAGTCGTTGCATAATTAATCACTCTACCATCAAGGATTCTAATCTATACACAGTTTCCTAAAATATAAAGCTTTCAGTAGTATATATAACTATAAATATTGTTGTCTGAGCATACTCTTAAAATTACCCTTGATATTAATTATTAGCAAGTAATAAAATAAAAAAATACTGGTGCATTGCGAAAAGCAAAAATATCAAATGCTATTGAATGTTGCATGTACATTATATTGTTCTGATGATGAGCTATGTTTTGGCTTAGAATTCCTACACCTCTCACTTTAATTTATACACAAGTATTTGGATATCTTTCAAAACGACTTTCTCATGGCAATCATTCTTGAGCTTATTAAAAACTCTAATTTGTGTATCAAAATACATAGGCTTGTGTAGGTTATTATTCTTCAGCCTTTAAATAGTCAGTATATGTTTAAATAAGTTTTCTGAGTCATTCAAGAGCCGTTTTTTGTAGTATTTATAATATACTTTTGGTTAAATCCTTTCAATATTTCAATAAAGCAAAAGCAAAAGCAAAAGCAAAAGCAAAAACAATGTTGTTGTATTATAACTATATTTTATTTTCTGTCGTCTTTCAAAATAATATTGGGCACACTTTGAATCGATGAGCATCTTTATTTTTAAAATTCAAAGCCTTTACATTTCATCTCAAGCCCATTGGAATAGTATATAAGCATTGGTGCTGTTAACTAATCCCAAGCTCCCTCCAGTAAGAGTAGTAAATATATCTCTCTTTTTATCCTTCACCCCCTTCAATCTCTCTTTATCTCAACGTACATCTTCTACGGCTATTCACGTTTATATAATGTCTCAAAAAAAATTACAGTTTATTCTATGTATTGTATTATTGATCAGTGTACCTAAATGCTGTGCTCCACCAATTCAGCAAGACAACGATTTTCTCACCAGTAAATTACCTATAACATCGATATTGCGGACCGTCCTACTCGGCTATTTGACTCACATCGTAACGATTCGACCTAGAACAGGAATTACTGATATTCCTACCTTTTATCGACGTATTCTGGCTTTAATATGGCCTTGCGGTGGAATAGGGCTAGCAACAGGATCTATATATAAGTCATTGTTTGGAGATAGAATACTCGGAATCCGCGAATACAAGCCCTTTTTTAAAAGCTACGAAAAAGGAAAAATAGACAAGGAAGATAATAAAAAAGAAAATAGCGACGTCGAGACAAGGGACAAAGGAAATGATGACGAAAATACAAACGAGGCTGATAGAATTTCTCAAACTCAGGTGGATTCAGCTTCAGTGGGCTTGTTAACTGTGCCCAGCATATCTACATCAGAGTGCGAGAAAGATAATAAAGAAGCCATCAAGACTTCTGAATTAAACGAGCTTCATTCGGAGGCCTCCAAGCTAAGAGATCAATTAGTCGAATATTTTAAGAAAGAAAAGTATTCACTTAAAGAAAACGACAATACACCATACCTTGCAGCCTTTCTACATATACTTGGTCCTAAAAATGCAAAAAAAATAAAGCACTGTATTCTGAACGACTCTTTAGTTATCGGTTTCAACAGTAGTGATAGGTTGATAGGCAGTGATGCATCCTGTGAGACTGAGGAAATTACTGTTATTGGCCCGGGTGCAGCTTGTAAATACCAAAGAGCAGTTAAGCCCAAAGATGCCCGTTACATGACTGTCGATATGATAAATCAACTTGAAACCGCATATAATATGGATGACACCTCATACGTTGAAATATTTGTTACAGCCGGACAGCTATTTTATACCACAATTGAATGCATGGATCTAGACGGAGACAGATGGGCCAAGGTTATCATTATTATATACACTACAATGTCAATTCTCCAGACCCTTTCTCTCATAATGTTGCATAAACAAATGTCAGCCTTTAGTATCAAGGAAGATGAAGATGAAAAAATCCGGAATGATGACGGCGACTCTACTTCAACTGAAGGCGAAGATGAAAAAACACTGCCTAATCATGAAGACTCTGTTTCAACCGAAGACGAGGATAAAAAAACTCAACCTAATGACGGCGACTCCACCTCAGTTGAAGACGGTAGAAAACACTTTGAGCTATCTACTGATATTCTTGATCATGAAGATGTTTCCATTTCTTCTATGTTTATTGGATCAGCGGCATCCCTTTTAATTGGTATATGGGCCGATTATAATAGTCATAGTGTAACGGAATGGCTTGTACTATCCTGGATTATTAGTCCTTTTATTATTACTCTTATTATTTTTACTGCGGTTATTATTGATAACGATATATTAGGTATACTATTAATTATTATAACTGTTATAGCTAGTGTTTGCGTCATTGGATGTCTTATTGGAGCCACAATTATCGGATATTTACCAAAATAATATTATACTTCATCTTGCATTTTTTAATATCATAATTTGTACTTTTGCTATTAATTATTATCATTTTGTTATAAAAAGGCAAATACATGCATACATACGTTATTGCAAGATATTATAATGAATTAATGTACATTGGAGCCTAGGAAAGTAAGATTTCCTATGTGAAGATATAGATAGGCCACTAATCAATTATAGTAATGGCAGCCTGTAATATACATGTATGAGAAAAGAAGATTCAAGCCAAAAAAATCCAAGGTTTATTGGGCTAAATTTTGACACTTTAAATTTTGAGAAACTTGTTAAAAAGATATCAGGGAGGTTTGTGCAATTTTGTTTTACCAATCTCTTTTCCAATGTACTAAGAGCATCCACAATCGTTTGTGTAAATTGGCCAAAAAATTTAGATTTCTTCATCTCCAGCGGTTTGTCCAGATAAATGTTTTAACGAGAAATTTTAGACAATTATTTAACAGATATCTAAATTTGGCGCTTCATTAAAAAACATTTGAGCAATAAAAAAGATGCGACTTCAGATTTAGATAAACCGCTGTGGGTGGTCTAAATTATCCCATTTAAATGTGTGTTTTTGGTTCGACTTGAATATTTTAATTACACAAACCGCCGTGGATGCTCTTATTAATTGCAGAATCTGTAATGGAGTGCATAATACACTCTTTCCGGAAATTATTGGTGCAAAAAGGGAATGCACCAAAAAAGATGAATTAAGCAGAGAAATGGTAGAAAATTGGACCAGATTGATTTTTATTTTTGCACCAATAATTTCCGGAAAGAGTATATATATATAATTCAAATAATTAAATTTTAAAGAATGTCATAAAAGAAGTCATGTTAATATAATATTTACATCTTTAAAAGTATATTTTTAGCATATTTTATTTCTACATCTTCCTTTAAATATGTCGTTATCTTAGCAGTTTAAAATAATGGAAGCTTATTAGCTAAAAGTGCTTTGGAAAACCCAAATTGGGCTTCCAAGATTTTTGGAAAAGGTGCCCTTTTTACAATTTTTTTTGGAAGTATGAAACAAACTATTCCTTTTTAGGCGGGCAATTTATTTTTTAATTTTGTTACAGAATTTGCACAAACCTCCCTTTTAGTCTTTTCCTTGGACTTTTCTTTAGACTTAGTCTTGGGTGTAAGCTTCTTATCCAAATGCTTCTCGATATCGCGCTTCTTTGCCTTTTCGAATCTCTTGAATCGTCGATGATCCTTATTACGAGCTTCGTCTGTACGATATCTATATCGTACCCAAAATAAAAATATAGAAATCAATAAAAAGAATTATTCCAATAAACAACAACAAAGAAAATATCGCTTACGGTGCAAGTGCCTTTAGGCCAACATATTTGTTGAGTTCCGCATCATCAGCCAGCAGGATCTCTTCTGCTGTGAGACCAAAGTCCTCGGGCTCGGTATGTGTGTATTTGAAGCGAGTGGGCAAGTCACCACCAATGACATCCTCAAAACCAAGTGATTCATATTCTTCCATAAGGCGTTTGTATTCTTCCTGGGCCTGTCTCTTGCGAGCAGGTAAGCTTTCTTCTTCTTCTTCAGCGGCGCCATCACGCTTTCGCTTCTTGCTATCTTTTTTGTAAGAAGGACCGTCAGGTAAATAATCCGCATCCATCATAAGATCATCATCATCATTGTTGTTATTTGATCCTCTCCCACTTGTTGCTGCTGCTTCTTGTTCGGCATTAAACTCTTCTCCAAGATCATCATCCCAGACTGGTTTTTCGTTGTCTTCACCCTCGTAGTAATCTTCATTGAAGACATTGTTCATCTGAGCATCCCAAGCATCGGGGTCAAAGTCACCTTCCATATCAATCTTTTCAAGATCAAGATCTAAGAGTCCAAATATTTATAATTAATTAATACAAAGAAAAGTATGTATTTTTTTTTTAAAAAAACTATTTAGATACTTGCCATCATTTCCAGTGATTTTTCTGATTTCTTCAAGACGTGCTTGAATTTCCTTGATCTTTTGGTTCTTGAGCTGTTTCAATTCGTTGACCTTGTTCAACTTTTCGGCTTCCTTCTTGGCCTTCTTTCTCTCTCTTTCTCTCTTACGCTTGCTCTCTTTGCGACGCAAAGTGCCCTCTACATTACGGGAGTGACCAATGATCTGAAGAGCACCTTCTTCTTCGAAGCGGAAGTTATACTTGCTCTCGAATCGATCTACTTGATCCAAATATTCCTCGTCAGCTTCATTATCGTCGAGTTCGGGAATAGGGTCTTCTTCATAAGTAGGTTGGTTGCCATGTTTTTTCTCTACCCATCCTCTGTTTAGTACATAACTAAAAAAAATGATAATATCATTAGTAAATATAAAGTGTGGCATTTATACGTTAATTTCAATTTATAGGTACATAATACGTATACGGCCTATGTTTATATATAGGTACTACACTTACTCGATCAAAAATGCATCATCTTTGTTCATGTTGGGGTTGTTCTTGTAGTTTTTCCACTCCTTGAATACTTCTGAAGAAGCTTCATCGCTCTAAAAGCAAAAACAAAACAAAAACAATCAATCGGTAAATAGCCAGTCAAACAATTATTTACCTTTATGAAATATCTACACAACACTTACAGCCATGTTTTGCAACAAAAAGTTCTTGTACTCTTCCTCTTCCGCTTCTTGTTCTTCTTTAGATTTTTCCTTCTTCATCAAGAACCCACCCTTGTCTTCCTCATCATCATTGTCGTCGTCGTCATCGTCGTCAACAGCAGCCATCTTGAATTCCTCTTTGATCTTTGCCTGTTCTTCGTTGTGTGTCAGATGCTTCGGTGCGTCTTCATCGTCAATGCGTTCTTCTTCGTCATAGTAACCGCCGTGTTTCAACAGAGTTTCACGTTCGTAATCTTTGAGGGTCACTTTCTTGCCAGAATTTTTCAATTCCTTCTGCTGCTTTTCCCACTCCTTGTTGGCTTTGTCGATTTGTTCCTGCTCAAAGAACTTTGCAGAGGAGTCGTAGACACGAGGATCCTTTTTCTGGATCGCAGCAATTGTGCGGAAGATTTGAGAATCCAGGGCAGGTGTCAATAGTGCGGCATGTTCGTCTTCTTCTTCGTCGCTTTCGTCACTTTCGTCGCTTTCCTCTTCTTCTTTGTCAGATCCCGATGGACTAGCTTCAGATTCTATTGAATGTAGATGTGTAAATCTCTATTTCTATAATCTCGAATCAAATTAACTGGATTTTTTTTTCTTTCTTCTTCTTCGTTGGTTTTTGTACCTTGTTTATCTTTCTCGGCCTCACGCACTAGTTTATGGAAAAGATGTGATATTTAGATGAGTAAAAAGGAGGAACAAAAAAAAGTATAAATAAAAGCTGAATATTTTTTGCGAGTATATAATTTATTGTTCTGCTTCTTCGTTTATTATATTTTTATCAAAGTTTATATAGATGGTAAATGAATTAAAGAAGGAATCCAATTTACAGATAGCAGGAAGTTCGTATTCGTCTTTGTCCTGGTCTCTTTCGCGAATCAGAACAGGGAACTTTTCGTCACTCATTGTGGTTGATGAAATCTGATTTTTACACAAATATTAAAGAAAAATAAAAAAATAAAAAAATAAAAATCCAAAAGTCATGCAAAAAAAAAGAAATGAAATGGTCACCTATAATGTGACTGCTTACTTCAAATTAACTTGACCGAGCCACATACTTGGAACATATAAGCATATACATATGTTTGTATATACGAACGTTATAAAATAATCATTTGGGTAACAATCAAGATAGTATATATACACAGGGCTTTTATTATTTTCTTCCTCCTATCCTTTATGTTTTTTTTTAGTGTGCTTTTCGTTTGTAATGTTCAAGCTTAATTAAACTTTCATTAAATAATGATTATTATTGGCTAATGATTTAAATACAGTTAATATCAATTTAAATGTAAGATAAAATGAAATAAATTAAAAATCTGAAACTATTGAAACACCCTTTTAAGAAAAAAATAATAATAATTTTTACCTATTATTATTTTTGAAACAAAGGAATGTACCAAACACCAAAATCTATGCAATTTGATGAAACAAAGGCTCTGCATAATTTCTGCTATGTATATATTCTCCACTAATTAATTAATACTTTTTATATATAAAATAAATAAATAAATAAACATATGAATCCAAACACTATATATACTCATAATCATACAAAAGTTAAAATGTTATATGAGATCAAAAAGGAATTAAACTACATAAAAGACAAAATGGATATTAAAGATATTATCTAGACAGCTGACAAGCAGTATGTTCTTATCCATTATTTCTGTTATCGATTGTTTCAAAAAAAAATATGAAATGTATGGTGCAAATGACGATAAGTATTAATTATTATTACCATTATTTCTTTTACAAAAAATTGAAAAAAAAATAGTGATGATAATTCAAACGATTTTGAGTTTTTTTTTTCAAGTTTCTGTGAATAGCAATTGTACAAATTACATATCTACCCAAATGAGTAATGCTTATGTTGTGCAAAGAGAAGAAAAATAAGTAGAGAAAGAAAGGAACAAAACAAAACAAAACATATTTTACTCTAATCATTTTGTCAAGATGCTTCACACACCCTCTTTCCTCTCCCCCTTTAGCTTCATCCTCAGCTTAACTAAGTTTAGTTATGCTTGGTTGGAAGAATTGCTATTTCCACCTGTTTGCTTTTCCTTTTGGTTAAATAAATAGATAGACGATGTTTTTAAATCGTTGAAAATAATAAGATTGCAATTACAAAATCAAGATTGTAATCATCGCATGGCCTTTGATTGTTAATATTATTATTAATATTTTGTATTCTTTTTTAACGTTATTTGTTTGTAACATCTGAACTTTATTGGAGTGAAATGGTTTGAGATCAGTGATCTCAACCCTTTACAAAATTCTCCCACAAAAGCTTTTTATTCTGTGTCAGCCAGTACAGGAACCATCTTGGGTTAGACATGAGCTGTCTTTAATATTATATAATTTTATTCTTAATATTTCTCTTTCTTTCTTTTTATAAAAAGGATAGAGAGAGTAAGCTTCGAAGCACAAGCTATTTGAATATGATCCAGTATTAGACGCTTGGTGGACATGGATCTATTGTACTAATGATGTCAATTACAAGAAGCAAAGAGAATAAGAAGAGTCAAAAGAAGATAAACACGTCATGTACATGTGCCTTTACGTGTGTGTGTGTGTGTGTGTGTGTGTATTTGTGGGGAGAGGTCGTTGTCTTATTCTTTTTCTATTCTTTCTTTTTTTGGTTAAGTGAAGAGCCGAAGCGTGTGAAAAATTATGTCAAAAATAAAAGGACAGAAAAAGAGAGTAAGAAATAAAGAAAAGGAAAGAAGGTAATGTAGACTTGGATATCTTCATGATTTAAAGCTTGGAAATGGTATAAATTTCTTATATAGCCATAGATAAACATGTATACACATATACATACACGCGGCACACGTACGCGTAATAATGTATACTTCTTCTAGTTATTTGTTGTTCGATTTCTTTAAAGAGGTATGTAACAACAAAAACCAAAAAGGAAAATGTAGGTAGATATGTAGATAGATAGAAAGATGGAAACATAGATAGATATATAGAATGATGTGTGTAGAGTACAAGTCACAAAAAATATCTTTCTAGAAAGTGTTTGATTCAAGCTGTTTCAAAAAAAAAGAAAGAAATTTCAATTCATTAATAATTTTTATTTATTTATTTAGTTTCTTTTTGATTTCATTACAGCAGTAATTATTGCATTCATCAAGAATTTAGTTATTAGGGGTTGATTCCAGTAGGTGGCTCCTTTTGTCAAGAGGTGGTATATAAATATAGACTGATGCCAACATCTCTTGATGCCTTTGGAGACAATTGACAAACAATTCTCCAGATTCTATGTAGGAGTAAAGCATAAAAAGGTTAATTGTCAAGGAGAGATAGATAAATAGGCTGGAATGCAAACTGACTAAGCAGACCAACAGTTAAATGTAGGTTTCTATGTTAATATACATATATTAACATTCATACTTAATAAGACTAGGGAGTATGGATTTCTTTGTTTCTTTGAACTTAAAAATTTATTCCTGCCATGCAATAGACTCTTTTATTATTTTAAGAAGAGCAGAGCAGAACAGAATATAATATAATATAATGACTGACCACTATTGTTATTATTCTTATTGCTATAAAAATATCAAAACAATTGGGTTGTCAAGATTGAATGATTGGAATAAACATGGTCTGTATTTAAAGAAGAAGAAGAAGACGAAGACGAAGATGGGTTTAAAGAGGTTTCATTCTATTCAGCAACATTAGAATATAACTACTTTTGTTTCTTAGTTTATAAACAAGTTTTGCCGAACTAAACCATGTCATTTTACAGATATTCTTGTTAGATATATGTGTCTATGTATGCAGATGTGTTTGGGTGTTTGAATTCATATTAAGTACATTCTAATATAATGTTCTTCTATGAAATAAAATACAAGCAAACCAAAGAAAAATATAATGCAAGAAATGTTCTGAAATGAAATAGGGTTTGTGGTTCATCCAGTACCAGCAATTACTAAAAGAAGAAAAGAAAATAAAGTCTTACATCTACATAAATACATACATACATGTACGTCTTGTGGCATCGACCACATATGCTATGAATGGAATGAACATTCTACTTCACCGAGACTCTAGACATTATCCAGCCTTTAAAGACATCTATTATACCTTTCTTCAAAATAATAACCATTAGTCAATAGTCAAGCTACACATCAAATTTCTCTCTCTATATCTCTCTGTAATACAAAGTCGAAACGTAAATAAATAAATAAACGAGTAAATAGAATACACATATAATATTCTTCTTTATGAGTATTTCATAAAATGTGACTTTCACTCTATTGTTTTTGACATGACTTTTTTTTTTTTGGTTTTTGGTTTTCTTTCTTTCGTTCTTTCTACATCGTTATATCTCTATCTATCAATACACCGAATCAAATCAATAGTAATAGGAACAATATGATAGCTCAACTGGCAAGTACCGATCAAAGCTTTATTGAAGCCTGGCTGTCCGTTCTAGTCTCTTCTGGGGCATGTATTGTGGGTGGTATGAAGATAAATACATACATACATACACACCTTTCTATATCTTGATCTATCTTGATCTATGTCTATTTCTCGTTCTCGTTCTCTGTTTGTGCGGCGGGTGAGTGCCTGCACAAAGAGTGAGTTAGAGAGATGGCTAGATAGAGAAAGAGAAAATGAATAGAGGAACAGAGGGGAAAATGAAGTGTTTTCTTTATATTAGACTTTTCTCTTACTCTTACACACACACACACATATATATATATATAAATGAATGTATGAATTGAATGAACATGTTCAATGTAATCATGCCAATGTCAATTCATTATACGTCTATTACAATTTCTACCTCTCACACCGTATGCATATTTGTGCTCTGAACCAATCTATCTATCTATTGGTCTTGTAGCTTCGATTGTATTTGTGGACAACTTTTGGCCGGCCTCGCACCCATCTGTTCTTAATAACCCCAGTTTTCTGTCGGCTGCTTTGGCATTAGCCTCGGGTGTTCTCTTGTTTTCTTCTCTGTCAACCTTACTGCCGGCCTCTCGTGCTCATCTCAAGAATGATTTTTTTGTGTACGCGAGTTATTTCCTAGGTGTCTGCCTGACCTTGACACTTACGTACGTCATTCAGTTTATTGCACCGGATGCAATTCATTCTTGCCATGGTGAGACAGACAGCAAGGCTAATGAGGAAACTGGTCTGAATGGATCGCATTCGAACACAAGAACTAAGAGCCAAAAGATAAAGTCAGGTGGCACTTATGGAATAATGACGACTGAGATTATATCACAGCAACAAGAGCGAGAAGAAGAAGAAGAAGAAGAAGAAGAAGAAGAAGAAGAAGAAGATGAACAAAAGATGGCGCGTGAATATTTTACAACTGGGATACAAACAGCTACGGCTATTGTGGTGCACAAGTTTCCAGAGGGGTTGATTATGTTTGTATCTAGTCAAGCATCTCCTCAACTGGGGTTGAATGTTGCGATTGCGGTCTGTATTCATAATCTGATCGAGGGGTTTATGATTGCCTTGCCTCTCTATCTTGCCACCCAATCTCGCCGGTCTGCATTCGGATATGCAGCACTCTTGGGTGGACTATCACAACCGATCGGAGCACTGGTGGGAATGATGGCCATCCATGGTGTGAATGAGGAAAAGGAAGATTGTGTTTTTGGGATAATTTTTGGGGTTGTGAGTGGGATGATGTCGTTTATTGCAGTTCAAGTAAGTAAATTAAATTAAGGTAAATTAAAGTAAATTAAATTATATAAAAATAAAAATAAAGTAGAACACACCCTATTCATACATTTTGTTACTTGATTTTATTTTATTTTATTTTTTTTGAAATACATAAAAATTATAATAATAATAATAATAGTAAGAATTTTTATTCAATAATTCAATCAGACAAATCATTCATAAAACTAATATACAACTCACATGTATATTAAGAATATTACTGTTACTGTTACTGTTATTTATCTACAATTTACCTACAATTTCCTTTTTAATATATTTAGAGTATGCTGCCACAGGCTATCAAACTAGACACAGATCACCGTTTTGTTGCGCCTTTTTTCTTTATCGGTATCTTTTTGATCGGTTTAGCTTCGTTGCTCAAGACAGCATCAACACCAGCAGCGGGATGACCCTTATTTTTTGTGGTCCTGCATTGGTCATTATTATAAATTGGATTGTTATTTTCTTACATATTTTGTTGTTGTTGTTGTTATCACTGTAGATTCTTACACCAATACATACACACAATTACATAGTTACATAATTAGATAGATAATAGTCATCATAGTAAAATTACAGCCTTATTTACTTATTCACTATTATTGTTATTTGGTAATAAAATAAGAATATACTTCATGTAAAATATGAAAGAAAAAGTGCAATATTTTCTGTTGTTGTTTTTTGTTGTTTTTTCTTTTGATTGAAACAAGTAAATAGTAGCACTAGTCCAATATTAGACTCAAAAGCAGTAGTGGTTAGTCGTACTAACAGTAAAAGTATATAGTAGAGTTAAAAGATCAAGAAACGCCCCTCACCCTCTTTTTTTATATATAAATAAATAAAGAATATTTATATAATATACTATATAAATAAAAAAAAAATATTTATTTATTTAATTATTTAAAAAACGTCTCTGGAAAACAAAAAAAATCAAAAAAATCAAATCTCTCCTTCTTCTTTCACTTTTTTTTTTATTAATTTAACTTGCACTGGTACAACAACCTATAAAAGGATTATATCTTCTTTCATTTGTTATTGTTATCTTACCAGCCAATAAATATCTATAATATATATATATATTCTTGATTCCTTATGCTTTGATTCATTCGACCTACCTACAAAATATAAACATATTTATATATATATATATATATATATCTATCTATCTATCTATCTATCTATATATAAAATGCCGTCTAGAAACGATACATCCACAACATCGAAACAACAACGACCTTTCATAGGCGATTACTGGCTCGGCAAGACTATCGGACGTGGAGCATCAGGTAAAGCAAAACCCAAGTTAAGCTAAGCTAAGCAAAAGATTAAAATAAATAAATAAAAGAAGAGGGCACGTGATATCACCCACAGAAGAAGTAGTTTGGCATATTATTCTTTGTCGTCGTCGTCTTCTTCTTCTTCTTCTTGCTGGTATTATTTAAGGAGTAAAAAAAAATTATCAGCCAGTAGAATTTTATCCTATGCTATGCTATTATAAATTGAATCAAATTCACTTTTATTTATATATATATATATATATATGCTGTGTATTAAAAATACATGTTGGATTTGTAGGTCGTGTCAAGCTTGGTATTCATCGGCGCACGGGTGAACTAGTGGCTGTAAAGATGATTGCACGTAGCCAACTTGTTTCATCATCATCCACTTCACGCTCCGTTCAACGTGAGTTAGCTGTCCTACAGCTGCTTTACCATCCGAATCTCGTCGAGCTCCGACAAGTCCTTCAAGACACATTTTACGTCTATTTCGTTATGGAATATGTTCAGGGCGGAGAGCTCTTTCAGGTCCTATCAGATCGAGGACGACTTCCGGAAACAGAAGTCCGAGCATTGTTCAGTCAGCTGATGACTGGCTTGAGCTGGTGCCATTCACATCACATCTGGTAGACTTTGGGTTGGCCTTTTTATTCTTTTGTCTCCCCCCTCACCACCATCTTTTGCTTCCATTTTCTAACCTTAATTCATATTTTATTTATTTTTATTTTATGATACAAAAAAGTCACCGCGATCTCAAGCCAGAAAATATTCTATTGGACAAAGATAAGAAGAATATAAAGATAGCAGATTTTGGAATGTCTTCAATAATCTCTCCTGGTGATCTATTGAGAACGAGTTGCGGGTAAAGCACACACACACACATACGAAATCGTCTTTAATTTACATTCATTTATTTACTTATTTATTTTGACAACCTTTATAGATCACCACACTATGCTAGTCCAGAAATCATAAAGGTAAATACTTTTATTTATATATATAAATATCTAAATTTCTAAATATATATTTGTACAGGGAACGCCCTATGATGGTCGAGCAACAGACATTTGGTCAACAGGTGTCATTCTCTATGTATTGTTGACTGGTCATCTTCCATTTGACGATCCCAACATGGGTCGACTGTTATCCAAGATTAAGACCGGACGATACCGGAGATTACCGAAATATCTATCTGATGAAGCAAGAGATTTATTACAACGTTTATTAGTAGTCGATCCAAAAGAACGTATGACGGTAAGCTCAAACATCAAGTAACCATAGTGATAATCACAATAGCAGTAATGACAGTATTAGTAGTCAGAAAATCACATTTTGTATATAGTTTTGTAACAAAGTAATGTTAAAAAATATATATATATTTTGCAATTTTCCAAGTCTTCTATATCTACAAATATTCCTGATTAGGCTTATCACTCTTTTATATGTCTTTTGTGCTTTATTTGGAAACTAATCATTTCCTTTATATATTTATATTCATTTAATGCACTATACATAATATTATATTACACCATATTGGCTAACCCATAAAGGCTAAAGACGTCTTACAGCATTCATGGTTACAACCCATCGCACAACTCGAACAAAATCAATGCATTACTCCAACATCAATAATGGCTCCTATGCTCACTAATGATCATTCTGACCTTGACGGTCGAACATGGGAAACCCTAAAGATCCTTTGGAATCAATTACCTCTAGACGTCATTGAGACCAAACTAGCTGAGGAAGGGTAAGCAAACAAACAGAAAAAAAAAGAGAGGGAATCGATATATGATATTCTTTGTTTAAATATTTGCTGCGACAAGGATTTTTTTTTTGAATTCTATTATCTTTTCACACTTTAAATTTTATTAATCTTAATCTTTATTAGATATAATGCTCAGAAATTGACCTGTCAATTATTGCTACAAAGATCAAAACGGAAACAAGCCCAACAATCCAATAGTAAGTCACAACCAACGAAAACAAAAACAAAAACAAAAAAAGTATATATAATTAAATAATGATTATATTATTTAGATTATGATCATACTGGCTGGCAAGAAATGCCGGCACCTTTGGTGAGCCCTACTCTGCAGCCAGTCTGGAAAGACAAGGAGAAGGAGCCAATTTGCTCTAACCACAATCCGGTTGGGTGTTCAGACAGCGACCCTGCTCTGTGTGTAGAATTACCCCACACCCCCAACAGTATACCCCTCATCACATCAAGATCATGTAAAATAGAAACCATTGAACAAGTCCGCCAAATATTGTGGGAATCATAGTAAAGTATCTCTTCTTTGTTTTGCTCTTCAATATAAACAACCTGGACACAGACAAAAGAAAATAAAAGCAAAAGAGTTATTAACTTTATCTTGTTTTATCTTATTTTGGTATTTCAAGTGATCCAACCACCTGTGCATTGTACAACCCTAGACCTCAATGCATGCCACGGACACTTATTCATTGGATACCAGGCAATCCTTATCCCAGCCCTTCGACTCTTAAAGGAACCAAAGCCGCTCTCACACAAGCTGTACCAACCTACACAAATGTTCATGTGGCTCCTCCAACAAAACCAACGCCTGCACAGAAATGGTGGTGGGGGTGGTCATCTTCACCATCAACATCAACAGCAACATCAATATCAACATCAATATCGTCGTGGCCATGGAAACCTTGGCAAATGTTTACAAAGGAACGTGCACAAAAAAACGCGCCATTGGATTTAGTTTTCGACTGCCGTGCGACGTCTGAACACGAAGCAGCAAACAAGATTAACCAGATACTTAATGAAGTAAGCTTATTCTTACTTTGTATTTTATTATCAGTCTAACGTCTTCTTTCTTCTTTTTGTGGTAGCAATGTCATGGTAAATTACGTTCCCGTTCTTACCATGGTAAGACTGTCTGGAGTGGTTCGATGCGGAGAACTAGCCCAGGTAAGATACAAAAATCCTTAATCTTTAATGCTTAAATTTATTCTTATTACCACAATTGAAACAATTTCCGTTTATTTGCCTTTGCATTTGCCTTTACCTTTGTCTTTTCTTCTTTAACTAAAAAAAACTAAAACTAAAACTAAAACTAAAACTAAATAGATACTCCTTACATGCCACATCGCCTTCGATTTATGTGTGACATCAAGCTTCTGCAAGACACCCCAACTGCACGTGTCCACTGGATACATCTGCAGGGAGATATAGCCAATCTCTCTACTGCTCTTGTCTGCGTGCGAGAACGACTGGAGATCTGTGAACAAGAAGCGATGCAGCTAGCCAAAGACAATCGATGGGTCTTGCGACCAAACTAACCTGCATATAAATATCTTTATTATATATTCACCGTTGTTATTATTTCTATCATCATCATCACCATCACCATCATTTTTTATATATATACCTCTTTAACATCATCACCAGCATCATCACTGTCTTTATCACCATACTCATCACAATCTTCTTTATTTATTTATTTATTTATTTGCTTATCTATATATCGATTTCTTTATCTACCTAAATATCTATCTAAATATTTAAATATCTGTTCATCATTTATCATTTATTATATTTTGTGTTATTATAAATTCTATCAAATTATTTTGATACAATTTGTAACACTTTTTTTTTCTTAAAAAAATAATAAGATGGCATCATCCTTTACAGACATTTCTTTCTTCTTTACTTCTTTAGATTTGTACCATTATTTATATTCTGTATTTTGTACTTATATTTGAAGCAAAATACACCAAAATTGTAACATATCTTTTATTCTATTTATTTATTTATTTAAATTTGTAACTTTTTCTACTTCTTGTAACCTGAATGATGATTATGGTTATTTAAAGAGCACAATAAACAAATATCTCATTTTCTTTATTTCTTTATTTCTTTGTGTTTGACACAAGAATATCCAAAAAAAAAAAAAAGATTCAAAGGGGGTGAATAAGATTCTTTGGTTTTGATTCTCGGGAAACCTACAATTAGAAAAAAAAATAGCAAATTAAAATTATATATATATATATGGATAAATAGATATATTAAGGATTCAGGTACAAAACTAACCTTTTAATTGTAGCAAAACTCTATCCAATTCTTATTTTATTGATTTATTTAGGGTACATTTATATAATGGTACATTTGCTATGTAGTGTTACAATTACATGGCTCTAAACAAAATAAGGATATACTAAGTTTGGGTCTTTATGTAAAGTAGCATTTACACAATATGCAACCCACCACAAAAGTACTATATCTATTTAACACATTTGAATATATTATATTATAATTCATTATACTATTGTACTATGCTATAATAGGCTCGTGAGAAAGGAGACAAGATGTATGGCGAGGGAGGGGAAATGGTACACAATTTAATAGATAAAAAAAAAAGGGAGAAAAAGAATACAGAAAAATTTTACCTACAATTTAGACTATTACTTGTTAAACAGTTTTGAACAAATTCTGCGAGAAAAGCCATAGATGATCAACTATTAATTTCTTACCATTTTCCAGCCAAATCTCTCTCTCTCTATATATATATATATATATATATATATATTAGTATCAGAAATTAGCAATTAGCAATTAGCAATTAGCAATTAGTCTTTAGCGTTTAGCGTTTAGCGTTTAGTGTTTAGTTTTGGTGCTATTCTTTTATACACAGACAAAAGACACTAGAAGATTCCTTGGGAAAAAAAAAGGATAAACAAAATTTATTATATCAGATATTCATCATCTTTCGTCAGTTATTCAGGTAGTTAACCAGCCACTCAACCAACCATAGAAAGAAAGAAAAGGTATTATTATATATTGGGGGGTTATTTTGTGTTAAAGAAAGAAAACTCGGAAGACTAAGCTGATTTGTAAGGCTTATGTTAATTAATTATCCAATATTTTTCTTCTTATGCTAGTATTGTCTTTAAGCACAAATAAAGCTAAAGATGTATAGATTTGTGTATAAGATTTAAATGGACCAAATGCTGGTAACAGTAAGAATCTTATATGGTCTTTTATAAGAGTACAATGTGCCAATTAATCAATGGATAGCATAGAATGGGTCTATCTTTGTATTACTATTAACAAGTTGCACTCAATTAAATAACAATTAATAAACCCTCACTTGAACTTGAGCTCAAACTCAAAATACTTCCACAAAACAAAGAAACAAGTCAATAATGTATTGTACTTTGTGAATTTCATACTTCATTTTCCAAAAAAAAAAAAACCCCCCAATATTTAGAATAAAAACAATTTGATAATAAAGCACAGTTTAAACGTTCATTATTTTTTGAAACAGAAAGAAAAACAGAGAATTATGCATATATTGTATTTCAACCCAAAGTCCAAAAGTCTACCCTAAAGACACACCAAGATTGGCAAGATACTATCATATTTTTTGTGAACATGCGTGTTCTTTAATATTATATTTCTTTAAAGAATATGTCTTTTTTTTTATATATATCTAATTATATTAATCTATCTATTTACATATCTAATTAACCACAGCTTGTTTCCAAGTCATTTATCCCCCTCCCCTCAATCTTTAGCTTGAAAAAAAAATCGGGTTTTTACAACTTACCACTACAATGGTCTGATCATCGCCATATACCCTCAGCTTCTCCTGTAAGAATCTTCTGCCTTGCTTTTCCATCGATGACAAACTATCCATCTGCTCATCCTCGGATTGCAAAGACCGTCGGCTACAACTTCTCACTCGCCTCATGTCCTCTTCAACTTCATCACTGCTACTATCATCAGACGAACTTTGGGAGTCCAATACTACCGTTTGATGCTCACTGCTCTTTATCTGTTGTTTTTGTTTATCTTGCTGCTGCTGCTGTGGTTGCTGTGGTTGCTGTGATTGCTGTGATTGCTGACTAGTTTCAGCAGCAGACCCTTCACTGCATGCATCACTTGGCCTCCGTCTTGGTTTTGCAGGACTGAAAGGAAACCAGTTCATGTCAGCTATAGTTAATGGTCTAGACTGTTGTTGATGTTGATGTTGTTGCTGTTGCTGTTGCTGCTGCTGCTGCTGTTGTTGTTGATGTTGATGATTATGATATTGTTGCTGATTATAGTGCTGTTCATATTGAAAGGTGTGGGGTGTGATTGTAATCTCATTTTCATCCGAAAACGACTTTTCCTCTTCTTCTTCCTCTTCTTCATCGTCGTCTTCAGTTCCTTCTCCTCCCTCTTCTGTGCCCGGAAACTGATTAAGGATGTGCCGATGTAAAGATGAAAATGTCGGGTGTGTAAATTCTGACTGACTTTCTCGTTGCTCTATCCGGTTGAGATAGTTCATTATTCGCCTCACACTCCACTTTCTCCCGAGCTCATTCTCAGAGTCGGACGGCATGTCCTCTTTAGAGTGTGGTGTAGTTGGTTCAGACGTCAGAGGGCTCTGAGGATCGTCGTCTGTCATTCCACGACCATTTACAAACATATGATGGTACACATATGCCTTGAGTCCAATGCTTATAAACACAGTGTGGAGATAAGCCAAATAAGCTCCATCTGACTACCAAATGAAATGGTTTTGTAAGATGTGTGTACACCAATATCAATATCTTATCAGTAATGTTATGTCTGTGTTTGTAGATTTCACTTACAGAATAGAACGGAAGTTGCTCCAGTAGCTGATTGATCCACCGACCATCAAGGTAAAGTGGACTGGTTACAAGATTTCCTTGTTGATGTTGAGATACGGCATCTATATCCAGGCAGCTTATATCGAGCCGATAAACACTGGCATCTAGATTATCTCGATCTGTACCAACTAGCTTTATAGACCCTAGATTTTCATCTGTCAAACGTGTGCTAACAAACCAACTGTCCACTCGATGATGCTGTCTCGAATGCCCAGGAACAAATACGGAGAGGGCCTCGACCACTTCCTTCACTTGACTATGCACAAAGAAAATTAGCAATTAACACTAATAAGTTCATCTAAATATCTTTCAAAAGAAAAGACAGAAACATGTTGTACACGCAAAACTCACCTCTTGCTTTCCAAATGACCAATAATCACAACAGGCCTGCCCGTCATGAGAGAAAAAATCACATGGTGAATGGCATGCCCAAAGGTCCTGCAGACATCCAGTAGTCGCTGTTCACCAAGTCCTCCCTTTCCGCCTTCCCAAAGGCGGGCCGTCTCTAGCTGGATGGGGAAGAAGTCCGAGTTGGGCTCCGAAGCTACCCTCTGTCGTTTCTCACGATGGTTTTGCGGGACTTGGTCTGCACTAGCGGATCGACTGGCAAACGAAGTATCACCAAAGTAAGAGTCTACAACCCATTTTTGATTAGCCGGAGATTTTTCCAAGCTGATAATAATAAAATCATAATTACATATATCAAAGTTAATATTCTTTCTTCAACCATACACACACACACACATATATATATATATATATATTTGTAATGGTGTTGCCATAATTTACATTCTTGGACTTGGGTTGTTTAGATTCAGGACAAAAAGTCTGCCGACTGAAATTGCAGATTCCAATGGATCTACACAATCTGCTTCTTCTTCTTCTACATCCAAGACTACACTGCTGCGACCCATATCATTCACTATCGAAGTGGTATAAGCAATTGCCTCCGAGTACATATCGTGCGCAATTGCGCTCGCAAACGACCGTTGTTGTTTAGAAGACGTTGTAAATTGAGGTGTTATAATTGAGACAAGTGGTATAACAGTCGTCTGTGGTAAGCTATGTTTCTTCTTGCCCTTTTGGCGTGGTTGGAATATCGGGTCAGGCTCTTGGCACAGCTGAGCTAGTGATCTGAGTTTGCGTTCAAAGTGAGGTACTGGATACAGTGTATCAATGCACCGTGGCTAACAGAACAGATCTTATCACTTGCTGTTGCTCCCACAACAATCACCCTCTTTTCTTTCTTTCTTTCTCTTTCTTTATCACAAAACAAGTACATTTTTCTTCTTCTTTCCTTTTTTGCTTTGGTACTTGTAACTTGCCTCATAGTTATCGGTCTCGGTGTCAGTCTCTGAAAAATAAGACTCTATCCGACTTGATCGCTTTGTACCCACACTACTGTTTTCAGTATCATCAGCAGCCTCCGAGTCTTCAGTTTCTACATCCGATGTATCCATCGGACTAGTACTGCTACCACCATCCGTGGACTTTAGTGACAATTGGATTTCGGCCGATTGAGCCAATGAGGCCTCTTGGTTTTGTGCCGTTTCTCCTTCATCGCGTGCCAATTGTGCCGCGTATGATTCAACTGTGTCCATCATCAGGCGTGTGCTAGTTATAGCTTGTTGGACAGCCTTTATAGAAAGACATGGTTTGTGATTCTCACATGGAGAATCGGCCTGTTGTGATTTTGATGGTGATTGTTGCTGTTGCTGTTGTTGTTGCTGTTGTTGCAGTATATGATTTCCATCATTTTCAAGGTTTTGCTTGGTGTGTTCAAGATCCAAAAAACGATGCTTCAAGTCTAGTGCAAAGTTTGAAAAATTTCCAATCTTCATCAATCGGGATACCTAATTGTCATATACACCAATTGTTACAATATTTGAGATCCATTATATTCTTGTTGCTTTCTTTATAATAATGTATTTGCCATTGATCTACAAATTTATCAAAAAAAAAAAAGAAAAATAAATAAAAAACAAACAAACAAATACCTCATTGAATCTATCCATAAATTCTTCAAAGCGTAACACAATTTTGTCTGGATCACGACTGATGTATGAAAGGGCAACGGGGTGAACATATCCTCGTGCATGAATATCAAATAGTGTCAAATGGTGTGTCTAAAGCAGTTTTAGAAATTTATATATAAATAGGTAAAAAAAAAAATCAAGCTTACAAAGGCATAGAATCTTTGGTCGACATCTGTTGAATATACTTGAGTATCGTCTGGTATAGAGAACATACAACCAGTGTCGGTGGATTCAGAATCAAATAAGAATGCGGCTTCGTCTTGACTATGTAATAAGATCATAGTAATAGTGTTATTGTTGTTGTCTTTGTCGTTATTATAGTTTGTTTTTTTTTTCTACATCACATGGTGACCCTTACATGTCATCCACACCTCGGTCGATTGATACTACTCGGAGTGCAAATGCATGGAAATCGAAATGGGAAAGTCCAAGAGCACTGAGATGGTCATTCAGACCTGGTGAGATTGCTTCATTAGATGTTGTCTTTGCATAGCCATGCTTCAAATCGAGGTATGTAGACTCTGCTACAACTGCAAGCGGAAGAGGACCTTCAAGCTCCGAAAACTCACTAATCAAGACAAAGTCTCGATAGTCATGAGAGGAATCTGAGAGAACTTGATTACTCCACCAGCAATTGAGGTTTGCGTCTGGACTAGAAGGAGGTCTATAATGCCAATAAGAAGTATTGTTAATAATGGTAAATAGTTAAATACACTGTATAGTATAGGTTGGAAAGAAGCTAGTCTACAAACAGACAGGCAGGTAAAGAGACTGATATTTGTATGTGTATGTGTATTTGTATGTGTATTTGTATATTTGTATATTTGTATGTATGTATGTATGTATGTATGTATGTATGTGTATAAATAATAAAATACAATAAGAAAGAAACTGCATTTACGGTAAAGCCTGTGCACGGTCTTCCTTCTCCTGTGCCATCATGTACAAGTTGAGAACGGAGGACAGAGGAAACAAACAAGTGCTAAACAATAGACTAGGTAACGCTTAAATACCAGTGTTCAATTCAAATAAGCCACTGATGCCTGTCCGTTCTTGATTCAATGAGACTATAACTTTAGCTTTCCAAACTATTTTTACCCCCCCCCCCCCCTCTCTCTCTCTCTCTTTCTCTCTCTCTTTCTCCCTCTCTTTCTCCCTCCATCTCTCTAAATGCTATGATTATTCAACTCAACAATTCAACTCAACCCAAATCTACTTGTTCATTCTTAGCCGACAATTATTATTAAGAAGAAAAAGAAGTCAAAGGCCTTTGCACATAAATATATTAGCCTCTTCTTGTACTTTATCACAGCCTCTTTATTACCATTATTATAATGATACTGTTAATGATAATTTTGATATATGATATATGATTTGGGGTAGCACAAACAGGTCGATACAATGCATAGTAAAAGTTGATTATTTTGGATTTTTTTTGTTATTTTGATTTTTGGGCTGACGCATGACTCTTTGTATGCAATAATTGATGGGCAACATTAGTAGCTGCATGGCCTAGTTGTTGACGTAGTACCTCAGCTCGCTCGTCCACATCCTTTTCCGCCCAGACTAGCCACGGCCGAACAATTTGTCCATACAATAATTCAGCTCCCTTTAATATAATATGAAATATTATGGTAAGTTTAATGCAACTTAGCTATGAATATGATTTTGATCAGTTAATAAAAGAATAACAGAAACTTACTCCAAACCATGGCATTGTTAGCCAAATAAAGAACACAAGTTTGAGTAATGAATAGAACGGAACCCAAAACAGAATCTGGTCGACTATTGACACACCAGTGTGAATAAATGCAGTTACGGTCCAATAGATCAGCCAGCGTTTGTCATCTTTTCTGGATGGTGCCTCGAGAGCCTTAAATGAAGCATAGGCTGTACCACACACAACAACAACAACAATCCAAATATCCCCAAATACACAAAATGTATATTCAGCTTCGTGTTTATGTATTTTATTATTATCACTATTATTATTACCTGGGTATACCCATGAAAGTAAACCGATGAGAATAGACCCCGCAAAATGAGCAACGGCAAGACTCACAAGGAGACCAAGCGTTCCAATCCTCCAGTATTTTCGGTTGATCCCCGTGAGATTCTCAAGGGACTCCCAACACGAAAAGCCCTCTAGGAGACTAGTAAGATTCACAGGCACGGAGGTTGGATCCAGTACAGTCATGATAAATAAAATAAAAATTCAAATAAAGATATATATATATAAAAAGATGGAGTGAAAGAAGAAAGAGAAGAGAAAAAATTTAAGGACGTGCAGTTATTCCAAGTGCGTGAGAGTGTAAGTAGGTAAGTGGGTAAGTAGGTGGGTAGATGGGTAGGTAGGTAGATACGTCCGTGGCTGACATTCCAAGCCCTGTAACACCATGAATAAAGATAACGTGCAGGTCAAAACAAAGGGGGGGGGGGATAGAAGAGGGAAAAATATGAAAATGATACTGGTACTAATAATAAAGATGATAGTTTAATGCAGGAGATTGAAGCAGAATAGGTGGGAAAATATAAATGAGATGAAGAGGGAGGCGGGAGAGGGATGTAGACTTCCAACATTGGTTCTTTGTTTTATTATTTATTTTTGTCTTATTTATTTATTTATTTATTTATTGAAAGTACATACACGCACAAACACACGAACACACAGAACCATAAACAACTACACGCATAAGAAGGAAAGAAGGAAAGAAGGAAATAGAAATGGAACCTATGCGCGAGGTGGAACATGCGCCTTAATAAGCTCATTGTACCGTGCACTGTCGAGATGTATTCCGTGCTTACCCAGGACCTCATCAAAAAATAAGTCCTGCTCTCCCTCCGTGATATTGCCACTCACCGCAAGAGCAGCCTTGACCTCCTCTCCCCTCTCTTCTCCCACAAATCCCATATTTAGAACCTTGACCGTCTCACCAAAGCTGCCACCCCACAACAAAGGTTCCAGGTACTTGAGGACTGCCAGGCCGGTCTTGAACAGGATCACATCACCTTGTAACAGAAAAATATCCCACAGTCTGCTCGAGAGTTCTAACGGCATTATCGAGGCAAACAAGGTCATGAACCAGTCCGGTAAGTAGTTGTCAGGTGTGAGCGATAGATTTTGAAAGTGCAGGTAAAGCTTGTACATATTCTCGGCAAAGATCACATTAAAGATCTTGAAGTATCCCTTCACGCGCTGCTCATCGGACGAGTACAAGGCAGACAAGAGGTCACTTTTGTGGATCAAATTCGTCAGAGACACAAAGGTATCTTGCGCCCCCATGTTCAGTAGCAGCATTCCAGCAAGAAATGAGGCTCCACGAGGCTAAAATAAATAAATAAATAGATAGATATTTGATTAATATTCACACAAATCTCGGCTGCGCTGGCATTTTATTTTTATTTATTTATTTATTTACAAGCATATACACACACACACATATTATATATCATATATTCACAACTTACATAGTCTGACGTGTCTCTGTAACCAACATAGGCGTGAAGAACCTTTTGAAGATAACCAAATAGGGGACCATCTGGCTTTAGTGCTCCCACCCCCACAAAGAATAAATCAAAAAAGAAAAAACTAATAAGTACGTCTCTTCCAACAACAGCATATAAGATCAAAAATCAATGGCCTTACCTGAAATACACAAAGACTGGGCAATGTACGAAGAATATCTTCATCAATTGTCTTGTTGAGATAATTCATTGCTCCTCTATCGTCTTCGACTTCTTCATCTCCAGTCTCACTGTCCTCCTCACTGTCTTCATCCTCGGCTTGTTGTTGCTGCTGCTGCTGCTGCTGTTGCTGTTGCCGTGAATCCTCTCCGGGTCTCACATCAGAGTCACTGTCATTGGCATCATATCTGGAGGCCGAAGAACCCTCCGAGAGATCAATTGCCTGCCTTCCCTCTGTGTATTCTTCTTCTCCTCCGTCTCTACCTCTTTCTCTCTCTACTTCCCAATCCCGATCCCGATCCCGTTCCCGTTCTGCTTCTTGTCTGTACTCCCGGGTGTCTGGCTCATCCTCCTCTGTACTCGCCATCCCATTACTTCGATCCTCCTCCTCTTGACTTTCGGCCGGAACCGAAGACTGATGACTATGGAAGCTTTCTCTGGAGGCCTGCCTTCCATCTTCATCTTCGTGTAGTACATTCAAGCTGCTGGTCCGTCTCCTTCCCAGTCTGTAGATCGGCGTTTCGGTCGAGTGGTCGTCTTTTTCATAGTCGTCTGTCCGGCTTTCATAAGACGCGCTGGCGATTCGTTTCCGTATCGTGGCCGGGGATTCGGGGTTTTTCTTCTTGTCTTTGTGCCATGGCCGAGACGCCAAAGGAACACGTCTCAAGGACTGAACGAATGTATCTTGATCGACCAGTAAGATTAGTAAAATATAAAATATAAAACAGATTTATATCTTGACTCTCACATACACATACACACCTTTTGAAAGATTAAGATTGTTTCCAATCGAGAGAAGCCAAACCTTCCGCCTACAACGTGGTGGAACACCCTGAATCCAGAGCTCTTGGGTCTTTCGTTCTTTGATTCTTATAGAATGTTAATAATAGTGGAGATACATCAATAAATATCAACCCCCTCCTCTCTCTCTCTCTATGTATATGTATATATATGTATATATATATCCCTTTTGCTTCATTCTTACTTTGAAGACCAATGAGGGAATATATCTGCTTCCCAGGTCTGAACTGCCAGAGACATCTTTTTGTCTTTTTCTTCCCTTCTACGATCATTCTCCTTTTGCTTCTTTGCCTCTGGAAATTATATATATATATATATAAACATATACAAATATACCGACACACAGGCACAGATATATATGTGGTCATAATCACAACAGACGCAAACAAGAACAGTAAAAGAATAGATCAGTTTTTTTTGTTTGTTTGGTAATTTTTTTTATTATGATTATGATTATGATTATTACGATTATAAACGTCGTTACGATCATTCTTATGATTACTGCTATTGTTATGGCTATTATTGCGCTATATATATATATATTTATACTATATAGTTTATGATCTATAATAGCTATAATATAATATATTTGTGTGCCTACAAAACTCACCCAACTTTCGTGCTTTTTTCATCATTGCTTCATGTTCTTGCAGGTGCTTTTTCTCTTCAGTCTTATTCTTGGGTGGAAGCATTCTAAATAGTTTTTTTTTTAAAAATATTGTATTGAGTTAAAATAAGAAGAAGAAAAGTTGCGTTTTGTAGATAGATAAAAACAGGAATATATGATTTTTTTAAAATAATATATATATAATTACCTTGGACGGGTCTTTGATATTACTGTATCCAAAGGAGATGGTTTTGTATTTGCACTCTTGCGACCAAAAATGCTTGTACTAAAAATCCATACCCAAATCAACACACATAATACAACATATACCATATAAAATTACATCGCCATTAATGCCATTAATACCATTATTATTATCGTTTTATTAAACAATAATAATAGTTATAATTATAATAGTACATAAATTAATAACGGACTCGCAACCGCGCTTACCTTGTACGCCGTTGCAATCCCTGCCCCGAAGATCCACCAGACTTAACCACTACTTCAGCCTCATACACGTTTCGTCTTGCACCTCTTTGTGCCTGTCCGGGTTCATTATGAGCAAGTGTTTCGGTTTTGTTGGACATTGAATGACCATTAGATGATTGAGCAGAGGTGTCATCCAAAACATCAGAGATTGAATAAAACGGCCCAACGATATCTGACGGTGTTATAGCACTCCCGGATCTTCCCATGCGAGATTCCGAGAAGGTACCTGTACGTCGTGGGATAAATTTGAGAAGCTTAGAGCCACCACTACTTGAGGGCTGGATCGATTGCTGTGAACTATCACGTGGGAGGTCGAGCGAGACCTCTTCAAAGAATTGGTCGTAACGAGATATCTGTCTTGCATCTGCATTGTTGGTGGTGGTACTATTGATGTTGCTGTTGCTATTGGTGTTGCTATTTATATTGATGTTGTTTGTGGAGGTAGAGGTAGAGGAGGATGAGATTGTGTTTGTGTTTGTGGTGTTGGATGTGATTGTTGAACCGGTGTATTTGGGATGAGGGGATCGAAGCGGAAGAGAGGTAGCAAGATGATTATTGCCAGTAGGTTCCGATAACTCATCTAACATCCGGTCAGCAGTCAGAGGTGCCAGATCGTGTTCTGGGTTTATATGTGGACTAGGTAGTGGCGGGAGAGTTCTTTTGGTATGGTCGGCTAAGGTAGGTGACAACGAGACATTGCTGAATGTTTGGGTGAGATTAACTGTGGCCGGCGCAGTGTCAGAAGCATCAATGTCAAGGTCAACGAAGCTTGTGTCATCACCAAGGCTTATCATTATTTGCCTAGTAATAATAATAATAATAGTATTCTTCTTTCGTTTTGGTAATAAAATAAAATAATAAAAAAAGTCAAACAAGTATATAGGTATGGGTGGTATTCATGGAGTTTTCTTTCTATCGTTATTCTTCTTATTATTGTTACTATTATTGCTTATATAAATAAAATAAAAGGGGGGGAATAATAGATGGACAGAGAAGGAGAGAGGGGATAAAGAGAGCGAAAGAAAAGAAAAGACAGGAAGAAATAGAGAGGAGTAACCGTTACTTAATTTCAATATGGTACGATGGACTCACACAGTCACAGGAGCATATTGTATTTTTAACAAAAAATATATATATATATATATGGATTTTGCTATATTTCTCTCTTATTCTTATTTTATTGCTTTTACTTCAAGAGTGCGTACACAATACACACTCAATAACTTGCTTATTCAGCTACTCAATTAAAAGATATATTGAGATAAAGAGAGAAATTAGCAAAGAATTGTACCTGAATTTTCCAATGTCTATTAGAATAATATCCAAACAAAATTAGCCCAAAATAAAGGAATAAAAGAAAATATGGGTTGATACTTAGCTAAAAGCTAAATGGAAATGTATGCGGGAAATGGTGCTAGTATGCGTCACACTAGACAGAAAGTTGAAGAAGAAATCACGTAAAATAAGAATAATTTTAATAGTGAAGTAGAGAAAATAAAGGGGGTGGGATTCAGATTATTTCCAAGATTTATTTGTGGACCAATGCAAAATAAGAAGAAAGAGATAGATAGAGAGGGATGGACAAGATGGATATTGTTGTTGTTATCAGTAATATAGTGTATATATACCTAAATTGATAATACAAATAGTAATAGCTGATAATCGATTATCAATAATTAATAATTAATAATAGTGTTTCTACTTGAGATTGAGATGAATTAGGAAATATTTTAGGCGAATCAAAATGTAACTTTAGACGATATGATTACCTTTTGTGGACGGAACGAGAATGAAATTTAGACAAAGAGAAATTAATTTTTAGATAAATGTCGTCTCCCTAGGATTAGCGTTTTATTTTATTTTCCTTTCATGACAATGCTTATTTATTTATTTACTAGTGAACAAGGAAGAAAAACGGAAAAGAAAACGATCGTTCGACAAAGCTGTTCTTTTTGCCTTACAAGAACAACATCTACCCAAGAAAAAAGCTTTTCTCATAACTGATTTGTATGATGTTGCTTCGGTTGCGCTGACTGATCCCCGTAGTATGGAAACCGGTTTTCTCATATCACCAACTTTACCAAATCAACTTCGAGAATCGTGGAACACCCTCCATTTAAAGTTTCCTTACCGACAAAATAATTACCAACAACACCACCAGCCATGGCAAAGGATATCAACGATCTTGCATCAAATGGGGTGATCAAAAAACTTATCAGCAAATGACAATACAATTTAATTATTGAAGAAATCTCAGAACAATTGAATTATGATTAGTAAGTTTGTCCGCATTATCGATACGTTGCAGAAAAAGCTTTGAGCGGTTTCGTGATTTTGAATCCCATTAAGAAGCAAGGTTTGTAGATCAATTCTATGGAGGTATATTGGCGCATCCTTGATGTTGAATCTTATCCTAAACCCAGAAATCTTCTTGCGCGTTTGTCATCTTTGCCTTCTATACACGGTACAGAACACAGTGGCATTTGGGCGAAAACGTTCTATCAAGCTAATAAAAACCATACTTCTTGTAAACTTCTAATTGCTATGAATACTTTCAATTCTCTTGTTACCTCTTCAACGTGCATTGATATTAACACCCAACCGGGATGTGGGCACAACACCCACCACTTTATGTTGAAAGTCACAGCTGAAAATTCCCGTATTCTTTTGGATAAAAAATCATTCGACGAGGCGCTGCGAATTGCTGACAAACCTGAAGCCAAAAATATTGATCCTTATTATGAAATTGGACAACTGCGACAGATCAGGACCAAATTTGACGCGCTTCTCACCTATTCAGCTTCAAGGGCATCGCTTCTTTTCCGCTATCGATTATGGCTTTGGAAGTGATCAAATACAAAGATCAAGCTACATTGAACAGAGAAGAAATCGACCGACTACATGATGCCATCCAAAACTGCAAAGTTAAAGATGAATTGAAAAAAAAAACATTCTAAAACTTTACCCAAAACATTATTCCAACATTCAAATCATAGAAAATATTGACTTAGGCAGTAATGCAGGAAACTTGGCTGGAATACCGTCTTTTGATCTTCCAAAACATAACAAGAAAACAATCGTACCTGACATCCTAGATTACCTTCAGATAGCATGATTTTAAAAAAATCTTCCTCTTGTAAGTATTGCTTTGTCTTACTACTCATCCAGATGATCTATCTGACTTACACTTATTCGTGTTGTTCATTTGATTTACCTGATATTCTTTATATAGTTGCTTTATTGTCTCACAATATTTTCCTCCCTGCGTATATTAATAAATTCACTCAACTTCTTAATATCAATTTGTCATATTTTATCAAATAAATGCATGCAACAATCCAGTGTTTGTCTTATAAAATTTTAGTAAAATTGTGAAATTGTGAAATGAAGAAAGCAACTATCGTGAACCCAATTTTTTTCCTTGAGTTAATATTATTTTCTTAAGATGGTCATTTTGATTCCTGTAACAGTGATGAAATGGTAGAGATCCACTAAATGAAAACTCGATTGCCACGTTCGAAAATAAATAAAAAGTAGAACAAAATAAAGTAAAATAAAGTAGCAAAGCCAAATAAACTTCTTTCTTGTTTTACCTATGTCCAACACGAGTCAACAGTATTGTTCAAATAATATGAATGATCAATGTATGTATTTGCCAAGTATTACCCTTCTTTGATAAGAGAAATGATGCCATATACGGCTTTAAAATCAGGCGATGAAGGTTCTAAAGGAAATATGGCTGTGGGGTCTTGGTAAAATGCCGGTTTTTTTTTCTTTTTTTTTTCTTTAGATTTTACAGTCTCTCCTTGTTGAGACACTAACCAAAGCATTTGGCAGAATGAGAAACAAAACCTTTGAAATTACTTATATATAAGCTATCACACGCCTCACTGATTCTAGTCATTAGTGTTTCTTTTTCCAGAAACTTATGCCGCTTCAATTTACTCTTGACAATAGACCAAAACTACTCAATTGGGTTCAATTCAGGAGAATACGGAGGAAGATACACATATTGATATCCTCGTGACTGGGTATACTTTCCTATATCAGCTGAGTTATGGATAGGAGCACTATCCATGACAAGATAATTTCCATTCATTTCTGGGTACTTGTCCATTTCATCAAGAGTAGCCTTTAAAAAGTTCGAGTAATGACCTCTAACTGTTCCTGTGTTATAACCAACAGTTTGACGTCCAAGTTTTCTTTTTTTATACGCTTTGGAACTCTTAAACTAACATTAATCAAGCCAGTAACTGATATTGCACTTAAAATCGATGTTGTGTTAGCTTTCATTGTAGGCACTGTAACTATTGCAGGAGTTCCCTTTTTTGACCAAGCCATACCTCGTTTCAAATTGATGTGAAAGACTGACTTGTCAAGAAAAACGCAGTTTGTTGTGAAATTAAGGTCAGTCTCTTGCCACTTTTGAACCCAATCGTACCTTTGCTGAATCTTTTCTTTGATGTTTCTTTACACAGGTTGGGGCTGTGCCTGTTTAATAGATAGATTGCACTGAATTGTCATGAAGTTATAAACAGTACAACAAGAAACATTGATATATCCAAAGTTTTGTAATAAACATTCAACTACTTCAGTTAAAACAGCAGAAGGATTCTCATCAATGTAACGCAAAAGAAAAATCATTATGCTCATCTCCAAGAATACGACGTCGCCCTGACTTTTTCTTTTTCTTTTTTCTTCAAAAATGCTTTCGGGATCTTCATAATAGCCTTTGATCCATCTCTGATCTACACGAATATGAATACCTCATTTTCTTGCGGTAGCAAAAGCACTTAAGCGTTTGCTAAGAAAAATAAGTGAAAAAATCACGTTTTCTTATCAGAGTAAAATTTATAATGTCTCCGGTTACATAACTCCACATCAACATTGTTCGTTTCATCCAAAACTGGATGCATTACGTGATTGGAATCTCTTTCCGGATGTTTAATCATCAGGAATTGAGTACGAGAACTTATTGTTTGGATAGCGAATAGCTACTCATCAACGACCAGATCCATTGGCTCAAATCCATGCTCATCAACAGCATGTCCTTGTCCATCTTCATAAATAAATCTTAGACTCATTTTGAATGTATGTAAAATAAGCTGTAATTAAGAAAGATCAACGGGCCGAAAAATACAGAAGCTCCCCTTTTCATAAAAATAAAATACCAACAAATTTTTATTGGACAATTCCTAAGCGACAAGCAAAAATAAACGAAGCCCATATCATGGATCACGACTTCATCGCTGGATCAACTGACATCATTTGTTGGACAGAAAAATTTTTGCACGACATCCAATTCTGAAGCAACGATTTTACTTTCTGAAATGACTATACACTCTTTCTGGACATTAGTGGCGCAAAAATAAAAATAAATTTTGGTGCAATTTTCTTCAATTTCTCTGCTTAATTCATCTTTTTTTAGTGCATTTGGTGCATTCCATTTTTGCACCAATAATTTCCGGAAAAAGTGTATATCATATATATATATATGTATGTATTTTCTTTATTGAATAACTATAGCTATATCCATAGCTGTAGCTGTAGTAATAGTAATAGTAATAGAATAAAGTCAATTAGATTCAATTCAACCGAGTACTAAAATAATAGAACTAATAACTAAAATGGCTTTTTGTTTTGTTTTTGTTTTTACTATATGAAATAAGAATATTGCTAATAACAATTCGAGCCTTTCTTATGTTATACTATACTATATTGTACAGTAGATTTTATTTTATATTTTTATTTTATTCCTAATGAAGCCCAATCCATGACATAAAGTATATTAATTACAGGTCAAATCTCTTTAATATAATCTTTTGAGTCTATTTTGACAAATGCCTCGAATGCCTTTTTACTTGACAATCAATGTATGACTTTTTCCTCTTCGATGAACCCATGTCCTTGAAGGCAAAAAGAGCAATAGACATATAACTACTTTGAAAGAAGTACAAAGAAAACTAAAGCCCATTAATCAAAATCATAATCGCTTTATATTATATTACATACATTTTCCTTTAAAAGATAAAGAAAATAGTATCAAAAATAGATTATATTTTGCATTTTGAATTTTTATATAGATATACATTACATTACATTACATTACATTAAATACACATTTATAGATATTATAATAGGGCATTCCACAATATCGTCCTTTGTAACCCTCATACCAAGTCATCATGGCTGGCATTCTTTTGGCTAATTGCTTATATCTCTATATGTACCATGTATCATTATTGCACTCCAATTAAGCACCCACTCTAAATATATATATATATATAAATTATAAGATACTCTATAATTATAAGTTCTATTTCTATATCCTTCTTTGGTTGTTGCTGATGATGATGATAATAGTGCCTTTGTTGATTATATCAATTGTCAGATCTTCTCCTTTTTAATCTCTTCCCCTTCCTCTCGAGCCCTCTGCCTAGTGTTTTCCTAAGCACTAAAAGAAGAAACATTCGTTGTACAGCCACTTGAACATCCCCTCTCTCTCTCTCTCCCTCTTTTTGATATATAATATATAGAAGGAGTTAGAGTAATATTACATACATAATTGACAGATAATATAATCAAAATTATACTCGTCAGTCAATACAAAAGAGATATAAAAAAATATAAAGTATAGTAAAAAAAAATAAGCTGCTCATCAAGATTTCCGGAAGCTTTAAATTCAAACAAATTTATTACATGTGAAGGTAGGACACCGGAGTCTAATTTTACTTTGGCTGGAACAATCTCGCAATGATCACCCCTATTCACATTTCATATTCGACCCACAGACAAGATATTTACACACACTTGCACACAAACACTTACACACACATTTACACTTTGCTCCCTTTTCTTTCTTTCTTTCTCTCTTTTCTCTTTATCCACTCTCTTTCACTCTTACCTCTTACTCTTCTTACCCTTTTCTACCCTACCCTTTATCTTTTCTGTACGGGTTCTAACGGTCCTTGACTCTCATTCCGATCAAGCTTTACCTTCTCACTCTCCATTCCACTTTCATCCTAACCTCATCATCTTCCCCAGACAATCCTCCTGAGCACATCTAGACCCCTTGATTCCAAGGAACTCGCCCGACTCAATATAATAATAATACACAAAAAGAAAGAACAAAACAAAACAAAACAAAACAAAACAAGAAAGAAAGAAAGAAAGAAAGAAAGAAAATTTATATCCATACACATATAAAAAGAAAAGAAAAGAAAAAAAAGATACCCTTTTTTTCTTTTTTTTATAATCCTTTTGGACATCACGCCCAATTAAGTGTCAGTAACGACAAAGAGATTTTGCTGCCTAGTTCAGCAACATTACATTACACATCCAGACGAGGCTCATGCCATCGTCCACCTTGACTGACTCCCATACCTCAGAGTCCTGGCTCCACATGCAACAGCAGAGCCATGGAATGCCACATACAACAACCGATCGCACCACTCGTCTTCTAGCCGCCAGACGAGCTAGTCGGGCCACGGCCGAACAAGACACTCGTTTTGCCCGCTCCACCGCCAGCAGTCGTTCTCGTCTCACGGCCGAAGACGAAATAAAACTCGAGTCAAAGACGACTCGCAAGGAAGATGCCGGTATGAGCCGAGCCGGAATTTTCGAAGCCTTTGCAGAAGCCGAAAAGAACCTTAGTGGCGGTGAACCACAGTGGCCAGATAAACGACAATCGGCTCCACAACCACAACCGACAACTCGTGCCACTGCTACTGCTACTGCTACTGCTATTACTACCGCTAATGCTAATACCAATACCAATCTCAATAGTAATAGCTACCATCAACGAAAGATGTCGCTGGCCGACAATGAGAATCGCACAAGTGTACCTATCACACTTCGACGTAAAAGTACCATCGAACCCAAGTCGTCCACTCGCCGATCCCAATTGACAGCAGACAACAGTACACCCGAAACAAGAATAAATGGCAGGGTTAGCTCAATGAATGCCATGGCCATGCGTCGCAAAAGCACAGCAGTGACGAATGATGATTCGCCTGCACAATCCCCACGGGTCCGTGCACTTAATACCAAAAAGTCAAGCGAAAGTCTGCCATCCAGACCAAGTCCGATAAAGTCTGTAATCACTCGCCGACGATCTACAGTTGTAGCTGCCATGGCCAACGAACAGCAAAAAGTAGCCGATCTTAATGCAACCACAGACTATGAAAGGCAACAACAACGACGAGCAGCAGCATCAGCAGAAAATAATAACAACAGTGCTGTTGACGTTATGTCTCCCCGACAACGCCCACAAACAACGCGTATGTCTCTAACTGAACGTAATTCCCAAGGCACACCCTCAGGGTCACTTGCCAATGCCTTCAAGGACACAATTACTATCAAACGTACAACTGCTAAACACGACCCAGGATTATATCCAGATACCCATCGTCGCAAGTCGTACGTAACTAATACCAACCAATCCGATCTCTTGTCTGTTGACACGGCTCGTTCAGGATTACGCGATCTCGATGATCGTCGCAAGAGTGTGGCATGCCGGCAAGATCTTACCACAGCCGAGCGTCTCGGAATCGACAAGCGACGGATGAGCCTGGGAAACCGCAAGATCAAAGAGGTTGAGGCTGCAGCAGCGGGGTCAGGAGCAGCAGCAACGGCAGCAGCAGCAGGAGCTTCTGCTGCACGCGAACCCCGTCGTCGTACACTCTCCACAAATACATCTCCTGCTGGTACAGAGGCTGAAAACAATCGCCGCAAATCTGTCATCAGTTCTCGTGCAACTCCTAATCCCAATAACAACAACAACAACAACAACAACAACAACAACAACAATACTAATGCTAATACCAACAGTAACGGTAATTTACTGCATGGCCGTGCGTCTACTCTTGCAAATCGCCGGCGGTCTGTTGTGCGGTCACGAAAAAGCAGTGCTGGATCTTCAACAGCAGAAGACGACCATGAACCTTCAGCTTCGCGTTCGTCTCGCCCAAGAGCAGTATTGGAGTGCAAGGCTCAGCGAAGTAGAGCAAGTTCTTCTAGTTCAGGAGGACCACTTGGAGGATCAGGCGACGAAGAAGCCAAGAAGACTCTGAGTACCAGAACAAGCAAGGCCTCACTTAATCTTAACAACAGCACTAATAACAGTAACGGCGGTAGTGGAGGAGCGGGTTCAAAGGTTTCAAATGTTGAAAATTACCATCAATCTTCCTTGAATGAAACGACAACCATAGCAATAGCAGCAGCCGCAGCATCAACAACAGCAGCAGCAGCCTATCTCCGCACAAGAAAAAAGTCGATTGTTCCTTCGGACGAGCCTGGTTATCCTAATCGTCGTATGCAACGCACCGAGAGTCTCAAGGAGGGTATTCCGACCGACTCTTCCATCAATGCTGCAATGATGGTGCGTGAGAAAAGTCAGGCCAGTCATGATGTTTTCGCCAGACGCATGTCCAGAAATGCAAAGACTCCTGTGGCTGCTACCTCTACTTACAACACAGAAGATGTCGAAGTCAAAAAGACAACTCGTGTAGTTCGAAAGCGAGGAACGGTAAGAGAATGATAAAGAAAATTTAGAATAAAAGCTTGCACCAACTACACACACACACACATGCATATATGCATACACATACTAATTTATTTTATTATTTTATTATTTTTAAAACAGACACTGCCAGGAAGTCTGGCAAAACCTCCACAGCTGCCAAGTGTGCAGTTGCCACCCATGAATGTTCAACCCATTAAGATCAACATGCCCAAGCCAGCACCAGAAAAGAAGACCAAGTCTCCTATGGTCCGACCAGTAAATACTGCTACTCCAAAGGCTCGCAAGTACTCTATGTCTCGTCCAATCACTCAAGAAGACGTGAACAACAACAACAACAATAGCAATAATGGAAACAGTAGTGAGGAAGAGGCTACGATTGCTGCAAATATTGCTGCAAGAACGCGTCGTTCCAAGGGACAAAGTTCGCTTGGATTACCGTCCGAACGCCGCGGGTCGATCAAGACCCCGCGTGTTACTCCAGGATCGCCCAAGGCCCAGCCCCTTGCGACCCGCAGACAGAGTACGGCCAATGTGTCCAACGTCGACATGGTTCGGCTCACCCAGCGCAAGTCTTCTGTTTCCCTGGCCTCCAAGTCCACGGACGACAGTCTGCTGTTGAATTCAGGATACAAATCTGCTGCCGGAACTGCTTCTGCTACAACCGAGTCTACTTACACACCCAACCTTGGTCCAGCCGTGACAACAGGTTCATCCCGGCCACGCAAGCAAAGCGTCGGCACATCTGTGCGCAGTGGATCTATCCACGTCATCAGCCGCAAGAACTCTATGGCTGACGATAGCTTTGTAGATAGCAATACTAACATCAATAGCAATATCAACAAGTCGATCGCGGCCGTAGCAGACCAGAATCGTAACTTTAGTCTAAAAGAGAAGTTGGAAGATATGGTTGCCCAGCACGCAATCCGGGATGATCTTCCTACGACTAGCTACATGGACGAGAGCCACTATCTTGCAGCTCGCCAGACCCGCCGTTCAATTCCTTATGATGTCGAAGCCGAACTTAGCCATCGCAAGATGTTTGGAGATCCAGTAAAAAACAACGCTGGTGCTACTACAATAATTACTGCAGCTCAGACCACAACAACGACCACAAATGGAACTGGAACTCCAACATCAACATCACCTACGGCATTGACAAATAACAATATGAATACTAATGCAACAAATGCAATGGGCTTCAAGATTGCCCTTGACTTTTATGGAAAGTATCTCACGCCATTTGAACGCAGTGAGATACGTGACTTCCCTACCGTGTACTTTGTCGGACCTCACGCCGAAAAGGTTCAGGCCAGCCCGGAGCAGTCTAACTTTAACTATGGCTATGACGATGAACGTGGTGACTACAAGATTACTATGAAGGACCATCTATCATATCGCTATGAGGTTCTTCAGGAACTGGGTCGTGGTTCGTTTGGCCAGGTCGTTAAATGTTTTGATCACAAGACCGGTCTCACTGTGGCCATCAAATTGATTCGCAACAAGAAACGATTCCATGCACAGGCCCTGACTGAGGTCAAAATTCTGAAGAATTTGGTTGATTGGGTAAAGTATATATTTTGTGCTGTGTAGTGCGTATTGTGTAGTGCGTAATTTATTTTCTTTTTTGAAATAATGATAAGCATGGCTCTATAAAACATACTCATTACTTTATTTTTATTTGAAAAAAAGGATCCTGAAGACAAGCATCACAATGTTCGGATGACAGACTCATTTTACTTTCGAGGACATTTGTGTATTGCTACCGAGTGTCTCAATATCAATTTGTACGAGTTTATCAAGTCCCACAACTTCAAGGGATTCAAGGTACCGCTCATCAGAAGGTAAAGCTTATTTATTTATTTATTTATTAGTACAGTGCTCTTTGTTATTACTGTTAACTTATCTGTGTATTGCTTAGATTTACTATTCAGATTTTGCAATCTCTTAGTCTATTGTCTCAACACGGTGTTGTGCATTGTGATCTCAAACCAGAAGTAAGAAATTGATTTTATTAAAGTATTTATTTATTTATTAACTAACCAAACCAAACCAAACCAAACCAATGATTTAATTTAATATGAAAATCATTCTATTCATTGTACAGAATATTCTACTGAAGCACCCCCAAAAGAGCACCATTAAAGTCATTGATTTTGGTAGCAGTTGCCTCGAAAATGAACGGGGTAAGTTAAATTTTCTTTAAATATAAAAATTAGACGATCTTGTGTACCAAGAAAGAACGAAGGAAAGATAGAAAATGAATTGAACGATTGAGCACAAAGACTCATATACAGAATGTACATGTGTAATATACGTATTCTCATATTTTCGCTTTCTCTACCTCTCCTTTTGTGTACGTGTGCGTCTTTAGTGTACACTTACATTCAGAGTCGCTTCTATCGTTCACCTGAGATTATTCTAGGTAAGAAAATAAATGAAAATGAAAATGAAAATGAAAACTTTTACTTTACTTTTGCATGTCTTGGCATTCAAGGCTTGTAACTATAATCATAAGTATAATCATAATAATAATCGTATTGTTTGTATTTATTTTTTTAATGCATGACCACTACTTATTATAGGAATGAACTACAATATGGCAATTGATATGTGGAGTGTAGGATGTATTTTGGCTGAACTCTTTACAGGTAAATTGAATTATAAGAATAATCCAATAATTTAATTACTATATTCATTATAACTCACAAATACCAACACCAACAACACCAACACAAAGGTCAACCTCTTTTCCCCGGTGAGAACGAACAAGAACAACTTGCTTGTATTATGGAAATCCTCGGTACCCCCAGTCGCTACCTTATTGAGCAAAGCGCACGCAGAAAACTCTTTTTTGGTAAGCAAAACTAAAATACACACACACAAAGTATAGCTTTATTTTATAATCATCAGCATCAGCATCAACATCATCAAAACATTATCCATAAAGTCAAAATGAGCTTTCAATTCCTTTCTTTTCCTTCTCTATGTATGTATGTGTGTGTATGTGTTTATTGGTGTTAAAAGAGAGGTGGAAATGGAGAACTGGGTGGCTAGCTGAAATGAGCCAAACCTCTATTTTACTCTCTTTTCCTCTTATTTTATTGTCTCACAAGGCACTTATTGATGACACACACAAGCACACACACACACACACACACGATATACACATTTTCTCTTTTAATTCCTTATATGAAGCTTTGTATTCTAAACAAGTGTGTATATTCTTATTTTTTTTAATAGATTCAACTGGAGCCCCACGCATTGTACCTAACTCAAGAGGACGGAAGCGTCAACCGAGCGCACTTTCCTTACACAAGGTGTTGCGTTGCAATGATCCTGCGTTCCTTGATTTTGTTGAGAGATGCCTCGAATGGGATCCCCAGAAACGCCCCACACCAGATGAAGCACTCTTGCATGAATGGATCGTTCCAAAGGTTACTCCCAAACCACCGCCGGTTGTAGCCAGCTCCAGAGGCTTTTCTGCAGAAGAATACAACTCTATTGCCATGCGAACCATGTCTCCACCAGCCGGAATCCCAAAGACAAGCGCAACCGGATATCTGTATACACTGAGGAAAAATTCGTTTATGGTAGATACTGATCGTATACTGTAAAACCAGCCATTTTCTCTCCTTCCTGTCTTTATTATTGTCATCTCCCTTCCTCAGTTCAGTTCAATCGGTCAGTCCTGAGTACGGTTCTACCCTGTCCTGTCTGCCTTGTTTTTATTATTCTCTATTTTAAATGTAAGTTATTATCATTCTCTTCTTCGTATTTTGGTTATATTGTAATTTATATATAGTATATAAAACAACAATAGTTTACTGTGTTAATATGTAATTGTTATACTTGATACTCTTTCTTACTTCTTTGCTTTACATTTATATATATTACATTTTTTTTATCATCCAGATCTTTCCTCCTTATCCTCCCTTATATTTTGCTGTAATCTTTTTCTATTTTGCATCCAAAACTCTCGTCTTCTCAGTTCTATTTTTTTTACAACCATGCTTTGTGTATACGTTCAATGGACCCCATATCTCCTCTTCCTCTACCACTTTTCCTCTTTTCCTTCTCCTTTTCCTTCTTCCGTCTCAGTATTTACAAGTCCCTCTGTACAAAAGAAAAGGCTCGAACCAAATTTAGTTTTGTTTTCTCTCTCTTTATCTATCTCCATCTCTTTCATACAAAACATGAGCTGTTAAAAAAATGTAGCATTAGTTGCCAAGCAACCGTTTCTTTATATATATATATACCAAAGCGATAGGAAGTATAGTGACTCAAAGCAAACAATATATATATATATATACACTCCCAAAACTGAAATCACCGACAAAATCTTTGATTTCTACCCCCGAATAAACCATACATCAACTTCATTATGCTATATCTTCTCAAGAAGTTGACAAAATAAAACCAAACATTGTGTTGTTATAGAGAAATGTATATATATTATAGAATAAAAATAAAAAAATGAGGTTTAATATACGGTATGATCACCACGAGCTTTTATGACTGCTTTAACTCTGTCAGGCATACTTGCCACAAGAGTTTGCAGAACTCCAGGGTCAAGCAACTCCCATTCCTGAAGAATACAGGCCTTCAGCTCTTGTACATTGTTAATAGAGGCCTTTCTCTCTTGAACCTTGGCCTTTAGGGCATGTCAGACATGCTCAATTGGGTTCAAATCTGGACTTTGCGACGGCCAGTAGTCAAATCGTTTAATCTCCCAACGGTTTTTCCACCACGTCGTGTAGGACCCAGTATGACAGCTAGCACCATCTTCTTGGAATGTGAACATGGTGTCATGTTCTTCATTCAATTGTTTGTACCAGGGATTGAAGTCCTTAGACAGACAATTGACGTATGCATCTTGGTCTACAGATCCTTCGATAAACGATAATGGCCCAATGCCACCAGCCCAGAAACAACCCCATACCATCACGGAACCTTTTCCATACTTTTCTGTTGTTAGTGTATGGCGTTCCTGGTGCCTCTCCCCTCGTTTACGAATTACGGATGGGTCAGAATCATTGCCTTTCACCATGAACCTCGACTCATCTGACCACACCACTCTGCTCCAGTCTTCGATGCTAAAACTGGCCCTAGCTCTAGCCCAACGCAACCGATTCTTTTTCTGCTCACGGGTTAACTTTGGTTTAGATACAGGGGTGTAAGAACCGAAGCCTTTTGCTCGTAGGTATTGGATAACTGTCTGTCTACAGACAATAACGCCAGCAGCTCCCAAATTTGCCTGGTGGTATCCATAACTCTCAAAAGGATTACGTCTCACACTCAAACAAAGACTTGTAACGTCTGTTACACTAAGTTTCTTTGGTCTCCCAGGTCTGGTCTTTGTCTTGGCTGTTCCAGTAGTCTCCCAGCGCTTTATTGTATCGAAAACTGTAGTTCTAGGAATGTTCATACGGTTTGCGATGTCAGTTGGAGTATGATCGGCTTTTGAGAGCCAAACAATGCCTCCACGCTCAAAATCTGACAGCTCGCGTCTGGAGGGAGTAGTTTTAATTCTTTTATTACTTTTCGACATTGGTGGTTAAGTTTGAGGTAAAGGTGTGAGGAAGAGAAAGGTAAAGAATGTTATAAAAAAAGCAGCATGAAAAATGTGGTTCATCGATGATTTTTATTGTCGGAGTGTATTACTATTATTATTATTTTGAATGGTTTACAAGGTACGCACTTCTTCTTCTTCGCTGATTCATTAAACGGAAAGACGGCAAGACGGCAAGAGCTTTCCTTTTCTGATAGTTACACGATGTACCTTTTTTATACTTTTTATTTTAACAAGAAAAAATATCAAAAAATATGCTCAGCTGCGCCATTTACAAACATGCAATACACACACACACACACACTTATGCTATGTATGTTTGACCTTGCAGAAACCACAGTGATATTTAAACAAAATAAAGCAAAATGACTTCAAAGTATATAGATATTGACAGGTAACAGGTACAAACATAAGCACAACTGCAAATACAGGGACTATCATTCAATCTTTCTTGCCTATAACCCTTTATACCAAAATGATACACATATGCATATTTGTGTGTAAAATGTTTGATAGATATAAAATATACTTTGCATACATATACACACATATAAATACTACTGTCAAACTCCACTTATGCACCCAATACATTCTATTAAAAGAACTAAAATAGAGGGAAAGAGAAAGAGAGAGAGAATAAGCGGTGTTGGCTTTCTCTTTGGTGAGGGAGTACAACCATTGAATTGTTGATGTCATTTTTTATTTTATTTTATTTTATGTCCAAATTCTTATTATGTTGCTAAGCAACTTGTAATAAGTCTGATTTATTTTGACTGGTCTCGTAAACACTCAACACTCAACACTCAAATACGCGTTCTTTGTTTTTCTTCTTTCTTCTCTCTTTATTTCTTTATTTCTTTCTTTCTTTTTTGCACTTTTTCTCTTTTCTTTTCTTTCGAATCAGTAACAAGAATGGCCAGAATTGAGATTCCACATGACCATCCTCCTGGGCATTATTCCCGTCGATTCTTGAGAAAAATCCGGAAATACCCAGATCAGCTTCGGTAAGTCAAGAGAAGAATAGAAAGAAGAAATGACATGCACAGAATGGTTTGCATTCAAATGACATTTGACGTGATATTTTTCTAATGCTGTATTGTATTGTATTGTATTGTATTATGCTTTATTTTATTAGTATGAAAGGATCTGTAAGAACCTAAAGACTATTTATTATTAAATTTAAAATGCGTTATATTTATATTAAAAATAAAGAAGAGGAAGAGGAAGAAGAGGAAGAAGTATAAAGAAAAATAGATATATATATATATATATATATAAAATTAATTTTAAAAAATAATAATCAAGGATTAAAATTAAAACTATATTATATTATATTATATTATGTTATGTTATATTATATATTCTTGTGTGTTTATTATTATAATGATAATAATATAGGTATTGCCAACTATCCTGCCAACAGTTATTTTGACAGCGGTCTACACACATTTGATCGCAAAGGCCTACCTTGACTGGGGCTATACGAACATTGCCATTAGTAACATTGTTAGTAAGTAATTGTATATAAAAGAGAGAAAGAAAAAGAGTTGATCAACTTCAACCTTAAATATTGATGATTTATGTTTTCTAGTTCCTGTTTTGTCGGTTGTGCTTGGTTTGTTACTTGGTTTCCGTGCCAACACTTCGTATGCTCGGTACTACGAGGGACGACAGTTGTGGCAGGATTTGAACAGCAATGTCCGCAATCTGTCACGTCTGGTGTGGTGCAGTATTCCGGAACGCACCCAAAACGACCACGAGGAGAAGAATCGGTGCATGAAGTTACTTTTGGCCTTCGCGGTTGCAACAAAGCATCATCTGCGCAAGGAGTACGGAATTGACTACTTTGATCTTGATTACCTTCTGCCTCCAAACTGGGTTCCTGCCGCAGCCAATGATATGGAACAATATGGTGATCAGCAGCAACAACAAGAAGGTGGCAGCAGTAATAATAGCAATGCTAGTGGTGAGCCAGGAACACCTTCATCCAGAACAAGAGCAATATTTTCTGACACCGTGGTTGGCACCCCTACATCCGAACGCAACATTGGACCGCTTGAGAGCAGTGGGGGTGATAATCCAAATGATCTGGCCAACAAAAAAGATCACTTTGCAGCCCAGCGCCGCAGATTTGTGTGTGACGAAGATCTGCCAGACGACAGTAGTTCGGAGATGTCCCTTCCATTAGAGATCCTCTTCCGCCTAGGACTTTATATGGCCCAGGCAAAGGAAACCAACCGAATTGACGGCGTGTTTGCCAGTAACATTATATCCCATCTCAATGCTCTCAATGACTGCCTTGCTGCCCTTGAGCGTATTGTCAGTACCCCTATTCCCAAAGCATACACCATCCATCTGTAAGTTAGAGTGGATAAGCTCTATAGACATTGGCAATTGGGGACGAAAGAATGAATGACTGGTGAATAAGGTTAATAACATAAATATATTCTTGTAGTAAACAATCCATTTTCCTTTACATGGTTGCTCTTCCTTTTACCCTTGTGTCAGCTCTGGAGTGGTGGGTGGTTCCTACCATTTTGCTGTCCTCATTCACAATGTACGGTATTGATGCCATTGGTGCCCAGATAGGTAAGATATATATATATATATATTTGTGCGTGTGTGGAATTAATCTTTATTAACCATAAACAATTTTTTTAAAAAAATAATGATAATACAGAAAACCCCTTTGGCTACAATTCCAATGATCTACCCCTAAACCAATTCTGCGACTCTTTGCGCAAAGAAATTGAATTCACAATCTACCATTTACCAAGCGAGGCCGATGAATCAGCAGCAGCAGCAGCAGCAGCAGCAAAGGCTACAGCTACAGCTACAGCTACAGCTACAGAAGAGACAGTCGAAGAGGAAGCATCTGCAGAAGAAGCAGTTACAGCAGAAGGAGAAACAGCAACTGAACATACATAATAACCTTTTCTTCTTTTTCTTGTGTTTCTTTCCTTTGTTATTATATTACATACATAAAAAAAAAGAATTTACATATAACAGGGACAAAGACTTGAGTTGAGTTGATTGACCAATTGAATTGTACGCTCTACTGCTTTCTTTCTTTTGTAACAAACTCACTCATATATCTTTAACACACACACACAAAGTGAGATATTATATACTAATATAAATTTATACAATCAGTAAACATTAGTGCACAGACAGTTGATAATAAAACCAAAAGATATATAGAAATTAATTATTTTAGCTACTACACTAAACTTACAGGCATATTGTATAATTGTACTCTGTAAAGATATAATGTAAATGTAAATTTAAAGGTTATTCTGTTTTATCTGGTTATTTTATTTTGGCTATGGATTTTTTTTTCTTTTAAAAATAAAATAAAGCAAAAGTACTCGTTACACCAAGGCCAATTTATTTATTTTTTATTTTTGATACTTTGTCGCTGTTTCGGCTTTCTTCTTCCTCGGTTCGGACCATGTATGTTACGCGTTATCTCTTGCTCTTCTTTAACATTTTTTTTTATATAATTTTAATTATTTATATCCAATATAATAAAAAGGCGAACGGACCTCAATTGGTTTCTATTGGTCCATTTGACAAGAAAGAAACAAAAAAACACACACACACAAAAAAAAGGTTCTTCTATTAGGAGTTGTGTGAGTGGACAGAGGTCATGTTCATCAAATTCCAATAATAAAAACACACACACACACACACAAAATATATAGAATGCCTTTCATTGCCCCACCCCCCCCCTCTTCTCTCTCTCTTCCATTTCCCCCCACACAGACACAGACATATATATATATATTCCACCCACTCATTTCACTTGATTTTTCATTTTCTCTCTTCCAAAACCAAATCAAGTCAAATGTCTAAAAAGTACAATGTACGCCATGACACAAGAAATTCAAGTGGATTGGTTCGGTTTCCCACTCTTCAGGTTCCCTATTCTTCCGCCTCCATCTCACCCCCCCATTTCCGATGGCGTTTTAAAAAATGTGTGTGGGTGTATTTTCTTCGTTTGTTCTTGGTTGTGCTCATCACAGGGATGTTAATAAGTAAAGTTTTGTATTGGAACTTACCCTGGAATCAAATATTATCTTTTATATATATATATAGAGAGAGAGGCCTCTTTTGGGTTATTATGTTAAACCCTAAAACATAACAAACCAAACCAAACCAAGCCCACAAGTCAGTTTTGTAAGCCCTCCCCACTACCCCCTCCATCTAAAGCCAGTCGAAGTAAACCAGGGTTTGCTATTCAGTCAAGTCACTCGAGTCACTCAAACCATTCAAATCAATTTATTCAATACCTAGATCCCATTTTACATTCAACCAAATCAATCAACCAACCAACCAACCAACCAACCAACCAGCCAACAAATATCACACACGCGCGGACCTTTCTTCTTTTATATGTATGTATTTATATACTAGACTAGACGGTTACGCCACCCGGGCCCGGGATGTTTTCCACCGATCGGTTCTCCCCGTACTTTTAGACCCCTCTTTTTTTTTCTTCCTTTCTTCCTTCGTTCTTTCTTTCTCTTTCTCTTCTTTCATTTTCATTTTCATTCTTCACCCTTCTTCTTCTTCTTCCTCTTCTTCCTCTTCTTCCTCTTTTGTGTTCTATTCATTTCAAGTCAAAATCGAGTTAATTAAATAGCCTTTACTTCAATATCAACAGCACCAACAACATCAATCAAGAGATACAAACAAACAAACAAACAAACACAAACAAAAAAAAACAAATAAATAGAACAAGAAACAAAAATGCCACCAAGTCCGCCTGGTAATAGAAAACTCACCAACCCAAGTGCAAATCGAAACCTGCTTGTCGAACGATGCTCTTCTATCCGTGCATGCGAGTCCTGCAAACGCAAGAGAAGAGTATGTAGCGGACAGCGTCCGTGTAATCACTGCACCGAGTCATCGACCGAGTGCGTCTTTACTGTCGTGTCAGAGCATCCACGGAGTGTGTTCTCGACAACCAACGCTCGTCGGTTAAGCTCCGGATCTGCGTGTGAGACATGCCGGCGCCGAAAGACAAAATGCGACGGCAGCAGCCCCTGCAGCTTCTGCTCAACAAACGGAATCGACTGTGTAAACAATTCTGAGAGGCGAAAGCGTTCCTTGGCTACATCCCAACACCATCATCAACTGCAACAGCAACAACTATTACTACAACAGCTACAACAACAACAACAACAACAACAACAACAGGGAATAAATGCCAATGGAACAGGATCAGGCACAGAAATAGGGACAGGAACAAGCACAAGCACAGGCACAGGCACAGGAGGAACAGAAGGAATAAAAGGAACAGGAGGAGGATTGGAAATTACTGGGGGTGTAGGTGGAAGTGTAGGGGCAGGGGCAGGGGCAGGGGTAGGGGACAATGAAGCCATTGACAGGATCGAGGACAGATTACGACGGATCGAGCGCCTAATGTCAGCTATCCAACCTAGCCCGCTCTCCCAAAGCATAACCTCCTTCAGCAGTGCGGCTGGCCCGACTACTCCTGACAAAGAAACCCAGACTCACGGCACTCTTTCTCTGCGTAAACTGTCTTCACCTCATCCTCCTTCTCCAACTACTACAGTACGCCAACACCGGCACACTGTCCAAGGCATCAGTGCTACCAAAGAACATGCCGAACTTCGAACCGCCTTCATTAAAGCCAAGCGTCAAAACCAAAACCAAAACCAAAATCACATACAATTACAATTACAACAATCATCATCATCTGCTGATCCTTCTTCCACACCCCCACCACTATCTCCTACTCACTCGGGTCACACCTGGTCTACTACCAGCAGCAGCAGCACTACTACTACCACTTCTGTCGCGACTCAACCTTTAACTTCCTCGATGCTCAACCTCACCCTGTCTCCATCATCTTCCACGACCTCATCAACCTCAAACTCATCTACACTCCCGCTCCCACTCCTCCTTCAGTCCATCTCTACCCCTACATCCCCGCCTTTATTTGGCCAACAACAACAACAACAACAACAACAACAACAACAACAACAACTGCAACAACGACAGCAACTGCAACAGCAACAATATCAACAACAACTGCAACAACAACTGCATCAACAGCAACAACATATACAACATAATCAAAATCAAAATCAAAATCAACGTCCCGCTTGGCCTTGTACCACAACACCTTATGGCTCTCCTCCAAGTAGCATTTCAGAATGGAAAACGACGATTCCAAGTCTGATGGGTAAGAATGATTTTTATGAACAATAACATAATAACCAACCTATATTTATTATAGACCAACTCTCCAGACGTACATTTGTCTCGACCAATCTGGATTATTCGGTTCATTATCCCATCTATCCACTCACGCCTCCATCTCACAGTTCTACAGTAGAGCCAGAGTCAACAGTCACTCCATCCTAAGAACCCAAACCCTCGTCTTTCTACTGGATTATTTACACAACTCAAACTCTCTCACTCACAGATACATTTATATAAGTTTATATACAAAATGTACATGTCATCATCATCCAAAAAAAAAATTAAAATAAATCAATTTTTGATATTCAAATTGACATTTTTAAACCACTAACCCACACTACTTGCTTTTACTCTATTATGATTATTGTGATTATTTTTGCTACACAATAAAAATAAATAGAGAAAGAAAGAAATTTAGAGAATATCCGAGCCAGGGTTACACTGTGTATTCCAGATGTGAATTTATCTTATTTTATTTTGTCTTGTCTTGTCTTGCCTTGTCCACATGGCGTAACAATGTAGAGCAAAGGATAAAATAAATAAATAAAAGGTTTAAAAGCGTTTGCTCGGGTGCGATCCATATGACGTAGTATCACCCAATCAAAATCAAATAAAATAAAAAAAAAGGTACAACTTGTAATACAGGATTTTCATATCAAATTCGCCGTATGGGACAAAAATTTAGACGCAACCGCAAAAAAAAAATCGTCACAAATACACTATCAAATTCGTCAAAAATACAGTATCAAATTCGCCACATGCAGTATTGAAATAGCCATGAATGCAAATTTATGATATACAAGTTTGTTAATTTGATTTGATTTACAATTGAAAATTCAAACGAACAAAAAGATGTGTAAAGTATATTATTCTCTTCATGCCTTACGTAATTTACAGTGAATAGTATATGTTTTACTAATATAAAAGACATACAAGAAGCATAAATAAAAATCTGTACAACCTTCATATCTTTTTTCTTTTTATATTCAAAAACCAACTCTACACCTATCCCTCAAAAAGCTTACAATGTCTGATACAGAAAGAACTCCAGTCCTGCATACAAAATCCAGAAAGGGGATGAAATACAGTGATGCCACTCATTCAACTCACATCCGTCATCTGATAATTGAAAAGAGCAAGAACCAGTTGAAAGCTCCATCAGAAATTGCCAAGGAGCTCAACATTCTGCATTCGACCATGAACACAATAATTGGAAGATTTGAGAGAACTGGAAGTGTGGAGTACAAGTCTCTGGGTGGTGATTTTAGAACAATCATCAAAGATCATCACAAACAGTTTATTCTGGATATGATTGATAGCAACAATACTATCACTCTAGCAGAGCTACAGCAAGAGCTAGTAAATCACTTCGATGACCTAGAGAAAATAAGTATCTCACCCTGTGTAATCACCTCTGCTACATTGAGAGAATCACTCTCAAAAGAGCAACACCAATTGAGGAGAAGAGGAACGACGAAGTGACTCTTATAAAAAGACACAACTTTATCTTAAGTCTGTAGCCGGAAGAAATCTTGTACAGCCAAAACTGTATTTTTATCAATGAGGTCGGCTTTAATTTTAACTTGATCAAGGGACGTGCCAGAGCAAAGGCAGGAGAGTGTGCTCTTGTGCCAACAAAGTCCAAAAGAGCCAAAAATGTGACAATTCTTTTTGCTTTGTCATCTGAGGGAGTTGAATCGTGTCATGCAAAGATAGTGGAAGGTGGAACAACTGGTAAAAATTTCTAGCACAAGTATTGCTTTGCTGTATATCTTACATACATGCTTATGAGTACCTACATCATTTTACTAACACTAATTTACAGGCCCAATTTTCAAAGAATTTGTTCAACAGTTGGTTGAAAAGTTGGATGCGGTCAATGCTAGACCATATCATCTTGTTGTGAATAATGCAAGAATCCACTTCAACCCTGGCCTTAGAGAGTGGTTGGAGCAAAGAAACACCCACAAGCTAAAGTTTCTTCCCCCTTATTCTCCTTTCCTTAACCCAGTAGAGGAGTGTTTTTCAAAATTGAAAAATTTTGTTAAAAAGCACCCTCTGGATGGCCAGGAAACGCTTGTAGAAAGAATCAAGGATGGAAGCAACACAATAACCAAACAAGATTGCAAAGGTTGGGTGAGACACAGCATCTCATTCCACAGTAGATGTATCAATATGAAGAAAAATCTATAATAAATGTTTTTTTTTAATTTGCATCCATGGCTATTTCAATACTGCATGTGGCGAATTTGATAGTGTATTTGTGACGATTTTTTTTTGTGGTTGCATCTAAATTTTTGTCCCATATGGCGAATTTGATATGAAAATCCTGTATAAATAAATTAATAGAAACATAAAATCTGCTGTTTATTTCACTTTTTCATTGGTGGATGTGTTAAAAATACATCCACTTTTATGACAATCTGTAAATACTGTTTCTGGTATAAAATGACGCTTAGTATTTCCTTTGTCGTTGTTGTGAAGAGATACAAGCTTTTAAAAAAAAATCTAAGCCTCTATTGATACAAAGTGTAAAGAGAACTTTATGACTTGCTTTTATCTTGCCATTCAAAAGAAAAGAATTTATAGGTGGAGCACAATGAAATAAAATATCCTATAGCCACGTCTTTGTAAAGAAATCAAAAGAAAAAAAAAGATCAAGGGTTTCTTGTCTACCGGGAAAAAAAGGGGAGGGGCCTAAATCCGGGTAAAGAACTAGAGCGGAAGAAAGCAGAGCCGAAAGGAATTAAGCTATGGCTAGTCTTTCCCATGACAACTAAAGATATGAGGGTTGGTTTTGATGTTGGAAGAGAGACAAAGGATCTAATGTGTGTGAACTAGAGCCAGATGGAGTATACATCATACATAGTGGTATGGGCATGGCAACAAAATTATCTAGACAATTGATTGTGTCAATTTGCGTATTTGACTAAAATCAAATTTGCACTTTTAGCAATCTCAAAATGATCTCTTTTCCCCCCTCCCCCTTTTCCCCAGTCAAGGGCGCATACCACATTATTGCTAGGAATGAAAGCGTTGCTGATATTCAACACATTGAGAGTAATAGAAGAATTGTATGACAAGACGCCATCAGATATTCTTGGGCCTTTTTGAACAATCAGGCACTCGCTTGCTGATTTCAAATGCTATATACACCTATTTCAAAAGCCATTCCTCCTCCTCCTCCTCCTCCTCCTCCTCCTCTTCCGCGAGTAGAGAGTACAATTTCATGCTTGTAACAGAAAATACACAGTGCTCATAAAAGATGTAACCATATGGTATCATTATTTGTCTAGATACCATGTTGGCTGCTTTTCTTCTTTTTCTTCTTTCGATTACCAATTATTGATAGATGTGGAATACACATGGAGAAGTACAACCAGGGGGGTCGATTTATAGCACTCAAATAAATCCAAATATGTTTATGCACAGCAAACAGCAGCACAAAATGCTAGCCTCCATATTCACCATGTACAAACAGTCCGTGAGTGACAGTGACAATGTTAATAACGTCAGATAGTACTTATCCAGAATACGTCCTGCTTGGGAAGAAGGCTATTTGGCTATGAGTCCAAGGTCAAATAAACCGATTAATACTACATGTGTTACTATTCGGTCAAAACTTCCAATTGGCTGTTTACTTGAAATATTGGTGATCATCAATAAAACAATCATTATTCTTTCTAGAGAGTCTTGGGAGAGCGAGAAAAGCTTGTAGCATATTAAAATACTACACCCAAGATTTGATATAACCAAAAATCATATTACTATCTCTATATCGAGCGTTATAATGAAGCGCTTTAAATATATATAAAAAGAAAAAGATTATTTTGATCAAAATGGACAAATTAAATACAAAAAATCTGCTATACATCCAAATCTATTAAGTAGTGCTTTCTTGTGTATATAAGTAATCTGGTGAGCCACAACAAGATCCACCACATAAAAGTAGTTTGAAATTGATTACTCAAGTATTGATCAAAACATCATATTTTTTCACTCATAAAAAACCATTTACTAATAAAAATGGCTATTTGCACCAAAAAGTTCATTTTTAATACCCACTTTTTCCTCAGAGCAGCATTTGAAAAAAAAATTAAATGTTTTGTTTTTGTTCTATTAAGTAAAGTTGTGCAAAAATTAACACAATTTTGGTCAGTGCTTGTTTGACTAGCAACAGACCAATATTCATGGAGATATCGATGGATGTAAAAATACTAATATCGATATTTACACCATCAAAAGATGTTATTTAAGTATCCGACATTAAAAGTGTGTGTCCCAAACTAATCTCACTGTTTGCATGGCAGCGTTTTGTAGTCATCTAGCACAGAGACGTTATTACGACAACAACAATAATCCTAAAGATATATATATCTTTTAAGAGATTGTGCTTTTTCAAGAGCCTGCTTGACGCTCATTTTGGCAATCATTGAGAAAATATGAATATTAGTTATTGCTTATTACTATATCATAAGAAGAAATATCACCATATTGAGCTTTGATTGTATCAAGTTTGTTTCAATAGTATTTAGTCTTTGTCTACTAGTAATAATAATAATAATAACAATATAGATATTGCCAATCTTAATACTATTCCTATTATTAATACATATCTTACAATCTTATGAATTTTTAATAAGATATATATATATATATAATAAAGGAGAATATTAAAAATAATTATAATAATAATACCAGTGATAATAAAGGGGAAGACACAAAGGGAGAGAGGAAGAGGGAGAGGAAAAAGAAGTGAGGACCTCGGATAAACTATTAACAATTTATCTAATTTTTTCAAAAAAAAAAAGAAAAAAGAAAAGAGTGAACAAAGATTGGATTGATTCGTGCACTTCTTTTGAATATTCCATTCAACATAATCATGTCAAATACACAAGACAGTCCAAAACTTAATGAAGAGCCAGCCGTGATATTGATTGAGGATCTAGAGGTATCTTTAATAAACATATATAACATTATCTTTTAGACTTTTTTTTTTTGAAAAAGATAAATGAAAATAAAAGCATTCTATATTAATTCTTATAAATATAAATATTCAATGTTGGATGTACAATATAGTGTCCAGGAATACAAGGATCGGACATCAAGAAGCTCAAGGAGGCTGGATTCCATACTATTCAATCTGTTGCTTATTCTACCAAAAGAGCCATCCTGGCTATAAAAGGAATATCGGAAGCAAAAGCAGACAAAATGATAGAACAAGGTAACCTATTATTTTCATGGTCGTTTTCCTTCTCTATATAGATGCCCTGAATTTACAAGTGATTTACATACATACATACATATACTCTTTATATATATATATATATATATAAAAGCTCATAGTATAATCCATATTGGATTCACAACTGCCATGGAAATGCATCTCCGTCGATCTGATCTTATTCCTATAACCACAGGTTCTAAAGATCTTGATAATCTTTTGCATGGTGAGGCTGATGGGAGACTTTCCTAATCTAATATCTATATCTATAAATCTCATTTTGAAAATAAAGGTGGAATCGAGACTGGTTCAATCACAGAGATATTTGGCGAATTTCGCACAGGAAAGACTCAAATGTGCCACACATTGGCTGTCACTTGTCAGGTACAATTCTTTTTCTATAACTAAATTCAATTCAATTCAATTCAATTCAATTAAACAAGCTCAATACTTGTAGCTCCCTATTTCAATGGGCGGTGCAGAGGGTCGATGTCTGTATATTGACACTGAAGGTACCTTTCGACCAGAACGGATCCTTGCTACAGCAGACAGGCAAGCATAACAATATTCATATCATGTTTACATAATTGCTTGATCACAAATTTATATTGTACTTTACTGCTACAGATTTGGTCTTGACGGTGAAGATGTTTTAAATAACATTGCTTATGCAAGAGCTTACAACTCAGACCACCAAACTCATCTGCTAATCCAAGCTTCTGCAATGATGTCCCAGGCCAGATTCTCACTGATGATCGTCGACAGCTTGATATCTCTTTATCGCACCGAATATTCCGGTCGAGGTGAACTCAGTGCACGTCAGATGCACCTTGCTCGATTTATCCGAGGACTTCAAAGACTAGCTGATGAGGTAATTAGCCAGCCAAAAATAAATAAATAAATAAATAATCAAAGCCAATGATTCACACAAACAACTAGTTTGGAGTTGCTGTGATCATGACAAATCATGTGGTAGCACAGGTAGATGGAGGTCAGTCGATGTTCAACCCAGATCCAAAAAAACCTACAGGTGGTCACATCGTAGCCCATTCAGCCTGCACAAGGTAAGCACCCACTCAAACTCAAATATTTATGAATTTCTTTATCATTCTCTGCGTACTGTATGTATCCTTTATATCTATGCTTCTTTAGATTGTATCTACGAAAAGGTAGAGGCGAAAACAGAGTATGTAAAGTGTACGATTCTCCATCTCTTCCTGAAACCGAAGCTCTATTTTCAATTAAAGAAAATGGAATTGGAGATCCATCAGATTAATCATTTTTACGAGACATATCTTTGTTTGCTTGTTTGCTTGTTTGTACATATAATTGTGTATATTCCTTTCATTAACTCATCAATTCATTCGAGGACTCAAAACAATTTGCTCCAGATAACCAACACAATCAATGCAATCAGAATCAAAATAATAGCAGCCGTAATCATCTTATTTGTTGCCATACTATCAAATAAAGAAGCTTCTTTATAAGTCTTTTCTTCTTATCTTTAATCTATCCAGTAAACAAAAAATAACTTACCGGCGGGCCATTCCCTTGAGAGTTCTTGATGCTTTATCAATATAAGAATCTGCTTCGGCAAGCTATACATAACAACAAAATTAACAACCGTGCATTGTTCACAATCGATTGATGTCCTAGACTTTCTTTCTTTGATTGTCGTGTAATCCAGGCGACTTACAGTATCTCTGGCACGAACAATCGTCTCTCTTTGTCCCTTCAATGTACCAAGAATGTTGATTCCAATACCCTCGGTCTCCAATGCAAGTCGATGACTATCTTCCAAACGGCGGCTTGATTGTCCAAGTCGCTCAGTACCACTCAAAAGACGCTGGCGTTGGTCCATAGTCGAGGCATCCAGATCACTTGTACTGTCATTGAGGTCACCAAACAGCTCGTTGCGGTCATTAGATCGTGGTGCAGCAGCAGTAGCCCTACGCTATCATTTTATTGTTGTTCGTAATACACACATATGTATATATTCATAAGTTTAAAGACATTCATTCAAACAGTAACAAATTGCAAAAAGAACATATCTTCTTTTCTTCGTTTGCTTTGTATCTTAGATCTTTACCAAATCGCGTTTCAGCTTCTCTCCTTCAGACTTGTAGAGTCTCAGTTTTGCTTGAAGACGAGTACGGCCTGGGGCTGGGATATTCAATATTTCCATTTCCATTTGCCCAAGCTAACATTATTATCGTTTTAAACAAGACAAGATATAAAACAATACTGAATTTAGAATATGCAAGAGAAAACTCCCCCAACACAGACACACACACGCACACGCATTCTCTCTCTCTCTCTTTCTTTCTTTCTTTTGTTGCTCAGCCAAATTATATGTACTCAAACACATAATTGTTTCTAACTTGAAACAAAATCTTCTTACAATCTCATCAGTCTCATCAATCTCTCTTTCGGCAGCCCGGATAATAGCTTTGCGCTCCTCTTTTGAAATTGAATTCAAACAAATGTCAATGAATGAATGAACATAGCTTGGTCAAAGCGCAACCTATGCTTTCTTTCTTTTGCATTTTATTTTATAATATATATATATATATATATGTATTTATATATTTACCTCCAGACTGACTGGGAATCTGCTTGTCTATCTTGACCTTGATAGACTCCGTGAGGGCATGCAGGTCCTGTTCATAATTTGTAAAGAGCTCGGAGCCTCCTGCGGATGAAGCCATTACGCAAAGAAATTTTTATAAAAAAAGTGAAAGAAGTTTGAAAGAAAAAAAAAACTACCAAAAAAAGACTTGATACCAGAACTTTTTCTCTCTTTCTCTCTCATTTTTTTAGTAATGAAAGTATTAAAGGGAGTTTGTTCAGCAAATCACGTGTCGTATGAACAGAAAACTAATGTCAAAATTAAACCCCGAAACATATTGGGAAAAGCAAACAGTTGTCCCCCTTCTCCTCCTCCTCCTCCTCCTCTCTCAGTCTCAGTCTCAGTCTCTCTCTCTCACACACACTATAACACACGCACACACACATTTTCTCCTTCCACCCCTCTGCACCTTTTATTTTATTTTATTTTATTTTATTTTATTTTTCTTTATCTTTATCTCTCTTTCTCTCTCTTTGGAGTGGATGGCAATAAGAAATTCTAACGATTCAGGTCAATGACAGCAAAGGAAGAATTTGTAGAAGCAGATGTCGATCCTGTACAGGTAAGAAATACACAACACCACTAATATCAATAGTATCAATAGTATCAGTTAAACTGGACTGTACGTTTCTAGCTTCTACTTCTTTAATTTGATTTTTATTTTATAAAGAAAAATAAAATAAAAAGAATTCCAGGAACACTAATTCAATTAACATTATTTTTATTTTATTTTGTAACAATTCTGAATTTATATGCTTAGATTGCGAGCGTGAAAGACCTCGAGGCAGAAACTCTGCCTATGATACAGGCATACAAAGATAAAGAAACAGAATACAACTGGGAAGCCCGAGAAAAATCCGCCTTAAGACTCCGTGGAATCCTTCGAGGTAATGCACCTGAAAGATTCCCGGATTCTCTTCAGGCCCAGATGCGACAGATGGTGGATGGTATCATTAAAGGCGTAAGAACAAACAAGCATACATACATTTTAATCTTTCTTTTTAGAGACTAAGGAAGAGAAAGTCGATGGGGGAATAGATGAATACACGTACAAATGACCAACCAAAAGATAGATAGATATATAGATAGAGAGAAGCGTGTAATACTGGTGGACAACAATACTAACAAAAAATATGTACCTGTCTATCTGTACATGCGGGTGGTTATTCCTACTTTGCTTTTGATTTATTAGATAGAAAGTCTACGGACATCCTTAGTCTTGCAGACCTTGGCCTTGGTGGTAGATATTGGAGTGTACATTGGAAAATCGCTTGACTCATACATATTTGACCACATATTCAACTGCCTATTGAGATGTGCCTCCGTAACAAGAAAGATTGTTGCCCTAAAGGCAAAATCAACCACATTGTCTTTCCTCCGTCACGCTACTTACCACCCAAAAATCATGAATCTTCTATGGCTGACAATGAACGAAAAGAACAATCAAGCAAGATTGTATGGAGCCACATACACAAAGGCTGCTTTGACATCCCTCTTAGGCCGAGATCCTGGCAGAAACTATATCGATAGATCCGGTGCAACAGATCTGGTGGAAAAAATCATCCTCAAAGGAATCGTGGATGCCACCCTTCCGGTCAAAGAAATGTGTCGCGAAATCTACGTAATTTTCGCCGAAAACTGGAAGGACCGTTCTGAAGCGTAAGAAAAGAAAAATGAAAGAGCAAGAAGGAGAGCAGAAGGAAGAGAAAGAGGGTTAAGGGGGTGGTAGGAGCATTAGTATGAGCATGAGCATGAGTATGAGCATGATCATAAGTATAAACATAAGCAGGCGCATGATGAAAGAGGGAGCTTGCAGTAAAGATGATAGTAACCATCTCTGTTGATTCTTTGATCTAGTATGTTGAGAACATTATCACCTACACTTAAGAAAGCATTGGAAAAGGCAAAAGCAGCTGCACCGCCATCACTACCATCACCGCCCCAACCACCAACAACAACTACATCCAGAAAAATAATAGCCACCGAATCCAAACAAATCTACAGTCCTAACAACTCCAGCAGCTCTCTACGCACGTCAAGTTCGATCGGATCTCACCGCAACGTGTCCGATGTACACGATGCTGTGTCTCCGTCCAGCTCAAGCGCATCGACTGGCTCAACAGGTTCACTGGAACCCCCAGACCGGATGCACCATGCTGCTCGGTCAGTTTCACCCTCTCTTCGGTCCACCTCACCACACCTCACAAGAGTCTACAACCCGGCATCGCCCGCACCTTCTCACCTCCAGGTGCTTTACCCACCACCGCCTACACCCACCCTTCGCAAAACACGCGCCCCAGTCCTCACGCGCAAGAAGTCGACTATCGGCCAGACCACAAAGCGAAAACTTAGTCTGCTGTCTATGCTGAACAATGAGGATCTCACTATAAGATGCGATGGTCTTCTTCTCCTGACCAAGAAACTAGCCTCGTTCCCATACAACCCGCGGCCAAACGCTGCATCTATTTTAGTCGAAAGCGGGACGGGTGTCTCTCTGGACGGCGAGCACCTCAAGTCAATTGTCTGGTCCATGCTCGACGAGGACAATGTCAAGCTGCACGAAACCCTTTCGACCTGGTCATCTGTAGCCGGCATTTTCCTCAAACTCGTTCCGTTTGATGAATATCTGCCACGGCTCATTCTTGATGCCTCTGTGGATGAAAACAGCCTCAAGACCGAAGATGACATTGCACACTGGAATTCCACAAAACTTGCTCTCAAGCGGGCCAAGATATATCTCAAAACACAAGATGTCGATCTTGCCGAACATGTGTTTGAGAACTTCTTGACGCACGGTGTGGCCGACACTGGACGGCGTGCGATGGGTGCTCGCAAAGACCCTGCCAAGAACTCTGCCAACCGCCGTAAACTGATGCGTTCATTCTTGGAGTGGATGGACGAACTTGTGATGCCGATAATCGGACTGGATCCAGATGAAGAAGGAGATGGAGACGCAAATGAAGGCCCAGAAACCGAAACCGGGCAGGATGAGTGGGTTGGACCTGAGAATGTTGCTTCCAGATGGTTTGAGTCGGACATTCACGTTCGCCACTGCCTTGACAAACTATTTCCGCTGGTCAGCACGTCCGCACCCGGCAGTATGTGGCATGCTCCCCTGGTGTCCTTTGTCTCCCACCTTCGTCTGGTGAACCAGCGCTTGTTTGAGACTATTGCGTCTACCCTTGACGAACAGACAATAACAAAGATTAGCCGTGTGCTCGGCGTGTACATTCGCCCAATACCTGACTATGTATGCCAGGCTGCTCCAGAAGACCTGACTCCGTTTGAACCTTCATCAGTGCTAGCAGCGGCAGCGGCGGCAACAGCGGCAGCGGCGGCAGCAATAGGAGAAATCCCTGTTGAGCAAGTACAAGTTAGATCTGCCGCATCTACGACTCCCTTACAACCATCCGAAGTTGATCTTCTACAGGCCCTAGAAGACATCAGACTAGATTCCCCCGCTCCTTACGACGGACCAATTCAAACCCCACAAGTTCACAAACCAATCGAACACTATTATACCGCATCTACTGAATCAGTGCGTTCTGCACAGCTGCCTACACAGACTTATGGACCCCCACTCACCCGATATCCCGAGCAAGTTCAAACGACACGCTCTGTAAACCATCCCCCCACACAGACACAGACACAGACACCGGCGCCGATAAGCCACTCTAACGATCCCTACCAACCGATGATACCTCACGCCGAATTTATTTCCCCAGCACGCCATTCCGAGCCAATCCACTCTTCACAGTATCCCGAAAGAATTCAACAGCTACAACTACAAGCCCAAGCCCAAGCCCAAGCACACGCACAAGCCCAATCACAACTACAGGCACAACTAGAAGAACAACTACAACTACAGGCACAAGAACAAGCACAAGCACAAGCATACGCACAAGCACAAGCACAAGCACAAGCACAAGCACAAGCACAAGCACAAGCACAAGCACAAGCACAAGCACAAGCACACGAACAACCCATTGCACTGACCAGAGAAGTTCATTATGTAGAACACGATCAACTTGGTCATAATATTGAGTCAGTACCAGACCCAGACCCAGTACCAGTACCAGTACAAGAACAAGTACAGGAACCAGTACAGGAACCAGAACCAGAACCAAAACTAGAACAAGAGCCTCCTGTAGATCAACACACTGTGATTGGACAGATTGAGTCAATCGAAGAAATTCCTCAAATTGGATCTACTGAACCAGCTGTCCAACCAGAGGAACACTTAATTGAACCAGTGCAGTCTAAAATCCCTAATATTGCAGATGCTCCTGCGCTAGTAGAGAGCACTTTTGGACTAGAAGAGCGCCCTACCGAATCTGTAGAAATCCCACAATCAAATGTTGTAGCAGTAGAACAAGAACAAGAACAAGAAGAAAAAGAAAAGGAACAGGTGATGGCAACAATAGAGCCAGTGCACCAAGTATCAGCAGCAGAAGACGAACAAAAAGAAAAAGTAATAACAGCAGCAGAAGCAGAAGCAGAAGCAGAAGCAGAAGCAGAAACAATAGCAGTAGCAGTAGCAGTAGATATGGTGTCGCCAATCCAGACCATGGAGCCTTTTGAGCCAATGCACCCTCAGGGACTTGGAATCTTTCCTCAGGATCTCCCCAAGATGGTTTCTAAACAGACTGGCTACAACCCAATAGAACATTCTCGGAACACTCCTCTTCCTGTTGAGCAAGCTGTTAAAGAAAGCCAGACGATTGCCTATGTTAATTCGATTGAGGTGCCAAAGAACATCAAAGAAGAGACGAGTGTTGGTGCTTACCAACAGGTTCCTGAGAATGTTGGCATTCCACAGACTTCCTTGACAAATGGCTACACAACTCAGTCCTCTTCTAATCGAGCGTTTGAAGATGAACCACTCAAGTTTGCTTCTCCAATTGAACGCCCAGATTTTCCTGTAAGTATTTACCCTCAACAAAAAAAAGACATATGCATGTACGTATATGTGTATATGTGTATATGTATGTGCGTGTGTATGTACATCACAACCACTGTGAAAACAAATGGTACCCTGTGATAAGAAGTACATCTGATCAAACTGAATCGAATCGAATAAATTAAATTAAATTAAATTGAATTAAATTAAATTGAATTGAATCGAACTAATATTGTTGTTGTTGTTGTATACATTAGCTCCCATCGTTGGCTCCTATTGTCGATCAATCGAGTGGACCAGAGGAAACTGAAATAATATTTGTGCAGCAGACACTGCAAGAGGGACCTTACCTCAACGGCAGACTGGTCAATTATCCACTTCCTGTTTTCAAAGAGAACCCGCGAACTCAACATGCCTCACCGCTGTCGATTGCACGTGGTGGACGAGACAAGACGGTGATATTGTACAGTCTGGTGGACAAGATGTATTCTTCTAATGCGGACTACAATACCTTCCGCCGACTTATCCGTTTGGCGCGAGAGTCGCCTGTGCTCAAGTCATGGGACCAGGGAGGCGCGACCGAATCGGGTAGTGATCTCTGGGGCGGCGGGCTCCAGGACGGTGGTAACTTTGTCGAGGTTGTCCAGGGAGCGTTGGCCTATCTCAAGCCGACATCGGGACTTGTTTTGGGTGCTATGGAACTTGTGCAGCAGCTGGCTGCAACCCAGTCTGGACTGTTTAGGTTCTATGAGCGCAAGAAAGATTCGCGTGGGATGACACTTGAAGGTCGTTTGGCGAGACAACTGTTACTTATCAGGGCATCTCAAGATCCAACGGTAAGTATTTGCTATGAATTCAATTGGTGTTGTTCAATAAGGATAGTAATGATAATCTTGTGGTTAAATAACTGACTAATAATATATATTCTGGGGGGTTGTAGATCTGTGCAGGTGCTGAAGATGCGTTGGAAAGTGTACTTGGAGCCGTGAGTGCTCAGACCGCATTTGAACTATTGCTGTCATACTTGATCCACCACCTGAGCACTTGCCCATACGATCGGGAAATGTGGGTTTCTGTGAGATACCCTCCTGTTGGATCTGGTTTTATGTATCTTTCAAAATGGGTTAAGGAGATCAATGACGGTAGTTTTGTAACTACCTGGCTGAGACGAGGAGGAGCAGAAGTGTTTAGAAAGGTAAGAGACATGAAACAAAATAAAAAATCAAAACAAATTAAACCCAAAATAATACAAATCAAACGAATACATATATAACACACTCATGTAAATATAAATGTGTATTGGTCGATATTAGGGTATGAACGATGGTTTGATCAGTGTACGAAAGTCCTGTGTTGAGGCTATAGTTGCATTCCAGGATATTGTGGGGGATAGTGTGTATGATTTATTGGAAGACTTGAGGGATGACCAATTGAACTTGGTGAGACACTATGTAGCCAAGTCGATAAGAAAGAAAGCTAGTATTCGAAGTATGAGTGTAGCATCTCAGATGAGATAATTCACACACATACAAAAACACACACACATACACACACACTACATACATACTTATATATATATATATTATATATAATTGCTATTATTTTTCTTTTATTTAATTTTATTATTATTATTATTATTATTATTATTATTATTATATCTATATACATATTTCCATATATATACATATACATATATATATATATATATACATTACATACATACATTACATACAAAATACATATATATATATATATATATATGTATATGTATGTATATATATTTTATACCCCCTTCCATCCTTTCACTTTTACTTTGCCTCTTAAAAAGTATATGTATATATATATATATTTACGCGCTCTCTTACTCTCTTACTCTCTCTCTCTCTCTCTCTCTTTCTTGCTGTCTTTCTTGCTCTCAAATTTATTTTTTGTTAATTAATTATTCAATTATATACCAAGTATCACTGTATCTAATTATTTATCTATATTTCTTTACTTATTTATTGCTTTTTATGGGAGGTTATTATTTTGTAAGAGAGAAAAGTATTTGTGTATATGTATGTATGTATGTATGTATATATATATATAATAAGATAATTGTTCTGGATTCTATATTGATTAGTGATAATTAAGAAGAAGAAGAAGAAGAAGAAGCAAATGGTACTATTATACTATAGAGTATCAATTGAATGATTCAATAAAAAAGGACTTGGTTTTTATTGATTGCCACCAAGAAAGACATATATATATATATTGATAATGATAATGATATTGCTATTGATAGTCACCTCCCCCTTCTAATTCTCTCTTTCACATTGTACTGTACAAATTATGTATTATTTTAAATATATAATAAAATAAAAACAAGGACCTATATCTTTCTCTATTTGGATTTGGAGTCCCTGCGTTATACTATCTGTACAAATGACTATGATGAAATTTAATAAGATCTAAAGCTCCTAAATAAATAAATAAATAAATAAATAAATAAATAAATAAATAAAAGCCGCATAAATGGAAAGTTACCAAAGTCGAGATATAAACAAACAAAATCAAGGATGTAATTGGATTGTAGAACGAGCTGGCTTGCTTTTATTTGAGCTTATTGCTTGGGAGGATGCAAATCTGACCTTTTTATGCAAATCTAACTCATTCCACACAAATACACTACACCCAAGAAGATTTTTATATATATAAGAAGAAGAAGAAGAAGAAAAATTATTATTATTATTCCCCTATACCCACCCCTTGATTTTTCTGTAAAGTTTCGCTATCTGTGTGCACCAGCCATCATTGGAATTCTACCTCTTTAACAATATAATGATAATAAAAAGTTCCTCGCCATATCTATTCATTTGTTCATTTGTCCATTTGTTCAATTGATAGCAATAGTTATAGCTATAGCTATATGTCTTTCATTGGTGAGAAAAGAATAGATAAATGCCCTTTTATTCTATGTCACTCTTATATCAATTATATTCCTCTATCTATAATACAATATACATATCTCTTTTCTTTCTTTCAATCTTTTTCTTTTTCTTTTTTTTTTTAATATATAAACAAGCAATGTAACCCCACATCCTCTATTCCTTTTTGCTTTCGTTTTCATTCGACGTAAAATATCTAAAATATAATTACATGAGATTTTATTCTTTCAGTATTGATTACTATCCCTTCATAAACCCCCGTGTCCAAACCGCTTACCTTTTTATTTATTTGATTATTTGACTATTTGACTATTTGACTATTTGATTATTTATTATTTATTTATTTACCTTATAAACGCACACACATTATATACTTATATACTTATATATACTTATATATACATATATACTTTTATACATATATATACATATATATACATATACATATACATATACATACATTTATATTTCTATATTTATATATATATATTTATATATATATTTATATATTTATATATTTATATATATATATATACTCTTGCATACATACTCACATACATATTTATTATTTCTGTTTTTTTTTTCTTAATACTTTTCAAACTTTGGAATCTCATCACCATCTCCTTACTCTTTACAACTAATGCTTACCTGTTCCCAAGATATGTTCTTCAAAAACGAACAAATTCAACAACAATCGCGTGATCAAATGTCATTCCCATCAATCCACAAGTCATCTCCAATGACAGCAATGTCCACCTTCCACTCAGACTGCCAACTCAAGGATAAACGACCCAGACACCCAAAGAAAGACTACATGGTTCCTCACTCAAACCCTGCTCTCGTAAACGGCAAAGACAAAGAAGAGGTCAGTAACACGATAAACAAATTCAAGCATCTTAATAAAAGATACATAAAAAAATTGTACTCAAAATTCAGCACTACATAGCAATAATTATGCTAACATTTTATTTTTACTGGCTTTTTCATTGGCAGCAAGTCTGGCCAGTCGATGTCGAATCTGCCTTTATTGAAGGTAAACTTTCTTTTATATATATATATATATATATATATATAATTATAATTATAGTCTATTATTTGACAAGATCCTTATTCTTATTGTTTTGCTCTCCTTCCTCTTTAGCATTGGAAACCATCCCAAAATTAGGAAGACGAAAAATCCTAGTTAATGGAAAACCGTGTGGTATGTTCAGCAATATATATATTATTCTTATTTTAATTTAATTTAATTTAACAAAACTTCTAATTTAATCATTTCCATTAACCCCACCCCACCCCCTCCTTCAAGGTCGCAATGAACTAATCTCAGACTTCATTTTCCGCAAGACCTCAAAGATTCGAACCCGTAAACAGGTCTCATCACACATCCAAGTCCTCAAAAATACGCGTAAAAGTGACCCTCATTGTAAGTCTTGTAGTTAATACACCAAAAGAATACATTATTAAATAAATAAAAAAAAATGCTATCTTATGCCATGTTTATCACAGTCATGCGTCTCTTGACAGATTCAACAGACACTAAACCAAACGAAAATTATCTTCAAAAGAAACCAACCGGGCTTCATCCAAACGCGTTCCTAAAGAATGCTATCAACAGCCAGCTGGGTGTATCACACGGCAACTCAACCGTTATCTTCCAACCCTCCGAGTCTTCCTCTTCAGACGAATCTTCAATTGGCTCTTCACCTTCACCTGCAGACTATGTATTCGACCTTATGTATGGCGTCGACCCTAACATGTCTCAGAACCCACTTTCTATGCTGGACATCAAAGATATTTATAGCCCACTCCAACAACAGAGCTTGTTTGGAATGGTAGACCCACTCACCACTCAACAATTAATCATTCAACAAAATCATCACAATAATCACAATAATCATAATAGTCATAATAGTCATAATAATCATAATAATCATAATAGTCATAATAGTCATAATAGTCACAATAATCACCATCACCAACAGCAGCAGCAGCAACAGCAAATACAGCAACAGCAGGACATTTCAACCGGAAACAATCCTTTCTTTGGAACAGTAGCAGCCAACTTTGGGATTAATGCATTCCCCTCATCTTCTTGCCTCGCTACAAATACCCCTTACCCCTTTACTGGTTCAGGTGTAGAAGCCATGTCTGTGGACAACATGAGCTCCTCGTGCCTCTTTGACTTTACTAAACCTCCATCTCGCTCAAAGAAAAATTCTAATCAAAATTCTAATCCAAAACAGCAACCTATCGCCGAATCATCCATTTCAACCTTAACATCTTCCTCTTCTTCTTCCTCCGCATCCTCTTCATCCGCATCCGCATCCGCATCTTCGTCCTCTTCTTCTTCATCGGCATCTTCATCGTGTGCACACACCAATCCAAATCAAAAGACAGATAAAAATATTATCACAGATCAAGACAAAGAAAATGATCATCTTGAGTTTGCTCTGTGGCCAAATTACCTTTGTCTCTACCTGGAATATGCTTTACCTTACGACACCTCCATGACCGTATCTCACAACCTTGCCCAATTACCTCATTGTTATCCAAACTGTCTATCAACAGTAGATGCCAGGTCGATCTCACGCGAAAAATGTCCTTTGATTGGAGCCCTGACACAAAGTCACCACAGCCAAAACAGCAACAACAACAACAACAAGAACAGCGACAGCAGCAACAGTAGCCAACAGTCGTCCACAAGCGTTGTACTTCTGGCCAAACTGAAACTCGATCTCAACCTCAACATCTCAGACTTTGTGTTCAACAATACCTTCTTTTTCGAAACCCGTGACAGACGCACAATTGAATGCACGACAACCATCTACTCGTTTGGAAACGTGGTGTTGGAGTCTAAAGAAATCCAACAGGCACTCTGGCTCAACGAAGGAAAATACATGTACAGCTTTGTTTTTGTCAACCAGTTCTTTGATGCCTTCATGAAAGGAATTCGGTCTCTCCAGTCCTGGGAAGAAGTCGATATTGCGATTCACAATCTATGCATTGTACAGGTACGACTCCCTATTCAATCTGTTATTTATTTATTTATTTGTCTGTTTGTTTGTTTGTTTGTTTGTTTGTTTTTGTTTTTGTTTGGATATTGAACTCTTTTGTATAGGTATTTGAGGACATGGAAACCAAATACAACAGTACGGCTCCTGGTACGATGGATCCTTCCCTTGTCGAGACCAACATCTCCCCAGAAAGCTGTGTCGGATCTTCATCCAGAGGCCGCCCTTCCTTACTTTCAATGGTCTATGAATTCGAACGGGGTCATGGTACGATCGACATGTGTGCAGTTGGAGATGCGGCTACAAACGAAAAATTTGGTATCGGTAGAGGACTTGATGTCTTGATAGATACAAAGCCAGAAGCGTAAATAAAAGGAGACAAGGAAGCAAACATACACACGTACATATACACACACACACACACACAAATACATACAAATATCAATGATAATGATAATGAAAATGAAAATGAAAATGAAAATGACAATGACAATGACAATAGCGACGACAACTATACAACAACAGCAACAACAACAGCAACAATAACCAAAACAAATATACATAAAACTTCCAGCCTTACCCTTCGTCCCCTCCATCCCCACCCCTGGTCTCAAGAAGGAGGGGGGTAAAATCATCATATACCAACAAGTTATTTAGTATAATCATTCCTTACCATAGATTTCTTATTTCCATGATCTATGATACGCCATCACTCGTACATAATGCACATTCTTTCCCTTCGTTTATTTTATTTTATTTTATTTTATTTTATTTTATTTTATTCTTTCTTGTTTATTTCCATACGAACATATTGCACAGTCAATTACACACACTTTACACACCACAAACCACAAACCACACACTTCATACTTTACACTTTACACTTTACACTTTACACTTTACACTTTACACTTCACACTACATACTTCACACTACACACTTCACACACATGAACTCTTTTTTATATTTTTTTTTCAAGAAAAAAAAACACAATTTGATCTATGCCAACATGAAGTATGGTTGTAACTTATGAGACCCTTTATATATATATATATATATATATATATATATAATTATAACAAGAAAGGATATATATATATATAAAATTCACATTCATTATATTTTGGATTCTAAATTGATATATTGATTGAATGGTTGATTGATTGGTTGGTCAATTGATAGGTAAATAGGTAGGTAAATAGGTATATAAAGTAAAAAAAAAAAAAAAAGAAGAAGAAGAAAGACATAATATTTACATTAGTAAAGGCCATAACATACGCCTTACTTTGTGCGAATGATAAGACTATAGAAACAAGCATCGCACACACGGCTCCATTCGACACAAGGAGAGTCGTATGAGAAAAGTGGAAGTTGGTTAGCACTGTGTCGCTGGCACACAATCATGCCACATTTACGGCAGTGGTGTTTCCGCTGAAAGAACGAAAACTGGGTATTACACTGGACTTTTAGTGAGCCAGACTGAAACTGACATTGGTCTGTGGTGGTATCGGGGGTCCACTGTTTCCGTGGTAAGAGGACAAAGCGTTCTTTACGGTCTTTGGCTGAAATGTGAAGCATATAATGGTGCCGGCGAAGTTTTGTGTGTTGTATTGTTGGGGACACATGGGTAACCTAAATAATAGTAAGAAGAACAAGAAGTATATTAGCAAAACAGATACACAGATATAGTTCTTGTTTTATATATTCACATTCATATTCATATTCACTTTTATATATAAAAGGGTATAAATTAAGATTAAAACTTGCCTTGGTGGGCATCTTTTCGGTATCCTCGACAACCCCAGAGCCTGCTATCATCATTTCAATACCACGCAAACGGCCTTCAAACGTGTGGATCACATGGCCTGTTCCCACTCCCCCACCCACACACATCCCGACATCCCATCGCATCTTGTGAATCATGTCGTTTTTTTCTTCCAGGTGGAGTAGGTCGGCAATCGTCTTCCTAAAGTCCCAGCGGGTCATCTCGTCGTCTTCGTCCGGACTCTCATCTTCGTCTTGGTTCTGGAGGTTGATTTGCATGTCTAGGTCAGCCATCAATTCGGCAAGACTTTCTATCATGTGGAGCTGCTGTTTGGCCACCTCTTCACATTCCGTAATACGATCCGCATAGGCCTTTTCCCGCTTCTCAAACTGCTCCTCCACTGTGTCATTGATGGCCATCAGCTCTCGTACACGTCCTTCGGCATTCAGTAATTCGGTCGAAAAGGTTTCTAGTTCTTCCGACTGAGTGATACAAGACGTCAGCAATTCGAGAAAACGTGTCCGCCACTCGACTGCTAACAGGTCTGTGTCGTGGGACGCGGAGGACGCTATGGAGGCCGTTTCGGATAGTTCGTCGAGGCGAGAATTGATGAGTGTGTTGGTAGTTAGGAATAGAGAGGTCAGACTTGGACTGGCGGGTATACTGTGTGGACTGCTTTCCTTTGGCTGATGGTAATGCAGCCATGGTGCATATACGTCTCCTTCTAAGGGAGGTCTTTGGGTATCGATGGTTACGGAGCCCTGTGAGCGGATCCGGCGGTGGTATCCACAATCGGCTAAAGCGGCAGATCCGTGAGACGTCTCGTCTGAATAAGATACAAAACGACTGGATGCTGAGCTCAGACGGCGGACCTGTTCAAACGGATCGTCCTGCGTGCGCCGTTCAGCAGTCTCGGTGTCAAAGATCTCCTTGACATGAAAGGCCTGCATGTTCCGTGTGATTCCTGTAATTGTCGCCCGTAGGACCTCGAACGCATCGATGCGTGGATCCCAAAGGGTGTGTGCGGCAGAATACATTGAATCTTGTTGATTGGTCTCTTGGCGGGTCATCATCATCAATGGAGTTTGTTTTCCTCTTCGGTCAATTGCATGAGATGATCTGGTCAGGCGAGGGACGATGGCGATAGCAGAAGAACGTCTTCTGGCCATCACTTCGCCCACACTCTCTCGTCGCTTCTTTGACTCGAGAGCATGTAGAAAACGACTGTTCTCAAGTGAAGCGGGGTCTGAAGAAGGCATGGCATATGGAATCAAAGGGGTTCAGGTTGAGGCCATATCTTTGTTAAAAAAAAAAAAAAAAAAAAGGGCATAGATAGGTCGCGTGACGACAAGGTGTTATGTCCCGCACACAACAAAAAAAAACAAAAAACAAAAAACAAAACAAGGGAAAACTGAAGCTTTGTACAAGGAATGACGCGCTGGTTTCCAGATTTTTCCAAACAGGATCAGCAGCTTACTTTTGTTTTATCAGATTTTACATATAAAACTTTATATCTGTTCAATTTCAATTTTGTTCCTTTTGTTCCTTTTTGTTTCATCCCCCGAGAAAGTCTCAAATATTATTTATTAACAAGAATGGGGCCCAATTCTATTGATCCTACAACATTGAACTTTCGAATGGGCGGGCTGAGGGATGGGTCTGTGCGCAAAATTCCGCCTTTTCATTATTGTTTTAATAATACTAATAATAATAATATATATCTGTATTATTTCCTTTCTTATCTTGGGCCAAATTTGCTTTTTTTTTCGCATTCTCTTTATCAGTATCATTATATATATATTTGTTGTTATGTATTTGATTTCTGTTAATGAGAAATCCACACAGAGAAAAGGATTATATATATATATATGTGTGTGTGACAGGCTTGTCTCACAATGGCAGAGCAAGAATTTTAATTTGTTTACGGTCTCCAGCATCTCTGAATCACCAAAATAAGTAATATGAAAGCTAAAATAAACAAGTCAGTCAGTCAATCAATCAAGGAAGAAACGACGCAGTACAAGACGTCAAATGAATAATCACATACATTATATATATAATATTCAATAAAGTATTGAAAGTTGGATTTTAGATATCCGGTAAAGTTTCGTCATTTTCATACATATTTATGGGCTGGATGATTCGGTACAAAGCTGTTTTAAGAAATATCCAAACCAAACTACACCAAAAAAAGAAAACCGGATTGTTTAAGATTCTTACAACAAGCTTGTGATATTGATATTAAGATTTATATTAATATACATTTTATTTCTTACCGTGCATCTATTGGTGACATCCTAATCAAACACACAAGTAAAAGATAGACCTAGTTCTGATCAGTTGTTGACATCATTATGCTATAGCTATAAAGGTCAAAAGCCCGGAATCGATCTCTGCACTTTATGAATAAAGCAAAACACACAAACTATACCATAATCTTTACCAAAAAAGAAAAGAAACTTGCTTAACATTTGCTTTCATAAATGTCACAAACAAACCCTCAGTCCGTTCCTGAATTCTCCTCCTCTTCTTCTTCTTCTTCTTCTTCTTCTTTTGATATCTCTGCTGCTTCTGCTTCTACTGCTGCTGTGTGTGTATGTGTGTGTGTGGGTGGGTGGGTGGGTGTGTGAAAGCCATTAGAGCTTTAACACACAAACAGACACATAATTCCCCAAAAGGAAATGTATGATATGTAAAAAGGGCCAAACGCATTGATGCAGCTGTTTTTGTTCCTCCTTATGTTGTGCTTTGAGTCCTTTTTTCCCTTATTTTTCTGTTCTTGTTTTTGGTTTATTTCTTATTCTTTTAATCTTTTACATTTTTCATAATCAACAATTCACATCCAATGACCATTCCAGACTTCCAACCTAATCGTTCTTCTGCAAATTCCACTATAGACAACTCTGTTGAAAACAGATCTCAAAAAAAGATCTATCGTCATGATGCTCCTTGGCCAATCTATGCACTCGATTGGAGTAATGTACCAACTGAACAAGAAGCATTTCGATTAGCAATGGGCAGTTTTGTTGAAGACAGCACCAATAAAGTATTATTACTATTATTTGTTTGTAATATACCTGTATTATCATATCTGAATCGTTTACACAAATTTCCTTAGCTACAAATAATTGGTAGGACTGATAAAGTAACATACGACTATGATAAGTTTCGACAGGATTATGGTGAAAAAGACTTTATACCCCTGGCAGAAGCTGACTCACGCTATCCAGTTACTAAAGTACTCTGGGAGCCATGGAAGGTATTGAGCTCAAAGGCACAAATATTCAACACCAAAAACATGAAAATATATTTATATAAACTGATAACCAAAAGAATAATTCAAGGATAACAAAGGGCGACAATCAGATCATATAATGTCTTCTTCAGACAATCTCAGGCTGTGGGAGTTGACCGAAAATATTCTCTACAATCAAAATACGAGCAGTACTATTGGGTCTAGACGAAACCGCCCAGAATCACAAATGAAGCTTGAGCGACGCATGACGTTTGTAAATGTAAGCCAAATACAATGTATCTCCCTAAACATACATATACGTATACATATACATCTACATATACATACATACATGCATGCATGTATGTATGTATCCATGTATATATATATATTATCTTAAAAAAAAATAATGTTAACCGAGTGTAACAAAAGCAGAGTGAATTTAGTGCACCAATCACTTCTTTTGACTGGAATGAATTGGACCCTAACATTATTGTCACCTCCAGTATTGACACTACATGTACCGTGTGGAACGTAGAAACCTGCCAGGCAAAAACCCAACTTATTGCTCATGACAGAGATGTATATGACGTTGCGTTTATGCATGGTTCAGCAGATGTATTTGCTAGTGTAGGTGCAGATGGATCTGTACGACTATTTGACATGCGGTGAGTCAGTATACATATTTTATACCCTAATTAATTTCATTAATTTATTTATTAATTAATTAATTGTTTTTTTTTGTGGTGCATAGAGCATTAAATCATTCAACAATTATCTATGAAGCACCTCTTGTACCGTCCAGTCCATCCAAAAACAACTTTGTGTCGGCGATCAGTGATGGGTCACAGCCTTTGCTTAGGATCCAATTCAATCGAATTAATTCAAACCTTTTGGCCACATTTCACATGGACTCAAATGATGTTCAGATCCTGGACATCCGTTATCCAACCGTACCTATTGCCGAACTCACTCGCAGGCACAAAAGAAGTGTCAATTGTTTTGGGTGGGCACCACACGACGCAAAACACATTTGTACAGGAGGTATTTGGAAGCAAACAAGCAAAACAATCAAGTTCAGTCTGAATAAAGAAAGACGGAAAGAAAGAGGACGAAAAGTCTAGTTAGCTATCTAGTTTCTTTCTTTTTTTTTGGAGAGAGCTGAGCTTTGTTTTCTATACTGTTGTAGGTGATGATTCACAAGTATTGGTATGGGATACTCGATCTACTATCAAAACACCAATTGGCGAAAATAGTAGTATGGAAAGACCCATTCCACATATAATCCAGGACCCTGTTTTGGCATACACCGCAGAGTCGGCAGTTCATTCCCTGAGTTGGAGTCAAAGTATGCCAGCCTGGATTGCGGTTGGATTTGGCCGTACCATTCAGGCTCTTTTGGTATAAACACCACATTTGATTGCGACTGTTGTCATGGGCAGCTCTACCAATAAGCACATACGCCGATTTATTTGTGTACATAAGCAAATACATAAATACATAATATAAAAAGTGGATAAGATAGACCAATAAATAAATATATAAATAAATAAAGATTCGATCCCTTAAAACAAGAGGTTGTTCAAAAGTACAAAGGGTTGGAATTCATACATGCACTGAACGGACTTTTTGCAATTAAGTAATAAATATTGGCAGGTCACAGCTACTGTAAATGGATATATTTTATAGAGCTTTAGTAAACACACAAAGCACTATAAAGAGAAAAGGCTGTATATTTGCTTAACTCTGAAAACTAAAAAGAAAAAGAAAAAGAAAGAAAGAAGCACCCACCTGCATTCATTACTTCCATGTACAGTCAAATATTCAGGGATAATTGCAATATTGATCACAAAGACTTTAATTTGAAGGCTTCTATTATCTCGGTGAGGAAAAGCTTGTATTTAGTCAAACCAACAATATTTTAGGCTTGTGAGTGCAGTCAATTAAGAATTATTAGCTGTTGCTCTAGAAATAACAGTTATTGTACTCTGATGTTGCTTTTGATGTATCTATCCATTTTGTGCAGTTCAGAATAGTCTTTAAACAAATACTCATGCTCAGAAATTGTATTCTTTTTTTTTTGTTGGGTAGCTCTATTAAAAATATATTCGACCACTTGAGCATACATTTTTATTTCATGTTTTTTGCTTAATTGACTTGATAATTCACTGCCACTAAAATACTTTTTTCGTATACAAAACAAACAAAATAATGTTTTCATCTTGTATACTTGGGTACCCACAAACATAATACATTCGGATATTACACAATACTTATAACAGCAACATTAGAAAATACTCAAACGTGTGGTGTTTGTAAACTTGCTCATCAACAATAAGAGGCTTCAATTCAGCCACACTCCAGTTCATATAAATTTATTTGCGTCCAGATGTTTGTTAAGTGTTCTTTAAAAGTAGCTTTACTCATCTCTCTATGAACTCAATTTAATCTCTTTCTTTTACCAAAGCCCAGATATTGATTTTATAATAAAATCTACAACCTTGACATGCCAGAATACCTTTTATAATCATGAAGAGTTCTAGGCTTTTTATTCCTCAATAATACGGCAGATAATGTAACTTATAGGCTCTTCAAATTAGTCGTTGCATAATTAATCACTCTACCATCAAGGATTCTAATCTATACACAGTTTCCTAAAATATAAAGCTTTCAGTAGTATATATAACTATAAATATTGTTGTCTGAGCATACTCTTAAAATTACCCTTGATATTAATTATTAGCAAGTAATAAAATAAAAAATACTGGTGCATTGCGAAAAGCAAAAATATCAAATGCTATTGAATGTTGCATGTACATTATATTGTTCTGATGATGAGCTATGTTTTGGCTTAGAATTCCTACACCTCTCACTTTAATTTATACACAAGTATTTGGATATCTTTCAAAACGACTTTCTCATGGCAATCATTCTTGAGCTTATTAAAAACTCTAATTTGTGTATCAAAATACATAGGCTTGTGTAGGTTATTATTCTTCAGCCTTTAAATAGTCAGTATATGTTTAAATAAGTTTTCTGAGTCATTCAAGAGCCGTTTTTTGTAGTATTTATAATATACTTTTGGTTAAATCCTTTCAATATTTCAATAAAGCAAAAGCAAAAGCAAAAGCAAAAACAATGTTGTTGTATTATAACTATATTTTATTTTCTGTCGTCTTTCAAAATAATATTGGGCACACTTTGAATCGATGAGCATCTTTATTTTTAAAATTCAAAGCCTTTACATTTCATCTCAAGCCCATTGGAATAGTATATAAGCATTGGTGCTGTTAACTAATCCCAAGCTCCCTCCAGTAAGAGTAGTAAATATATCTCTCTTTTTATCCTTCACCCCCTTCAATCTCTCTTTATCTCAACGTACATCTTCTACGGCTATTCACGTTTATATAATGTCTCAAAAAAAATTACAGTTTATTCTATGTATTGTATTATTGATCAGTGTACCTAAATGCTGTGCTCCACCAATTCAGCAAGACAACGATTTTCTCACCAGTAAATTACCTATAACATCGATATTGCGGACCGTCCTACTCGGCTATTTGACTCACATCGTAACGATTCGACCTAGAACAGGAATTACTGATATTCCTACCTTTTATCGACGTATTCTGGCTTTAATATGGCCTTGCGGTGGAATAGGGCTAGCAACAGGATCTATATATAAGTCATTGTTTGGAGATAGAATACTCGGAATCCGCGAATACAAGCCCTTTTTTAAAAGCTACGAAAAAGGAAAAATAGACAAGGAAGATAATAAAAAAGAAAATAGCGACGTCGAGACAAGGGACAAAGGAAATGATGACGAAAATACAAACGAGGCTGATAGAATTTCTCAAACTCAGGTGGATTCAGCTTCAGTGGGCTTGTTAACTGTGCCCAGCATATCTACATCAGAGTGCGAGAAAGATAATAAAGAAGCCATCAAGACTTCTGAATTAAACGAGCTTCATTCGGAGGCCTCCAAGCTAAGAGATCAATTAGTCGGCTATATTAAGAAAGAATGTTATTACCTTAAAAAAAAAACGACAATGCACCATACCTTGCAGCCTTTCTACATTTACTTGGTCCTAAAGATGCAAAGAAAACAAAGCACTGTATTCTGAACGGCTCTTTAGTTATCGGTTTTAATGATAGTAATAAGCAGAAAGCTGATCGTTCAACTTGTAAGACCGAGACAATCACTGTCACTGGACCAGGTGCAGCTTGTAAATACCAAAGAACAGTTGATTTCAAAGATGTCTGTTACATGACAGTCGACATGATAAATCAACTTGAAACCGCATACAATATGGATGACACCTCATATCTTGAAATATTTATTACAATCGGACAACTGCTCTTTACCACATTCGAATGCATGGATCTAGACGGAGACAGATGGGCCAAGCTTATTATTATTATGTACACTATAATGTCAGTTCTTCAGACCCTTTCTCTCCTTATGTTGCATAAACAAATATCAACCTTTAGTATCAAGGAAGACGAAGATGAAGAAACACTGCTTAATGACGACGACTCTATTTCGACTGAAGACGAAGATAAGAAAACACTGGTTAATGGCAAAGACTCTATTTCGACTGAAGACGGTAGAAAACACTTGGCTATATATAGTGACCTAGTCAATGAAAGAAATTTCTCCATTACTTTTATTCTTACAGTATTAGTAATATTCTTTCTGATTGGTATATGGGCTGATTATAATAGTCACAGTGTAACTGAATGGCTTGTAGTGTCCTGGATTCTTAGTCCTTTTATTTGTATTTTATTTCGGTATATTTCTGTATTTTTTGAAGATATATATTCTTTTTGCGATAATTAGAACTATAGAAGTAATGGTTTTTTTTTGTTGCCATTGGATGTCTTATTGGAGCTACAATTATTGGATATTTACCAAAATAATATTATACTTCACCTTATATTTCTAATGTATAAAATTAATATGAGTAGCGACCTTTAGAAACTTGCTCCTTTCTCAAATTTTATCCCTATTCTAAGAATATGTATAATGTTACATAAACCACCTTTTCTACCATTATCCAACTTATCGTATTTCTCATTTTCCTTCCATTTTTCTCCTCTTTAGACTTTTCAAATATCGATCAACTTGACCACCAATTTGGATTTTGGTAATTCTTTATTCACTTTTCTCACTTTTCCTAACTGTGCTTTGGGTGGTTACTGTTTTCTATTTCAAGTAAATCTATTTATCCCAGTAAAGGTTTGTTACTTGATGTTGTCCAAAAACTTGAACAAACATATATTTATTTTTCTGCTTATAAAATCAATTGCATTAGTACCTCTTTACTAATTGACTTTACAAACATTTTATTCTGTCTACGTTTTGTCATGTATAACTGTATAATGTATAAAGCCACAAATTACGCAAGCTGCTTATAAAAACAATTTCAAGAATACAATCATATAAATTGTGATGTTTAAAATTTTCTAATCAATAATCAGAGGCTTCAAGTAAGCCACGATTATTCTTGGGCGTTTTAAATCACCAATTACTATCTGCTTTTTATTTTACAAGTTTAAAGATACTAGCATTGCATGCGTACACATATGTTATGTTAAATTATTACTGTCTTTGCCAAATATACTGCCCTGAAACTCTTGTTTACTTAATAAAGTGCAAGATGTATAAATATCTTTCAAATTTTGATAACTGTCAAAAGGTATAGCCCTCACTTTGACTAAACTTATATCTTTAGTATTCATTTTCTAAGCCTTTGGAGGAGCTTTTTTTCTTAAGCCTCTTCAGATATTATATAGCTTATTTTACTCATTTTATTCCATATTTTACAAGTATAACTTACAAATATTTATCCTTTTTATCTCTCTATCTCTCTCTTTTGCATATTTATGTTATATAATGTGCCTACGAAGATTACAGTTTATTTTCTGTCTTTTACTTTTAGCTATTATACCTAATTGTTATGCTCCACCAATTCAACAAGATACTAAAGCAACTAGTAATTTGCCTGTAGTATCAATCTTTAGAACTATACTCTTGGGATACATGACTCATGTCATAACTATACGACCTAAAAAAGGTGTCGGCAAGTTTGGCACTCTTCATCGCCGTGCTATAGCATTTGCTTACCCTTCCAGCGGAATTGGCTTAGCAATAGGGCCTATATACAAATCACTCTATGGAGATAGAATACTCGGAATTTTCCAATATCAATCCTTGTTAAGATCCTACGAAAAAGAAACCAAATCCAAAGACACAGAGAGAAAGGATGACAAGTCTCAGGATCCAACCGATACAGCTTTAAAAGACTCGCTGCTTTTGACAATTAAGTCCACCATACAATACGATAAAATTAGTGCCGATGATAACAAAAAGCTTTCGTCAGAGAAACTTCATTCAAAATCTGTTCATATACGGGATCGATTAGTCAGTGACTTGAAGGCAAGAAATATTTATATTGGAGAAGACGACAATTCACCCTACCTTGCAGCATTTCTATATTTACTTGGCCCCGAAAAAGCAAAGAAAACAAAGCACTGCATTTTAAATACTTCTTTGATTATTGGTTCCAACAATATTGACCAGACTGAATCCAGTGATTCCTACTGTGCGACGGAAGGGATGATTGTTACTGGCCCAGGTGCAGCTAGTAAATACCAAAAAAAGGTTCTGGCAAGCCAAGTCCGTTACATGACAGTCGATATGATAGACCAACTTGAGACGGCACATAATATGGACGACACCTCGTATGTTGAATCATTTGTTACAATTGGACAACTGTTCTTTACCACAATCGAATGCATGGATCTAGACGGAGACCGTTGGGCCAAGGTTATCATTATCATATACACTACAATGTCAGTCCTTCAAACCGTCTCTCTTGTTATGTTGCACAAGCAAACGATGGCCTTTAGTATTAAGGATGATAAAGACGAAGAAGCATCGCTTAAAAGTGACAGTTTTATCCTAACCAAAGAGGATCGCAAACTCTTGGGAGAATTTAGTGACACCCTCATGTTTGAAGAAGAAGATATTGCCATCATCTCCATGCTTGTGGGAATGATAGTATTCTTGATTTTTGGGGTGTGGGCAAACTATGGAAGTCACGGTACAACAGAATGGCTCGTAATATCCTGGATCCTTAGTCCTATTTCTCTTTGTCTTGTTACCGGTTATCTGGTTGGGTTCGATAAAGACAAAGTGTGGATAATTTTATGGGTTTCTCTTCTATCATTTGGTGCTGTTGGATGTCTTATTGCTGCTACGGTCATTGGATATTTGCCCAAGTAATATCAAAACTTTTGTATTTTAATTTGTAATTTATATCTCGCTTTAGAAACAAACAAGCCCATAAACGCACACAAAGATGTCTTGCTTTACTATAGTAAATAGAACGCTTTTATAGTGATATATTTTACTGCTTCTGTGTGTAATACAGTTGTGGATAGAAGCTACAAGTAATCTATACTATCTTAATACCATTGTAAATGCTACATATCCTTCAATATAGAAAATAATTATTCTAGATTACTACAGCAAATAATGTACTACAATAGAAATTAGTATTCAGAATAACTTGATTTTTCGTAAGCATGCTCAGAGATGCTCAACTTGTATACAAAGGCCTTGCAAAAATCTGACCGACATCTTAGGCTAAGCATATATATCGTTAGCAATAATTTTGATGCAGAATAATATAAATCCAAAACTTCATTTACTATGTTGATTGTTTAGCATGAACACTCTGTGAGACAAAAAAAAAGATGCCTTAAAGTTTTGGGGATCAAATACGGTGAGCAGCTTTCAAGAAATAGTGGACCATGTCAGTATTAATTATATCAACTAGTATTCAAATAGAATAAGATAATATACTTTTATTAAATAATTCTAATATAAAAAAAAAGTAGATATGTTCACCAAAACATTTAGATATAAGAACAAGTTGACCACACAAATTCTGTTTGACAAAACAGCTTATATCAACAATGTACTATAACAAGAGAACGATCTAGACACCTTGGGTTTTTTTATGATATAAGAACAATTGCTTTATTGATAGCATACAAGAAATGATAAATATGAAATACAGTCTCTAAGACATACTAAAGTAGTCCTAGTTTAAAGGGCATTAAGAACGGCCAAAGCACACACATTGACATCCAAGTCAATGCAGGCCTGGACGGCGACATCGAGACAGGCCTTGACCTTGGCGCTGATATCGATAGCAAGAGTGACAGCGATCTGTATAAGACCAATAAGGTTGACTTGGAGGTTGTTGATCAAGACATCGACCTGAGCAGAGACGTAGGCGGAGAGCTTGGCCTTGAGAGTGGGGAGGACAACCTTGACCTTGGCCTGGACTGCAGCTTCAATGTCGACAAGGACGGCGAGGAGCTGTTCCTGGGTGAAGGTCTTGCCAATGAGAAGAGCACGGAGGTCGGCATCCAAAACAGCATACACATCGGCCTCTACTTCAGCATCAACCTCAGCTTGAACCTTGACGTTGAGGTCCTTGATGGAAGCATCAACCTTGGCCTTGACGCGGAGATCATCAATAGAGATCAAACCGCCGAGAATACTAGCCTTGATCTGGAGACCAGCCTTGACATCGGCACAGATGGAAGCAACCAAATCAACAAGAACCTTGACCTTGATCTGAGCCTTGACAGCAGCAACAATCTTCACGTACAAATCGGCATCAACAGTAACGGGGTAGTTGGTACGCTTGACCAATTCAATAGCAGGTGATTCGGCAACCTCAACAACAGTGAGTTCCTTGGGAGTAGGCATGGCAGAAGTGCAGGCAATAAGAGCCATGAGGAAAACGAGGAGAGTGGAGATGCTGAACTTCATTGTTGTTGATAGAAGAGAAAAGAGCTGGATACCGTTTTCTGGGAGACTTTGGTTGCTTCCTTTTATATAGGAATCAAGATCCCGTATAAGTTTTCAAGTATTGTTCTAGAGCGCCAATCTTTTTCCATATTGCACAAGGGGAGGATACTCTTTTTTTTCCAATTGATAAGTAACACGGATGGTCAGTATGGATATCGTTTATCCCCCTTGGTTTTCGTTCTCCATAAATGTAAGTACAAAGAAATAATATGACCGACATGTAGTCTACTTCAGCTCTTCCAAAATATTCAGGAACACAGATAACCTGCGAATGGGAATTAAAGGTGAGAATTATACAGGCACACATATACATTCTTGTAAACGTGGCCTTAAAAATCTTTGTGTAGTGGTTGGCTCCACAAGTTTAAGCTAACTTCTTAAACGACATACATATGCTGTGTGCTGAATGTAAAGTGAAAACTTAAAACAAACAGTATAGATATCTATAATCTACCATGGAGCGGAGGACCAATACAGCAACGATGGGCGCGTACACATCTGGTACAACCCATTTTTTGTACTCCATAGTTTAAGCACGGCATCCCCAAAATATAAAACGCATCAAAGAGATTATGTAACAGAACGTCTTGATCACCAATACATGGCTCGAATAAGTCAAGAAAAAATAAAGGTATATTTACTATAAAGCACCCAAAGTGAACGCAAACACTTTAAGGTATCCTTATTCAAGCGAATAGCGCTCTCCTAGGCTACACTTATTATCGATCCTGCCTATATATTTTATCCTCAATTGTGCCACTTTGTGGTCGGGATGTATGGCTGTTTTGCAGTAGTGAGATATATACATATACTTTATACTTTATACTTTAAAATCTATTAATATGTGAATTATTTTTCCCATTTTTAATGCAAAAAGTCGTCTCTTTTGAATCTCAGCTGTGTTAAATGTTTAAAGAGGCTCAGTGTACAATGCCTGGGCCTACAAAACATAACCGCTTGTAGTCATTCCTTCAAACTTCCCCCCCCCCCCCTATACAACTACAGTTTAAAAGGTCCCGGGAATTTATTTTTGTCTCAAGAATACAGCTAGTATGCGCCTGTTATATTAATATGTATCCCATCACAGCAGAAAAGAGATCAAGGCAACGTGGGTGTGGCAAAAAAAAAAAAAAACAAACCATACCTCCCTAAAATATATAAACAAAATATAGTATATATAACAAATTGTCAATAGACATGTCAATCGCTGTAATAGAATCAGTTTATGGACGAATCAAAGGTCTAATATATTATTAAAGACCTTTATTTTATCTGAAATGGATATTGCTATTGGCATGGTGTAGTAACTTGCTGTACTCAGGTACATACTTCATTAGCAAACAAGTAGATAATTTTAGAAAACGCTTTTTTTGTATCCCACAGACTTCGCTCGGATCTTGATGGTCTACCATTTCTACGGCTTTGATTTGTTAATAGTATATTCCTTCTATGGTTTATTGTACTTTACACAGCATAAAGAAAGCTGAAAATATTCGAGACAAATCCAGTTTTTTCTCCATTTGGTGTTTACACGGACTTAATATTGGGTACACTTCCTTTGTGAATGCCTTAATTTGCGTTTTCTGTAGCTTGGATATTGAAATACAAGAACAAAACCTACTCCATATATATATTTCGGTTCTTCTGAGTGTTTTACAAAATTACATTTCTTCTTCTTATTCTCACGGTAATTCTGGTTACAATGGCTTCTATTTTTAATAGAGGAGCTTTCCCAAAGAATAATAATAAGAAAAACAGTAGTTATTCTAAGCAAGAGTACCACAAATCTAAAAAGGAATACTATAAAAGTTGTTTTTCAAAGCTTGAGAATATACATATATTAAGATCAAAAACTAGGAAGCATTATTATCTATCTCTGTAAGATTACTTTCTTACTAGAATAGAGATCTTTAGTACAGATAGCGACATCTATCACTGCGTTTGTTTATTTAGCTCTGTACTTTCCTCGTTTCGGATTTCTTTGTGAAGAAGAAAGATCTTCTTAATCAGTGTAACCTAAGTAACTTGCTTTATATTATAATTCTCTTATTTTTTATTTATATATTTTTGCTCTCTTGTACTCCTCTAACGCCCAAGCGGAACACAAGAGGGCACGGATATGGAAGATACTAATCTACATTTGCAGCCAGCTTCACCCTCGCGCCACACAAAACGAGGATTGCATGAGCATCTACTTTAAGGATTTATTTTATATATATATAAATAAATATATACACAAGATATTTTGGACTAAATGAAAAGATTAGATAGTAATTGATGTAAAAGAGCTATCCATTAAAAAACAATCCTCAAACAGAAATAAAAATAAAAGTTAAATGCAGTATATAGATCTTACATACATGCGTCTAAAGGAAAAAGATACAATTAGTACTATTATTGTGGAGAGAACGTATTGTATTTTGATAAGCACTATAACCAATCCTGTAATATCCTATTATTCTACTTTATTTTTGGTTTGTTTTCTTTGTGCACAAGTGCTTGTATTGATGTACTTAATTCACACTACATACTATCACAAATGTTCTGTGTCAAGATTGTATATGATAAAACATTGCTTACAGCGTGGTTTGCAATAAAAACTGTTTGTTACAATAGATAAGCCTGTGGTTGGAGTAATTGATAATGACAGGTGTATAGTTTTCATACTATGTGAGTTTTTCAGCTTATTATATTAATCCTCCCAGGATATAACTTCAAGCAAATAAATTTATTTTAGATAATGTTCTCTAACTGGATGGGACAGCTCTTTTTATTTATTTTAGTATCTAGCTGCCTGTAAACTAATAAGACCTCTGCATCCATGAAATAAAAACGTTTTATCTTCTGTTATAAAGGTTAGATCAATTTTAAACCATGCGTTAAAAGCTCGCTGATATCATTTTATGATAATAAGAATAATAAGATATTAATATTATCCGATAGTTCTTTAGTTATTTCTCTTTCTGATAATAGCTGTACGATATTATATTTGGCGTTGCTTTACAGAAAAGACAAGATTATCTAGTACAAAAAAGCTGGATATAAAGACATTTAGCTTCAAGTCAAAACTTGCGTGCTATATATATTTTTTGACATGCTTCAAAGATAAGCCTTACAAAAATCTTTTAAGGCTTGAGGATAAATATATTAAATATATTGCGATGTTTTACATACATGTTTTTGAATCAAAATTAAGTCCAACAATTAACTCCCATTACATGATAGATTGCCTATATACTTTACAGCTATAAGAAAAGTGACAGATAGAATACATATTTTGATGTTAGTATTTGCTACCCAAAATACTATGATAATTGCTTTTGGCTTCCAATCTAAATAACAAATGCTATTGGTATTTCAGAAACGTTAGCTAAACATTAATTATTAATTTTGATAACTTCTCTGTGATAATTATTACAAAACACTGCCATGTGTTCATTATTTTTTTTTGGGTGGTATACACTTTGATTTTGGCAATTTAAATAACATCTTCTAGTGGTGGAAATATCGATATTGATCTGTTGCTGAATAAATAGACACTGACTGACATTGCTTAACGTTTTATACAACTTTACTTGCTAGAAAAAAACACACCGGTTTCCAATTATTTTTTAGTTATATGCCCTGAGGGAAAAGTGAGATCAAAAAATTGACTTTTTGGTGCAAATAGCCTGATTTGTATTAATAAATGGTTTTCTTAGAGTAAAAAAATATGATATTTTGATCAATGTTTGAGCAATCAACATAAACCATTGTTTATATAATGGATCTTAGTGTGCTCCACCAGATTATTTATTTATGTAAAAGCACTCTGCATAATCGATTTAGATATATAGCTGATTTTCTGTATTTGATTTGTCAATTTGATCAAAATGATCCTTTTTATTATACAGTTGCTCATTTCAGCAGTAAATTCAACCATCTTTAGTATATAGTTGTCTGATTAATTAAATATTGTCTAAAGTTTTAATAGCTAAAATACTGAAGCCTCGACCTTCATTCATATTGTATAAATTAACAGAACTAACTTCCAAACGATGTGGGTGGCATTGCAGCCTATAGTTAACATACAGAACATAACAACCTTTAAACTGTCTACATGGCGTTGAAGCCTCCACCTGGCTCACAGGATACACCAACCGCTAATTGATCCACATGAAATCGTGACCTCCAATTGACCCACACAGCACCTTATCAAAGCTCTTCAAAAATAAACTCGTTTATTTTGACCATCGCACACACAAACCATCTTTATATTTAAAATATTTTTAAAGTATTATATTCTGAGGATTGATGAGTGCCATTATTGTATTATCAGATCCCTTCAATGTGTGTATGGTCTCTTGAATTTTTGTGCTTTGACAGGCTGCAAATAATTTATATACTTTAATATAAACCAACGTACCTTCCTGCAAAATATAATAAACCCCGACGTGCAAACAGCTTGAAAGGATCAAGCCTCAAAAATGAAAACAGCTACCAAGCGTGTAAAGCAGACAATCTTGCCATAGTGGTTTCCTTATGAAAGTCTTTATTAAATCCTCTAAGATAAATCAACTTGTTTTAAAAAAAAAGACCTTTCTCTTGTATTTTGCTGTATCCAATATTGATCACTATTAAGAACTATACACAACTTTTGGTATCATATATAAAACTTTACATATTGCTCTTGTAATAGTCAAAACTCTATTACATTTCTAAGAAATCAATCAGACATCGACTGTGCGTATATATACCAAGCACGTTCAAGAGTTTAACAATTTTTAAACGCGTGTTCATTCTGTTTTTTACCCTAAAAACACTTGTTTTCTATCATGATTGGCTGGTAAAAGGAAGCGCGAATCAACATCGGACGTCAGGCTAAATGAGAAAAATAGAAAATTGATCTCTAATGCGCAATGTTTTGACAAACTCATTTCTGCAAGAACATTATGAGAGTTATATATAAGCTAATGAGCTATTCGCATGAGCAGAATTGTAGTTCTTGATGGTAAATAAGGTTTCGCATCGTTGTTGCTCGTCTTTTTCTGTTTTTTGTGTCCTTTTTTGTTTACTTTTTGCTTTTTTTTTCATAGTCTTTAGCTCTAGTAGTCACATGCATATGAAAATAGTCACGCATTTTTCCCTTTAGTTTTTTTGCAGGTGTACACGTCAGCGATGAAAGAATAGAAGAGATGTGTAAAGTAGATGGAAGACTCCATTTACTTTATTCCTCTTCACTAAAAAGGAGCTCGTGAAACTCAACTCCGTTAAAGTAGTTGAAGTGACGATTGACGTTCTTTCAAAAAATAAAGTGTGTGTGTGTGCTAGGTACCACCACACTCGCCTGTGATCTTTTTTGTTTGGAATTAGTGAGTTTAATAAGAAAATGCAGCATGATTGTATTGAAGTTCTGTTGATATTTTATAGAGTTAGGAAGCTCAAAAAAAAAGGTAGACCTTTTAAAATATAACTTGTATGAAACTTAGAATAAATAATTAAGAACGGTATTGGTCAAACTGGCTGTACCAGCAATAATGATACTATACTAGGAACATCTTCAGAGCATCTTTACCTGTCCACTTTGACTTCATTTTTATCTTACATTTAAAATTGATTGTTGAAGGTGCTCTAACAACAACAGAGAAGACAGACTTGATTATTTTCTTTATTAGGTAAATAAAAGCCAGGATATTCCTTTTAAGTCTTTTTTTTTTAGAAAAAAAAAACATTCATGGTCAAGAGCTACTACAGTCTAGGTGGCGTTATTCCCAAGGCAATCAAGTCGTTTCAATCAAGTTTTTTTGCTTTTGTTTTTTTTTGTTTTTGAGTGACCCCAATAAGTATACAAGTATGCATACGAGTCTATATATATATGGTCATTTATTCATTGCACTTCAATTGGACTTGTCTCCATTGAATCAGTAAAGTACAAAATGCCTCTTTCTATATATAATACGATTCATTTTGATTTCTTTTTATCAAGTAACAGAGTACTAAGGTTTGTGTAGATAAGAGCTGTCAGAGTCTAAGAGTCGAGGTGTATATATATATATTGGGTTTCCTGATCTGAATATCATTTTCCTCAGCCAGCCAAGACTCTAAGCTACATTACAGTAATGCAACTTTCATTTAATTTAGAAATAATTGCTTCACAGGTTAATTGTAAACCTCAATAAAGATGTGATAAGCGTCACAAGTTATAAACACACATTTGGGAAAGAGATCCCGTAATAGTGAGGGGTGAAATCCAAGTTGGCTGATTTGATCATTTATTATTTCCAGGCTCAGTTGATCAATATAATCACACAACAATTTGTTCGTGGCCACCACATTATTTATTACTAAAGGTGAAGTTTGAATTTGGTGTGCTTGACCTGTCAAGAGAATTGTTACTAATTGTCATGGTTGATCACTAATACCAAATAACAACAAGATGATGGGCAATAATAAGCTAATAAATTCAGTGCGTTTTGGGGTGACCATCCTTTACTGATCTTATCTGTCTACTTCAGGCGTAATGTTTTCTTTTATATATATAAAAGACCAAGAAAATGAGAAGAGCGAAAAACAGACTTGATATTCTGAAAATTGGAATAGTTCGGTTTCATCTTTGTTGTATATATAATCAAAATTAGAATCATACACACACACAACATTAGAGATAACAATACAAATATATATTATTACCAGCGCATTTTGCTAGAGATTTCCTTGTTTACAAGTAATTATTTATTTAGGAAGGTAGGTTTGTAAATTGTAGGCAAAAGATTGAAGATTATCTTTATATATATATATTAGTTTGGATCTATCTCTTTATTTCTATATATACATATAAGTTGAGGCTGTAGAGCTGCATATAGTGTGCAGATATTAAACATAATACTGGCGTGTGTATTTATGCACAGTAATATTTATTTGTATACATATTTGACATGAATGGATACATATAATATGGAGTTTATTTTATGAGACCAAAGGCTCATTAAAAAGAAAAGAAAATTAGGCTTGAAATTGATGTTTGATTTGATAAAATTTGTTGAATACGTTTCAGTTCCACCTATTTGTTCTTGTTTTTCAATGCTTGAATATACTGGGACCTGTTCAGAACAATAAGATAAAAATTATAAAGAATCATAAAAAAAATGATTTAAATAATCTGCTGTTGTTCATCATTGTAAAGCCTATTTACGTTTGATTGCACCTATCAAGGTACATTTAAGATTACAAAGTCTAAAGCCAAGATTCGAAAAGAAAACAAATGAGGTGTATCTAATTTATCTATTTCCTTTTATTAATCTCCACCGACCAGAGATAGCAAACAAGTACATATTCATAAATAAATAAGAGTATCATTTTGTACCTTGTTTAAATATAATATTATTTTTGAACGCTTGGCCATTAAAGTAACAAACCTGGGTTATAGGCAAGAAATAGCAAATACCTTTTATAATCTTCATCCCTTGTAAATAATAAAAGTATATATACACATACACATACACATACACACAATAAAGTCAATTCACTTGGTGTTACACAGATGCTTTTTAATACATATTTTATTTGGCTGGATATTAACATTGACATCATTATACCGTAAGAGTTAGGCTCTAAAGAAGAACGTTAAAGCTAAATGACAATTGATGATATTAAAGAATTAGACACATTAGAGATAGTGTATATGATTTTTGTTTAATGTGATCTTTTAAATAAGTGAAAGATGTGAGAATTGTGTAGCCTACCGTGCGATTATAGATATATATAGCTGTATATAGGATTAATAGTAGTGATCAAAGTTAGCTGATTATTCAAAAATAAACTTGCTGTTATTTGAGATAACTAACCAACTCGTTTTTTAAACTTTCTTTTTCTTTTTCTTTAATATTAATACCAGTACTGGTGGATCATCGATCTTATTGGCTATAATCAATATAATTGTATTTCTGATTATTATTTTAGCAATAGAATTTTCATCCACTCATTTCTTTTTATATATATATATATACATCTTAACACAAATGAATTTGTAGACTGATTGTAACCCTTTAACCAATCAAATACCAGTTCTCCTAATTAGACTTTTATGTGACCAATCACTTTTACAGTTGATTAACATAATCGTAGAAATAAGAAAGGAATATTATGTTATATTAAAGCAATTCGATCAACAAGGGACACTTCTTGGATTCATTTTCAATTTCAATTTCATTTTCATATTTAATTTCATTAGAAGCAAAATTCAATAAGAGAATATTCCATTGTTAGCAATCAATAATAAGTAATGAACATAAAGGAGTGTCTCATTTAGGCATTTTTAAGCAACTCCCTCGTTTTCTGCCTTTCTCACACAAAATAACAACTCTCTATTTTCTCCGGAATGAATTTATCTCACCATACATCATGCCTTTTTTTTCTTTTTCTTATTGCTTTTATAAACTAGACTCCGATTGAATGTGACGTATCATATATAAATATTTTATTTTATTTTATTTTATTTTTTGGGTTTAAAAACCAAGTGCTCTAAAATAAAGCGTACCTTGATTCTCATTTAATTTTTCATACATCATCCATCTTCAAACTTCTTCGGTAGCTCTCTTTTTTTATATATCTCCTTTTGTTCTTGTTCTTGCTCTTGTTCTATTGATATTTGCTGTCCTTTATTGAACAAAGTTATTCTAATAATGGCAGACTTTATTTGTCTAGCAATGGCTACTCAGTTCTCAGAGCCTCCGGTAGAGACAGCGTTTCATTCAACTTCCTCTTCACCTCCTCATGGATCTCTTCGTCGATCTCTTCACATCCCCCAGGGCGCGACCTCATTGATCTCTCGCCGATTTTCTCGTACTTCAGGTGTCAGACAATCATCTGAACCTGTAGACATCTTTGCTGTTGATGACCACCAACAACCTCCCCAACAAATCCCGCAATTACCTACACTTCATGTTCGCATTGTTCCAAGTATTGAAAATCCAAACCGTTGCATGATATTTGATATTGTAGATCGAGTATTGGAGGCTGGGACAATCATCAAACTTGGTAGATTCGCAGAACGAGCAATGGCAGAAAATCACTTGTCTTTCAAAAGCAAGGTTGTTTCTCGATCTCACTGCGAAATCCGTATGGAACACGATGGCAAGGTACGCTTGATCTATTGAACACAAACTGGTGTTTAAATTAGGTGCCACCAACTTACATATGGGCATGTCATGCCATATTTTTCTTTTTCTTTTTCTTCTTGTTCTTAATAGCTCTATGTTCGCGATACAAGGTCATCTTCTGGAACATTTCTCAACCACGTTCGCCTGTCTCCAGCAAACCAGGAGAGCAAGAATACCGAAATCAAGGATGGCGACATTGTCCAACTAGGCGTAGATTATCAGGGCGGTCTGGACGAAATCTATCGATCTGTAAAAATGCGTTTCGAGGTCAATCACACCCAAAATCAAACAAACTCGTACAGCGTGTCAGCTTTCACAAACCTGCGAAATTTCACTAGCCCTCCCAGGCACATGTGTTCTAGTAATCCAGGCCACGGAACCAGTAACCTTTCGGCTGGTGTTGCTGCTTGTGCTGCTGCCTGTGTTGCTTCTACTGGCGGTAGTGGCTGCACTGATACTGCTGCTTCTGGGTCGGCTGTTTCTTGCACACAACAACAGGTGATGGCTACAACAATGTCAGCAGATGATTTTTACCCAGAAGAATCAGTCGAGGTCGAAGAATGCTGTATTTGTCTATATGCCATCGCACCATTCCAGGCCCTGTTTGTTGCTCCCTGCGCTCACTCCTACCACTACAAGTGCATCAGACCCCTTCTCAAAAGCTATCCAGGCTTCCAATGCCCAATCTGCAGAACTTATTCTGATCTTGAAGCCAGTGTGGCTATTGAAGCCGAAGAGGTCATTGAAAAGTATCACACCAGATCCCCCATGGCCATATCACCTCCTCTTCAGTCCTCTATCCCATTACCACAAGCACAGTCGTTATTACTTTCTACAAATCCTGGACCTGTTTCGCCTTCTCCTGTCATTGCACAGCCCCTAGAAACAGTCAGTGCCGCAAACAGCACCGATAGATCTCTGGATCGACCACACGGACAGCCAATTGAACAGTCAGATGAAGAGCTAGAGTTACCACCTTTTGAAGACACTGTCGAACTCACACCACAGGAAACCATTGCAGTAGCGCATCCAATCGCTGTCACAGAATCTGCTCTCCTTGATCCCCTGTCCACATTTGTTCCTTCTCCTGCTCTCTCCCGCACACAATCAGGTAATTTGTTATATATATTTTTTTTAGTATTTATTTTAGTGTTGTGAAACATCGTCTGACCAAATGAAATAAATATATATACATGGATACAAGAATGAATAAATGAAATGAATGAGTAAAGAAGGCTTACACAACCGTTTTGTACTTTTCTTATAGCACGAGACACAGACGCTGTAGATTTTGAAGGAGCAATAAGACCACCACTTCCTCTGCCAACAGGAACAACAGGAACAGAAGTAGTAAGAGAAGAAGACGAGGAATATGAAGAAGCGTCACAGGGAAATTCTGCCAGACGCGCCACCGAGGCACTGTCACCATCACTGTCACCATCATCATCACCACCTGCCTCATCCTCAATACCCGACCGTCGCACTACAAACCTAATGGAGAAAATACGAATGGCTTTTTCTGAAAAGAGAAAACCAACAGTGTCTGGAAGAAGCGAAGGTCGCAATAGTAGAGCACGGTCAGCAACAGGATATAGCAATGTTAACGAGGACGAAGAGATGATGGACGGTGGTCTCTCGGATGACCCTTACAGCCCCACATCGTCTTCACCATCACCCCCTTCCAGCCCTGGAGGATTCCAGCGCTCTTTGTCTGTCATCACACACACTCTTTCTCGTCAATCCACTACACACAATAATACCCTTGCCAATATTGAAGAAGAAGAAAGACCCGAGGATCGAAACAACCGACAGTGGAATTCTTCTGATCCTTCTGCTTGGATGTATTGTGCATAAAGCAACCACCAAAAAAAACTAACCCTCTCTTACTACTTTCATCTTTATTTCTTTGCAACACTTCTTTATTTTACTTTTTTTGTTTGATTGTTTTTTTTTATCTTTTGCTTGTTTTCTATATATTTATTATATATATATATATATATATTATCATTTATCATTAATTATTTTCAAATTTCTATGTAATTAATATTTTTCTTTTGGTTGTTAAATATCAATCATTTTTTTTTTCACTTTTCTACTACTTCTTCATCTTCTTCATCATCTTTTTCTTCTCCTTTTTGGTCCCTCGAATTTCCTCTCCTATCAAGGATTCCTTATTATATTATATTTCCTTTATATATATTTATATATTTTATAAACTGTATTTCTTTGAGGAAATATTTCAATGTATAATCCACGTTCCTACTCAATATAAAGACTCAACCCTGCCTTTTATATATACATGTAGCAATAGATTGTTTGTCTGTTTGCTTGTTTGCTTGTATGCACGTATGTTTGAGCTTTGTGTTTGTGTTTGTGTTTGAGTTTTTATTTTATTTTACTGTCTTGTTCTGTGGAAATTTTTTCTCCTGTAAAGCATCACAAAATCAGATACAATACGTCGTACAGAAGCCCATTTCTTGGCTTGAATAGCACTACAAATAAACACACGCACACATAAATAAGTAAGAGAACAGAATGAAAATAAAGTATAGATTATCATGAGTTTCCAGGATTTTTATTTTTCTCGATTCCAAAAACGATAAAAAAAAAAGAAACAAACTTAAAATAAAGTAAAATAGCAAATTCACTTACTTTGTGTAGTTTCCCAGGAAATCCCGTTTCTCTGCCACAGTCAGAGATTGTTCCGAAACTCCAGTCACTACTCTGATGGTCCACTGCATACTCTCGATTGGTAGGAGCTGCGAGAGCGACCGTAGTAGAGACGCGACGTCGGGTACGATCTCCCATTGATAGTAATTCAATAGGCCACAAAAAAGAAGCTCAAAGAAACTATTTCCGGATTGCTTGAACAGGCACAAAATGCGTGATCTATCAAGTCCGAAAACAAAAGCGGAGGATTGTAGTGCGTGTGCTTGTGCTGGAGCTGGTGTTAGTGGCAGTAGTAGTGGTAGTGGTGGTGGTAGTGGTGGTGGTTGTTGTTGTACACCTGACACCTGATTTGAGTCCAATTCGTCCACTGATAAGGTGATACCAAGTAACCGTCGATAGAAAATCAGGACAGCTGCAATTGTATTTGATTCTCTCATCCCAAGTCCTGCAAGACCTGCCTGAAAGACTGAAGGAAGAAGATGGCTCTGTACAAGTGGAATCGGTGCACGGTCCAAAAACGCAGCCACAAGTCTAAAGTAATGTTCAATAACTGTAAATAGAAACAGATATATATATATAAAAGAGAATATAGAGAAAATAAAGAGGAAACAATGGTTATTATTGTCATTTGTTATTATTGATATTATTTCAATTGTTGTTGCCATGGTTATTGTTTCCATGGTTATTATTGATGTGTGCATTTTATAAAAATAAAATAAAATAAGAATAAAAAAATTCATATATATATATATATATAAAATAGTTAATAGAGATTTAAAGGTTATTTCTTTTTTTTTCTTTTGGTAATTTGATGTTTTTTTTTTATTATTATTATTATAGTTACAGTTATTATTAGTATTACTATCAGTATTAGTATTTCTATTGTTATTATTACTACCAGTGCTAGCACTTCTACTACTACTATTCTTAGCAATAGTGGTAAAAGTATTAAAATTAATATTAATATTAGTATTAGTATTACCATCAGGAATGTCTCCAAATGAACATTGGTCAAGTCTGAGAAAAAGGGACGAACTTAGTCGTTCGACTAGCCCAAAGCATGGTGGAACACTGTCGGTACCCTCGACTGTGTATTCTTTTATAATCAGGGTGGCTACCCAGAGATAGATACTCAGGCCACTCTTCTCAAACACATGTACGATACGTTCCATTAACTGGGGAAGAAATGGGCAGAAATGAGATTTGTAAGATCGGATGGCATTCTCAAACACTCTGCACAGACTGTCCGCAAAGCTTTTCACGGTTCCTAGATTCCCAAAGCACAAATCAAATACCGGCCAAATATCTCCTAGGAAGTCAACACAAGGGTGGGGTAAGTTATTGGGAATCTGGAGACGCACGATATCAAAGTATATTCCTATTTGCGACAGGAGATCTACAAGTAAGAAATATATAATATTAAAATTAAATTGAGTTCAATTGAATTGAATTAGATTCCATTGAATTAAAAGTGTGTCTATACATATATCATCACGGTCTCAAATTACTCTTTAGATACTTACCTCCTGCCTTGGTGATCTCCTTGTGACACAATATAGCCTTGTCCTTGGAGACAATGTCATGCAAATCTTGAGCCAATGGCAAACAAAACAATTGTAGTGTACTGTACACTTGAGTCGTCGGCAGGACAGCCAGTACATGCGCTACTGCTTTTGTTACCTCGAATGCATCTTCAAGAGACAATGATCGAACTATGGCAAGATAAAATAAATGTAATTGGGCTACATAGTCTACCAACAGCTAAACAGGATAAAAAAAAAGTAAATATATGAATAATATCTTATTAACATAAAGATAACCACAATAATCTTTGATAAAATATTACCTCGCTGCAGTCTTTACAGAGATACTTGAGTGCAAGTGCACTGGCAGCTACAACTTCGTCATTTTGGAAACCAGCCGAAATGAAGTTGAGTTGGTAGATGATATATTCTGGATGAAGACGAGTCCAGAACGAGTAGCGGGAGATGACCAGGGTTGCTGCGTAGCGAGTCTTGGGATGATCGGGGATTATTGACAAGAGTTCCATGATATGAGGCATGACCTGATCTTCATTTGCCGGTACTTCTGAGCCCATGGCCCTCAGAGAGAATATAGGGGCCTCGATCTCTTGCCAACTGACACCACCAGCCTGGTTGTTCTCGAGCATTACCATCACCTTCTTTAATCGGCTGAGCGGCTTACTCAGACACCTTTGTGGAGACAGAATCCGGCAGCAGTCCTTGAGTGTGTCGCCCATCTGGTGTCGAAAGTCTCTAAAGTCGTCTCTGTCCTTGGCAGTCCAGCTCGCCGTAGATTGTGGATAATGTAGGTGGCAGATAAGCGTGTCAGCGAGGGCGTCGTAGTAGCAGTAGAACATCGAGACGTCCTGGTGTTCTCGCCACGACACCAGAGCCGTGGTCAACTCAGACCAGAACTTGAATGTCATCTGGACAACGTCGAGGTCGTCGTGTGCCGTGCACTCTGCCACACCGTCCAGAATGGTGCAAAAGTAGTCTGGATACCTGACCACCAGTGGTAAGTATGCCTCGCCAGCCTCCACAAATATTCGGCAGAATCCACGGATCTTGTCTGTGTTGGCGTCGGACTTGGCGTCCTTTAGGTATCTGAGAATCGTTGCAAAGTAAGGGTGGATCGTCTTGATCATCGATCGGGACTTCACCAGCTCTTTCTTGGTTTCGTGGATCATCTCACACACCACGTCTGCGCACACATCAAACAGGTCCTCGCTCGCAAGCCCTCTGAATGCAACCCCAAGTAATGGGCTTGCTCTCAATAGCTGTGTTTCCACATTACCTGTCCTGAGCCAGCTACAAAGACAGCGCAATAGGCAATCTTGCAAATCGATATTCCCTTCTACAAAAGGTAACATACACAAAAATGTACATGTGTATACAAATAAATTATCAAATAAATGTATATTTTGTCTATCTCTCTTTGTGTGTGTGTGGATAATTGGGTACACAGATACATAGAGAGGAAGGTAGATATATATATATATATATATATATTGTTATTATTAAAGAAAAATAGCTTACCACTAATATCCATATATGATAATAATAATTTTATAACTTGCTTAGAATTCTGCTTTACCAAGACATTACTTCTTTCTTGAAACTCTACATCCTATTACTCTTATCTTTATAAACTTTAACTGTATTTTATATATACATGTGTGTGTGTAATAATAATGATAAAGATATATTATATATATAAAGGTTTCTAAACTCACCGAAAGTGGTAATCTACTATTGCCACTCATTTCTTCTGGCAAGACTTTTAGGAATTCGATCAAGACAATGTGTGACTCTGGAGACTTTCCGAACTTCTGGACAATATCCTGTACAGGATACTTCCAAGAGGTAATTTGGATAGCCAGGTCAGCCACGGCTAGGCAAAGTTGGATCATAATTACTTTGGGCCCTGATATTGAAACCCAAAGTAACTCTACAAGTGAATCTCTAAGATCCATTTGGGTGGGATGATCTAAATCTCTTAGATCATATGTCACCTATAGTGTACATTAGCGAAATGAGAGACAATAAAACAACGATAGCAATAATGATAATGATAACGAGAATAATAGGAAAACAGATAGCGGACCTTTTGTCTAAAAGTCTGTGCGGCAAAATGTTTTGTTTCAATATTTGTGTCTTGGGATCGTAAAAGATAATCAGCAATTGTCCATGCTTCTGGCTTGTTGTAAATTATGTATGCGGATGAGCATGAGAATTATATAATCACAACCAAAATTCTCAATATCTTACTATTACTAAACACTCGCCTTCTCTACCCTTCCTCCCCCCCTTTTTTTTCTCTTTTCTTTCTTACCTGCTTTTGAAAGTCTTCTAACCAATTGTTGGCATCTTGTCTTGATTGCACATTGGTGGCCGAGTACAATAATGAAAGAGCTTCCAATACTTGTGCGACTGATCCAATCGACATTTGCTAGCAAGACAAAGGGAATCTCAGATGAGCTTCTTCGCAGGTTGAAATCAACGTCACAGTCCCAATCCCCCTGGATGAAAGAGGTCCATTTACGGGATATTTTCATCTTTTGTATATATATATATATGTATGTATGTATGTATGCGTGTATGTATACCTATGTGTGTGTACGCTTGCATGTATATATGTATGCATACATATGTAAATATATACATATAATGCATATAATACATACAGTACAAAATGTGATAAAAATCTGTGTAGCTTCAAAGAGATTTTAAGATGTAATCATCTTTCCCTCCCCTTTGCTTATATTTTCTTCTTTACCAAGTATATATATTATATGTGGATATGCGTTTCTCAATTCTCGCACATAACACAATGATATGGATTGCTGACTCTTTCTTAATTTTAAACTCTTGTGATTGAGTAGATCGAGATAGAGAGAGATATACATAATTAAGCTTACACATCCATGTATACGCTTATTAATGGCTGGTCTTTAGATCCTTCACCAAAAGAATTTTAAAAAAAAAAGCGGCGAAAGAGGGATAGATTGAGGATAAAGGAGAATTCGATGGTATTTTCGATGAGAAGTAGGATTTCCCACATTATGCTATTGATCGATTATCCAACTGACAATATTAGACAAAATAAGATAAAATATAAAGTAACCAATAGCCTGGTGTGAATTGTATATACTTACTGTTAATTACTAAGCATATTTGCTTCCTTTTTTTTATCATTATTTTTATTAAAAGAAGGTCTAGTATATATATGTATATTCTTTAAAGGTGTCTATCTAAAGAAAGAAACAGAATGAAGATTGTTTTTTGAAGAAGTAAACGAACAGATATCTTTCTCTTTTTTGTTGTTGTTAATGGTTTTAATTTAGATCTTCTGGTAATATATATTTTATCTACATGGAAACTTCTCTATCTATGATACAGATGAACCAACTCTTCCACAGCGTTCATATGTCTCATCCTGGAGCATGTACGCTGGTTTGAATCCATCTCCTGATTCATTTCGTAGTTGTGGATTGGGGTGTGTGTTTTCCATACTTCCTAAAGAAGTATAACTTGTAGATTTCCCGAATCATATTAGACCCCATGTAAGTTCACGCACTCTCCCACTTGCCCTCTTGCACTCTTGTGCATAGGTGTGTATATCGTATTAAAGATCAAAGGTTCCCCCTCCTTACCCTACTTCACATCCTTCCTTTCCCACACCCCTTCCAAGAAAACAAATAAATAAATAATCCAAAACTCACCCATAATCATAAAGAGAACAATATGGTATCCGCAGCTTCAACAGGAAACCCCAGATATCTTTATAGGTCCAATCGATGATTGGATGGACACGCATGAAATCTGGCCAACCCTTGTCGGTCTTGTTGAAATGAGTCAAGGTTTCTAAGATATATATATACGCACATTGTCAATTATTACTTTTGATCTATTAATAATATGTATGTACATATAAAATTAAATTTACCTGCGTATGGATCATTGCGTCGAATTCCTACAAAGATTGCTTTTGGACTTGGAGAAGAGCAACTGAGAAATTCTTGAAGTGCAGGACGCATAGGTCCAGGAATTGCAATACAATCGAGGTGGTATCGACGAGTACACACATTCACAAACGCATCCACATGAGGAAATGGGTTTGGGCATGTCACAAATACTGTCCTCAGATGCTGTCTGTCCTTGTGTAAGCGAGACAGGACTGCGACAACGAGATGAAGTAAGACAGTACAATCCTTGCCTCCATTAAAAGACAGAGCGGTTGCATCTAGACTTCAAGACATTGAAATGTATATACATGTATATAATGATGATACAGAAAGAAAGAAAGAAACAAAGAGAGAGAGAAAAAAGATACAAAGATTAATACATTATGATTGATTTGCTTAAAAATAAAATAAAGTAAATGTATAAAGGTAATGAAATTAATGGTTAAATTCATTTAATGAATGGTTACTTTTGTCAACTATTTTCTCGTCTTTTTGTGTATATATATATATACATATATTACCCATAAGTTTTGTAGGTTTGTTCAATTACACTCAATGCTTCTTTCACCTGAGGTCCCAAGGTATCGTCTGAGTCAGCAAATTCGTAGACTGTACGTTCAATATAGCCAAAGTCATATTTGTCCTTTGTTTCCAATACGGGATCCACTTGTCGAGTTGTACATCCATCGTTGTTAAGTTTTGTGGTTTGGATAGAATAGTTAGCTGTCATTGCTAAAGGGAGGGAGAAAGAAGAAAGAGAGGGCAAAAAGCTTATAGTAATATAATAGTAGTAATAGTGTGTATATTGATGACAGTAATAATTGTAAAATTGTTAAGAAATATATAAAATAGGGTCAATCCCAATTCAGTTCTCAGTTCAGTTCAGTTCTCAGTTCAGTTCAATTCAGTTCAATTCAGTTCAATTCAGTTCAATTCAGTTCAATTCAATTTTTCTGTTACTTTTTTTTTTTATTTTTATAATATATTTTATGTTGACGGTGTCTCTAATTTTCTGGGGAGAAAGAAAATATGAATTTTCATTGTCCTTTTTGGTCTTTCTATCTATCTCTCTATATCTCTATCACTACCTATATCTCTGTGTCCTTTTAGTGTTTAATGCAAAGAGAATGGTAATGATTATTGGTATTATATTCTTATTATTTAAAGACGTGTATGTAAGCAATAACTTTCTTGATAGTTCAGTAATGATAAACTATATATATATATATATATAAAAGGATTATTGGTAAAAAGGTCGAGTTACATAATTTTAACATGTGAATCTTGTACATTTATTGAATGGGCGGGGTTCTCCTTTGAATTGGGGGAAGTGAGAGGGGTGTCAAAGAAGAAAAAGAAGAAGAAAGGGTTCAATATTTTATTTTTATTTTTGTTCCTTGGTATTTTGTCCTTGATCCTTGGTTTCTGGTCCCTATTTCGGCTAATACAGCCAAAGTTGACAAGAGTAAGTAAAGTCTTTTTGAGCCTAGGTTTTTTTTTATCTCAAAAGGTCTTTAATTAAAATGCAAAATTAATGATAGTAATAATAATAGTAACACTTTGGGAAAGAGAAGAAAGACGAGGGGCTGGAGGGGGTGGTAAAGACTTGAGAAAAATGAAAGAAAGAAGAGAGAGAGAGAGAGAAAGACAGCAATATGTTTGTTTGAATAATTGAATAATTGAATAATTGAATAATTCTGGGTTGTGAGGGCTGGGTATTTTGGGTTACTGTGTATCGAATGGGTCTCGAAAGATGGTCTTTTTTGAAATTCCTGGATACGTATCTATGCTCTTTACATCAAAACGAAAGATAATTATGAATAATAATCCTCTACTACGCAACATGCTGTCTCCCTCTTTATTCTTTTAATTCTAATGATAACATTGTATTGCATTATATTATATTGAATTATATTATATTATATTATATTATATAGACTAAGAAAGCCACCTGAATCCTGATCGTACCAAATTGATAACCCACTCACCTGGTCAGACTGCCTGCTTTAGTAAGATGCTGTCAGTCTAGTGCTGTTATAAACCCACCGCACAAACACACGGTACTCCTGCTTTGTTTATCAAAAAAAGTGTCATTCTTGATTATAGTCACCTTCCTTATTATTGTTAGTATTAGTATTAATAAAGGAAATGATAATAGTAATAATAGTAGTAATAGTAATATATGTTAGGGTCCGCGTCCGTGTGTATATAGTATGCTCTAGTACAATACAGTATAATATAATATAATGTAATATAATACACTATAATATAATAAGGAAGATTAAAAGAAAAAAAAAGGAAAAGATAAAGGAAGACTAGGAGGAGAGGGTTGCCTAGGGGTAGGTGGTCCAAGCGATCACCGAATAAGAGCAACAGACCAGGCAAAACACCAGAAAATTTAATTATCTAAAAGTAACAAAGTTCCACTATACATTACACACCACACACCACATGAAATTTATCGATTTACTTTTTTGCTTACGTCTATGCTTAGGCCTATGCTTATGCTTATGCTTATGCTTATGCTTATGTTTATGCTTATAGTTTTTGTTTTTGATTTTGATTTTGATTTTGATTTTGATTTTGATTTAATTTGATTTCAATTGATCGGATCAATTGTCTGCAGGTACACCGTTTTCTTTCCTTCTTCATCTTCTTCATGTTCTTCTTCTTTACTCCTTGATTGAATGGAATGGCTCCTTTTTGGTGGGGAAACAGTTTTTTATTTTCTTTTCTTTTTGCTTGGCATAATACACGTGGAGTGATTATTTGCCCAACCTCCACCCTTGATAATAATACTATTACTATTGAATATATAGAAAGATAGAAAAATAGGTATATATCAAAAGATCATTGATTATACAATATAGTTAACCAGTACATACATACATACATATATATATATATATATATATATTAGTTGCTCATTACAGCCTAGAACTTGTAACTATAATAATTATTATCAAGTGCTCTTTTTTTTTCTTTTATTAAAAAAGAAAGCAAGAGAGATTTTGATCGTTATCTTGTCAGGTACGACGCTTTGTTCGTTTGGACTGTCTAATTGAATGATACTAATTTATAAGCACAACAATAATCAATAAAGATGTGCAATATTGCTCATTGCATGCTTCAATCAAGGCAAATAATAATAACAATAGTAATTTAGGCTCAATAAAGATAAAGACATACATAAATACATACTTTATATATATATATATATATATATATAAAAGTATATGTACATATATCTATTTATGTATATATATGTATATAATCCTGAATTTGTTTTCAGAAAATAATAATAGAAAATAAATAAGAACAACTAAAATAGGTATTTTTTAATCCTATTTTATTTGGATAGACTTGATATCTTCAAAACCAGAAGCATGTGTTTTGAATAAGTAAGGCAAGGCAGGCTGTATTGATATTTTACACATCTGTGCGTTTTTCTTTTTTTTTTATTATACTTCTTTAGCTATAGTATGTTGGACCACAAGGTACCTTATGAGCCACATGACTTTTACAACCACAAACATATTTTGTAATATTATTAATGCAATAAAGGAATAAAGAGAATTTTGACGAAAGAACAAGACAAAAGAAGACGAAGGTCAAAATAGGTACAAGACTATTAAAGTAAATAGCTAATATCAATGTTCGATGGTATTTGAGTGTATTTTATGATGTATAGTGTGTAGTGTGATCTCGATCGATATCAATGTATTGTTGACAAGTATACTGACAATCTAATTGACTGTATAATTGTGTGTATGTATGTATGTATGTATGTATAGATGTGTAGATGTGTGTATAAATATTTATCTATCTATCTATTTATTTATTTACTTATTTACCTTATGCTTTCCTGGTCAGAATTGTGATAAATCACAAAAAACCCATTTTCTCTATCCTCAAACATATATATGTATGTTTTCTTTTTTCTTATTTTTGGCCAGTTAAAATGAGGTCAATTCTACTGTAGATGTTGATTGGACCACAAAATCGAAAAACTAAAAAAAAAAACTAAAAACAAGGCCAAAGAGAATGAAGGGGAAAAATATATATAGATAGCCAGTTAGCTAGATGGCTAGATAAATATGTCGATTTCATAATAACAACAACAATAATAATAATAATAATAATAATAATAATAATAATCATGATAATGATAATGATAATAAGCTCCTCTATTTGTATTTGTAGTAATATTCTAATTTGTACGTATGATTTTAATAGCTGTATAATAGACCGTTTGAATTAATTAGGCTTGGAACTATTATATTCTCTCTGCAGAAACTCAAGTCGAGCTCTCTGTACATACATCAATAGATATAATACTGACCATTATTCTCATTATTTCTATTACTTGATTACTATTATATCTATAGAGACATTATATTGTCTATATACAAAGACATGAACATGATTTATAATGATGCTTCTAAAACAGCTGCAAAACAAGGACTCATTCCTTGTGCTTTACCGCAGGAATAAAAAATAAAACCCTAATGCACAACCCAGAGTATTCAAATTTTTGTTTTTTTTTTCTATTTGTTTATTTATTTATTTATTTATTTATTTATTTATGTATGTATGTATGTATGTATGTATGTACTTACTTATTTTTACTATTAATTGAAAAAACCCCAATAGTAAGAGTAATAGTAATAGTAATAGTAATAATAGAATCGATCAAAAGCTTTCAATTTCTTTTTTTTTTTTTTTTTTTTTTTTTTTAAAAAATCTTTTATAAAAATATAAACTTTTATAAACTAAAACCTTCCCCCTCTCCTCTCCCTCTTCCATTTCTATTTCTAATTTCTATTGTTAGCTGTTATATTCAGTACACTAATACACTAATACATTAATACATTAATACCTCTTGTCATCTTTCCTACTAAAAACTAAATACCCAAACCCAAATCCTCACCCAAATCCTAACCCAAAATCTCAACAGCCAAAATAGCAAGAGAAAAAAAAATCTTTTTTAACAAAAAAAACAAAAGCCCTCAAATAATAATCAACTATCAATTATCAATTATCAACCATAATGAAGTGTATGCCTACTACCTTCCCACAAACATATTACTCTTACACTGATTACCCTTACGACGAAAGGACTATTCACTCGCAACAAATCCCATGTCTCAACGAATTTGTGGATAATGAGAACCAATTACCAACCCTGGCAGAGTTCCTGACTATCATTGACGATTACCTGAACAACCTGAGTCCCAAGAAGAGAGACAAGGCGCTTGTAGACGAAAACCGATATTTTCTGATCCAGCAGGTCCTCAAGGATCCCAGAAATACTTCAATCTCAACAGCCCAGTTTAGGTTCTGGGTCAAGAAGATGTTTACTGTCAAAAAGGGTACAGCAGACACTGTATGCCATGACAACAAGCCTGTTGCGATCAAAGAAAATATTTACAGTATACTTGTCAAAGCTCATCAGGATGCACACCATGGTGGTCGAGACAAGACTTCAGCATTGGTAAGAATTGAAATGGTCATATGGTCCAGCCCAAAAAAAGAAATATAGATCCAATAAACTAATCTTTCTTTATGTATAAAAGGTGAGAAAACAATATTCCTGGATTCCAAAGGAGTTGGTCGCTAGGTTTGTCCGGCAATGTCCATTCTGTATAATCCGTAGAAACGGTGGCCATAGTCCAGGTACATGCGCTCCAAAGACACCCAGTCCACGCACAGGTTATTCGGCCAGAAACAGCGTTGGGTTCGACCCAATGACCTCAAGTATATTCACACCGTCTATCAGCGACCGGAGCGAGATCTACTCTGGGCAGTCTCCAGTCTGCAAGACCGGATACCCTCCTTCATCAAACTTCCCTACCACACCCAATTCTTCAACCCTATTGCGCCCTTTTTATGAAAATTTTGTCTACCAGAATAATGACGAATATCTACAAACCTATTCATACGGTATACCTGTCCATCATTCCCACCTTACCCCTCCTCCTCCCTCCTCCTCTTCCCACTCTTCAGCACAGACATCTCTCAATTCGACAGACTACACACCCAACCAGAATTACCAGTCTGTTGAAAGCCATCAATCCCCCCAGCCCAGCCAGAAAAAGCAATACCAAATCGATAATTATCTTCAACTTCAACAATCCAAGCACTACTGCCAACAACCTATGCAAGAATGGTACCAATCATAGCTATTCTTTTCTATTTTCTCTCTTTTATATATATATATATATATTATTCTTATTATTTTGTTCTGTTCTACTCTGTTCTGCTCTGTCCTTCTCTGTCCTGCTCTGTTCTTTTCCGTTTTTCTTTTTCTTTTTTTTGTAAACAGTCTTTCTTTTATAATCCTTTTTTTTTGTTATATTTCATTTAATAGGATTCTGTAAATCATTATGCCAATCAGTCATACATAAACATCTTATTTTTTTTTATATCTATCTTTCTTGCCTTTTCCTTTTTCCCTTTATTTATTTATTTATTTTTACTCGAGATAATTTCTTCTGTTCTAAATGCACAGAAAGACAGACACACAGACAGGCAGACAAACACAAACACAAACAAACACAAATACACATACAAATACACACACAAACATACGTATATATGTACATATGTACATAGGCTACATACAGACACATACAGACAAAGTTTGTGATTTGACGAGATATTTCAAGGATTTCAGCAGTGCGTAATAGATTGGATTATGTACTGTGAAGCATATTACAGCAAATTTTACTTTATATATATTTGAAAGATTATTACAAAACCCTCTATCCAACATTATCTCTATTTCTCTATTTCTCTCTTTCTCTCTCTATTTGCATACAGATACATACAGATACATACAGATACATAAATGTATGTATTCCTATCTTTGTCTACCAATCTTACTTATCATATGAAACCTACAAATGATTATTGCTATTATTCTTATTATTTATATCAATAAAAAAACAATACCAATAATAATATCGGTAATCATCGTCAGTATCTCACAAGACACAAAATTAGTAGAGACTATAGGCTGTAAAGTCTCTGCAGTAAGAATACGGTGCTGATCAGATATACAAAATTCAAAATAAAGAAATCAAGAAACAAACAAAGAAGAAAAGTATATGTACATGTTTAAACCTGTGCGGATTGTGTGCTTTTACTTTACTGCGGTCATCTTACATGATCTGCACTAGTCATTGTTATAGAAAGACAGCATTGATTACTTTGTACTATGTACTGTGTGCTGTGTTCATATGGGTATTTGGGTATTTGGGTTTTTTAACCTTTATATTTATTTATTTTCGTTCTCTTTCGACTAGCCAAGATTATATGCAATTCACCGAATTTCTTTATATACATATATCAATGTTAGTGTTAGTAGCGTTATTATTTGGAAAGGCTCAGTACTGATGTGTAATACTGCTTCGATTGATAATAATAATAATAATAATAATAATAATAATAATAAAAGAACTAATAGCAACAGGCCTTGTGATTATGTACTTCTTGGACTTATACGCACAACAGAGTCATAACTTCATATTCCTATTCTTGTTTATCTCTTGATAATTATAGAAAATCTCACACGCCATCGAGTACAATCACATTAAACTAACTTTTTGTTTAATAAACCCTTTATATTTAATGCAATCATAATACTAGAGCAAAAGTGTATATCTACATATACATGCACATATACATATACGTACACATATACATTCATATTCTTCTAATTCATTTAGTTAATATTTGACTTTATTATTAATACAACAAAAGAAAGTATATACTCATGTATAGTCTATAAATTGAATTCTTTATCTCTCTGATTCTTTATCGGTTTTTATCCGAGTATTAGTTAGTATAGCCAAAAGAAAGCTTAATAAATAAATAAAACCAACGACTACGCCTCTGCACAAAATATTGTATACACACACACATAAAGGCATGTGTAGCGTAGGTGTTTTTTTGGACTCAACAAAAGATCACTCGACACAGTGCTTCAACACCAGAAAAAAAGGTAAATAAATAAATAAATAAATAAATCAACTAAAGAAGTTCTACAATAGACAATATGTACAAACAAACACAAGCAGGCACAGGCACAGGCACAGGCACAGGCACAGGCACAGGCACAGGAATAGGCACAGGCACAGGCACACTCATATAAATCTTACCCACACTAACGCACTAAACACACCTACGCACACGCACACATACACAGAAAGAAAGAGAAAGAAAGCGAGAGAAGAATATATGATTTTGTAGAGATAGAAAATAAAGCAAATAAACTTTACGATTGAATGACAGAAACAGATCAACTGAATTATACTAGAATTTATATATATATTTCATATATAAATATAAGGTTGGTTGTTAAGAAAAACTATAGATAAACGATAGAATAAAATAGAATAAAATAGAGTGTAATTGGGGTTTATTGTTTATTATTTGTAGGCTGGAATAGATTGACAATGCGTGAGAAATAAAATAAATGGGTAGATGACTAAAGGGTGTGTGTGTGTATGTGTGACAAAGATTTGCACGGGCTTTAATGTTCCTCAAAGTTCAAGATGGTCAATATTTTTATATACATATATATATATTTACTTATTTAATTGCTAATCCTATTTCTATTAACAGTTAGTCATTGATATGATAACATTTAATGCTAAACAATAGGCTTAGTTTTTTTGTTTCAATATCGATTATATATCAATTATGTAAGTAAGTAAGTACATTTCTCTATGTGGATCAGCAAAGTTTTTTCTTTTTCTTTTTCTTTTTCTTTTTGGTATTGCATTTAATTGTGCCTTACACAGTCCTACATGAAAGAGCAATATATTTATAATACACATCTATCGATCAAATAGAACCTTAACACAACCAATCTCCCAACTATACGCTATACAGTACAACGCTATATACACACAGGTTACTTTCCTAAAAGCACACCATTAATACCACACCAACCGCAACAAATATTATTATCATATTGATTTAAATAATTGACTTGCTCTTATCTATCTATCTATATTTGATATTTTATTATTCACTTGCTTTTGAAAATCACCAGTACTTAAACAACCTATATACAAAATATTCTCACCCATCATATAAACAACATTTGTACCATAAAAAAATTAAGATTCATTGATTGTATTATTACTATACTGATATCGTCACTGACAAACCAAACCAAATTAAAACAAATCAAAACAAAATAAAATTCAAGTGAATTCAAGATCAATATTCTTTAAAGTTGTGCAAGATTGGGTGTCCTTTGTTATTGCCTTCTTGTAACTTTTAGTCGATTATTTCTTATTTCGTATTTCATATTTTATTTTACTTTGTCCCACTAGTGATTTATCTCTGTGTACATCTTCTATATATACATATATATAAATCTAAATGTATCATTGTAGGACTACACAAATTATCTTTTGCGCTCAAGCATTATTTGTTGTGGCTATATCGTTCTTTCCCTACCCCCCAAAAACACACGCACACACACACAAAATACACAAACATGAATACACAGAATCTTGTTTAAATCTCAAACTATTGTATTATTATTGTTCTAGCTTTAAGGTTCTAGACTATACAAATGTATATATATATAAGAAATAATTCTTTTGATTCTTTATTATTGATAATATCTATAGTATTTAATTGTCACTTGAAGTATCTTTAATAAAAGTCTATATCTTCCACACCTTCCATTAATTATACGTATGTATATATATATACGTGTGTGTGTGCATTAAAACGTTTCAGTTTATTATTTCCCCTTTTACACAAGAGCAGAGGGGAGTATAATACGAGATTCGGTGTTTACATCAGTAAAATTATTTGTGCTATATATTAAGCGGCGCATTAATAAATTTAAAGATGCGCATAAAATTTTATATGCATATATTATTTGTCTTATTTATTCAGCGGTGTTTAATATAATGTTTAAGAAAGCGCGAATACTTAAAATACAAAAAATATTTGCGTTTTATAACGATTTTTAAATGATAAAAAAAAATGAAAGGGGTGAAGGAAGGGGATCAAAATATCTGCAACTTGTAAAGTAATGTACCATATTTAGTTACTCTTTTAATTATTCTCTATCTGTTTAAAAAAAGATTGCGAAGAACTGGATATATGAATTATGATACTTCTACAAGGTCAAGTAAGAAATCTATTGGAGGTTTTCCAAGATGTTTAGCAGAAAATAATAAAAAGTACAGTTGTAAAAAGAAGCAATATAATGTAATAATTGTGCAATGAGCTCGATTCATGATTGCATCGAGATACTGTATTTGTTGAGCATATCATAAATCATTTGGATGTCTTTTGATCATTTCAAGTATCTTTTTTTATCTGATACCTAATGTTCTTTATTTATAGGTAGCTTTGTACTTCAAACAACATTCCAAACAATCTCCTAAAGAAAAATGGTATGAAAAGCTTGGCTGTAACGATGGTGATGACATTTATGGTAATAAAAGTCCTCAACAATTTGTTTCTAAGTGACAATGGTTTATTGGGCTTTGGATACTAGACATATACATATTCGTATGAATACATTTACGCTTCTCATAGTATCACAGTTTCATAAAAGGATATTCTTTTTCCTTAATAGACAAAATGGGACATATCGTCCTAATATGGGCTGAATATATTGCTTAAAAGTAAACAAGATCTATCAACAACAACAACAACAACAACAACAACAACAATAACAATAACAACAGGAAAAAAAAGCAGCAGGGGAATTGATTTGATTTGAGTGAATTGTATTGGATGGGAAGGAGAGGGGGGAGTTGGAAGAGAGTTTTTAGCCATTGTTTCATGTCATCTAATAACTCACTAGATTACACACATATGTATGTACATATACATATAAATAAAAAGGTTAAACATTTTATTCTCTTTGTTGTACGTTGGTTAGAGGCCAAACACAGTAATCTTTCTTTCTTCTTTTAAGGTTTCGGCAATCATTTTTTATATTTTATTTTTCTTTATTTGTACAGGGTTGATCAAACTCTATACAACTTTCTTGTCCCACGTTACAATGGACTTTACAATGGTATTTAATAAATATGTATATATAAACACACATACATAATATTATATTAATTTATTACTAGCACCAGTATCAGTACTAGCACTAGCACTAGCACTAGCACTAGCACTATAGTTATAATAGCAGTAATAAAATAATACAGTCATTTCATAGTCAATTGAACATTTACAAACAAAAGGTATTAAATGTTGCTTTTATGTACTGAACACAACCTTTTATATATATATATGCATATTGGAAGGTATACAATACAAGATAATAAAAGAAAAGAAAATACATATTGACTCTTTTGACTGCGTGCACATTGTTACCTTTCTGGCCACTCTATACAGGGGAATGAAAAGTCTAGTGGGATATACTCAGGTTCAATGATTAAATTAAATAAAGCCAGTTGAGCTGGATAGTGGGTAAAATTTAAAGAACAAGGTTTTGTTAATATATATATGTATATATATATATATATTCAACATTCTGTAAAATAATTTGACAATTACCCTAAATTGAATAGCTTAATAGACATATCACCTTTGTCACTTTTGTCAAAGTAAATAAATATAATGATATGTAATGGTTTCACAGCATTCTATATATGAGTATTCTATGTAGCTTTAATTCAAGAAAGAAAGAAAGAAAAAGGGTCAAAGAAGCAGAGAAGAAGAGTAAGAATCAAAATTCAGCTGAATTCAATTGAACCCAATTTTATGATCTTTGATATCGGTCAATACATTTTACTACCACAATTCAGAAATGTCAACACAAAAAAAAATACTGGAGAAGATTTCTGTGAAATGATACTTAAAGGGTTCTGGGGAATATATGTAGTAAACATTTGGTGTAAACGTGTGTATGTAAAATGTGTTGTTATTTTTCAGTGACCTTGTGTCTCCTTGGAAGAACTCCAGTTGGTTACATCCTTGTTTTTTGGGTTTTTATTTATCTATTTATTTATATGTTTCTGGTACACTGCACTGCACTATACTGCACTGTACTGTACTGCAATGTAATGTAATGTAATGTAATGTAATGTGCTCTTATGTTTCCATTTTACACTTGCACTTTATATACACTTATGATATTCAGCATCATTCCACACGCTGCAAATCATGTATGTATATAATGTGCAATGTGTTTTATGTAGTTTTGGCTGTACTTTCTTTTATAGTAAAGTGGGACAAATGGAAAACATTGTTATTTTGTAAAGCCTAATAAATATAAGCCTTTTATATATTTTTTATTGCATCTGAGATTTGGGGGTGCACGGTGCCGGAAGCTCGCCCACTAAAACACTAGCGAGGTTTTCTTTTTAAGACCATAAACAGAGAAAGCATGTGTGCATGTGTGCAAGTGTGCAAGTGTGCAAGTGTGCAAGTGTGCAAGTGTAGTTTAGCATGTGATGACTCTATGCATCGATGAACTTTGGGGGGGTATTCAATCTTTTTTATTTTTTTTTGTGTGTGTGTTTTTGTGATTTTTGTGCTTGTGCTTGTGCTTGTGCTTGTGTTTTTATTTGTATTGACGCCTGTAGACTGTGGCATTGGCCTCTTGGAGTAACACAGAATGCAAGCTTCTTAGACCTTAAGTAATCAAAAAGAAAGCAGAGAAAGAAAGTAAGGAAACACGAGCTATACCTTTTGCTTCAAACCCTTTCTTACTTTCCTTCCTTCTTTCTCTTTCTTTTCGCTTTCTTTCTCTTCCACTCTTCATTTTCCCTTCTTCCTCTGTACTGCTACTATTAGCTCCCAAACATAAATCCGTTTGTTACTAGCATTTCCTTTGTCCACCCAAAACAAAAACAAAATCAAAATCAAAATCAAAATCAAAATCAAATCAAATCAAATAATATTATAATAAAAATAAAAATAAAAATAAAATAACCTCATCCTCCACCTCCCCCCCCCTCCTTTATTTTTTTTTTAATTCAGTAAAAAGAAAGAAAAAAAAACACCTTTTAATTTCTCTCTTTTCTTCTTTCTCTTATTCTCCTTGCTATTTACACACGTACAATTGTAGAAAGCACAACCAAAAAGCAAAAAGCAAGAGCAACAAACGGGTTATGTCGACAGAGCACCAACGAGACCAACGAGACCATCAAGCTCCCCCAATCATGCAATATCGTAACAACCACATATTCAACCACCGGGGTAGCCAAAGTCCTCAATCTTCAAACAATGATAATGAGAGCCAAGACAAGATGAATGACTATATGGATCTCAACACTGACGAAGCAGAGGCAGGTTCTATCCTCATTGCACTAGCCAACCACTCTAGTCATTCGGGAGGATATGCAGAAAACTACAAGATACGTTCTGTATACAACCACACTCAGAAAATAAAGCAGGAGGAACAGCCACAGGTACAAAAGGTATAGATATATATATATATATATATACACATTTATTAAAGGGGAGGGAGTATAAAAATTGAATAAATATATATATATAGATAGATATATAATGAAATAGTGAGTAAGCGAGTGAGTGAGTGAGTGAGTGAAAGAGAGGGAGGGAGGGAGAAAGAAAGAAAGAAAGAAAGAAAGAAAGACAGAAATTAGACTGTGTGGAAGTTTGTTTTTTTTTTGCTTTCTTTTTCTTGGACTGATTTCAATTCTAAATTATTATTATTTTTTGAAATTCTTAAAGTCCGTTAGTGGTAATTCGATGTCTATTCGTAACTTGCTCGGTAAGTTTTCATGATTAAAATTTTAGTCTCCACTTTCTTCCACTTCCTCCTTTCAACCCTTTTGCTCCCCCCTCCCCAAGCCCCCTTCCCCCTTTTTCCCTACCTTACCTTGCCTTGCCTTACCTTGCCTTCCCCTTGCTTTACACAAACACACACACATGTTTATATATGTATGTATGTGTGTATTCTAATGTCTTTTTAATAAAATGCAGGTGATGAAGACCGAAAACCCCTGGCTTTAACCTCCAATGTAAGCATCCAAATACAAGAACCCCCCCTCTTTTTTTTACTATACTTTATTTAATATGGAAAACCTTAAATAATATCTTTATTTCTTTATGTTTTTGGGTATCTAGTTTGAAAGGGAAGAGAATGATAAGCATAGAATGATCATGTCTCCTGCTCTACCTGTCCACCAAGGCATGGCTGACGGTAAAGACAATCTCTTTTCTCACTCACACGGCCAAAGGGACTTGAATGGTAACCTACACATATATACGGAAATATTGAATGTTTTAATAATAATCATGACCGCAGACACTGACCTTTTATTTACCTATCTATTCATTTACTTACTTCTTTATTTATTTATTTATTTATTAATTAATTAATTTATTAATTACTTAATTTATATATCTATATATTACATGTATATGTGTATGGATAGATTCTTACAATAATGCAATGCGCGACGACAGTGGTATGCAGTTTCATTTATACCTCTAAGAAAAATAAATATTGTTTCGTCAAGGATGCAGGGCTTAACTTCTTCTATTCTTCTCTCTTTAGACAGGGTCCAGAGTACGCACCGATACCGTCCTACGACCCCTGCATATATGGATGTAGCTCAGCACAATAGTCGAGCAGCAGATGGTGTGGAATTCTTACATCTTTTTCTTTTCTTATATTAGCTGTTCTCTTGTTCTTTTGCTATTGCTATTATTTGCTTTTATATACAAAAAACTAACCACAACAATATATAACAACCCCAATTCCCAGGCAATCGCGTGGCTCTTGATTATCATGGACCCACATCAGAATACCACAGAAATCTGGAGAATAATAATTCCCAGTACCCACAAGACATGCGTGGTACAGTTGTCAATGGAAGAACAATGCAACCACCACCACCACCAACACAACAACAACAGCAGCAGCAGCAGTTACAGCAGCAACAACAGCAGCAACAACAGCAACAGCAACAGCAACAGCAACAGCAACAGCAACAGCAACAGCAACAGCAACAGCAACAGCAACAGCAACAGCAACAGCAACAGCAACAGCAACAGCAACAGCAACAGCAACAGCAACAGCAACAGCAACAGCAACAGCAACAGCAACAGCAACAGCAACAGCAACAGCAACAGCAACAGCAACAACAACAGCAACAGTCAGCAGTATCATCAACACATGGAGCTGAAAGGTGTGTGTGTGTGTGTGTGTGTGTGTGCATAATTATTTTATGCGTAATAAATCTCTCGAATAACCAACAGCATCTCAAGTATTCACCAGTATTCTACATGGCAAACTGGATCGACTGATCAATATTCCAGACCACCAAAAGTACACACTAATAGACGCGCTTCAGTACCGGTATGTTGGGCATGAGATATTATCAAAACGCAACACAATTGAGCAATCAATCAATCAATCAAGCACGCACATGCGTGTGTGTGTGCAGTATGTGCAGTGTGTGCAGTGTGTGCAGTGTGTGAAGCGTGTGAAGCGTGTATCCGCGTATGCGTCTATACGTGCTTGTGAGTTTACTCATCATCTTACTTTAATGCAGCCCAATGCACGCGTCGAGCCGTCAAATGGCTATTCGCAGCAGTTTGTTAACATGGTAAGTTGAGCTTAGTAGGGGTAGTATTGCTAACGTAATACTAACAAACAAATAATATTTTAGAGGCAAAATCCGCGAGCTAGAAGAAACGCCCTTCATGCCTACATCAGTTATATGACCTACACTGACTTGTCCCGAAGGCGACCTGTAAGCTATTTAAATACTGTTACAAATTCAAATTCAAATAAGAATAAGAATAAGAATAAGAGTAATAAGCAAACTAGTCAAAATTTATGCGTATATATATATGTATGTACATGCATACATAATTTAATTTAATTTTAATTTTAATTTCTTGTTAGAAGGCTCACAAGCAGCAGGCGGTAGAAATGGCATCTTCTTATCCATCAGGATTTCAGCCTACTTTTGGATACAATGCTCCTGCGCAGGATCCTCAAAACAGGCAAAGTTGGCATGCATACTCTCAGCAATCAAATGGACCAAAGCAGACGGTTGTGCATGCAGCTGAAAAGGTAATATAGATTTTTTAGCTTAATATTATTTCTGTCCCTCACCGACTGACTGCAAGTCCATGCAGCCAATGCGGTCTGCAATGTGGCAACCTCATCATCAACACTCACAATCGATGCCTTCGTACCAGCCCCTTCCATATGACCAACCCAACTACAATGGGATGGATATTGACCGTCGCAGCAGCTCCTCCATTCCGAATAGACCTGTGGAAGATAATGGCAGGCCTTATTCCCAAGATTACCATAATCCTAGATTTGAATCAAGGTCTCCAGTAGCTCCCGTTCGACACTCTCCAATGACTCCTACCCCAGGACCACCGCCACCGCCACAACCACAACCACAACCACAATTGCAATTACAATTGCAATCGCAGCAGCAGCAGCAACAACAACAATTAAAAAACGAACGTGTGAATAATATCCCTCAAATCTACCAAAGGATTCCTTCTGGAACATCAACTCCACCTCCACCTCCACCTCCCTTACTACCCCCATCAGCATCATCATCACTATCTTCATCAGTAGCAGCAACACCTCTACAACCGCCACCGCAGCCACCATTACTACCAGCATCAGGATCAGCAGCACCTTTATTACTGCAACCCCAACATCAGCACCAACACCAACACCAACAAACACATTTACATCATCACCAGCAAACACCACCACCGTTACAACCACAACAACAGCCACAGCCACTACAGCTATCGATGTCACAGCACCAATCCCCTATATCCCCTCATTATCATCACCAACAAAGTCTGCCAAATAATGTAGTCCACCATCCACTCACAGCCTTTTTGCGAGAAGGACCTGAGAACCCGGGTGATCATCACAACCCACGACCATCTTTACCTCCTTGTCACTCGAAATCAACAATGTCTCCGGGATCTGGGCTGTCCACTAATCCTAGCATATTTCACGGTTCATCTTCTTCTCCACTACGAAGTCTGAGGAATGGAGAGTGATAGCCATAACCATAGCCATAGCCATAGCCATAGCCATAGCCATAGCCATAGCCATAGCCATAGCCATAGCCATAGCCATAGCCATAGCCATAACGACTATAATAATGATAATTATAATGACAGTGGTAATTATAATGATAATGTTAATAATAATAACCTTTATTTTGTTTATTTTACTTTATTTATTTATTCTTGCTTTGCTTTGTTTTGTTTTGTTTTCTTCCTTTCTTATGCAACCCTCCCAAAAAACCTTTCAACTTGACAGATAATATTATTATTCTTGTTATTCTTGTTTGTGCAATATATATCTACATGTATATAAACTCAAAGAAAAAGAAAAGAAAAGAAAAGAATAGGGGCAAGAAGTCTTACCCTTTCGATATTTCCAATCCTTGCACATTTTCTATCAACTTTAGTTAGTTTTTCAAACAATCTTCCGTTGTATACCATAAATATCTACTGGCTGGTATTACACTTATATTGTATCAATTGACAATCTTGAGCTTGAATACATACATATACACATAGATATATAGATATATAGTAGGTACATAAAATAGGTGTTCGTTTTTAATAGCAATATAGATAATCATAAGCTTTTACGATAACAATTATACTTCTTTTAAAAAATAAGGTTTCTTTTTCTTTTCTTTTGTAAAACGACTTCATTTTATTTTTTAAATTTATTTATTTACATTTGAATTTTATTAGCAAGTATAGCATATGTATATATAATCTTAAGATGAAGAAAGAATTTGTTTCTTCTATTCTTTTCTCATATCTTTTTTAAACATTTTCTTCTTCTTATGCTATCCGAGGATATTGACAGAAACGATCTTTGATGCTGGTAATCTATTGTACATTTTAAAGACATCAATTTGATTTAATTAGTTTAAGTTATCTCGGTCTCCTTCTTCTATCCATCAAATCCATACAGAAAAATAAAGAAACGGTTTGTAGCACTTACTTCTATGATGCCCTCAGTGGATGTATTAATGTAGTAGCGGTAGTCTTCAACATTTTCAACATAGTGTTTCTCAAGTACACGGCCCTTATGGTGCTTGTTTGTTTTGATATTCCAGATCAATTCACTTCTTTGCCATTCAAAGTTGAATGGCGGTGTACCCACAAGATCTACCACAGCCTGAACCATATCACCTACAACAATGCACAGACACAGGTGATTTAGCAGCTTATCAATACTATACTCTGTTTTTTTTCCTTACCTTCATTAATGCTCTCAATAATTTCCTTTCCACCACTGATGAGAGAGCGAGGAATCTCATGGAAGAATTTGGTAACATCATTGGGGAATGAACGACATTGGTTGCGTTGATCACCAATAGAGACCACTGTCAAGTTTCCGGGTGCGTCAGCAAGCATGGTGAAGGATGAAGTAGTACTCTTGACAGTCTCAATATGACCGTTGAATTCGTAAGCTTTTAAATACATACACACAATGCGTAATGATAATAATGGTAGAAGAAGGTGGGGTTAATTCACAGTATATAGAAACACAGGCCCACAGTATACCATCCACGAGTAAATGGGATAATAATAAGAGCACTCCCACTAGTATTATCGTTAATATTATTTTCTTTATTTCCTTACCGATTGTAAACGGAGGACGTCCTGTCAAACTGAATTTAACTGTTTCACCAACACAAACATCAGGACAAGTCTCAACAGGGGTTATTACAGGGATATCAAGGGCTTCGATCTGCATTGTTGCATCCAGTTTGGGTGCCATTCCAGTACAGCCATGCGAATCGGACACACTCACGAGCTCAATGATGTATTTTCCAGGATTCTCAGCATCGATAGGCAACTTAAGCTCATACTTGTTCTCCATAATGTTTTCAATCTTCTGTATTTTGTGATGTGGGGTCGACTGGTGTTTCAACGCCAGAGTGATAGTAAAGGGAGCTTCTCCCGTTAACAATATCCAGATAGGAGGATCCACAGTATCAAGTTTCTCTCCAACACACAGATTCATATCGTTTCGATTGGGACCAAATCTTATGGTAGGGTTCTCATACACTTCGTGGGTCACAATCAATGGAGCAATCGTAAGAGGCTCGCTGTATCGCTGATCCGAAAGTTGGAAGAATTCGTATGTGTAGTTGCCGCTTCTTTGGGTATTAAGAGGAAGGTGGCTTCTCGACAGGCCAGAGCTAATTCTATCTTTACCAATAAACTCTCTAGTATTACTTCCGGTAGGTATCAGGAAACGATTGTAGAATGCAAAATAAGGAGCATGGCCTACAAAAATAATAGAAAAATAATAGTAATAATAAAAAAGAAAAATCACCACAAACACAGAAAATCGGTTAGAATAATTTTGATTCAGTAGTCAAATAGTCCTGCTTTTTTAGGGGATCAAGCTCTTCTCTTCTTACCATTGAACTGCAAATCAAGTGCATCTCCAGTGCCTTTACAAACAGGAGGATGTATATAACCACCTTGTTCCACATCCTTACGATCATTAGGAATAGACAGCGTAGGTCGGCTAGCCCACTCAATGAAATAGTCTGGTCGGAATACAGTACCCTGACAAATCGAATCTTCCACACTGAGAAGTTCGTAGTGACCAGCCTCGCGTACCGGCAGGGGTTCGTTGGGTGAATATGCAACCGTAGAACGATAATCAGGTCCGTCCAATTCCACATTACGATATGTAACCTTCCAAGGTCCCTCACCTGTCAAACGCAAGGGAAGTTTGACAACCGTGCCTTCAGTAACCTCCACTGTAGTACCCTTGATGCTATCCGCATAGAATGATGCAGTGGGACGATCTTTACGGACATCAATTACTACGTCGCGTGCCTCTAGTTCCTTGACACAATTATTTGAATCTTGAATCTACATCATGACCAAAAAAAAACCAGAAAAGTTAAGTTTAAAAAATATGTTAATTATGATTGGTTTCTTGGGGTCACTGTTACTGTTACTGTTTTTGTTTTTGTTTTACCTTTTCTAAAGAAACAACATATTTTCCAGGTTTGTCTATGTGGGGAATATTGATTGTGTGTTTGTTACTGTCGACAACTTCAGAGTAAGCCTGCTTTCCGAATTTCCAGAAGAGTGTGAAAGGACCAGTTCCGGTCAGTTCGACGTCAAGATTGATATCATCACCAATGCAGGTACGCAGCATATTATTTCCATGGACTGATTTAGAGAACTTTGCGCTTGGTTGAGGGTGTACAATCTGCTTGATGGGTTTGATTTTTGGATCTTGTCTCTTGTAGATTGCATCATCAAGAGAAGTGAATTCGTAGATGTATTCACCACTGTTAACAGGCATGTACGTGAAAATATGACGGGACTGGTCAACCTTCTCTCTTTTGTGCTCAACAACAGTTGGACCATTGGGAGTCTGTTTCAATACTTTGTACTCCAGGTGGAATGGAGGAGCACCCTTGAGTTCTACAATGAATCGCATGCCAATCTCGCTGTTTGGTGCACAATCTGACGGAATCGAGTCGTGGCGGACAAGAGCATATGGTAAAGGTGGTTGGACAACCTGACATGTAGAGGGAAATAGTATATTTCCCTTGCAGTATTTATCAACTACATTCAAAAGCCTGTATTCACCGGTTGAAGAAGCATCGAGGCTGAATTGATCCAGACTAACTAATTTTGTTTGTGGCTCTTGAGGTTTGCTAGGATCATTTTCGGGTGTAAATTGGTAAGTGACATTCCAATCAGGAGAACCTTCCAGTTTGAGTGGGATTTTAACTTTCTCGGCGCCAATGAGAAGTTGGACTGGGTTAGTGGGGCTGCATCCAAACTGAACAGTTGGGTGAGCGTGTACATCAAAGATCTGCTTAACCGATTCTCCAAGCTTCACTTCATTGCCTGCACCATCAATGATACTTATGACAGTAAACTCGTGTCTGACTGCATTTTCAAAGATTAGGTCTAGATCAACAGAGACCCGCTGCTTGGTTGCCCAGCTGTAGTCTGAATGTGCCTGAGGTTGGAAAAACGTTGGATCTGCGGCTTTTAATCCACCAGAAATTTTCATCAGTGGAGAGTCGAAATTATCGGGCTGGACTCTGTCCACAGTGCGCACTTTGACGTCTCCTCCAACACGTCTTATATATGTCACCTTGAACGGAGGAACACCTTCGATACGAATCTGAAGTCTTTCCTTTTCCCCACTACAGTAGTCATATCGTGGCTTTGGAACCAATTGGGCAGTTGGACAAGTGAACACATATGCCTGTCTGTTGTAAAGTCGCACATCTGATCCGTCTTGGCTCACAATGCTCTCAATTTTATAGACACCGGGTTTCTGTACCCGAATGTAATATAGTTCGACACCTTTCTTCTCTTGTCCGACTTCTGTTGCTCGGTACAAGTCTTTTCCTTCGATATGCATAGCTCGGTGTGCCTTTTGGTCAAAATCCATCCGGGACAGGATTACCTTTTTCGGGATAGTGTTGTTGAGCATAACCGGAATGTGTATATATTTATGTCCAATATCTTCTGGAGCCAGGCAGTATACTTCGTCTTGGTAGTTCAATTTTGCGGTTCTAAATAGATAAATGAAAAGTTTAATTAAGCAATATGTTAATATAAATAGTATGCGTGTATATATTGTGCTTTGTTTTGTTTACCCGTATGGAAGAAAGTGAACAATATGTTGACCGAGAATATGAGGTGATTTTGATACAACCTCTTTAACATTCACCATCTTTGCTTTCGAGGCTCCGAGCTGTTCACCAAACATCTCACCTACAGTTAATTATTAGGTATATATATATATATAAACACAAATATTTGTCTCGGTTGATGGACTCTTCTTGCATAATAAAATAAAACAAGTAATAGTAATAATTATAATTTACCATACGTAACACTGAATAAAGTAGTTATAATTGCCATCTAAAAAAAACAAGACGCAACAACCGAAACATTTTCAGACAGCATAGTAAATAAATAGAATTCTCAAGAAGTGTGCCTCACTTACTACAGGGATCTCGAAGATTACAGCATCCAGGGCCATGATACTTAATGAGAGTAATATAGTTTTGAACGTACTGAACTGTAACCATGGGATCTTTACAATCCACAAGGCGATTAGATATGCTACATCGAAAAGCCACCATTTCAGCATAAATCCACTATATTGTTCAGGATAGGATGCCGTATAGGTAATGAAAATATCATATGCTTTTATAGTTTGGAGAAGGACAAAAGCAGAGACTGCATATATGCGTTGCGTTGGAAATGGAACACGATTAGATGGGATGAGGGCTCGATTATGAGCAACGGGTATTGACGAGTCTAGTGGTCTTGGGACTAATCGTCTGATCGGAATTGGTTCTGACATCGTTGAAATGTTTTAATCAAAACTATATGTGTATATGCTTATATATATATAATTATATATATAAAATATACATATATATATATCTATATATATATATTTATATTGAAAACGGTATCAATCGAAGGAGTATGTATATATGCTTAAATATATATATATATATGTATATAAGTAAGAATGTTGATAATCTAAAGAGTAATTCACCTACGCGTTTTTTTTCCTTACCTTTTTATACGCGTGGGTGTCTATTAGACTTGTGACGACAGAGATAAAAACAAAAAAAATGATTAATTGTGTTGGTAGAAGAATTAATCTCCGCGGTACCTTTAATTTTTATTTTATTTTTAAAAATAAAATAAAAATTAAAGGAACATTAAACCGATTATTGAACCATTATTAACTTTATTATTATTATTGGCATCATACTCCTTGAACATCTTTAATTAAAAAGGTTGCACTATAATTCACTGCATTTAGAGCACATCCTTACACTCACACAAACACATACAAACAGATATACCAAGCAAAACTGAATACAATATAATAAGATGTCATTGTGTATTATTTTATTTACTCTATTCTTCATCATCACTCAAAAGAAACTCCTCTATTTGTTCTCTCAAGCGTTCCTGTCTTTCCTTTTCATCGATAATGTGTGTGACATATGGAGGCAAGGATTCTATTGCTGCTTCCTTGTAGTCCTTGAGATCAACTTGACAGCTGTAGCATAGATACTCATTCATATCAATTCCACTTTTAGAGCTATCGCAGCCACCACCGCTACCACCACCGCAACATCCACCCTCTTCAGTTGTTCCACATGATTTGGTAACATCAGGCTCAAGGGATCCTCCTTGTGGTGTTGTTACTGTGATTCTCTTTCGCCACTCATTAATCTTTGATTGATGGGGCCTGTAGATTGGCACACGTATATATACAACTCTTTCCTTAATACATGCACATCGTATGATTTTGTTAGGTACATTTGGTTTACTTACATTAAGCAAATTGCACACCGTCTGCTCAGATCCACATCGCTCGAAGGTGTCAGTTTAGAGGCTGTACGTGAGACAGTGCTAACAGTTGAAGGGAAATCGCGATCCAATGTAGTAATAAACTCTAGATATTTTTTTTTAAAAATTTAGTTTTAATTTTTTCTTTCTTTTTCAAACAGATACCCAGCCGAGACTTATGTTAGAAGACGAGGGTTTACCTTCTGTTAATCTGTCGATAGAAGTCTTTGCGGCCATTCTAGTTCCCCATTGAGTAGGGGCAATTACATGAGCATCTAGCCCATAGTATCGATTGTAAAGCGCAATTTCTTTCGCCAGCATATCCTTCATAGGTCGCATAATCACCAGATCTTTAAAGCTTGCGTTGTTCTCAGCTCCAACATCCATAGGTATGCTGTATCCACGACCTTTACTTGTCATAGAAATCATCTTTATAGCCTGGCGGGTAGAGGAGTCAGCCATGAATATATATGAGCATCTAAAAAATAAATAAATATAAAAAAAGAAAAAGGTTTGCTAATTAGTTAAATTTTAGAATAGAAGGCACATAGACATCTTCAATACCTAAAGAAGAAGGAAAAAACTTACCCTTCACGTCGTGCGATAGAAACTAGCATAGCAAATTTGATGTGCCAATGCAAGTCTTCCTTTGATGTATTTTTGTTAATGTTGGCAAACAAATGCTTCAATCGATCGGCAGGGCTGGTTTTATCAGGAGTTTCTTGGATCAATTGAACGTAATGCTCTAAAAAAACAGGACAGAATAATAATAATAATAATAATAACAGGACAATTGTATCTCTTTAATTCCTATTCATTTCATTTTTACATCCTCTTTTTTGTCTACTAACCATAACCGATATTTCCAAATTCTGTCACTGATTTTAATGACTTGTCGATATGGTGATTGTCGCTGAATTCATCACTAAATACATCTTCTAAGCGATTGGACACAAAGGGAACATCAGGGTATTTCTCTTTCATCAATTTTTGAAGTTTTCCAAGTGTATCTTTCTGTATAGCATAATTTTTCATGATAAGAAGACCATGAATTTTTTTTTAAAGATTTTTGTACTTGATAGTTTACTTTACCTGTTCCTCAAATATTGTTGACTCATCCAAATGACATATCACAGTAGGACCAAGTATCTGCACCTTCTTTTTTTCATGAGGTTCAACTCGTCTGAATTCGTGTGTTAAGTTAAGCATAGCCCTATTCAAATAAACATAGGTATATTAAGATTAATATAATATGTGAGTAAATAAATAAAAAGACGTTAGGGCGTAAATTCAATGACAATTATAATGACTACGGTTGTGATTATGCTACTCCCATATCAATGTCAAAAGAAGTACAAACACCAAATCTTACAGTGACGATGGCCCTCCTGAGCATGCCAAAAGAACTTTTCCTTTGTTTCGGGAAATTGATCGTGATTTGGTGATAATCGATCGGTATTTTCCCACAAAGACGAATGTAAAGCAGACTCTAACGTTGAAATGAGATTATTTCTTTGTGTCTTCATGTCTGGTATGTTTTTAGATAAAGTTCGTACTTGCAGTAATAGGCATGACGAATTAGAACTGTAGCAAGTTCAGTCTTGCATTTACAGCAAGGAATCTTTGTAGGCTTCATTATGATTCCTTATTATTATTATTATTTTTCTTTGATGCAGGAAAAAAAATAATGTCTTGGATTGATCTGTTTTATTTTGAAGTTAAAATAGAATAGAATTTAAAAAAATATATATATATATAAAATAAAAATAAAATAGGGGGGTTTCATCAATTAATATAAAAATAATAATATTTACCCTCGAATGTTTTTTGGCGTGACCGTAAAAACATCTATAGCTTTCCCTTGATGGTAAAACTTGTATTCTTTTTGTGAGTGGAAATTTCAAATGCTGTTTGGAATCAATCATATTCATTCTTAAATCGTAAAACTGCTTCTTCCCTAAAGTCTTATATGTCCACTTCAATAAGTAAGCTGTATTATACTGTTTTTTTAATAGTGGGCCTTTCACAAATTAATTAAGACGCATATTCGTATGTTTATCTTTTAAATATATAATATATATATATAATTATATGTGAAAGAGAAATATTAACAAAGTGGATTATTACGCAGGTTATTTTAATCAGACATTTATAGAAAAGGATTAAGAAGATAACATAAGAATGTAATTCTACAGACATAATCAAGTAGCCCTTTTTATATAAATACAACTGTTTTTAGATTAATTGATTTTTCTTCTTCTAAGCTTTAGTATCGGGTATACAGAAAAATATATATCGTGTCCCTAAAATCAATATAGTATAAATGAGTTGCTCTTTACCTCCAATAGGCTTATGTGACTTTGTTTTCGCGTCATTTTTGGAAATTACAACACTTTTTTTTTTTTTTTTTTTTGGTTTGTGCACATACACACACACACACACTATAGACAGACACAGACACCCATAGGCACACACATTTATAGTAAATTAGACGGGTGGTCAAGGAATACTCGCAATAGAAAATATAGAGCCAAATTTTCTCCCTCCCTCCCTCGTACTCATTATCTGTCTATCTGATTTTTGATATATTTATATTATATATTATATATTTTAATTTCAATTTCAATTTCTTTACCCTTTTCTATTTTACCTTTATTCATTCTTTCTTTTTCTCTCGCCTCTTTCGTCACTAACACGACTACGACTTTAAACACAACCAGCATCATTGAAAATTAAACAATATGGTTGCTGCTGTCACCAAGGATAGCACACAGGAGACGATTTCCACAAATGATAATCATGCTTCTGATTCACAATCGACCCAATCGGACGCGAAAAGAAAAGATCTTAAGTTGAGAAAGCGAAACAAAAAGAAGAGTAAAAAACAACGTGAAGAAGAAGAAGCCAAAAGAAAGGCTGTAAGTAGTAAAATAAATAATAATAAAAAAACTAGAAAGATAAAAAAAAAACAATCGATCAATCAATCGAAAAAAAAAAAGCATGATCGATATTAGTGTTATAGAAAGAAAGAAAGAAAGAAAGAAAGAGAGAAAAGCACACACATACACTTTACATGTAGACTACACGCGTACACCTGAAAACCTACACAAACGCCCTTAAATCGTGAAAGAAAAAGACAAATCAAATACATCTCTTGTTTGAATTCATGTATAAATTCGAAATTATTCGAAACATGTTTATTTTCTCTTCTATATTTCTTCATTTCTTTCTTTCTAGATCTAAAAAGCAAATAAGGGGCAAATAAACTAATCGCATTTTCTGTTGAAAATTTATTTATTTATTTAGAGCCTTCAACAGATCCAACCCAAGGACGAAGCATTAGACGATGTAGAGATTGAATATGTTGTTCAGCCTGTTGACTATTCCGAGTTGAAGAACATGTCGGGAATGGACAATGTTGATGAAGATGTACTACAACAACTGAGTGATGTCTTTAAGCACTTCCAGACAGGAAAAGAAGATGAAGTCGAGGTAAACATCATTATTATTAGTATTGCTATGCTGTCTCTGTGGTTATTTCTTGTACTTGTATGGGGTGAATCAGAGAATCTGACACTAAGAGAAAGAAAGAAGAAAGAAAACAAGAATCGGTACCTTGAACGAGGAAAAATGAGGAGGAGAGAGTTATTTATTCATTTACTTGATTTATCGATTGCTAATATACTATTTCGTTTTGTTTATGCTGAAATTTTAGGAGGGAGTTGTAGAGGCTATCAAACAAGAAGAAGAAGAAGAAGGTGTAAAGGTCGAAGAAGATGAGGATGATGAAGAAAAGGCAGAAAAGGCAGAAAAGGCAGAAAAGGAAGCTGAACAGGCACTGTCAAAAAAGAAGATGAAGAAGATGCAGCGTTTGACTGTGGCTGAACTCAAGCAACTGGTGAAGAAGCCAGAAGCAGTTGAGGTATAAAATTAATACAAGAAGACAAAACGAAAAAAAAAACATCCACAAGCAAGGATTGCATTAGTCTGTGTGTGTGTGTAGTTTGTAAACTAAAAAAAAATATTGCTCTTTTATCGTTAAAGTGGTGGGATGTTACAGCTTCAGACCCAAAACTGCTAGTAAATTTGAAGGCTTATCGTAACACTGTACCTGTACCCGCACACTGGAGTCAGAAGCGAAAGTATCTTCAAGGAAAACGTGGTATTGAAAAGCCGCCATGGGAACTTCCTGGTACGAAATTGTGAAAGATACTAATATCAATTAATAGTAATAGAAAAGATTAAATACAAGAAGGAAAAGAGAGAGAGAGAATACTTGGTTGATGTAAAAATGAATTTTTGAATTACTGTTTAGACTTCATTAAGGATACTGGTATCATGGAGATGCGAGAGGCTGTAAAGGAGAAGGAAGACGCAGCAAAACTAAAGAGCAAGATGAGAGAACGTGTTGCTCCCAAGATGGGAAAATTGGATATTGATTATCAGAAGCTCCACGATGCTTTCTTTAGATTCCAAACGAAGCCAAAACTGTCTCTTCATGGTGAACTGTCAGTAGAATATCAATTTATTCTTTATTAATTTGCAGAAACCAATAATGAAACTTGTGGATTGATATGGATTGATTGGTTTATTAGGTACTATGAAGGAAAAGAATTCGAAACAAAACTTAAAGAAAAGAAACCTGGGCAGCTTTCAGAAGAACTCAAGACAGCCCTCAACATGCCTCCTCTTGCACCACCCCCATGGCTGATTAACATGCAACGATATGGTCCACCACCAAGTTACCCTAGTTTAAAGATTGCTGGCTTGAATGCTCCGATTCCAGAAGGTGGTCAGTGGGGATACCATCCAGGAGGATGGGGAAGACCTCCAGTAGATGAAGTAAGTACTATCAGTACCAGTATCAGTATTACTTTATCTTTATCTTATTCGTTAAATATATATATATACAGAGAGTTAAAAGGGGTATATTCAATAGATATTGCTAACAAACATCATTTTATGCTTCTAGTACAACCGCCCATTGTATGGTGATGTATTTGGCGTCACTCAACAAGATGATTTGCCACCAGAGGTACGTTTATCGTTATTAATAGTAGAAAATAATAATGCGAGTTTATAATGCTGGGTGACAAATACTTATTATTTCATGATTACCTAGGTCGTCGAACCAATTGATAGAAAACTATGGGGTGAACTCGAATCAGATGAAGGTAAGAAGATAAATACAACCACGATAGAAAACAATATATATATATATATATGTATTTAATGTCTTTACTTAATTTTTTGTATTTCTAAAAAAAAATTAACAAAATATAGAATTTGAAGAGGAAGAGGATGATGAGGATGAGGACGAGGAGGAAGAAGGAGGAGATGACAATGGCACAGAATCAACGGCACAGGACGATACAATTAAGGAGGGATTGGAAACACCTTCTGGTATGGCATCTGTTGCTTCTGGTTTGGAGACACCAGACTTTATTGAGCTTCGAAAGGATGTCAGAAAACAAGAGGAGGATGAGGCACCAAAACAATTGTACCAGGTCTTGCCAGAGATGCCCAAGAACATTACAGGATTTATGGGATCTCAGCACGGGTATGATCTGTCTACAGTCGAGAAGCCCGTGACTGCACCCACCACAGCTGTCAGATCATCAAAACGCAAGATGGGTGATAATGTGGATGTGACGATTGACCCAAGTGAATTGGAGAGTGGTCTTGATGAGTCTACAATGAGAGCCAAGTATGATGCAGAAATGAGAGCCAAATTGCCAGTTGGTGCAGGTAGCGAGGATTTGTCTGATCTGTATGCAGAACATGCCAGCCGACAAGCCAAGAAGATGAAGACACAAGATAGCAAGAAGGATTCAAAGAAAAAGGAATTCAAGTTTTAAATATACATTATCTTATTGTAAAAGATCTATTTTCTCTCTTTCTCTCTTTCTCTTTTTTCGAAAAATAAATAAATAAATAAAACAAGGAAAACAAGCCAATTTATATGTCTTTATACGTGTGCTATGGGGTGCATGCGTTTAAATCTAAAAAGCAAGAGATGAAAGCATAAAGGATCCAAAGGCCAGTAGACATATACCAATCTAAAAATGCAAAAAAAAATAGAGTAAAAAGAAGATGAACGATTATAATTGAAGCAGTAGTAGCGATAAAGGCAGTAGCAGTATTAAGAAAAAGTAAAAAAAAAAATCGTTTTGTAGCTTTTATGTAATTAGGATAAACTCACCATGGATTTCAGTGTCAGGGATTCAACCAGGCCATTGACCAATTCGCCGAATATACGGGTAGCTATCTTTGCTCTATTTTGTTTCAAATTAATTTCAAATTCGATTTAGTGCAAACAAAAATCATTGACAATATCGTGGTTTGTTAAATCAGTTACCTTCCTATCATTGCAGGGTCTCGTTCTGCACATGTAAAAAAAATATAAAAATATTGAGAGTGAAGGATAGAATTACAAGGAAGAAATTGAATGGAATAATTGGTTTATATGTACGTATATAAAGGATATTGTTTCCATTCATTACAGTAAGGTTTAAGAAATGGAGCCAAGTCTGGGTGTGAACAGTGATTTCCAGTATACTTCTGCCTACATACACTAATGACATTTTCAAGAACTTGAAGAATAAAATTATCAATTTTATTTTGGCAAGACATTATTAATATCATTATTGATATTGTAAAAGTCAATATAAAGTATACTTACATTTGACATCTTGGTCAAATCTCTCGTTTATTTCTTTTGAGACTGCCATGTAGATTCCAAAGAATAATGTCAATAAAGCCAATAGACATGTAGTATGGAGTATGACTTTGACATAACTAAGGTCATATATTTGTGAATAATTCAATTTTTATTTATCTATTTACTGGCTTTATTGGTTTTATTTGGAGTGTAGCTGACCTGCCAAATATTAAAGGTACATCAGGTGTGAGAAGTAAGCGAGATTTTGGTTTGATTGAGCGTTTGAATTCAACAATGGTGTCATGATGAGTTTTTTGCTTCTTATTTGGTTGCATACTGTTTGTTGGTTGATCTAGTTATTTTATTTATGTTTTTGACAGTGCGAGCTAAATAAGTTCAAGAGGTCACAGAAAAGACCAAGCTAGTCATGTGATTAAGGTAAATGACACTTTAATGAAAATAATAATAATATGTAAGGGTAAGTGTAAGCCTATGCGTGTTTTGTATATATGTAGATTGATTGCAAGTGGTTCATATGGTTCCTAATTTACAGTGTCTTTATGCTGTCATTCGGAGTTTAGTGAATCCCTTTGTCTGATTTTCTCTCTTTTGGCTTTTTTTTTATATATTTTATTTTATTTTATTCCTTGCAGACTTTGGAGTCTCTGAGTAATCCTTTTTTGTACACATATGATACATCTTCTTGTTACTGATCTTTATAAAACACACTATTTTTACGTGATAGATCAAGTGTGTAGTGCCATCAAGATTGTTCTGTGATACGATGTACAATATATCCAGATGTTTGATGTTAGTTTGATTGGATAGATATGTGTGGGTGTAATTGTGTCCAAGATATATTGATCTATTTAGTAGATGGTGTTCAATTCAATCAATCAAGTACAGTACAGTACAGTACAGTACAAATAAGCTTAGAGGTTTCTGCTGGTCAATCTAGTCTTTATATAATATACTAAAAAGAAATTATCCGTTTTTGGGTCATTTCGGCTTAATATTATCCAACTTCTTTTTTTGTGGAGAAAATATGATGTAGGCCACGTGAAGGAAGAAACACTGTAATAAAGGCATGCCCCAACATGTGAAGATAGAATTTCGTATTTTTTTCTCTCTGTCTATTTAACTTTCATCTTCAGTTGTGATGTCAGTGGCTCTTTTTAGCCAATCATATTCAAATAAACCTCTACTCTTTCTTTTTTTGGTGAGTACAAAATATTCCAAAAAAAAAGGGTCAAATAAAATTCAGATTTTCTGCTGTATGCCATATAAATATTTATATATATTCAAATTTTCTTATCCTTTACTTCAACCCCCCCTTTTTCTCTCTTTCTTTCTCTTTCTTTATACATATTCAATTTTAATTTCAATTCTTTCTTCTATTAAAAACAAACAAACAAACGATGGCTTCTGCACATAATAGACTTAAGGCTGTTCAACAACACCTCACTCCTGCCCAAGTACATGCAAAAGCTGTCGAGTAATACACAACATACCTATACACATACATATATTTAACATTTTGATTTATTTACGTACTTAGTCCAGTAGCAAGCATGGACCAGGAACGTGCAAAGGCAGCCTTTGATATCCGTGAATTGACCTACTTACTTGACGGCGGAAAGAAAGTTACGGAACTCAAAGAGCGCATGATGCTTGAGCTTGAAAGAGATCCTCTCTTCAAAATGCATGATATCCACGACATTTCAAAGGATGAACTCCGTGAGCGCACCATGCAAAAGGTAAATTTATACGAAACATTTCTTTGTTTTCATTGGACTTCCAAATTATACACAAAAGAATGAAAAGAATGAAAACCAAGTAGTTGATCTATAAGCTAAATCTTTACACAATACACAACATTAGTTTAGCAGTCTGTTGCACCACCTTCAAAATGAACCAGTCGATCAATTCAGAAAGAGAATGGAGGTCGTCAGTATGCTTGATCCAGGTTTCTGGACTCGTTTTGGTGTTCATTGTAGGTTGACTTTATTTTTATTTTAATGATAACCATGGTTACTAAAGTAATTTATTAATTATTTACTAACTCATGTATACAGACGGGTTGTTTATCGGCGCACTTCAGAGCAATGCTACTCCTGGACAGCTGGGATACTGGTTTGAAAAGGGTGCTTTGTCACTAAATGGATTGGTCGGCTGTTTTGCCATGACTGAGCTCGGCCACGGATCAAATGTGCCCGGTCTCGAGACGACTGCTACATTTGATGAAGCTTCTGACCAATTTATTATCCACACTCCCACACTCACTGCCACAAAGGTAAACAACACACACATATATATATAAGGCACAAAAACATATTACTTATATATCTCTTTTTTTATTAGTGGTGGATCGGCGGTGCTGCGCATAGTGCCACACATTCTACGGTGTTTGCACAATTGATGGTTAACGGAAAATGCTACGGTACAAAGTGCTTTGTAGTACAGCTCAGAGATCCAAAGACATATGCCTGTATGCCTGGTGTCAATATTGGTGACATTGGAAAAAAGATGGCAAGTAAAACAGATAGATAGGAAGAAAACAAAGGCAGAATATCGAATGCGTATGTGCGTGTGTGTGTGTGTTTACTCCTTAGACGTGTGTATTTAGTGTGTGACAATTATTATTGTTACTAACCAAAGAATTTCAAATACTTTTTTTTTTCTTAGGGAAGAGATGGTATCGACAATGGCTGGATCCAGTTCACAAATGTACGGATTCCTAGAGGAAACATGTTGATGAAACACACAAAGGTTTCTCGCTCTGGTGCAGTCAAGGAGCCCAAGCTTCAGCAATTGGTGAGTTGATTGTTATTTGATTTGATTTGATTTTCTTTTTTAAAGAGAAAAATAAGGGTATATCATTATAAATCGTGGGAATCTAATATACACACTCCCATACTCCCACACTTATTAATCTATTCACTCATACTCAAATAAATACATACATATATTACCTAGACTTATGGCGCTCTTCTTCAAGGTAGAGTTGCCATGGTAGTAGACAGCGGTAATGTGTCCAAAAAAGCACTTGCTATTGCGATCCGTTACGCTGCTGTCCGCCGCCAGTTCTCTAGCTCAGATTCTACGATCGAGACAAAGTTGCTAGACTACCCTATCCATCAGCGCCGCCTGATGCCGCTCCTGGCCCAGACATTTGCCATGCTTTTTACAGGATCCGAAATGACTACCATGTACAACGAAATGATGCAGCGACTCGAGAATGCAAAGCCCGGAGATAGCGATCTGGACGAGGTCATGGAGACCCTCAAGGAAACCCACTCAACCAGTGCGGGTCTCAAGGCCTTTTGCACCTGGAACTGTCTCGAGACAATCGAACAGTGTCGACAGGCGTGCGGTGGTCACGGATACTCTGCCTACACTGGTTTAGCAGGAATGTACCAGGACTTTGCGGTACAGTGCACCTGGGAGGGCGACAATACAATCCTGACCTTACAGGCTGGTCGGTACCTGATCAGCTCTTACCGCGAGGCGATGAAGGGTAAGAAGCTGTCACCTGGTGTCGGATACCTCAACAGACTGGACCAGTTGATCGGTAAAAAGTGCCAAGTAAAAGAGCTCGAAGACCTTTTGCGGCCCGAGATTATTATTGAAGGATGGCAGGTAGTTTGTGCCAATGTGGTCAAGAATGCGGCAAAGGAGTTTGAGGCCCATTTGGCGAGAGGTAAAAAGCCCGACGATGCATATGAAGAGTGCTCGCAGTCCCGTCTCTACGCAGCCAAGTTGCACACTTTTGGATACCTTTATCACCGGTTTGTGGATGGTGTGGCCAAGGTATCCGATGATCTGAAGCTGGTTTTGGACAGCGTGTCACTGCTGTACGGTCTGTACACAATTGAGGAAAACGCAGGCGCATTCCTCCAATACGAGTACTTTAGCCCAAAGCAGATTGAGTTTATCCGGGAGAAGACCAATGCACTGTGCAAGGTTGTGCGTGAACAGGCAATCCCTCTTGTGGATTCCTTTAACCTGTCTGACTTTATGATCAACTCACCGCTGGGCCGGGCAGATGGAAATGTGTATGAACACTACTTTGATCAGGTCAAGCGATCGAATCCTCAGGGCGAACACCCTTACTTCCAACGTATCATCAAACCTTTGATTGAACGCAAGTCAGAAGCAGATGATGAAGAAGAAGATGATGAAGCGGCTGGATTAGAGTCTGAAGATGAAGACGAAGATGAAGAAGAAGAATAATTGGTGATAGCTGTAGTCGATTTTCATAAATAAATTTTTATACTCTAGACATTTGAAAGATATTTGAATAAATAAAATACATTGAATTGAATTAAACTTTTAAATAATTGTAAATTGATGTTCAGCACTTTATTAATATTATATAAGCATATCTCTATTGTGTCTGTAGTTTAAATACCAAATATTTTTGAAACAAAATTAATTAATAAAAAATAAAGTTTATCAATTGCCGTAATCAGTACTTTTGGGTACCTTTTCTTGTAGAATACCTCACTAATGTGTGTATATATATATATATGTGTGTGTGTTTGTGTGTGTCTTTATACAGATACAAGCCCCAAAATATTGATTCTATTTTTTTCTTAAAAAAAAAAAAAGATTCAAAATTATGCTTGATGATTAAATATGATGTTTTGATATTTGTAATATTGTGTACGTCTGCCTCCCTGCTTGTATAAATAGATAGAAAAATGTAGACAGGGCAGAAAAGCTTTATTTCGGTCCAATGTACCATATACCCGAACTACCGAATACAATGTGCTCAAATGACGTGTTTTATTATTTTATGTGCGGATATTTGGTTGTTACATTTATGTAACAGTAGTAGTAATATTATTAATATATTATTAATATAAATTATTATTCTTTGCGTTTGTCATTGCGCATCACTCTTGATTTTTTTTCTTCTATTTCTTATTTTATTCAAGTTAATTTTTGTACGGACACAAGTCTATTTATGGTAAGAAAAAGAATATCAAGGCAGTTTTGTGCAAGACGACCAAAGATTGCCTTTTATATATAGTGAAAATACATCTATACTTTTGTAGTGATTGTTTCATAGTACCTTGTAATACTACATATTTATAGCATGTCGTATAATATCAGAATATGCTGCACTATGCTGTATGGTAAAGTATCAAATATCACGGGATAATGATGCACAAGCACATTGAACAAATAACCTTCTCATCCTCGTCCTTGTCCTCTTCTTGCTCTTCTGCTCTTCCCTGGTCTCTTTTCTTTTTTTAACTTACAATATCCGACTAAAGTAGTACAGAAAAATTGAATTAGGGGGGGGGGGAACACAAGGTCCAAAATAGCACCAGAAATAAAACCAAGCCAGGCCAAGCCAGGTCCAGCCAGGTCCATGTCAAGGCAAAACCATCACATATAAATTATACATATTTTAAAATTTTGGAACTTTTGGCATATAAAGCGCATCGTAAAGACCAATACTTTTCTTGCTTCTTCATCTCTTTGTTTCTGTTTGTTTATTTAACAAATTTAAACTTAAACTCACACACATTACATATCACATATAAATCATGACTGCCGGTGAAAGTGCTTTCCCTATTGGTTACTTCTTTATCATCTCCAAGTTGAACAACTTGGTTATTGATGTCGAGAACCCTACCGAAGCTGGCGTAAGATAATCATACCAATAGAAGCAACACGGAAAACCAAAACCAAAATACACTTGTTGTATCCAAGGATCTATATACTAACTATAGCGTGTTTTATATATATTGAAATTAATGTAGCCTGGTGCAAGAATCATTATGAAAGAACGTCAGGCAAAGTCTCCCGAACGTGACAGTCAGCTCTGGATCCATCAGAACGGTAACTATATAGTATATCAATAATTGTATATATATACTTTTATTTAATGAAAATACCTTTAGGTTTCTTGACAAACAAGATGACGGGCCTTGTATTGGATATCAACAGATCCCCCAGCTTTATGGGTAAGTCTTCTTTAAAGCCCATATTCTATTGTTATTGTTGCTGTCATAAAAAAAGAAAATGAATGAAAGAATCGCAGCACACAAACTGCGTTTGTTTTCTCTCTCGAAAGCTCGGAAGTTCCGAGACCTTTTGATGTTTCTATCTTGTCCAAGCTTTGTCTGTGCAACAGAAGCGGTCTTTTTTCTTTTTGATTTTATATTCATTTATTCATTTATTCATTTATTCTATTTTATTCTAACTAATAACATATTATAATATATATACATTGGCTCTTAATCATCTTTCCTGCTTTTTATTGTGTTGGACGTATTAGCTATCTTTAATGGTGAAAACCACCTCTACTTGGACCAGATGAAGGAAGAGGATACCGTAAGTACACCAAAAGAAATATATATATATATATATATATATATATATATTAAAGAAACAACCAATCAACTAACACATTCAAAAAAAAATTGCGGTAATTTTTCAAAAGGCTCACGACCAGAGATTTGCTTTCGAGGAAGAGACGGGTTTCATTTACTCTCTGCACAACGAAAACATTGTGTTTGACATTCGCAAGGCCGAGGTGGCTGAGGGTGGTCGTGTCATTGTATACAAGCGCAAGGGAATCTCTGAAGATAGCAGCAAGAAACCCCTGCACCAGTACTGGTCCGTTGAGCTCGGCGACCCTCCCAAGATTGATGAGGATGACGAAGAGGAAGATGAGAGCAAGCGTGCTCGTCTGAGATCCTGGTTCGGTAACTGGTCTGGTTGGGATAAGCGTAAGAACGGTATGCTTGTAGAGCACGATCTTGAGGAGGCACATGAAAAGGTTTACACTGAGAAGAAGGCCAGCCTGAGGTAAATATTTTGTATATATATATATATATATCTATTTATATATATATTAATCCATTGTTATATAGTCACGAGTTATTGGCCGGTGCTGCTGCATTCGCTGCTGTTCATGCTTGGGAGAAGCGCCAGGAAGAAGCTGGTGAGGAGGTTCACCACAGCATGACCAAGAAGTTGTTGGCCAGTTTGGCCGCAGCAGAGGTAAGCAAAAATTAGTCGATTTGCATTTTGATACTCTATTTAACTATCCGACTCTTATACATAGATGGTTAAATTGTATGAGGAGCGTGGTATTGAAGAGGAAGACGATGATGAAGAAAAGAAGATCGAGAAGAAGAACATTCTCCAACGCATGTCTGCATCTGCTGCTCAGAATCTCTTTGAGGCCAAGCACGGCAGAGTTTGAGCTTAGAGTCTGATTAAGTCTTTATTAAGTAAATAGATAACATTCTATTGTGGTAAAAAGAAAGAAAAAATAACTGTAAAAAAATAAATAAACCAAATTAAATAAGCAAATAACGGTACATATACTTTACACACCAAGCTGTTATAATGAAAGAAAGGCGGAAATCCTTGTAGTCAGTTTTGCTTTGCTTTATTTATTTTTTTAATATATAAATGAACTGGAAAATTAGAGCAAAGCTTAAGCAAACAACTCTAGAGTTAGACAAGCCTTTCATTAATTAATTCATTTATCAAATACCATTATTTTTACTGTCATTGTTTTTAAGGAACAATGTAGTACAATACAATTGTACTGTATAGTTAATATCATTATTACTGCTTTACCACTTATTTTCTATTGTAAGAATGAAATTAAATAAAATCGAGTTGAAACTATTCAGCGATTATTTGGGCACGACGCTTCTCTGGAACACCTCTTCTTTCTTTTTTTTTCTATTATTATAAATGTATAGAAATACAAATTCCACCAAAGACAGATTTCCAAAAAAAAAACACACACACACCTACAGACACACCCACACACAAAGAAAAGGCACACAAATTCTATTAAAGCCGACTATTGCAACTTACTCGTTGAAGAGGATGTATTTAATGCCAAAGAAGAAAAAATATTGAAAATATTGTTTGAGATTTTCAGTTCTTAAAAAAACCAAAAATGGCCAAAACGGCCGTGCGTACCTCTTGTAATGTAACTCCTTTATATGGATTTTAAATAGGAGCCGTTTAAAAAAGCATAAATACTTGGATTTATATTCTCTTTTTTAAAAAAAGATTCACTTAAAGAAGTTCGTTTTACTTTGGGCAGCAAACGGCCGTGTACGCTTTAGATACTACGCAATCACCAAATTACTCACACACTGAATATTTTCTTTCTCATAGAACCTTATAGAACAATAGACGTGACTTAGAAATAATAAGTCACATATCCAATATCCTTCCTAACACTATGAGCCATTTTTGCGGTGACTTTTCTTTTTAGCCGCCTCGGTTTTCTCTCTCTGATGTGACTTTTTTTATTTCAATCTCAAGGACTCTTTTTTTCATATGGCGTCACAATGTTAAAAGCCAATCAAAATAATTTAAAAGTCATTGACTCATTTTTCAAACACCAATCATTTTAATTTTCACATTCCGTGACTTTCTTTCAATTGCAAAAGGTCGTACAAGAATTGAACCATTTTGTCTATAAAAAGGGGCCAAAAGTTTGCAAATTTTTCAGATCTTTATTGTGGCGGTTATCTACGTAGTCTGCTCATAGATGTGGCCTTAGTAAACCGGTCGAAAGACTTTCACAGTTGAAGACCTATAAACCAAACTATATAAACCACGCGATGTCTATGCAGGTGTAGAATGCTGATAACCTATCTGTTGCCCACTGCGAGTTTTTTGAAAATTTTCTCGTCCAACAGGGAGATCCCACTTTCATCATTGGCTGGCCACCAATGGTAAATAAATTCAATAAAATAAATGAAAATGAACCAATCAAAATCTATATAAATTGATTTTCTTAAATCATTTTATATAGATTTTGATTTTTTTTTTGTTTTTTCAATTTTTTTCTTATAAATTAAAAATAAAATAGAAAAATTAAAACTAAAAAATTAAAAATAAAGTAGATCAAACCCCCCTATTTGTTTTAAAGATAATATGATATGTAGATATAATTCTTTATTACTCTTCTCACTGTATAACTTGGCTCTACATAATCTGCACTAAAGTACTTTGCACTACACTCTCGCAAGATATTTATATAAGTTGAAATAGAGGAATAGATAATATTCATGACATCATTTTATATCGACATTTTTTTTTTCAATACCTTTCTCGCTCTTAATGTTTGACAACTCTACTGACCCAGTCCCACATCCCAGCCTAGCCTAGGTCAACCCAACCCAACCCAGCCCAGCCCAGCCCAGCCCAGTCAATTCAGTCAATTCATCATTAAATGTGAGGCGGAGTCATGCATAATCAATGTCATAATAATATTTCTCTCTCTCTCTCTTTTCTTTTCTTTTCTTTTTATATATATTCAAACTACACCAACCCACCCACCCACAACTACGCATCTTCTGCTTCTTCTTTACTACTCTTTAAACCAACAAATACATATATCTTCTTATTCTTTTTTTTTCTTTCCTTGTGTACAAATATAATTATCGGATTCCTCATTCATCATGCCTGCAATCATTGGGGTTGCATGGGTCATTTACGGGGCTGTTTCAGCGGTAATAAACAAATAATAAATACTAAGAATAAAAGTTAAAAAGGAAAAATAAAGTCATAAAGAGATACTGTGTGTAGTATATAAAAAGAGTGAGAGTTAGAATGAGAAAGGTCATGTCAAACGAGATGATGTATCTTTTTCTTTTTCGATTTATGTTTTTATATAGTAAAATCAAAATTAAATCAAGTTCAATCAAATCAAACGTGTATATATATATATATATATATATATATATATATATATATATATATATAAATATATAGGCCTTGTTTGTATTTAGTATATTTTTCACTCGCTATTACCAAAGCAGACACGAATCAGAGCTGCTGGCAACCTTGGTGACTATTGTTGCTCTTGGTTTGATCTTTTCGACTCTTGCACTCCTGCCTGTCGACATCTTCTTGGTATCCTCGACTGTCAACAACCAAACAGGTCTCAAGTATGACTGGGCAACACCTGAGATGATCAGCAGGATTACAATGACAGTTCAACTGGTCTATTACAGTAAGTGAACTAGAATCTAAAAACAAGAATCCACTGATCTTGGATATTGATATTGATCCCATTTCTGTTTAATTCGTTAATACTATTAATAATCATAATGATAATGATAATAAAAATAATAATAATAAAAAAAAAGGCTGTTTTAGTCTGGTTGGCTTGGTGTGCTTTTTTGTTATTCCATTTGCATACTTTTACTACGAGGAGGATGAAGAGGATGAGACGATCCAAGAGAGAATTATGGGCGCATTAAAGTACACATCATTCTTTGTCGTCATTTCTGTCCTGCTGTTTCTTTTCGGACTGTTTCTCAAGCCAACTCAAGAAACCCCTCACATTGATCTGGACTGGTTCAGGAAACTATTAGCAGAAAGCAGTAAGATTCATTTATTTTGATTGGTTCAAGTTATCCCAAAAAAAAGAAAGAACAAGACGAGGCAAAAAGCAAGAATAACAGCTTTGGTAGTCAAGAAGAGTTCAAGTGTAGATTTTGATTGATTATTTATTGATTAGATGGAGAAAAGGCCATTGCATTTGTGATTGCTTGTCTGATTCTATTGGGGATGGTTGTATTTATATTCTACACAGTAAGAGAACACATATTCCTTTTAATATATATATATAGTGTATGTGTGTGTATGGTGTTATTAATGATCAATGATTATTGTGTGTTTATGTGTAAGCTTAGGCTCCTGGACTATCACTTTTACCACTAACACTAATCAAGGGAAGAAGAAGAATTGAAACTGAGAATGAGGATGTGGACAATCGACTGATTGTGATTCGTGAACGTGTGCGTGCTCTAAAAGCGAAATACTTTGGATCGACAAGAAAAATCCCAGCTCATGAACAGCGTGAGATTGAGAACCTTGCTGATGAAGAGAGGTATTATAGCCATAGATATAAGGATACATAGATAATAGGACCAAAGAAAGAAAGAAAGAAAGAAAAAGTCCCTTTAGATATTTTGGACATGGTGGTTTATTGTTTATTTCCTATATCTTTAAACATGTTGTACTAACGAATCTTAATGATATTATATGATTTATAAAGTATCCTAACACGTCGTCTTCGCAGTATACAGGAAGATAGGGATAGCAAATGGCATATGCTTGTCAAGATGATGCGTCCAATTGAGGTAAGGATTAAATTACCTTTTTAATATATATATATAGAAAAGAGAAAGATATCCAACTCCTGTAATGACCTTGTTCCCCTTATTAATATATAAATGTACATGATGTACATCATGTATATGCTATTTTATATTTTATTTTATTTTTGTTTGTGCGTTGGGCTTGTGCGTTGGGCGTGTGGTTTTGTAGATTATGATTGGATTTATCCTGTTGGGCATGTCATTGGTGATTGTTATCTCGATCTTTTTGACAATGTGAGTCATATAAGGAAAGAATGTCAAGATTACATAGGGCTGTAAATGATGAATCTATTAATATTTATCTGTTTATTAATTATATATCTATCACTTGGTTTGAAAGTGTGGACAAGATATCCAATTCGGTGTGTGGTAGCAAGTGTGGTTACATTATCAACCATCCCCAGCTATTCAATCCCGTCAACTATATTTTTGTGGCTCTAGCCAAGGTGAGTTGGATAAAGATAAAGTATATTATATTATATGGTATAATGAAGAAGAGTGATGCATTGACCAACTAGTATTACTTGATGTAGATGTTCCCACTCGACTATCTGTTTATGGTATCTTTGATATTATATTTCTTCTTGGCAACCATGTCTGGGGTGATCAACATTGGACTTCGATTCTTGTGGGTTACACTCTTCAAGATCCAGAAGGGAGCAACTGCACCTCAGGGGCTATTGTTTTCTGCAGTCCTGCTACTACTCAGCTTACTTGCCTTGAATTACACAATTACCACTGTTGTGGCACCAGAATATGCACACTTTGGAAGCCAGGTTTATGTAAGTTGATTAAACATTTGTCTACATGGTTTTTTGAAGGATGTTTGGTATGAGCTACTTGGTAATTGAAACAGTAATGGTTATGAGTCGATAGTATAAGCAATAGTAAGAGGTTAAATGAAATGAAATGAAATGATAAGAAAGAGGATAGTAATGCTAATGTTAATTTTAATGTTAATGTTAATCTTAATGCTATGTTAATTATACTGCTCATTATAATGATAATGATGGTTGATAATGATGGTTGATAATGATGGTTGATTGGTTGTTTAGTGTAACCACACGGTTGCAGGGTTGCGGGATTGTAGTGACCGACTTGACTTGATTTTGGCATGCGACATAACTGGACCTACTGGTGAGTAAAAATCTATGGAATTTTTTTTTCAAGGAGTATATCTATAGTTTATATTATTAATATTAAACAATTCAATTCAATTCAATGAATTTTGATTTTTAACGTATATATATATATATATATATAAATGAATGTGTGTGTGTGTGTGTGTGTGTGTGTATTGTATGTATAGATATCTGTACACCCACCATTTCGTCTACTCTTGTGGATCGAATTATCATCAACACACCCTTTTTGGGCATGATATTCTATTATTCACAGTGGGCATTTCTGATTGTGTTTGGGTTGGGCTTCATTGTTGCTTTCTTCCGTCGGCCGAGAAACAATGTGGATTCAGAGACAGTTGAGCAGATTGATGCGGACGTCGAGCGATCGTTACTTAACCGAAGACAGCCAACCTACACTTCCATTCATTCCAATCTTAATCCCAGTACTGGATCGAATACTACCAATTCTACCGGCACTACTTAGTCACCAACAGATAAAAATAATAAAAATAAAAAATAAAACGGCAAAGCATGCATTGATTTGAACTAAATTAAGCTGATAAGATTTCATTTGATCGTATTGATCTATTGGTAGTAATATATGTATCCATATAAAATAAAGCCAACTATCTTGACCAAATAAAAATGATGATCCGAATCGTGGGAGAATTCTCAAGTGAACATACACGTATAATTAGACACTGCTTATTTATTTATTATAAGGAGCTGCGTGTGATAGTGTATTTTGTTAGGGTCTAAACAGGTCTTTCTCTCTTTTATTTTTTTTGATCTTTTTGTGTGCAAAAAAAAAAAGGCAAGAAAAGAGCAAAAAGCTTAAAATATATTATTATATCTCATATGTAACAATCAAAAAATAATAATAATAATGTAAAAGAGAGCAGAAAATATATATATACTAGACACGTTTAATGTGACCAATAAGGAACATGAGAAATATATTTATAAACAACCAAGCAGTTGAACAGGTGGACAGCTAAATGATTTTAGATGCATAATTATCCTACTGATATTGCTGATTACTGGTTAGATGGTTAGATGGTTAATGAATTGTTCTAAAAGATCAATTAATATTATTACTATTACTATTATGTATATATTTAGAAAAGAGAGTAAAGAAGAAGGGCAAAATGCACAGTCCATTGATTTTGCTAATTTTGATCACAAACCCTTGTTTTGGTTATACTCCGTTACAATCTTAATTATCTATTATCATTATTGAAACAAAATTGAGAAATAAAATATCAAAGAATAGCAATAGATACTAATATTATTATTATTAAGATCAAATAAGAAAAAGAAGAAGAGGTATAGAAAGAAGGCAAGTGAAGAAGGTGGAGAAGGACAGCCCCTAAATGAAATAACATTCCATCAAAAGGCAACCTTGTCAATATATGTATGATTTCTATAATACTTTGTGCAATACTTGGAACTAGCACTATTCCTGTTAATATCCCATCTAACCATATAATTTATGTAGCTGATGGAATATTAAATATTGGCAGTACAAAGACAAAAAAAAATACATATATAATTATTATACGTATTAAAAATGAATTTTAATAGTTTTTAAAGAATAATAAATAATAATGGTTAGTGTGTATAAATATATATATATATATTTGAAAGAGAAGTACCTCGCTCTAAATTCCCTTTTTGTCCAACTGTCTAGTTTATGGCTCACTACTCCTTCAACCTTAATATATATATATTTAAATATATATATATATCCTTGTAGTGTAGTGTAAAGAGTAGTGTAAAGAGTAGATCTTCTTCTAGCTGTAATTGAAGCTATAATACTGATACCAATGGCAATATTAATATTAATATTAATATTAATAAAGTGTATTATTTATTGGTCCTACAGTGTACTGTATTGACTATGGATTTTAGTATAAAGATAGACAGATAGATGGAGGATATTTTTATTTTTATTATGTTGAGAAAAATATGTAGTCTTTTTTTAGGTAAAAATCTCAGCAAGATTTGCTCTGCCCCCGTGAACACAAGTACACTTTATACGTGTGTGAACATGCGTTACCAGAGGCCCTCTTTCTGGTGGAATAATTTTTTTTTCTTTCTTTCTTTTATTTTTGGTTGGATAATATTAATATTAATATTATTAATATTATTACTATTTTTCACAATATACACTTTTGTATATAATTTATGTACTATGTATTATGTACTATACGCATATCACATTACAGTACATAAACTATGAAAAATAAATAAATAAAACAATTATAAATATTACCTTGCACATCTCTTTATTTCTTTCTCTTCTTTCTTCTGTCCTTTATCCCACACACACTCCTTACAAGCCCTTTCTCTCTCACTATACCTTAGTCTCTTCTCCTTGTTTTTATTATATATACATATATACATATATACATATATACATTGTCCCTTTTATTTCCTGTCCAACTTGTCATCAGCCTGCTTACTTACTTTGCTTGTATCAATCTTGATCTCTATTGGGTAATTACACACACGCTATTTTTATATATAAATATATTTAATATTTAATATTTAATGTTTAATGTTTAATAATTACAATTATTTCATTCTCTCTCTCTCTCTCTCTTATTAAATAAATAAAATAAATAATTATAGAAATATATAATTATATCAATACCTATTATAAGAATGTACTCTTCATCTTTGGAAATCGCTCAGACCCAAGACTTTGGCTTGACAGTCAATGGATCGCCAGATCAAGGATTTCAGTCGCTCGACTTTAAAGCATTCCCTGACCAGTACCGGCGTACAGACTATTTTGATTGTATGCGTAGATACAACTATGCTGAAATCCTGCCCAGCCAAAGTGAAGCCAGTTTCTCCGATTACGAGCACCAGACACCCTCGCCACCCCACAATTACGAAGAAGATCTGTACAACTCTCATCACCAGGCCAAGAGTCCAATTGGCCAGAGTATCCTGAGTGGGTCCTTTGATTATCTTTCGGCAGAACAGCCTCAGTTCCAGATCCCAATCGACTGTGACTATACCACAAACACCGAGACGAGCCTAAATGGTTATAACTACGGTCACTATAACAACCAAAACAACCATGGCAACCATGGCAACCATGGCAACCATGTCAGTCAGATTTATTCGGACCGTCAACCAACTTGGGCACTGTCATCAGATGTGAATTACTTGTCCAGGATGACAGACAATCTGTGTGACAATTTCCCTCTTGCATATCAATCATTGATCAACAATATCGGCGGTAATACTAGTACCAGCAATAGTAGTGTTAATGGTGGATCCTTTGACACAAACTACCACCCTCTTTCTGGCTGTGGAGGGGCAGCTATTGACAGCGCAACCTTGAGGGTAGCGTCCCCAATCTGCACTGTACCAAGCCAGTTGTCAGAAATCGTCTTCCGTGAACGATCATCGTCTACGTTTTCCAGTTCCAGTTCGACCAACTCAATGTCCGACCAAAGCTCGACATCTGCTACAAAGACCAAGCCTAACTCCAAGTTGATCAAGACCAGCCGTGCTCAGCTGGCCAAGCAGGCCTCTAACAACAATGGCACTAAGCAAACCAGATCGCGTGGTCGTCGGGTGTCCAACAGTCCCAGCCCCAGTGGCCAGAAGATGTTTACCTGCACAAAGGATGAATGCGGCAAGGTGTTCAAGCGATCCGAACATCTCAAGAGACACATCCGGTCCATCCATACACTCGAGAAGCCATTCGAGTGCCCTTACCAGACCTGCTCCAAGAAGTTTTCTCGATCAGACAACCTCAACCAGCACATCCGGATTCACCGTCATACTGGCAAAGACAAGCCCAATCCACCAATTACTTGTAGACAAGGATCATTCGGTGGATACGGCTATCTATAAAAAAAAACAAAGCAAAAGAAACAGATGGAATCAATACACACACACACACTACTACTACTATTACAATATCCATTTCATCCGTACAAGCCATATATACATACAAGCATACAAGCATACAAGCATACAAGCATACAAGCATACATCCATACATCCATACAAGCATACATCCATACAAGCATACAAGCATACATAAGAAACTTGAGCATTCGAAATTTACAACTACATCCAAACTATACATTACACTGCACTGCACTGCACTGCACTGCACTGTACTGTACTGCACTAAACTAAACTAAACTAAACTACAGCACACGCATAAGAAACAAGGAGAGAGAAAAAGAAAATTATCAATTTTTTCTTTATTTTATTTTTTTTACATATATTTTTGCATCACATCTTATCCCATTGCAACCCATTTCATTCCATACCATTACATACAATTTCATACCATTTTATATAATTTGATTTGATTTGATTTGATTTGATTCACTTATTAAATTCATCAGTTCAAGCACATATTATTTTCACAACAACCAAAAAAAAAAAACACACACACACACACAAATCCTCCCTTTTTTTTTGTTTCTTTTTCTATTTTTCCCCTTCCCCTTCAAAATAATAATTATAATACCAAGTCAAAATTGTTCTCCTTATTTTCTTCTTGCTCTTCTTGTTCTTCTTACTCCTCTTTATATTGCATGCTCTTTCTCTCTCTCTTCTTATGGCTTCTCTATTTTATTATATTCTATTCTATTCTGTATTTTGATTTCTATTTTTCATGTAATACTTTTTTGTGTGTGTGTGTGAATGAGATTTCAGATACACACAAAAATAAAATATCTTTTATTAATATTTTTGGATGAGTACAACGAAAATACATAATATAAAATAAATAAATAAATAAATAAATAAATACAAATTAATATTAAAAAAATATACACTCTTCTTCTATTTTGTTTCCAAGGCCGTTTTATTACAATACTCTCTTTTTAAAGAAACCGTATATAGATATACTTACACACACAAGCACATGCTGTATACATATCTTACACCAAAAAAGTCATGGGTACAATGTCTTTCCTTTATTACTAGTTAAATGCGCACAGCTCTTTCTAGATCTCACCATCACACGTTCTTTTTCTGTACTCTTTTTTTTTTATTGTGTAGTAAATCTGGCTAAATAATCTTTATATTCTGAATAGATTCTAAATTTTCATTCTATTCTATTGAACACTAGACACAGTCAATACAGTCAATCAAATCAATCAAAAAATATTTTAAAGTGTAAAATAAAGTAAAGTAAAGTATATAATATATATAAAAATAAAATTAGGGCTCGTGCACCGCTGTAAAAAAAAAAAAAAAAAAAAAAAAAAAAAAAAAAAAAAAAAAAGTCAAGTATTCGCAACTATCACTTTTTTATGGAACTTATATCTATCCACTTGTACAAATATGAATATGACTTGTATACTTTTTGTATTCAAAAGAAAAGTCTAGACCTTGTATATGAAATATAAATATAAATAAAGTTACATATATAGCCAATTTCATTATAAATTATAAATGTATATATAAAAATAAAAATAAAATAAAAGGTTGAGTACCAAACAACCAACGGAATAAAAGCGATATTTCTTTCTTGTGCACATAAATTTCCCAAAAAATAAATAAATAGAATGTAACCCATGATTTTGTTACTTTTTTTTTTATTTTATTTATTTTATTTATTTATTTATTTCGATTTTTCTTCTTACTTTCTTCTTTCTTTCAAATTTTTTTTTTATACTTCTTTTGATTGAACATCATGAATCCAGTTCCAAACAACCATTTCCTTACTTCTTTACCCCAGAATGCTACCGGATTTGATCCATCTGTCTATTATCCACAAACCACTTACCCACCATTCCAATTTGGTACTCCACTACGACAACCAGTACGTTCAGGATCAATGGATTATCAGGAACAGCATCAGCAACATCAACAAGACGTAGCAGCAACAGCAGCATTTCAAAGTAAAGTTCGTATGACAATAATCATATAAGCCATTAATCTCTCTTGTCTTTTATTATCATTATAGTGATGGCCTATCAACAACAGCAACAGTTACATCAGCAATTACAGCAACAAGATCATCAAAGATCCGGATCTCAGGATACTGCATCGACCAGCTCTCCTTCTCTTTCGGCCCAGTCGGCAAAAAGGTAATAAAGATAGACTGTTGTACAACAATCCTAAATAAATAAAAATATAAATACATCTGTAGAGGGCAATCAAAGGCAGACAGAAGAGCGGAACACAATGCAATTGAACGAGCCAGACGTGAGAGTCTTAACACAAAGTTCCAGCAACTGGCCCATACTTTACCCAACCTACAGAACGACAGTCGTCCTTCCAAAGGAACCATTATTGAGCGCACCTTGGACTTTGGTAATAGATAAAATTATATTATATTATATTATATTTTGTTAATAATTATTATCCAATTATCAAATTATAGTTAAACACGCACTTGCTAAAGAGGAACGATATCGTCATGAGATCCGTGAACTTCGGTTAGCCAATCGTCAATTGCTAGGTCAACTCTCCCACCAGACAATCAAGGAGAGAGCTAGTGAAAAATCTGTGATTGATCAATCAGACTGTGCCGATCTTCAGCAACAAATACATCATCATCACCATCATCAACAACAGCAGCAACAACAGCAACAGAATCATCCTTCTTTTCTTGTATCTCCAATGCATGGATTGCAACAACACAAAGCTTCTTCTGCTTCTTCTTCTGCTTCTTCATTATCGTCTCCTTCTGCGTCGGCCAATATGGACACAATACAAATCCCACTTCCACTCCCACTCCCACTCCCAATCTCGCTTCCAATCTCAAACACAAACACAAACACAAATACAGGCATAGGCACAAGCACAAGCACAAGCACAAGCACATGGGACAACTCATTCTATAATCCAGCCTTTTGTGACGGTTCACCACTAACCACTGGATCACCAATGGACGAACCAAGCGATGATGAAAATAGTCTTAATGGAGAAATCGAAGATCAGTTCTGCAGTACTAATAACAGTACTAATGCTAACAGCAATATTCATGCTCATCGTAAGGATTCCCTTTTTATTTTTACTTTTATTTTTATTTTTATTTGATAATTATTTCTTACTTTTTTAGAAAACTTCTTGTCAATGTCCAATGGAATTTACACAAAAGGTAACAAGAAAGATGGCATTTGATATAAATTTATTAATTCCTTTTTATTTTATATATATAAATTTATAGCCCCTAATAATAATAGTAGTAATACTATTGGTGGTCTCTCAAGAAATTACGAGCGCAATTCTGTATCTTATCAAGGATATCCGCCATAAATAACAAACGTACATATCTACCTACCTCTATTTACTTTCCTTACTCATTACTCATTACTCATTACTGTTCTTTTTAATGATAGTTTTATATGTATGTATATTGCAAAGGTCCTTATTCTCTTTCCCCCTCTACCATGATTCCAAACCAAAACAAAACAAAATATGCCTTACAGAAAACAAGACACACATGTATATTTTTCCCTTCCGCCCACAAGGCATATTTTCTTATATCATATTATGTATGAATCTTCAACCAGCCAACCAACCAACCAACCAACCAACAGCAAAATCATTCCTTTCTTTTTTTTTTGTCTTAAAAAAAGGTTTTTTTTTATTACACTTTCCTTCACTTTACTTTACTCGTTCATTTTACCCTCTTTCTACCATTACTAGTTTTATTATATTTTTGCACATATCATGTATATTTCCAAGCCTTTCTTTCTTTATTTATTTATTTATTTTACTTATTTATTTATTTAATATTTTATTTGCGTCCTTTCCTTTTTATTATATATTTCACAACAGCCAATACACGATACCCTTTTATATATATAATAATTTAAAATAAAATAAAGATTCAAAATCTTGGAAATCTACAATAATTATTATATATGTAATAATTGGCTGTCATTTCTTTCTCCATTATCTTGAACACAAAATATATAAAATCTATTTAACTTACTTATTTATTTATTTTGTATTTGGTTAATCTCGGAACATTTATCCCGTCCTCCGATGAACATTTCCAATCTATTTATTTATCTTAGTTGGTCAAAGCAATAAATGCATTTTTATTTTTTGTTTCTTATATAAAGGAGTAAAATTTCTATATATTATTTATATATATATATATATATAAGCTGCCAAAAAGTCAAAAAAGAAAACCTCCCTTTTTATGTGTGTATATATATTTGACCAGTCAGTCAATTTGGCTATATTTCGATTGGTTAGGTCCGTCGATTTGGCCCCTCCCTGCCACAGAATATATTTACAATATCAATAAAAAGAAAAGGAAATGGACCCCGATATATTTGTACTTATAAATTTGGGATCAATTCCGAACAAGGTTTGCTTTATCAAGTCGGGACTGTGTAAGAATCTATTTGACTGTCTCTGCAATATGAATAGATAGATTTTTTTTTTGTATTCAGTTGACTAGGCACAAAGAATAATAATAAGGATAGTAAAAATCGTATGGGATAGGATGCTTGGAAATAAACTGAAAATAGTTCTATATATATAGAATTAGACGTAGTGTTTCAGGAACAAACCAACCAGCCAAGAAATATGTTAATGATAATGATAATGACGATGCCGATGACGATGGCAATGTTGATTAGGATAGTCCTGTTTCATCATCATACTCTATTTGCTATATGATTTCTCGACTACTTTACAAATCAAACCACCTTAAATCACATCAAAGAATTACATTTCATCGTATACATTATTATTTTATATTTTATTTTTTAATTTTTAATTTTGCTTTACTCTGTTCTCAAAATCAAATGGACTCCACTGTCTGTCCAGATAGGCTGACTGAGCTCGCCTACTTTCAATCCAAATGCTGTATCCTCAAATGGCTTCTGCATCTGTCCACGCTCAAAGTGTCCAAGATCTCCTCCACGTTTTGCACTCGAGCAGTCAGAATGGTTGGTAGCTAATGCCGACAAGGTCTCCTCTCCATCCTCAATCTTGCGCTGAAACTCTTTAAGAATCTCGAGGGCCTCTTCCTTTGTACGCGTAATATTTTCCTATACACAAAAAAAAAAAATTCAATCAAATTAATCAACAATTTTATATATCATCTATTTATTTATAATCAATATTTACTTCTTTCCATGAACTAGGTCTTCGTGAATCCTTGTGCTTAACCAACAAGTGGCTGGCTCGTACACGTTCATGCTCGGTCACTTGAGGTGCATCCCATCGACTCTCCTTGGTCACAGTATTGAAGTAATAGTCCTTGTTGTATGTACGCGAATGGCGCATTACCCAGTTTGCCTGCAATTCCTGACGATACAAAACCATGTCTTCACTTTCACTTTATTCTTTATCTTATCTTATTGATAGCATATACTCCATTTAACCCATTTCGTTTTCAATAACCTCTCTTTCTATATCTCTTTACTTTTTCTTGCATACATACATATATACATGTACCTTTTTATTTTATTTTGTTTTTTTAAAAAAAATATCAATGAAAATAAATCCTTACCATTTTTTTCTTTCTTTAAATTTATTAAAGTATATATAAGAATATATCGAGTTCTTTGTTTTTATATGTATAATATAGAAGAAACAATAAAAGAGCTAATTAAGAATGTAAAATGACAAACGGCAATGAAGAAGAGTATAGGTCCTTTTGTGTTTTGGTTTCGTCTTTTTTCTTTTTTCTTTATTTTTTGCTTCTTCCTCTAGTTAATTTTCTTTATGTATATATCAATATATCAATATATAAAATTATGAAAATTAAATAAAGTTTGATGAAGAATAAATGTTGGTGGTGATGAAGATGGTGATGATGACAATGATGATTTACATTATTAGTCCCTTTCTTTTTTTTTTTTTTTTTTTTTTTTTTTTTAATTCTTGCCTTGTAATTTATAATACTGTTTATACAAATATACAAATATAGTAGATATATTTATATAATACATATATTTATATAGATACAGTCATCTTTACCAGTACAAGCAAGATGTACCAGTAAATGTAATTTATTTATTTATATTAGTTAATAAATCTGCCTCTGCTTCTGCTTCTGCTTCTTTTGATTATTTTTGATGTTTATTTTACAGCATGTTCATATATTATATATCTACTTTATTTCTCTCTCTCTTTTAATATGTTTTATTTATTTATTTTCCCCTTCTTTTTTTGGACTCAATGTATATAAAGTTGGTATATAGAAAGGAATCACAACTGATGTCATCATGGATTTTTGACACAAATATCCTGAAAACTCCCAAAAATAACACGGCCAAAAAAGGTTTATGTGATTAAAATAGAAATCATTATACATATACGCCTTTATTTTTATATATATATATATATATTCTTCAAACCATTTTCATGCACTCTATATATAAAAGCAAAAATAAAATAAAATACGCTTTTTATTTTCGCAAATTATAAATTCTTGAGATTAACATGAGATTGACATGAGTTTGAGAGGGTAGATAAACGCAATAACCATAATTTATTAATTTTTCCAAAATAATTATTATTATTATTATTATTAATAACAATAATTCAGTGATAGTTAGTTACTTTATGATATTCATCAAATAAAGGCATTTGTTTCTTATAGAGCATTATAACGGGTTTATAAGATCCAATAAATATATAAATATCTATACATACATACATACATATATGTCTTGTAATCTTTATCAAAATTCTAAAAGCTACTATTTCTTATTTTCATTTCTAGAAATTATATCCACACTTGGTAGTAATAATAATAATAATAATAAGAAAAACGGTATCATTTTGATGCAAAGGGTTTCTAGATGCACAAGAATTATTGCAATACGAGATTTCCCAAACTACCAATATATTTCTGCATTCTAACCACAATATACATTACTTTTTATTTTTCTTTACAAAAAATTTGTCCTCCTTTGATGATGGCAGCTCTGTCTAATTTTAATGGTAATGGAAATGATGAGGATGAGCATAAAGATATTCTTATTTCTGTTCAAAGCTTACAACAAATCTAAATTCCAATATACACACACACACAATGTCAATAATTTATCATTTCTTAAACATACCAGAAAAATAAAGGATGAAATTAATGTGACGTCGGTGATTATTATTATTATTATTTTCTCACAAAGGGCGTAAAACCAAATCTCTGTGAATTCGGCGAATCGTTCACCTTTTTTTTTTATATATATATTTAATAAGAGCAATCTGGTTTTGCACACCTTTTTCTTCTAATCATGGCTTCCTCGCCAAATGAAGCAAAAGATCTAATCACAGGTACTTTCATCAAAATTCGCAACAACCTCAACATCCAGCACCACAATATAAACCCACACATTCTTTTTCTTCATTGTCTTTATTTTTCTTTCTTTATTAATTAATATATATATATATATATATACTTTATTTTAATTTTTTTTTTTAAAAAAAAATCTCCCATCATTAGATCTCAATTTTGAAAGACTGCAACAAAAATATGCAGAGCTTTTAAAGTTACATCAAGATTCAGAGAAACAAGCAGCAAAACTCGGTAAGGCATACGCGTTCTTTGCCTTTTTCTTTGTTACTATCATTCTTGGTTACATTCACTTAAATATAAATAATATATATATATATATATATATATATAAACATAAGCATACATGCACATATATTATGCGACAACAAGATAGATAAATAAATGTCCATGTTGTGTAATAACGAATTAACTTGACTATGCTGTATCTTTGTAGCTGAAAAATTAAGTAGTGCACAAGCTCAGTCTGAAGAAACCGATTCTATACGTCAAGAACTAGAAAACCTAAAAAGAGAAATCGCAACTACACAAACAGACGCATCCACAAAAGAAAGAAAAAATGCAGAACTTATTAGCAGCACAAACAATGAACTTTTAGAGACAAAGAGTAAATACATCAGACATATAATAGATATGTGTGTACATACAAAGTATTCATAAACTGTCTTTGTGTCTTCCTCTTTTAGACCAACTAAAGCTCACAAAAGATGCTCTTCATACTGAGCGTGTTGAGAAATACAAAATCTCTGCAGAGAAAGAACGGTCAGCCAGTGCTGCGGCAACATTAAAGGTAAACGTCAGGATTTTCTTTATATAATTCAATTAATCACATTAATATATACTTAAAAAAAATGGAGAGGGGGTTAGAGACAAACTTGTATATACAAACTGACAACACTTTCCTTTATAAATTTATATATATATATATAAAACGTAGTTGACAGTCGAGTCACTACAGTCACGGTTAGAATCCTTGACCAAAAAGGATAATCTTCTTGAGCATGAATTGAATATCACCCAAAGCCAATTTAAAGAATACCGAGACAAGACAGTAAGAACATTGACTACATAAACATATTATTACTTTCTTTAATGCAACCAGTAATCACAATGATCTTATTGATTTCGCGATTTTTTTTAAGGATTTGGAAAATGAACGTCTTACTCGAAAACTTTCTGACATGACAAGAGATAACACAACAATGCAAAACACGATTGATAGCCTTCGTTATGAGAACAAGAATCTTAAATCAGCTCTAGACGAAGCAAAGCGAAACTCCGCTTCCTCAAACGAGAGATGCGAAACCCTTGAATTGGATCTTATGGCCTCATCCAAAGAAAACCGTGATATTGTAGCCGAGTACGAACGACAGCTCTCAGTCCGGGAATCTTTCCAGGACTCACTCAAAGAACGACTTGCACACACCGAAGCTCAATTAGAAAAGTCTCGCCAGGATGCAAACAAGATCCAAACCGAACTTAATCAGAAACTATCAGACGTTCAGGTTCAACTCGCCATCTGTCGCGAAAAGTTCATGATCTTTGATCAAAACCAGGACCAGACCCAAAACCCAGACTCAAACAACCAGGACAACGAACAGAACAATAATCGGGTCGCCGATATGATAACAATGATTAAACGGTATGAAGATACCGGAAGACAGTGGTCCGAGATTTTCAACGACTTCTTCTCCCTGAGAAATGACTACATCAAAGCAACTGCAGAAATAGAGACCTTGCGTTGCGATAATGACCGTCTCATAAGAAACAGTCAAGACATGGAGCAGTGGAAGGATCGTGAACGGGTTGAAATTGATAGACTTCGTCACGAGTCTGCTAGATCTGATAAACTCAACAAAGAGTACAAATCCAAGATCGAGAAAAATACCACCGAGGTACCTTTTTTCTTTTCTCTCTGTCTTTTAATAATTATTAATATTATTAATTAATAATATAGATATTCTTTAGAGACATACTTTATGTTGATTTTAATTTTTTTTTCATTGATAGATTCGTAGACTCGAAACATACATTAGAGAGATTGAATCCGAGAATGAAAGTCTCAGAAATTCTTTGACAGATTGTACATACCAATTACGATTCCTTTTGCAAACAGTCCAGCTTCGTGGCGATCCTCTTCCAGCCTCTTTGGATGCAATTGCTTCAGATATCATCAGCACTTGTGAAACACCAGTTTTGGATCACAAACTTCTCGTTTTTAAGAATATTGACGAGCTACTCGAATCAAACAAAAATCTCACTGCCTCATGCAGAAAACTTTCTAACGAACTTCAGCAAAAGATTAGCGAATATGACAATCTTTATTCCATGAAATTAAAGAACGAAGATTTCTATAAAACTGCTCTGCAAGAAGCAAAATCCATGATTACAGAATTGGAAGAAACCGCACAGAGCTCTAAATCACAGTAAGATTCTTTTTCTGGTCTCTTTAAAGTATATGCGTATTTATGTGTTCTATTTGTTTTGCTTTTATTTTGCTTTGTTTAATTGTAGATTGTCTCTTACTACCGAAGAACGCGATTATTTCAAACACAAGGTCGAGGAGTACAAAAAGAAGGTTTCTCCTGATATCGAAGTACAACTGCAGGAAAACGAGGCAAGACAGCAGCAGTGGATTCAAGAAAGAGAAGAAAACGAGGTCTTTAATGTCGAGCTGAAACACGACGTCAAGAAAGTCAAGTCGATGTTGGAGGAATCTAGAAAGACCGCTCTATCAGCCCAGCGCGAGCTATCTCAGGCAAAGGCAACCATCAGTCATCTGGAAGGCGAGTGCACCAACCTAAATTACACATGCCAGGAACGCCAGACCATCATATTTGAGCTCCGTGAAAAGACGAACGAGCTGCAAGAAAGACTGGCAAAGCACGAAGATCTCTTGCAGGCCGCACGCACAGACGTCAGTCTCTATAAGCGAAACGCCGAGTCTCTTCGAGAACAAAACATCGAGCTGTCTTCAAAGAACGAGGCAAACGCCATTCGATCCGACAAACTGTCAGATCACATTGCTTCGCTCACCAGCCAGTATGAAACCCTCTCAAATGCCTTGGCAAACATCACACTCCAACACACCGCATCTGCCGAAGGAGCAGGTGGCCACGCCGACTATTGGAAGGCCAGATTCGACGAAAAGTCTCGAGAGCTCGAGAGCTTGACCGACAAGCTGGCAAATGCCGAGAAGAAGGTCAATGAACTACAGTCAATCGACCACCGCGAGTGGCAAGACAAGTGTCTGCTGGCACGCGGCGAGCTCCAGCAGCTCACAAGCTCTTATGACGAGACTCGTCAGCAACTCGATGCTGTCAAACAAGAAAAGGCTATTCTTGAGATGAAGCTTGCCGACGCAACTGCCATGACGGCCGCCGTCAACGCCAGTGCGTCATCTACCCAAGAATCAGACGGAGCTTCGTCTGATCAACCAGAAGAAGGGGATGATGCTAACAAGTACCGCGTTCAGCTTGCAGAGGCCGAAGGCAAGATCAAGGTTCTCGAGTCAACCATTGCCGACTACCACAGCCGCCTGGCAAAGGAAAGACGCGAAACTGCCGAGCTCAACGAAAAGTACGACGCATTCGTCAAGGAGATCCAGACATCGCTTGATCAAAAGACCGCCGAGCTCAATGCTTATGATACCCAAGTCAAGGCACTGCAAAAGGAATTGGAAGCCGCACTTGTGCAATTAAAGGATGCCAGAGAAGACAAGGGCGCCTGTGAGCAAAAATGGACAGTTGAGAAACTTGCCCTGGTTTCCGAGAGAGATGAGCTTTTGGGACTTCAACAAGCAAAGACCATCGAGATCGAAAGCTTACAAAAGGATGTCGAACGGCACAGAGTGTCCAGAGAAGAAACAAACAAGGAGCTGAAGGAAGAGCACGCACGACTTGTCGAAGCCGAGACTACGGCTCGAAAGCTCAAGGAGGATATCGTGTCGCTGAAGGAAGAGACAGAGGCTGCTAATCTCAGACTGGCAGAAGCAGAAGAAAAGGTTAAGACAACAGAAAGTAACCTCAAGATGCAGAAAGAATACACTGACTCTATTGTGAGCACCAACGAGAACAGGTAAAACCCCTCATTAACACATTGAAGCAATTCAATTCTCAACCCTTCTTTCTTTTTATGAATTTAACCAATCCTTTTTCCAGTCTTAATGAGCTTCAAAAGGAATGTGAAAGCTTGACAAAACAGATCGAGAACCTTGTTTCTCAGATTGCCAAAACCGACCAGTCCTCTACAGCCGGTCAGTCCTCTACATCCGATGCACCAGAACTTGCTGATCAAGCCATCCAAGGCGTGTTTGAAGTCAATGCAATGTTGCGCCAGAGCAAAGAGGCTTTGGAGACTCGCTATAACGAGAGTCAGAAGGCTCGTCTCAAGCTGGAGAGTAACTTGGAGTACACTCAGAGACAGCTCAGTCATGCACGCAAAGCTTTGGATGCCCTGCGAGAAGAAAAGGAGACCGCAATGGGACAAGAAGAGCGTGTGTCAGCAGAAGCCAAGAACCTTGTCGCAGTCTACAAAGACAGTAACGACAGCCTTAGAACCCAACTCACAAAGGCAACTCTTCGCGTCGAAACTCTCGAGAAGGAACTTGATGCCAAGACCAAAGAAATGGAACCAATGTCACGTAAGTTATTGATTTTTTTTTTATAAAATATATGTATACAATATATATATATATATATATTAACACAATTTTTAATTAATTTGTATTATTTATTTAATTTATATATTATGTTTAACAGTAAAGATCAAGACACTTGAGGCTGAGTTGGCACAGTCAGAGGAGTCCATTGCAAAATTGGAGAAGATGCAGACTGAACTTGTCGCTCGTTCTACTGAGCTCATGTCTCGTCACAACGTAAGTATCCCTATATATATATATGTCTATATATTAATTTTTTTATTGTAGGTTATTGACCCTGAAGAACTCAAGCAACTTCAAAAGAGTCTCGAAGACGCAAAGGCTTCGCTTGTGACTCTTGAAGCCGAAAAGAATGAAGCTACAACAAAGGCTGCTACCTTGGAGACCGAAAAGAATACCATGTTTGAAAGACTCAAGAGAACTGTTGCAGTTGTAAGTATTTATTTATCTATTTTTTTTTAAAATCATATAATATATATATAATTTCTAATCGTATCGATAATTATAATAGGTCAAACACAAGGAAGCTTCCTTGAACGAGCTCAAGGCTAAATTGGAAAAGGCTGCAGAAAGTGCTCAGAATCCAGTAAGTATTATTGCTTTAGTTCTTATTATTCTTATTCTTCTTCTTAAAGAAAGAAAGAAAATTAAAAAAAATGCGTGTATGTACAAAAAATGTGTATAATTGGTTATTGATTTGTATCTTATTGTTTCATAGAATGAATTGGAACAGCAGAACACTACTTTGACTGCTTCAGTTTCTGCAGCAGAACAAGCTCTCAAGGTCGCAGAGGAAGAGAAGAAAAAGGCTGAAGAAGCATTGAAGACTCGTATGGACGAGTTTGAGACTCTCGATGTAAGCCTAAACCGAAAAAAAAACTTCTTTTTGATATTCACATTTTCTGGTTGTCTGTTCCTTTATAGAAAAGATACAAATCATTGCTTTCAAGAGCTCGTTTGTTTGTATCAGAAAAGGTAATATCCGGAATCGGCTAGATAATTAAATCAAATCAAGTATTAATAAGTATCTCCCTCTCTTTATATTATTATATTTTAGAACAAGGCTTTGGAGGAATTAAGACTTCTCAAGGCAAAGGCAGAGGCACATGATGAAGAAATGAACAACCTCAAGGCGAAAATTACCGAGAATGAGGCACTAATTAAACAACTCAATGAAGAGAAGAACCAAAAGTTAAAAGCGCCAGCAACACCAGCGCCAGCAACAGCACCATCGCCAGCAACAGAGACCCCAGAGAGCCAAGCAGAGCAAGAGAACTTAAAGACAAGTCTTGCGCAAAAAGAAAAGCAGTTAATATCGGCCGAGTTGGAGAACAAGAGGCTCAAGGCAATGCAATCTATGATGGCAAACAAAAACAGCAAGTTGGGAGCTAAGGTTGCAGAGCTTACAGCACAAATTTCTCAAACATCATCTTCAACTGGTCCCGCTGGTGCTCCCACTAAGCCCTTGATGTCGACACCTATTCGTATGACTGCACCAGTGCCAACACCAAAACCTACACCAGTACAAGCACCTCAACCTGTAGCAGTACAGTCACCTAAACCTGTAGCAGTACAGTCACCTAAACCTGTAGCAGTACAGTCACCTAAACCTGTAGCAGTACAGTCACCTAAACCTGTAGCAGTACAGTCACCTCAACCTGTAACAGTGCCAACGTTCGCAATACCCACCAATGTTTCAGTACCCACATTTACATCTACACCAGAACCTACACCAGTACCCACTCCAACTCCTACACCAGCACTTACACCGGTGCCCACGGCTCCACCTACTTTGGAACCAACACTTACACATACACCAGAACCTATTCAAACACCTACGCCTACACCCGTACCTGCACCTACAGCAGCCTTTACTCCCCGCCACCCCCCTCCTGTAACATCTCCGGTAAACGTGGCTCCTCCTGAGAATGTAGAATCTCCTGTAGCTGTACCTACAACCATTTCCACACCACCTGCACCACAAGTCAGTACACCAGAAGTAGAACTCGAGGCTCCGTCAACTAACATCAATATCTTGAACGAACCTGCACAGTCTGTTTCATCTCCTTTGGTAGATTCTCCAATGACAGAAAGCGCATTTGTGTCATCTACTATAGAGGTCTTGGAACAAGATCGAGATGAGACTATGGAAGAGGCTCATGACGATGATATCACCGAGACTGCTGCTGTTCATTCAGAGATTCATCAGGAAACCATTAGAGTAACAGAGTCTCTAGTTGTTGATACTACGGAAACTGAAAACAAACCACATTCCAGCATAGAGTATGTAGAAGTTGAAAGGGAGTCTAAAGAGAAAGAACCATCGCCAGCGCAAGCACTACCACCAACACTAGTATCAGAACCAGTCTCAGAATTGGCACAAGAGCCAATCTCAGAACCAGTACAAGAGCCAGTCTCAGAATCGGTACACGAGCCAGTCTCAGAGTCTGCGCCAGAGTCAGTACCGGAATTAGCATCAGAGCCTGCATCAGAGCCAGAGCCTGCATCAGAGCCAGTACCAGAGCCTGCATCAGAGTCTGCATCAGAGTCTGCATCAGAGCCAGTACCAGAGTCAGCACCAGATGTAGTTGGATCTGTTGAGCCTGTTACCGAAGAACAACAATCTGAAGATGCAGATGTTGTTGCTGGTACAAAGCGCAAGAGTGAAGAGGATGGGGCATCACCAAAGTCACCAAAATCGCCTAAAACGAGCTTGTAATTCAAAGCGATCAACAAACAAAACAATCTGTATATTCTGCTTTTTAAAAAACAACAACACAATGTTCATGAATTAAATATTGCACCTATGAAATCAATAAAGAAAATAATGAAACGGTTTATATAATCTTCTTATATATAATGTTTATACACACACGCACATATATAGATATATAGATATATGTACATGTATAGATATAGAGAGAGAAATATTGATAAGCTATATCCAAAATAACTGGTCTTTGTTTAATGCTTTTGTTCTATTTATTCTTTACTCTATAGTGAAATGAAAGCTCATAAGTAGAAGAAGTATGTGCTGTGAGATAGATTATAAACAACTCTAACACGCATTATACTAACGTTACTGCTGATGAGGCAAAGCCAATGGAATAAAGATATACTTTATGCAAGAGTGTTTCTGCCATCATGCAAAAATATAATGAGTCAGATGACTTTAAGAGTATTGTTTTAAAGAACAAAATAAGCTAAACAAGTGCTTTGATCTCTTTAATGTTAGGGTCTTCTTTTTGATGTATTAGGGGGTTTCAACAGTCCTTTAAGCTCTTAAGCTTTGAGTTTTAAACCAGTGACCAATAACACGTAAAAGTTACTAGGTGTTTTTGAGTATCCTAAATGTTTCTTTCAGTTCTATTAGGCATTGCGATAATAGGATATAAGATTAATGTAGTATTGAAAGAGGAAAGCATATTTGCATTAATATTTTATTAGATTTCCAAAAAAAAAAACCATTATAAGTTAATTTCAGCCAATTACATTTTGAAATTTAAATTCAAAGCTTAAGTTTAAAAGCTTAAAGGACTGTTGAAACCCCCTGATATACACTGAAATCAAGATTTTTGATTTTATAGCTTTTTGTTGCCCCTAACATTTTGAAAAAGTCTTTTTATTTCTTAGGTGTCCTATATAGGAAGAAAACTTGATGTACTAATTGCATGCTTTTCTACAAGAAAGAATAAATACGTGCTTGGCATTTTTGTTTTTGTTTTTCTAAAAAAAAAAGAAAGTAAAACCTTGAAAGTGCGCCTTACAAGTGTTTTACTTTATTTCTTGGATTTTCATAAGTGGCTATTGCCTATATGAGAGTCTTCAATAGTAGCCGTTTGTAATTTGGTTTATACCATGGTGTGATTGATATAATTAAATAAAGTCATATATAAATAATATATAGAGTATAGAATAAAATGAAGATTTAAATAAATAGATTCAATAGATAAAAGACTGTGTATGATGAATCTAATTTTTGGAGAGCAGGCTTCCTTTGAAGGAAAGTTGTCTTCTTGGTTTTCTAGCTTTAATATCTGATAGTGTCAAAAGATGTCGCATTGTAGGGCGACCGTGCGGGCAATTCTACAAAAACGAAAGAAAGCAGATGAATACACGCACCTTGAACACTGTATTTATGTCTATATTGTATTACCCAAGGTTGACTGATTGTTCCCATATTTTGTACAATCTATAATACAATAATGTTTAGCCTTTTCACTGTTCCTTGAAAATTGATATATATATATATATATATATATATATATTACCTTGATCATCTTCTTCTTTGTCAGACTATCTCCAATCATAACAGAGCTTCGGCAAGCTCTCGATGCAAATATCTTTCTTGTTCGGCTACATCTAACCATTTCTCCAGGCCGGTCATCGAGAAGGTAAATCAGTTCACTAAAATCTAATACAAAAGTCAATGGACAGTAACTGGCACTGGTTGCCGTGCACATCATACCTTGCTGGTCAAACAACACACTTTTGTTCATAGGTTGGGCAATTATTCGAATCCGATCCGTAGGTAAATTTTCCGGATGGATCTCGAGTTCAAACCCATTAGCCCTCAATATGTCAATATTCTCCATTACTACAAGCTCGTCTGCAGCAGTCAAAGAAGGTATTTGAGGTCTTTATAAAATAAAATAAATTAATCGTCATATTATCAACATACTAAAGGTACACCTACCTGATCAATCTTTGGCATTGGATAGTCGTTTCTTTTTGAAGAGTTTCAAAGTTGTATTTCTCATCTGAAGCATGTTGATCAACAATAAAAAGATCATTTCTCAGAGAAACTATTATAAATCCAAGATTGAATTGACCCAAAATCTTCATATCTGCAAAGTCAGTCTTTTCAATTGTCCGGCTCAGAGCATATGCTGCCTTTTGGTTATCAGATATGTTTTCAATGCCTGCTCCTTCTAAAACATCCATTGAATCTATTTTATATGCTCCAGAAACACTCTTCGACTCAAGACGTGATAAAATAGTTTGGTAGCTTTCTAGTGAATGAGAGATACAAAGTTCATCCTCATTGGTTCTACGTAAAAACGGTGATTGATATGTCGCTCCTGGAACTCCAGACTGTAAATCTTCACCATCTTCACTCAAAGTTTCCATATATTCAGTAGGTTGGATAACAAGATTCCTTGTTCCATTTAAATCGAAGGGTTCCGATGTCAATAGTTGTGTTTGCTCCGTTTCGTCTACCGAGTCTGTGCCATCTCTGATATAAAAATGGGATGGTTCGAAAGTAAGTTGGTGTTGCGTATATCCATTACTCTTAAGATCGACCCTTTTTGGAGCGCGGTACGATATATTGTCACTGCTTCTCTTGGTACTGTATGGGCTTGCTATATTACTAAACCGCGGTATAAATGATCGAGGACTGTTCTCGGAACTGGTACGATGCGCTTTATTTCCAGTATACATAGGGCCAGTAATAAGAGACGGTCGTATTTTTCGTTTATTCTCTTTTTCATCATCATCCTCTTCTTCTTCTTCTTCTTCCTCTTCCTCTTCTTCTTCCTCTTCTTCCTCTTTTATTGTAGATGACATGCTTTTCATAACATCTGACGAAAGGCGTATATCCCGATAAAGAGGACTTTGTTGGGTTGATGATGGTACTACGCCATAAGATCCTGAAAATGAACTCGACTCTGATTCAGTCAAATTATCATCAGTCTCTTCACAGAAAAAGTTTGCAGCAGGAAGCTTGTTGATAGTGTAGGTTGATCTACTCGGTTCCATATGCAAGCTCAAAAACTCCTAATTTTTTAAAAGGTTTTTTATTATGCTTAAAAGCCACAATAAAATAATAATTTACTTACAGAGACACACTGGACAATAAGGTTATCTTCGTGAAGAAATATGGTTCTTTTGTCTGGGCTAACGTTAACATCATATCTGTCTGTTTCCATAAATATAATTACTCATTTGCTTTTCTGTCTATTTCTGTATACTATTAATATTAACCTGGCGGAAGCTTCAAATCAGCAATAATAAAAGGATACTGAGTTGGAACATCACGTTGGTAGACTTCATTAAAGACTTTTGATATCTAATTTATAGTTAGTTCTACTGCTCACATATGAGAAGGATATAATTGTTTAATATTAGATTAAAATAGCTTGCCTTTGGTAAGCTGCAAGGTCTTCCGTTAACAAAGAAGTATTGCCTGTCCTTACTGCTTCTTCCAGAGCCAAGCTGTGGTTTCGAGACAAGCCCCTCAATACAAGGTCTATTTAAGAGTGATTTGTGTTCATTTAGACTGTAATCTTTTCTATTGTCACATAAAGTTTTACTTTATACTCGTTTCTCCATCCATATAATCTTCTCCATAGACGGAAGACAAATCTATCGCAAATGGAATTGTCTGGGAAGAGACCTTCACTCCAAAAATATCGGTAATGTTGTCTCGAACAGTTGCATTCCCTTGTGTAAAGATTATGGGTGCGCTTGATCTTTTTATGAGATTAATACGGTAGTCTTATTTGAGATACTTTTGATTTAATCACTTTGACTGGTACTCACACTTTTGAAGCCTGATTATACGCTACAATCTTTACGTTTTTAGATATAATAGCATATGCTTGTACAAGATCCATCGCTTTCTTAAACTCTTGTTTAATGTTCCGTTGAAGTTCACGGTGACGAACAGGCAAAGATTCGAATAACTTTGATATATGAACAGTTGTTCCCACCTAAATAGGAAAAACAAACACGGTATTTCTTAGGGATAAATATTTCTTAACTTAAGCTAAAGAATAGGAAGAAGAAGGCATTAATGCGATCCATTGAACCTACAGAGCGTACTACTGTGGTTTTCTTTATTAATCTTCCGTCAGAGTTATATTCGAGGTGAACGCCTTTTGGAGCTTGCTCTTTTGTGGCCGTTGTGACAGAGAGTTTAGCGAGAGAGCATAATGAGCTCAAGGCCTCTCCTCTGAATCCGAATGTCATTACTGATTCAAGGTCTTCAAACTTTGATAGTTTTGAAGTATAATACTTCAATGCTAATCAGGAGATTGAGTTGTCTAAAAGATCTAGATTATCAAGCAAAATGCATTTACCTAATGATTCATAGTTTGATGGATCAATTCCATGACCATTGTCCACAACATCCAGTCCACCAAGTCCGTTTTGTTTGAATCTTAACTCTAAAAATATTGCTTACAATTACGCAAAATGTCACTTCACAGATCACTGTGCATGACTTTACCAATATTGGTTGCTTGAGCATCAATACTGTTTTCAAGTAGTTCTTTAGCTGTCATAGACAGATCAACTACCACCTGACCAGAACATATTTTATGTATGCTTTGTTTATCAATTGCAGTCAACTGTCTAGCCATTGTTGACGGTAATTAGCAGATCAAGAATTCACGGGCATTTATGTTGAAGTTATCCAAATGGCAGCCTCGACTTCTTCAAATTTAACTACCGCAACGTCCAAAGACCGGTTGTTTTGAAGGGGTTTGCGAGAACAAGTCAACTGAATTGTTATAACGTATTTATTGTATTTTCTTTGCTGTATTTGTATCCACAGTCCATAGACCAAGGAGATAATTGAGACGAATCAACAAGAGATCTTTTGCCATTTGGACCGAATCTACCATTAAATTGACTTTACTTCCATCAATTTCATGCCAGTTAACTTGTACTTCAATAATTGGGATATTTTGTTGTTGTGCAATCATAAGACACTCAATGTCGAATATCCATCGTTCAACGTGCATATTAGGGAATATTATCTGTGCCGCTCCACGGGTAAATAATTTAAACCCGCATTGAGTGTCGTCTATACCACGAATGCCAAGCACATATACCAACGTGTGGAAACCTCGCATCAAGAAGTTACGAATAAATGATCGCTTGAAGAAAGTTGGGGAGCAATGAGAATCTCAAAAATATAAAAGAGAGAGCTAGACATATTTGACACCCTCTTTCTCTCTCTTTGTACAAACCTTTACAACGGCCTCAGTTGTCACTAAATGGGATCTTGATCCAACCGCTACACCTCGCCCATTCTTAGCCTCATTATCCAACGCATCCTGAAGTTTTTCCAGATCGGAAAACCGAGTAGCACCATCAGCATCCACCATCAAGCAACGCTCGCCTCTAGCACATAGCACACCTTGAGTTACGGCTCCACCCTTTCCTCTGTTCTTTTCCAGCACGAGTATTCGGATATTTTCAGGGTTAGACTCTTTTGCAAATTCAAGAGCAACTTCTACTGTGTTATCACGGCTACCGTCGTCTACGATGATAATTTCGTATGTATTTTCAGAATTTTCTAGTCTCTTGTTTTCCAAATATTCCGTAGTTTCCTTTAACATTGTTGGTAGTCGTTTGCTCTCATCGAATGCAGGCACGATGCAGGATAATTTTACGGTCGGTTCGTCAAATAGACTGGGCAAGAGTTTTTTCTCGGTAGATAGTGCATCCTTATAATATTTTTCGTTCTCTGTTCTTTTACGAGGTTTTGGTGAAGAGAGTATCAAAATTCCAAGAAGCTACCGAGGGAATTAATAAAGAAGTCGGATTAAGGGGTGTAATTAAGGTCTACCTTGAAGAATTACTTACCGTGGCAGCCAGGACAGTCAATGATGCCGCAGACCAATACAAATACAAAGTCATTAAAAGTTAACGTAGAGGAAAGGAATGGAGAATGACTAATTAAGATGGGTTAAAGAATGAATAAAAAGCAACAGGACCTGGCTGATGTATATGCACTGGGCCAATAGCAACTTCACACACCTGGACTTGCTTCACAGCTATATAAACGGAGTCTAAAAAGGCAAATGGGATTTAGGTTTAAAAACAGCACTTTTAGACAGTAAAAGGAAAGATGATCAAAAAGGGCGTAATTAAGTAAAGAGAGCCTGGTGTATGAACAGCCAATTGAGTGTATATACAGTTTATTGGTACATTTTCTTTTCAATAGATAAAAAAAAACACTCGGAAATTTCATAAATAATATAGATATTGATACAACCTGGGCTTGGATAACTTCTTTTTTTATGGGACAGTGAAAGTGACCGTGTTTTAATGAATGAAGAAGAAGTTAGGCTGTCAAAGCAACAGGTCTTTAAAACAACCCTTCAATGTCGACTTCTGGGAGTAATAAGCGCCCAGCACAAGAGCCATTAAGCTCAAAGGCTCAAAATAAAAAATGTATGGAATTAAATAGTACAATTATATGTTTTAGTTTTGAGAAGCTAATCGAATTGTCCAATAATTAGCAAAGGAGCAAGGCAATAGTACTTCCATTAGTACAGCTGGCTTTGGGAATTATGGAAAGAACATCCTTTGTAAGATTTATTTGAAAATAGCTAAACTATACACAACAATAAAATGGTGAAGTATGACGCTGATATACATGTACACATGTCGTGCAGCACAGAACGCACTTCGAGTAACGGGGGCCATTGATACAAAGCAATTTGTAATCGCACGTTTACCAGAAATGAATGCCATGCAATCTGTGATTAAAGAGACAAGGTGGAGTATAGTATTTTACAAAAATTGAATTTAAAATACTCATAAAGCTTTCTCCCAATAGCTTCTCTATTAAAACAGAAGGATTGCCGCCACAACTACGTGCCCATCGTCGTCGAGCAGCCAGCTACAAGCTCACCGGGTTTTCCGCAATGAGTAGAGCTAAGATTTCCTCAAAGGTAAACATTAGCTAGAAAACAAACACACAGATAATGAAGAGTTTTGTTAAATTAAGAGAAATAATATACCTGTCATGAAAGAGGGGTCGTATGTTTATCAAAGGAAAAAAACCGTTGCGTACAATGTTCCAGCTTAAGCCAACAGTTTATGCAAAAGAGTACCTTTACAAGCAATGTAATTATTGTTTACACTGATCCAGGGGTTTTTGAGGCTTATTTTACTGATGTAGCTAATAAAAAATGGCTGGAAACACACATGTGGCATGTTAAGCGAATGAAGATGGTTAATATCTGGGGTCATCGACTGGTAAGTTAATGTGTATGTTTTTTAAAAAAGAAAATCACTATGTAAAGCTATAAATTAAGTATCTTATTGTTTTATATATAGGCTTCCCATCCTAATATGAAGTCATCCAGAATATTTTACAGAGCGTTTACACAAGCTGCAGTTATTCACGATGCTTCCTATGAATCCTGTGTTGAATTATCCGGTGCATCAAAACAAATTGTTCGCATCCTAAACACAATAACTGACCCTTCACTTCCCTCTGTTGGTAGTGCAAGGTATAATTTGAGTATTTTTAATATTATAAATAATACTAAAAGTAAGCTAACAAATATATTACTTTATATGGTAGATACAATAAAGGACAGCGTATGGGAAAGACTTATTTATACGAGTACATGCAATATCCTACAAATCTCATTTGCCCTATCGAATATCTGTGGAGACCCAGTAAAGTAGAAGGAGAGCAAGGGATGATTTGGGTATGGATACATCCCTCTGCTTACACGGAAGCCTTGTGTACCTTGAAAGAGGCTATCAAGCACGGGAACGAGAAATCTACTGAAAGTATGAAAAATAGTCTTTAATGTTCGGGCATATGTAATAACATGTGTATGTAAATTAGATATTCAAATCTGTGAACAAAAAGAAAAGCTGGTCCGATTCAATCTTGCTGGTCCACATTCAACAGCACTACTACAATCCATATTTAGACCAATTGAGGAAGCCGAAGTTCAGATAGAGAGAGCAAATACCACTGAACAAACTCAATTGTGGGATGATATAGGATCCCTAAAATCTGCTTGTTCTTTATCCCCTGACGTTATTATTGGACTGACAGTACAAGATCCACGCCTAAAGTATACAGAGTTTTTTTTTGTTTTTTTTGCTGTTATTTATTGATGTCTTAATCTAGATTTCCTCAGCTAAAACGACCTCAGATTCATGAGGTATCTAACGAAGTAGAGGCACGGCTTTCTACTCTCATCCGTGAATGGCCCATTGATGTTGCTTATTCTGATATATGGGAAAGTACTTCTCGACAAGCATCTTTGGATAGCAAAGTATCGGAGTATGCATTAAATAAGCGCCGGGAAGAGGTATTATTTTTTACGTCTAAGGCTAATTTAGGCTTGGTAATTCACCCATTTTTATCGTAAGAATGTCGTACCAGGAACGAAGTTGGTCTTTACTGAGAAAGATAGCAGGATACCTATCTTGCTAGTATGCCGTACATGTCCTGTCGTAGACGATTCCACAATCCAAACATCAACATCGGTATCAAGTCGAATTGAGAGCTGGTCAATTATACTTCCAAGCGGATGGGGAATGCCATTTTGGACTTCACTTTTGTTCGCTGGGGCCAAACCAATTGGACTAGAAAATGTTCGGTCTTTGGCCCTTGAAACTGGACAATGTTGTTTCCCTTATGATTATCCTAGCACTCGTGCGTTTGCAGCGCAGAAAGCACAAATGGAAGAAGCTAACCTCAAAAAATGGTTGAGTAGACCACCAGCAAAGCGCGAAAACTTCAAACGCATTGGTGTCGATCATCCATTTGCGGCTCAATTTGATACACTATTCAGGAAGAATGGCAGTACTGATGATGTATTGGATTGTGTACCGAAGCCAAACTATAGCCTAATTCAAGGGGCTAGAATGATATCTTCTATAGCAACAAGTTCTTCGGAGACAAGTTCACAGGCTGCTCTAGAAAAGGCTGTTATTGAATGTCTCTCTAAACGAAGCCTTAATATCCTATCTTCCGTCAGCCTGAATTCCACCTTGGTGAAAGTTCGAGTAAAATATATTGAGAAAAAAGTCCCATTTCCCAATGCGCTGGTCTATCTTATTGAGAACCCTGATGATTATATGCGACACACATGGTACATAAGAAACCGTATGCCGGTGCACCAAAGCAAAAAAGATATAAAGCTATCGTTAAAAAATGAGACTATGTCCGATACTACTTTAGATGAGGTAAGTTATTATTTTATGGGTAGGAGTGTAATACGAACTAATGAATTTTATTTATTTGTTATTTATGCTTATAGAAACATCATGTTTTGCCTAGCTCACAACAAATTGGATATATTACCAACGGTGCATTCTCTTTAATGCACGGATGTGGTATTGGTATAGGTGCTTGCACAGCGAGTGGGATTCAAAGAGTAAATTATATAGATAAAAGGTAAGAACCATAGTCCAGATATAACACTATACCTCTACCAACTGCTCATGATATTGTTTTTCATTACACAGTCAAAAACGGGGCACCAAGATGCTTGTTTTAATAAGAAATGTAAATGCTATTGATTATAGACCGGCTCAACTACAACTACTTTGCTAAAAGTGACAATATTATAATAAACCAAGTAGCTAACACTACTGGAGTAAAAAGCGTGTTTAAGATGTTCTTCAGCATCCTCAGTGTATCTCCTAAAAAATAGGATTGGTTCAATTGACAATTATAGGAATGCCTACTATTATTATGGTATTAACTTAATAATAGCGTATCATTACTATTGAAATAGAGATTCTTACAATGATCTTGATAGATTTAAACCCTTAACATTTTTTTTGAGTAATTAGAATATATCAGCTTATATTTATTGTAAAGTAGTTATTAGAACAAAGAGTTTATTAACATCAGATTCTAAGAAATGGAAATAAAAATTAGATTTTTGTGCATTTCAAAAAGCTTGTTTAAATATCAGACTTAATTTAGGTAAGGTTATTTGCCCATTTATTGTGTCGTATCATAACAAAGTCAACCATACTTCATGGAATCTTGACGTGGGTCTATTAGCCTAGATTTCCTCTTAGAGGTCTTAATGCCTCTTAGCTATGACACAACGCGTTTCTTTTATATACATTTAGAACATGGACATTACATTTGATCAGCTCAACGCATTGCATAGCTTTTTTGAAATACAAACCATTGTCCAACGTAAATGACCATTTGAAGTTATTACAAGGCTATTACAGTCGACACCTCACAGTTGTACCAGCTAAACATCTGTTGGCTGACGCAGGCAGGAAAGATGCAATCAGTCACGTGCTGTTTTAAATTTAAAGTAATACAGTTTCTACTTAAATTCAGACGATGTTAGTTTTTTTTGGGCAAATCAAAATTAGTTTTTAGACAAAGAGAAAATAAAATTAAGACAAGGAAGAGTTAATTGTGCGGTATGAACTTTTGATCCGCCGAATGGGTGGTGAGATCTGACTGTGTTCTGCTATGTGTTTGTGTGAGCTTCCTGGTCCCGGCCCTTAAGCCCAGACCGAACTGAATGACTGCCTGACCCGGACACCATCACAATTTGCTAAATTACATGACAGTTGCATTACTGTAGCTTGGTCTAGAGATATCGAAATGATTAAAAAATGAATTCAGCCAATTAAGTTAATATTTTATTACGGTTTTTAGCAGTAGAAATTATAACAAATTCCGCATAAAAATTGCCATAGATTTTGCATTTTACTTGGGGCTACTAACTCCATAAACTTCATATAGATCACCAAAAAAAAAGTGCACTGCAGAGAGTAAAAGCACCCTTTATGATCAATATTTGAGGAACAAATATCAAACAATGTTTAGGCAACGGATGTAAATTTGCCTCATCAGGTTTCTTACAAATATAAAAACCATTTACTTGGCTAATTTGGAGTTATAGCTAATGTTTTTTCTTCTTCTCACTATTGGTACTAGATCGAACTTTGACTGTATTGATATGATCCATCTGTGCAACAGAACAATTATTAATAATGCTATTGCCAGGCATCGTATGTTAAAGTATGAGAGCGTGAAAAATTGTGAAAAATTCCAAGTGGTCTGCTATTTATTTATAACAATAACAACAAAAGGTTTCTACTTAATGTACTTACCTAGTAATTGATTTAGGAAAATAGCTTATATATATATATATGCATTTATAAGTAACTAACATGTTTTAAATGCAAGTCAGTTTTTTGTAGCTGTACAAAAAGACGCAATGCCGTTTTGTAATAAGCTGTCGTAAAAAGCCTATTTTACACTACTAATTCAAAGATGACGATGTCGCATCACACAAGAGATGTATGCCAAAAAGGTTCAAAGAATATCTGGGGTTATATATTTTCTTAAGTGGTCTACAGAGATACCAACTTTAAATCCAATTGATAAAATGTATAGCCCATTGGATAAAGTTATATGTATTCAACACATTGCTATAAAAACTACTCTGATGAATTTGAATAATACTTTACAAGAAGAGTAGAAATCAATTAGTCTGTATGTGTTCCAGAAGTATTTACAGTTATTTTTCGGAACTTTAATTCGGAAATCTCTTTTGACACACCTTCACATAAACCTAATGAACAATAGTTTTTTTTTTAATAATAAAAATAATAATAAAAAGCCTTTCCTTTTTTCTTTTCTTTATCAGTACCTTGATTTCATATTACTAATACACAAACAGGTATATATTTGTGGTCGTGTCTTAGTTAGTGTGTATGAGAAAGAGAGAGAAGAAGTAGTAGAAACAAGAAAAAGAGGAGAGAGGATTTAAGCGATTGAAAGGGCTATGCATAGTAGATTTATATATATAAAAATCTATATCTATTTCTATTTCTCTATATGAATATTTACTCAAAACTAAAATCAAAATAATAATAATAATAAAAGCAGAATGAATGTTAGCGGTGCCTCTGTATCAGATACTGTTCCAGCTCCTCATGAGACAAGAGACATTGTATTACCTAATCACGACAGTCATGTAGCCCAGATCGCAGTTGATGTATGCACACATGAATTCATTACATTCAACTGTCAACATTAGACTTCCCCCTTTTTCTTTTCTCTTGTTTTTCTTAATGTAATTATCATTGTGCATAACTCTTTTTTTTTGGTAGATTGGTGGCTCATTGGCCAAGATTGTCTACTTTACTTCCTCTCCGGACCGGAAAGGTGGTAGACTACACTTTAAAAAGTTCGAAACTGAACAAATGGACGAATTTATGGATTTTATTAAAATCCTTGTCAAAGATGCTAAAGCACGACTTCCAACTGGAACAGAGCTAGTATTAAAGGCAACCGGAGGAGGTGCTTATATGTACTACGATAGAATGCAAGCATCTCTGCCGGGTGTAAATATCCAAAAGGAAGATGAAATGGAATGCCTTATCACAGGTAATATATATGTATATGTATATAGAATATCCAGGCATTTCTTTATATATATATATGTATAGATGTATAGATATTAAAAGTAGAATTCAATTGTCCTTTGAAATCTCTAGCTTTATTAGCCATTAGTTATTATTATTATTCCTTCTTAATATGAGTAGAACTATTACTGATATGAACCTCCAAAAAAACAATAACAACACCAAAAACGCCGTCGTTATCATCATTCTCACCACCACTACCACCACCAACAACAACAACAATGATAATGTTAATGACAATAACTAGGCTTGAATTTCTTTATTACGGAGATACCGTATGAAGTATTTATATACAATGAGCAAGAATCTGATCCTATGCGCTTTGAAGAAAAGACAAAGGCTATTTATCCTTATTTGGTACATTTTAGATCTCTTTAAAAGTGATCTTTTTTACTTTGTTATTTAGTTCCATTATGTACATATATACTCATTATATCCCTTTTTTTTTCTATTTGTGTGGGTGGATGTGCACTAAAATTAGCTGGTTAACATTGGCTCAGGTGTCAGGTAAGCATATGCCGGTAAAACAGTAGAATACTACAGAATAATAATCCATAAAGAATCAAAGTCTACTCAAGGTTACTGGTCCAAATGAATTTACGCGTGTGAGCGGAACTTCTGTAAGGACATACATTTTTTCTTAAGAAAAAATGAAATAAAATAATAATAATAATAATAATAATAATAATAATAATAATCAAACAGCTAGTGAATATACGAAGACTAAATCTTGTGTACTTTATGTTATTATAGCTTGGAGGAGGTACTCTTTGGGGATTAATGTCTTTATTAACTGGGGCTCAATCATTTGACGGTAAGATCTCTACCAAAATGCACACCCGCACACTTGATCTCGGTAGCTTTTATTGCAGTGAATGTACTGACTGACTGACTATACAATAAAGAAATGTTGGAAATGTCCAAGACTGGAGATAATAAGAATATTGATCTCTTGGTGGGCGATATTTACGGGAGCGACTACTCAAAGCTAGGACTCAAGGCATCTCGTATTGCTTCTAGTTTTGGAAAAGTATTTAAAAAGGGCGTGAGGCACACAAAGGACAGCTTTAGTCCTAATGACATTGCAAAGAGTCTCCTGTTCATGGTCAGGTAGATTTGAACGTGCCTACTCTTGATTTTTCTTAAGTGCTTACACCTCAATCAAAGTAATAATATTGGTCAGATTGCATATCTTAATGCAGAACAACATCACTTGGAGCGCATTTACTTTGGTGGCTTCTTTATTCGCGGTCATTCGATAACCATGAACACTTTGTCCTACGCCATTGACTTTTGGTCCAAAGGAAAAATGAAGGCCTTGTTCCTTAGACATGAAGGCCATCTTGGGGCCACTGGTGCAGTATGTTTTACTTTATTTTATTTTATTAGCTCTAAAGACATTGTTAAATGAGAACTATGGCTAATAAATCTTGACACTCTTAGTTTCTCAAGCATCGTCCTATACACAATGCAAGACACTCAATATCATTTTCAGAGAATTTTCGGCCCGATCCTGCCGTCAGTCCAAGTAATGTTTATCATGTAATTGAGAACACCAACCTGGAATTGCGATCAGACAAGGGCATAGAATGATATATTTGTTTTATATCCTTCTTTGTCTCTTTCTACCTTTTTCTCTCACTTTCTCTATCGCACTTTCTTTTATATATACATACACAAAATGTCTAGATTAATAAAGCACTTTGGAAAAGAAAGAACGAAATATATAGAGAGAGGAAACTCCTTAAAAACGCTCTAGTTTGCAACCTGACATGTTTATTGCACAAAAGCACTTGTTGTTTCTTACTTGTTGCACTCCTGATATTTAACAAACCACGCCCTGCTAGAGCCTACTACAGTATACTATAGTACAGTAGACTAGAGTATACAGAACATCTAAAGACCATCAGATCCAAGGGACCATAGACCTTTCGATTACTATTTTGATTACTAGTCTTATTATTTATACTCCCTTTTTATTTTTTATTTTTATTTTTTATTTTTTTTTCTGACCCTGCTCGTTCCGCTTCCGTTGCACCTCATATGAGTCCTATGAACGGGTTACGCACTCTAAATCAGCCGCTTTGTTTTGGGTTTTTTGTTTTTATCTTTTGCTTCAAACCATTTGGCTTTGATGTCCTGTCTCTTTCCTTTCCACTTCTTTCCTACTTTTTGTATTTTCATGTCATGACCCGAACCACACCCGGGTGGTTTATCCTTATGGCCTGCCTAAGCCAAGTCATTGCCGATCCTTTTGTCATGCCTGTCATCAACGATGATTCACTTGGATTTCTCGGCCTAGCAGGAGACCTCGCCGGCCTGTCTGTCTTTAAAGACACTCGTCAAAAAGAATACACCGCTCCTGGACTACATTCTATCATATCTTATCAGAACCAAATTTATGCATGGCTTGCTTCAGCCAACGGACCCATCACCGCCACCTGTTTTCTACCTCCCAATAGTCTCTATCTTGCCGGTCAGTTTACAGCTATAAACAATACCGAATCAAGATCCATCGTTCACTTCGACACTGGTCTGCAAGTCCTGTCAAATTTAGGACAAGGTGTGGATGGAGTTGTGCACGCGTTGCACTGTGATCCCGCCGAAAATCTTGTCTATGTAGGAGGTGAATTTAAATCTCCTCTTACAAGCATTGGTGCAACAACTGCTGGTGGTGGTGCAAATGTGGCCATCTGGCAAACAAACCAACAGGTCTGGATGAACGTTCCATGGAAAGGGTTTAATGGACCGGTGTATGCCATAGAGCCTTTTGTGAAGAGAAACAGTATTCTATTCGGCGGCCGATTTGATGCCACAGTTGACGGTCAGCTTTATAATCCGCAGGCGCTTGTTTACAGTGTTTATCCTACGGTGAGAAAGAAAGCAAAAAAAAACAATTGTTAATAGTAACATTAAGTCTAACAATGATACTGAGTCTCTTTTTCTTCTCGCTCTTATTCTTCTATTCTGGCCAAGAATTACTAAATGAATTTGTATGTGTGTGTTTTAGGCCATAAGGGGTGGCAATAGCGCTCTTTCTGAAAATTATAGTGATCCAAGTAGTGTCTCCTGTCAAAGCAAGTCTTATGGAAAACCCTGGCTACTTCAAGGAGGTGTACCTGGCTATTGGGAGGCCGACTTCGGTCATTCGGTATCACCTACTGTCATCCGGATATCTAATACACACATCAATGGAAGGGGTACTCGCTTATTCAGGTACTTGCACTCAATTTTTCTTTCTTCCTTTCTTCGATGAATTATATATAGGAATATAGACGTTCGTACATTCTTTCTTTTGTGATAATAGGATCTCAAGAAACATAATAGTGTACTTGCTCTAGGATCCAATACATATTTTGAATTATCGACAATTGACCCAATCACGCACACAAATACGACATGCACCACATCATGCATTCTCTCAAACGACACCACAATTCCCTTTCAAGACTTTACTGTTCTCACACCAAAAGTTGTCAGTGCCGTCCGAATAAACATTGATGGCTGGTATGGTGCAGGCGGTGGACTCAGCAGTGTTGAGATATTCCAAACAGGTACTCCTCCGAGTAGTTGTAATAATAGTAATAGTTAGTTTGTATTGAAAAGTTAAAGAAGATAAAGATATAAAGCCAAGAAAAAAAAACATTATTCTCTCTCCCCTTCTCAGAAAGTGTATATATGTGTATATAGGGATCTTACCCTAAGTTTTATTAGATATTGCAATCTATCCTTCTCTTGGAAACACCAACACTTCTGCATGCAACTCAGGACTTGCTAGCTCTACTTTAATTACTGGAGTGTGGAAAGAAGTTTATGTGTTTGGATACTATCAAAACGTCTTGACTTCAACTTTCCCTACCTCATCTGGCACTACCAATGTCTCTGTTACCTATGCTCCGTAAGTGACATGTTTTATTAATTTGTATTTATTTAAAAATAAATATAAAGTGGCTAATTAAAGTATGCTTCAGAAACATACCTGTACAAGGTTATTATGTAGTGTCTATGCACACTCCTGGCTGCATTGGAAGCAGTTCATGTGGCCAGCGCACACAAGTTGACCTTGTTCTTCAACTGACACCTCAGAACACATCCACTATCACGATTGACCAGACTAATACTGAAGACAAAACAACAATTATTTACTCGGGTCAAATGGTTGCATCTGGCCCTTCCTTCCAACCCACGATCCTTTTGAAACTTTCTGGCTCAGCGACCCCAGCAAAGGACTCGACAACTAGTATTGTAGCCGACTCAATATCCTTTATAATGAATGCAACTGCTCCAAACCTAGTTAGCATCCTTGAGTACAGCCCTGGAAATCATACTGCAAACATCACTGCTTGGCAACCTCTTTCTCGTAAGTGAAACTTATATAGAGAAAAGCAGGATTAACATTACATAAGGTTTTCTTAATAAATAATTATATTTGTTTATAGAGCAATTAACCATAGGATCAACTGTCCGAACCATAGACGCCACAAGCGAAAAAGTCTGGATTGGCGGGTCTTTTCTGGGTCCCAATGGTACACAAAACATTGCAGTATATGATACTTTATTTGGCACAATGTTGCCATTGGCGCAAAACGGTCTTAACGGAAACGTATCTACAGTATTGAAGGTTGACTCTGGTAATAATAAATAAATTATTTATTAAGATTGATTTCTAACGTCTATTTCAACTTGTTAGAGTTACTTGTGGGTGGATATTTCAATGGCACTGTAGCAGGACTTGGGCTGTCTCATCTTGCACGCTTTGATACAAGCCACCAGACCTGGTTATCATTTGATGGGGTAAGAGTATGTCTTTCTTCGTTTGCCTTGTACCAAAAATAAATATATATTCTTAAGCACAAAAAGTTAATATCAGAATATGTTAAATATGTACAACCCTCCAAAAAAAACACCAAAAAAAATGAAAGGGAGTCGATGGACCTGTAGAGTATATCTTGGTTTCTGACAACTCTTCCGTTTTGGTTTCCGGTGCTTTTAATAATCTAATTGGTGTGGGTACCAACAACAGCTCACTCCAGCGTTCGGTGGGTAATGCGATGTGGAATACAGTAAGCCACGAGTGGATGCAGAGCACCTCTCTAGTTGTTGGACAGGTTTCTGCTATTTATAATCTAGACAAAAGCAGTTTGTGGATAGGTGATCTGAGATCTGCTCAGACACATCGTACGGATTCTGCTGCTCTAGGAAACAGTCTTGCAGTCTATCCACTAGTCGATCCTCACTCGTCTTACAACGCCCGCGCGGGTGCAGTATGGTTTACAGACCAAAACCGAAATCAAAATCAAAATCAAAATCAAACCAACCTCAACATTAACCTCAACATCAACAGCACGCCTTTCATTTTACTGGCCGGACAATCTACGGGACCAAACAATAGCTCTGAAATAGTTGTCTACAATGGAACCGCATGGACAAGTCTTTTTTCTGTGTCAGGAAACATCATTTCAATGGTGGTGTTTAAAGATAATCTCTATTTTGGAGGAAACTTTAACAATGAAAATAATCAGACCAGCTTCTCCGTTTATGATCTCAAGAATAATACTTTTGTCGATGTGGGTGGGATTTACAGTAAGTTTTAACTCTGGTATTTTTATTTTTATAATTGTTGCTGCTGTTGCTGCTGTTGCTGCTGTTGTAAAATTCGTTGCTGAAGATTTTCTTGTTTTTTTTTTCTTGGTGTGTGTATGTAGATGCGGATGGATCTCCGGGATTAGTAGAGACCCTTTATCTTCACCCAAATGGAGAATCTATAATTGTAGGAGGCGACTTTATCAAAGCCGGGTCCCTGGATTGTGGACCGGTTTGTTCGTTTAATATTTCAAATCACAAGTGGGATATATCCGGAAATGGCCTTAAAGGGCATGCCTATCAATTGACTAGCTCAACTGAAGGAATTGTAGTCGCTGGCGATCTGACAGTCGGAAATCAGCCAACACTGGTAGCCCAACTCCCAACCGACACAACAGAATGGAAATCAGATCTATTGGCATCAATTGCTCCATCATATATACCCACCACGTTACTCAAAGACAATGGCACCTTGGTTATGGCAGGAAAAAGGCAAATCATATATATATATATATATATATATATATATATATATGCGTGTGTGTGTATAGCCTTGATTGGTTATCTAATGTGTGTACTTTACTTTACAGGAGCGATACTATGTCTGCCTTTATAGGTTCCTGGAATGGTCACAACTATACAGATATTGGTGAGTCAATAAACAAAATAAGTATACTATAGTATACTAGACAAAGTCACCAAATTTATTCATTTCCCCTAATACATATATACATGTGTATGTATATTTACCAAAAAAAAAAGGTTCTTTACTGGGCAATTTAAGTGATATTCACCAACTGCTTTATGTTCCAATCGCATCTTCACCGCATGAGGCACGCTATCCTGCTGGCACAAAAAACATGCTCATGGCAGTTGGAAATCTTGTAATTGATCCATTTGGTAACTCTAGTGCAGCATTTTATGATGGTGTCTCTTGGTACCCCTATATTCTCTCTGCACGTTTGGATGGCCGTCCAGGAACTATCAATCAATTGTTTTCTAACGTTTCCTGCTGCAATATTACCGAAAGCACTCAAGATCGTAAGCAAACTTTTATTTTTCTTCAAATAAGAAGCAACTTTGCTATCTCTTTCTCTCCTACACTTTGATTAACTATGTATATATACATATATTTGACTCTATTTCGTTTTGTTTCTCCTACAAAGACTATCTATCTACTCCTGCAGTAATTCTCGTTTCTATTGCTGCCTCTCTTGGTCTTGTATTTTTGATCGTCGCCTTTGGACTCTTGTTCCTAGCTTGGAAGCGGCGGCGTGGTAATAGAGATGAGCCTGAGCCTATGCCACCCTGGATTCCATCCAACGAAACCACCATTCTTCCAGTACCTTTATCAACCTCAGCAACCTCAGCACTTCCAGCGTCCTCAACACCTCGAACAGCTCCGATTCCTCCCGTTCCGCCGATGCCCATGTCTGAACAAACCGGCCAAGCTGGTCCTAGTAATCTTTCCAGAGCTGGTTTCCAAAATGTTGGGTTCGGATCTCTTATGGCTGCTGCAATGGCCACCTCGCCAGAAATACAGGCTGCAACCGAGAATACACCAAAACTTTTTTATGCAAGACACTCGTTTGTGGCCAAAGAGAACGGAGAATTGAGCTTTAGTGTAGGCGACCCTGTCGTAGTTGTAGACACAGCGGATAACATATGGTGGATGGGTTACAAAGATGATGGTAAGAATATCACTGATTGAATGATTGAGTGGTTTATTTATTTTTTTGTTTGCTTAGGTTCAAACCATCCTATTCCTGGAATATTCCCGAGCAATTATGTTGTTCCGTCGAGACCAATCTCGTGAGAGACGTATTAAGAAAAACAAACCAATAGTCAAAACAAAAAAGTCCTCACTGTACAAACAAATGCATTAATATATACTTCTTTCGTTCCTTCTTTTAAAGTTTACCTTGTTATTCATAGGCTTATTACAACAACAACAACACACATAATGTTTGATATCAATTCTGTTTTATATTAAAGCTAATACATCTATTTAATCTACTTCTAATCAATGAAAGCAAAATATACATGCTTTATATCTATATTTTTCTAATAGTAAATTATAATAAAATAAAGGCTTTATATTACTAAAACGCTATTAACAGTAAGTTGGTTGTGGGATTGACAAGTCTTACAAGCTATTGATATGCGCGGGGACTCAACCCATTCCACCTTTATTTTATTTATATATATATATATATATATTACGCTTGCAATTAAAACCTATTTCTTACACTTCAACCAATTGTCATGTTCATCAGACGATCCCTTCAACCCACCACTCTAAATGTTCGCCATCCTTCATTAAGATCTCTCTGGACAGCCGTCACAGGAACCGGTTCTACATTGGAAGCCTGTCTTGACAGCTGTGTACAACAAGCAAAGCTCCAAAAGGGAGCCACGGTTGCGGTTGCCATGGTCTCAAAGTCATTCGACGCTTACGATTACGAAAGCTTACCCAAGCTTGTAAAGGATCGTCTGTCACCTACGTGGCTTGTGGGATCTGTTGTAGATCGCGTCCCAAGTGTTGAACACGGTGTGTCTCTGTGGGTCGGTTACGACGAAAAAGTAGTCGGGTTCCAGGTCAAAGATGGCCCTGAACGTAACAAGGTCAGGTCGGTCTCTGTCGGACGATGGGGTCGTCCTGAAGAACTTTCGCGAGTTAATTACCAAAGACAAAAAATGGAAGATGCTGGTTGGGAAGGATTTGAAAGTGTTAGTAGACCTACACAGCAGTATCCTTTGCCTGATGAACTCTCAACAAGGTATATATATATATATATTGGTTGGTTAAAGAACTAGAGCATTTGGTGATAATATTTTCCATGCAATATGTTATCTTTTCTTTATAGCAAAACACCTTCTCTTGTATTTCTTGCATCGGATAATGAACCGGATGAGCTTTTGAAAAATCTTGATCATCACTTCCCGGATACAGCCAAGGCAAGTACCTAAAATGAGAAGAGGTTTGCGTTATTTAATTCTGTTTTGTTTTGGTCTGTTTGTAAGAGAGAGAAAAGATAAAGATAAAGATGTATTGACTTGATGAATTAGATTGGTATCATAAGTGCCTCAACGCCCTTTGTGAATGGAAACCCGTATACTCTCTTTTACCAGGATCAGTTGATGGATGCTGGTATTACTGGATTTGCCTCTTACAGCCAGAAGAAAGTCCAGGCAGATAATATAAGTGTTGAACATGTTGCGCTCCAAACAATGGGAAAGACCATGAAGATAACAAGGTGAGGGTACATGTGTACGAGTGTGTTTAGATACATAGGAATCAATTGACCATGCAAGGATAGATGCCGAGGAAATATTATTCTCGATCTGGATCAAGCAGGAGCCACAGGTCTTTTATTGGAATTGATACAAAACAAACAAAATGCGCTTATTTCAAAGGACGAGACATTCTATCTTGGAATCTATGCTCCGGGAGAGGTTAATGACGACAAATCCAAGGTTCGTATGCAAAGCTTTTTTTTTTAAAAAAAAAAAAAAAAAAGATAGTTTAAGAAGTAGGTGATAGCAGTGGTGGTAGTGGTGGTGCCCGTCGTTTCTAGCCTGAAATTAATATTCATGTTTCCCTCCTTCGGTTAGATGACTGTTTGTCGTGTGACAAGTGGTGATCCTTCGCGCGGTAACATGTCAGTGGATACAACTATTGATCTTCAAGAAGGACAGGTTGTTCAGGTGAGAATTTTCTCTTTAAATATCGATTAGTTAGTTGCAAACTGCCTTGTTTATTAACAATATATATTTCAATTCTTGTTGCAATTTCAGTTTATGAGAAGAACACAAGTCGCCAATAGCGATCTATTGAAATCTGGAAAAGGTATGGTTGCTTTCTGGAATAAAAAATAAAAACTTAAATTCTATACATTTTTATTCATCAATATCATAATCTCTTCATCCTCTCATTCCCCTCTCTTTTTTTTTTGTTAGAGGACTTTTTGGTTCTTGGAGTCTCTGACAAGGATACAACCATTGATGCTTTTCCCGTCAGCCCACCATCTGAGAGTCAAGCTCTTGTTGGTGTTGTTGGCGGTTCAAGCGAAAATGGTGTGATTGTTGGTAAACCTGGTATGCAAAGTCAGATAATGGATGTTCCTTACTCAAAGGTTACGGTTGACACATGAAAATGATAAATGAATTTTTAAAAGTAATAGAAATAGAAATAAAATGAAAATGAAAAAAAAATGTATAAAGATATATGTATATATCTTTTTTTAGACAGGGAAACTCATAACAAAATCAAAGACAATGAGTTTGATACATCGTGCAGAAGTCCACTCGATGTGAACATTTAGAAGAATCTCATATGATTCGGTTGAATCTGGGGGACAATGTGATAAGTTATGTGTGTGTATATGGATTTGTATTAATCAGATTAATAAAGGAATAATAAAAAAAACGACAGGACTTACCACGAGGATTCGCAAAAGAAAACACTTTATATGGCTTCTGTGTACTAGAAGATGTATTGTTTTGATTCTTTCCTTCTGAACGCTGCTGGCCAAGTCCTTGAGTCAGGCTACTTGTTAGCATTCCGAACAAACTAAGATTTGTGTGCCACACTCGAACCGTTTGATCTTGTAGACAACAGGTAGCAATAAACTTGGCATCTGGCGAGAATGCAAGTGCATCCACAGGTCCCATGTGCCCCTAATTTTGTGAGCACGAGTGTGAGTTTTGCTTAATATTCTATATAGCAGCATGAAAGCAGAACTCTAGTTCTATAGAGCTGTCTATTTGTATGCGATTCCTTACTTCAAGTACAACAGAACGTGTGGCTGTTCGAAGATCATAAATAACTGCTGCTCCCTCCTGTGTACCAACAGCCAATTTCTGTGCACTCCCACTAAAGTCTACGCATGGATATCTGTATGATATATAGAGGTTATTAATCAGAAAAAACAAATGAAAAACAAATGAAAAACAAAATTTAGCCTACGCTTTAACTAAATGGTGTAGAATAGAGGTAGCAGACTGAAGTACGGATTCTCGCATATGTGCTACATTCGGGTCCAAGGTCTTTACTACTGCTTCTGCTACTTTGTTGACACTTGAATATAGCAGCATAGGTTTCTATATGTATGTAAATATAGATATATGAATATTATATATATATTTGCTTAGTTTAGTTTTTTTTTACCTTTCGAATAAAATATCCAATCATAGTTAGACACTGTATACGTTCATCGATCTTTTTAGAGTGCATGGTATCATATGTTAGTGTGCCAAGAACAAGAGGCATGTTTGCAATGGCAATATGAAAGATTGCTTGTTTGGCTCCACGATTGATTGAAGCCATACTTGGCTGAGTGTCGGATGCGTATGCAAACAGGGTTCGTAAAACCTCGGCAGCATTAATGTATGACTCCCAGGTAGAAAATCCCTGACTGAGAAGTTCCATTGAAGCTAAAGTTCGTGCCGTCGAGACAGTACTTCCAGTTTGGTCAGCACTAATAGAACTAGATGTCCGAGGCTCCTCAAGTTCAGAATCTGACAGTAGCAAGGTCAAACTTAAAGCAGTCGATTTACGAATACTTATATATAAACAGCAGCAGAGGTAGAAATAGAAATAGAAGCATTAATATATATATATATATGCGAGTCTGACAAGTGTATATTAACATTATATATATATGTGTTACCTTGGTGTCAGCAAGTAAGCATGGTCGCATCCCATGATACCCAGAATAATAGTAGCTTGAACCATTATGTGCGGCCCATGACTTTCAGATGCATTAGATGTTGGCACTTTAAGTTTGTAGATATACACACACAAATAAGATTCAATATAGCGTGGTCGTAGGCAAACTACATTATGTTAACTTACAAAAGTTTTCCCAGTAATGAACAAGCTTTGCAAGCTCTTCAGTTGAGAGACCCGTAACTGCACTTGAAAAGAGAGATCGCGCTATTGAAATTGAAAGGAAATAAACAAAGCCAATATGTTTAAAAATGAGTATATCTAATAATGTGTATATATGAATTTGGATTTTTTTTGCTATATTACCTGATTTGTCTTGCCAATATTTACTTAACATTGACAGAGAAGGAAAACAGTAATCACTGCCTATCACTGCAGGAAGTGACATTGCGTAACCTGATAATAGATCTGACGTTCGACTGTCTTCTCCTATAAATGATTTAAAATAAAAATCAGTTAATATAATATGCTATGCTATGCTATGCTATGCTATGCTATGCTATAGTTTGGTATGATTTACCTGCTGCATAAATCATTGCCTTCGCCAACAATGCAATTGACAATAGACGTACGCCTGTCATTGAAGGAGATATTTTCCAATATTCTTTCTCATCATCCAGCGGTGGCAGTAAAGATAAATAGCCATTTGTACTTTTGTTTTAGGAAAAAAGAAACAATAATAGCATATAAGTCATGATATTTTTGTAGTTTTTCAGGCAAGAAAAAAAAGCCTTTTCTTCCTTTCCCTTTGATTCTTACCTGCGTATTCCATTACTTACAGTGTGCCCATTGTACGAGGTTTTGTTTAGAGCTTTCTTACACACATCTTCTAAAGCTTCATTGACCTGCCATGACATTGTTACGGTCATAACTGCAGAAATAAGTTCAAGACGTCTCTCTCTCCACTCTGCTTTAGCTTTGCGCTTTGCGCTGGCAGACGGATTGATATCATCATCAATCAAGAGATCCATTGGGTCGTCCTTATCGGGTCTGAATGCCAGTACCTCGGGAACAGAATCAAATGATTTTGAAGACAGAGATGGTTTCAAGTCAGGGGGAACCAAGAGTCCGTTCGAGGTTTCTCTGACAGGGTTGTTGACAAGATGGGTATAGAGGTCATGTACAAGTCGTCGGATGTTAAACGTGAAAACATGAGCATATATTTCTTTTGTTGCCGAGACAAGTGGTCTTATTGACACGGTATTTTTGGTACTTCCGGCAGACTTTGAAGAGTTGCTGTGGAATGGTAGTTGGTTGACAGGCCATCTGTCATCGTCAAGTACGTCTCTGGATTGCTTTCCAGTCAACACACGATCCAAGTGAGCTGTTTGTATCTAAATATAGATCAATCAAAGTAATCAAGTTGAGTTTAGTTCATCTGTCGTTGTTATGGTTACCAAAGAAAACAAATTACCTGCCAAACGAATGCAGTTTCATCCGAGTATCCAAGCACCATATAATCTTCAGTAGTTCTCCATTGGATGGTACTGAGTGGACATGTGTATCCTGGGAATATAAACAAGCTTTGACATATCACAACAATGAGTACAGCTGACTGACTGACTGACTGTGTGTGCGTGTGCGTATGTTTTTTTTAAAAAAAGATATATCTCATTTACCAATTCATAGATTCGACCGAGATAAGAGCAAGAGAATTGTCTCTAGCAATCGACCCAACGCATCCGCGAATACGAGCGTCTGTCTGCTCGGCTGGCTCAATAAATGCATCTACTGGGAGAGCATGGACAGTAAAAGACGCAACATATTCACTATCACTAAATTCAGTTATTATTTTTAGGGAAAAAGAAAAAATAACCAGTCAGTCAGTTAGTGTATTTTAACTATTGCCAATAAATTAAATTAAATTCAAATTACATGAGGTTCCAAATCTTAACAGCACCATCTCTGCCACCAGACAGCAGGTAATGATGACCTGCTACCTGGTGATTTTCGGGTACAATCATACAAGTCACTTCACCATCGTGCGCACGTTCAAATGCTCGAACACCTTGATCCAAATATTGAGAAATCTCATGAAGATGAAGCAGAGCCAAGGCTACTGGTACAATGCATATTGTACCATTTTCTGTTTTCATATATACATAGTTAGCATTAAATACATATAAAAAACAACAGTAGTAACAGCAACGAAAAGTTGACGCTAAAATATTTGGGAGTATAATATCGACTGACCATAAGCAAGTGCCAAATGATGACTACTGACTGTCGTTGTTGCCGTGATGTGTCCAAACACCGGATCTTTGTGAGCTTTCAAAGGCCAAACATCAGCAAAGCTTGCCTCTAATTATTATAGATATGTTAATGGTAGAATAGAAGTTGTTATCAGTTTTTTGGTTTTGGTTTTTAAAAAAAAATTAATAAATGTATGTTCAATAATTTGCTCTGTATGTATATATATATATCGCTTTTAAGTTTTGGCGCACCTGCACGTACGGTGACAATATCGTTTTTTCCGGTGCTAGGTTTGGTTTCAGAGAGGTCTCCTAGTGGAACCAAACAGAATGCAGATGCAGTAGGTCGATTGCAGAATAAGACAGCCGTTGGTTCTTCAAGACCTTTACAAAGGGTCACATTAAGAGATCCCAGAGATAACGATAGACCTATTAAAAGTATAGAGGTATATATATGAGCAAAAAGGTCAGTCCTTTTCTTAAAGACTTTATTGTATTGCATTTCTAGATGTATGTAGCTTTGGGAATTTAACTGCACCTTCGTTTTCAAAAGAATAAGCTTTCATCAAATGTGCACTGATATCCATATATATATTTATATATATTAAATGTGTACATATTTAGTACCAAGTAAATGCAGCCTTAATTGACCAACCTGTAATATAGATGAGATTCATCAACCATAATTCCAGGTCGTATTCCTTCTGGTGCTTTGAGGTGGTAATCATAAAATTCTCCATTCTAAAAAAACACACACCAAAATCGGTCTATATTAATCCTCTGTATATATATATACGTATTCATTTGTATGTTCGTTATATCATTTATTTATTTTACCTGTGTCCACAATACGCATCGATCTGGTCCACAAAAGGCACCACCAGTCCAGCTGGTTTCAGGTTTTGCCGCCAACGTAACATGAGGAATAAACTCAACACCCGAGAGCGCAAATATCTATATCGTCTTGCTTTTTCAGTTTGAATGCTGGTCACCATGGTACTCAAAAGAAGAAGAGATGAAGAAAGAAAAATGAAAAAAGAGGGTAGGAGAGGGGGACTCACGATCACATTTCGACTGGTGAGTGCCATGCATAGACTGGGCATCTTTTCGTTGCTGATAAGATCAAAAGCAACATCAAACATATCATTGGTGTCTTTAACAAGCAAGGATTGATATACAGCAGACTGATCCTTGAGCACAATCTGCCTAGAAACGTCAAAATCCCATACATCCAATCGACCATTCATTGTCAGTGTGGCAAGACGTCCACGGCGTGACACTTTTTTTTGTTGGTTTTTTGTTTTTGTGGTAGAAATATACACATATACATACATAAAAGAAATCAGCCCCAATTTCATTTAAAGACTACTAAAAGTGAACAGTTTTTTTTTGTTCCTTTTTTGCTTTGTTTTGTTTTGCATTTTTGTTTTTACCAGGATCATAAAAGTCTGTGCATGTCACCCAATTAGGATGGCTACCCCATACTCTAACAACCTATGGTTACGACTAAGATAAGCTTTATTGAACAATAGAAAAATCATCACCATAGACACCTGTAGTTTTGTTGTTGCTATTTGTTTGTTTGTTTCTCAATCTCTAAAGCTATACTTGCCTCAAGGGTTGTGGTATTCAGGATACAGATTTCATTTGATTGCCCACAACAGAATATATATCTTTCCGAGAACTGATGTTTTGTTAAGAAAAGAAAGCAAAATTAGCAAATGAAGAGGGACACTGCTCAATCCTGTTTAAAAGCCTGTCGTTTTTCTTCTTCTTCTTTACCTGTCTAAATACTTTGAGCTGGCTTGGAACACCAAAGAATCCATTTGGATTGCTAGTTAAACAGCGCCCGTCCGAAGTATTCCACCGTGCCACCTCACTGAGTTAAGTTTATAAGTAAATGAGAGTATGGAATGGTTTGAAATTGGTTACCCATCCTCCGAAGCACTAATCAAGACATCCTCTCTGTCTGAAATTGCATCTGTCTCGGTTTTAACAATGCACAGAGCTGCCACAGAAGTTTTGTGGCCAATGAGAACAAGTGCATGCTGTATAAATCATGATGTTGCATAATAACAAACAGTTAAGAACAAAGTGTGTATATTTTCGAAAGAAAAAATGTATAGGATGTCTTTTTTTTTAAAAAAAAAGAAAATAATAATAATAATGAAAAAGAAATAAAAGATAAAGAGGGGGGTTATGGAGATATGAGTGTGGGCTACCTGAAGCAAAGACGGATTAGTTTTTGAAAAAGTGTAAACCAAAATGGTGCCATCTTTTTGACCCGCATAGACATTAGGATAGCTGCTGATTAAACAGGTTGTATTTGGATTAGAAAAGCCATGCCAGACGACCAGTGGCAAAGAAACAGAAGAGGCCATGGTCGTCGTAAATAATATAGAAGCAAAAAGAAGAGAGAAAGTAAAAGAAAGCGAGAGAGAAAATACTAAGAAGAAGGAAACAAAGTGGGTAACAACTGTAGAGACCAAGATGCTGTATAATCTAAGGTCGTGACTGTCGTGGTTTTAATGCTACTTATGACTTCGTCCTCCGTCAAAGCATCCTTTACCAAACTCACCAACAGCAGTAGCTAATGATTAATAAAAAGGAATATGTTAATATAAGAAGAATGAGGAGGAGGAGGGGAAGAAGAGAAATAGGCTAAAGAAATGATGGCTTACCCAAGTTTTGGCTTTTTTCCTCCTCCACCTCTACCACCACCTCCGCCACCGCCACCGCCACCGCCACTTCCTTGTGGCGGCAGTGGACCTCCGTAAACAGGTAAACTATTGGGATTGACAAAGACAGGTCGACCTCCAGATGGAGCACTTTGGTAAGCTCCTGGTGGAGCAGGCTGGGCTGCAAATCCTGGGTGGTAACCTGATGCTGTTTCATATTAAAACAGAATATAAGCGTATAAGAGAATTTGACTTTATAAATATCTTCAACGATATAATGAAGAAAAGAGAGTACCTGGATTAAACTGAGGGGCTTGTGGAGGAGGAGGAGGAGGAGCGTTATTCCAGAATGACATTTTGATAATAATAATAATGTATGTATATATATGTGTGTGTGTGTGTGTTTGTATAGTTTGTGACTAAAGTAGATAAAATTTATAATGTATTTTGTCTTTTAAAAGGAAAATCAAAAGCACCTATCAACTTGACCAGTATTTATACCAATGCAAAAAAGAAAAGTCCTGGGCGAACGCTTTGTAAAACCAATTTGATACTCTTTATTTCTTCTGTAGCTCTTGCATTGTAGGTGTTGTCTTAATATTTGGTAGTATTTTAGTTCAAATAATTTTAGACAGCAAAGAACAATCAATGCATTATGGCATAAATTGCTTTACAGGTTTCATAGTCTATTCAATGTTGGAAAAGAAGAAAAGCATGTGTATTAATATCTAAATATAATGCTATACTGATATATACACATAGTAGAAGTACAGAAATACGGTTATGTTATTGAGGCTCATTGTTTAACAATGTCTAATAATAAGAATAAGTTGCCATACAGTAACTCTATTAGGATTATTGTCAAAAGGTTTTTGTTTACCAAGCAGTTAAATATCCTTTAATAAAACTATTTTTTTAATCAATTTGTTCCTATTTATCTATTTATTTAATGAACCCTAGAAACCACTATAAATTCATTATTAGCTTATCAAAATACACAGACACATCAAGTATATAATTTCAGGCGCTATAAGCCAAACTTGATACATTAGAATGTTTCAATTTTTCAATTCATTTGGTTTTTATTCACATTTAAAAGGAAGAAGAAAAGAGAGAGGGGGGGGGGGGGGGGGCCAAATAATCTTATGATCTTTTTCTAAAGAAAAAGCAAGAATAATAAAAATAATAAAAATAAGGCCCGGGATTCGATTATCTAATGCGGGAAACATTGATCTTGGGGGGGGGGGGGGGTTTATTTCATTAGTTTATTTTCGGCTTCTTTCTTCTTTCCCCCCTATGAAACCCACCCAAGCTGCTTTTAAAACCACCACCACCAAGATCTATTATAAAAATAGACCCAGATATATAGATATATAGATATAGATATAAGTTTTACCAGTAATACGTAAAAAATAATTATAAGGATAATAAGAGGTGAATTCAAAAAAAACTCTTCTTTACCCAAACTGTGGCTCTGGGGAACCTGGTTTGGAAATGCAAGTACAAACCCCTCCTCTAATAAAAACAGGAACCCCCCCAAGGTCTCCGCGAGAACCCCCGCTGTGCTTGTACTTAGAAAAGTTAAAACCCTTTTTAATCTTTGGATGTACCCCGGCTATATTGATATAAAAATACTTTAGTAGACATCTTTGAAATGTGCCCCAAAAAAAAATAGGGGAGCATAGTAA